GACCAGCTGACGTAGGGGTGCCACCGCGCTGAGGAAGTGGGAGACCTCCTGCAACGGACGGAAGCCACAGAGTCCCTCGAAGGGCGTGATGGCAATGGTCATTTCCGGTTTGTGGTTGTCATCTACCGGAACAATTATCAGCACGCACGTTGCGCCAGACACGGTCATCCTGACTCGCACTCACCGGGGTAGTTCTGGGGATCTCTGGCATGAAGCCTCTGGGCGAGTTTCTTGTTCGGATGCGCCTGAATGCTCAACGCTTTCCTGATCGACAGAACTTTGAACAAGAACGGAAGCTTGTTCTCGTATCTCTCGCTCACCTCCGTCGACATGAGAGCCTGGTTGTCTTGGACCATATCGAGGAGGGTGCGCTGGGTCTCGAGGTCTTTGGACGGGAGGGAAGGATGCGTGCCCATCCACAACTACACCGAGTCAGCAGTGTCGGCTATCGACAGATGAAGGATAGAACCACCTCCGCGTACGGTTTCTCGGCGTCGATGGAGAAGTCGGGGGTCGCCGTGGTGGCCGCATATCTCGCCGCGGCGGACTCGGGGCCAACCTTGCCTAATCACGATCGAATTAGTATGGAAAGCTTTCAAATCACCACGCGATACACCACGTATCCACCACTTACCCCAGTCATAGCTGTTGACGCCTTCAGGTCCGTTGATTAGCGCGACATTCCAACAATGAAGTGTAGATACCCACCGCATTGAAGCCGAAGCAAAGGCACCTGCATTGTGTATAGAGTTTCGGAGTGATTTGAGAGGGAATCACGTAGAGGACAGAGATCCGATTAACCAGAGGGCGGGTAAAATAAGAAACAAGAGTAAGAATGCTCTGGGAGTGGCATCATTGTTATATCTGCTTCTTGGATGGGAAGTGCCCCTCCTGTATGGTAATGGAGTCCACTCGAGGTGGGCGGACGGTCGGCTCCTTGCCCCATTGGGCTCTCCGGATGCAGCTGCGTCTGGCCAATCAGGCGGCCGGGATTTTGAGGCCGAGTCAGGCAGGCGGTAGGATAGAGATTGGCAGAATAAAAAATAAAATCAAATAATCCCGACAGGGAGATGAGACGACGGATCACCACGAGCCATTCTTGATTTCAGACTGTTGACTCTGACTGTTACGATACACATTGAATGATCTTACCAGACTCGATTTGATTCTGTCATTCTTGTTGCCTTCCATTCTGTGGTCTGTATGTTTCGCGCCTCGTTGCGGTCTGTTTCAGACCCTCTTCGCGAACATGTCTGCTTCTCCTGTCTAGCCCAGCGTCTGGGTTCGCGCTCTTCTCCTCGCTTTTACTCGACTGCCGCGTCACCGGTTACATCGGCTGAAAAATCTACGGAACACTCGCCGGTGAAGGAAACGAAGGTAGGGCGGCAGCACTTCCCCGACAGGTCAGCAGAGCGCTAACATTGAAACGCGCAGTCACAGAAGAAACCGTCGCATTCAGAGAAGAAACCCTCGCCCAAACCAAAGAAAGACGCGAAATCGAAGAAAACGAATCAAGATGATGGCAAGAAATCGAGATCGGCCCCCGCGGGCGCACCGTCGAACAAAGCTGGACCCCCTCGTATCACCCGAAAGGTGTCCGGAATTGCCGCGTTAGATCGCTCCAAGAACCAGAAGATGACTCGTGAGAAATCGCAGTCGATTGCCTCTCAGAAGTTGCAACAAAAGGTGAAGGGTCCGGTGGCGCAGGAACTGAAAGAGATGGTACCGAATCGGAAATCCCACCAACGTGAACCCCGAAGTAAAGATGCGGCCTCGGTCAGTTGCGCTGTCTATGCCATGGGAGGTGGATTGGTTCGCTAATCAGGGTTATAGAACTCTCCTGTCCAAGCTTCGGTGCAGTCGATCATCACGCAAATCCAGAACGGAAAACCCAATGTCTCGGGCAGTAAGGAAACGCCCGAGGATTTGTCGTTCGTCATGAGTTCGATATTTCCCAAGGAAACCGGGTCCGTCGACACGAGCAATTTGAAAATGAAGCGTATGTATCTGACCTGACCTGTGGATTGGCCCAGGACGCGTACTGATTGCGACTAGCACTCGACTATGAAAGACCGGATGTCCCGCGGCTTTCGTTCGGATTGGAGAGGGTCTTGTTCAAGTATGTTCATCCATCAAACCCCATCTCAATACATAAGCTGATGTGTCTAGCCCCGGCGTCTATCACCTCCGTGACCCGCGGTCCCGCGTCTACAACTTCGATCCTTACCTTGGCGCCATCATGCCCGTATCCGAGTTCGACTTTGACGCGTTAAAAGCCTACATCACCTCCTCCAAGGATGAAACCCTCGCCGGTATCGCCCGAGCCGAGAAGAAGAAGTACATCGGGTCCTCGTCGAGCATGACATCGGTCCTCTCGCACTTCCACTATCTCCTCTCCAACTGGAGAGGTGTCGACACGCGGATGATGTCCCAGAATTTCCCAGACCACATGCGCAGCTTCACGCGACTCTTGCGATCTCCCGCCGCCATGTTCCTCCGGTATCAGAACGGGTCTTATGCCATCGACGCGGACAAGGAATTCGACTCGGCGAACATTCTCATGAACCTGGGCAAGTCCATGGAGAAGCTCCTGACTCTGCCCAAGGAGGACTTTGAGCGCTACCGTCGAACCCACGAGAACAAGATCTCGGCCGAGGAAGAACAGGCCATCCCCGAGGCCTACCACTATTCGACCATGGGCGATTTCCTGATGCGGTCCCAGCTGGACGCCTACGACCCGCGACTGCCCGGAACTGGCATGTTCGATCTGAAGACCCGCGCCGTCGTCTCCATCCGAATGGATGCCCGCAACTTTGAGCACGGGCTGGGCTACGAGATTCGCCATGTCCAGGGAGGGTACGAGTCTTACGAGCGCGAGTACTACGATATGATCCGGGCCGCGTTCCTGAAGTACTCGCTCCAGGTCCGGATCGGCCGGATGGACGGTATCTTCGTGGCTTTCCACAACATCGAGCGCATCTTCGGTTTCCAGTACGTCAGTCTGCCCGAGATGGACCAGGCGTTGCACGGACAGACAGACACCTCGCTGGGCGACGCCGAGTTCCGACTGAGCATCGGGCTGTGGAACAAGATCCTCGACAAAGTGACAGCCAAGTTCCCTAAGCGGTCGATCCGCCTGCACTTTGAGACCCGCGACGCGCAGACCCCGTTCATGTACATCTTCGCCGAGCCCGTCACCAACGACGAGATCGAGTACATCCAGACCAAGAACCAAGCGGAGATCGACGCGTACCAGCGCCGAATCCTGAATCTGGAGCCCAAAGACGGCAACGACGACCTCGACGAGACGCCCGCCAGCCCCGAAAAGCCCGCAGCCAACTCCCAACCGACGGCCGAGCAAAACGCCCAACCCGACGCACAAGCCGCGTATGACTCGTCCGCGCCCCCCGACGAGTCCTTCCTCGCCGAGCTCGAAGCCGAGGAAGCCGACCTGTTCAAAGGCAAGGAGATCATGGCGATGACGCTGGTGGTCAAGAATCTCGTCAACGGCTCCCCCGTCGACCGGCCCATGGTCTTCCGCGCCGACGACAAGTGGACCGTGGAGTACGAGCTGAGCGAGTTGCAGGGCAAGCAGGTGAGCAGGCTTTACAATGCCTGCCAGACACGTCGGGAGAAGGCCCTGTCAGGCCGCGGGGAGGACGAGGCGGACGCGGCCTCTAACGTCTATATCCGACGACTGCGCGATCTGGCCATGAAGGGGCGTGCCTACCGCGCCAAGCAGGATGATTTTGACAGCAAGCATGGCACGGTTGTCCTGGATGAGGATGTATAATCGTCTGGCATGATTGTACCCGGGGAAGTTCCGGTGAATGTATATTAATATCCCGCATAGGTTTTGCTCTTTTTTATTGGGGTGGGTTGTACAATACGCTTTTGGTTTACGTTTATTGGCCATAGAGTCGGAATTACGAATGTTGAATTTATGATCTATGTATGTTGGCGCAGTGCCAAGACCTCGGGATATTGAGTCGGTAAATGGGGATATCGAGCGTCGGTAGATGGGGATATCAAGCGTCGGTAGATGGGGATATCAAGCGTCGGTAGATGGGGATATCAAGTCGGTAGTTGGGGATTGAGGCGTCCGTATTTGATATTCATGCTCACAATCTCTACTGAATTCACTACATCTATATTCCACTATGATGTTGAACCTCATTCCCCAAGTCGACTCACGATCTACCCTGGCGCGAATCACCTTACCTCTATATCATATACCCGCCCACCTAGTAGTATACCCACAACCCCCAATATCAACCTACACACATGCATGCATATGACATACATCAAACCTCATTCCCACTCAAGCAGCGCAAACGCAGCAGCATAGTGCATGCAGTCCAGCCCAATACATCATACATAGCATAATACATGCAGTAGCGCGACTGCTTCTCTACCTACGCGCCATGCACACCTCGCAGACCAATGTATAATGTATCAAGCTATCGTTCATCCTTCGCATATATGTATGTGAGCGGTTATCTGTGCTTCTGCTTGCATAATGCATATATTCGGGCTGGATGTGTCGGTCTGGCTTATGCCGCTGCGTTGATGTGTGGGTTGTCATTGCTGGGACCTGCTTAGTTGACTGACTGCCTTGTTTGTTTTGACCTGCAATGCCTCGAATTTCATTTTTATATAGATTTTAGAAGTTATGAATGTGCTGTTGGATTACTTGATTGAAATTCTTCCATTCATAACTATATATATATATATATATATATCATAGTAAAATGGGTTCTTCTTTGGTCTCTGAGACTACTGATTATATGACACTGTATTTCAGATGTCTATATTAGTTTGTTACTGGCTTGTATCATCTCATAGTTTGGGGCAGATAATTAGAATTAATCAAGCGCTTGAGATGCATCATCACGCTGGAATCATAGCGCATGCACACGCCCATTATATCCACACTCACATCCACATAAATAGATATTCATCACATATTCATCATCATCATAATAATAAACCAATCCCATCTACAAAGAATACACAAACTCATGATTCTCCCTATCCGTCAGATCCAACCACTCCTGGTTCTCCATGCGGACATAGTCCGGCGCAGCTCGCTTCAGCGCCTTCTTCTTGTTCTCGCGGTCATACCACCACCAGATGAAGGCCATGATCATCAGGCAGACGCCCCAGCAGACGATGAGGGTGATTTCGGCGGGCACGTAGCGGGGGGCGTCTTCGGGGCGGAAAGCTTGGGGACCTTTTTGTGCTTGTTAGACTTATTCCTTGCTTGCCCCTTGTTGTTCTCGTTCTTTCAGTTGGGATGGGAATCAAGAATGAATGGCTTACCAATGATATTGCCCGCGCAGTATCCGATCAGGTATAAAGCTGCTACTGTGGTTTTCTTGGTGTATCCCGCGACGTTGGAGGAGATGAGCGCGAGCAGGGCGACGAATGGTGTTGGGCTAGCTTGCGTCATGTAGTAGCCGATGAGACGGCCGACGTTGTTGCTTAGGGGCAGAGCCACGATGAGGACCATGCCGACGATGGAGGCTACCAGCCCGCCCATGCTGCACAGGATGCGCTGGCCCGTGTATTGCCCGATGTATCCGCTGAGTAGCAGGGCGACGATCTCGACTGCGCCGCCCGGGGTGCCGTAGAGTAAGCTTTGCTCTTCTGTATAACCGAAACTGGTGATCTGGACGAGTGTTAGGATTGCATCTGAGGCAGGGTGAAAAGCTAGCTATCATGGTGGAGGGAGGTTGTATATGGAAATAGAAGGGTGACTGACCAGTTGATTAAAAAAATTCGTGATACCACCATTAGGAATATTAGCGATGATAGCGAAAAAGAAAAAAGCCCAAGTCATCGGATCCATAAGAGTCTCCACAATCTGGTACTTCTTGTAATGCTTATTCCCAATACCCTGCTGGTTGACTCGCACGCGGGCAATCGCCAGCAGCCGGTCCTCCTTCTTGAGCCACCGCGCATTCAGCTGGCTGTCAGGGACAACCCAGAGGAAGATCAGTCCCAGCGCGACGGTCAGGAAACCGGTGACGAGGAAGACGATCTTCCAGGGGTCGATGGCCGATCCGTGGATGCGGGTTCCCACCGCGATCCCGTACGCTACGAGACCTCCGAAGATCTGGCCCCAGCCGTTGAAGCTGAACCAGATGTTGACCCGGCTGCTGTGTTCGGATTTGGTGTACCACTGCGGTGGGCTGTTAGAAGATGGGTTGCGCTGGGACGTGGGGGGTGGGGCTCACCTGAGCGGTTAACAGTGCGAAGCCTGGGGTGACAGAAGCCTCGAAGACTCCGAGGAAGAAGCTGCAAAATTAGTTAACCTATATACCAGCTTCGCGTCAAGAAAAGAGTCTCACCGGATCGCAACGCCGCCAGAGAAGTTCGTGACGCCAGCGAAACAGCAGAGAATGGAGCCCCAGATAATAATACACGCGGCGGAATATTTGCCTAGCGGAAGCATCTGCAGCAGCCGGCTGGTCGGATATTCCCAAGCCAAATACCCTAGAAATTTATCATTAGGTACACGCGACGCCATGGAGTCCGCGAGTGGTCACCAACCGAAGTAGAACAAACTGGCCAGCCACTGATACTGGTCGTGCTTCAACGACAGGTCCTCCTTGATTCCCATCACACTGGCGTATGAGAGTGTGGTTTCTGTTATTTCCGGCTGGTTAACATCCCATCCGGGCAATAGCGTCGCTTTGGAAGAGAAGCAACATACTGTCTAGATAGTTCATGCCGTAAACGACACACATGATGGGCATCATGTGCCAGTCGATCCTCCTTAGAAGACGCTTGTTTGTCGCCTCGTCTAGCTCGATCGCCTCGCCCTGCAGGTCCTGAATGGCCTGCATGGCCTCATCTGCATCGTGGGAATGCTTCTCCAAGGTGGGGTCGACATGCTTCTCCGCTTCCACCGTGGACGGCGGCGCGGCTTTCTCGTCGGCCATGGCGGGCAAACAACTAGCGGAACAAGCAGAAAAACACTAGACAAGCCACAAGTTGGAGAAGAGAAAAAGAGGATTGAAAGGAACGAAGGATTCAGAAGGAGGGGAGGCACCCGATTTATCAACTGCCAGATCGATATCCGATTAAGCGTCACCGCAACTTCCCCTCACGGGCACGAGCGGAAATGCACCACGCAAGGGCGGAAACCTTTGAACAAACCAGGATAACAGCAACGCATCTTCTCCTCTTCGGGGTTGTTATCTCGCAGCGTTGCAGCGCGCGATATCCGGGGTAGACCTAGTGTACTCCAGTCTCCACTCTTCGCCATCGGGCGAGTGGAGGCCGAGGGGAAACCAAACCACGAGAGTTAGGAGGAGTGGGGAAGCGGGAGGGGATGGACGTTTCGCTCGGGGAAAGGATGCACGGTGGAGAAGTCCATGGCTTGGAGATTGTTTGGCCGTCATTGGATGGGCATTATCGGGGGGGTTTGTTCATTGACAAATTCCGTTTCCTTTCTGGTCGCGTTCTTTGTTTGTGGGCTCTTATCTTATCAAGTAACTATTCGCGCGCGTCATCTAGACCATGTGGATATATTGTGGGTTCGGCTGGGTTCGCTCTGCTAGTCTATGCGTTGTGGGTATGTATCTCCTGGCTTATCTCCTGGCGAGAGAGAGGCCATTCTGTTCTCTTCGTCTTTTCGTCCACCTGTCATGACCAGTCCACTACCTCTTGCCGATATTGCATCTCCCCCCCTGGCCCGTCCGGTTCCGATATGAGGAGGAGCGATGTCGTTCGGGCGCTCCAGTCGTCGACGGCGAGACGAAGATGATGCGGGACTCGCGGGATGCGCTGCTCGGTCGGGAGGTCAGACAGACCCGCCTCTTCGATACCGACGACGGTCTCTCCGATCCGGAGCGCGCGCTGCGAATTCCAGAGCCCTTCCTGCCGCGGACACTCCGACAGCAGTCGCATGGCATGTCGGCGGACTACAGGCTGGTGGCAGTGAGTGGCGACCCATTGCAGGGCGCGAATGATGCCCGCATCCAGGGAGAACAGTCGGTGGTGATCGCCTGGCTCGCGGCGACGATCCTCCAACCGTAGAAGCTTTTCGACCATCGAGAGAATGGGGTTGAACCGGTCGGCTTCCCGCTCGTCAGCGCGGAACTGGATCAAGGTGGACCCCACCGATGTAAATTCTCGAGCGAAGTGGGCATCGATGCGCAGAGCTAGCACCGACCGTGGGTCAGCCGCCATCCCCTGCTTTGTCCGCAGAAACCGATCGAGCGCGCCTGACCACGCCTGGAATTCCCGGACCTGTGCAGCGAGTTTCGCCTGTAATTCCTCGACCATTGCGCGAAACCCGGGGTCCCAGGTGGACGGCTTGGCTCCGGCCCCGGGGCGCGTGTTCAAGGCGGGAGCGGCGCAGATGCTCTGGTTCATGAGGAGGGTCAGACGGCGACGTGCTTCACCCAGGTCGGTGAAGGCGAAGGGCATGGCATGCCCGGCTCCAATGCTCGTCACGTGGGGTCTCATGCCGCGGTTGAAGCTCGCCAGGTCCATGTGGAACCGCGCGAAGAGGTCGCACAACTCGCGATTGATGGTATCGACGTCAGCGGTCGGCTGCGGTACGTCCAGTCGGTCGCTTTGCTGTGAGATCAGCTTCAGCCCGGAGTCAACATGGTCGAGCGCCTGGTCGTAGTTCGCCCGAAGCATCTCGAGGCAGACGAACAGACTACAGCCGAGGAGCGTCAGGTAAGACTGCCGTGCGCCGTTGGGCTCACCCGCGGGCGGGGCCGGCGGAGACAAAAGGCTACGAATAGCCAAGTTGTACTGTCGGAGCATGAAGTCCTCCTCTCGATGGCCTACCCCCAGGTATATTCGATGGGCGGCACCGACCGCAGCGACCGCATGGCGCACCAGGGGCTCGGTCTGACTGAGCTGGGGAAGCAGGCGGGTCCAGAAATCGGAGGGGAAGAAGCCGGCCAACGCTTGCGACGTGTGGATGCAGAACACCGCCACATGCTCGCGCTCCGGGACTGTCCCGGGGTAGAGGATGATACGTCCGTTGGGGCTGGGCCGTCTTTGGACGTTTCCCGCGAGGATCTTATCCCGGAGCTGCCTCTGAGACAAGTCGGAGTCGTATCCGTCGCATTTGCGGCCGGTCCTCGTGCATTGCCCGCAGGCCGGGCGAGCTTGGTCACATCGCACATGACGGATCCTGAGCTGGTCAGCGTCTGTCTAGCTAATGGTCCCAGCCGAGATACGAGAGGATAACCTACTTGCAAGTGATGCATCCATCGCGTGACCGCGGTTTGTCTGCTCTCCGTTGTTGCATAGTGAGGATTTCTTCGTCAGCTGTCGCGACAGGAGATGTAGTCGCGCCGAGTGATGATTGATAGAGGCGTAACGAATGAATCACTAACAGCGAGGTACCAGGAATCCATCAACAGCGGTAGTCCAGGGTGGATTAAATACCCATGGATCGAGGCCGTTGTGGGCCTGGCCATGCCTAGCACGGCAGCTATTGTCGACAAAGACTCATGGCCAGAACAGTATAGACAGGGCTGAACGGTGACAAGACAATAGTGCTTCAGCCTAGACAATCCTAATCCCGGTTGTAAGCGATAATTATAGTAGTAGCCGTGATCACTTAGTCGTCGATCATGCATCGCCCCAGGTTCTCCAAAGGAAGCACAGCCTCGAACTAGCTAGCTCCTGTGAATCATCCGCGACAGGAACCTATCCGGTGTCGAATTGGGCCCAGACATCTTTTGGATTGATCATCTTTGGGGAGGTATTCGCAAGAAGGCTCCTGTCCCTGAGTCATGAAGAGAGGCGCCATCTGCCTAATCCTAGTGTCAGCCTCGTGGGTACACGCCACGAGGAGCGCTCTTTCAATAGAAACAGTCTGACAATTTCCACAATGGCAAGGGTTAACAGTTAGAGTGCCTATATCCTTGGTTAGCGTGTATCCTTCCACTTCCTCGGAGACTGAGGCTGCTCACCAACCACGTGGAGTGAAGCTTGATTCAACTGTATCCCAGTATGCAGCGTCCAATCATCGGATACTCCGGTTGTTGGATCTGCATGGGTATAGCCCGGTAGACTCTGGAATTGCTGGTCAGAATAGTAGACACAGAATATGACGCAACCAGCAACACGATGGTTGATCAAGAGAAGAAATGGAATGGAATACCTTAAGCACTATCATCACGGTGTCCGAAACTATGCGCACAGCCTCGTTTATGCCCACACCACGCGAACGCCACGAATTACTACACCATGGATGGAAATAACTATTGCTACTTGATAGAGCCCCAGTGACAGGCATGTAGTATAGATTACTCGGCAGTCAGTTGCCCCCAACACGGGCCATGTACGCCTCCCACCCTTCCTTCTGGTACCGCTGCGCCGCCTCGACCGGATCCGGCGCAGCGTAGATGCCCCGTCCCGCGATAATGAAGTCCGCGCCGCGCCCAATCGCCGACTGCGGCGTCTGGTACTGCTGACCCAAACTGTCGCCCTTGGACGCGAGGTTCACGCCCGTGGTGAACACCACGAAATCCTCGTCCTCCGACGCGGAGGTCGCCTCCGACTGGACCTCGTTCAGCGCGCGCGTCGACACAAAGCCCATCACGAACCCTTTGTACTTGCGCGCGTAGTCCACCGATGCGGTCGTGTATGGCCCCGTCGCCAGCGATCCCTTGGAGGTCATCTCGGCGAGGATTAGGAGCCCGCGCTCTGGGCCGTAGGGGAAGTCCGCGGCGGAGGCTGTCTGCGCTAGAGCTTCTACGATGCCTTCGCCGGGTAGGACGGCGCAGTTGATGATGTGCGCCCATTCTGAGATGCGCAGCGCACCGTTGTGGTACTGCTTCTGGACGGTGTTGCCGATGTCGATGAACTTGCGGTCTTCGAAGATGAGGAAGTTGTGCTTCGCTGCCAGGGCGTTCAGTCCGTTGATGGTGGCGTCGCTGAAGTCGGAGAGGATGTCGATGTGCGTCTTGATTACAGCGATGTGGGGTCCAAGGCCTGTAGTAGCAATGCGTCGGGTTAGTACAATTCAATGCTGTCGTGCGAAACGAGAGAGATCAAGGTCTTTGGAGTGGGGGGGTTCGTACGGTCAGCCAGGTCCAGCAGCTCCTTGGTCGTCGTCACATCGGCCGAGACGGTGACATTAGATTTCTTAGCCTCAGCAATCTCAAACAGACGTCGGGCAAGGGCATTGGGATGCTTGCTTGCCCTGGCCGTGTAGGTCAATTGCGACTTGGAGGACATCCTGATGCGGAATTGGAGGGGTAATGCGGGGTGACCGATGCGACGGGGAGAAAATCGTCCTGATCTGGCGGGGTCTTCAGGAATCGACCGAATTATTTGGTCAAGGGTGAAGATGAATGTGTCGGTGTTGAAAAGATGCTGTCCACCGAGAGAAATGCAGGTTGTTCATGGAGTGTCGGGAGAAATTCCTGGTCGCGACGGAGGATCCCCGAATCAGCCACATCCGGTTAGTCACACTGGTTCTCAGCTCTATACTCGGGGTGGTCAACACCTCTACAATGGCTTCTTTTTACTCCGAGGTATCATGAATAGTTGGAAAGGATGGTTGATAAAATGTATAGTCGGGCTTGTACTAAATTAGTCAAATCTGGTAATGTTGCTACGTTTACCATTGCACTAACCGCAATATATATATACAGTGTATAGTGCTACATCAGCAAGATTCAGAGATTCAATCATTCATGATATTCGTGATAAGCCAGCTATACTCTGGGTAATTACAGATTCTCAGGCATCTTCTACAATCCACTCCCCAATATCAACCCGTTCCTCGGACAAAGCCTCCACCTCAAAGTGATCTTCTACTTGTCCCCCAGGCCCACCGATCCGCTCGAGGACAATCCAAACGCCGCCTTGGTTTTCCAAACCCGATTGCAGATCGAAATCCGACACCCGCACTCCAGAGATGGCATCGCTATGATGACCATCCTCAGAGCTGGCGAGAATTTCTTTGTACGGCCCCTGGCCGAGTTCGACGGTCATGAGCACCGGCGACGGCCCAACGGGGTGATTCCCAATCAGAGACTGTCGGCTCCTTGCGATGAGCTTGATCCGCGTAAGCCGCGGGACCCGCAAGGGCGCCAGCATGCGGTCGCTCCCCGGGGGTAAAATGCCAATGTCTGATATGCTCGCGCGCCGTCCGGCGGCTTCCGGGGCCAGGGGGTCCACTTTGCACGGGTACGAGGAGGAGATCCAGAGTGTAAATCGGCCGAGTTGGTCTGGGGCAAAGGTGGAACAAACTATGGTGTAGATGCCTTCGTCGAGTGTTCGTTTCTCAGCGAGACACCCGCCCCGGCGATAATCGCCGCTGTCCGTGATGATGTCGCGACTCCGAACCCTGGCTACGCGGTTGCCATTGGACCAGAATAATTTGATGTGTGTCGCGGTCTCCGTCTCGGGACATTCTAGCAAGAGGGAGACGTCGGTGGCGCTCGAGACCTTCATGGTAAATTGGGGATTCTGGGGATACCGAGGGGACTCGGCATTTCCGCCAGCCATCGAACCAGTCCATGACCCCTGGACTTTGGTGACGTACTTGTATTTATTCTGCGCGGGCGCGATCTGCACGGGGGCTGTGGACAGAGCAGACAGCGTGAAGTTCTGATTCAGAGAGGGTAGGGATTGCTCCGAGATCACGGCAGTGTAGGTCGTGTTTGGGTGCATCTCCAGCCTCATGAGGGTATTGGGGGAATCGACATAAGGTCCTCGGTGGAGGGCTCCATCGCTCAGAGATACCCTTTTCCCTTCCGTGTTGAAGATGTAGATGCTGATGAATCCCGGTTCCTCATGCTCCACGGCGCCGTCCGGAGCGTCATCTCCATCTCCATGATGCTTGATTGTTTGAAAGTGCTTTCCAAGCAGCAGCCAGACAGTACCCCCGCTCTTGGTGGACACCGAAAACTGCGGGTTCTTCACAAAGCAACCAGCAACGCCTCTGCCGCTCGTGAGATCCCAGGGGAAGTGGATATCCTCGCGATATCTGAACAGTCCCGGATTCCAATTCAGATACAGATTTTCGAAGTTCTGGAGAACTTTGTCGCAGTCCATCCAGAAAGACCCAGGAGCAAAAGACGGCTGGTTATGGGTCAGCTCAATGGAGTCAAGTGCGGTCTCAATGTCCCGATGGACCACGTCCGCTCCAGCCCACGGGTTCTTCACTAGCATCTGGCGACGCCCCTTGGACTCCTTCAACTCCAGTATCGAGTAGTCGTGCTCACTCACGAGTCCGACTTCCGTTTGCTCTCTCTCCGTCAGTTTACCGGTGCCAATGGTGAGCAGCACATCTCCGTGACAGAAAGATCGGTAAAGCCGCCGCCAGAGATCATCGCTCGTGACGTCCTCGTGGTGAAGGAAAATCTGTTCCGGAATCCAACCGGTCAGAACCCACAAATCGGTTCCAGAGTTGCTTCCTGGGAAGTCATATCCTCCGCGGATCTTTAGATACGCCTTTTCTACCAGGGCGGGCCACAGGAAATCCGGGTTATTTCGATCGACCACGTGGAGTGACCTCGAGGTTTTCGAAGACGGCAAGCGATCATCGACGATCACCTTCCGAAAGCACCCGTTGAAGTAGAAGCGAAATATGTATCTCCCCGCTGGCGAAATCTCGGTTTGTCCGAACTCGCAGGGGAATGCTGCAGGGAGATAGCCCTGCGCCAGTCAGTCGCATCGTCCACGCTGGGATCAGAGGGTCGGAGAACGAACCTTGGATAGGCCCCGCTCGGTCCGTGAAGTCGTTGCACAGAGGCTCGCCACAACCGAGCAATCCGTCAGCATGTCCTGGACCAAATCTGTTTTCTCCCGAGGAGACATCACGGGTGTCAGGGTGTGCCCCGTCCGTTCACTAATCTTCGCCAGCAACTCATGAGGCCTCTTCCAGCCGTCGAATAGCTGCCTCTGCACATGGGACAGGTGGAGCTCCGGATGATCACTGACTCTAGTTAGACGACGTATGTACGACGACGGATATCGCACCGCAGAATTAGGGCCGTGTTCATAGCACATACGTAAACGGCTCTTTCCCCCTCTCCAGCTGGAACTCGCCCGGTGCCGGAGGATGCGTCCAAGGAGGGAACACGAAGTTATTCAACTTTGCCCCTTCCAGAAGAATGATCTCCTCGCGAGTCGTCAGTTTGCGGGTGGACGATGGGTGTCGCAGTCCAGATTCGCCCGTGGAATGCACCCGGGCCGCAGATGGCCAATCTTTGGCGCTCTTGATCCTCTCGGCTCGGGTCAGCCATTCTTGGCATTTAGCATCTAGAGCCTGCTTGTCTTTTTGGACGGTTGCGAGGTTCAACGCCTTCATGTAATGCTCCACCACTTCAATGGCCGCCTCTAGGGCCTGAGTTTGGGAGGCAGCTGAAGACACATCCCGCTCCGACCTCTAGTACATACATTCGCGGTTAGCTAGCCCATATTATATTACCACTCCAGATTGAAGAGAGACAGCCGGTATGGGGACAAGAAGAGAATAGAGAATCAACGTACCAGGGCCTCAGTAATATGCGACTTCTGAGCCGCAGTGTTTGACGCAGACATCCTGGCCCACGGTGGGTCGATTGATCTCAACGGTCACACCCCAGTCAAACAACGGCGCACGTTTCTGCGCAATCATGCATCCAGGGAGTCGGCCCGTGTCCTTGAATGATTCGAACCCTCAGCAGTCAGCACCCTCGCGAAGAGGCCCCGCAGAGTTCCCGATCACCACATTCGTCAGGCAGGCTTGCAGGTGCCAGACGACGATCTCCAGTACGGAAATCAGTACCAGTATACGACGAGATATACACTCCGTACGATTGACAATCGCTGATTGATAGAGCAACAATGATAATAGTACAGAAACTCGTAAGAGAAGAAACGAAAGGAGACAAAATCAACCACCGGTGTTTTTAACAAGAAGGGACATGGACATGGTGACTGTTGTAGTAGAAGTAGAAGTAAAGCAGTGGTTGTTACTGTACGGTAATTATCCTGCCATGACGGCAGGTCACGTGCACAGCGCCCATCTCCCCGAGCTTTCCTGAGCTTCTTCGCGTTGATGACATCGTGCAGTGGGATTTTTTCTGCGACAAATTACACCACCAGTCCACTTCTCTTCATTTGGGTTGATTTCTGCAAGGAATGGTGTACTGTTTCTCACACCGAATTAACCCCAAGGATCACGATCTCCCTTGAAGGAAATTCACCAGTCTACGAGTCGACAGAACCAGCTGGACACCATGCAGTCGCATCTAACCAGAGGCGTGTTTCGCGCTATCCTCAACAATGAACCACTGTCGTCTACTCGATGCCGCTGTCGATTGTTTCATACGGCCCGAAATGGTCGGATGCGAAAGCTTGCTTTCCCCCATCCCCAGTATACCCCACGACGGTCAATGTTCGCCTTCAGCGCCCCGCCCGAGGCCCCGGCGTCTACTGTTCTTTCCTCCGAAAAGGGACTGAAACCGATGAGAGATCTCATGCGAGCGCTGTCGGACAAGAGTCGGGGGCCAGCAAATGGAACGCTGGCCAAAGCTTTTCGGGAGTTCTTTGTGGCACGCGCCGAGAATGTGGAGGTGATTACTGGATTTCACTCCCGCTTGCTCCTTACGACGTGGAAATACCTGCGGGCTCATGAGGAAGAGCTGGAGCGGGAGGAGTGGCAGATGATTTTCTCCACCGAGAACCTGGAGAATGTCCTATTTGTCCTGTCGGAAACGGAGTGCACCGATGAGTCCCGGGCTGTTGTCCTAAGATTAGCTCGCTTCGCCTTTCTGGAACTCTGCGCAAATCATGGGTTTGGCCCAAATAACATTAGCCGACCGGCGCTGTTGGCCTACATTGGCCTACAAGCCTCGCAGGGCAATCCAGATGAAGCCCGCCACGTGGTGGAGAAATTTTGGTCCAGGTTGCAAAAGACCTGCCCCTCGCCATGGCTGACGGTCATGAAAGGGTATGCCATCGCGAATGACAAGTATCACCTCAAGAAGATGCCGGAGAAATTCGACGAATACGGCGTCCAGTTCGATCCTGCCTCCCAGGAGGAGCTGATCAATGTTCTGATCGGCCAAGGATTTTTGAGTGGCGCCCAGACAATCTACGAATGCCGCCTATTTCACGACCAAGAGCCTACTCTTGCTGCCAAGCAGGCCTTGATCAAGCACTCAGTCATCCGGGGCGATCAAGAGTGGGCGAGACCGGTCTTTGAGTCTCTTAGGGAGAGACCCATTACTGAAACCATAGCCATACTGTTGCTCTGGGAAGCTGCCAGCGGAAAAGGGCTGGACGCCATATGCGCAACGGTCGAGCAATGGATCGCCGAGAATCCGGAGGTGGAATCGTCGCTGACAACTTCTTGTGTAAATGACTTGATTGAATATGCCAATTCCATCGGCAATCCTCAGCTGGCTACCGAATTCGCGTCTCTGATCCCTCGCTGGGGCTTGGAGCCCGACACGCAAACACAAGTCCTACAGCTAGACACCCTCGTCCAGGCAGGAGACGTCCCTGGCACGATGGAATTCATCGTCAGCTTGGGCGATATAACGTCCATGGCAGTTGACAGCGCGAATCTGCCGTTGATGAACAGACTTATTAAGATGCTTTGCCTGTCCGGACAAGAGGATGCTCTGTTTGAACAAGTCTCGTTTATCCTCGATCCCTTGTTTGCGAACAACGTGCGCCTGGAGTCGGAAACTCTCGCTGCATTGACGCAGATGTTGCTTTATCGCCACGACTGGGAGGGCGTGTCAGAGTTGCTCCGCCCGCGTCTCGGCCTGTATGACTCGGAAGAAAGGACAAGAGTGCGCAAGGCACTGACGAACTACGTCATGGATCTTAAAGAAGATAGCAAAGACGTCTGGGACATGTACGGCCTACTCCGCATTGCCTTCCCCGAAATGGGCGTGGGCATTCGAAGCGAGATCATGTCCTCGTTCTTCAACAGGAACAGAGCCGACCTGGCTTTCCTGGTGTTTGGACATATGCGCCAGGCCGAAGAATTCTCGCGGCGACCCAAGCCGGACACGTACGCCCGCTGTTTCCAAGGGATAGCCCGAACCCTGGACGACACCCATCTCGAGACCGTCCACAACATGCTCAAATTGGACGTCGAGGTTGACCTGAACACGCGCATCCTCGACTCCCTGATGCTCGCATACGCCGCTTGCGACAAGCCAGCGAAAAGCATGGAGATCTTCCGCGAAATCCTCCAGTCAGACGAGGGCCCCTCCGACAAGACGATCGCGATCTTTTTCAAGATGTGCGAGAAGCACCACAACGGCGCCCAGGAAGCCATGAAAATGATGAAGAAGGTCAAGGTGCTGGAGATCCCTATGGATCGGCGATTGTACATGGCCTACGTGGAAGCCCTGGCGGCGCAATGCGAGTTCGAACTGGCCACCCAGGCTCTTGACAGGATGCAAGAGGAAGTCGGATGCCTACCCACCCGCAACTCGTAAGAACCTCCTATATCTGCTCTTCCTCATTGAAAGAAATTAACCCGTATACTTGCAGAATCGGCCTCCTTTACAACGCCATCCCCTACCAGTATTGGAAAGACGAAGTCGAAAAGTGGGCGAAAGTCAAGTACCCCGAGCAATGGGCTCAGCTGGAGGAGGTCGAACGGACGGAGTCTGAGGAGGATGGCTTCAAGTTCCACATCAAGGGCAACCCGGTCTATGCCTAATATGTGCAGTCTACACTACTACACTACGGTATAATTAGTCCAGCAATGAGTGGCTCAGACCCGCACCATGAAGTCAACTGTACGACTGCATCACCACCAACAATGGAAAGTCCTCGCGGGAGAAGGATAAAAAACAAGCAAAATGTTTCAAATAAATAACGATACCTGTGCAAATAATGTATATCACTTTTTCTCCATCTATCCAGGAAGACTATTGCCTGTCTTCCGGGAACATCAGGCGCTCCTAAGAAGCGGGTGGTGAACGCTTGTCAACTGTCCACAGTCTATCCTCTTGTTATAGAGTCATCCACGAAGTCCAAGCGCTTCGTTCTCCAGGACAACCCGGCCCTCGAAGATATGTCGACTTCATAACCATGGCTTCTCTATCCATCCATGCTCGTGAACGGAGCGAAGATAATGAATGGAGACACGTTGGAAATCGCCAAGAAGACTACACACCATCTATCCAGCCGTTCGATTACGCCCGGTACCGCGACTCTGTTGGATGACCGATACGGGAGGCATCACTTGTGGAGATTAAAGCTGAGAAGCAAATTGGCTTCCTAGATCTCTAGGGATTCTGCGGCTAGCCGTCTTGTAGATGAGATTATGCCAATATCCTCGTTCACTTGTTCACTTGATAGGTTACACGGTCTGAACTACTTCTGCCTCAGCGTGAGACGGGGTATATATACAGTACTACTTGTGAGACGGTGGACTGGGTTTGCAAAAAGTTCAATAAAATGACAAGATGTAGCCATCTAAATATGAATTGTAATTTTTGTGCCCGCTCCTCCACTTCTTCCCTTGACGCCCCATACTCCCTTCTTCCCCCCCACCCCAATCAACAAACAGACGACTCTAGCAGATCTGCTGCGAGTCGAAACCGGGGTAGACACGGTCAGCATGGCAAGTCTGGCCGTCATTGCCGGGCGTGTAAATCGGGTTGGCTGTAAAGAAGACCCATTAGCCAACAAACACAACAAAACACAAGAAAGAAGAGAAAACTCACGATCAACCTCCAAATCCCCCCTCGGGCTCCGAATAATAGTATAAATGGACTCGGCCGTAGTCAACTGCTTCTCGCAGTTAATCTGGTCCTCCCCGCCATTGACGGTGCTCTCGCCGGTCCACACGTCGATGTGGCGGAGACCGCTCTGCCAGTCGACCACGCACTGCGCGCAGTAGTCCTCGTTGCGCAGGTACTTCTTCAAGTACGGCACGTAGACGACCTCGCAGTTCTCGAGCTCGCCCGGCGCCGTGGCCATCGTCAGCGGGTCGCTGAAGGTGCCTGTGCCTCCTGCGGTGAAGCCGCGGCCGCAGTCTTGCGAGATGGCGGCGCCGGGGGGGTCGTTGTCGGGGTAGCCGTAGAAGGTGTGTTGTACGCCGGACCATACCTCGCAGGCGCTGGTTATGGAGCCCTGGAGGAAGAGGGCTGTCAGGGGGAGGAGGAGCTTGGTTGAGTTGGTGGGCATGTTGATTTTGTTGTGTTGGAGATGTATGGAGTGGTTTTTTGTCGAGATGAGTTGAGTAAGATGTATACTTTACTGTAAAGACTATGGGAGGATGGCAGACTGGAGGAAACTACAAATCTTTATATACTTTTTCCTGGATGCCTGCCTGATATAGGTCAATCAGTCGTCATCCTGTCATCTGCGCCGTGTGTTACTCTCTGGAATGACATCGATATCGGATAATGAATACGGGGCTGGGCGGTTCGAGATCATTCTGTGGTTTTTATAGTTCATGGGAGCGGCTCGTGAAGTTAGTATAGCGTCGACATGAAGTAATGAATACGCATGATTGAGACACTCTACAATAGCATGATTCTGTCGGCGGTTGAACTGCGCTCGTCCACACCGTCTGCAGTACGTCTAGGGCGATATTGCCAGACTATCACTGTGATGGAGTGATGGGCTGATGGATACTAGAACCACCGAATGAAGCACAGACGGGAGGCAGATTGCAATAACGGGTAGGTAGATCATAGTGACGGCTATGTGCTTGATATATTGCTAGGTTGTTTCAAGGAGTGTTGTTGGTGTTTCGATATAAGCATACATCTAGAACATGATCTGTGGCGTTTAGTCTTGTCAAATCAAAGAGGCGCAGCAGCTGGTCGTCACCCTTAATATATTAATCTAGCGGGCTTATGTCAATTTTGTTTCCAAGTTTGTGGAACGTACAAGGCCATAGCAATGGGAATATATTTGTTAGACTGGGAGCAAGTTTAACCACCTGGTCTCCCTTTACCGGCACTCTCATCTTCGTCGTCGCCGCCTTTCCCTTCAGCCTTGTCTTTCCGTCTCTGGACCACGTCCCAGTTGTAGACACGCGCAGTAGCGACCTCCATTGTCTGTTACCATTGTTAGCATCCATTCACAGCCAAGCCCAGCGTCAAAACCAGAGGTCCCCATTTTGAAAGCAAAAGAAAAGGAAAAAGAATAGGAAACATACCGTAATCTGCTCTCGCAAAAACTCCAAATCCTCCTCGCAGTTCTTCAAGCTGAGCTCCGCAGCCGCCAGCTTCTCGCTCAGCATGGTCTCCGCCTCGGCCAACGGATACGCCAGCATGACGTTTGCCCCCAACCACAGATAGACCTCCTCCAGTTCAGCGGGAGTGACCGTCGCGCGCGCATACAGCGTGTCGTTCAGCTCGAAACTGGCGTCCATCGGGTTCCCGGAGTTGGCTTTCTGTAGCTGTAGGAACCGCACGGTGTCGAGGGTCTTTTTGATATCGGGAATCTTGTCGCGCAGTCCTGCCCCACGGCGCGAGGCATTGACTTCCATGAATTGGTACTTGGAGATCATCTCCTGGAAGGAGCGGAGGGTGGACTCGACGTCGGCGCGGCTGGAGACATAGTCGGATACGTTGTCGACGAACGGGGCGGCGGGGATACCGCGAGGATTGGTCTGGGGGGTGACCCTAGTATTATTTGTTAATTTTATGTTGATTTCTAAACTTAACAATCTTGGTAGTAGGCGGGGTCCCTCCGGTACGTGGGGTAGAGGAAGGATGAGACGAGGCAGTTAAAACGAAACTAAGAGGAATAAAAAAAACTCACGAGGGATTATTTTGCGCCATACTGAAGATCAGGCCAGCCCAGCTGGATAGACCTGTAAAAAATAACACGGAGGGAACAAAAAGGTACAAGACAGACCAGCAGTGTTGACTGTTGTCGGACTGAAGAGATTCATGCAGATGGAGGGATGGGATGGAAGTGATGTGGGGGAGCAATCTACCCGTTCGGGAATGGTCGCCATCCTGTCTATCTCTCTTCAGCGACTTAATCTTCTCCTCCAGCGATTGCGTATCGTTTAACCTGTGTATCTTACGATTATGAGATGATCTGATGGATTGATTCCTGACTGCGATCATGGTGCTTTTAGTTACCACCCCCCCCATTCTCTCCGCGTTCGAGGCCGTGTCCTCCCAGAACCGCCAGGAGCTCGACCTGCCCGAGTCCCTCTCGCTGGCAGCTCCGATTTCCCATGATCAACTGATTAGACTGGCGCGATGTCTTCGATCTTCCTCTATTGATGATGGCAGCTGTGATCGACCGGGGCTCACATCCACAAGCCTAGACGCCCTGCTGCGAGGGACAAAGGTGTACGTTCCTCCGCCGCCGCCGAAACCTGAGCCGGTATGTCCTCCATCTCTGAACCCTGGCAAAGAGAATGGAATGTTTGTGTTCCTATCCAGAGATCAAACACTGACATGCTTTTCAACTAGTCCCCCGAATACCTTGCGTCCAAAGCCCGTCTCATCGCCGCCGCGGAAGCCGACGCGTATAACCGTCTCGTGACGAACCCAACATCGCACAGCCATGCGTCGCCCTTTTCCTCGTCCACTCCGATTCTCGCTTCGATGCACGATACTAAATCATCAGGGGGCCCCGACTCCGAATACCCCGATCCGCTCACTCCGTCTCTCGTCCTGAACATCTTTCTCTCCGTGTTGATCACCGGGTTCGGGGTTTACTGGGCATTGACGAGCTTCCCTACGCCGGAGCTGTTGACGACTGCGGTCTCGTCTATCTGGCGAGGTGGGTTAGCGTCTAGGACAGCTGGGGGTCGAGGAAAGCCGGGGGGCGGAGCTGGGGTGTCCGAAGCCGTGCGGATTCTCGTATCATTGCTGGTGGCAGTGGTGGTCGGTGTTGCGGAGGTGGCTATCTACGCGATCTACCTACACAAAGTCGATCATGCCCGCGCGCGTGAGAAGAAGTTGCGAGAGCGCAAGCAGGTTATCGCTAGTGAAGTTGTCAGCAGTGGAGACGGTCCGCAACAGGTTGAGACGGCGGTGGATGGCGACCAAGTAGAGATCTGGGGAAGGGGAGCGAACGGGGGACTGCGGAGGAGGGTTCGGGAGAAGTGGGAAGAACAGGAGAGGGAAAGCCCTGGTTCTACCACGTAGCTGTGTTTCTACTACTATAGACTACTATAAATTGTATTTCAATGTTTATGGCATGAGTCTGTATATCTGTATAGAACATTCATTGCTGTCTATCGCGGTACGGGATCGCATGACCGCCACCTGCGCCGATCGGAGACTCGCTATCTTGGCCCGCCGTCTCCGAACAACATCGGACCACTTCCATCCTAGTCTTGTTTCTACACTCCCCAGGTTGGGACTGTCCATGTAACCAGCCACACCTCTCCGGGACGCACCATGTCGGTATTAAGGAGGAGTAGAGCTCTGCTTCCTGTCAGAGAATTGACGACACCAACACAGACGATAGCCTGGAGCTGCGGTCGCGTGCGGCCTTTTTCCGTCCTCAATCGCCCGCAACCCAACTACCCCGGCCATGTCCCCCTGTCGATTGTCGAACGAGGTGCCCTGGCCGTGGGATCTGCAGTAGGAGCTCTCTTGAATCCCCGAAGAGCAGGTATGTCGAGTCCTCCCAGCCACAGACAACGCCAGCTAACCACCCGCGTCTGCTTGTACCAGACCTAGTAGCAACCTGCGGCGAAGCGACAGCCACGCCCTACTTTATCTACCGACTGCGCGACGCGATGCTGTCCGACCCAACCGGACGACAAATCCTGCGTGACCGTCCCCGCATCACCTCCGAATCCCTCCGTCTCCCCTACCTCCGCTCCCTGCCCGAGAACTCCGTCGGACGCACCTACGCCGCCTGGCTCGACCGCGAAGGCGTCTCGCCCGACACCCGCGACAGCGTGCAGTACATTGACGACGAAGAGTGCGCATACGTCATGCAGCGGTACCGCGAGTGCCACGACTTCTACCACGCCGTGACGGGGCTGCCCGTCTTCGCGGAGGGCGAGCTGGCCCTCAAGGCGTTTGAGTTCCTGAACACGGTGATCCCCATGACGGGGCTGAGCCTGTTCGCCGCCGTGCGGCTCAAGCCTGCTGAGCGGGAGCGCCTCTTCTCGCTGTACTTGCCCTGGGCGGTGCGCAGTGGACTCGGGAGTAAGGAGGTTATCAACGTCTACTGGGAAAAGATCCTGGAGAAGGATGTCGGCGAGCTACGCGCGGAGCTCGGGATCGAGCAACCGCCGGATATGCGGGATATTCGACGCATGATTCGGCAGCAGAAGAAGCGGGAGAAAGAGAATGTGGCTCAGCATGCGTAGGCGATTCTCCTCTCCCTCCTCCCTCTCCTTCTTCTCTTCTTTTTTCAGGACCCACTGTATTATAGTAAACTGAGCAAGCGTTGGTTCATATTTGGGAGCATGTACACGAAACAACGGAGTGTTAATGTATTTGTATGGATACAGCTGACCAAGGCGAAGCTGTTGGTAGAGTGTACCAAGGCACGTAGAATGGTCAGTACGCACAGATATAAAGCTCGGTAATCAACAGCTCGCTGCCACATATCGCGCGATGTACAAGACGCACAGTCCAGATTCAGTGACGGTGCATCATCAAACAACCAATGAAAATGCCATCATTCATTCATTATGATCCAACCTGCCACGACGTTCACAAATCCAACAAGTCATCATCGTCGTCCCAGCCACCCTTCCGTCGGTTGATCACAATCTTGTGCTCCTCCTCGTCCTTGCGCTGGTTCTCCGCCACGGCGTTGAGCAGCTGTTTGAGCTGGTCCTCGGAGACCTTCTGTCGCAGCTGACCCGTCTGCGCCAGCGTGATGAGTCGGTTCTCGATATCCATCGCGCGCGACTCCTTGACGAGTCGGATCCGGCCCAGGCGATCCGCGGCTTCGGGTTCGAGGATTTGGTTCAAGATGGCGGAGCGACGTTCAGCTGGGGTCGGTGATTTTCGGGTAAGCGACTCGGTTGTCCGTGGGTGTTTCTCTCGCGATTATGGGGCACTTTACTCATCGTGACATACCTTCGGCTTGCCTTTGTATATAGCTGTCAGTTATACGGGGCTTGGTCGTCCTCACGGCCCGTGGTCGGAAGAGGATAACCTACTTTCTCTGCTCGTCCTGGCCCTCGGCGCCACCTCCCCCGCGTGGAACCCCGCCGCCGCCCCGGGGCCCGCCCTGTTGTTGCTGCAGCTGCGCAAGACGGGCGCGTCTTATCTGTACAGAGGTTAGAACGAAGCTTCGCAACCCGCGCCGTTAGGACACTTAGCGGGGTCAAGCGTGGGGCATTCACCTCCTCAAGCTCTGCATCGGCCATAATTTCGTTCAAATTCCAACAATCTAGCTAACAAACAAACAAGGAATCGTTGACGGTCCAGCTGCCAAAGTAGGGTGCGATCAAGTGGAATCCGAGGATTTTCCCAAGTGATGCCGGGATCGTGACGGCCTTGACCCCACCGGCCTGACCGCCTCAGGCATCACTTCTACGGGGGCCTGGCTGCCTGTCCACGTGACTGGGTGGATCCCCCCACTTTCTTCTTACACCACCTTCGTCTGTCCAATCTGTTGCCCCAGTGCATATGCGGTGAACTCCACAGCCCCATCGGTCATAGTCAGCGCTGCATGGACCCGGATCTGAAGATGATATAGTCCCTGTCCTCCAACGGCCTCGAATACAAGCTTGCTGAGGTCTATGTCGCCGAGGTTGCAGACGAATTGGCCCACACAACGGACCCCTGGAGGAAAGCATGATCGGTCAGCGAACATGTGAGATTGACAGAGAGCATCATACATGATCCATACCTGGACAACTTGCTTGATCGGGTGCTGCATCAAGATCACAATCGTATATACGAAGGGTCGTGGCAGGCGGCCACATTGGCTGGTAGGGCAGTTGGATGATTGAAGTGACATAGAAATCGGTCGACAACCGGTCGCCCTGCAATTGGCATAACACCACCCCCGTTAGTATGAAGCTGCATAGGCTTCTTCAATTGATCACAGCTGCAGGTGGGACCTGTTACCTTTCTAATCATCCAGCATACTTCCGGGTCCGATGGTCCCATGCTTCCCAGTCTGGCCCTTGCAGGGTGGGCTCGTTCCAGACCGATGTGTCGCCGGCATGTGGACTCTGGGGCAATGTGCCCTCGGAGCCCGCAAGCCGCCGCTCCACGAGAAACAGCTAGTTCGCTGAGTAGTGTGCATATTAGTTTGATTCCCCAAGGCTATCGTTGGATTGGAAAGTCACGGTGGTCTTACGGTTGGGGAGGTACTATCATGGTGATGCTTCCCGGAGTCTCATCCAGGATTTGCTTCAATTTCATCTGAAGATAGGGCGAGGCGCTGAGCCCACCTACCATGACGACTTTCTGTATGAACGACTTCGGTATCAGCTTCAATCCCATCTGAGCAATCAGAAAGCGCCCGAGGCAGTGCTTACATTGATAGCGCTCCTTCGAAACCTTTCGTTCACCTCTGTGATCTGGGATATCACCAATCGATGGATCTTTTCCAAAGTCCGAGCGAAGAGATCGCTGATCTCATTTTCGTCGAGCAAGAATTCGCGTGGTGTCAGATTGTAGCGAATTGTGCATTTTCGCTGTGCTCGGAGTGTCAATTGCAGCCAATGACCGCGACCCGCACGACCGTCATACTGTGCGAATAATCTTTCCATTGAGTCCGTAAACGGGTTGTCGCCTGCACATATATTGCTCATGGGCAGGCGCTGGAAAGGACGATCCTGATTTTCCTCCAGATACCGATAGAAACTAGCCTCAATATCCGTGCCGCCGCATCTGACACCTATAATCAAGACCTTAGCTACGGAGGCGTTCATGCATCATCGGTGCCATACATACCAATGTCTGCACTAAGCCGTTGGAAATAAGGCCGCGATCCGGATTCGGTGACAAGGAAAGAAGCGGCATCCTAGGGAACGGCCGGTGAGAAGACGCCTTCCTCATGATGGAAGATGGTAGAGTATACGGGCCAACTTACCACTGTGCCACCCCCACAGTCACAAACGAGCACTCCATCACCGGTCTAGGCGGTTGTCAGCTCACTCTGACGGGTGTGTACTTGAACATCCCAATCCTCAACCCTTACCTGAAGTTCTCCCCCATTTAAGTAGGCGACTGCATGCATTGCAGCCTCGGGTTCCGATAAGAAAAACACCCTATCCTCGGCTCTTGACCCGAACTCCGCTCTTTGGGCAGCGTGCCTCATGAGGGACCTTTGTTCTGCAGACCAGGTGGCCGGCACCGTAATCCAGAAGTCGATTCCTTCAATGCTCTGACAAGCGTTGGCAATGGATTCATTTAAAACTGTTAGCGCGTATTCATTGATATGGCGAAGGAAGTCTGCAATGACTTCGACGGCGCTTTTTCCGTCAGGCAGCTTGAGGATGCCCATCCTCATGACTCCCTCCAATATCGGATCGCTCAAAGGATTTGTGTCGGAACCCTGCTCTGAGGAGTATTGAACCCCTAAGAGAAGCTTTGTCCAGGAATAAGTCTCCGAGGCCGGCTGGCATCGAAAGCCCCAGTCACATGGCAGTTCTCGACTTTGTCGGTAGGAAATGCGAGATGGGACTTTCAGACGCCTGCCGTTGCTTTTTTCACTACCAGGCCATCCCGAAAGCGTCACAGCTGGACGCTCTTTCAAGCCGTCAGCAAGTGCATACGCCACCCCTAACATACAACAGTTAGTCGCCGGATTTTGGCATCGACATCGGGGAACCTGACCTGTTGAAGTAGTGCCGTAATCAACCGCCAAAACCAGCCTGGGTCCAGCGCCTCGTTGCATGTTGCTAATACGCTCCTGTGGGTGATGAACTGAACAAGCGCAGAAATGAGGGATACACTGAGTGGTGGAGACATGAAGCTGGCCTAGGGAAGCACATCGCAGACTTTATAGAATTACTTTCGACAGATCCATGAGCTGTGTCTCAGCTATCTTCATAATCATCATGGGGCGACATTTGACGTCTGTCTTGATTGTTGTTTTACATCTCATCCATGGAACTGCAGCCTCCCGAAGATGTCAACAAAGTAGCCGTCCTGTCTCGTTTTTCAGGAAGAAAGGTCGGATAAAGCCCGTTTGAACAAAGAGACTTCGCTCCTACACTCAAGAGGAAGACACGGGTAGCGGGAACATATAAATTTTCTTTGTCCTTTGTGGTGTCTCCTTTCTGATGCTCTGTTTCCCTTCTCCTTCCGCTCCTCACCATCTCTCTTGCCGTATCCCTTGTTCAACATCACGACAAGAAAATAGAAAACAAGAAGAAGACTTTTCTTGTTTCCATCTGCTTATGTGCCATTGTCGTTTTCATTCTTAGCAAATCATCCCCTGTTTCAGGCGACGTATCTTCAATCATGGCAAAGACAAAAGGAGCAAAACAGAAGATCCAGGCACCCAAAGGGACCAAACGCAAGGCTCAGGTGAGGACGGCGAAACATTCTTGAAGATTTCTGTGATTGTCGTGTCGGTTTATTGACTGTCGCCGATACTAGAAACCCTCCTCGCCACCCCCACGCAAACAGAAGGCCCAAAAGACAGAGCAGGACACGGAGGAGACCAAGCCAGCTCCTAGGCCAATAGAGGATGCAGTCGCGCTTCTTACCTCGGATGAACTGGCAAGAATCCGTTATGGAGATGGTTATCCATTCAACTTGTGGGACAGAAAAATCGGCGATTGGTTGGTCAAGTCGAACGATGAAATCGGGCGTGAACTCAGAAACGAGATTTCTATAAGGCGATGGGTAGACTACTTTGGTGTGGAAAATGTCAAAGACGTGAAACATTTGTCGGACGACCAGAAAAAAAAAATCATCAGTAGTCTTGACGGATGGTGCGTTCAGATACCCTGGAATTCCCTGCTGAACCGTTTCCCCTTCTGCGTCAAAAAGGACTTTACGAAATACCTATTGTGTGTTTTGATAGAGAAGGACATCGTTACCAAAATGTACGACAATCCATTTTGGTACCTTGACGGCAAGAAGGGCCCGGACGATGAAGAAGGAGATGAAACGTTTGGTCAGCGACTAAAGTACCTGCTGGACAGATTCGTTGAAGGTATGTGCGCCTTCCAGCCATGGTCACATTGAGCAACAGCAGTCGATACTCGTCGGACAGATTGCTAACTTCAATCCACCCCAGCCTGGGTGGGTGGGATGTAGCCGACCCAGGCGATGCCTCGCTATTGCGCTCCGACATTTCTCGTCTGGCAAACGGGACCCTGCCATGTCAGGTTCGCTCCGGGGTCTGGGGAAAGTACCACGCCGAGCGCCGCACACGGCAGGTGGAACAATGGGCGGCCGACTTCATCGCCAGCGAGCCGGCGTGCTGGCTCCTGAGACAAAACAACACATTTTCGGAGCAAGATAGGCACGAGATACTAACAGATATCTACCGCTGGTCAGCCGAGAAATGGGCTCATATTTCGTCCCTCCGTGGGAACTACAATTTCTACCAACTGCCCGACTTGGGAAAGACCTTCAACAAAGAGTCTGGGTTGGTGAAGAGAGCCAACGACCACGTGCCCCCTTTCGGCGATGAGTCGGTTGAGGGGATGCGCATTCTCCTTGTTGTTTGCGGAGGTATTCGTGTGCAATGGGAAAATCCCGATCAAGGGGATGAGTTTTACGTATGCGCCAAAGCGTCAGTATTGGCCCAAGAGAAGACTATGTATCATTGAGTCATGTTTCCCCTCGAAGAGAAGAGGCGGGAAACACTGGGGAAGTTGTGGAGTTCGGATAGAGGAGGAGAGGGCCGCCATATGGGCTTGTGTGCAGGTGCTGCTCACGTGGAGGGTGTGGTTGGTGATGTTTGTCGTGTTTTTTAGTGTTTTTGGCTATGTTTTCCATCAGACTGTCAAATTGTTTTTCATGTCATTTGATTTTTTTTACGCCGGACCTCGATGGGGTTTTAGGGTCCTCCGTTATAGATTAGGGAACTTGTCTGGGTTTGTTGTTACGCGTTTCGCCGGTAGTTATGGAGTAGAGGGAGGATGGGAGTAGACAGTAGACTGGACAAGAATGGAATTGAAATTCAACGACAGGGTATAAACCAACAGGGCATCGCTAGTGCATCTAGTATAGTATGTTTAATCAGTCAAAGCCAATGCACCGCCGCGGTGCTGTCTCAAATCATGTAATCTCACAAATCAACCACACTACTTGTTTCATATAGCCCAACCGCGCGGCCTTTGGCCCTTTTCCCCCTCTCCCTTTACTTTTCGTTTCGTCAACTGACGGTCGTACATCCTGTGACAGTGTTTTTTTATGGGGTATGCCCATCGGCCTGGAAGAAGGAGATATTTTCTCGGAATGCGACATATTCACTGTCTGCATAGCCCAAGAGCGATTCGATCTGCGTGCTGCGGTGACCTTTGATCCGGTCGATCTCGAGACTGCCGTAGTTGACCAGCGCCCGGCCGACTTCTCTGGGCTCCTGGTCATGGTGGAGGAAATCGCCGTTCAAGGAGTCCGCCGACACTCTCCCCACGACGACCAGACGCACCGCTTCTTGCTGGCCAAAATGGCCGTCCACGCGCAGGACCCCGGCCGGGAGAAGGCTGGCCTTGTTCTGGAGGGCGATGTATGCGCCTTGGTCGATGTACAAGGTTCCGTGGGGCGTGAGGCCGTGGAGTAGCCAGAAGGACCGCGATTGGATTGGGCGTTCGGACGCGATGAATCGCGTGTGGAGCGGGGCAGTTGGAGGCTCTGAGGATGGGGTCTCTGGGGAGGGTGTGTCCGCGGAAGCGTCCGTGTCGTGGCCCTCGGTCTGCTGGAGGTATTGTACGATCGCGTGGATGTTACCCGGTTTGGAACTTTTGGTGATCACGGTGGTCACACCGGCGCTCATGCCGAGCCTGGCCGCTACGATCTTGGTGCTCATTCCTCCGGTCCCTAGCGACGAGCCGGCCGAGGATACGTCGGCTGTAATGGAGGCAATGTCGCTCACCACCTCGATGGGTCGCGCGTCGGGGTTGCTGCGGGGGTTGGCGGTATAGAGACAGTCGACGTCCGTCATCAAAAAGAGATAATCGGCTTTGACCATTGCGGCCGTGATGGCTGAGAGGGTGTCGTTATCGCCGAATTTGATTTCCTATGGGGATGGAGGGTCAGGTCGTCGAAGAGGCTAGACTGGTTGTATATGAGGTAGACCACCCACCGAAACAGCCAATGTGTCGTTCTCGTTGACGATCGGGATCACTCCCATTTCAAACAGCTGTGCAAAGGTATTTTGGGCGTTGATGTATTGTGTTCGCTGGAATTGGGTCAGACACAGCATGTGGACGTCAGGAGATATGGTAGCCTACATCGGCAATATCATTGCGGGTCAACAGTATTTGGGCAACTGGCAAACGAAGATGTGCAAAGAGACCATCCCACAGGCTCATGAGCCGGCATTGTCCCACCGCTGCGAGGGCCTGGGGTTCATTAGCTGGTTCAAATCCATGTGCGATTGATGAACAGAGGCGTATACCTGTATGCGAGGCAAGTTTTTCGGACGTTCATCGATGTCCATCCTCCGCAACCCCACCCCCACAGCTCCGGACGAGACGAGAACTACATGGTGGCCCTCGCGACGGAGTTTCGCTGCGGTTTCGACAATCAAGGTCAGAATCGACAGGATAGGCTCGTGCGTCTTTTCGTCGACAATCGAACTCGTGCCTAGACCAAGAGGAAAAAAATCACGGTCAGCCAAACAATCCTGAGATCATCGAGGCCATAGTCCGACTCCCCGCACCTAGCTTGATGACGATAGTGAGAGGCTTTGAAGCCATCGTGGTGGACATTGTAGAGTGGACTGGGATAGCCCAACCACATCAATCGATTGCGTCGCGAGCAATGACTCTAATGACTTCCTGTCTAGGTGTCTTCTCGCGAACCCAAGGAAATCCAAACCGACGCTCTCGATCGATCGAGTCATAGTCTGCTGCGATGTCCACTATTTCCGAGACCAGTTTAGTCCTCCTGGTTCTGCCCGCCCACACCGCCCTCCGCGGAGAGATTCGGCGAACCCGATGGTTGCGCTTCACGTCCCAATTGCAACTCAATCCGCCAATTGCCCAGAATTTCGACAGAATGCCGGATTCTCAGTCACCTTCGCCAACGCGGAAGCCGGGGGATACCGGGTATATTCCCGGGGATGATTCGTGGACGCAATGGCGGAATATCTTCGCGATCATGTCGGGGAAGATGACCGACGAGGGAAAGGAGCAGTTTCGTGTCGCGCGAGACATCCGCAACGAGGCGGCGGACTGCAAGCGCTGCGAAGACCAGCGGGATTATTTGCTGCAGTACAGTGAGTTTTGTCTTCTGAGAATACGCGTCTGTATTTCTTTGTCTGGAAGACGTGGACTAATCTCTGTGGAATTAGGCCCCGTGGTCCGGTACATGAGCGACAGCATCAAGCAACTCGGCGGTGACCTATCCAGCCACAATATCTACTGTCGTCGATGCACGAATCGGCAAGCCGGTGGTTTCGACCCGGAATACGGTATCCGGATTTGCGCCAACGAAATGAAGGACCAGGGACATCTGGAGGACACGATGGCCCACGAGATGGTGCATGCCTATGACCATTTGCGGTTCAAGGTGAACTGGACGGATAACCTACGCCATGCCGCGTGTACGGAGGTGTGTACTCTATGCGCCCCCTTCCTCAGCGGCCTTTCTGGATTTGGGGATTTCCCTTGTCCTCTGCTGACCACAAGAATAGATTCGGGCCAGTTCCCTCAGCGGAGAATGTCGATGGGCGCGAGAGTTTTTCCGACGAGGACAGTGGAAGTTCACCCAACAGCATCAGGAGTGTGTGCGCCGACGGGCGATCCTGTCGGTACGGGCGCGACCGACCTGCAAGGACGAGGCGCATGCGACCAAGGTGGTGAACGAGGTTTGGGACAGCTGTTTCCGGGATACGCGGCCATTCGACGAGATCTATCGATGATACCATGTTTTTATTTTCTTTCTTTTTCGACTGTGTATATGACACCTTTCCACTCCGGTTGATGTCTGTATCAGGTACACTTTTAGAAATGTATTATACTTATGATCAGACATGATGCACATCACCCTACGCTTGATATTGGCTGGGTGATATTCTCGGCTCGGGATGCCACTCGGGTAGCCGTGATGCCGCCAATGTGGGATCGGCCGGCTTCAGTTTCCAATTCAATTCTCGGGATGTTCACAATGAATCTAAATAGAGTAGATTCGTACATGGTAGAATATATGATTCAATGGAAATGGATATAGTTCGAAGTTCAATGTTCTCAATATTCAAACCGGCGATCCCAATCAACCCCATGCCGACCCGGGTGGGTTCCGGAGTCCGCTGGGGTGCCGAAGCCGATGTTTCACCCCGCGGATTCCTGCCCCGCCCGGTCCAACCCCGCCATCTTTTCCTTTTGTTTCTCTTCTTTCTTTTTTTCTTTCTTCCACATTCCTGACAGTTGTATCCCGTCCAGCTTTTCTTGTCCACCGCCAAGATGGTTGAAAACGTCCTGGATGACATCTCACACCGGAGGTTCAATCCTCTCCGTGGATCTCATATCCTTGTCTCTCCCCACCGCACCAAGCGTCCTTGGCAGTGAGTCCAGAGTCCAGCGCAGCACTATCTCAATCAACTACCCCGTGAAGAAACGAAAACGAGGGTCAGAAACTGACAGATGGATGCAGAGGCCAGCAGGAGGGTCCCTCCAAGACTACCCTCTCCAGCTACGATCCCGCCTGTTACCTGTGTCCCGGAAACAAGCGCGCTCAAGGCGACTCGAACCCCAAGTACGACAAGACGTTCGTCTTCGTCAACGACTATAGCGCGGTCAAAGAGGAGCAGGCGCCCTATAACCCGGAGAATGCAGACGGTGTGTCTCCGCGATGGAATCATGTCCCCTCCCACGCTAACACCTCCCAACCATAGAAGTGGAATCGTTCTTCCTCAAGGCCGAGCCCGTGACGGGAAAATGCTACGTGCTCACCTTCTCCCCGGCCCACAACCTCACCCTGGCGGACCTCACCCCCGCGGAGATTGTCCCCGTCATTGACGCCTGGACCGAGATCTACACCGCGCACCTGTCGCCCAAGTCGCCGCTCGCCGTCGTTGCACCCGCCACGACCCTCCCCCCGAACGCGCCGACCACCAGCCTCGACCAGCCCAAGGAGCAATACCGGTACATGCAGATCTTTGAGAACAAGGGCGCCGCCATGGGCTGCTCGAACCCGCACCCGCACGGCCAGGTCTGGACCACCAGCTCGCTGCCCGAAGAGCCCGCCATGGAGCTGGAGCAGCTGCAGAAGTACCGCGCCGCGCACGGCGGCAAGCACATGCTGGAGGCGTACGCGGCGCTGGAAAGCAAGAAGCAGGAGCGCGTGGTGTTCGAGAACGCCGCGTTCCTCGTCGTCTGTCCCTGGTGGGCCGTGTGGCCGTTCGAGACCATGATCGTCAGCAAGCAGCACAAGCGCGCCCTGGTCGATCTGAACGACACCGAGAAGACGCAGCTGGCTGAGGCTATCGCCGAGACCACCCGTCGCTACGATAACCTCTTCGAGACGCACTTTCCTTACAGCATGGGCATCCACCAGGCGCCGCTTGATGGTACTGAGGAGGAGATCGAGTCGTCTTATTTGCATCTGCACTTTTATCCCCCGTTGCTGCGCAGCGCCACGGTGCGGAAGTTCCTGGTTGGGTGCGTATACTCTACAAAATATTTCCCCTTACGAGAAGGTCGCTGACAAGATGCAGGTATGAGATGATGGGCGAGCCCCAGCGTGACATCACGCCCGAGCAGGCGGCCGCCAGACTACGGGCCTGTGGAGGAGAGCTGTACCGCAAGAAGATGAACCACTGATGGATTGCGGCGTCGTCTGTTGACGCGAGAAGGGAGAGAACTTGTATCTGATTATACCAACCTTTTCTCTTCATTGTATATCTTCTCCGCCCAGAGATACGTAGCCATTCAACAAGGAATAAGCAAGAAACACAACACACAATACCCCCAAACCAACTAAGCCAAATACCACCCCCGCTGCGTCACCATCCACGTCAGCGTCGACGACGCCACAATCATCGGACTAACGAAGCGACCCTTCAGCTGCGCCGTCCCGCTCACCCACTCGCCCAGGAAATGGAACAGCGCGATCCCAAACGACCACGCGGCCAGATCGTACGACACGGAGTTGGTGATGTTGTAGGCGGCGTACATGCGGATCACGCCGGACAGGAAGGTCCAGGTGGCGAAGGTGCGCGACGACAGCGGGTTCGTGAAGGGGTGGTTGTCGGGCTTGGAGCGGCCGTTGTAGAGCTCGGCGGAGTAGGCGTCGGAGCGGTAGGCCTGGATGCTGTTTGCGGAGGAGATGACGGAGACCTATATATTTTGGATTTTGGAGTTAGTGTTGTTTTGTATTCTTGTTCGGGTTGTTTCTTTCGTTCCTCTTGCTTGTATAGGGGTTGGTGTTTTTTTCTTGTTTGGGGGGTGGGGGGCGGGGGGCGGATTGGGACGGAACGGAACTGACCAGGAAGAGCCACTTGGGGAGAAGACCCTCGAAGGGGGGGAGGTAGGCGAGGAGATCGGCCATAGTGGTGAATTAGGATGTAAGAGGGAAGTAATTGGAGTTGGGAGTATCGTTGTTGTGGATTGAGAATCTCAATTGGAGAGGGAGAGAGAGAGAGAGAGAAAGCTGGATGGGATGATTTGCGGGTGGGTGGTGTGTTTAGGGGCCGCGGCTGGATTTAGTATATGATTTACGGGTCTCTATCAGTATCTTGATGGTGGCATATGTTGAGAACCTACTGAATTGTTTATATCTCAAACCCGAATAACTCAGTTGTTTATATATAATGTATATTGACTCTGCGATTTGAGTTACCCAGCACTCAATCAGGGTAGCAATGCACCACTGTACCTTATTTATAAATGTAAACTCCACGCATCAATTTATGACATTCATGAGCCAGACATCAGTCATACTGTACAGAGAGAGGTAACATCAAATAATATACAAGAACTCCCACGAAGGGCGAGGTATCTATTCCACACCATCATAAACCAGACAAAAGACAAAACCCACAACAAACAAAACCAATCAAGCCGCCTTCCGTGCGGCCTCCTCCAGCTCCATCTCCCGCTCCAAAGCCGCGAAGTCTCCCTGGAAAGCGTCCCGCACCGGCTGCATGCGCATGTCCCAGACATCCTCGCTACTCGGCCCCGTCCTATACTTCATCGCCTTCTTCCGGTAGTGTTCCCGGACGGCCTTCTGGCGCTCAGGGTCCGAGAACGTGCGCGTCTTCATGCAGTGCCAGAAGTTATCCCAGTGCTCGCTGCACGATCGCAGTTCCCCGTAGCGGTAGACGTTGACGAACTGTCCGCCGAAGGATTGGCAGAAGAAGGCGTAGTCGAATGCGGAGCGGCAGGACATGCTGTCGGGGTAGAGGGATTCGGGGGCAATGGAGGAGGGAGAAGACGAGGGCGCGGTGGTTGACGACGGTGCGGATGGTGTGGCGGAGGCCTGTTCTCCTGATGGTGACGACGATTGGGCCGGTCCTTTCCCTGAGATGTCACTTTCTAGACTCGCGAGGAGTTGCTTGAATTCTGCGTCGGCTAGCTCGTCGCGAGTCAAGGCTCGAGGTTCCTGCGGTGGTGGTTGGGGCGCATCGTTGACGGCGGGAGGATTGGCATTCTCCTTGGGAGGAGAGGGGGACGACTTCCAGAGCCAGCCCATGTTGATGTGTCTTTGATTTGAGGGATATGCTGGTGTAGACTGACGTGGAAGTTGGATCACCGGCTTCAATGAAGGAATCGGAGTCGGATCGGAATCGGTTTCTGTACCGTATGGTATAGTATGGTATGGTATGTTACGCTAAGCCCCTTTCGGATGGTGGGTCATGGGCTGCCTCAGGCCTGTCGCATCGTCATTTCTCGGCCTTGACACCTGGAAGCCTGGCCGCCTCAGTCACTCTCCTCCTCCTCCTCTTCTTCTTCTTTCTACTTCTTCTCCTTTGTCTCTAACTTCAACTTCACCGTCAGCTTGGTTGAGCTTCTCCCTTTGCTCCTCCACTCTCCTCTGTTCCTTTTGGGACCATCTTCGAGCTTGTCTCCCCCTTTGTCTTGATTTGCATCTGTCAAGTGGATTTGGTTGGCTCTGCCTCCTTGCTTAATCAAGATGGCGACCGGCGGCCATATGCATAATTTAACCACCCTCATTAAGCGGTATGTTCTCTTCGATTTGAATAGAGGCCACTCTTCTGTATGATTGCGATCCTACAGCGGAAGACACCCAACAAATCTGGCTCAACCCCCCCTCGATCACCGCTAATATGGTATGACCCCTGACAGGCTGGAGGCCGCAACCTCCCGTCTGGAGGATATGGCCTTGGGGCTGGACGATCCCACATCGCCCAAGACCGTCGCTGCCCAAGCCGCGCCGCAATCCCTTCCCACCCAGCATACACCGCCGCCCCCGCCGCCGCCCGCTCCTCTCCCCGCCGCCCCTGCTGAGCCCGCCGCTGCCGCGGTCCCTCCCCAGATCCAGGACTTCGACGCATTGATCCACGATGAGGTCGGGAATTACGTCGCGCTGGGAGAAAAGATCGGGGGTTTGGTGGCGGAACAGGTAAGATCGCCACGGATGTATGTCGGGAGCTCTCAGGGGCATGGTGACTGATCCTTACCCAGTCCAAAGCCGTGTTGCGCGCTTTCCAGGCCGAACGGACCTACCTCTTCTTTGCGACCAAGGCCAAGAAGCCCACCGTGCAGCCCACAGAGCTCATGACGGAGCTCCACAATGCCTCCGACGCTATCAACAACGTTCGCGAGTCGAACCGGGCGTCGCCCCTTTTCGACCACCTGAGCGCCGTCTCCGAAGGCATTGTGGGCCTGGGTTGGTTCTTCGAATACAAGCCCGCCGACTTCGTCAGCGAGGTCGTGGGTGCCATCCAATACTACGGAAACAAAGTCCTGAAGGAATACAAGGAGAAGTGGGTACTCCAGCCCCGGTGATTGGGACGGACGAGAGCTGATGACCGCCAATTAGGGACCGCACCCATGTGCAATATATTCAAGCTTACTACCAAATCTTCAAGTCGCTCGCCGCTTACCTGCGCAAGCACTACCCCCAGGGTCTGACGTGGAATGATCAGAACGGGTTGGACGCACAGGATGCCTTGCGTGAGGTGAAGGCAGCCGGTTCCGGCGCTGGCGCTGGCGGCGCGGCCCCGCCGCCCCCTCCCCCTCCTCCCGTCCCGCAGCTGAACGTGCCCGCCGGAGGCGCTCCGCCACCACCCCCGCCCCCGGGCGTGCCCCCGCCGCCCGCCGCGGCTTCGGGGCCGGACATGGCCGCCGTGTTCGACCAACTGAACCAGGGAGATGCCGTCACGGCAGGTCTCCGCAAGGTCGACAAGTCGCAGATGACGCACAAGAACCCCAACCTGCGCGCGAGCTCCCTGGTGCCCGCGTCGGAGGCGTCGAGTAGCGCGGCCCGCTCGCGGTCCCCAGCCCCCGACAAGAAGCCCAAGCCGCAGAGCATGCGCGGCCGCAAGCCGCCCCGCAAGGACCTCGAGGGTACCAAGTGGCTCGTGGAGAACTTCGACGGGCCCCTCTCGCCCGGCGAGATCGTCGAGATCCCCGCGCAGCAGAACCACTCCATCCTCATCTCGCGCTGCAACAACATCATCATCAAGGTCTCCAGCAAGGCCAACGCCATCTCCATCGATAACTGCACGGGGCTCTCCCTCATCGTGGACTCCCTCGTCAGCAGCCTCGACGTCATCAAGTGCCCCAAGTTCGCGCTCCAGATCGACGGCGTTGTCCCCACCCTGCTGCTCGACCAGGTCGACGGCGCCGTCGTCTACCTCGGCCACCAGAGCCTGAACACCGAGGTCTTCTCCAGCAAATGCTCCGCTATCAACGTCATGCTGCCCCCCAAGGAGGGCACCGACGACGACACCAAGGAGTGTCCGCTGCCCGAACAGATTAAGACCTACGTTAAGAACGGCGTTGTCGTCAGTGAGATCGTCGAACACGCTGGCTGAAGCTTCCTCGCCTGATAGTCACTATATTGCCAATATAAACAGATCGTGGAGGTTCATGTCCGGGATGGGTGGTTTTTGTATGTAGCAAGGCTTGTAGATAGATCTCGAATTGACTGCACAGTTGACCGACCCACTTAAACCCATCCATCCAGAAGGGAATTTTCCAACGCAGTAGCATCAACCTGAAAAAAAAAAAAAAAAAAAAAAAATCTATAGAAACAATATATAAATCGAACGTCCCAATATACATAACATTGTAATAGCAATCAATACAAACTCCACCCATGCTAACTAGCTCTCACTACACTACACTCAAACCCGCGCAGTCAACCGCACCCGCACATCCTTCTTGGGCAAATAAGCCGCACTAGACTGCTTATGGCCCGGGATCTTCCACACGCCGCCCCCACCCGCAGGCTGCAAGTCCCACAGACTGATGATCGCAGCCGTGTAAGAGAGGATCTCTCTCTCGGCGAAGACGCGGCCCTTGCAGGCCGACACGCCCGCGCCGAACGGACTGATCGTGTCGCGCGCAGCGCGCAGCTTGCCCGTGTCGGGGTCCGTCTTGATGAAGCGGAGGGGGTCGAACTGGGTTGGGTTGGAGAAGTGCTGGGGGTCGGTGTGGAGGACGCCGTGCGGGACGAGGATGCTTTCTCCCTCTGGGATGTGGTAGGTGAGGGGTTTGGAGCGGCCGGCAAGGGCGGCGTCTTCGGGGGATTCGGTGACGGTGAGGTCTGCGGTGAGGGTGCGGAAGGAGAGGGCGGCAAGGTCGAGACGGAGGGTTTCGGAGACGGAGGCGCGGAGGAGTGGGCAGGACTCGAGGAGGTTGTTGGTGTCGAGGGCGATGCGGGCGGCTTCGAGGAAGGGGAAGCCTGTTTCGGCTGGGGTGGGGCGGTGGGCTTTGGCGAAAGGGGCGATCTCGGTGCGGATGTCGGCGAGGAGGGCCGGGTTGGTGTAGAGGTGGAGGAGGAGCCAGAAGACGATGTTGGGAGAGTTGGCGTTCATGGCCCAGAGGAGGGAGAGGTGCGCTGGGGCGCTGTCTGCGGGGGATAGGCCTGCGTTTTTGAGGGCGCGCGCGCGCTCCTTGATCGGCTCGGAGATGTCGTCTAGGTCACGGAATTTGACGCCCGGGTCGGCGCCGTCGTTCCAGGCGACGAAGGCTTGGTGATAGACGTTGAGGGTGTCGAGAAGGCGGGCTCGCGCGACGCTGGCGGCGGAGGTGCCGGGGAGGACCCAGCGGGGGAGGCCCATGGAGAGGGCGACGAACTGGTCGTCGAGTTTCCAGAGGTCGGGGAGGAGGTTGGGGAAGTTCTCGAGGACGGCGTAGCCCATGGTGGTGGTGGTGGTGATGTGGCCGAGGTGGTTGCGGATGAGGGCGAACAGGTTCGTTTCGCACGTGGGCTTATCGGTGCCTTCGAGGAGTTCGACGTCGCAGGTCCGCTCCCATGGGGTCTGGTCCACGGGGCTCCAATTGAAGGTCACCAGGTTGGGCGTTTCACGCTCGATGAGACGGCACACGGCGTTGGAGATCTCCGTCACGTAGGGCTCCCTGCTGAAAAGGTCGGGGAGGTTATGGTGCAGCAGCTGCAGCAGGTGGGGGTTTGAGGCGCTCAAGTTCTGGACAGGTCCCCGGTCCCCAAAGACCGTCTTCAACGCGTAGTTGATCACGGCCGTGGATGAGGTGTTTGGGGAGGACAAGGCCGATTTGGCCACGGATGGAGAGACCAGCACGCTGTGCTTCGCCCCTCCTAACTTGATGCCCACCACTGGTTCTTCCATGGAGTCTCTGTGGGATGGTTAGCCCTGTTGTACACCGTAATTGAGTTTCATGTGCATTGCAACCAACCTAGCATTGGAAAGCAAGCGGACATGATTCCAGACGAACGAAAGGCCGTGTCCTAGCCATGGAAACCAGTATGGGGTCGTCCGAACCCGTCGCGGTTGACCGTCTTCGACCTTTGGCCCATTGCTCCAGATGCCAGTGAGTATGCGTGTCACGATGCAAGAGCCGACCAAGATTGCCAGCAATCCGGGCCATCCCACCTCCGACAGGCTATCTTGCAGGTGGCTTAATAGCCCCGACTCAGGAGAGTTCTCCATTGGGGGTGTCAGGCGCAAAACAGGATAAATTATATATGGATCATGTGTTCCGACCCCACGATGCAGGTGTGGGTGTATCTATGATGTATTACTCTTTCGTCAGCTGATCAGGACCAAGGAGTAATTGACAATGGTCTCAAGAGGAGAGAGAAGAGAGAAGTGAGAGATGAAGCTGTGAAGCTGGAGAAACACGACGATCCAGACCGCTTACGTGAGCCATGCACACCGGTGGGGTTATGCTGCTGAGTCACCTATCCCAACTATGCAAGGTGGGGCTGCAGCTCTCGGGATCGGAGTCGGCCCGAGAGTCACGACCAAATCACTTTAAAAATTCTCTTTCGGCGTCGCTTCTGCATCCTTTTTCTTCTTTCTCCCACAACCCTCCCGTTCTCTCGACTTGACTTTGCTTTCTTTCCGGGCTTAGATCGAGAGTGAAGCTCGTATTGGAGTGCGTGCTTGCTTGAAGTCGACCGGTTTCTTCCCTCTGTGGATTCTTTGAACCTGAACGGCCCTCGACTTCGGTCGTAGCTGGACAAGATGGTCAAATTCAGCAAGGAGACGGCCTCGATTGGCATCATCGGCATGGGCGATATGGGCAAGATGTATGCCCAGCGGCTCAGCAGGGCAGGGTGGAGGTAAATCTCTTCTTCGCACGCGACTTTGTTGGTTTGTTTCTTTTTTCGACACGCGCTTTTGCGATTTTGGTAACAGGTAAGAGATACCCTTCCTTTCTATTGTGATTCTTTCCCCTTGCCCACTGCCCCGACACGTCTGTGTCGACCCTTTTTATGATGACTAGAGTGCATTTGGCTCGAGCATGGTCCGGGGGTCTCAAACGCCTTTCTGGTCGGATGAGAACGCCCGGACTGTCGATGATGTAACTTACAAGCTACCTTATTTTTCTTGTGTCTGAACTTCATATCCTTGATATTCATTGGATCATTTCACACGGTGTTTCTGTTGAACCTGTGCTAACTGGATCACTTCTAGGTTGCTTTACTTTGCTCTCACATAATCGCATTCTTTGCTATACCCGATAGAACCGAATAGATATACTAACCCCAGCTACTTTTACAAGGATAAATGCATGTGACAAGGCAGATGTCTATGAGTCTCTTAAAACCGAATTCGATTCTCTCGTACGTGCATTGGAACTCGCAGCCAACGCTGTCCCTCAACTTATAGTATTCATAGAGTGGTGTCACCATCCTTCCCAATGGGCACCTGGTTTCAAGGGTTAGCGATTATATTATTTACAGTGTAGAAGCCGGTGTGATCGACAGGGTAGTAGCCGAGTACGGCCCATGTATGTTTCCTTGGCCAGGGAAAACCCCATCGTCTACCTGCTCTCAGCCTGTCTGACCTGTGTCTGCAAAGCGACCAAGCTCGGTGCGATCGTCGGCGGCCAAACCTCGTGCAAGGCCCCCGAGCTGGCAGCCTTCGATAAACACCTTCCCCCGGATGTAGAAGTTATCTCCTGCCACTCACTGCACGGCCCTAACGTCAACCCGAACGGCCAACCGCTGGTATGATGCGTGCCTTGATTTATCCATGATGATGATTCCTATCATCACTATCGGCCCCCATCTGACGACTGCATGGTAACGAGGGTTGCAGGTCCTGATCAAACACCGCGCCTCAGACGAGAGCCTCCACACAGTCGAAGAGGTCCTCTCGTGCTTCGGCTCCGAATATGTCTACCTCACCGGCGAGATGCACGACCGCATCACGGCCGACACCCAGGCCGTCACGCACGCCGCCTTCCTGAGCATGGGCACCGCCTGGCAGGCCAACGCCTGTTTCCCCTGGGAATTCGGCCGCTGGGTCGGCGGCATCGAGAACGTCAAGATCAATATCACCCTGCGCATCTACTCCAACAAGTGGCACGTCTACGCCGGGCTAGCTATCCTCAACCCGGCCGCGAAGCGGCAGATTCGCACCTATGCCGAGTCGGTCACTGAGCTGTATAAGCTTATGATCCAGGGTCGTCGGGATGAGCTCAAGAGCCGCGTGAAGGCTGCCGGAGAGGCGGTCTTTCGGGCGGGAACCACCCGACAGGACCTGCTGCTGAAAGATGACGTCCTGGACCGCTACTCGCTTTCGAATCAGCCTCGCGAGGAACAGCGTCGGAACAGCCACCTCAGTTTGCTTGCTATTGTGGACTGCTGGTCTAAGCTCGGCATCGTGCCTTATGACCACATGATATGCTCGACTCCTGTATGTGGTCTAGTCCTAACGACTTGTCGTCTCGCGACTATAGTACTAACCTGACGGATTGTGTGTTAGCTATTCCGCCTCTGGCTGGGTGTCACCGAATACCTATTCCGCAGTCCTGACCTTCTAGAAGAAGCGCTAGATACTGCGATCGACGATCGCCATTTCAGGTCGGACGATTTGGAATTCACGTTCGCGGCTCGGGTAGGTTTATTTGATGTAGCAAGAAGATCTCGTCGTGGCTGATTATCTATAGGCATGGTCCGACTGTGTCTCCTTTGGCGACTTCGAATCCTACCGTGACCGATTCGAGCGGATCCAGGAGTACTTCGCTCCTCGATTCCCCGAGGCAGTCAAGCTTGGCAACGAGATGATGAAAACTATTCTCGAGAAGACTACCAGCGGGGGACCTTGAGATACCCCCGCGGTAGGGAAAGGGCGCGTGGGTGGCTAGAATAACGTTGAAGCTATCTAAATAATGTATGTCGTGGCAAGGTCGGCTGCGCCATTGCCTAGATTCCATAGTCCACGCGGGTTGCGATCAGACCGGGTATTTCATGAGTCTGCTCGCCTTTGGTATGCTGATAGTCGGATGGTGGGGGATCAACTTTGACCTGTATGTCAACCAATTAGAGGCAAATGCCTTTATGGCGGGACAATCTCAGTACTGCTTGCTTCTGAATGCTCTTGCAATTGGGATCCAGTAACCTGCGTTCTTCACATGCAGCACTAGATGTGATTACTCAACGAAACAGTCACATGGAGATGGCCCGTCATGTAGCGTGCTATCCCTATAGGATCTCTCGCTAGTCAATACCATGATATATTGTACCTTCGGCTCAAACAACCCATCACCGATCACCATGATAGGTGGGATTTTTCAGGACGCTCTGGGTGTCCCATGCTAATGCTGAAACGCAGTGATCGCCCACTGAAACTGACGGAGCTTTAATTTCTGCAGCAATCAGCTATCATCTTGGCAGTCTCAGCCAACTCCGTCATCGTCTATTTCTATAAATTATGTATCGTATGCTTCGAAGAGGAGTATCCTGTGGGACTTGATCAACTGTTGTTCCAGTCCGCCAAAATGCAGATTCGAATTTCCCTGGCACTTAGCCTCTTTACCATCATCCGGTCTGTCTCCGCCTTGGTCGCCTTTCCCGGTGCAGAAGGGTTCGGCGCCAACGCGATCGGCGGCCGGGAGGGTTCAGTCTACGTGGTGTCCAACCTCGATGATTCCGGCGAAGGCTCTCTTCGCGATGGTGTCTCGCAGCCAGACCGTATTATCGTTTTCTCCGTCGGCGGCGTCATCAAAATTGAGGACCGCATGGTCGTTTCCAGCCGCGTGACCATCCTCGGGCAGACGGCACCGGGCGACGGGATAACGGTATACGGGGATGGATGGTCGTTTTCGAACGCTGACGAGGCCATCGTTCGGTATATACGAATGTACGTGTCTTTCATCCGTGTGAACAAGCGTCCAGTCGAGAGGGAAGCGGAGCCAACTGGAAATTCCTGCACTGACAACTGTACAGTCGCATGGGCAAAGGAGGCACGTCAGGGAAAGACGCCATGGGGATCGCCGAAGGCAACAACATGATTTTCGACCACGTTTCGGTTTCCTGGGGCCGTGACGAGACCTTCTCTATCAACGGGGAGGCAGCCAACATCACTGTGCAGAACAGCATCATCTCCCAGGGCTTGGAGACACATTCCTGCGGTGGCCTTGTGCAGACGGACGGTGGCGTCTCGCTGTTCCGCAACCTGTACATCGATAACAAAACCCGCAATCCTAAGGTGAAGGGCGTCAACGAGTTCACCAACAACGTCGTGTATAACTGGGGCGGCGGAGGTGGTTATATCGCCGGCGACTCCAGCGGCGCTTCCTGTATGTTGTACTTGAAAACGACATGGACATGCAACTAAATGCTCATGACATGGCAGATGCCAACATCATCGGCAACTACTTCATTAGCGGCCCATCCACCAGTGTCACGGCCTTCACTCGGGGAAACGTAGACTTCCACGGCTACGTGGAGTCCAACTTCTACGACCCCGACCCGGACGGAAAGCTGAACGGCAGCGAGCTAGACGCCTCGGCCGCCAACTACGGCGGCATGGATCTCGTCGCGACCAAGCACGACCATCCTGCGGTGGCATATACCATGACTCCCGATGAGGCGGTGACCTATGTCACAGAGCGTAAGTAGCTTTGATTCACTTGCTTTCTGGCGGCCTAAGCTAAGAGTATGCAGACGCGGGAGCCTCCAAAGTCCGAGACGGTGTCGATACGCAGTTGATCGCGCAGGTCAAAACCTGGGGCAAAGAGGGTGAGCTGATCTCAGACGAAGCCACCATGGGAGGTCCAGGCGATCTGGATGGGGGTAATGCCCCTGTTGATACGGATGGCGATGGAATTCCTGATGATGTGGAGAAGGAGCTGGGGACTGATCCCAACAAGCATGATTCGATGGAGCTGGACAGTAGCGGGTATGCGTATGTAGAAGTGTGGGCGAACTCGCTAGTGGAGTCATCATATCATGATTGAATTGTATCATGATTGAGTTGTACATCCTGATACCTGAGAATACCATCGTTGTTCAAAGTGATCTCCGGAGAAGACCTGTCTGTATATAGAAGTGAGAGAAAGAGGAAAAGATCGACCGATACGAGAGAAAGAGACGCACGACAAACAAACACACCAAACAACAACCCGCATATCACATGACCTGCAGCAACGACAAACGAACGCTCGACCATCACCAACCTCGATTCTTTGTATTCCTAAAAGAGAGTCCGATAAGAAAGAAAGACAGAAAACCGCTTGAAATAGATAGGGAGCCACTATGGAGGAAACACGGCTGGCATCGCTCTCTCTAACTCACGTCAACTATGTATGCGGCCCTCTAAACCTAGCACATCATCAAAATTAACCTCGCCATCCCAGAACCCTGATGATCGCCTGTCTCTTCTGTCAGCGTGGCTCGCGCTCGTTCCGCAGGCCCTGTGTGTCATCTATGTGACGCTTGTGTGGGCCACGCGCGAAGTAGAAGTGCTCCTCATGTTTGTGGGCCAAATGGGGTGCGAGGCGCTGAACTTCATTCTCAAGCGGATCATCAAGGAAGAGCGGCCGCAGCGTATGTCTACATGATCTTTTCCGGGCCAGATGAACCGGCATTCAAGGACGAAAGAAACTAACGGCCGATAGAAATGTACGGCAAAGGTTACGGGATGCCCTCGTCACACGCGCAGTTCATGTCTTTCTTCGGCGTGTATCTGACGCTCTTCCTGATTGTGCGGCATACTCCCGGCGCGACGTCGCACTTGGTGGTGCGGGTTGTGGTGTTGGCGGTGCTTGCGGTTGGTGCCGTTGCCGTCGCTGCTAGTCGGATCTACTTGAATTATCATACCCTGAGGCAGGTCCTTGTCGGGTCGACCGCTGGTGTGGTGTGCGCTGTGGGCTGGTTCGCGGTGACTTCCTTTCTGCGGGAACAGGGGTGGATTGACTGGGGGTTGGAGATGGGAGTCGCCCGGTTGGTACGGTTGAGGGACCTGGTGGTGAGTGAGGATTTGGCGGAGGCAGGGTGGCTGCGTTGGGAGGAGAAGAGGAAATTGAGGCGGAAGGCCGCGATGGAGAAGAGGCAGTAGATGACGATTCTCCGCTAAGACGGTTGCATGCTTTGGTTCGCATGAATAGAGGCAGGTACACCCGCATTATTGTGTCATTGATGCAGTGCATATTTCTGTGATGTCATTGAGAGAATAGTGTCTTAGAGAATTATAAGAACCTGCTAAAAATAATACATGATAAATTATATAAGAAGAAGAGAGCCTAGAAAAGAAGAAATATAAAGAAGATTATATTATTAGAACTAGAATAATATTTACTAGATATTCCTCGTTCTAGGAATATTATTAAGAAAAATAGTAATTTGTTGTTGGTACTGCATGAAACATGTCCTCGAGTATTCCTAGTGCCTTTTTGAAGTATTATCATGACAAGTCGAGTACTCCCTATTATTAAATGCAGAGAGCTTATATCAGGGAGCAAGTAAAGTCCTGGTGCCTTAGAGAAAACCATGGTCACGATAGGTCTTCTCATAGTATTCTCTTAGTTTTTGTCTTATAATAAGTAGCGCACCATACATTTCCTTCTTCCAGGAGGTTGTCTTTTTCTTCGGTTTTTGATTCGACTGTTTATTGTGTTCTGGTAGTTTCCTGTACATAAGAAACACGCTATGACCTGTAACAAGAACAATTTAGGATTTAATACTACTTGTCAATACTTCGGCAGTGATAAAACTAGGGGAAATATTGATAACCCGACCCTGAGGTGCATATATAAAAAAAGAGTCTCCTGGCCCAGCGTGGTTCGTTGTCCACTAGACACATATCGAAGCGAACGATGGAAGTATCATACGAATATCCTGCCATCTCCAGGAAATATCCGTTACACTCTCAGCCCAGGCCTGAGGCGACAGCTTTGCGATCATTCATGAATGTGGCCATAGATCCAGACCTCAAATCATATGATCGCCCCCTGAAGTTCTTCAGAATCTGAAAGGCTATCAGGCTTTGGCATCATAGACGCGTCCATGAAGCCGAACAATGGATCTAATATACAATCAATATCCAGAGCCATGCCGTGGGCTCCATGCACTTGTCCTTGCCCTTGTCCTTGTCCTTGTCCTTGTCCTTGCCCGAGCAGCTCCGTTCCCCCGGGAAACGTGCCAAAGATGAACTCCAAATTGAACTCAGGCGCGGGTTGACTTGAAGAAACGCCTAGCTCTGCAGCCGTTAGTTGAATTCTTCTATTCTCCCTCCGAGGGGTGATCGGCGGGTAAATAGGGCAAAGCTCAGACTCACCGGTTGCCAGATTGATGTTGTTCGCCGAGATGAGCGCCCTGATGATGCTTGCCGGACGCTTGACGCCTGGGTTCGTCGCGCACATTTCGTCCAGATAATCCAAATTCGAGGTGAGAAGGGAAGCGTGCGCCGCGCGACCACAACAATGATTTCCAGTTCCCTCGCTGGCTGCATTGCGGACGTGGATCGTGCAAGCGACGTAGATGCAGTAGGCCATGATGTAGGGGGCTTTGGCAAGGCCGTAAGCTTGCTTGTAGCACCGCGCAACGGCGGAGATCCTGTCCGCTGCAAGTGTGCATTGCTCCCAAGACCGCAGGGGCACGGTGGTAGCGCGCAAGTGACCATCCGAGATGAAGGGGCGATGGAGCAGGATAATGAGAGACTGGTGAATCCCGTGCAGAATCAGGACATTCGGCGCCGGGTATTCCGTTGGAGTTATGTTGGGACTGTCGCTGGGCAGGAGATGCTCGTACACGTCTAGCTCTGGGGGGAGATTCTGTTCCCATTTTTGAAGTGCCGCCTCCACCATCTGCAGGCTCGAACGGGCGTTGGAAACGGTGGCACCGACCGCGTAAAATCGGTTGATAATGACGGTCATGATCTTGGACAATGCACAGAGTTGCCGGAACGTGGACACCGAATAGATGGGAGACACCAAGGGAGCCGAGGAGACGAACGCTTCCATTTCCTCGAAAGTGTCGAGAAAGTCGCGCGAAACCTGGCAGTCGCGGACATTGATAGCCGGCGGCCGCCCCAGATAGAGACTCTGCAGCTTGTCACAGATAAAGGCTCCCCAAAAGATCCGTCGTCGGATTTCAACCTCTTCGGCGCTGTCGCTCGTTTCCTGGGGGTCAAGATGAAGTCCGAAATCATACACCATCCGCAGCGCATATCCGGTGAACAGCCATCCCTTGGAGGTCTCGCCGCGGGAATTGTAGGTCGATCCCAGCAATAAAAGGCCGACCACGGTGGGGATGGTTGGATAGATCAACAACGACTGCTCTGCCAGAAGCTGATCGCACCTCTCGAGAAAGAATAATGGCTGGGCTTGCGCATGGTCCGAGAACTTGCTCGAACAAGCAAATATGGCATTCAGGAGAAAGGCTGAAGAGTGCGGTCCGTTCTGCTGTATGTCGCGCATGATCGCTGGCCGATATGTCAAGAGGAAAGTATGGTGCTGGCGCGCCCAGTGCACATTCAGTAGGTGCAGCGCCAAGTGAGTCGGTACGCCCGCAATATCCGGCAAGGCAGCGAGACGATGCTCGGCTTGTCGCTGTAAAGCAGCATTCGCGATCAGGCTGTTTTTTCTGTGCTCCTGTCCCACGTTCCGAGTCAGGCCCGTCCGCGGCGACCGGCCATGATACGGTGGAACGTACAATGCAGATGACGGCCCGAAGGATTCTGGATTTCCAGACTCATCGATCGAAATGAACTGCACCACGTCTAGCTCGTCTTCTTCAGACTCAATACAACTGATCAGGCTTCCCCGCCGTCCGCTGTCGTGGCCGCTTTTGGTAAGGATTGCCCGTTCGCCGGAGTCTTCCTGCACCTGGGGTTCTGGTTCCGAGGCCAACCGAGGCGCTTCACATTGAACTTCACGGGGAGACGTGGACGAGAGCAACCGATCTCGTTCCTCTACCGATGCATCCTTGAGACTTTCAATAAATGATGTGAGGGCAGACCGCTCCCGTTCAAGGTGATTAATTCGAGCAAGCGTGGGTCTGGAGAGCCGGGTCAAAAACAACCATGCATTCGACGACTCACGATGGAACAGCAGCCAATGCTAACGTACCGTTCCCTCGGGGCTCCAAACCGATAGACACATTCCATGCCCTGCCTGATGCAAGGTGTGCAACGCGGCCTCGAGGCGTCACACCGAATCTTTTTCCCTCGACAGGACTGACACGCTCTGACGACCGTCTTCGACCTGCCCGTCGTGGATTTGCGAGTCATTGTCGTCTATTGATTTAGCATGAGAGGGCTGGGATTTCAATACATTTCCTATTTTGATGTAGGTAGTGCACGTATGTAGTGCAACCCCTGGGTACGAACTCAACCTGTTCGTAGCTCGGTTACCTAGTTTTGTATAGTTGGACTAAGGGCGGCACACGCCCAAACAAGTTAATTCCTTTTCCCCATATTCCTGTGGCAAACTGTAGACATTCTCTACTAAGGAAAATCAATTCTTCCAATCTTCCAGATCCTGGCTTACAGCCATTTTCGTATCGACCTCTTACCTGTGTGAGAGTAGCTGCTCCCAAGCGGTGGAAAGGCTTGTGAGGCAATGCCCAGCAGCAATGTTACTCCGGCATGCTTGAGGATTCCAACTAGAAGCGTTTCAAGAAATGATCTACAAGTGGGGAACCGTCGGAGACTGACTCTCCGGGGGTTGTCCAGATCAATGACCGAAGCATCAGCCTCCACTATACTAAGTACCTCACTATCAACATGTAGCTGATGGCGCTTTGCCCCTCCCCGCCCCGGGAGCTCGTACTCCGTCCTAACCACCGACCTGTAATGGATCTGGATTCTTATAAACCCTTTTGTTTGGCAAGGTGATCCATTCTGCCAAGCTTGCCGACATTAACGAACTTGACAAACTTGACCAATACCGCGTTCCTATACTCTCCCTTACTCGACCGATATTCGACATGTCTGCGCTCCTGGAAGAAGTGGATGTCCTGGTGGTGGGCAGTGGAAATGCGGGATTTGCATCCGCTATCTCAGCAGCGCAGTCCGGCGCCGACCGAGTGTTATTGATCGACAAATGCCCCGAGGAATGGGCAGGCGGCAACACCTACTTCACCGCGGGAGCTTACCGTACAGCCCATGGGGGACTCCAGGATCTGCTGCCGATTGTCAACAACGTCACCCGCGAGCAAGCCCAGAAAATCGACCTGGCCCCGTACGCCCCCGAGGGCTTCATGGCGGATCTGCGGAAAACCTGCATGGGAAGGTCAGATCCAGAGCTCGCGAACGCTCTCGTTGCCGACTCCAACTCCGCGGTCAAATGGCTGGCAAGCGAAGGGATTCGGTTTCAGCTGTCGTTCAATCGACAGGCGTATGAAGTTGACGGCCGGATCAAGTTCTGGGGTGGGCTGAGTCTCAAAACCCAAGATGGAGGCAAAGGGCTGATTGCCGACTACCGGGCTGCGGCCAAACGGCATGGAGTCCGGGTGGCCTGGTCCACGGCGCTCAGCGGAATCCAGACCGACGCGGTTGATGGGAGCCTCATTGCGTCGGTCAAGACGAATGCCCAGGAGAATGTCATCAAAGCTGGGGCGATCGTTTTAGCGGCGGGTGGGTTTGAGTCGAATGCCCGGATGCGGAGTCAGTTCCTCGGTCCTGGCTGGGATCTTGCAATGGTTCGAGGCACGCCATACAACACCGGCGATGTCCTTGAGCTCGGTATCCAACAGCTCGGGGCTCAGCCCGTCGGCAACTGGTCCGGCTGCCACTCGGTGGCCTGGGATGCCGCCGCCAATCCAAACACCGGTGATCGAGTGGCCTCCAACGAGTTCACCAAGTCCGGTTATCCACTCGGGCTCATGATCAACGTTGACGGCCGCCGATTTGTCGATGAAGGGATCGACATGCGGAACTTCACATATGCCAAGTTTGGCCGAGCGATCCTCCAACAGCCCGAACAAGCTGCATTCCAGGTCTGGGATTCTCGGACCAAGCCGTGGCTGCGACCAGAGGAATACCGAGAGGAGCGTGTCGAACATATCTCCGCCGATACTTTGGAGGAACTAGTCGAGAAGTGTGCCTCCTGTGGCCTCCAGAACCGGGAGGCATTCCTGCACACACTTCGTGAATACAACGAGGCCGTCTATGCCCATCGCCGTGAGAACCCATCCGCAACATGGGATCCCGCCATCAAGGATGGCCTGTCGACCCAATCATCCGCCAAGCAACTGGCACTGGCCAAGTCGAACTGGGCCCTGCCGCTGGACCAGGGCCCTTACCTCGCCATCAAAGTGACATGTGGCATTACCTTCACCTTTGGCGGTCTCAAAGTGGACGCCCGCAACGCACAGATGATCGCCTCGGCCACGGGCCAGCCCATCCCCGGGGTGTACTGTGTCGGGGAGATGATGGGTGGGCTGTTCTATTCGAATTATCCCGGTGGTAGTGGCTTGACTTCCGGCGCAGTTTTTGGTCGGAGAGCTGGCAAGGCCGCCGCGGCTGCTGCCCACAAGAGGGGGAGCAGAAGTCAGCGGCAACGCGACCCCCAGCAGACTCAGGTAGCCATCGCCAGCAGGTTGTAGTTTTGAGTGATTAGATTTGCGTTTTGTATTTAGCATACGGTGGAGCCAGAAGAAATGGTACATTATACGAGATGCTTGCTAGTGTTGTTTTGAACATGACCTTCCCATGTTAAAATAGTCGCCTACTATATCTGATTAAGCACAAACTCAACATCCGTCGTCTAGATCTGAATAATGTTGCAGGAATTGCCTTTGCCTTACCGTGGCATGCTCATGAGCCTGCAACCGGAAAATGAGTTCCGGTGTCGCCTCCCTACTAGGGCTCCATGGCCCAGGAATCGGTTCACACAATGTAACAGATGACTTGATCCCTTCGGGCCTTGAGGTCTTGTTGCAGACCGAGACACTCCTCGGAACCTCATGTTCCGTTATCAGTTCCTTAATCGGAAGATGTACGCCGGGGTCGATGACCACCGATGGGAGAGAGCCGACATGCTGTTGAGATATAACCCACGAGACGGCACAATATTTTTCAGTCTACCACTCGAGTACGGTCCACCAGTGACTCAATTGATATCATTGCTCCCCCTTCACTGCACAATGGGACATCTCGGAACTGCGACTGTGCCAAAGGTCAGTGCCTACGCTATGTTCTGGTCCAGCAAGAGTCTTTTCTCTTAACGCTTTCCTTGAGGCTTTCCTTATCGACTGATCACCGATATATTCTCCAGCCAAGCGTCGACCCTGCAATCTCACTGCTGTCCGCTGGATCATCCGGCACCAAGGCGTCCACGGGCTATACAAGGGACTTTCTCCGACGACCATGAAGCAGGCCTCGACGTCTGCCGCGCACATGGGAAGCTACAATATTCTGAAGGAAATGGGGAGCGCGTATGGCGTTCAGCAGAGTGTGTTGACTACCTTCGTCACTGGTGCGATTGCGGGCACAATAACAGTCTACACGACACAGCCATTTGACTCGATCAAGACGAGGGCGCAGACGCCCGGCTCCGCGGGGACCGCTGCTGCAATTGGAAGCATATGCTCGGTCCACGGGCTGCGGAGCTATTGGCGCGGTAGCACGATGCGCCTGGGAAGATTGGTAATGGGAGGGGGAACAGTCTTCACGGTGTATGAGGACACTCAGCTTTTCTTCGGAGTCTCGTGCCCCTGCCGAACTGAGTGTCCAGTATGGATCTTGGTGCTTGAAAGGGGAGGTTCATATGATTTTGCTTTGAGTGGATCTCATCCAGAAGAAACACGGCAACAGTGGTCGTTTGTGCCCCCGCAGCGTCCTCAGATGTAGTATAGCCATAGACTACAGAGACGTAAAGCCCAACGAGGAGGCGCTGACGAGACAATAGTGTAGTCAGAGGTCAGACTGCTGTTTGGCCACCGGAGGAAGAGTCTCCGGGAAATCCTATCCTACGCCGGGGATTCTGGGGCCGCTCCATCACTCGACAGTTTCGCAGCTCCACCAGGCCCACCCATCCAAAGCAACAGCCTGAATACCCGGAAACACAAGAAGGGGGTGGAACTGACTTCGTCCAAGACGACCACGACCCAATAACATACATCACCACGCAAAAACCAGTTCTCTAGTGCGAAGTCGCCCAGCGATGCCCAGAACGCCAACCCAAGTCTGTATGCTTCAGTGCACACTATAAGTTACAATCCATATGATTTTATTGAGGTACGGACATCGACTTCCCGGCAGCAGATTTTCCTCGACGATCAGAAAAATGTGCTTCCCCATGTTCCCCCGCGTTTCCCCACAGGATGTCAATTCCTGGACCCGACACAGACTCAGCTATATAGTCCGGCCTCTACTTGTGCGGGTTTCTTTTCTGTTCATTCCAAAGTTGGAAACCTTCTACATTGAATCCCAACACGTGCGCAAGCGTTACTGTTCCTCATCATGGCGGGCGGAGTCAAAAGACCGGTCAATGTATTTCACATCAAAGACCTCCCAGAGCCCAAGGAGGTCTTCAACTGGCGCCTATGGTTTGCGGTCGTCTCATTCGGTTTGATGGGCGCGGCACGGGGCGTCGACGAGGGTCTCGTCACGGGCGCTTTCAACTCCAAGGATTTTCAACAATACATCAACTACGAATCCTACAGCGAGGTCGAGCAGACCAATATTAAAGCGAACGTGTCGGCAATGGTTCAGATTGGATCGGTGGGAGGGGCTCTTTTGTAAGTGCTTGACCTTCACCTGATCTTCTGCGGGAACGCAACGTGCTGATCTGGCTCGTTTATCATGGCAGTGCCTTTCTGATTTGTGACCGTATTGGTCGGATCTGGGCAACTCGGCAGCTGTGCCTGGTGTGGATCTTGGGAATTGCTATATTTCTGGGGAACGGTGGCAACTTGGGTGCTGTCTACGCCGGCCGGTTTGTTGCCGGACTCGGTGTTGGGGAGACTGTCGTCGTTGGCCCGGTTTATCTGTCTGAGATTGTAAGTTTTGACTCGGGTGTGACGTGAGCTTTTGTATCTCTACCTGTCTCTTATGGTGAATGCGTGATGATGGGCGATAGCTCCACAGACAGGCGAGAGCGACACATACAACGGGCTAACTGAATGAACTAGGCACCTGCTTCCATCCGTGGTCTTTGCACCTGTGTGTTTACTGGCTTCGTTTACCTGGGAATCGTGCTTGCTTACTTTGCCAACTACGGCTGCGAGGTATTTTCTTAAGATTGTGTTGAGCTACATGGATGGCAAATTGATATGTCGAAATAGGTTAATTTGGGCGATGAAACTCATGATCGCTGGGTATGTATCAAACTCACTGCATGAACCTTAGGACACCCAAAGCTAATATCGTACAGCTTGTTCCTACAAGCCTGCATATCATGTTTGCAGGCGTGATCTTCCTGCTCTCTTTTCTGCAGTTTGAATCTCCGCGGTATCTCATCAAGAAAGGCCAAATCGACAAGGCAGTCAACAACCTTTCGCACCTCTGCCATCTCCCCTCGGACCATGAATACATCGTGAACGAGATCAATTCGATTCGGAGAGCTCATGAAATTGAGATGGAGGCCTTGACGGGAACTGGCTTTATGAGCGTCATCAAGGAAACATTCTTAGTTCCCGCCAACCTCTACCGCATTTACGTTTCTTTCATGTGCCAAATCCTATCGCAGTGGACTGGTGCCGGCAGTATTACTGTCTACGCTTCAGACTTGTTCCATCTACTAGGGGTTACGGGGCGCAACACCAATCTGCTGGTCACGGCCGTTTTTGGCATTGTGAAATTCATCGCTGCCATTATTTGCGCACTCTTCTTGGTTGATGTCATCGGGCGCAAGCGATCCCTTCTTCTCGGGATTACCATACAGGCTATTTCGATGGTCTACGTGGCTGGTTTTCTAACAGCTGTTCCAGAAATGGGCGTGGATGATGACTTTAAGCTCCCAGCTAGCAAGAAGGGTGCTGGTGAAGGAGCTATTGCAATGATCTATGTCTCTGGATTTGGATGGGCTCTTGGCTGGAATTCGATGCAGTACCTTCTCACGGCAGAACTATTTCCCCAGCGCATCCGCGCTCTGGCGACTTCAATGGCTATGACCCTCCATTTTGCCAACCAGTACGGTAACTCGCGAGCAGTCCCCAACATGCTTCTGCCTGTGGCAACCGGTGGCATCGACCCGAAAGGCACATTCTGGTGCTTTGCTGCTGTCACTATTGTCGGCGGTATTTGGGTCTGGTTCAGCGTGCCCGAGACGGCAGGCCGCTCGCTAGAGAGCATGGATCGTCTCTTCGCTCTGCCATGGTATAAAATCGGCCTGTACGGTAATCGTGACGCGGAAGAACATGATTTCGTTGCGGGCGAGAAGAATGAGGCAGAGGCGCAGGCCCAGCATCTGGAAAGAATGGAGGCATCAGGCCGAGTTTAATGTCCTGGGATGGAAGTCATTTTCGGAACTTTGTGTCTCGGCAGTCTTCAAGCGCATACCAACTTACACCCTCATTTATGTTCATCTGAAGCAATTTGGATTAAAAGAAGCTACTGCTAATTTATTCATGTCTTGATGCGGTATACATGCACCATTACAAGCTCTATGTACTCCTTGCAGACTCTGTAAAGCGTCCGTCCAATGCGGGACACCATTAGGGTTGCTATCTGGGAGGCTCCTAAATCATGGATAGGCCACTTTGCACGACGCGTAGTCACGCTAAAAGGTAGTAAAGGACGCCGGCAACGCCGAACATGTCCTTAACAACACTTGAAATTCAAAAACGTCCAACGAGGTTGAGGAGCTACGACGACTTCTTGCAGAAAGAGATCATCGTTGTAAAGAACAACAACGTCATCGCGTAGAAGAAAAACGCTTTCGAAGGGAGGAACATTATAAGAAGCACCGACAAAGTCCTTAGATGAGAGCGCTGAAATCATTTTTGTATGAATATTCCCGCGTCTTATCACACGACGAGATTCAGAAGTCTTCGGACCTCTGCTACAAACGAGTTGTCCCCATTTCTAGAACAAAATGTTCCGGAAGGTATTCTCAGCACAGAGGGGGGTCATGGCTGTAGTACCTATGGAGAACAATAGTTGGGTTGGTAGGGATTGCTACTTGAGTATGTGATTTTATCAGTACAGTGAATGTCCCATTAGATTGCCGATGATAGCTGTTGTACGGGGTGCTCTCCTGGCTTATAGTGGAAAAAAGTCGGATTACGATATATGGAACCACCATGCTCTACTTCTCACCCCCACTACAAGGGAAAGGACCATAGGATAAACCCTATACAGTGAAAGGGAAGTTAGAGTCCATCTACCAAGGCCAACTCCCCGTATTGTGCAAGATCTTTCCGACCTCATCATCCCTCTTCCCCTCCAGCACATCCATCAACGGGCGAACCGAGTCCGCCGCAGCCCTCGCCCCATTCGCCTCCGTATTATGCGGCCCCAGATTACTCTGCGTAAAGCCCGGATCGTACAGAAACACCTTCACCCCAAAAGGCGCAAACTCCACCAACTGGCAAGCCGAGACCATATGCAGCGCCGTCTTGCTCGCCCGGTATTGCACCTGCTGGACGTTATAAATCGGCGACGACGGATCCAGCCGCCTCTCAATCGACCCCGCCCCGCTCGTCACATTGATAATGCGCCGCGACGCTGCGGTAGAATTCTGCAGTAGCGGCGCGAAGACGCTCGCCACCACCGCCGGACCCGTCGCGTTCGTGTCGAACGCCGCGCGCATCTGCTCTCGCAGACTGGGACCTGTCATCGCGGAGACGGCGGCATTGTTGACCAAGATGTCGAGGTGGCCGTGCGACTGCTGTATGGAGTGAGCTGCGCTCTCGATGGTCGTGTCCTCGGTGACGTCCAGGTGGAGCATCTCGACGGATCCTGCCGGGTTTCGGGCCCGTAGGGTTGCCACCGCTGCGTGGCCTTTCTCGGGGTTGCGTGCGCCTAGGAAGACATGGTAAGTTCCTTTGGCGAGGAGCTGCGCCGCTAGCTCGAAGCCAATTCCGCTGGTTGCTGCACATTAATTAGCCACTGTCTTGGAGTTGGATTTGTAAAGCGACGGGGGGAGAATGCATACCGCCGGTTACCAGAACGAGGGTCTTGAAAGTAGCCATTACGCTCGGGAGTAAGATCGATGAAAGAGAGACCGTTGAAGTCCCCGTCATATTTCTCGTGTTGGGCTTATTTATAGGCTATTCTGGACATCACTGGCGAGGACGCCACAGCGGCTGGGATCCGACTAGCATGGATGTATATTACTCCCAGTATTCTCGCCTATCAGACCTGTCTTGATCGAATAAGCACTAGTTCGACCCCAGACACGGTTCATAGTTCAGTTTATTTCTCTGGTGGAGTTGGAGAGCGAATAACCCTATTCGTTGGTTGGTGTCCGTGCCCCTGGCCAGAGAGCGACAACTTACGGTGATAACGGTAAACAGCGATGGGTTATCCCCGATTTCTAGACTTGATTATGAATTCATTTCGGGGGCTGCACGATGCTGTACCTGGAACAGGCTCTGAGGCGGCAGCTAGACAAACCTCTGGAGGGGTGTTCTGTACCCATTGGTCGATTAGATCCAGTCGAAGGCCAATATAAATTAGCAGTAACGGAAGCACTCCTGTCAGTAGAGAATCAATCATTATTTATCAATCCTAAGCTTCTTACCTATTACCCTTATCCCCCTTCAATCCAATCCCACCGAATCAATCACAATGCCAATGCTGGCCCCTCCTCCTAAGAGCCTCCTCGGCCGCCACAGGCTGTTAGCCCCCACGGCCTCAGTCCGCGTGAGTCCCATCTCGCTCGGCGGCATGAGCCTGGGCAACGCCTGGGCAGGCATGATGGGCGAATGCAGCAAGGAAACGGCCTTCGAGATTCTCGACACCTACTACGAACTGGGCGGCAACTTCATCGACACGGCCAACGCCTACCACGGCGGCCAGAGCGAGCAATGGATCGGCGAGTGGATGGCCAAGTCACCGGGTCGTCGCGCCGAGATGGTCGTTGCAACCAAGTATACCCTCTCGCCTATGACCGGTCAGGGCGTCATGGAGAGCAACTACGGCGGCAACGGTACCAAGTCCATGCACATCTCCGTCCATAACAGCCTGCGTAACCTGCAGACGGACTATATCGACGTGTACTTTGTGCATGCGTGGGACTTTTCTACGGATATTCCTGAGCTCATGCAGAGTCTCAACAACCTCGTCGTCCAGGGCAAAGTGCTGTACCTCGGTATCAGCGATACCCCGGCGTGGGTAGTCACCAAGGCCAATGCCTATGCGCGCGCCCACGGACTCCGTCCTTTCTCTGTCTATCAGGGACGATACTCGGCGCAGGCCCGCGATCTGGAGCGGGATGTGATTCCCATGTGTCGCGATGAGGGCATGGCTGTCCATGCTTTTGGGACCTTGGGTAGTGGTATGTCCTCCTCCCCTTCTCTGCCGGATGGGAATGTTCGGGCTAATTGTGACAATAGGATACTTCAAGCCCCCCAGCGAGCCGGCCAAGGAGGGTGGTCGCAACACCCCCCATATGACCCTTGGGCGTGAGGAGAAGGTGTCGGCCGTGCTGGACAAGGTTGCCCAGCGTCACAAGGTGCCGCTCACTTCGGTGGCTCTGGCATATGTGCTGCAAAGGGTTAGTACTCACTCTTTTTTTTTACTCCTATATTTATAGTGACTAACCCACGGTACAGACCCCCTATCTCTTCCCCATTGTTGGTGGCCGCAAGGTCGAGCATCTCAAAGCCAACGTGGAAGCCCTCAGCCTGGAGCTCACGGCGGAAGATGTGGCGGAGATCGAGACCGGGTATGACTTTGATCTGGGTTTCCCTCACAACTTCTTGTGTCCGTTTGGATATGCGCCGAAGGGACCTCAAGACGTTGCGTTCTTGCGTGGAATAGGTCATTTTGACTATGTTGCTCCTACTCTTGCTATTCGACCTCACAAGGGTTCAGCATAAAAGCGATTTAGATGGTAGAATGATGCTATGCAGAATACATAGATAGACTGAATTCATTTGAATGAATACTTGCTCCCTTGTGTATCTGGTATCGTGCTCGTGTATCCAACGTAGACCCGGAGAGAAGGCGGACATTGTGATTATGCAGATATTAGAAGAACCAGACAGTGGCCGAGTGCAAACCACCTTTTAAACATACAGCTGAGCTGATCTGAGCGGGCTACGTGACGCAAGACCTCCTGTGGCGCTCTAATAATGTCGACATCAACATATCATGCGCACAAGATCGTATTTCAAATCAAACTACGCATCCTGCGAAGTACAACCTACAGCACAGCACATATCGCACGGACAACACAACGTGGAGAGAAATCGCATAATACTATGAGAAAGATGCTACAATACAACAGAACTCTCCTTGATCCCTATCAGCAGCCCTAATATCTCTCGCCGCCCAATTGACAAGCGCATACGCCGTCGTCTCCGGATGACAAGTACTCGGAAACAGAAACGTACTCGAGTCCACCATGCGAATCCCCTGAAGCCCCTTAACCCGCCATTTCTTCTCCAGCGCCTCTCCCTAGGGGACCGTTCGCATCGGATGTTGGGACGAGTACGTCTGGCTCTGAATCGCCGCCCAGATCTCCCCATCGCTCGTTACCCCCGAGCTAGGGAAGAATTCTTTCACCACGTAGGGCTGCACGCGGTCGTCTTGGCCTGGGTTTCGGGGGGGTATACTGTGAAGGTATGGGCAGGGGTATCTCTCTCGGTCAAGGTAACTATATGTCATCTCTTGGCTATTTTACTAGTCTGATCTGTATCTTATGTATGTGGGAGAATTGATGAAACTGCTTAATATATAGGTGTTTATGCACTCTGATTTTGCATTCACTGTCAGAGATATATAGTTCATCGTGATTGTCAGCTTACCTATAAATAACACTGGCACAACAAGGCCGTCGCACGATATAGTGGACTTCCATTGACAATACGTCAGCAAACCATAGACTCAATAGGACCAACCAGATAGGGACAATGTGGATATATATAGAGAGAGAGAGTGACTGGATATCTCGATCTATACCTGTAGATCCCGTGACTCCACTTCCATGCAATAAACAAACATCACAAACATATCTGCACGTGATCTCCGCGATCCAAAAATTGTCCTGTGAAGCCGCGACGATCAACAGATTCATATCCTTCGAGGAACAAACCTCCCAACGTTGAATCTAGAAATAAAAACACTCTGCATAATCCTCAGAGACTACTCGAACCCAAAGATATCATCCCACGATCAACCAAACCAGAGAACCACCAAAATGACCGACCAACCCTCCACGGCGGACCTCCGCAAAGCCGACTACGAGCGCTTCAAAGACTACGTCGCCTACGGATTCGTCCTCGGGGCCCCAGTCCTCATTGCCCTACCGCCCCGCAAACTCGACCACTTCACCGCCCTCCTCACCTTCTCCTTCCTAGCCGGCGTGAACCACACAACCCGCATTCACACCGGCCGCAGCGCCCTGGAGCACCTGATGTCGTCTCGCGGCGAGTCCAAACCCGAAGGCAGCAGCAGCGGCGGAGGGGGCTGGGGCATGCCCACCAAGCGGGCGGAGGAGATCCAGGCGAAGTTGCGCGCGGCGCGCGAGGCGCAGATCCAGGCGGAGGAGGCGCGGCTGGCTGCTGCCGGTGCGAATCGCGCGGCCGCTGAGGAGGAGCTGGAGAAGTTGAGGGCACGGAGGGAGCAGGAGAAGGGCGTTGTGGAGAAGGTGTGGATGGGTGGGGAGTCCGAGGGGTGGAAGGAGAAGAGGCTGCGCGAGGAGCAGAAGGCGTTGGATGAGGGGAGGGGGTATGGTGATTTGATCCGTGACCATATCTGGGATGTGTGGACTTGGGGGAAGAAGGATGAGGGGGAGGGTGATGAGGATCAGGAATGAAAGAAGAACTTCTTTTGTGCTCCTCGAAAGACAATGATGGCTGGTGGGATGTATAGTATATTGCATGTATGGGTATGGCGTTTGGCTTGAGCGTTGTGGACTTTTATAGGGACTTTCGCATCTCTTTATACTTATGTACTCAAATTGGATGGATCATGTGTTTAGAGAAGGTCAGATTGTACAAAATACACCTCGATCTGTACTCTAGCTAGTTTGGCAAGCCGGTGTTCGGCAATTCATCTCCACTCATGGATACCATGAACTTTGAAACAATAGAGACTTGGGTCATGAAAATAGAATATAAAAGAAATCAAGATAATAAGAGGGAAAATAGTGTGGTACCCAGTGACATTGCCGGCTTTGTCCCCATGTTGCCTTTCATGCGCTACGGCGCAAGATGCCAGCCAACATGGATTAGCCCTAATTACCATCCATAGTCACAATATGGATACAAATTTTAGAGGACACAAAAGATCTAACATCCCTAAGTCCCATCCCATCATATTTCAATTCTACTCAACTCATTTTCACGGTAGATTCTATATTTTATGGGCACACAAGCGTACACACGGTAACTTATGACATAAAAGCCAGCGCAGTGGACGTAAGCCCCGACCGGTCTGGAAACCATCTGGAAGATTTGGCAGTCAACAGACCCATCGACGTGTCGTCTATGTCACCATGGATTTGATAAGTGAATGAAAGTGGATTTTGATATTTGTTGCCAGCTTGGACTGTGTGTAAGGTCGATTGGTTGATTTATGGACCTAGGGCTAATTCCTACCTAGGTGGTATTCTGGGTATATACGGTGAATACCTACTTTCAGGGTACATAGTACCTACAAGATAGTGATACCCTCAAAAGAACTGCGAGCACCCCCTTTTTGCTTGATCCAGACATGAGGTGATCAATACCAGCATATCCCCTTTCTCCATTCGCACTTTCCCATCTTCCAACCTCCTGGACCTTCCAACTTCCAGGTAACACCAAGAGATCAGACACAGTCCAGCGTAACGCCTAACTGCCAGTATTTTGAGAAGGAGCAAAGAGGGCCGTGTCTCAAGTAGTGTAAAGTCCGATCCAACATCCTCTAATTCCTATGACTATTTGAAGGCTTCCGACTATCTCGTCGACCCACGCCATTTTCTTCGATATTTGCTTTTGATTATAGCTGAAGTGTCTGGCTTCTCGAGGCTACAGGGACGTCCTTCATACTTCTGACGAGAAGTAGATTGGGCAAATCTATACTAAGTAAAAGATGTCATTGCTAGGATTTTCACAGTGGAGTGGTTTTACTATCTGGGAGGTTTTCTGTGGAAGAATCATGGACGTTTTGAACCACACATTTGTTCAGTTATAGGCACCTCCCCTGTCATGTCTCTCATTCTTTTGCTGTATCAAAGACGAATTGTAATTTGACGATTGCTCTTTGACTCTTTGTGTTTTGCAACTATTCGCAGTCTTCTCATAGTCTCAAGTATCATCAAATTCATCACTGGTTTGACTGCCTTTGTCGGCCCTCACGCCCTATGTAGGTAGAAAGCAGATATGTTTACTACTTGACGTTTGATGCTATTCTCTCTGTCATGTTCGACTTTCAGTGATCGACTCGCCATACTTGATATTTCCTCCGGATTGATGCCCGTAGGCATATTGCCCACTTCATGCCTTGCAATATAACCTCTACTGATAAGACGTTTCTACAAACTACAAGTTACAGAAGCAGTATATGGTGTATCGAGCCCTTTTTGTTTTATGTGTGTTTTTGTTTGATTCACCCAGAAGCCATGCCCGACCCGGCCGGAAATCGTGCACGACTGTGAATGTGATCAAGATCAAAACAACAAGACTAACTAAATAGACATGACCCAAGATCCAAGCAAGGTATAAAAAAATAAAAAAACAAACAGGATATATAACAATAAACAACACAAAAAATGGTGCCATTCCCCCCATTCGGGCAAGAGATAGACACAGGGGAAAACGTCCTCGCCGTCATTATATGAACGTGTCGAGGTCAAATAACCCTGGTCGGGATACGCACTTTACATGGGGATATATATGATTCGGGCCTTCTACCCGACTAGATAAATGGTCAGCCAGGTGTCGGTAGCTGCCGAGAGGTATGATGAGGGCGGATTCACTACTCCATGAGCGGCGGCGCATCGGTCATCTCGACGTTTTCGTCGGTGCCGAGGTCCCACCCATGGCAGTAAGTGATAGAAACGCAATGGGGTTGGTAGCTTGGGACGGACTGGCATATTATTAGTTACATATGTTCTCTCTGTCTATCGTTGGGCCCAAGGACAGACACTTACCAAAACCTCGTCCACAATGGGCAGTGGAGGTGCATCTCGCATCTCCACATCTACCACCCTGGTTGCAGGGGCACCCCGCGGCATGCTATTCCGACGGGGGCGTTTCTAGTCGAAGTCGTTATTGGCGGTTCATATGTTTGGGGGGAGCAGGGAATTACTCACGGGCTTAGTGCCAGGAGCGCCGGCCATCTCCACGTCCCCGTCGTTTTTACGACGTGGGATCTGTCGGCAGTGTCAGTATGTACTGTTCATGTTTGTCGAATGTCAGAGGGGACTCACCGTGGCAGGATGCCGCGCTACTCTGGAATTGGGGGCGGGTTTGACGGGGTGGGGAGAGGGCTGAGGAGAGACTTTTTGAGGAGGGGTTTGATGACGAGGTTGACGCGGGCGAGAGGGCATAGGTGGGTTCCTTGGAACCCCCTGGTTGGCTCGCACTCGCTCTTCGCATCGGGGAGGGGGACGCTGTTGCTTTGGTCAGTTATGGACTCGTAATCTTTATCACCTATGTTCATGCATGGAATGACTTACGGATTGATAGATGGGTTTCTTTTGTGCGCGGGAGGACGGCACGCTTGAGAGAAGGTTGTTTATGTCTTTCTGGGAGGTGTCAGTCCATATTCTCTTTCGGTTAGGTCATCTATACTCACTATAAGACGATCACTCTGGCTGCTACTACCCGTGACAGATCCAGTTTCCCTGGCTAGGGGAAAGCCACTTGCGCAAGACACATTGTTGACTCCGGTTTTTTTAGACATGGTGAATAGGCGGATGAGATGAACAGGTTAGGAGGTGGATGAACAGAGTCCAAGGGAACGGGTTGAGAAAGAAGGATTCCCAGTGAGTCTCAGGTTTCCGGCTAGTTTCACAGAGAGCGGATCCCTTTTTGCTTTTCCTTCGTGAGGACAAAAAGGTAAAACAAAAGTCGGATTTTTAAGAATTTATAAGGGTTTTTTTTTGCGGAGTGGAAGATGATGATTTTTATTGCCAATGGCAACACTCCAAGTGCAGCGTACTGGCTGATGTTTTCCTCAACAGAGGTGATTATTTGGTGTCGAGATTATTATGACGTTCCGTGGAATGGTGTTCGGCACAGTCCTAAGTGTCAGCTTGTGCGTGGGTGGGATTATTGAGTGTGAATGTGATGCTGGTGGTGGATGGTACGTTATGGTAGAACAGCGAGAGTCATGGAGAAGGGAAGAAACCGCCACGCGGGGACGGCGGGAGGAAGGAGGATCTTATATTTTGTATTCACCGGGCTGGATTCCTACTAATAATAGAGAAAGTATAAAAGCGTTGACGTCGAAAAGCATATCGACGATGGCTGTGAGGCCGGGGTGACCAATTATGACCGTGGTATCGCATAGTCGAGCATCATACTCGCTGGGAAATTGAGCTCTGTCCAATCGGCTGCCGGGGACACAATGGCCGTAGAAGGTACGAGATTCGAACGTCAGGTGGACGGTATCAAAGTTCCATTGTATTAATGAGGGGACTATAGAGAGTGCTTGTGTCGTTTTACCCGCCCCCTCCCGTCCGGTCCATTATCGTCCGTTTCATCATGAAGATCACCTCTTTTGACATGGCTGGGACTGCCAGTGGGAGACTCAGCATCCGGCTTGACAACCCGGCGCCTTTTCTTTGGCTTCGTAGTAGCCCCCACAGACGAGGTACTCCCGTTGGATGCCAAACTCTCCCGTTTCCTCTTTTCGAGCTGGGAGTCCCTCTTCTTCCGCTTCTCGTCTTTGATGGCAAGCCGCCGTTGCACCTCCTCCGAGATGTCTTCCGTCTCAGCCGAAACGGGCATCACATTCCGCACGTCCTCATCACCACCAGGCACGGCCACATCTAGGCGCTTTCGCTTTGGAGGACGCAAAGCCAGCGTCTGTGGCTGTTCAGGTGTAATCGACGGGGGTGTTAGCTCACCCATCGCCATTCTCGATCGCGACCTTTTCTTTCTCTCTTTTGGGTGGTTGTCGCGGGGGTTGCGCGAATCTATGCTGGCGGATGGGTCCGGATCTCGCCCATTTGAGTTTTCTATCCCATGGTCAGATCGACTCGCGACAGGGACCACCAGGGTGACTCACTTTGTGCCTGTATCGCGAGTCAGTAAAAGCTTATTTGAGCTATTTATAATTACAACCTCAAGTTGAAATTCCAAAGATAAATGTTTCATCTCCGTAGAATGGAAAAGAATCAACGTACCAGCTGCTTCTTGACGACCTGAAATTGGGCCATCAATCTCGTCGTCCTCTCAACCATGGATGCGACCAGGCGAACAGCATCATCGTCCCACGTGACACTCTCCCGAAGAGACTTGAGCACGTCGACATGTGACGAGAGAACTCTCTCATGCTGGGAGCAGATCTGAATCGCGATTGTCAGCGGCAACAGGCTTTCTGATTGGGTGGTCGAATCCGATGCGCGTCATTCCTGCGCGCTCCAACATATTCAACATCACTCACCTCCGGCCAGTTGAATGGCTCCGGATGGGCAGCCATTGTGTTTGTGCCCTTTAGGTTATGAGAATCCTCGACGGTGGGACTTAACTGGGTTGGATTTCCTGCGAAAGTTATGCTCTGGAAAAGATGCCTGAGACAAGAGGTTGGATTAAAAGGCCAAGCTTTGATGATCGGCAGGCCCGAATCAGCGTATCACGTGGTCCCCCGTAACCTAATTTCTGGGATTCCATTAGACTTCCTCGACCATGCATGTTTCGCCCGGTTTTTTCCGCGTGGCTTGGTTTCAGATCTAAATATAGTGTCATTGTGTACATTCTGCTGTGGAACATACATCTGCTTCATCTGGAATCTTCCATCTCTTCCATGTAGGGGGCAGCCACTGATATCGCTCTGACACAGGCTATTTCAGTATTTCTCCCTTGAGCATATTCATTTCCACCGTTAAATTAATTACTATTTTATCTCGGGGGCTCTGTTTACTGTAACAATGCGCACACAGATGTATGGATGTTCAATCCCATGATACCTTATGTTAAGTTATCATGAATCACCAAGGAGCCCCTAAGGGCATTGGTTTTTTTTTATCTGATAAATACATCCCTTCCGAAGCTGGGGTTTTCAGCATGTATTAGCTCTAGAACTACCACGGGTATTCGTGTAGTAGGGTACTATCAAATAAACCATATCTGGTTTAATGAGCCGTTGGCAGTTTCGTGAATATAATGTACTGGTCATCTCTACGTAACATAGTGTCATTCCGGGACGAATCTTCCGGAGAAGTCCATGATTACTTGCAAATACAGTAGGAGTGTGGATCTGACTGCGATATGGGATGTTTGATGACCTGTTGGCCCTACTACGCCTATAGTCGGCGTTTCGTATATGGTATAATCAAGGAAAGGATGGGACAGCGCGAAAGAAAGATGTAAGGGTGAGAATAGCAATAGAACAGAGTACGTCATATAGTAGTAGAGTCCATCTAGTATCTTCCACCGTAATGACTACCCCATAATTGCTAGCGCAAGTAGGAAATGCTCGACCCATATGAACTAGTAGCCCCTTACATACCAACAAACACCCCTGACAGGCATAGCACTCCCCACACCGCGGCGAGAAAATAAAAATTCGGCCTCAAGTGCTGGTACTTATTTCCGCGGCATTGTACCTGGATCTCCACGGTGGAACTAGAAAAGTGGAGACATCAATTCCGCGGTAAACTTGTGTAGTCCCTGACCCACCCAGCCGATCTATCTTTGCCGAGGGGTGGAGTGAGCAGTTCATGCCGCGGGTTATCGGTACATTATCACAATGGATTACTTAGTCTACTAAAATAATTTTGACTAGAATCAAATTCCCTGCATATTTAACAATACATATACTGATTATTAATGGCAGTTTTGTTGTCACTACTACAATCTGGTACTCGATATCCACAGCCCCTAGCTCCACGTCTGCGACGTCCCTGCAGAGCCAATAGCCTCGAGAGTCGTTGTGAAATCGGGAAAAATGCACTGGCTCAGGATGTCGTTGACATCTATATCGTACATGTTACTAGATATTACTGTGTTAGCTATGTCTTCTTGAACACTAGTATTTGAGATAATCAGCGTACCTCGAGTCCGTCATGCGCCCATAATCACCGGGAACGTTAGAATCCCATACCACAGGCGACGCTGGCATTGCCATTTCGTCGTTGTGGCGGCTTCGGCCCTCTGGGCTGCGCACGTTGCCAGCATCCGGCCCGACAGGCGTGGGTTCCAGGCCACGGCGTCTGGAATTGATGGTATCTCGCGCTCGTGTGAATAGGCGGGATAGGATCTCTGCTCCAAAAAACGTGACCTTGAGTTCGTTGACGACCATCATACACAAGTCCAGTTGATGACAGCCTAAGCGTTGAACCAACTTCCGCGGCGACACCGAGTGGAGGAGGTGGATTTGTAACGTCGGCACAAGCGCAATGCAACTATCTCATGTAAGTGGTTTGGTGGTAGGGTTTCACGGGGAGATGTTTACATCAGTGATTGAGAGAGCCGGATCATGTCGGCTGTGATCATGTTACTTAGGATGTTGGTGGTGTTCATGGCCGCGGTGGTCGCTTTTCTTTCTGCGCTTGACAGCCAATCTCTTGTTGCTTTGGCGTGGGTGGCGGCGGGTTGATGGCCGAGGCTTTGTAGGATAAATGGGCGGTAAAGAGTGATGAGTGTAGACCTGGTTGAAAACGTCAGAGATCGTAGTTCCTATATCGTAGGTAGTCTTACTCGAAGAATAGTTCAAAGTGATGCATGTGAAGAGTCAGCACGGGCTCGGTGGCACCCGCCCGGAGGTAATCTAGATGTCCATGATGTCCCCTGAGTTCGCGATCCAGATCGATAACGTCCGACTGGCTGAAAAGCGTCCGTTTGGCGAGATGTTGAACTGTCAGGATTCGTGATAGAATGCTGGTCACACAGAGGAGCTCATCCCACAGCAGGAACAGATCGTGAGGGTTGTCTGGGAGATACTCCTGGCGCTGAGCCTCCGTCAGCCCCGAGCAAAGACGCTCAGAGGCGCTTGCATCGGGCCTCTGCGTATCCGAGTGCTCTAGGTCAATTCGCATCGGTCTTCCCATACCAACGGACAACCACGCTTCTCGGAAAAAGCACGACCACCATAAATGCATCCACAGATCTCGGTTGACGGATGGGCCATTCTGAGAGCCATTGAAGCTGGCATCTGGTTGACGATGTAGCCCTATGCTCTGGCAGAGGCTGATGGCAACACCGTTCCAGTGCCATGGTCCAATTCTGTCCTCGGTGTCGGCATACCAGAACCCCATCAGCAACACTGCTTGGATTAGGGTTATTTTGGACCGTTCGTATTCTGCATCGTATAGCGCCTACAATGAGTTAGACTGTATTTCATGTTTCATGGCAGGGCGCATGCCTTGGCTCGTAAGAACATTGATCGTTTCATCGCCTTTCGCGACTCGAAACCCGCGGACTGCACCGTTGTGGTGTCTGCAAACTGGCGCGTAAAAAGTCAGCGACATCGCTCATTACTTAGTACGGTATACAAGTGTATCGAGCTACATTTGCGGCCGCCAGAAACACGCTCCAAAGCAGTTGGAGGCTGGCCCCCTTCTGTTCTGGGCTTCCGAAAGCTTGGAGAAAGGATGAAGCCTGCACGACTGGGAAGAATGGGTGAACATAGTGGAAGTACGCTTTGACGAGTTCTTGCTGGATGTTGAAATGGGGTAGGTCGAAGCAACCCCTCCGTTTCAAGTACTCGAGCGTGTCGGGATCGATATTGTCCGAGCTCAAAGAAGCAACGATAAAGTGACCACTTTTTCCCTGGCGCTCGGGCTCGCACACCTCGGCCACGAGTGCAATTCCTTGTGGATCCCCTTGTGCAAGAGTCAGAATCGCACGAGAGGTAGCACTACAGCTAATGGCTCTTACCATATACCGGCGAACAGGCCGTTTGCTGCAGGGAAAGGGGGCTTGTCGATCGGCCATCCTGGCGCTCAGAATGGTGACCAAAGTGTCCAGTCATGGGGCGATAAATTGGCTCGCCGAGATCGACAGCATCCTGGACGATTGAGCCTGCATCACTCGACGCCCGTGGCGGGTTGTTGCCGCGGCGCCTTGTTCTGGTAGTTCCCCGAGGCCGTCGAAGACTGTCAACGGAGAATCTAGCACGTCTGGGATCCACCCGAGACTCACCTTTGACCCTGCCGCGGGCGTGCCTGGCAGTTCACGTTGTCCAAAGAACAGTTCGTGCACGGTGGTCCAGTCTGCGAGATGCTGCAGCGAACTTTGCGCGCGTGGCACGCATGGCAAGCTGCCGCTGCTCTTTTCCTGGACTTAGAAGCGGATCCGGTTACGTCCGAATGAGGCCACATGTTGACTACAGAGAGATATTGGAGATTGCTGTCATGATAGGAGGCATGTCGCAAACCAGATGCAGCAAATCGTACCTCGGCAATATTTCGGTAACCTTGGAACGCTTGGCGCTAGAAAAGATGCCGAAGGGATCTACGGTATTGCAACCAATGAAAGGTAGACTAGAGACTGTAAAGTGGAGTGCGCAATGTACTTCAATTCAGGTACTGGAGTCAGGTCGTGAACTCAAAATAAAATAGACGCAGTATCGATAGCCTCGTAATCAAAGGCGGGACTTCTTGCCTCCAGCGATGGCCTTGGCCATCTCCTCCTGTGGGATCCCTTCGCAGAAACGGTCAAGGCCCTGGAACGTCTCCAGCGGAGCCACTTCTTCCTGCTCCCGGACGACTCGGCGACGCATCAGGGCCTTGGTCCCCAGCAAACTGGAGCCAACCAGATGGGGTCCGAACGCCTGGCGCAGATATTCCAACACCTGAGCTCGGAAGTTATTCTTATCCGCAAAGACATGGTTGACGAAGCCGACTTGGACAAGCTCGTTGACGGGTATCTTTCGGCCCAGGATCAGTGCCTCGTTGGCCTTTCCAGGCCCCATTCGGTGCGCGAAGGCGACACTGGAGCCCCCCTCCGCAACAAGGCCCAAAGAGCTAAACGGGGTCAAGAGGTATGCGTCAGGTACTGAGTAGATGAAGTCGGAATGGGCGATGAGCGCGGCTGAGAGACCGATTACAGGCCCATTCAACGCGGTCACTAAGATCTTGGAGTGGCTGTAGAAGGCTCTTGCGACGTCCAGGTTGTTGTTCACCAGCTTAGGAAGCCAATAGGGGCGGGACAGCATCTCGTCCATAGAAGGGGCGCTAGACTTGAGATCGGCTCCTCTGATAGAAAGCAAGTCGTTAGCCCAGTCTTATTGTGGAAGGGGACAGGCTGGCTCACGCGGAGAAGAAGGACCCTTCGCCTATCAGCAGAGTGACATAGACATCCTTGTTCATATCGGCTTCTCTCAGTAGGCTTGCCAGACGGTAGTAAGAGGTCTGTGTCAGAGAATTGAACTTTTTGGGGTTGTTGAGCGTGATGATGGCAAAGTGGCCTTCATAGTCGATGCGAACCAAGTCTTGGTCAGACATTGTGGGGATTAGAGCAAGGCGAGTCCTACCAAAAAATAAGGACAATGGATCAATATGGATCAAGTCGATAAAATGGCTTACTCGTCTAATTTATATTCCGCGAGCTCACGCTGTCGTGGCGTACGCCATGCTTTATTCCTTCGATCGTCTCACCTCGCCTCGGCGTTTCTCTCGGTAAAGGACAACGTCGGTTCAGTAAGGTACCACGGCAATCCAACGCCATCAAAGCAACAAGTTTCCGCGGGAATATCCTTGGGCCCCTTTTCGGCGAATTCATCTTCTGGGGTGTATTTCTGTCTTCGGTTTGAGGTCACGACTTCGCGTGAACGCCCCACTGCTAGGCTGCTGCCAACTATTTTCTCGCATGTGCTGAGGTTTGTGTCTTCCAGATGGAGTGCAATTGTATCAAACTTGTGAGCTCTAAGCCAAGCTTCCAGCTGGCACAAGAAGTGATTCTACGTGTTGGTTCACTTCGTTCCTCGGGGAACATTCCGACCCAAGGTTTCGTTGGCCATGTCATGTTCAGGTGTTCCTATTTCGCCTCGACTGAGCTTGGCCGCGAGAGATCAGTATCCACGACTGCCATCACCCTCATATCTCCCAAGAAAACCTCAGAGCCATTTGCCCTGTTGACCCATTGGAGGACTTCTTTGCCCATTGTGCAGCTTCGAAAAGCTGGGATGCGGTGCACGGTTGACACTTGGCTAAATTGCATCCATTGGTCCGTCCATTGGTGCGTCCAGAAGACGTCATCTGAAACGATGCCAGCACACCTCCATCTATATGTAGATCTAAGATCAAGAATGAGATATTGTAGTTGGGGATTAGTTCAATGTCGGCATAGACATCGATGGTTGTTGACAAGTAGATCCGTGCGATCCAATGGTCAAGATGGAGGCTCACCGCCTCCGTCACCGCCCTACCCCGTGATCCCCGCAAAAGCGACCTGCCTCAGGCCACAGGGCTCCCCAAGTGGCGTCATAATCGGCGGGCGGTGAGGCCTTGGATACGCGGCCCTTGTTCTCGACTCTCTCCATCGTCGGGTCTGCGAATCCCTTTCCTTGCAGCGTTTCATTGTTGCCTGTCATCTCTCTCCTTCTCTCGGTCATCTACACGTCTTTTGATGATCTCTTTGCTTTTTTATCTTATTTGACGTTCTTTGATTACCGCGATCTCGCTTAACTGGGCTTTATTCCGCTGCCTCTCTCATCCCCCGTCCTGTCGTGGATCCCGCATCCCCGCCCCCGGTGTTCTCTGACGCTGTACGCCTAGGTACCCTGCACATCCACCACGCAGGGTAATGTGCTAGGATACCGTCCACACTGGCTGTTGGAGAATGTCCTTGGATGCAGCGTCTCTGCCATCCCCGCCGGACTTTACGCCGTGGGAGAACTCCAACCATCCCGTTCCCCGCGGTAGCATGCCTCCCAGTGGAGGGGCCAGTCCTAATGGCAACCATGCGCCCCCCGCTGGCGCACAGCCACCCATATTCCCCAATATCAAGGATCTACAGGATCAGGCGGCGGCTTTGGACGTCAATGAGAAGACTTCGGTAAGTCTGGACTGCATTTACACCGACTAACATGAAAGTGGTTCGCGCGGTCCGCTAACGTGGCGCAATATAGATAAGCGACTTGCTGAGAAAGGCCCGGGAGGCTATCGATCAAGCGAGGACCCTTGTGGATCTCAATCAACTTGACAAAGCGTACATTCACTATCTTCGAGCGTCCGAAATCACCGTCAATTTCATCCCTCGTCATCCCGACTACCGAGTAGCCGTGAACCAACGCCCAGGCTGGTATAAAGAATTCGCAAGTTTGATGATGGTACGTGGAACATCCGATGTCTGGTGCAATTTACGGGTGCTTTGTGCTTGCTTCGTAGTGAACAAGTTGAATTGCGACTAACCCATCGGGTGTAGGCCGTGCGGACCAAGCAAGGGACGATGGACGACATTAAGCATCAAATTATGGAGGATAACGTTCGAAGTAACGTTCCACCTACTGCTTCCCCAAAAAGACAGTCTGTATCCCCCAAATTCGAGATGCCATCTGCCGGGACGGTGCAAAGCCTGTCTCTTCGAGGTCGCCAGGACCAAGTCGATTCCAATGGATTTCGCCTGCCAAGCCCGTCGAAATTCCAGCAAATCTCCCAGGTACAGGCAAACCTGAATCGGCATTCAACTCCTGTGGACGATGTACTTGCCCAGCGATTTGCCCGGCTGCGAGCGTCGCCTCCTGAAGGCTCCCAGAGCGCAACGACGAATGGAACTAGCTATACAAATGGGACGGACCCAATGCCTTCCGCGGAGGGATCTAATGGCGATTACCCGCCTCGACCCCGGTCGTATATGCCCGATGGATCGCCACAGCCCTCGATCCTCAGTTCTCCGCAAAGGAGGCCATTGGGACCCCGCACCATGGGTACCTCCCATGCTGCCCCTGCTTTACCGCCCAAGGTACCGCTGGTGACAACTTCACTCCCTCGTGCCCCAGACCCGGCTTACAGTCCGATCTGGTCGGTACCATCCCAACCCCAATTGCATCCTCCGAGGACCTCGACGGAGAGCTCGCGTCCAGTCAATCCAAGATATTCCCAGTTGTCTAACCCTAACTCTCCTCGCGGGAGCCCGAGCCGTGACGACAATCCCTACAGATCCTATACACCGAATGGTATCCACCAGGCCAAGGAGCTTCACAGCAGTACTGCCGATCTTCCTCTCAGCCCCACGGTTAGCGCTCACGATCTGCTCGACTACCTTCGGAGATACAATGTCATGTTGATTGACGTGCGCCCTCGAGACCAATTCGACCATGGCCACGTTTATGCGAAGTCAATCATTTGCATCGAGCCGTTGGCCCTGAAAGAGAACGTATCAGCTGAAGAGCTCGAGGAACGTCTGGTGGTATCACCTGAGCATGAGCAATCGCTGTTCGAGCGGCGCAATGAGTTCGACTTGGTGGTGTACTATGACCAAAGCACGGCGTCGATCAGCTACCTGGCTGGGTCGCCCGTGGGAACCACCGCGCCTCATCTCAGGGCGCTTCACGATACGCTGTACGAATTCAACGCGTACAAACCCTTGAAAGATGGGCGGCCTCCGGCACTCCTTCTTGGCGGGCTAGACGCGTGGATTGATCTGCTCGGTCAACAGTCCCTTGCCACGTCGTCCACTGCAGCGGTGATGGGATCTCTACAAGTAAAGCGGCCCGTCGCGAAACCTGGGCGACCATTAGGAAGGGTGCCGACCATGGTCAGCGCCAACTCGAGTCTAGAAGTGAGAAAAAGGCGACTGCGGGAGTACCGGCCTTTGAATCCGGAGGAACTTACAGCGTGGATGGAACAGTCGAAGGTTGAAGAAATCGACGCGAGCACTTATGCCGAAGAGGTACCATTCACCGAGGAGCCGGAGCAGGAGGGAGGAGACGAGGCCCAGGCGCCGGTGTCGCCCTTTGTCCATACCTACGAGGACTTTCTGCGCCGTTTCCCCGAGCCACATACCATTCAACAGTCCATGGTAGTGCCGCACGTACGGCCAGCTGGAACATCAGCCCCCAACTACGCGGCTTCGGCCCCTGTAGTTCCATCTCGACCGCCGCCTGCGGTGCCGCGCCCCAGCTACAGTGGTGTTTCGGAAGGGCGTCAGATCCAACCCACCCTGGAGCGCCAAAACTCGGCCACCAAGACTGCCCTCTACACCGCGAACAGCCTGCTGCACCGGATCAAGCTTCCCCGAACCGGTCTGACGAATTTTGGCGTGACCTGTTACATGAACTCCACCATCCAATGCTTGAGCGCAACGGTGATGTTGAGTAAGTTCTTCCTTGACAATCGGTTTCGGTACTACATTCAAAAGAACTGGAAGGGCTCGCAAGGGGTCATGCCAGGGCTCTTCGCGAACCTGGTGCGGTCATTGTGGAAAAATGACGTCGAGGTGATCAAACCCACCTCGTTCCGCAACTTCGCCGGGAGGCTCAATCAAGAGTGGGCCATCGACCGACAGCAGGACGCCAAGGAATTTTTCGATTTCGTCGTGGACTGCTTGCATGAAGACCTCAATATCAATTGGCAGCGAAACCCTCTGCGGCCGTTGACCTTTGAAGAAGAAATGCAACGGGAGCGGATGCCAGTTTCCAAAGTCTCGAAGATTGAATGGGATCGGTACCGCCATCGCGAGGAGTCATTCATCTCGTCGCTCTTCGCGGGCCAGCACGCCAGTCGACTCCGATGCACCACTTGCAAGCGGACCTCTACGACCTACGAGGCCTTCTACAGTATCAGCGTGGAGATCCCACCGTCCGGCTCGGGCGACATCTATCAGTGCCTCCGCAGCTACTGCCAAGAAGAGATGCTGAGCGGCGACGAAGTATGGAAGTGCCCATACTGCAAATGCGAACGGGTAGCGACGAAGCAGATCATCATCACCCGAGCTCCACAGATCTTGGTAGTCCACTTTAAGCGCTTTGCAGCGTCCAAGACTCACAGCGCACGCAAGATCCACACCCCGATCGAGTTCCCGTTGCACGGCCTACGGATGGACGATTTCGTTTTCGCAACGCCCAACTCGTCCGCTCCGGACAAAAACGGACCGCATGACCCGTTGTCGCCAATCTCGCCTCCCTTTACGTACGATGCCTACGGGGTGCTCCGCCACATTGGGTCCTCCATGGGTAGCGGCCACTACATCTCGCTGGTCCGAGACGCGCAACGCCAGTGCTGGCGGAAATTCGACGACGAGCGGTCAACGGACTTCAACCCCCGCGACCTACGTTACAAAGACCGCCTGACCAACGAACAAGCCTACATCGTCTTCTACGAGCGGGTTCCCGCGAAGTGATGAATAAACGATCTAGCAGTCAGATACGCTTCTGGTGTCCCACGACACCACGGATTCCCCTTTTAGTTTTTGTTTTCTTTTTCTCTTATTCTCTTGCCTGACGAAAGTGACGGCAGATATGTGATACACGACGGACGAAATTTTGCATGTAGCGAATGCCCTCATTGTCTTGGATTATGCTCTTTTATCCTGTTCTCAGCTACCTATCTCCTGGCCAGCCGCATGTTGATTGTTGTAAACCATTTGAGCGGGTCCGTTTGGTTTTTGCCTATTTTGTACATAGGGTTTTGGATTGTTGGATTAGAAGAACGATAGTATATGTATAGACAGATTCTCAGTTTTCTGTTGAAAATATATTATGAATGAGTAGGGGTAGTACATGCTATTGTAGTGGATATACCCAGATGAAAGCGGAGAGATAACAAAGTGGATTCTGCCGGCCAAATGTATTGATTCTCTCCGCATCATATATATCTCTGACTTTTTCTTCCCCGCACGTCACTTCTACCATCCATCCTGTTTACTCCCAGGATTATCAACACGAAACGATTTGACTTTCTGAAGTATATCTAAAGAGATAATACCTTCAACTGACATCCCACCAACAATGTCATCAACCGACCCCGCACGCGCCAAAGACAATGACTCCGATGAAGAAGACTACATGTCAATGATAATTGAAGAGCCACAAGAAAAAGAGACCTTTTCCCAGAAAAAGCGACGACAACAGCGAGAGGTGCGATGCTCATCAAAACATCAATAACCGTACCCGCTTCGAAAAACAGCTAACAAGCAGCACCATCCCAGGCCGAAGCCCGCGCCCGAGTCCCCTCCAAAGCCGAACGCGCCGCCGAAGAAGCCGCCCGCCGCGATGCCGCCCTCGCAACAAGCACGCTCGACCCATCCAACAAGGGGTTCCAGATGATGGCGAAGCTGGGGTTTAAGCCTGGGCAGGCGCTGGGGAAGCAGCCGACGCCGCAGCCCACGACGGGGGAAGAAGCGGGTGAGAAACAGGGTGTGGAACGGGAGGCGCAGAAATTGGCGGTGCCGTTGGATTTGATGGTTAAGGAGGATCGGGGTGGCATTGGGCTTGATAGTGAGAAGAAGCGCAAGTTTCGGGAGGAGGCCGCTGAAGTGGTTAAGAAGGTTAAGCAGGAGGAGGGCGATTATCGGGATCGCGTGAGGTTGGAGAGGGAGATGAGACGCGCTGAGGCGCAGTTTCATGCCGCGCAGAAGGTGGCGGAGCGGTTGGATGGTGAGGCGGAGGCTGAAGGAGGTGGGGAGGGGTCTGTTCCGGCGCTGGGATCTGCAGATGATGGAGCGGAAGATGGCGATGGGAAAAAAGACGAGACCTCGCAGGACGAGACGGACGCGAAACCCAAGCCGAAAGCACAAGCCAAACCGACGGCGCAGATCAACGTGTTGTATCGGGGACTGGTGCGGGAGCGCGAAGAACGCGAGCGCGCCGCACACGCTCGACACATTCTACAAACATCGCTGCCCTCATCTTTCTTCCCTAGCTCGCGGTTACCAGGGTATGACGACCCCACGCTGGAACCGGACGACCACGAGGCACTTGGCAGCACAAAACCCGATTTGTCGCGAATTCTGGAGGAAGAGACCGAGGAGGAAGACCCGGAGCTGGACGAGTTCAATGCGCTTGAGCCGTCGGAGAAGTTGGCTCGTGTTGTGCAGTATTTGCGTGAGAAGCACCGGTACTGTTTCTGGTGCAAGTATACCTATGAGACGGATGAGATGGAGGGGTGTCCGGGGTTGACTGAGGAGGAGCATGATTAATGGATGCGCGGATAGTTTCTCTATCAGTGGGCGGTTCCTAGGGCCATCTATCCTAGGTAGGGTCGGTTCACGGACCTGGGATGTAATGAGCAGCGAGAGCTCAAGCCAGGGAGAGCCATCCTATCAGATGTGCGGCGTATGGCTACGATGAAGAGCGCCTTATCATCCAGCAGCAAGGCTTGCGAGTCAGGTGGGATAGACTGCCTAAGTCCCGGTGGACTTGACAATCCGCATAACCCTAAGTCTGATATGAGCTATGGGGTGGGATTCTGACTTTCTGCCTTATCTCCGGCCCTAAGACATTGAAGTCGACCATAAGACAATACATCTGATGCAGGAGCTGAGCGCTATGCTGGGTGGACTGGATGGCATTCGGTCTGTATACCTATTACAGAAGGCATACATACCTACTATGAATAGCATACACAAGTACTGGGGATCACCAGTACAGGACTTAATATCTATAAAACGATGACCGGACTTCTGCTCACGCTACACCTAGATACTCCTAACGTTACTAAACAATCATCGACTGAGATCCTCTACAGTGATCCTACAAAGAGAGAAGTTGAGAAGAGAAGGTCAATTTCACCCGAACAAATGAAATGCATGACATGATATCAAATAAGACATTCCAAGCAGACATGAAACGATACATGAAAACAGACAATCCCAAACATGATAAGCCACAGACAATTTGTCGAATCATACTCAAACCAGAACAGAAATATGAACGACATGAAACCAGACATGAAAAGAGACAATACAAAAACATGATCAAATCAAACACCACACTCCACACAGACAATTTAGTGACCCCCAACCCAATCCTCAACAGTAATCCTTCACGACAACGTCCAAGTAGGTACTCGCCGTATTGCAAGCAGCCTTGTCGCCGGGGGTGTAAAACACCGAAGCTAGACTATATCAGCCAATACTCTTTCTATCAAGCAGAAGAAGAAGGATGAAACTCACCATCAACCGGCAGATCCTTCGACGGATCCCTAACAACAACCTGACTTTCCTCAGCAGGAGTCAACTTCCCCTCACAGTCAAGCTGCTCCGTCCCCTGGGTCGTCGAGTTCCCACCCAGCCAGATATCCACATGCCAGATGTGGCTGACCCAGTCGGTCTTGCACTGCTCGCAATAGTCCTCGTTGATGAGGTACTTGCGCAGGTACGGCGAGTAGACCACTTCGCAGTTGTTGAGCTCCCCTGGGGCCGTGGCCATCGTCAGGGGGTTGGCGAAGGTGCCGATGCCGCCGGCGCTGGTGCCGCGGCCACAGTCGTGCATGATGTCTGCGCCTGGTGGGTCGTTGTCTGGGTATCCGTAGAAGGTGTAGGATACCTTTGGCACGATGGTGCAGGTGGACGAATTTTTGGTGGGGTCGTTGTTATTGTCGTTGTTGGTGGGGTCCACTGGGATGGTGGTGTTGGTGGTGATGTCGTCGGTGGTGGTGGGAGTGGAGCTGGTCTTGTGCTTCTCATGAAGCTTTTTGATGTCATCCCATTTGCAAGAGATGACGATGACGATGACGAGGAGAATGACTATGGGGAGCACTGCCCAAATGGCGCAGCAGCGTCCTTTCTCCTTGATCTTCTCGCGGGTCTCGCTCGAGATGGAGAATGGGGTTTGGAACTTCATGTTTGAGGTTCGGTTTATTGATGTGTATATATATGATGTATAGCTGGTAGCTGATAGAGAGAAGTAGATGTATGAGTCGACGAAGTTACGATGAAGTTTGAATAGTGTGACGTAGATTGCAAGCGAAAGTACGAAGAGTCTGATAGACGATGATGGATATGCGAACGATGGATAAAGCGAAGGTGAATGGAGGAGGGAAAAGAACCAGCCGAAGGCTCGGGGGGGTTGAGTTTCTTATATAGCCCTGTGTAAAGAAGGTTTGAAGCTCATCACTCTTCCGCAATATTGTCGAAGGTCGTGGATTAGGATGGACTCGAGATGAAGCTTTTTGCCCGTCATGTGGACATCAACCGGGGTGGAATTAGGTTGGATGGCATCATCATGAGGAGACCGATACGAATATAGACTGTGAGTATAGTACCGCACAGGGAAGCATCAAGAACAGTATAGAATACTGCTAGAGCATAGGCATTGTATGTGGTTTGTAGTTGAAGTTATATTCACCCGAGTTAGGGCTAGCAATCCTAGACACCCAGCTCTCGATATCTTAACTGTAGCCACTCGATAACTCGATACTCAATAACTCGATACCCAATAACTCAATACTCAGTAAGAGAGGAATTCATCCAGGATACTCCTGACTATTCCATCCACAGCTACTTCCTCAAACTCTTCACTCAATGGAGTCACATTCGGAGCCTTTTATGCAGAGCGAATCCAGAACAATCTAGGTATATACTGTTCTTCCCCACATTCCAGAGGTATTTCCCACAGTTGACATGAGATAGAAGAGAGAAATACAAGACTGAAATATGTTACCAGTGAATGTACATGTACAATAAACAGTGATGTGACTCGTTCCTGCCTGACTTGTCTGCCAGGTACATGTAGCTACGGCGGTACCCGGTGAACAAAACAAGCTTCGTCCATCTTCTCTTCCTTTCTAAGTTTAGATACATCGCCCCCTTCTGTTCCATGTTTGAGCCTGCGGAGGTGCCGGATATAAACCAAGTCTATCAATAGTACCCTCTCCTCAGTGTAATCAACACCACGATCCAAACAACCTTACATAGTGACTTACTCTCGCAAGAGATAGCAGGGAGAAAACAGTTAAAGTAGTAGTACTATTGATGTTGACGAAAATGAATCATAACATAGATTCCCCCACCGGGGTGCAATCGTCCCTCTACAGCAAGATCTAGTCTTATTAAGATGGGACGAGTAACGCGGATGGAATGATTCCACTCCTCGTCATGGAATGTACAGACGGTGGGCACGTTCCAGCAAAGTGGGGAGAACAGGTATCGTAATAGTGACCGTGACAGCCATCATGGACAATGTGGATGACGGACAGGAGTCAACATACTAAAGTCTACTATCATCAGTCCGTGATATCCGCTCCAAACCCACAAATAAGGAAGAGAATCTTCTAGTCATTGCCAAATCTCTATACACGCGTTGACTAAACTCCACTATGAGATCAATATATACAAGTCCGCTCTCATTCCATCTAATGCTCAGACACAAACACACCGGCCATACCCATGCCCTAAACAAATCAGTTAGTATATGTAGTATGTCCCAAGGGTAAATTGTGATACGTACAGTTCCCACGCACATGGAGGTGACGGCCACGCGCTTGTTTTGGCGGCGCAGCTCCGACAGCGCGGTGACGACCTGGCGAGCGCCGGTGCAGCCCAGGGGGTGGCCGAGGGCACTGTTGTAATTTAGTTTTTTTTTTTCTTCTCGAAAATGCTAAAGAGGTAAGAAGGACGTACATTGCACCACCGCGGGGGTTGACCTTGGCCTCGTCGAGACCCAGCTTCTGGACACAGTAGGTACCCTATAATCAATGTTAGTGAAACCATATAACCCGGTACTAGAAGATATTCTCACCATCGACGCAAACGCCTCGTTGATCTCGAAGATGTCAATCTCCTCCGTCGACAAGCCGAACTTGGTCAGGATCTTCGGGATGGCGATGGACGGTCCAATGCCCATAATGCGAGGCTCGAGACCCGCGACGGTCGCGCCGCAGAACTTGCCGACAATGGGCTGACCCAGCTGCTCGGCGCGCGAGCGCTTCATGAGGATGAGACCGGCCGCGCCGTCGGTGATCTGGCTGGCGTTGCCACCGGTGGTGATGCTAGGCTTCCACTGGGGGAAGGCAGGGCGGATCTTGCCGAGGCCCTCAGCGGTGGTGCCGTAGCGGATGCCGTCGTCGCGATCGACGACAACGTCCTTGACCTCGCCGGTCTTGGGGTCCTTGACCTGGGTGCGCACGGGGGCGATCTCGTCGCTCGACCAGCCGGCCTTCTGGGCCCGCTCGGCCTTCTGGTAGCTGTTGGCGGCGAAGCGGTCGAGGGCCTCGCGCGTGAGGTTGAACTCCGCGGCGACGTTCTCCGACGTCTGACCCATGGGCTGCTGGTTCTGCGAGGCGATCGGGTGGTTCACGATCTCCTGGCTCATGGCGGGGGCGCCGCCGTCGGGCGTCGTGCTCATGCTCTCGGCGCCGACGGCGATGCCGACGTCGATGGATCCGGCGATGATCTGGTTGGCGATGCTCTGGATGGCGAGCAGGCCCGACGAGCAGAAGCGGTTGGCGATCGAGGCGGCGGCCGTGACGGGGAATCCGGCGGCCAGGACGGCCGAGCGCGCGACGTAGGCGGACCCGGGGGCCAGCACGTTGCCTACGCAGACATCCTCCACCAGGTTGGGGTCGAGGTTCGAGCGTTCCCGAACGGTCTAATCTATTAGTATGCTCTGGTCGTCAGGAGAGAGGGGATCCGCTGTGCATACCGTGAGCAGCGACACCAGCAGGTTATCGATGGTGGTATCCTTCAGTCCACCCTTACGGGCCTTGGTGAGCGGCGTGCGGACGGCGAGAGTAATGACCTATGTTCCAACATGTTAGCAATCCATCGTACAAGCCACACGGCAGGAAATCAAGGACTACCGACCACATCGTCGGGGTTCTTGCTCAGGAGATGCTGACGAGCACCGGCCCCACCGGCACCAGAGACCTGGTTCGCGATGGAGGACAAACGCTGCTGAGGGGAAGACATGCTGTATTCTCTAACGGATTGTACAAAGGGGTATAAAGATGAAAAACAAAGGGTATACAACTGACAAAAGAATCAATCAAAGAAGAAGAAGGAGAAGGGGAGAAAAAAAGACTTCCCCAGATTCCCCGCAACAAAGCGCGAGTAAATGTCGAAAAGCAACCGCGGTTGAAAAGTCACGGGCGCAAAGGCCGAGCCGACTAATCGGGGTCTCAGCCAATCAGAGGTGGCGTCTTCGGCAAGCAGAGCCGGATGGACCTGCCGATGTGTAATTGTTGGTAAATGACCCGGTCTAATATGTGTATTTTTCTATTCAAGAGGTCAAGATAGTACCATACATACGCTCCAACGAGCCTCGGCTGTCGGTCGGTCTGTCGCAGCCTCAGGCACCGTACTAGGCACCGGTCTGGATCCATGGATGCCGAATGGGCCTGAGGAAGGTTCGTCCATATGGCATGTTGTAGAGTAATAATGTCGATAGATAGAAACGGAATAGTAGAAACAAAGTCATTGTTCAACGGGTATCTACAAACTACTAAGCATATAAACATTCAGTCTATCCCCATCCTCCCAATGTCCAACTCGACCGGTCTCCACCCGCGCGCAGTCCCGACCGTCGATCGGGGACATGTCCGTGGGACTCGAGATCCCGACTGGCCCCCGCCAGTCCGTGTTGCAGGTACTTCTCCCGCTCAATCTCCACCACTCCGCGGATCTTGAGGCTCGTCGCGAGACTGGCCCCCGCCCACGCGCCCAGGGATTCCACCTCGCGCAGGACGCCCTGAACCGGGGGCTGGCTGTCCTTGTCCTTGTTCCGCTGGAGCTTCTGCTCGACCGGGTCGATCTCCTCCTCCGCGACGGCCGGGCCCTCGGAGCCATGGGCCGGGGAGGTCGCGCGGGGGGCTAGACTCAGTCGTTGCAGCTGCTGCCGTTGCTTCTCGATCGCCTGGCCGCGGACGGCGCTCCACCCGTACTGGTCGAGCAGAGACCCGACCTCGGCCAGGACCCGCGTTCGGATCCCCGCCACGTGGGACCCGCCCCCGACAAACACGATGCGGGACATGCAGAGGCCGCGCGCATCCGGGGGCAGCGCCAGAAGCGCGTGGTAGACCAGCAGCGGCAGCGATTTCTCTTCGTCGTCCAGTTGGTTCTCCGCGACGCCGTCCGCAAAGAACACGTCCCCCACGGGGTCGGCGAATCTGGCAAACGGGACGTCCATATAGGTGGAAGGGCTGGATGGGCATGGGATCGAGACGGTCTTCTTCAGGACGGACGAGAGTTCAGGGTCGTCCCCCCGAGGCCTTGCCCAGGCAAATCGACTCACCACCTCTTCACATAGTTCAAAGTCGGCCGATATCTCATTCGCGGGTCGGGGCGGTGCGGTGCCCTTGGGGGAAAGCGCCGTCAGCATCTTCCCCGTCTCCTGTAGTAAGCGCTTTGTAGCGCGCGTGCTCCGTTTCGTCGCCACTTCTCGGTATTCGTAGACCCCCGTCACCACGGTCTCCGCCCATCCAATGTCGACCACGAGGGCGGACCGCAGCCCAGCTGCCAGGACCACCATGGCCGGGGTCGGTAAGAGGGTGATGCTCGGGAAGCGCCATCGGCCGAAGAGAGACGACAGGAGTGCGGAGAGTAAGGGGTACGGCATCACCGAGGGCAGGGATAAGACGAGCCGCGACGTCCCGGCGTCCGTCAGGAGGTATTTGTTGTATGTCTCGCGGATCGTCCGCTCAATGCGGTCCTCGACCAACCCGAGGTCGAGGTCGCGCAAGTCCATCTTCCACAGCTCGTAAGCGCTCGCCCACTCCTCCGGATCCCGGGAGCCTGAGGCCGCTGTCACCCCGTCGTGGGTGGTATGCAGAAAGCCTCGGTAGTCTCCCGCCCGGCGCGAGTCCTCAGGACCGCATCCCACGACACACATCGGCGCACTCTCCCCTTCAAACCCAGCCCGCAGCCATCGCGAGCCTATCTCCAGGATGATCGCATCCTCCTCCCCGCGGAATGACGAAGTTGCCGACGACGAGCTGGCAAAGGATGAGTGGTTGGTGCGATGCGGGGGGGAATTAGGCGTGGTCGGTCGCCCGGACTGGCTATGTCGGAAACTCATGAGGCCGTCCAGACGGTACAAAGTATTCCGGAATATATGAGGACGATATGGGATTCGATAAAGGTGGTCAAGGTCGGTCAAGATCGCAAATCGCGTTCAGTCGGAAGTGGTCCCTGCGACATTCAGGTCCAGACGCGCGAAGGGAATCGGGGACGGGGAATGATCAATGGGGCCATGCACAAATCATGCTTCCTCTACCGACAATTAAACGTGACAAGGAATGATCTCGGAGTCCACCGGCAATGTAGAGCCAAGATTCATTAGATTGTATAGATGGGAGAAGCATAGGAGGTGAAGCGGTGTTGAAAACAATTGACCCACGTTAGCTGGTGTTTTGGATGTTTGTTCCCGCTAGGCCATTTCGGGAACTATATATCCATCCTGCGGTGCCATTGAATTACTAGATATAACAGTTAGTATAGTTGAGACTGGTAGGAAATTATTGCTTTATGTTTATTTGCTTTACCAAGCAGCTAATGTGATCTAAGATTGGAACGGACATAAACGTTCCCAGCATAGGCTCGAAAATACAGCAGAAAAGGACTACGTCTCTATACGTAGAAGGGAAGAATAGAAGGAAGATTGAAGCTTGTCTTCTACCAGGTACTACTAGCTAGCTAGGTACATATACTCGAGAGGTAACTCAAAGAAGGAATTAGCGGCATGACGTTGAGATCCGGGATATACAAGGTACAAATATGATAGCCACTGCACCAAGATACAGAGTCGGTATCTGATCGAGCTTAGTATGGCCATGCCAACAGAACATAAACGTAGTAGAATACTTTATAATGTAGCCTATTGACAGAAAATCCCCTATCATATTGGCTCACATGACCGGCTTTTTTTAATGTCTGCTCGCTTTGGACCCTTTGCATCCAACGACGAGTCCGCTGCAGGGGCTTATTACGCGCCCAGCGAGACAGCTAGAATGTTTTACTTATCTCACGTCTGCAGCACCTAGCATTGGCTTCGGTATAAGTGTTCACGTCTGCCGCCTTCTTCGATTTTTCCTCCAGAGGCATGGTGGAAAACACGCAGTTCGGTTGAGGCAAGACGCGGGTCGGGTGAGAAAAGACTATGAACAGCGGCTCGATCATGATTTATTGAATCTACTGTCATTTAGGTTGAATGGGAGTGTCTGCTTGTGAAGAAATTATAAGGTCATGTATTCATGCAAGTGTGCTGTTCCGAGACTCTTCTTGTTCTTATCAAAAAATTTGGTTGTTATTGCCTTCTTGGGGTTCATCGTGTCTTTGTGGGACTTGTGAAATCTTGTCCTTTTGATATTGGCAAACTTGGTGCGAGGATCCTGGGATAATTAGTGCAAGGTTAGATGTAGATAGAAGCGGCCTACAAGTTGCTCTAGTGCGTGACAAAAGTCGTCTACAAGCGTATCAAATGGTTATGAAAAGTCGCTGGGCGATGAACTTCCCAGGTACATTATAAAACGCCTGACAACTTTAGACATGCCGGCAAGGACCAAAGATCAGAAGAGAGAAAAGACAGTCAAAATAAACCACGAAATACTATGAAAGTTAGAGACAAGTGGATTACAGTAGGGAGATGCACGACATGATCATACACAAATAATCCATGTTGAGGTGACTGTTAGCACCTTCCTTACTTGGCACTACATAGTTGGATCATGTCAAATCAATGATGTCTGAGACTTGGAAGGAGCTACCTGGCACATATTCACCAGAACAAGCATTGACTAATTGCAACTGTGGTCTAATAGAATCCAGCTTCAATATCAGATGTAGGCACTGACAGCCACTACAGCGAAATACCGAATCGCTGTTGAATCGTGCTTCATATCAATGATATTCTAACAGTTAAGGGAAAAGGTGAAGGTACCTAGAGCAAGAACGGATGTTCAAGCAGCTGTTTGGCTGTCTTGCGTTCCTCTGGCATCTTTTTCAACATCGATATAATAAACAACAAAAATCACTCTTTCTCCTCGCCACCAATCCGCTCTTCCAGGGCCTCAAGTGACGCCAAGGGGACAGAGGCTTCATGATGAGCAATCCAGCTATCTACAACTATGTCAGCCTTGGAGTAAATCAGAAAAGGTGTGCCATGCAACGTAGGTAACAACCGCTCAAGTCGAAGCGCTTCCCCAGGGCATTTCACAGATAAAGTTATCCGTTGTTGTCTGTAGTCATATTCTCAGAGGGAAGACTCTCCCCTATAGACCTTTAGAGATGGTTCTCTAGACTGGGAGAACTATAGAGCACTACTTGCTACCATAGAGGAGCTTGTTCTTGTTATGAATAGTATCTCCTTTTTCAAGTGTTCTTTACAAGTATTAACAATCCCTAATGACCACTGAATTGCCTCTTCTTCAAATCATTTATAGATATATGCTCAGCAAGTAATTATCCTGAGTATAAACCATCACACTGGATAAATAACAGTAAAGAAGAGTTCGAGCTGATGATCATGCCAGCAGAGTGCATAACATACACAGTGCGTTTAGTAAAGGGCCTGCTACAAAGATGTAGTAAATAGATAGGTTCATTTACGTCACTGTCACTTAATATAACCAGAATATGCTGACAGTCAATCTTTAGCCTTACTACTCTGTTATGCATCGTTCCATGAATCCATACCATGATACCAGGCTGTAAAGACAGAATCCCCTACTGTTTTGTGCAACACGATATATGGGCCCTAGTATCCACAGTCCCCACGATGAGACATTTTCGGAGTGACACTTGACCTCACTCACAGTAACCTCCTTTTCCGGACCTTTTCGCAGTTCCACCTGGTTCCGGCCAGCTGGAATTTCCCAACTGGGAAATGTGGATAGAACGCACAGTGGCAAACCCTGAGAATCGCTATGACATAACAGTCTCACGGTTACCCAGCATAACCTCAACTTATGCCAGCATAGATTAAGTCAGCAGCTCACAATGCCCTAATGCATCCGAATCCTCACGATCATGCTTATCGCGGGCATCCCTGCTGGTTTGCAATGGAAATTATAAATCCAAGTCGGAGGCCTCTCGCGCTAGACTCTGAACAGAATGGTAACAGGCGCACCGTGCGAGCTTCCCCTCCGGATGAATGCTGAGACGGGTCTTTTTGCGGCAACCGCGTGTTCAGGAATGGGCAGGCGAGCTTATTCAGCCTCGTGTTTGTGCAGGGAATTAATCAGCGACCCCACCTCGGCCCTTCGCTCGCCCTTCAGTCTTCCCACTATTGTCGTTCTTTCATCTCCGATCACCGGGACCCACTTCATCCCAAGTCTTGTCGTCTCCCTGCTCTCTCTCTCTCTCTTTCTCTTTTCTTTCTTCCTCTCCCCACTTCCATTAACCCTCCCCGCCCTGTCGTCGAAATTCCATCCACCAAATCAACCCCGGATACACACATTCTTCGCCAAATTATCTATTGTCCACGATTATACCGCCGCTACCACACCACCACTCCGACGTGACATCCGAATTCGTTGAGTCATCTCACCGAGAGACGTCGAACAACTCCTCCCATCCTGACCAAAGGTCCGACGAAACCGCGCAGTGTGAATTGAAGGAATACCGGCTTGCTTGGAGGACAAATTGTGCGAGCGAGGCTACCGCAGCCGGAAACCATCCATCATGACCGAATTCAATGGCCGCCGGGCCCCGAACTTCTCCCAATACTTGGAAGACTTGAACGCCATCCCCTCTCCCTACGACCAAGCCCTGCAGCAGCAACAGCAACAGCAGGACGTGTTCAATGTTGATGCCGACTTGTCACTCTTCACCAACACCGAGTTCTTCGACTTCGACAAGTTTGGCAGTTTCGATCTCCCCGCTTTTGATGCGGTTGAAGATGGCAACCCTAAGAAGGCAAACAAGGCAGAAAATGCACAGAGCTCAGATATTGATTTCTTGAATCTTCTTGGTGGTAAGTGGAAGACTTCCTACACATCCGCGGCCGTTATCCCGGAGCCGTGCTAGATGGACAGACCACAGCGTGTTTCTTTTTTTTTTTTTTTTCTTTTTTCCTTTCTTTCGAATCGATTTGGTGGGGACCAAGGGCTTTGTCCTTGCGCGACCCCTCGTTTCTGGCTGCTCTAGCTGTTTCGTCGAGTATTTTTTGCTTTTTTTCCCGCCAATCTTCCCTTACTGGGTTACCCTTTATACTAAAATCCTTTGCCTTGCACGTCGAAATATCTGGTCCTGCGTGCATCATCTCCCTGGGTTGTCATTGGCTCTCGGAATGGGTCCGCCCAGCCGGTGCCGTGATGGCTTGTGCCAACGTGCATGAGCCCTGCGCCTGGCGTGACCAAGCCTCCATATGGCGCCATTCCACGTGACCCCATCCAGGCCTTTGTTTGTTCTTCTGCGTCTATGCCCATCTTGGATTTACCCCCACCCTGAAAGATCATTGTCTTTGTTTTGCTTTTTGTGGTCTTGTCTAGCACAATTGCTCCGGGATATGCCGTCATGTACAACGTGGCCATGGGTTCTAACTCGTTACAGATGGACTGGGCAACAACATGCCGGATTACTCCGCCCAGGAATTCAACCAAGTCAACACACAGTCGTCCGTCCAACAACACGCGCCCTTCCCTGAACCGCCGTCGGTCACTGAGTCGGTAATCACCCACAATGCTCCGAGCCAGTCGCTCTCTTCAAACCCCTCGCCTGCTTCGACGACGTCATCGCAGGCCCCCACTCCCAAGGTTGCCAACTCGTCCCCGGCTCCGACTCCGGCTCCGGCCCCGAAGCGCAAAAACACACAGAAGACTCCCGTGATGACGGTTGAGGAGGCGTCACTACACGCGGCCGAGGAGGACAAGCGCCGGCGGAACACAGCTGCCAGTGCCCGGTTCCGCGTGAAGAAGAAGATGCGTGAGCAGGCGTTGGAGAAGACCGTCAAGGAGACTACGGATAAGAACAACGCTTTGGAAGTCCGGGTCACCGCCTTGGAGCTGGAGAACCAATGGTTGAAGAACCTGATCACCGAGAAGAACGGCAACTCCGAGGAGGACAAGACCTCCGAGCACGACATTGCCGGCATGTTCAAGAAGTTCCTTGCGTCGCAGAAGGCCAGTGTGCAGGAGAGTAATTCCGATTTCGAAAGTGGTGTGGGAACAGCGTGAGGTCGCTACTGCAACCCGCTCGTTGTTGATTTCTCGTTCATGCGTCTTTATTTCCAATGTTCTTGTAGATGTTATCTGGCGGCTTTATCTTCTTTTTGTATATTTTCTGGGGTTACCGGAGAGACTGGGGTGGCGGCGTCTCATGGGGATTAGGTATGAGTGATGATAATGAACCCAATGGAAGGGATATCTCCATATCAATGGTCTCCTACTGAGTAGTTCTTGTACCTTCAGTCCCGCTCCGAACGTATGACACAAATCATTGGAGCTGTAGGCCACCGATATCTGTTTTGAAAGACGGCCAAGGCACGGTTGCATGACGCGGGGGGTCACCCGTCGATCCACCCATGGCAAAAGCGCTCCAGACATCCAGCGTGGACGCCTCCCGCCGTGCTTGAGTGAGCACCATTGCGGCCTCCTTGCTGAGTGTGGTGTTGGTGCCATTCGTCGTCCGCATCCTTACTTTCGTCCAGTCCTGCTGGTTCCTCATGTTCTGCTTTTGAAACGGGGTTACTCTAGCCTCGCAATGTCGCGAGGGGTGGGGCCGATAGTCTGCGCAGTCAACTCGGCGGTATGCTACTGTGAACAATTGGCTGTTTGTAGTGGTGTCTTGGGTGGCTATTATAGGATGTGCAGAGCATCTTGTATTGAAGAGTCTTGTTCTTTCGTACTGAGATATGTATAAGTGTTGAGGGTCGTGGGCTAGGGCTATACTCAACCAGGTGCATACTGTGGGGGGAGCCAACACCATGATAGAGCAGATTACCAAACTAGACCATGAAACTTTAGATACTCAAATACATAGACACATTTTATCTTCAATTCGAGCCTCTTCAAATATTTCAATTAACCATTCAGACTGAACAGCAATACAATACAACATGTAGTAATTATAGCAATAAATTGGACAATGCAAACACAGCAAACACCCACCAGCTGACGATCTCCGCACTCCACCTCCACCCTCCCCTGCGTCATACCTCTGCCAAAAGGCTCCTCATGCCGCCAGAACGCTCCAATGTACCGGTGAAGCTGTCCTTGCCTCTGGTCAGTCTGCCTAGAATACCCATCACTTTGTAGAGTCTCCGGAAACCGTATTGACACACCCAATCCAGCAATACCAGCAGGACATCTTCACCGAACTCCGCGCCGAGGATGAGCTCGTCATCTTGGCTCGGGGGCTCGGTATTTTACGCCTCGTGACGAACTTGTTGCACTTTTATGATGCGGCGGGGAACAATCTCGTCTTAGTGGTGGGTGCGGATGATCGGGAGAATGAGTGGATTGGGGAAGGTAGGTTTGCGTTGATTGTGTTGGGTGTGGTGGACATCGTGTTGATTTGGTTGTTAGCCCTTGCCGAACACTATGCTATTAGCAAGACTCCGATGGCTAGGGGTTTGAAGGTGATCAATACGGAGAGGGCGACGGTGTCGATGCGGTAGGTTTGAGTGTGTGGATGTGGGTGGTTCGTGTGGTATGGGTACTGATTGTTGTGTAGGGAGAAGATCTATGCGGAGGGCGGTGTTCTAAGTGTGACATCTAGGATACTCGTCGTGGATCTATTATCAAGTATGATGGGTTCGTCGATTTGTTTGATACTCCCGATGCTGATTATCTGTTAGAGCTCCTCGACCCTCAAAAGATCACCGGGATGATCGTGCTTCACGCCGACAGGTAGGGTATCCCGTCTGACACCGAGAGACATCTACTGATAACCGCTAGAGTCATGGCGACCTCGACGGAGGCGTTCATCATTCGCATTTTCCGCGATAACAACAAAACTGGCTTCCTGAAAGCATTCTCGGATCTGCCCGAGCCATTCACAACGGGCTTTGCCCCGCTGGCCAACTCCCTCCGTAACCTGTTTCTCCGCAAAGCTTCCCTGTGGCCGCGGTTCCATGTCACCGTCGCCGAGTCTCTCGAAGGGCACCGAAAAGCGGAAGTGATCGAGCTGGAAGTTCCCATGAGCGAGAAGATGCGCGAAATCCAAAACGCGGTGCTGGAGTGCGTGGAGCTGTGTATTGCGGAGCTGAGAAAGGCGAATGCTGGACTTGATATGGCGGAGTGGACGCTTGATAGCGCCCTTCATAGAAGCTTTGATGTCTCTATACGCCGTCAACTCGATCCGATTTGGCATCGCGTGAGCTTCAGGACTAGGCAGATTGTTAGTGATCTGAGTGATCTGCGCGCGATTTTACAGTGGGTGGCACCGTTCCGCCCTCTACCTTCTACCCACCTGATGTTCTGACTGGATGTTAGTGCCCTGCTCACTTACGATGCTGTATCGTTTGTCAAGTATCTGGACACTATCGTGACCGCCCATTCTCCGCCGCCGGGATCGACGAAGCACAACTATTCGCCGTGGCTCTTTCTCGATGCAGCCCACGTGCTGTTCCAGACCGCCAAATCCAGGGTTTACCAGGGCAAAATCAATAGCGATGCAGCCATTACCTCGACCAATGCGTACATTGACACGCTCCAGCCTGTCCTGGAAGCGCAGCCGAAGTGGGAGGTCCTGGCGGACGTCCTTGCGGAAATCGAAACCGATGCATACCTCAACCCTCTTCCCGCTGATGAATCCAATAGCACGGTGCTTATCATGTGCACCGATCAGAGGACGTGTCGACAGCTTCGGGAATATCTCGGCACCATGCACGCCAGCGTTGGAAGCAAGAACCCCGCTGACCCAGACGATGCAGATGACGCGTCAGAGAAAAAGGGCTCTGCTGATGTGCTGATGCGCCGAAGGCTGAGGGAATATCTTGATTGGAAAAAGACCTTGTCCAATATCAATAAAAACCTGTCAGTACAGCAGAATGGCGATCGACAAACTGCAGGAAGCCGAGACTCACCCGCTCCCGCCAATCTGCCCGGGAGAGCTCCGCCCAACAAGCGACGCCGGGTCCGTGGGGGCGGAGCGGTTTCTTCTGCTGCAGGGCGCGTGCCAAACACCAGTGTGCAGACGGATGTCGAGCAGCCTGGACAGGTCATCGAGTTGATAGATGAAGTTCAACCGACGGAGATTGAAGAGGCGCAGAAGGCGGAGATCGTCATCGACTTCCTGGAAGATATGGAAGATTATTACGAATTATACGACATGAACGACTTGGTAATGATACATCCCTACGACGGAGACATGGATGAACACATATTGGAGGAAGTTCGGCCGCGGTACATCATCATGTACGAGCCTGATCCCGCGTTTATCCGACGGGTTGAAGTATACCGCAGTTCTCATGCGGGCAGGAATGTGCGTGTATACTTCATCTATTACGGGGGATCCGTGGAAGAACAGCGGTATCTCAGTGCTGTCCGACGGGAGAAAGATTCGTTTACGAAACTCATCAAGGAGAAGAGTGTATGGCTGCCCATCAACCCTTACTGCAAACTATTGACTCACATCGAACATAGAACATGGCCGTTACAATCACCCACGACAGAAGCGCCGAAGACCCCCAGGAGCAGTTTCTCCGGACCGTCAACACCCGCATTGCAGGCGGTGGTCGTTTAGCTGCCACCGCGGCGCCGCCTCGCGTCGTGGTGGACGTCCGCGAGTTTAGGAGCGCTCTTCCGTCGTTGCTACACGGAAACAACATGATCATCGTACCCTGCCAGCTCACTGTGGGCGACTACATCCTAACGCCAGACATCTGTGTTGAGCGCAAATCCGTCCGCGATCTGATCACCTCGCTTCGGAATGGGCGACTCTACAACCAGGCTGAGACCATGCTGCAGCACTACAAGAACCCCCTGCTCCTCATTGAATTCGACCAGAACAAATCATTCACCTTTGACGCGTTCGCTTCCGCTTCAACCCCTGGCACCACTTTCCTCACCGACTACGGATTCTCCTCCTCCGGCACAAGTACCACCACCCCGTCGACCAGCACCTCCCTGGTCAACCCGTCCAGCCCAAAGTCCGCCCAGCACCTCATCGTCCTCCTCACACTCACGTTCCCACGCCTTAAAATCATCTGGTCATCCTCCCCCTACCAAACAGCCGAGATCTTTGCCGAGCTGAAAAAGAACAACCCCGAACCGGACCCTGTCCGGGCCGTTCAGACCGGTTTAGATATGGATTTTGGCGCTGATGCCGATCCCGGCGACATTATGGCTGCCGCGGGCGTTGAACACCGCACCTATAATCTCCTTCCCCAGGATATGCTGCGGGCTGTGCCCGGCGTGACTCCTCCGGTCCTGGAACGACTGATAGTCGAAACGGACAATATCAATGAGATTGCCAATATGAGTGTGGAACAGCTTGATCCTCTGGTGGGGATCGAGGCGGCGCGCAAGATAGTGGGGTTCTTCCAGAAGAGTGTTTTTGAGGAGAATTAGCTGTTATTAGGGTAATTTACTATAATGGGGACGTCAATCATATATAAAAAGGACTACATGGATTATACATGATGCGATTGTAGTACTCCTAGTAAAGTAGGGATGATGCCTGACTGCCTGAACACAACGTCATGCGTTGCCCGGGCGGGGTTTCCCGCTGACTGGATCTTCCCCGACATCAACAAAAAACTTCCCCCTCCTCCGATACCGACGATCACTCCCCGTCCACCGATGTGGCTTGACCCGCGACAATGGCTTCGTATGACGCTGTCCCTACTTCCCAGCACTCGCAGGATGCAAGGAGCTGTATAACGAAGCTAACATGTGGTTCAAACCCCCAGAAATATCCTCCAGTTCCCATTTCGACGCTCCCACACCGTCTCCCTATCCGATGCCATCACGCAGTACATCTCGTCGAAATATGACCAGCGCCCGGATATGTTCGCGGACGATCTTTTGATCATTGATCGTTTGCGGGATGAGGCTATTAATGTGCTGGAACCCCATGTGAGCGGGATTAGCCGGTTGGTTACGTACGCCGCGCAGTTGAAGTGGCTGGGGGGGAAGTTTCCGGTTGATGTGAGTAGGGTTGTTATTCCGGGGAAGCCGAGATTTAGAGTTGGAGGAAGGGGGGAGAGGTGAAGAAAGTTATGTGGACATGTTGGCTGATGCGATGGTTGGATGTTAACAGGTCGGGGTGGAATTCCCTTGGTTTCCGGCGTTTGGGCTCAATACGTCGCGGCCAGGTATGGATTGCTCCTATCTGATTCTTGTTTTTGGCTTGGATTCGGTGGTGAGGATCAATGCGCTAACTTCCATTGCTATCTCCAGTCTCGCAGAACAATATCCGCTTTGAACTGGCGAACATCATCTTCAACCTGGCGGCACTGTACTCGCAGCTGGCGTTCGCAGTGAATCGCACGACGGCCGATGGGCTCAAACAGGCTTGCAACTACTTCTGCCAGGCGGCGGGGATTGTGGTGCACTTGCGCGCGGATATACTCCCCGATCTTCGCACGTCGCCGCCGGATGACATGGACGAGATGACGCTGCTGAGCTTGGAGAAGCTGCTGCTGGCGCAGGCGCAGGAATGCTTCTGGCAGAAGGCTGTCAAGGACGGGTTGAAGGACGCCTCGATTGCTCGGCTGGCTGCGGTCGTGTCGGACTTTTATGCGGATGCTGGCGCCCACGCCGTCAAGTCGAATGCGATCAGCCCTGAGTGGATCCACCACATGACCGCGAAGCATCATCATTTTGCTGCGGCGGCGCAGTACCGACAGTCGTTGGATTGCTTGGAGAAGCGCAAGTACGGCGAGGAGGTCGCGCGCCTCCGGGACAGCGTGGCGTGCGTCGATGAAGCGCTGAAGGAGTCGCGGTGGATCAACCGGACCGTGCTTGGAGATCTGCAAGGGTTGAGAAACCGAGTGACGGATGATCTGAGACGGGCGGAGAAAGACAACGACGTGATCTACCTTCACCCGGTGCCTCCGAAATCGGAACTGAAGCTGCTTGATCGTGCGTGCCTCGTCGCGGCCAAGGCACCATCGCAGGTCACGGATGCGATCTCCATGCTGGGGGATAATGGGCCTTTGGGGCAGCCGTTGTTCTCGAAATTGGTCCCTTACGCTGTCCACATCGCGGCGAGCATCTACTCGGACCGTCGGGATCGGTTGGTCAATGAGACGATCATTGGCGAGCTGGAGACCATGACAGACAAGCTGCGGGAGTACGATCCAGGTGTCCGAAATATCTTCTGAAATATGCTAATTAGATACAGTTTGCTGTCGTCGCTGAACCTCCCCGGGTCGCTGCAGGCACTCGAAAAGCCGCTTGGGCTACCACCGACCTTGGTGTCGCACGCGGAAGAAATGCGCCAACAAGACGGCTTCTACCGGCTCCGTCGATCCATTGAAGACACCGCCACAGTGAAGGCGAACGACCAGGCTGTATATAACGAGGGCGTGGAGCTTCTCGCGGCAGAGAAGGCCGAAGACGATGCTTCGCGCCGGCGATATGGGACGGAACGATGGGCTCGGGACTCGTCCGAGGCGGCCGCCGCGAAGCTGTACAAAACGTCCGGGGAAATCGACGGCTACTTCACGTCGGCGCAAAGCAGCGATAACCTCGTGGAACAGAAGCTCCGTGACTCGGAGGCCGTCTTCAGGGTACTCACCGGTACCAACCGTGACCTGGAGATGTACGTTCCCAGCAGTCGGAGAGCGGCCATTCCCCCGGAGGTCGAACATGAATCTTCTCGACTCCGCGGATGTTTGAGCGAGGTTAGCCGGCTAGAGAGCCGACGGAAGCGACGCGCACAAGCCTTGAAAGATAAGGCGCGGTCGGATGATATCAGTATGTACCCCGCCCCGGTTTTCACTTGGATGGCGCTCACCATTAATAGGTCGGGCTCTTCTTCGAGAAGCTGCCAGGCTGGAACGCGAGTTCCCAATGCAGCCGATCTCGGCAGGCCAATTCGAGGAGCTATTCGAGGACCAGCTGCGCGCGTACGATACAGACCTCGCCATGGTCGCGCAGGAGCAGCACGACCAAGACCAGATCGCGGCGCAAGTCCGGGAAGCGAACCGGGCATTCACGCGGGCGCACACTGGCGACGCCTCGACCAAGGAGCGAGAGAAGGCGCTACAGGAGCTGGAAAATGGCTACCTCAAATACAAGGAGATCATCTCCAACATCGAAGTCGGACGGAAATTCTACAACGACCTGGCCAAGATCGTCGGGCGATTCCGCGACGACTGCAAGTCATTCGTGCATCAGCGCCGAATGGAAGCGAGCCAGATGGAGTCGTACGTCCTTTCCAATCCATCCATCTCATCATTCACGGGTACTAACGAAACCAGGGACATCTCCAGCGTGACAGCCATGGCATCACTGAACATCTCCCCACCACACCTCCGACCTTACAATAACGCGCCACCAGCTCAGCCCATCCCCCAGCCGGCACCACAGCCCGCACCACAACCCCCGCCCCAGGTGGTGCACCCACCTGTCCAGCCACCTGTTCAACCCCCGCCGGCGGCACGATCAGAGCCCCTCACGGCACCGCAGCCGACTCGAGCGAACCCTCGACCGCCGATGGCGCCCGGGATGTGGAATCCCGAGATGGGCATCCGCTTCGGCGGACAGCCTGGGACGTGGGATCCCAGTAAGGGAGTGAAGTTTTCTTAGACTAGATAGTGTATATAATTAACTTGCTTTTATGCCTGGCTGGTATTTGGTCGGGTTGGGAATATTTCTTATGTGTTTATATGGTCTATTTGGTCCTGCACATAATCCGTGTCCTGATTCTAGCGCTGCAAGCGTTTATTATGCACCGTCGATAGACGAGGCGGGATAGATGCGCTTAATTGAGCTGGTGCTGCTGTGGCACCTCATTATGAAGAATAGGACTAGACCATTTGTATGATCTCCAGCTGTACCTAGTACAGCATAGAGACAGTTCGGGGATTGTTTAGCCATGGGGATATCTCAGTTCTATCGGCGTAAGCATTGAGTTGATATTCGAGGCTTTGCACAACCAGTGGATTACGACATTGTACAGTTACAGACGGGTTTCTGGGATCGCCTAGGAAAGAATTATAGCAACTCCTAGTCGATTAATTGCTTTGTTTCATTTTTGGAAACACCAAAAGTGCTACTTGGGTCTTGATCTGGGTCGGATGTAGGAGTGAGTTTAGCGGTTAGGGCTAATATATATATTGATTCCGTGAGCCTACCACTTTTCGATTGGCTTACCAAGTTGCGAATATATCTAATCTGAAGTCGCTGGCTCTGTAACTACTACATATCTTTATATATGAAGCTACTAAATAAGAGTGGTTTGAAATGATACGCCAATTACGCCGAGAATTGCTGGATGCGGCGTGCGCCAGCTTTGTGGAGGCGGACCGTCCACACAGTCCGTCGAATGGTCGCGATATGGAGAAAATACCACGCGGCCATATATGACTCAGAAAACAAATATGATCACTTGTGCATGTTTAAAGAGCTATCTAAAACATCTATATATCGAGTGTTGGCTATATGCTGAAACGAAGGGCACCGCAGCATTACCCGGACTTGGACTTGGACTTTCCTCCAAGTTCCTCGACGATATTCTGCGGGTCTTTCCAGGCGAGAGCGATGTATCTATTGGAGAGGTAAGTTTGTATACTTGCGAGCACCCTGATGCTCTATAGATGGTGCCATACTTGGTGTGACTTCCTCGGGCAACAATGTCCCCCTTGGCGTTGCGGAAGTTGATGGAGGTGAATGCGAGGGTTTTGCCAACTAAGATCTAGTTAGGCATGGCCATATCATAACAAAGATGCTTGAAACCTACACTTGTCGCAGCTGGCCTCCTGTAGAAATTGTTAGTATAAGTGTTTAAGGGAACTGTTGAGAAACCTACAGCCAAGATCCGGTCCCCGATCTTACCACCGGAACTGATATACGTCACTAGATGCGAGATTAGGCCCGACGGAAGATATGATAGTAGTTTGCTGGCAGCACTCACCGTTGAGATCAGTCGACACACCCGTCGCGAACAAACCGCGAGAGGCAACGGCCAGCGAGCCACCGAGGTCCACTGCATGGGTCAGATCAATCCCTAGACATGGAGGAAAAAGAGCCAAGCTCAACATACCCATACTAGCGATGGTGCCACCATGGAGGATGTTCAGACGGTTCTGATCACGCATGTCAGTGCCATAAGACTAGAACAGACCGGGGTGGAGTACCGTGTGCTCTTTCTTAACATCGAGTTCAAAGTTGACGAAGCCAGGTCTGGCGGCCGTCACTCGGAGCTAAACATGCCACCATCAGCATTCTAGATTCTGGCAATGACAATCCTAGCACCAAGAGCGGTTTGAGCTCCGCTTACATTATCCAGGAGCCTGTTCACCGACAGAACTAAATCAGTCACTGTATCCTTTGTCAACATCGGATACGCTTACCGAGGCTCCAGCCCCGAGGTAGCCCGAAAGGACTCCCAGACCTGAGATTGGTTAGTGGATGTTAATTGGATGGGGTGGGGGACTAACAGATCGGACAAAACGCAAGGCAGGCATTGTACACTCTAAACAAAACAGAGGGATACAGTAGTCAATGTATAGATAGATGTTGAGATGATAAAGATAGGTTGAGTATATCGAGCATAACTGTGGAGTATTGGAGTATATTATGCTGCTTACATAACCCCGATTGTGCGCGGGGAGGCCGCTGCGCCCGCCGTAATTTGTGGCATCCATTCAGGCTCATTCTTCTTTCTTCCAACAACCTCATTCTTGCAACTCTCCCAGCATGTCGTGGAGCTGATCTCGTCTCTCCTTCCCACCCGGCAGAATGGCGGCCGCTCCATCCCGTCCGTTTGATTACCTTGAAGGCCTGCCGGGCACCGTCTTCTTCAAACTCTATCAGCAGCCCTCGACCGCTCTCGCGATCTTCCGGCGCATGCTGCCTGATTTGGGTATGTGGCTCTCCGATCGCCAGGTCTGACAGGAACCGGACAATCGAACTGACTGGTGGTGTGGTGAAATGAAGCAAAATGCTTTGTCATGGCTCTTCTCTATCTGAAGGATCCCCTCCCTGCGGGGGATCTTGAGGGTTGGGTCAAATCCGGCAGTATCAAGTGAGTGGCCTATAATTAGTGTTACATCATTCGTGAACGACGTCTGATCTTTTATCTTTTTCTGTCTAGGGAACGAGATAATGCGCTCTCGATCTTAGGTCGTCTCCATATCCTGTCGAATACCGTAACATCCGACAATGTGCGTGCCTATATGGTCACCAACCCGTTTTCGACCTCCCTTCGCCAGGCCCTGACCGGCGCGGAGCAAACCCAATCATTCGGGGTGCTGGCGCAGATTCCCCCACAGTCGGCGGTGCCGATCCCCGAGCTCGATGAGTATGCGCGACGGCAGTGGGAAGGCGTTCTGGGGTACATGGTGGGGACGAGCGGGCTGGGAGCGCAGCGCGAGGCCGGTCTCAGCAAAGGCGTCAAGCAGCTGCTGCAAGCCGGTCACCTGGTGGAGGTCCGGGACCGTCGCGTGGAGATCACGCAGGATGGATTCGCCTTCGTCTTACAAGATGTCAGCACGCAAGTGTGGCACATCCTCATCCTCTACGTCGAGAGCGCCGAGGCCATCGGCATGGACAGCGTCGAAGTCCTGTCGTTCCTGTTTCTTCTCAGCAGCCTGGAGCTCGGGAAGTCCTACGAGAAGAGGAACCTGACCTCCAACCAGCTCCGCACCCTGACCGACCTCACCGACTTCGGGATCGTCTACCAAGATTCCACCGAAGCCACCCACTTCTACCCCACCCGCCTGGCAACCACCCTAACTTCCGACTCCAGCACCCTCAGCAACCCCATCGCAGGCTCCCTGACCGGGCCCACCGGCACATCGTCAGGCGGGAGCAAGGCCGGAACAGGATTCATCATCATCGAGACCAACTACCGCCTCTACGCATACACCTCGTCCCCGCTCCAAATCTCCCTCATCGCCCTCTTCACCACCCTCAAATACCGCTTCCCCAACCTCCTCACCGGCAAAATCACCCGCCAGTCCATCCGCCGCGCCATCGAAATGGGCATCACCGCCGACCAGATCATCTCCTACCTCTCCACCCACGCCCACCCGCAAATGCGCAAACACAACGCCTCCCGCGCCACCTCCAACCAAGCCGGCATCCCCTCCGTCCTGCCCCCGACAGTCGTCGACCAGATCCGCCTCTGGCAGCTCGAGCGCGATCGCGTCAAAGCCACCCCGGGCTTCCTCTTCAAGGACTTTGTCAGCTTGACCGAGTACGAGGCTCCTTGTCGCTACGCCGAGGAGATTGGCGTCTTAGTGTGGAAATCCCACAAGAAGCGCATGTTCTTCGTCACTCGCCACGAGCAGGTTGCTGCGTTTTTGCGTAGTCGGAAGTGATTTCTACTCTTGAGGAGAGTGGTTCTACGTTATTACCTGATCTGATTTGATCTGATCTGATCGGCTAAGCGGATTACCCCGGTCTTGGGGATTTGTAGCATAAAAACTGAAACAGCCCGGCGTTAAGGAGGTTTTTTATTTCACGTTCTGTCCAGTTCGCATAAGACGTCGCATTTCTCTATCTTGGTCTGATTTGTGTATAATGGGTTATTAGAAGTATGACGGACGGGTTGATGCTCATGTTCAGTAATCCGATTTTCTTTACACTTAGAATCAATTGATCAATCAATAAATCATCATCAATCATGACCCAGTCAGTGTATACACCATACAGTACGCTCATTTCAATGCATATATCAGACCATATGTCAACATTATCAATGTAATCAGATATTCTCGTATATAGCAATTATTACCCACCCAGCTATGCAACAAGCAAACAAGCAAACAAGTAAGCAAGTAAGTAAGCATCAAGCAAACAAACAAGAAGCAAATCGCTCAGCTCAATTTCGTACGCGCTTGATTGACAGCCAGCCACCAAAGATCGACAACAGATAAAAAGACACAGACGAATAGTAAAAGACAAGGAAGAAAAAGAAGGACCTATACAGCAATAAATCTAAATATACGGAAGAAAAGAAGAAAGAGAGGAATCACTCAGGAACAGCAATATTCTCCCACCCCTTCTGCCCCTCCTCGCGGTGCTCCACAATAACCTGCAATCCCCTCCGGCCGCAGAAGCCGTCATTCCCCGCTAACCGGTCCACGACCTGGAAAGAGCCGCCGCCCTTGTCGAGGTTGTCAGGGACCCAGACGGTGTCCTGCACGCGCTGGCCGGGGATTTCCTCGCGGCGGGGGTTGGACCACGGTAGGCCGACGAGGTGGTTGACGACGTTGTGGAGGAAGGGGTAGAGTTTCTCGAAGCGCCGGGTTGTGCTCAGCCAGGAGAGCGTGCCGCTGTCGTAGGCGACGCGCACGTACGGGTTCATGTAGATGCCTGTGTCGGTGAGTTCGTCGACGCTTGAGCTTGGGGCGTCTTGGATGTCGGCGTGCACGAGGCAGCATTCGGAGGCTTCCCAAAAGAGGTCGTGTGCGGCGCGGAAGCGTGTGGGTGGGGGTGGGGGCGGGAGGGGTTGGGTTTTTGCTGGGTTGCGCTTTTGGAAGTACTGCGCGTCGAAGGCGACCATGCCGCCCCAGCAGCTGCGGACGCGGACGGCGTCGCGCTCGGAGAGAACGTCGCTGCGGCTGTGGCCGTTGCCAGCGGTGGAGAACCACGGGAAGAAGGGAAGCCCCATGCTGTAGCCTTGGAGGTCGCGCGTGGCGTAGGTGTCGTAGAACTTGAAGGCGTTGACGAAGTCGACGGCGCAGGCGGCGCGGTACTGCGCGATGCCGTCGTTGTCGGCGGCGTTGGTGGAGAAGAGGAGCTGGAGGGCATCGACGGGGTCGAAGACGACGTCGTTGAGGTAGAGGAGTTTGTCGTAGTGGTCTTGGGCTTCGTCTAGGGGTTTCAAGGCCCGGTTCCGCACTTCCGCTAGGTATTCGATACGCTTGATGCGCGTCTCCCCGCCGGGGATGGTGACGGTTGGAAGGGTGGTCAGGTCGAGGTGCTCCTCAAAGATGATGGATTTCTTGCACCGGACTTGCTCTTCCAGGCTGCGCAAAGCGCTCCGCCCGTCCTCCCCGCTGTCGTTCTCGTAGATACTCAGGAACACGTTGTCCGGTCCCAGCAGATCAACGAGCTGCAGCACCCGCGACCCCCATTCGCCCCCCGCGAGGTCCCCGCTCTTGTCGTACAGGCTGGCGGCGATGAAGACCTTCTCGTGGCGCACGTTGCCCCGTCCGGGGTCGGTCGACTGGTCGACGGCGTCCCGGAGCGTGGCATACTGCGGCGGGGGGTTCGAGTACGACGGGCGCAGAATGGCACTGCCGACCATCAGGGCGACCATGATGCCCATGATGAGGTTATGGTAGAAGCATAGTCGGCGGAGGAGGCGGGAGCAGGATGATCGCGGGGCGGAGGAGATGAGCGGTCGTGACGGCTTGATGCGGCGGTATCCGGCATAGGTCGAGGAGAACAGTCGCGATAGGAGAGGCACCCGGTGCAGTAAGCGCCTGGGCTGTGGGGGTATTTGCGACTCGAAGTCGGCGTCATCGAGGTTGAAGCTCCCCTGCGAGTCGACGGACGATCGAGCGTCGAGCTCGTACTCGTCCGGATGAAGGAGTCGGGCGGACATGGCGCGGGTGGGATCGTCAACTAGGCAGACGAGGAGGCGGACATAGTGAGAAGATGACAACGGAGAGACGTCCAGCACGCCATGGCTTGGTTGTTTTAAAGACGAAGAAATCCAATCGGGGGAAACAGAAGATCGATGATCGGCCGGGGATGACCTGGTCGCTTATGTCAGCGCCTGCAGCGTGCCGTATCAGATTGAAGAAGTCTCAGTCTCAGCGCAGTGCGAAACAGGGATCCCTGGTCGGGTTATGGTGATGGTTATGGTTCTATTGTTACTCAGGTCTCTCAGGGTATACAGGAATATAGACATCAATCACGCCTCCGAATCGCTCGCCTCGCTGTCCGAGTCACTATCCTCCTCCGAATCCAGCTCCTCATCCTGCTCTTCCTCCGCCGCGGACGGGGGCAGCATCACGAACGCCTTGAGACAGGTGATGCGGTGACCCGTCTCGTATGCGTTCAGGAGCCGGCCGACCTGACGGACCGGAGTCGCCGATTCACCGGACGGCTTGGATTTCTCTCCGACGAGTTCCTTTCCACGCAGCAACCACACCCGGACCAGTCCTTCGCTACCGCCGGTGACCACCAGGAAGTCGTTCTTCCCGACAGCCGGCTCGTTCTTCAAGTTCATGATCTCAAAATCCTTCACGCGCCCGGGGAGACCGCACGGCTTTCCACCGAGCTGGGCGACCGCCTCCGCGTACGGGATCGGGCACTCGGCCTCGTCGTCGGATTTGCGAGTCTTCTGGGTCGAGTAGAACCCGATGCGGCCGTCTTCGGTCGACACGGCGAGTAGCTCTTCGCTGTCCTCGGAGGAGGGGTCCACGGAAACATACTTCATCTCGTGCAGCTTGCTCCGGGGGCTCGGCAACACTCTGCAGATGGGGGTGGAGTCCTGCGAACGAGTTCGTCAGTCAGCTTGATACTCACCCGGGGATTGACATGACAGGAAAGGATGACTTACAATTCCAAAAACCACAGCGCCCCACTCAAACGCGACAGCAAATTCCTCGCCCTTCGAATTCCAGATAATCTTCCGGCCCTCCCCAGTACTCCACTTGCCCTCCTTCACCCCCATTAGCATCTCGCGGGTAAAGTTCAATACACCCGCCTTCTTCCCCGTAACCAAATTCCACAATCGCATACACTTCTCCCCCTTCCCGACACTCAACATAACCTTCATACTCGGATGCACCGCAAAGTCATTCACACCAGTCGGGGAACCCCCGGGCGGCGCCGTATCACCGCTAGGCCGGCCCTGCATCTTCGGCCGGGGAGCCTTGATCGTAGAGACCACAGTCCAGTCGCGGGTCTTCGTAACGGAGATGGAGTTATCGTCCGAGCCGGCGAGCAGCTTCGAGCGCGACGGGAAGCTCAGCGACGAGACGCTGGCATCGTGGTGCAGCAGCGTGCCCAGCTCTTTGTTCTTGGGGTTCTCGAGGATCTGCTGGCCCGACAGCGACGGGAGCGACGGGAAGTCCTCGCCCGCGGCCGGCGCATGCGCGGACAATGAGTACAGGTTGACTCGCTCGTCGGAGCTACCGCTCGCCAGAGTGATCTTCTGGGCTTCGCTGCCCGACTCCGATGCAGATGGCATCGGCGAGAGGGCGAGACATCGGATGGCGGAGGCGTGGGCTTCGAAGAGGAAGGTGTCGGAGAACTGGACGAGGGATGGGTCGGTGGTGGGGGTTTCGTCTTTCTGTTTCTTGTCGGTCGACTTCGAATCGAACGACGATGGAGAGACGGCCGCTGTGAAGCCGTGTAGCACCGATTCGTAGGACCCGGTGACGATCTGCAAGGTGACGGCCGGATCATCGACGGTCGGCTTGGGCGTCGGGGCAGGCTTGGGGGTGGTCGGTTTGATTGTTTTGGACGGCTGAGTCGAAGCGGCCTTGGCCGTTTCTTGTCTCTTGCGTTTAACCATGATTGCTGTGGGGAGCGAAGAAAAAGGTGTGAGTGAAAGTTGATGTCGAATGGATCGCAGGAAAAGCGGTTGACTTTTTTTTTCTTTCATTTTCTTTCTGCGGGACTTTTGCGGGCGGTGAGAGTGGATGGCTCACCGCCTGCTTACAAAATTATATACTGCATAAATGATGCATAAAGTGTGAAATACGATATGGTCGTTCTGGAAGTGAAGGAAACAAATGGAATAAAAGATAAGATAAATAGATAAACGATTGCACACGTTTCATTCTGACATCCGAAAATCCTAGTAATACTGGTATACATGATGTTCCTGCTCAGGATCGGCCCAGTAAAGCAATGGGTATATAGATAGGTATATTCGTTATAGGACCACAACATCGTGGATGCGATGCGAAAGGAGCCGAATCATGGTACAGAAGGACCGAAATAATGCGCTAAATTGACACTTGCAGAGGCGTAACATGACTTTTTTTTTTGAGCTTCCTTTCCTTTACTCAACCTGGTCCAGCTTCTGCACAACCATGGCGCTGGCAGCACCGCCACCGTTGCAGATGGCGGCGACACCGTACTCGCCGGGCTGCAGCTGGTGAAGCAGAGTCACCAGGATGCGAGAGCCGGAGCTGCCGAGGGCGTGGCCCAGGGAGATGGCGCCGCCCAGGGGGTTGACACGGGCGTTTTGCAGACCCAGGATCTATCGGGGTTAGAATATGATCAAAATGATAGTGAATGGTGAAAGGGGAAGGAGAAAAGGATGCTCACCTTCTCGTTCGCCTTGATGACAGCGGCAAAAGCCTCGTTGAACTCCCACACGGCAACCTGGTCCTTGGTGATGCCGGCCCGCTCCAGGGCAATGGGGACAGCCTTGGCCGGCGCCACGGGGAAGTCAACAGGGTCGATGGCAGCGTCCGCGGAGGAGACGATGCGAGCCAGGGCACGGTTGCCCTTGCCGAACTCGCGGGCCAGCTCCTTGCTGGCAATGACCAGGGCCGACGCGCCGTCGTTCATGGTGGACGCGTTGCCAGCGGTGACGGTGCCCGTGCCGTCGCGGACGAAGGCAGGCTTCAGGGTCGGCAGCTTGTCGATGCGCAGGTTCTCGTATCCCTCATCACGCTCGATCACGGTCTCGCCCTTCTTACCCTTGACGGTGACGGGGACGATCTCGTCGGCGAACTTGTTCTGGCTCCAGGCCTCCTGGGCGCGCTGGTACGACTGGATGGCGTACTGGTCCTGGTCCTCGCGGGAGACCTCATACTTCTTGGCGGTGTTCTCGGCGCACACGCCCATGTGGAACTTGTTGTAGACGTCCCACAGACCGTCCTTGATCAGACCGTCCTCCAGGGCGAGGTTGCCAAAGGGGGGCAGCTGGCCCGCGCGGGCCATGTAGTAGGGGACACGGGACATGTTTTCCATGCCACCGGCAATCTGGGCCTCCGCCAGACCGAGCTGGATGTTCTGGGCGGCCAGCGCCACCGCCTTGAGACCGGACGCGCACACCTTGTTGACCGTCGTTGCTTCGACCGTGGGGGCCAGCCCAGCAAAGATCGAGGCCTGACGGGCGGGCGCCTGGCCCACGGAGCCCTGCAGGACGTTGCCCATGTACACATCGGTGATCTTCTCCACGGGAAGGTTGGACTTGCCGACGGCGGACTTGATGGCCGCGGCGCCGAGCTCGGGGGCGGATACCGACGAGAACGAGCCGTTGAACTGGTGGGAAGTCAGCCATCACGGCCGTTCGTTTTGTACATTGACCCGGAACATTTCTTACCTTGGCCGTCGGCGTACGGGCACCACTGAGAATGTACGCCTCCTGGATCTCCTTCAGGGCCGGTCGGGCGGAGCTGAAGTTCCTGAGTCCCTGGCGAGATGCGGGGAAAGCGGCGCGCTTGGAGAGCATACGGGCGGCGAGCCCAGTCGAGGTTTGGATGGCCATGATGATGGAATGTGTTGGGAATGGAGAGCGAAGAGTGAAGAGGGAGACCAGATCAAACACAACACCAGACAGGATGAAGAGGAGTGAGGAGGAGAAAGACGAGGCAGACGGGGCATTCCGCCTCTAACCGCCTTTTCCACCCGCTGGGCCGAGGCTGTTCGCGGATTACGTCACGTCACATGATGTCTACTACTAATCAATAAGGGTTGCCAACTGGTCAATCTTTATCCAATACAGAGAATATCCATCGTAGATTTATTATACATAGTAATGAAAGATCACGAGACACTAGCAATCTGCTCCTCCGTCCAATCCCAAAAGCGTTTACCCATGTCCGCATCGGTAGCATACTTACTGGACCCTTGCCGACCCACCGGAACATAGTAGGCCCCGTTGACGAGGCGCTCCCTCGAGACGCCGGTAGCAAAGAGCTGGTTCAAGGCCCCCGAGCGTATGCTTCGCAGAACCGCGAACAGCGCAGTCACCGACAGTCGCGCGATGGCCCCCGACGCCTTGGTGTGCTCGTACAGGGGGCTCGACACTGCGCCGGGGTGGATGGAGACCGAGAGGAGTTCGGGATAGCGTCGGGCCAGCTCCGCCGCAAAGAGGACGTTGGCAGCCTTGGACGCACCGTACCGGGTGAGCGATCCGGTCTGGAGTAGTGCATCCGTCGAGGTCAGGACATCGTAGGCGGGGGCGGTGTTGTGCGCGACCGAGCTCACGGTCACGACGCGCACGTCCGCGTCCGGGACCTCTCGCGCGGTCTTTTGAAGGGTGGGGAGCAGGAGCTTGGTGAGGAGGAAGTGACCCATGTGGTTGGTCCCCAGTTGGATCTCGAACCCCTCCTGGGTCACTCCGGGCGGATTGGCCATGGTTCCCGCGTTCAGGACCAGGCGGTCGAGACGGTCACATTCCCCCTGAAACTGCTGGGCGGCGGCGCGGATCGACTGAAAGGACGTGAGGTCGAGGGGGATATGTCTGATGTCGACGGGAGACGGAATGGATTTCTGAATCGATTCGATGGCCTCTTGCGCCTTGGTGGCACTCCGTGCGCCAATGTAGATGCGAGACGGACGGTGGTGGGCGAGCTGAATGACCGTTTCTTTTCCCAGACCGGAATTTCCTGCGCGGGTGGATCGATTAGCATCTCGCAACCAAGACATTTAGGAAGAAGAGAAAAGGAAAGGGGGAAGGGGGTCGCATACCTCCAGTAACCAAGATTACTTTCCCAGATAAGTCTCCAATATCTCGTTGGGGGTCAAACACGGACCCCAGCAGACCAAAAGTGGCTTCATTCAGGGTCGGACCGACGCTGGCGGCAAAATCCAGGGGGTGGGTGATGGCATGCCGAGCGAACAAACTAATAGTGGCAGAGTCTACCAGAGCCTTGGACATGTTGGCGGTGATCCAGTGGACTGAATGAGGAGGTGGATAATTCGGACGAGGTCAACGGATTGTTCTGGAGTCGGGGATCAAAATATGGGATTGTAAGAGGGCGCGACGATCCTCCGGGCAGCGGGGTGGGCCACCGAGGTCCAGCATGATCAACGGAGAGAGGTATCAGATGGACCTATAGAGGTTTTAGGTTAGGAATGGAGTGGATGGAATTAACCGAGAGGAGGCTTTGACGAAGCACAAGTGAGGCGCAAGTCCAGGGGATGTTGAGGTTGGAAGTGACACCGCGTCAGATAATGTCGGATAGTGTGCGGGGAGTCGGGATATCTCAACACATTCTCGCCAACCATGGTTCTACCTTGCAGGATTCAGGAGTAATTTACTTTAAGTTTATTTCTCTACTGCTCATATTTGAGTCGCTCACAACACATTGAACTGTAGATATTCAAGCGACTATGTATACCAACACCCATTGGATAACAGACCAAGCATTGCGTGCGACAACAACACCCAGAGATGACCATTTCAGAACCATATGAAGTCTTCTCTCCTTCCATATCCCGTCGCATGCTTGATTTCTCCTGGACAGATGCTTTCATGTCTGTCTTGAACGGCTTCTTCTTTCCTGCAACCACGGCCTGTTCTTGACTGCTTGTATGTCGCGTAGATGACCCCAGGACTGTCACGTTGCGGTCGAGCGCGCTTGCGACCTTTGGTTTGTCCAAAAGATCGAAAATAACGTTGAGTGTGCATGTCACTAATTTAGCGTTGGGCAGCTGGAGATGTTGTCGAGGTATGTGTATAGATGTACATCTTGCGAAAAGGCTATCCAGCGAGATGCGACTGGAGATACCTCGGGCGTTCATGATAGTCAACAAGACTAGATACTGTGTGGGTTATGAGTTAGCACAAACACGATCTGGACATCAATACCACATGTCACAAATCAAGATATATCAAAGATCAATCACCAAGATGGATCCAAACGACAGATCCAAAGATCATGAAGAAAGATCATCCCGACCAACTCCAACCGGACTAGCGCGAGGCCCATATTCAGCCCAACCTTTTCTTCATGACGACGACAACATTTCCAACTACAACTCCAACTCCAACTACCTGACTCTCGAGTCACATCAATCACCTCTTCTCTACTGCTTATCTGACAACCTATTCTGTCACATCTGTTGACCTCTAACCCAGACAAAATGCGCTTCCTGTGTCTTCACGGCGCCGGTACAAGCGGGGAAGTATGGCTTTCTTATCAATCGGATTAACAACTTCCTATACTAACCCGGTTCTATAGATCTTCGAGATCCAATCAGGTACTTTTCCTTCTTCATTCAACATCATAAACATATCTACATATATAAGTAAAGAAGGACCAAAAAAGACTAACAATCTACTAGGCGGCCTCACCCAAGCCCTCGAATCCAAAGGTCATGCCTTCAAATACATCGACGGCCGCCTAGAGTCCGACCCCGAACCAGGTACAGCCCCCCCGCCTTTCTCTCCCACCCCTTCATACTGAATAAAATGTGGGAAAAGAGATCAAAAGCTTCTGTGACGGCCCCTTCTACAACCACTACCCACGCGACACCTCCCCAGGCGAAGACCTGACCCGCGCAATCAACTACACAATGAACATCATCCACCGCGAGGGTCCCTTCGACGCCGTATTTACCTTCTCACAGGGTGCAGCCCTCGCCGCCGCCATGATTTCACACCACGCGCGCGCCAACCCCTCCGCCCCGCCGCTGTTCAAGCTCGCCGTGTTCATCTGCGGTGCGGCGCCGTATACGTCTGACGGGAAGGAGATCATGGACCGCGCGTCTGACGCCGATGCGCCTTATCCGTTGACGATCCCGACGGTGCATATTGTGGGACGGCAGGATACCCTCTATCCGTGGAGTATGCGGCTTTATGGGCTTTGTGATCCTGCGCGCGCGGAGGTGTATGATCATGGCTCGAGGCATCATATTCCGTTTGATATGCGGAATACGGAGGCTATGTTAGGGGCTATTGAGAGGGGGATTGAGAGGGCGGGGTAGGGTTGGATTGGTGTTCATTCGGTATATATCTATATATACAGGTATAGAAATATATTCATCTATTGTAGGGGCAATAGTGTAAATCATGGACCATGATGTTACGTTTATAGGTACGCAGGGTGAGAAGCTTTGAACTCATGAAAGGATTCGGTAAATGCTGTTTAACTATCATGCCGATGACGCCCCGTTCATACCATGAACGCCCACTCCAACAATAAAAGAACCAAGGCTAAGATAATTCGATGCACGCGCCGAGGCACGTCCCCCATCGACAGGGGCGGGTATATTTTTCCTTGAGACATCAAGTCAACCTGCACGGATGCAAAAGAAAAATGCCCAAGCCAACAACGATCAAGACTGAGAAATGCAACACGGACAAGGGATGGGTAGAGGATTAGAAACTGGTGAAACGTAGGATGTGCACATATGCAGGAGGAATGCAAGAACGAATAGTAGGTCACCGAAAGAGAATGGATGCTAGATCTGTCCCTTAATGTCAACAATCCGATGAGCCGATGACTTGGCCGTCTCTAACAACAGGCTGGCTTTGACCCCGGTGAGCAGTCTCACGGTCCCGTCCTTTTCTTGGAGAAACTCTTCCGAAGTATGATCCAGAACGAACCGTGCGCTCTGCTCATCGGACTCGAAACCGAGCTCTTCAGTGATGAACCGGATCTTTACGTCGGGTTTATATCTAAACATCTCGTCAGTAGCATTCCACTTGCGAGTCGGGGGAATAAGCATACGCTTTACAGATGACCGCCAAGGCCGACAGCCGCTCACGATCCACAAACATATCCATCAAGTAAGCCCCCATGTTAGGAGTATCCAAATACAGCTGAAAGAAACGGTGATAGTTTCCTAGAGCGAGTGCGGACCGAACGTCCAAGGCGTGCTTCACCGCCAGATCCCGCTTATCTGCCGCCGTCAAGTCGGCCAGCGCATCATTCATGGCCGTCCAGTTGCGAGTGTGGATGAAGTACAGGATGCGATAGGCCTTGAACTCGGTGGGATGCCCGCCGAGTTGCTGTGTGTAGAGAGCCCGCAGCTGCGTTTGACACTGATTATACTCACCAAGATCTCCTTTCTCCAGGGCGATACGAGCATGGATCTCGTACACGCTAACCGTGAACTCGTTCCGGATGTGCTGCACCGTTAAATCTTGCCGGAGGGACTTGAACTGATCGCAGATGTACCCGTAGTTGTTATCCTTCTTCCATTTCTTTTTCAAGAGATCTAGCGTCTTCATCAGGACCGGCAGGGGACGGACCGTGTCCGGATTCGGCGCCGACGTCAACCGGAAGTATTTCTTTTCCAAGTCCTGGCACCGCCCGACGACGGGGCCTTGGTTGGCGGCGCTAGGCGTGGGGGACTCGCCCCGCGACGAGGGGGACGAACCGTACCGGGCCCCAGGATCCTCAAACCGCTTCTTCCGCAGTTCTAGATTAGCTTTGGACTTACTTGGATTCTTTTGATCTATGCGTTGCCGCTTATCAGTGGGTGAGTACGAGATTCGGTCTTCAAAAGGGACTTGACTGTTAGTTTGCCGCCACGGGGGAGCGCCGTTGGCATCCCCGTGGTACTCCGCCGACTTTCGCTTTTTGGATGCCTCGTTGGCAGCAGTATCAAATTTTCGGGGAGAAGCCGTACTTGCCGCTCCCCATGCGGAGACATTCGGACTGGCTAGGATCCGGTTTCGTTCATTTTGAACCATGACCTGGGGAAGAGGTAAGACGTCCCAGTTGGTGGTGTGGAGCTCATCTCTCTCCGCTGCGGTGGTGATCACGGATTTCAACTTGGCCTCCATCTCTTGCCTGCTGACTGAGACCATTTGGTTCTCCGGCGCAAAACACCGTTGTACATACGATCGCACCGGTGCTGGCCATTCTACTCGTTTCCGAGCAGACGCCTCTGTTGTCGATGGCTGGGATGATACTGAAGGGGGTTGGGATACGGCGGACTTGGTTGGGGCTGGAGTGGCGAGGCTACGGCGTGCTTGAACCGGGATGTACGCTGGGGCGGCTGCTTCTACGTCAGTATCGCTGTATATTGGGATCACTCGCGCGGAGAGACATACCATGACCAGCAACTTTGGGGGTGGCTGTGACGACAGCTGACCCTGACCGCCATGGAGGCATGCCAGTGCTCATGTTGGACAATACTAAGCAACTGAATAACGGGATGATCAAGGAGAAAAAAAGAGAAGAAAAAGAACGAGAACAAGAAAATGAAACTGATAACACGGGTGAAAGAAAGAAGACGATGGAAATCGAGGACACGATCTGAACTGAACTACGGGTTTGCTTCGAGACGAACTGGACGAACTGGACGAAGTATGATTCCTACACCAAGAGTGGGTTCGGTTGTCTCGCGCGAACGGGGTGAGAACCGTCAAAAGTGAAACCCTCGAGAGATAGCGATGAGAGAGGATCAAGAGATAGGAAGATGGGACTGATCGTGGTAATGATCGAGAAGTGAGGTTGAAGATAGACAGGATAAGGAGAGGCGACTCGCTTACGTGGGAGGAGTTTTCTCTTGGCATTCTCTACCGCCTGCCGTATCGGATTGGCCTGACATCAGTGACCGGCAGTTTCTCTCTCTCTCTATCTCTCTCTATCATCATCTCTCATGTTTCCTCAGTCGTCTCTCTTCACAGTTTCCCTGGGTGTGGAGAAGTCCTCAGGTCTGGTTTACTAGATGTTTTTCAAGCCGTTGGACCTGACCACTGCTCTTCGTCCCTTGTTGTTGCCCGATGAGACCCTGTTGTTCGTTCAGGATGCGGTGGGGTTATATGAGGGGTGAGTGCCTAAGCTATCTTGTCCCTGTGGGCTGATTTACAATTGAAGCTTGGATTATATCTGTCTCTACTATCATTGGGCTGACTGATATTGTTTTGTATAAATAGCAAATATAAAATTCCTGACTACCAGGACGGCCATGCGTATCTCACGTCGCACCGAGTATGCTACGTCGCGGTCGAGGAGCCGCGGAAGTACTCGGTCAGCATTGACTTGAAAGAGGTGGATCATGCGGACTATCAAGTATGAGGTCGCTTCGGATAGATCTGGGGATGGTGACTGACCCGATTTAGGCTGGTTTTCTGAAATCGTCGCCAAAGATTACCTTGTACCCCAAACCACGGAAGACCGGTCTCTCCAAGTCTCGAAGCACCGCGGCGAGTCCATCCCGCTCATCGCACCCAGCTCATCTGCAATCAACAAGATCCCAGTCGCCACTGACGCGGATATCCAGTCCCCAAGTCCAGTCACCCGCATCGCCGTCGGTGCTGGCCACCTGGATTTGCCCCATATGCTCATTGTCCAACCCGGTGCCTTATAACTTCGATCCGTCGACGGCGACCACGTCGACGCAAGTGCCCCCCTGTTTAGCATGTGGTATCAAACCACCTTTCACAACCGTGCTCAAAGCCGCCATAAGTGCTGCGGCCAGTCGGGAAGGTACTTCGACAGCACCCGCCTTTCCTCTGCCCGGTCAGGAAGTTGTTCCCGAGCACAATGATACCCGCAACGCGACTTCATCACAGAACGGGGCCTCGGTCTCCTGCCCCCGGTGTACTTTTGTAAATCACCCTTCTCTTCTAGAATGTGAGATTTGCGGCGCTCCGATCAGGCCGGCCGGCGCCTCGGGTGCTATAGGTGATGCTCTGGGACGTTCGGAGTCCCCGGCTCCGTTCTTCAACCAGGGAAGCATCAAGAGTACCGAAATAACCGACTATATCAAACTGTCGTTTCGTGGAGGGGGTGAAAAGGCTCTCTACGAGAGGCTGAAAGGCGCCTTGGTCCAGAGGAAGTGGCTTCTCTATGATGCGCCTCCCGCACCGCAGCAGCCGTCGCAGCGCACGTCATCCCCTGGTTTGACAACGGCTCCTTTAGCGTCGGATGCGGTCCCGGCACAGACTAGGTCGCCCGCAGTCGGCATTGCTGGCCTTGAGCAACGAGGTCTTGAAGCTCGTAGGAACAATGAACTGGTCATCGGCAATGCGTTCGAAGATCTCGAAGCGCTGATGGCATCGGCGAAGCAGATCGTGAGCCTTGCTGAAACACTGGCGCGGGAGTCAGGTATGGCCAGCGACGAGGGCTCCGCGGAGGCCAGCGCGGTGCTTTCAGAATCGGTGGAAGCGTTGGGGATGGTGACGACCAAGGATATGCTTGGATCTGGTGCGGAGAGCTTGTACCTATCGGAGCTTTCGCGAAATCTAGCAGAATACTTGACCGATGACCGCAAAGGGATTCTCCAGAGAGAAGGCGGGATTGTGAGTCTCATCGACCTGTGGGCCATCTTCAATCGGTCGCGCAATGGGGTGGAGCTGGTCAGTCCTTCGGATTTCCAGCGAGCGGCAGGGCTGTGGGAGAAGCTGAAGCTCCCAGTCCGATTGCGTCGGTTTAAGAGTGGCCTGCTCGTCGTCCAACGTTACGACTGGAGCGACGAGAAGACCATCCAGCAGATCCGAGTCTGGATGGCGGAGCTGTGCCAGCATCCGCCCGCCGAGTCGGTCGCCTGGGATTGGCGCATCTTTGGACAGGCCGTGACCGCTCAAGAGGCAGCGCAGCGGTTCAAATGGAGCGTGGGCGTCGCCACGGAGGAGCTGGAAATGGCCGAAGATCAAGGCATCCTCTGCAGAGAGGAAGGCATTGAGGGGCTGAGGTTTTGGAGCAACCATCTCATATCCAGCTCCGAGCCGGAAAACGTAGGCGCGCTGAGCGTCACCAGCCTTACCATATGATTTATCCAAACCTCGACAACCTGTCAGTAAACGATCACGCTTAACGACCGCCCATGCAATCATGTTCCGTCACCATTCTGTACATAAACCTACTAGACATCTTGCCCTTCCTGGAGCGACCAGTTCGCATCACATCCAACCATGCAGTCTATCTATATACAAGGGTCAATCAAAAGAAGGACACAAAACATTAAACCAACTCCCTCCCAATGATCAAAGCATCCACCAGCTCCTCACTGTTCGCCAACCGACCAGCACCCGGGACACGGCCAATCACGCGGAAACCTAGTTTCTCCCAGATCTTGACCGACGCGACGTTGTTCTCAAAGACAAGGTTGAAGACGGAGAATTTATAGCCCTGCATTGGCGTTAGTCCTCGACCTCACCACCCAACTTGACAAAGCAGAGGGAAAGAAAAAAAGAGAACCTACCAGCTTCGGCGCATACTCCAAATAAGCCTCACCCATGACAATGCCCACTCCGCGGTTACGCGCTGCCCCCGTTGTCAAGAATCCCGCATTGCAGATATGCGAGCATCGTCCTATCATCACATCAGCCACTAATCATCCAAACAAAAATGAACATAAAAAAGACAATAAACGGGGAAAAGAAGGATGTATATACATACCCGGATAATTCGGTTTAACATAAAACGTCCCCAAACACTCCCTCTCCCAATCCCTCCCCTCGCACAACCCACTCTGCTGCTGCTGCTGCTGCTCCCCAGCCAACACAGCCACCACGGCAAACGTCCCAAACCAGTACCCTGCGAACTGCTCCAGCGTCATCGGCTCCTCCATGGGATACGTACAGCCGGTCTCGATCTCGGCCGAGAACTCCCGGTGCAGCAGCTTGACCAGGTCTTGGGGCACGCTGTCGGGCCCGCCGGTCACCGGGTACAGGATGGCCTTGCTGCCGTCTTTCAGGGTTGCCGTGCGTGGGGCCAGAGTCGGCGCTGCGGCGGCGGCCGCTGCTGGGGCGGGGAGGCGCGTGCTGGGGTCTTCGAGGAGGGCGGGCATTTTTCCGTTCTTTTTTTGTTTTCTTTCTGTTTCTTGATTTGCAGTATTTTATGATCTTCTGTTCTTTTGTGAAATTTTGTCCTGCTTGCCACGGTTGGAGGCGATTGGAGATATAAAAATGTTTTCTAGATTAGACTCATCTATAAGGAAGCAAATCAAAGAAATCAGGGAGGATTAGTCAGACTCCACTATCTGATCCACTATCTTATCGATAGCCGGCTATACTCTCTGCCATCTTGATAATACTCGGATATATTCTATTGTAGAGGACGAGATGTGCAAGAGTATTCGTTTGTTGGTATAGTACTATATACATCAGCGAGTTATACAAGGCTGCCCCGACACGTCCCAGTCTCATGCACACGCAGTCGGATCCATCCTATCGGTATCGTACAGCCAGTCATCCATCCGCATAGGCTTGTTATCCTTCCTAGACAGACCAAGCCCTCTCAGTCGGTCATTCCACTCCTATGGTAGGGAGTGATTATATCATTGGGTATTGTATCAGGAGCAGAAGCTATCGTCCCACTTGAGCAAAGAACAAGAAAAGGAGAAAGAAAGCCATCGTCATTCAACACACAACACAGCACAGCACCCAGTACTGCAAGTCACACACCTCACGACTTGTTCTCCGGATCTTCGGAGTTCCTGGTAGCCTGGAGCAGTTCATACAGCTGTCCGAGTTGTTGGTCTATACCGCAGAATACCCATTAGCATACTTCATACCATGAATTGACAACGGTCATAAGACCCATTGTACTAAGACGAAACTCACCACTCATCTTATCCAGCTTCGCCTTATCCAATTTCTCCCCAGCCCACGCATCTCCTTCGATTTTCTGCGCATACAGCTGCCACTCGGTCAGGAAGCCGATCTAGATCGTATTAGCGGGTCTCCAAATCCGGTGTGCGTAAACTCGCAGTATAAGAAGGGAAAGAAGGTAGAACATACAATATGTACCGGATTCTCCACCGTGCGATGCGCGCGGAACTCCGCCTTCACGTAGCTATCGCCAAGCAGGCGCATCTCGGGATCGAGCTTCCGTCGGTGGACGCGGAGAAGGCGACGGTAGAGGTGGATGGGCGGGAGGAGGGCCATGGCTTGGCTGAGGCTGGATTTGGAGCCCATGCCCGAAGGGGTGGCCATGAGGAGGCGCGAGAAGGCTCTCATTGTGTATTCTTATGTGGTGTGTAGAGAGAGATTGCAGGGGAAGAGTGTAGAGATCAAAGCCGCGGTTGAAGATGGAAATCCGGAGTGCGGCCGGGAGAGATTGGAAAAGCGGAGTCGCGCGATCCAATCAGCGGATCGGTGGGCTTTTTCCCCGACGGTATAGCTTCAAATTATCTTCCTCACGTCTCAAGCACACCCACTATAGAATAATTCAATGATTGATTGATACATCATGCTCCCCACACCAGACACAGCGCACGTCTCCTTCGACACCGTCTACGAACCCTCCGAGGACTCCTACCTCTTCCTCGACACGCTCTCCTCCCCCTCTGAATCATCATGGCTCTCGCACCGCTTTAGCCCCTCCACCTCCACCTCCTCCCCCCTCATCGTTGAAGTAGGGACCGGCTCTGGCGTCGTCCTCGGCTTCGTCGCCGCCAACTCCCAGCAGATCTTCGGCCGGCGCGACATCCTCGCCCTCGGCACAGACGTCAACCGGAACGCTTGCGCCGCGACACAAGAAACGGCACAGCGCGCAATTAGAGACCGCCAATGCACGACAGACAATGACAATGACAATGACACAAGCACAACAAGCACATTCCTCTCCCCCATCATGGCAGACCTAGGCACACCCCTCCGACAAGGCACCGTCGACGTCCTCCTCTTCAACCCGCCCTACGTCCCCACCGAAGAACTGCCCCAAATACCTTCCGCGACGACAGATCAGGCGATGGAAGGAATGTCCCGGTCGGAGAAGTTCGACCACGAATCGTATCTCCTGTCGCTGACGTACGCGGGTGGCAAGGACGGCATGGAGACGACGGATCGCTTGCTGGATGCTATTCCAGGACTGTTGCATCCCGGACGTGGTGTTGCGTATGTGCTTCTTTGTCGGCAGAATCGGCCGGATGAGGTGCGTGATAGGATTGCGGCTTGGGGTGATGGGTGGAAAGCGGAGTCTGTGGGGAGTAGTGGGAAGCAGGCGGGTTGGGAGAAGTTGATTATATTGAGGATTTGGAGGGAGCTGCCTTAGGGACTGTCTGAGCATGTATAGACTGCATGGTAATGTTTTGATGATTGTATGATTGGGAAAATCTTGTTTGTGTATATCTACTTCGAAGACTAGAATTGGGTGTTGATGGTCATGAAATGGGTATATGGATGGTGTGGTATGTAAATGCAGCGCTACTTCTCCCTCAACCTCTCGATCTCCATCCGGACTCCCTCCATCTCCTTGATCAGCCCCCCATACCGGCGCGCGATCTCCTTGATCGGTCCGGACTCCGTGTCCGCAGTCTGGTACCCGTCGAGCTCCTCCAGCAGTCGAGCCTTTTGTCTCTCCACGCGCTCTCGCGTCTCCTTGAGATGTTCCTGGTACCGACCCAGCGCAGTGACGATCTCGGGAGTGTTGATCGCCGCGGAGGTCTCCAGTTGCATGACACTACCAAGCGCATGCGATTGTTAGCACTCTTTTCCTTCCTTATCTTCCTTCACTCCCTCTTTCAAGGGATAAAGACATACCTTAACTTCCCATCAACACCCTCTGCAACCATCGCCAGATGTTCCGCCTTCGCCTTCGTAGCCCGTGCCACCGCCCCATGTTTCGTCCGCTCGAGGAGAACCACCGCGCGCTCCAGGACCTGCGCCTTAGCCGCAAGAACCTCCGCCGCCGTCGTCGCCAATCGAGCCCGGGACGCCGGTATCTCAGACAACTGCATGCGACGCACGTGTCGAGTGCGATCCGAGATCTGGGGCGCAAGGGGCGCCTGCGCCGCGGCCCGGATCATGGACTGGCGGTTCCGGGCACGCGCTCGCGAGGTCTCCGACGGTGGGGGTGGAGCCCGCGCGTGGCTGTCGCCTGCGTTGACGATCGCTCGGAGATCCTGCACGGTGGCTGACAAGGCGTTGGCGAACGAGGGCATCAGGATTGGGAGATCGGCGTAGAAGGCGTCGATGTCGGGGCCGAGGAGAGATAACGCGTCGGCGCCATCGCGGGGGTCGACGTCACTGTCGAGTTGGGTTGGGGATGATTCGAGGTATAGGGTGATTATGGCTGCTGTCTCCCGGTACTGTTCTTGCGTTTTCCTTGTCAATTGGATTCTTTGCTCGGGTTGAAAAGAAGGAAGGGTCGCACGTCATCGGGGACTCCGCTGTCAGGGTCAAAGGCCAGCTGCCGCAGGATCTGCCTCTTGATGTGTCTTTTGGCGTGTCGTAACCGGCATTCATTCAACACCTGTGGTAAATAAGAGATTGCGTCAGTTGGAGTTCTTCAAGAACATGTATGTCCTATATTCCACATAAACCCTCACGGCGAACTTACCTCCCGTACTTCTCGTCGCGCCGGCTGCAAATCATTGGTGCGGGTGGAGCCATCGGGGTTGAGTAGGTTCGTTGTGAGGTTCTGGTAGAGCCGCTTAAATTGGGAATTGTTTTCTAGAATCGTGGGATCGCAGGGGGGAAGCATCGTGTCATGGAGTGCAAGTTGATGTTATTCGCATCTCCGATGTTGATCTGTCGCGCTCACCGCCGAGTCCGCGATAAGAGGGAGATGGTGTATGCCTCAGGCTGCAACTGTATTATCGCTGGCATTTGCGTACACACTCACCTGAATCCCAAGCAGATCTACCTAATCACAAGGACTACATAACTACAGCCTCCTGGCTAATAGCATGCATCAAACTATCTCCAAGCATTGATACTCCGGTCAATGCAGGTACATCCAGGCCCGAGGCACCCCGCAGTCACCTGACCGACCCGCCAAAACTTTTCGCGATAAGAAATCAGTTTCCCCGATCCATATTCAACATTGCGCCACTGCCCAGAAGACCCTCAACTTTCAATAAAAAAAGACGGAAAAGTTATAAAAATGGCCGACGAGGCCCTCTCCATCTATGATGAGATCGAGATCGAGGATATGACCTTCGATCCGGCCATCCAGATCTACCACTACCCTTGTCCGTGCGGCGACCGATTCGAGATTGCGATCGATGACCTTCGCGATGGGGAGGATATTGCTGTGTGTCCGAGCTGTAGCTTGATGATTCGGGTGATTTTTGATGAGGTGAGTTTATCTCACTTGATGAGGGTATAGGTTGGGAAAAATTATTTATACTGACAATGTCTAGTCTGATCTTCCAGGGAATGACCAGAACGGAGGCGCTGGCGCTGTTGCTGTGCAGGCCTAAGTGCTGCACATCACGATGAAGAATGATGAAAGATGATGGAATACGACGGTCGAGGACACTCGGCTCCAAGACTTGAAAAACACCGATACTCCAGGGCCGACGCACAGTCTATTGCTCATCACACCCATCGAGATTGTGAAACCAGACGTGATTGCTGGATCCCCGTCGACTGCATGATGGTTGCCACGTTTACGTCCTTGCTTTGGATGGCTTCTCAACGATGGCACCTACGTTGGTCGAAGGGAGGGAGATCTTGGTCACACGCCATATACGACTGGTCAAGGCAGCGGGTTGTCCGCGCCATGGGTTGTCAACAAAAAGGCGACGGTTAGCAACTATTTCTGCAGGACTGAAATAGAACGGTTACTAGGGGCATATGGATGATTTGGAATCCATATCTCAATTGATTATATGTATTGTATTGATGTGGCGTCTACGCAGCAAGTATTCCATAGTACTCGCCGCTGAGCTATCCACTTGAATAATTTGACGCTGCTTCCATAATAACATTGTATCCTACATTTCTCTGCTCCCTCCTCCTCTCAATTACGAGGTGTATCCGCGGCCGTAAGCAAACTACAACCGCAGTCCACCAACAGCAGAAGAGCGATTACGACTGCTCCGCAAAGACATCCTTCGGGATGTCCAACTGCAGCTCGCCATTCAGAATATCCGTGAGGTTCGATCCATCACGCAGGTAGATCCATTGTCCGCTGTTATAGGGCCGGGATTCCTGCTTCTCGTGCATCTGATCGCCTTCGACAACCCAGTCGAAGCGCTTCGGGCCCGTAATCGGGGAGCTGAGCCAGATCTGCCTGTTGGGGGGCTGCTTGTTCAAGACATAGGTCCCGAGAGCAGGGACGATGATGTTCAGGACACCGGCCTGGTAGCACATAAGATGTTAGCTTCGATCCTACTCCCGTCTAACGGCAAAGCTTGATGGAGATGCTGCCGGAGTCCCCGCCCAAAAAAACCATCCTCCACAGCTAATCAGGGCGAAAACTCACGCTGTACTCGGCCTCCATATCCGATCCTTCCTCCTGAGCCTTTTCCACTTCATTCTGCAGCACATCCAGATAATGCTCCGAGTACTGGTGGTAACTCTCGTCATTCAGCGGCGAAGGCTCGGTGACGTGACTGTTCGCGCCCGCGACATTATGCGACTGAGGCTGCGGCGTCGGTGGGTCAGCCGAATCTGGATAGATTCCTTTCCTAATCGAAGGCGTTGACTGGAAGCCTCGACGAGCAGAGGAAGGGTTCGACTGGCGCTGGTAACACACGGTCGCAACGGGCGCAGCGATCCGGGTCGTGCGGAGAGATGGCCGGACAGCGGTCGGGAGAGCTCGGGGGAGGCGGGCCAACATGATTAGAGAATGCGTTGGACAGACAGAATTAAATCAATTGGAATGGAATTAATTGGTGGGATAGTCCAAGACGATGGAGTGATGGACAGGAAGAAAAGAAGTGGGGAGCAACGGAAAGAGAAGAGAGAACCGACGTCACATCGCCAGAGCGTCCCGTCTCCACTTTCTCTCTCCGCCTCAGCCTGAGTTGACGCGATTCGACTCACGCTGCATTGTCGCCTTGTTTGACTCACGAAGACTGGCTTATTGGTTAGTTCGTCTAAAGAGTGCTTATGCTGCCTATTTGCATGATCGACATTGAAATCCCCCAGTGCTATGGCTTGGTAATCAGTCACTAACATAGACCCTGCTAGATCTATATAAGCTCCTTCCACGCCCCAACACAGATGGTACTTTTCTGGCCATATAGGCCGCCTAGTACTATCTCCTTTCATTTCTCGATCTCTCGACTAACCCGTTCATATCATCATCAAGCCATGGGTGACAAGAAACAGTACTCTGGCCCTCGTCGGCCTCCCGCCAGCAAAGAAAAAAGACCACCGATCACCCATTTCCTTTGTATCCCACTAGTCAATGCAGCCTCTCTCCCTCAATTGGAGTCGTCTCTCGCAGCATTCAAAGCCGCTCTTCCTCTTGCTCCTCAACCGCCTCACCATGGGCTTCCCTCAAGAAAACCCGTCGTCGAGCGCCCACTCATTCCCCGCGGCGCAATTCGACCCGTCGGCACCCTCCATCTTACCCTAGGTGTCATGAGTCTCCCAACGCAGCAGCGACTAGAAGAAGCCATTAAGCTTCTCCATTCTCTAGATCTAGCCAGCATGGCGCGCGAGGCGGAGCGAAGCGCACGCCGTAGCCGGACAACGAAGAACAAGAGCCAATCTACGACTTCTCAAATCGACAACGACACAATCACCAACCCTAGCCCTTTCACCGTCTCGCTGGAGTCCTTGAGTGCGATTCCCCGAGCTCGAGCTGCCACGGTCTTGCACGCGGCACCCGTGGATTCCTCGTCTCGACTGTATCCGTTCTGCGAGATTCTACGGGATAAGTTTCTTGAGGCGGGGTTCCTGCAAGCTGAGGTCAAAAAGGACAAGAGACCTGAGGGGGTACCTCAACAGCAGTCACCTCAGCAGTCAGCTCAGCTATCACCTCGGCAGCAGCAACAGCAGCAACAGCAGAGTGACATCAGCAATCGACCCCCAGCAGCACCCAAACCCAAACTCCGCCCCCTCCTTCTCCACGCCACAGTTGTGAACACAATCTACATCAAAGGAAGACAACAGCCCGCCGAGCGAGGTCTGAACGGCAAAAACCGCAGAAACCAGTACACTTTCGACGCGCGGGACATCCTCACCCACTATAGAGACTACTACGTCGACGGTAACCGCGTAACTCCACGGTCGGACGCTGTCGTCGTGAAAACCCCAGTTGTGAAAACCAGTACGCATGAAAGCACCCCCCAGGGTGGATCAGACGACGAGGAGGCCTCGGCTGTGTCGAGCAGGAAGGAGAAATTCCCATTTGTCTGGGCCAGGGACTTTCCCCTGGATGCGATTTGTATCTGTGAGATGGGCGCCAAGAAGCTTGATCTTGAGAACGATCCTGATGGAATGAATGCTCGTTTGGGGGAGAAGTACAGGGTTGTTGCGGAGAGGAGACTGGATTTTGGGTCCGCGGCTGACGCATGATATGTCTGATGATGATGTTCAAGTTATATACTTTGTCATAGACTAGACTGCCAAAAGGCAATCAATAATTCTACGGTACCCGACTATACTTCAACGTAGCACACTTGTATATTGAGATAATTCAGGGGGTATTTTATTGTCATAATCCAATCCCAACTACCAACTAACTATCGGATATATGCAATCAACTCTCATGCATCATCTATCAACAAAAATATCAAGAGCCGTAATCCATCTCAACAAGACACGTTATCATGAATGACAAACAAATGAAGCGCCCAGTGAAACACACCACGCCACTACTTCACTTCACGCACAAAAACCCGCACCCTTCACGGGCCCGCTCACAAGCCTTCTTCAAAGCCTGCTCTTCAGCATCCGTCCACTTAACAGACAGCTCATCCCACGGCTTCCGCGCGTTATACTCCTCGCGGAACGTCTTGTGCATGCCTTGCAGCCGACTGACTTCGCGGGGGTCTCCGGTGCCCGAGTAGACCACGAACAGGGTGCAAGGCGGGAGGGATTCGTAGATACGGTTGATGTTGGAGACGGTGCGGGAGACGGTGTCGATGAGGGCCTTTTCAGGGGTGGAATCGTCTGTGGACATCGGGTCCGATGCTGTTCCTTCGGGGGCTTGGTTCAATGTTGTAGACTCGTTGGCGTGGTTCGGGTCTGGCATCCGGTTGCACCACCCGCGGTAGAGTTCGAGCTCGCGCATGCGCGCCCACGTGAAGTCTACGCCGCCGCCTGGGATGGATGGGTTGGTGTCGTCGCCGTTGACGACGGAGGAGATGCCTTTCACGACGTCGTCGTCGGTGCTGCATCCGATTGAGGCGGTGGCTTGCGCACCGAAGCCCCGCTCGGGGTTGCCCCAGTCGACGACGGCGCCGGTTCGGTATTGGTCGGTTGCTGCGCCTGATTTGCCCGGTTTGGCGGTGCGGCCGAGACGCTTGAAGATGCTTTCGTTGGAGGACTCGCTGGTGCCCCAGCGTTCGCCCTTTTCGCATTTCTGCTTCACGAGCTCGAGCACGGCGCGGGCGTCTTCGATGGAGTCGTGGCCTGTTTGGCCCTTTTGGATCTCCTTGCCGAGGTATTTTTGGGTGAGCCACTTTAGGCTGCATTTGAGGGGTGGGCCGCGCGGGTGCGGGTAGATGAATGTCGTGTCCACGATGAAGGGGTGGGTGATTTTGAGAGCGTTGAGGTCGGAGTTGAGGGAGTGGCCGACTAGGATGGAGCGGGGCGTGAGGATCGTGAGCAGCTTTTGCTGGATGTCGGCGAGCGTGGTCGTGACGGGGTCTAGCTGCTCCTTGGTGATACCGGAGAAGCGAGTTAGGTAGTCGATGATGGGGAGATCCGGCTTCACGAGCTCGTCCAACACCACCTCACCGTCCCAGCGCACCATACTAATGCGCGTGAGCTCGGATTTGCCGCCTTCTGTGATGCACATCTCGCAATCCAACGAGAGCACCTCGCGGCCGGCCGTCATGCTGCCTTGTTCGATCTCCTTGTCAGGGACTTGGCCGTCCTCCAGAGTGGCGACATGCGTGTCAACCCACCCATTCTCCGCCGTTTGGCCGGCGCGCTGGCGACTCTCGCGAAGATTCGACCTCTCCTGCTCCGTTGGGAGGAGAGCGGGATGCAGAACGTAGTCGTTCTCATTCAAATCCGCGAGCGAGCTGATAAAGTTCGTGATCGGGGTTCGCTTTGCGACGAAGCCCTTGTTCGGGGCTCGGGGACCTTTCTGGTTGCCGCTCTCTTTGGTTTTTGGTACACCGGACATCAAGATTGCCTGTAGCGGTGAATGGACCTTGTTGTACTTGGAGTCCCCAGGAGCCCGGACCGGCCAGACGTGCGGGAACAAATCGGACAGGGATTGTAACGGTTCTGGAAGACTGTCGCGCGACAGCGGTCGAGGGACAAATTTGTGGGATCGGTCTTCTAAGGGAAGGCCCTGTTTCCACCGCTGGAAATCGTCCACTTTTTCGTCGACGCCCTCTCCTTCATTCGCATCTGTAGCCTCCTGTTGCTCCGCCGGTAGCGACGCAGTAGCAAGGGGGATTGTCCCATCAAACATTCCCAGCTCCAGACCTGGAACCATCAATGTCACGACCTTCCGCACATGACCGGAATGCTTGACTGAGATCCACTGCGGCGCAATGCCATCAGCGAAGCAGTAGAGCATCAGGGCCTGCAGGTCCGCGATCCGGATGGAAGACTGTAACCGGCCGTCCACGTAGGTGAGAACCGGGTATTTGGCCTTTTCTCCATCGATGCGCTTCTTCTTGGACGATCTTCCGGCCGGCATTTCATTCTGTCGCTTCCGAGAAGAGTCTTCCGACTGCGTGGTGGAGGAAGTTGCGGTGGTTCCGTCGGTCGCCGTCGGCGTGTTTTGAAGAATCGATAGAGTCTGGCCTACTCCGAAGCCGTTAGTCGAGTCTGTCTTGGGTCGGACTGGATCTTCGTCGTCTGAGCATCCAGCGTCTGTGCGCTTGCGCTTCTTGTTTCCTGCCATGTCCGGGCACGAAGCGGGTTCTGAGTGATTTGGGAATCGACGCAGGATGGACTTCCACCAGGAAAACATTAGATCCACGGCAATCGGATGGACACTCCAAGCTCTGTTCAAATCGAGGTTTTCTCGCGCTGAATGACAGGACGATGCTCGGGGATCGGCGACGCGATCCTCGACTTTTATGGCACGTGATTCTTATCGCAGCTTACTCATCTGTTATCGAGGATTACTCATCCGTTATCATGAAGTGACTGAAACTACGATTCCATTACACTCTCTTAATAGGATTAAGGCGATATCACTTCCCCATGGCGACAAACAGACGATCGCCGATATCTCCCAGTCCCGGTACGATCATGCCTCGCTCGTTACACTTCGGATCCACCGCTCCAATCCAGAGCTCTACACCCTCGGGCCAACACTCAGCTACCTTTTGCACCCCGTCCTGAGCCCCTAAGACGCTGAGCATGATCACGCGCTGCACTCCCCACTCGCGGAGAAGGTGAATGGCAGCCTCGGCAGTGGCACCCGTGGCGATGATGGGATCGAGGAGGATGGCGGTAGAAGCAGCAGCCGTGTTGACCGCGCTGGGACTGGAGGAATCTGGCCGTTGGTAGGGGAGGTTGTTGTAGTATTCCACCGGCTGGAGGCTGAGCTTTTCGCGGAACAGACCCAGATGGTAAATGGGTACGGAGGATGGAAGGAGATCGTTGATGGCTACGATCGAAAGGATGGGTCAGATTACTTCAACAGATCCTGTCTTGTTTGACCAAATGCCACGACAAAGTGGGACAGGAACAAAGAGGGCAAGAGAGATTTATGCATTCCATACCTTCGATCATACCCAGACCGGATCGGAGGATAGGGATGAGAGCGACGCTGGCAGGATCAATCTCATGCGTTTCGTACTCATACCCTAAAGGGGTGGTTCCCTGGATTCAAGGGTTCATTAGGGATTCTTCCTGCTGACAGAATTGCATCCAGGTGTGATTACCTTCCCCCGATTGGTAACTTGCAGTCCCGACGAGAATGCTTCGACCCCTAGAATGGTCGCGATCTCACGGACGAGATCGCGGGTTTCGCGGGTGGATGTCGATTTGGAGCGGAGTTGCGACAGTTTGGCCTGGAGACAAGGATGGGTAGACACATGGATATTGGAAGGGAGTGCCATCTTGCTAGTAGTCGTACTCGATTAAGTCTTGGAGAAACGATGGATGATAGTAAGAAAGACGAGGATGACGGAGGTGAGATAGAGAGAAAGTATGAAAGACAAACGAGGGGAAAGTTCTTTAGGCACGAGAAGCTCGAGGAGGGAAGTACCTTTCCATACATTATTGTATGTAAAGATACATCTGCTGGGATCCACTTGTATACCCAAGGCATTCATTCATCCTCCTTCTTCCCTTCTATTTTAGGTACCAACGCGATTCCACACCGGTAGTTTCACCATTGGCGATCTAGATCAAGCATAGCATGTCAGCTATTTCCGTCTTATCGGCCTTTCCACGTCAGTGGTTCGTGCCCCACATCCCCGTCGATCGACCCGGTCTATCGTCATTCTTGGCACGCTTAACATCCCGATCGCTCTCCGAGAACGACTTTCTCTCCTCCCCTCCCTCGCTGTCCCCTAATGAGGTGCGCTTTTCGCCAATCAAATAATGTGAACGGTGGACTTCTGCACCATGGAAGCTGCAGATCGTTCGCCTGACAACAATTCGCCCATCGCGAACCAGGAAGAAACGGCGCTATCCGAGGTCCGAACGCGGCCTCCCACCACTGAAGAAGCTCCGCCAGAACGCCAGGCCTGGTCGTCCGAAGGATATCCCCTGCCTCCAGTTACGGAAAAGCCAGCGGATGGCCCAGTCGAACCGAATCCACAGAGGAAACCTCCTGTTTCCAAACCTCTCTCTCAGCATGCCACCCATCTTTTCTCCCTTTCCTACCTGGTCTTCTTCTCCATCTTCGGGACGCTGGCGCGCCTGGGCCTGCAAGCTATCACCGTGTACCCGGGGACCCCTGTGACAATTGGGGTACTTTGGCCCAATCTCGGCGGTTCGTTGCTCATGGGCCTCTTTCTCGAGGATCGGAATCTCTTCCGCGAAGAATGGGGCCATGGACCAACGCCATCCAGCAGAAATCGCGATCCGGACCAGGCTCGCGAAGACGCGAAACGCCATAAATCCGTCAAGAAGACCATTCCACTCTACATCGGTCTGACGACAGGTTTCTGTGGCTGTTTCACGTCCTTCTCCTCGTTCATCCGGGACGTCTTCCTGGCTTTATCCAACGACCTCGCCGACCCCTCAACCCCGACAATCACCTCGCGCAATGGCGGATACAGCTTCATGGCCCTCGTCGCAGTCATTCTCATTACCGTATCCCTATCCATGGGTGGACTCATGTTTGGCGCCCATCTCGCGCTGGCCCTCGATCCAGTCATGCCGACTTTTCCATTCCGCGTGACGCGCCACATTATCGACCCCCTCTTTGTCATCCTCGGCTGGGGCTGCTGGCTCGGCGCCGTCTTCATGGCCATATGGCCTCCCGACCGCCACAGCTCTGACGCCGACGTGTGGCGCGGCCGCGCAGTCTTCGCCATTGTCTTTGCACCGCTGGGGTGTCTCCTACGCTACTACCTCTCGCTCGCGCTCAACACGCGCACCCCGTCGTTTCCCTTGGGAACTTTCACCGCCAACATGCTCGGGTGCATTGTCATGGCCATGTGCTACGATCTACAGCGCGTCTCTGGGATCGGCGCCCCGGACGCGACCGGGGCAGTCAGCCACTCCGTCATGGTCAGCTGTCAAGTCCTCCTGGGCATTTTGGATGGGTTCTGTGGTTCCCTGACTACAGTGAGTACGTGGGTTGCGGAGTTGCATGGATTGAGTCGGCGACGGAAGGCGTATATCTACGGGATTGTGAGTATTGCGGTCGCGCTGGGGTTCTTCGTTGTTATTACTGGGTCTATGCGGTGGACTATAGGGTTTGTAATGCCCGCATGTTGACTGTAAAATAGCCCTTACATTGTTGAGGGTTTTTATGTATATATAGGTTTATACTTGAGTATCAATCATAATGATTAGATCTAGATGAGTTTCTTGGCAGGGTAAATCTATATCCGGCGGATGGTGCCATGATGAGTCGAGTGTGGGCTGTGGAGATTGTGGGGGTCTGCCTCGTGTGGGTGTGCATCAAGTGAATTCCTTCTAGTTAAGTCTGTATGTAAGTATATCCACTGCTTACATCCAAACTAGATAACACGAATGACATATAATCATACAATGAGCATGCTAAAAAATCGGGATGTGAGATCCATAGTAAGGTGCACATATACATTTACACATTGGTTTATATGCAAAACATTTGCTACTAGACTTCTGTTCCTTCCCCACCTAAGCCTAGTCATAGCAGTGACAGGGTACCTTCTGTCACAAAGAGATAAACGGATCTATACCTGATTCTCCATTTTCGTGATGAGCGTCCCCACATGCGGCAGCAACTCAATAGCAAAGTCGTCACCTGCCTTCAAGAAACCCTTGGGGTTCTTCGCGGCGCCCACGCCCGGCGGCGTACCCGTCAGGATGATAGTCCCCGCGGGCAGAGTGGTGCCCTGCGAGAGAAAACTAATGAGTTTGGGGACGCTGAAGATGAGGTCGCTGTTACAAAACGTAAATATTAGTGTTAGCGGTTGCTGGAATAGAGTGGGGCACACGGTTGAGCATACGTTAGGGGGCAGTCTTGCATGATCTGGCCGTTTTTGAGGCCGCGGATGTGGAATTTGCTGGCGTCGGGGAAGTAGGCGGCGGAGACGAGGACGGGGCCTGTTTGGATTATTATTAACTTCTTTGTCTATCTTTCTCTTTCCTTTGTCCACAGTCAAGTGGATTCGTATTGATCAAGTGGCAGTACTGCTAGAGTAACAAAGAGAGAAAGAACGAAAGAAGAAAAAGGAAGAGACATACCAATGGGACAAGCACCGTCAAACCCCTTTGAAAAGCACCACTGACTCTGGTTCATCTGCGACGTCCGACTGGAGACATCATTTGCCGCCGTGTACCCAATTACATAGTCCAAGGCGTCAGCCTCACTGACATCCTTAGCGTCGCGACCAATAACAACAGCCATCTCCGACTCATAATCACCCGTATTGTCCACCTGCGTAAGCTTCGGCAAGACAGTCGGAGCCGGCCACGGGTCCGCCAACGAGGTAGAAGGCTTCATGAACAGCGTAGGCACATCAGGAATAGCCAGTTTCATCTCGGCAGCGTGCGATGCATACTGTGTCCCTCGCGTCAGTACGGACACTTGTCCTTCTCTGTCGAGTGCAACTCACGTTAAGACCAATGCATCGGATGGACCCGACTTCGCTCTGCGCCAGGGGAGACAGCAACCGGCCGATGTTCTCGGTGGTCTCTGTCTTTTGACCCGGGCTGAGCACCGAGTTGCCGGAGAAAGGACGTACGGAGACGTCTTTACCCTGGTAGAGGGCTAGTCCCACGTCGATCTGGGGATCTGTCGGCTCGCCGATAAGGGTTTTGGCGGGGTTGGATTTGGGCGTGAAGCGCACGAGGCCTGTCGCGTGTGTTAGCTATGTATTTCCTTTTATTTTTTACGGCAGGATGATATAAACGCACGCGAGAAAGTAGATGCGATCTTCGACATGGCTGTGTAGATGTGTAGTTGAGAAGGACAAAAGGAAGAGACCGATTGGAAAGAAGGAGACGCGATCCCCACGGACTGTTGGGGTCGATTTCAACTTCCCCACGATTTATTGTGGGGACGGCATCGCCTGGAGAGGCCAATAGTATATAAACCGCAACCAACTCTCCTGCACTCTGACAGTCATTTGTAAGACTGTGCATTCTTCGTCATGACTGAGCCCAAGGGACCGTACCATCTTGTCACCGTCAACACCGCTCCCGAGCGAGCCAAGCGACTTATCGGACGCGTCGCTGATGCCCTTAAGGACCGCTACACGATTATCCATGTTGACAACTGCGAGAGTAAGTTCCCAGTTCTCTACAAAAGGGCTTGATCCAATTACTAATTTGGTCTATGGCAGACATTGAAGAAGTCCGTCCCAAGGTGACGCAGCACATGCCCGAGGTTCTCGTAGGCCAGCCCTATCCATCATTTTGGAGAAACCCAAACCAATGTATAACTCTGACTCCCTTCCTTTCTCCTCTAGTTCAGCGCCTCCATGTGGTCGGACGAGCAGGCCCAAGAAATTCATCAGATTGCCCGCGAGGTTAATCCGAATATCAAGCTACACGCCCTGCCGCCGGGTTTACAGGTCGAGCGTGGTCCAGATGCGGTGGTGGAGTACCTGTGTGAGAAGGTGCCTGTTCTCCTAGAGAACTAGACCGTGTTGCCGTCCCATATATAGCCAATATAATACATCCTTGATACAACAGTATTGGGTCTGGACCCGAGGTCTCCTCTCCTCTCTCCGCCCGAGAATAACCCAGAGATGCGATGCCGGTTGCCGAGCCAAGAGATCCGGACGGCGGAGTGGAGACTAGCGGGGCTTAGTCAGAATCGGTCTTGATCTGATATCATTTCCCGATATCCCGATCCCACTTGAATACAGTCATCTCTCCACCAACCATTGTACATCAGTCTTTAGAACCCCATGTTTTCTGCCCGGTTCGTCGGCCGGGTGGCCTCTGGCACCCGTTCCTTCTCCACATCGAGATTGATGCGGACAGACCTCTCCTTCCAGGTTTTTGGCCCGGAAAATGAGCCCGTGAGCCGCAGCCCGATTGTCTTTCTCCACGGACTCTTTGGTTCCAAGCAGAACAACCGGAGTATTAGCAAGTATGACGATTCTTAATCTTGCTTACCGGATGGATAGTAGCTAATGGGGACCTCCAGAGCTCTTGCACGTGATCTCAAGCGACAAGTCTACGTAGTGGTTGGTTATCTCCATCCTTCTCAGTAGAGAGATGTGTGGGTAGACAGCATCATACTTACCCTCTCCATCGGCATATGGTTAGGATCTTCGGAACCATGGTCACTCCTTCCATGCCAAGGAGCACAACTACTCCGTCATGGCAGACGATGTGAAACAGTTCATCCACAAGCAGAACATGGACCAGTGCGTCCTAATCGGTCATTCTATGTATGTAACCACACAACCTCTCGACCAACGACCATTCTCTTGAGATTGGAGACCTGCTCACCCCGACCAGGGGCGCTAAAACCGCCATGACCGTCGCCCTGGATGCCCCCAGCCTCGTGTCGGCTCTCATCCCGGTCGACAACGCTCCCGTCAACGCCGCCCTTCAGAGCGACTTTGGCAAATACGTCCGCGGCATGCAGCGCATTGAATCCGCCGGCGTGACCAAGCAGTCGGATGCAGACAAGATCCTGGCAGACTACGAACCGGTAGATTCCTTCTCCCCTCCCTTCCCAGACTAATAACATAGACGGGAAATTGACGAACATCGATAGTCCCTCCCCATCCGTCAATTCCTGCTGACCAACCTCATCCGCGGCGATGACGGCACGATGAAATTCCGCGTCCCCGTGTCTGTGCTCGGGGATTCGCTCCCCCACATGGCGGACTTCCCTCACCGGGAATCCGGGCCGATCTCTTATGAGGGGCCCTCGCTGTTCGTCAGAGGCACCCGGAGCAAGTATGTCAAAGATGATGCGATCCCGACCATTAAGAAATTCTTTCCCAAGGCGCAGATCGCGGATGTGGAGGCCGGCCACTGGCTTATCTCGGAAAACCCAGAGGCTTTTCGACAAGGTATGTTTTGTTTGTTCTATGGTTGCGCCGTATCCTGCGGGTGGCGATGAAGCTAACTGTCTTGTTAGTGGTGGTCAAGTTCTTACAGGACGCTTCTTGAAGATATATCATGATAGTGTTTGTTCTTTATTGTAAGATATCCAGATTAGATATGAGAGGTGTAGTATATCATAGTATCCACGACAGCTAGATATAGACACGTGACGACACACGGCATTGGTATGAGTGTCGTCCGTTGGACGATTGAAGATATTATGTACATGTTTCCCGTGAACTAGGATATGCTAGCCATCTTGTCAAACAGTGCGCCCCATTCGGGCAGTTCACTGGATTGTCGTGGTCCATTCTGCAGTGTCGCATCCCGAGTCCCACGGGGTCGTTGATGTATCCCATCTCGGGTACCATTTGTCTTCGAGCCGCGGAATTCAGACCGTAGACAGAGAGAAGGGGCGAAATGGTGATAAGTCGGCTGGGAATAGCCCGAGCTTCCAGGTATGCCGTTGTCAATTAACAAGCCATTATCCGGCTGGAGCACGGTCCTTCCATTTCATGCGTTTGAGGTCGGGCGATACTGGAGGGGATATTCGATCCCTGGATGGCGCGGGGCGCAGTAGCCGCGTATGATTGTTGATCCTTTCTCCAATGCCCGTTACTCTTTGGATCGACGCTTCCCCGTAATAAACTCAACATAGGCCGGTGGGTTCCCCTTGAAAGTCTCTAGCGTATCCTGCAGCAGTCCGTAGATGAGACTCAGCTTCAAACCCAGTTTGGCCGTCCGCGCAGCGGTGAAAACATCGTGTCGTTCTAGCGCCACCAATCAGTCCCACATCATCCAATTTACACAAAATGAAAAAAGAAAGTAAACTCACTCAACAAACTATAAATCCCCGAAAACGACAACCCAGCCGTAACAGTAGACAAGAAATCCCTGCGATCATTCCGCGCATAGTCGACCGTCTCCTCAAACAGCGAAAATGCAACCGCCCCGACTGCCAGTCCGCTTCCCAGCTTCAAGCCCTCCGCCAGGCCCCGGCTGCCGATCGCGTAGTTCTTCCATTTGTGGTACTGGAACCACCCGCTGGGTGAACTGGGAACCCGATGGGCGTTTTCGGCTCGGAAGAGATATGCTGCCTTTTTGGCCCCGTGCGGAACTCCGATCGTTATGCCTGACAGGAAAGCTGCTACTGCTGTGTAGTGGACCCGTTCGCGAACGTGTAGCCCCAGGCGCGGCGGTGCGTCGGATTCGAAGAGCTTGTCCCAGGTTTTGAACTTGCTCACGAGTGTCGGCTCCTGGTTTACTTGCGGGTCTGAGGAAGTGTAGGTAGCCATTGTGGATGTAACGGTGAACTAGTCGGTGTTCACTGTTCTGGATGGGATTGGGTAGGGGGTGGATGGTGGTGTGTTTATTTGGGATGGTCGAAGTGAAGTTGCGGTTGGAGACCGAAGATCCGAGAAAGTATTGGGGCGGTTGGTCCGAGCGCCGCTTCTCCTCCGACAGTCTATGGAATCACTTGCCGCTTTCTCTCTTTGACATGAACTCATCCCCATCAGAATAATCACTCACCATGGTATGTTCCCTCTTGCTTGATGATACATATTTCTCATTAGATATCTGCGTGCTATTGTATAATCTGACCTCCACTGACACACTCATCGCAGTCTCAGCCTGATTCCCTTAGTTTAACGCTCCTATTTAAGAAGCACAAGACCACTGTGCTACTGATGCTCCCACCGACGACCACAATTACTACCGCAAAAGAGTTGCTTCTCGGATCTCTCCAAAGTCGCGGCCTTCAAGGGATCAACGGCGACGTGATTCCCGGCGACGCCTCGGAGATCGAGTTCGGGGTGCCCGTGGACAAGAACGACCTCGAGAAGGGCTGGACGAGTCTGGAGCCAGACGTGCCGCAAGAACTTCTTACAAAGAGTGCAGGCAGAAAGTCTGCAGTGGGTCAAGGGACTCTGCAGGCAGCTGAGCTCAAAAACGGACAGTCGATCGCATTCCGGTTCCGGAAGCGCGGTGGAGAGGACACGCAGGATGACACTGTGGATGACCTCGAGGACCCCGGGTGGGATGTTATCCTGCCCAAATATGAGGAAGAGGAAGAGGAAGAGGAACTGAGCTGATTGTATTCGGTGTGAGATTGTGGTGGGCTGCTCTATTGGCTGAATGCTCATCCGGTGCATCGCTTGTGTATCGTCTTGCCGGACGGCGTTTTGACCTAGGAGGGATATAATGATGACGACAATTATGGCGATATGATATGAATCTGTATTATCACATGGCGACGAACAACTCAATGATATTGACACCATCTGTACAGTGCGCAAGGCTTAGCCCGCCATCCCAATCTTACTGGCGATGGGAACATTTCAGCAGACTACAGTACTGGTCGATGATTTGGAAACGCCAGTCCGTGTCGCCTTTATCTACACGTACCATCTTTGTCTCGAGTCCGTTTTGACTTCTCATAACCCTCGAAAAACCGCCCTTCTATTCATTCGTCGGCCGACATCTCCATCCCGACCCTGTCGGATTAGAATATTTTCTACAGATCTGCTCTCGGACGACTCGATCCACATACCAGGCACCTTCATCGATGTAGAAGAATACATCCATCTACGCCCCTCACTGAAACTTCTGTCCCGATGATGCAAGTCGCCTTCAGGACTAATCGATATCCACCTTTCAGTCCGACTTACCCACTGGAGTATTTGGTCCACTGCCGCCACAGCTGTGCAATTGCTTCTAGGACAAGTTCTTTCCTTTACCGTTGGACCTCGACGATGCGATGTTTTCCAACCTCGCCGTGTTTCATGCGGCTGGTGCGGACCAGATCAGGTTGACTGCGGACGGTGGATCCCACGGAACGCGAATCTCTTGCAAGCAAGCGATGTTTAGGGAAGTCTATGGAGACCAATGATACATCTCCAATGGTAGATCGCTTCTGGCATGCTTTGGCAGCACGATATTGCCGTGAAGGAGCTCAAGCGGGAATATGGATCCCAATGTCTGACTGTAGACAAAGCAATTTTGATCGATTTACCAAAGCCGTTGCAGTATTTGAGCTCACTTCTACACAAGTTATCAATGGAATTAGACTCAACCCCATCAATTTCGAGGCAATCGAAGTATGTTGTATAGATGTAGGCCTCTATATAGTATGACTAATCCACCACCGCGGGGCAGCAACCAGGCGGTCAAGAAATTCTGCGGGTTGAACGACACCGCCCATGTCATACTATCTGGACGGACTCTCTTGCCTCGCTTCTTCTCGTGTCTCTCTCCTTCAAAATCATATCCAGCCAAACCCATCGCGGATTTCCGTATCAAAAAGCTATGGAGTCGGAAGTACCCGGGTCCAAGCCGGGCCCCAAACCCCACATTGATCTATCCAAGAAGCTCTCCGAACTTCGATCGACCAAGAGCAAGTCGCACTCCGGGCCCAACAGAGACCCAGCACCTCCCACCCCTGCCCTCCCCGCCGTCCCAGACCTATCATCGAACAAGTATATCCGACCTGCTCGTCGGATTCTATCGAGACATGACCATGAGCTGTTCTTATCCTCTCCCACCTACACCCTGATCGTCGCCTTCATTTTCGGTCTCTCCGATTCAGTGCGGGGCCGATCCGCCACAGACGCCGAGAAGCGTCCTGCATCCCCAGGTGTTTCCAAGACCCGATCAGTGGTTCATTGCATGCGGGAGGTCCTCACTCAGCATCCGTCTGCCGATCAGGGGGGCTCGCGATTCGGCAATCCCGCGTTCCGCGACTTCTTTGACGACATTGGTGCGCAGAGTGCCGCCTGGCATCGTGAAATTCTCGGCCTGCAGGATGCCAGCGCCATCGATGAACTGTCGACCTACCTTGTCCACTCGCTAGGGTCGCGCGACCGTCTCGACTATGGCTCAGGCCATGAATTGAATTTCATGATGTGGCTGCTGTGTCTCCGGCAACTGGGGGTTTTCTCGACTAATGATTTTGAGATGATTGTGTTCCGTGTCTACGTCGATTATATGCATCTTATGCGCGAGGTTCAAAGTACGTACTATCTGGAACCTGCAGGGTCCCATGGCGTCTGGGGCCTCGATGATTACCACTTTCTGCCGTTCTTGTTCGGCGCTTCCCAGCTCGTCGGTCACCCCTACATCACCCCGCTGGGAATCCACAATTCGGCGGTCCTGGACGAGGAGGGCGACAGGTACATCTATCTAGATCAAGTGCGATGGGTAGACAGCGTCAAGACGGTCAAGGGCCTACGGTGGCACAGCCCCATGCTGGATGACATCTCCAGCGCCAAGAACTGGACCAAGATCGAAGGCGGCATGAAGAAAATGTTTGTGAAGGAGGTCCTGGGGAAGCTACCCATCATGCAACACTTCCTATTTGGTAGCCTCCTGCCGCCCGCCCCCGGGATGGGAGAGGGCGCACAGGAGTTGGAGGAGGACGACCACCACCACGACCACGCCCACAGTGACGGTCACCCCCATGGCATGAAAACAGACCATTTCGGCGACTGCTGTGGGATTAAGGTTCCGAGTAGCGTGGCTGCAGGCGCTGAGATGCGGAAGCGCGTGGGCGGGTCCGGGTTGCGGCCCATTCCGTTTGACTAGGAGCTGTATATAGCATAATGTGTTACGAGTTGGGATTGGGTGTTTGGGATATTCGTTTCTTAGTTTCGACCAAAATGGGGTACTGGGTCTTGTCTGTTCCAGCACTATTTCCCGAGTGCCATACTGTAGAGCTCAAACTATGCCCTAGTTAGTTACTAGTGTGGGGTAGGTTGGTAGGTATGTATGAAGTTATGAACCCACCATGAAGGCGACCTGTCCCTACTCAGGACAGTTTGCGCTACTTGGCATTGACTCCTTGAATATTTCCCGAAGCAATCCTCAATTAATTCGGGAGTATCCGATGAGATCAACGAGAAACATGCCAGAAGGACCCTGCGGACCGACCCCGTGAGCATCAAACCACACAACACCAGCATCTTTCGACCAATATTACATATTACTCTCATGACGATCTATCACAACACCACAAGAAGAAGCCAACCGAGGGGTTAGAGCCAGCACGAAACCCAGGTCCATGCCTTATGCCAAGCAAGTGGGCGGAACATGCCAAGGACGTCGGGTGAGGACCCTGGGGTGAACAAGCCTTTGCTCTACCACAGTCTCGTTCTTTTCTCGGTCATGGCTGTGGTTTTCGATGGGTGTGTCTTGGCTTTTCCATCTTGGCGACGGGCACCTTGGGAGTTAGTCTGCTTGTGCCGTGCCTTGGGATACTGGGTCGCTGCCAATGACCGTGCTCGTAATGAAAACTCTGTGGTGGAGTGTTCGCTGATGGGGGTCATGTCGCAGTCACTAAAATGAATGAGGACCCATGCGAGGTATGACGGAAACCGTATAATAAAAGGCGAGGTAAAAAAATCTTATTCTGCGAAGAACCGTGGTGAAGGCGCTCGGTCCCGTTAACCTTGGGAGAAAGAGAAACGTGCATATAAAGAATCTGAGCAGGACTTTAGATTCTTTTTTTTCACTTTGTGACTATCAGCCCCGCAGAGAACAGAGTCTGTCAATATGCTCTCCATCTTCCGTGGCCTTGTTCTGGCATCCCTCGCGACCAGCGCGGTGCATGCGCAGTCTCCAGCAACGACTACGTCGTCGGCTGCCGCATCGGCCGTGACTGGGTGCCACAGTCATGGGGACGATGTGTTTTGCATCGATGGCGATGGCTCTGAAGTTCAGGTGTCTATGACCTCGACTCCCACAGGGGAGATGCCGGCACAGTTCACTGGGTGCCATTCCCATGGAGAAGAACGGTGAGCAGAGCTTCCTTTACCAGCGTTTTGTGCTAAGTGTACTGATTGCTTGTTGTTTCGTTTTTTAGTTTTTGCAAGGACGACGGTGGGAATGAAGTCCAGATCATGGGGGAAGGGGCCGCGGCAGAAGATAGCCATGAACACGGCAGTGAGAGCTCGAGTGGATCCTCCGGCCACGGCGAAAAGAATTGTCATTTCCACGCTGGTGTTGAGTATGCCAACCCCTTTTCTGAATAATGGAACCACGAGAACCATACTGATGACCAGAACAGACACTGCGTGGGACCCGGGGAATCTGAGAATGAAGGCGAGAGTGGTGGTTCCAGCAAGTCATCATGCGGTATCCAAGGCCGTGACTATGACGTGCCCTTGCGGATTGGGACCTTGTTCGTGGTCTTGGTTACCAGCAGCATTGGTGTTTCCCTGCCCATGCTGCTGGCCCTGTTACCTTTTCCTTCTCTCAACACGTGGGTCTCGACTGTTGTTAAGCAGTTTGGGACCGGCGTGATTATCTCGACAGCGTTTATCCATGTGAGTTCTCCTTCTCCGTTTTTGTTTCCCCCCAATTTCCTCTTAATCTATTGGTAAACAAGTTGATCGACGCTGACAGCCAACAGCTCTATACGCATGCCAACCTCATGTTCACCAATGACTGTTTAGGTGAACTTGATTTCGAAGCCACAACCTCGGCGGTAGTAATGGCGGGGGTCTTCATCGCTTTCCTAATCGAGTACATTGGACACCGCGTGATCATTGCACGAGCCTCCAGATTACCCACCTGCGACTCGACACCCGAAAGCGGCGCACATTCACCCAAGGAGTGCCCGACGCATCAACAATCTCAGGCAATGACGCTCGCCGCATTGGGCCACAACCACGGCGCTCCTATGGACCCGACACAACCCAGCTCCAAACTCTCCGTGCTGGTCATGGAGGCAGGTGTGATATTCCACAGCGTGCTCATTGGCGTGACGCTCGTCGTAGCCGGCGACTCGTTCTACAAGACCCTGCTGGTAGTCATCATCTTTCACCAGTTCTTCGAAGGTATGGCATTGGGGGCGCGCATTGCTCTGCTTCCGGGGAAAGTGTTCCCGAACAAGGCTTTGATGGCGGCGGCTTTTGCGCTCATTACACCGATTGGTATGGCGATTGGACTAGGCGTGTTGAATTCATTTAATGGTAGCGAGCGCAGCACTCTGGTCGCACTGGGCACGCTTGACGCCCTGTCGGCTGGAATCCTCGTCTGGGTCGGCGTGGTCGACATGTGGGCGCGCGACTGGGTAATTGATGGTGGCGAACTCCTGGATGCGCCATTAGGGCGAGTGGCAACTGGTGGTATCTCGCTAGTTGCTGGTATGGCTTTGATGGGGCTATTAGGGAAATGGGCATGATTCTTGCCATATTTAATGTTGAATTCCAGGAGTCTGTTGGAATATGCACCAATAGACCAGTATAGACAGACTGCGAATCGATGCACAATCTCAACGACCAGATTTCAAGATAGATGACATATTGTTTGGGAAGTGTAGATGTGAGATTAGGGTCACGCTGGTTGAGGGAGAAAATGAGACCGTGAGAGACCAGGCGCAAATGTTGCAATGGCCGCCTTTGCGCTTCCACTTTATAACTTCTTTCAAGGGTGTCGGTGAGGACGACGCCATGTTGTGGAGTACTGTCAAAGCTGAGACACTTTTCCAAAGCCGTCACGCAACCACTATCTGCTCAGACGAGCGATTATTGACCCAGTTCGATATGACTCCTGGAAGGTCTCGGTTGTGTTTTTTAACTCTCACCGGAGAATGTCAATTGCGGCTCCAATTTCAAGGGTTTCCGTGTTTTGGTTGTATGATAACGGCGCATGCTTCACTCTCCATATTCAGGCTGTCATTATCTGCAGTCAATTCATCCTTCGGCCAGAGTTCGACCGACATGTCATCGGTTGGCGCCAACTGATTTGCTAGCGCTGTGTAAGCACTGACTACACGCCTGGCCTGCGGGCGATCTCCACACTCAAGCACTAGAAGCTTCGCCTGCAGCTCGAAGAACAGCGATATGATGCGATGGTAGAACACATCTTCTGGGTTGCCATCGCCGATCATGGCAGGTGTATGTTGAGTGGGCGGCACCAATGCCAGCTGGGGTTCAAAGTGCCGCACACTACGGGCAGTGGTGCCATTGCGAAAACATTCCATAGATATATATGGAGGGTTCGAGATCAGGATGTCACACTGAGCGGTTCCATGGGAAGAGAAGTCTTGTTGGTCAAGCAAGACTTGTTTCACACTGGGAATACCGCTGCTGTTGGGATCAAGCACGTCGCCGCGATGAAAAGAGACCTCGTCCGCTGCACGACTAGACAATAGACCTAGTCTAAGATTGTGCTGCAGATTTTGATGAGCTAAGTCAAGAGCCGTGGTGCTGAGATCAATCCCAAGAACAGACACCTTTTCCAGATGAGGAGCTAGGAGCGCATGTAGCAAGAGTGATATGCATCCCGTGCCGCTGCAAATGTCTACAATACGCAGGCTCTCATCTTTTGTTTCCCCACGCCGTTCACGGCTTCGGAGATAGGACCGTATCAAGTCCGCTGTATGGACAGTGTACGCCTCTGTCTCTGGCCTGAGACCATAGCATACCGTCAGCAGATAACTCGGGAATACATAATCGTGGCAAGTGAAAGTGAAGGCACCTCGGAATCAATACTCCTCTTCGGCAGAGGATCTCTAAGTCCCCGAAAGGTTGATCTCCTAGGATATACTGCAGGGGCACTCCTTTTGAGCGCGCTCTGCACATAGACCGCAAGAGAGTCCTCCATCCAACAGTGGATCTCCGAGTACTCCTGCTGGCAATAGTGCTGGCTCGCTCACGGAGCCATCGCAGCTCGTTTCTTGCAGAGTCTAGCGTACGGCATTCTTGTAAAAGGCGAGGGAGAAGAGGATGTTGACGGTACGCCTGCAGGATCGTCGAAGTGGGAATCCGAGGCATTGCAATTATTCTATATTTTCAAATGTTGTGAACTCTTTGACTGATGTTTACATCGGACGAGTCTATCCAGAAGTCCTGCGAAAGAACGCGCTAGTCCAGTCTAGGCTTAATTGGCGTGATTCCCTGTATAACCACGCATAACTATGACTAAGGCATATCAAGCTCATTTTATGCAGAACGGAAACTCCCCGCACGGTTTCGCCTGTCTACTCAGGTACGGAGCATAGGAAGGAATATAGAATGGAACTTTGTATCCAGAATGTATGTAGGGTATCTTTATGTCAAGGAGGTCTATCATAGAATGCGGAGTAATTGTTATGATGAAGACGATCACCTCTTGCGTGTCTTCTTCTTCTTCTTCTTCTTTTTCTTGTCCCCTTCCGAGTCGGCCGTTTTCTCCACGGCTACACGCGCCGGCCACTTCTTTGCGTGCTCTCGCTCAAACACGTCTTTATCCCGCCGATAAAGTAGCATCGTTGCTTTGGCATCCTCCACACTGGAGTGCGCTCCATCTTGGATATTGAGTCCGAGAAACTCGGAAGCCAGAACCTTCAGACGAGGAGATCCACCTCCCGCGACTTTCCGATACGGGACGTGTTTGCTGGTATCGCGGATATCACGCTTGGGATGGCTCAACATGAGGGCGTACAGATCGTTGCTCAGCGCATGTCCCACGAGGATCCGCCCATCCAAGATCTCGGTGACTTCCTTCTGGACATGCTCGAGCGTACGAGCATCCACCATATGCTTCGGTAATATGCCACTGACATGTGTTCGCCAGTCGGTAACCATTTCTTTGGGTCGCACAAAGGAGTCGTAGATCTGCTCGCCGTTGTAGTTGACGATACTCACACGAGCGAGCACGGAGGCGCTGTCGGGATTGGGACCGACGCCCACCATCTCGCAATCCATCGCGATATATTTACCGATCTCGGCGCTGTAGACAAAAGATATGTTTTAGCAAGCGATCCCATCACTCCTAAAAATAATACCGCAATACGAAAATACTAACGTTTTGGATCGCCCTTCATTGGCTTTGGCAGTCTTGGTTTCCGACCGACTCGCGGACATCGAACTTCTCCGTGAGGTGGACTGTCCGGCAGCCTCTTTGGCACCATCATCGGTCTGACTCGAGCTGTGTTCGGGCATCCTTTTCCGCTTTTTCGTGATGCGCGTCTGGTCGAAGGTCCTTTTTGCGGCGGTTGACTCTGATTTCCGTTTCTTCACCACACCATTTTCGTCCACGGAATCGGGGTTCTTGCGTTTTGTGGAGAGGGAAGAAGCACTCTCCTTTTTGATGGACCCCTGGAGCTTCTTCCAATTACTGGAGAGGTTTTTCACATCCATTCCAGCGATCCCTGTTGCATGGTGAACCAGATGCGGCAAGACCGGCGATCGGCCAAGAAAAAAAAAAGGGAATGGAGCGCGGAGCGGAGGCAACGCGACCGACGTCCGTGTCACGTGTCTTACAGTCTAGAAGCACTTCTCTAAATGAGTGTGATTTGCCCTCAGGAGCAGCAAATCAGTCACTGTGAGATTCATTCTTCTGAAGAATGGCGTGTAAAAGTATAACACTCTCTACTGGACACGGACTCCTAAAAAAAAGCCAATCAATGGACATGACAAAACTATGGATGATCGCACATGTAAAGAATGCAAACACTGCAAACCCACCCACCTATCCAGCGGTGGATCTCTCCGCTTTATCGCCGACGAACTTACCTCTCAGAGCAGAGCTTCTCGTTGATTTTTCTTTTCTTTTCTGCTCATTTTAAGAGGCTCTGCATAATCGGATAATCTACCAACAGGCCCCATAATACGAAATACGAAGGATATGGGCACGACTAAGCCTCGCCCCTCCGGGAGAAACTCCATCGCGAAAGCGCCATCGCTACCGAGCAAGACTTTCGTCATCGACAATGGGGCACATACGATGAAAGCGGGATATGCGCCCGACTCTGTCCCCTCAGACGATGGATCACAACTCCTCTCAACATGCGCTACGATACCGAACGCGCTCACGAAAACACGGAACAATCGTGTTTACATCGGCTCGCAGCTCCACACCCACGTCAAGGATTGGAACGAGTTGATGTTTCGACGCCCGGTCGAGAAGGGATACATCGTCAACTGGGAGGCGGAGAAGGAGATATGGGAGCATTCGTTCTTTGACGAGAAGACGGCGCGCAAAGATCTTCGCATTGCGAGCCCGGAGGAGACGACACTGGTCCTGACGGAAGCCCCCAACGCGTTGCCGATATTGCAAAAGAATGCCGATGAGATTGTAATGGAGGAATGGGGGTTTGGCGGCTACTTCAGAACTATAGGTGAGGCGAGAACGTGGTATCGTGAAATGATTCCAACCCTTTGCTGACTATACGTTTAATACTAGGCCCCTCGTTGAATGCATGGAATGAAATCCAGTCTCTGTTCGGAGATCCCCTGGTACAGAACCCGGACGGCCCCATCTCACCAGCGGAATGTCTCCTCGTCGTTGATTCCGGCTTTTCTCACACCACGGTGACCCCTGTCTACAAAGGCCGACCTCTTCAACGTGGCATCCGTCGACTGGACCTCGGTGGGAAACATCTTACAAACTACCTGAAGGAGATGGTATCGATGCGGCAGTACAACATGGTGGATGAGACATATATCATGAACGACGTCAAGGAAGCGGTCTGCTTCGTGAGCAATAATTTCCCCGGTGAAATGGAACAAGCGTGGAAAGGAAATCGGAAGCGTAGTCAACCCGACCCCAGCGAGGGTGTCGTTGTGGACTATGTTCTCCCCGATCCCAATGCCGGCGTCAAGGGGTTTATGCGACCCCATGATCCCCTCCTGAACCTCAAAAAGAGAAAGAGCACATTGTCTGGCTCGGAAACGGCGCTGTTATCGGAAGATGTTTTGGTTCTGGGCAATGAGCGCTTCACCGTTCCGGAAATCCTGTTCACGCCGGGCGATATCGGTATGAAACAGGCTGGGATTCCGGATATGATTCTGCAAAGCCTGTCTGTGTTACCTACCGGACTGCACCCCGCCTTCCTGGCCAATGTGCTGGTTGTTGGCGGAAATGCCTTGCTGCCAGGATTCATGGATCGCCTGTATGGCCCTCATGCAACATGTCAATTTTGAATGCTGCTAATTTGGTTCAATTTAGGGAAACCGAGTTACGTCAGACCGCATCCACAGAGTGCGTGGTGAGAGTTCGGCGTCCTCAAGAGTCAGTAGCCAATGTCCCTTTCTGTCATTCACCGCAGACATGCTAATGAATTGGAAACAGTCCGATCCGGTTCGCATGGCTCGGAGGTGCACGGTTTGCGACTAACAAGGAGGAACTGAAGAGAGTCGCTATTACTCGCCAAGAGTACCAAGAAAATGGCTCTTCCTGGGCCGGTAGGAAATTCTCCGGCGCCTTGTAAAGGTACAAAGTGGCTGTAACGGGTCAGTGCAGTGAACGGCTGGTCCCCTATGGAGTTCCGGACCGGCGTGGATGAAATGCCGGAGTTGAATACTGATGAAAGTTACAGGGGCTGGCGCACCAGACCGGTGTTATTGTATGTAATTCCTTGATACCTTAGTGATACCCTTCCAATAAAGCGGATTTCTTTGAGATTGTTGAGCAGAGACGGTTTGCGACAACTATCGCTCTGATGTGGATGATCGACCGCGTGTTCCCGTGACTTCCCATGGGCCTCGGCTGGGATCTCGGTCCGTCGGTCTCCCCGCAAAACATCAGCCGGAGCTGTCTGTCCAAGAGATCCTTTACCGTTCAGACGATCTCTGCCCCATACGAACCCAGGGTTACTGGTGGATTCTTCTAATCAATTAACGAGTTTCCCCTCTTTGCATCCGAGGTGTTTATACAGCAATTGATAAACCGAGTGATCCGCTTCAAACGATCTAGGAGAGCCTCCCTTAACTGTCGCGATTGTCTGCTCGCTTGTATTACCAGCTATATATACTCGTTTCTACTATCTCCTCTCTCGACTTCTTCCACGATGGCGGACCAAAATATCACAGTGACCTACCAAGATCGGGTAGCCATCGTCACTCTGAACCGCCCCGATAAGCTGAACGCGCTGAACGCAGACCTCTACTACCTCCTCGGCGAACGTCTCCGAGAAATCGACGAGAGGGATGACATCTTCATCACAGTCCTGACAGGCAGCGGCCGGTTTTTCTCAGCGTAAGCGCCCTCCACCATCCCCCACAGACCAAACCAGGCCCAATCTGACGCCAACCACAGCGGCGCAGACGTGACAGCAGTGCGCCCCAGCGCCGAAACCAGCACCAACGTGCGCCGCGAACTAACCCGCAGCTTCGTCATCAACAATTTCGACCTGACGCACACCTTCGCACACCACTCCAAGATCCTCGTCGTCGCTCTGAACGGTCCCGCCGTCGGGCTCTCCGCAGCGCTGGTCTCCATGGCCGACTTCATCTACGCCGCCCCGCACACCTTCCTCCTGACGCCCTTCTCGTCGCTCGGACTCGTCGCTGAAGGCGGCTCATCGCGCGCTCTCGTCGAGCGCCTCGGTATCGCCAAAGCTAACGAGGCTCTCATCATGAGCAAGCGGATTACGTGCGACGAGCTGGTGGCGACTGGTTTCGTAAACAAGGTCATTACGGCCCCGTCTGGCAAATCTGATGACTCCGCTGGGTTTTTGAAAAAGGTCCTGGAGGAGGTCGATGACCGCCTTGGTTCTCACCTGAGCCAGTCTAGTTTGCTGAAGATCAAAGAGCTGATCCGTCGGCCGGAGCGGGAGGTTCTGGACCGTCAGAATGGGATTGAGGTGTTTGAGGGTTTGAAGCGGTTCCTTAAGGGGGTGCCTCAGGAAGAGTTTAGGAGGTTGGCCTCCGGGGAGAAAAAGCATAAGCTGTAATGGTTGACCGCTTGCATTTGTCGGTTAACTATCATATCTACGTTTACTCCTACGCTCTTATACCAGCATATACTATGACGCATGCAATGAGGTTGCATCGAAAACCAAAAAGTGGGTTTTCAGACCACTAACAGATACAGTGGGATGTTTGTAATAATGGCACATTTCGCCATATTTTTAAAAACGCCATCTAGCCCAGATGCAAAGCAGTGCCTGTAAACAAACGCCGCCAAAGATAACCGAAGAGGGAAGTAAAAATGAAAAGAAAGCCGTCACGCAGTCTCGCTATCTGTATCCGATTCCTGTGCTTGCTTGGCCAGGATGTCCTGCCATTTGCCCAAGAACTCGCCCATACCCCCTGGTCCAGTCATGGAGGCCTCCACCACCTCTTGGGGCAGCTTGTGGGCCGAATACTGGGTCGACGTGAACGCATACGCTTCTGGGTCGTCGCGCTTGATGAGACGGAACTCTGGAAGGAACGGGGAGTCTTCATCGTCTTCGTCGAGGTCCTCGTCGTCGTCGCTTTCGGAGTCGATATCTTCGATCTCTTCGCCTGCTCCGTTGTGGGTGGTAATATCGCCGTTGAGAGAAATTCTCACAAACTGCCCCTCCACACCGTCGTCTTCTTGGATGCCGATGGGGTCTTTTTTGTTCAGAATTTCCAGCCAGCTGAACAGCAATGGGTCCGTCCGCACAGCCCACGGGTTGATATCGACCAGCCACACACGCTGGTACGGTTGCGGCACATAAATGTCGAAGACGAAGTTGGGATCCGGGAATGTATCTTTCAGCTTCTCGTCGAAGAAGGCCTGAATCCGGGACCGGAGTTCATCGCGCATCTCAAAGAGGAAGTCGTAATGGTTCTGGTCCCTTTGGCTCATACAGAGCAGGACACGGTTGCGCACGAAACACCGGAATTCAAGCGCAGGGTTGAAGTTCACGTATTTGCGGAGGACAAGACTGTAGGGGACTTGAGGTGGGGGAGAGGGAGTGTCCTCGGCGCTATCGCCGACGCAGCCGTCGAACGGGTGTTCCAGATCGTGCGTGATGAAATCGCTGCTTTTGAGGAGAAGGTAGATGTCATTTGGGGTTTGGCATTGGAGATCGTTTGTCGCCGCCATCCAAGTTGCGTCTTTCGGCGCGCTCCAGTTGAGCTTCGGGGTGACTATGCCTCCGTACTCGGCGATCGTGGACTTGACGCGGTCGTGGATCTCTCGCCATTCGGTTGATGGATCTGGTTCTTCGTCTGCGTCGTCATCGGAGAAGGTATCATCATCGTCGTCGGGGTCGGTCGGTCGCGCCTCGTCTGGCGGCAGGACGATCCCATCGGCGCGGAGCCACGAGACGAATTGTGGGGTCAGGGGGATGGCTCGAGATTTCGGGGTTAAGGTGCGATAGCTAGGTACAGTTGCTGTCAGTAATTGCAGTCATTATAAAGCTAGAGGAGCCAGGAACACGGGGGGAGCATACCGAGGATGCCAATTCTGATAAGAACAGTTCAAGATATGGGAGTACGTGACCGGGGGAAAGGGAAGTCTGTCCGGTAGCTCGGATACTGATCCAGCCTGAGGCTGTTCCTCAGATTGAATGAGCGGCATGATCACTGAGGTCGATACTGGGCAGATGGATGAGTCGCAAGGAAAATGGGAGGATGAGGGGCAAAAAATACATATGACTCTTAGTGCAGTCACGTGGTCTATACCGGTTCTATCCTCTTATCACTATGTATGCGGACTTCACTCATCTGATAAGAGGGTCACTGGCTGAAATCCCATAATTGAATCCAATACTCCTATATTAGCGATATATCATCTATCAGGAAGTATTCATGTCGTGATGCTGCTGTAATGCTATGTAGATCCTGTGACATATATTGCCTTCGACCCCGCAGGCTCACGGCGGAGATTCTAGAAAATTGCCCAATCTGGAATGGCCTGGACGAGTCTATAGTGGAGCCGTGTTCGACTGCCGATGGTTGCATATCACCAGTATACGATATATATTGATTCTGGAGTCTTATGGCAGCCTTTGCCATAATCTTTCCTCTAATGATTTCCATCATTGGTAATGTGAAAGACATACCATGATCCCTAACCAACCGCCTCGAGAACACACTTGCATCACGTGACGTAATTATGCAATGTCATCGTCACGTGTAACGGCGGCGACAAGGCTTCCTCCGCAATCTCGATCGCGACAATGATCTACCCTCTTGACAGGATCGTACTTATCTAGAGACAATGTCATCGAATCGCCCTTCAACCCCACCGACGGAGGCCAAGGCCGGGACTCCGGGAGACATGTCTCGTCCGCCTCTCACTCCAGAACAGTTGCGCCGAATCGTAGGTGTCTCCGCCTCCGTTATGAAGTTCTCTGTTGACAAGGTCCTCTATCAATGCAGGAAGTCAATCGCATGAAAGCCAAAGCGATTCGCGAGCAGCGGGAAGCGGAAGAGGCCCGGAGTTCTAGCGCATCAGGAGTCAAGCGAACTTATTCTTCCATGACCGCGTCCGAGACTCCAGCGAATGTCCGAGATGGCAGTGCAAACGCAAAGCGTCCCCTTGACACCATCAGACCGGCTCGCAATTTCACCAAATACGTGGAATATGACTTTAGCAAGATGACAGACACCAAAGGTGGTTTCCTGACCGAGGAGGATGACCCCCACAACCGCGCATTGCACATACGAGACGAAAAGGCCGAGCAGAAACCAGCCCATATGACACAGAAGGAATGGGAAAGGCAACAGCTTCTACAGTCGCTACGCCGTGATCGGACAGGGCCATTTGAACCGGGGCTGAGTGTCTTGGAGGATCGGAGTAAGCAGAAGGCGTGTCGCGAATGTGGCGGTTTGGAGATTGATTGGAAATGGGAGGAAATGCTTCGTTGCTGCGTGTGCCATGCTTGCAAAGAGAAGTACCCTGAGAAGTATAGTCTTCTGACTAAGACCGAGGCCAAGGAGGATTACCTATTAACAGATCGTAAGTTTATGCTGACCCGCCTTCTCTCGGTAATCCTGTTATTGACTAGCTCTTTTCTTCCCAGCTGAACTACGAGATGAAGAACTTCTACCGCACCTGGAACGGCCAAATCCACACAAGTCGACATGGAACAACATGATGCTTTACCTGCGCTTTCAGGTGGAAGAGTACGCCTTCTCTCCCAAGAAATGGGGTTCTCCAGAAGCGTTGGACGCCGAATTTGAACGACGTGAGAACGACAAGAAGCAGCGGCGCGAGACCAAATTCAAGAACAAACTCCAGGACTTGAAAAAGCGCACTCGCGTTGACGCATACCGACGGAGCCGCCAGGGGGCTTCTGGTGGCAATTTTGGCGATGACCTGGGGAATGGACGGCGACATGTCCATCAGTGGGGACGGTCGATTGAAAACCCAGAAACAGGCATCGGAGTCAAACGCTGTGTCGACTGTGGAATGGAAGTAGAAGAGTTGGAGTTTTAGAATCATGGTCGGGTTCTTGTACTATATGATGATTGTTGTTTTTACGACTACACGATATTGATGATATATACTCCGTACAATCGAGCATTTCTCCTAATGTATCATGTCCCCAATCTAAAATATAAAACAATAATAGCTTCAATCTGGTAGAAACTATACTATCAAACTGATCCAGCTGATCGGTGTTTTCCCCTACAATATTAAACTGGCGGGTCGCCTTGCTCTTATCGATAAGCCCATCTCTTAACTCCGGGCGTACTAGCGGCCACCCGGCGGGCGCAAACTGGTTCCCGATGCCGATCCCTCAGTTCCTCCACTTACCTCACCGACAGCTACAGTTACCCTTGCTCTAGTAACATATCCTGACATCAATCTTCAGATAACCAAGCAAAATGAGCAACGAACCTCGCAAGGATCCTTCCGGTAGCGACAGCGAACCCGAAGACGTTTTCCACGATGCCCGATTCCCCGCGGCGGAAGAAGCAGTGAGTGCCCCTCCTCCCCCGCGACAGACTCCAAGACACTTGAACTATTTTAACCCCGTCTCTTCTGCCAATAGCGACTCTTGGAAGAGTCTCACTCGATAAAAGCCGAGGCGAACAAATTATTCTCCGCATCATGCTACGACCAAGCGATATCCTGCTACGACCGCGCGCTGGCCTCGTGCCCCAGCTACCTCGAGTATGAAGTCGCCGTCGTGCGCAGTAATATGGCAGCTTGTTATTTGAAAATGGAAGATTGGAAGGAAGCGGTTGGCGCTGCCACCGCGTGTCTCGAGTCTCTGGATCGATTCGATCCGCCATCTACCCCAGCCGAGGGAGACGACGGCCATGCGCCGCAAGAAACCAAGCCGGGCTCGGAGCCAGCAGACGCGGTAGTGGAGATATCAGGAGACGACGAGGAAGCGGAGCTGAAAGAGCTGAAACGCCTTCAGGAGATAGATGAGAGGAGACAAAATATAATGCGCATTCGAGCGAAGGCGCTCATGCGACGAGCTCGGGCGAAGATGGAACTGAGTGGATGGGGTAACCTGCAGGGTGCTGAAGAGGATTACAAGGAGCTTGCTGGGATGGATAACTTGGTGCCAGATGACAGGCGCATCGTCCAGAAGGCACTTCGAGAACTCCCGGCCAAGATCAATGCGGCCCGGGAGAAGGAAATGGGTGACATGATGGGCAAGCTGAAAGATGTGCGTTCTTCCTTCTAGGCTTCGAAACACGCCAACGCCTCCTGATCTTGAAAGACAGTGCTAACTTTCATTGAACTCTAGCTAGGGAACGGCATACTCAAACCCTTTGGACTGTCGACTGAGAATTTCAACTTTGTCCAGGACCCTAAAACAGGAGGCTACAACATGAACTTTCAATCTTGATGAGAGGCAGAATGTTTTGCTGACATTTATTCATTGCATATTGAGCGCTTTATCCTGTGATTGCAGAAAGCATGAGACATCTAGTCACTGTCACTGATTCCACATTATTTGAATTCATTCATCTTAGCCAATTATATATATATATATAGACTTCTACACAATCTAGCAAAACAATTCATATATATAAACTGTGGAACTATGAGACAATGCAGCTGGCCAATGTTAGCTGACATGCAGTGTTTTTTCCCTACAAATTGTTGTTTCGAATCGTCATGTCTCTTGAAACCTTCATGCAACTATCCGCAGTCCTTCATATTCACCAAAATCATCATTATTTGACTGTCTTCATCAGTCCACGGACACAATCAATGTCGATGGTCCTGATAATGGAGACAACAAGAGAGCAGTACTTCTATAAACAGGCTCTCAAGTTACTTAACGAGTAGGCTGATATCTTGAATCTACAGAAAGCTCCTAGTAACTGTCTCAAGGTTTTTGGGAAACTGCGAGTTCCATCAGAATACGTGCCTTGTATGAAGGGCCGCGGGGATATATCAAAATGTCTATAAAAAGAAGGCCATATAAAATGTACCCTCTCTCCCTTCATTCTTTAATCATATGCAGATGACTTATTATCACTTAGATAGCAGGTCTTCTCTTCAGCTTACGCACACCCACCCCGAGTTCCAGAGACAATCTACCATCTCGACATGTTATATTTCCCTTCAATCTCCGGCATAACAGGGAAGCTCTCAATAATAAGACTTGGGAGCAACTATGAGATCTCTGTCCTGATACCAAATATGTGTCATTCGATGGCTATTTCTTAGCATCTCACCTCGGTTCTCTTCCTGCTAAGCCATGGCCGATTACTATTGGCGGTGTCCAACCATACTTCAGGTTGATGAGGCTTTTGAACAAGTAATAAGCTACTTTTCAGGCTTCAACATATCCACCACAAAAGTCAAGTACTGGAACACTTTCTTTGTCCTTGTCTTGAAGAGAGAGGACATGGATCTGCTTGAATCTCCCAGTACAATAGGATATCAATGGGGATTTTAACTATTTGAAAAGAAGATGGGCCGTCAGGACGAACCTCTGGCGCAGAGAAACTGTGACCTGGCCAGTGAGTGGCATTACGGACAGCAGCGAGTGTGACATGCTGCGACACGGGGTCATGCTCGATTTTGAAAAGCATTCTAACAGTGGCATGGAATTGCGCACAATTCCAGATGTTCTTGTCGAAGATGGGATGCGCGAAAGATGCCTCACTATAGCGTCGCGCGGCCCTTCATATGGCGACAGAGTCTTCCGCCTATCTGCCAGAGGCAGGGACATTTCGCGCATTTTTATAGAAGTTTCCCACACCGATGTTGCGCTTGTCAAGCGAAATGAGGATGAGACCGACCAGTCCAGGAATGGAAGCTTCGGGGCCACATCCCTCAGGGTTCCACCAACGAAGTTGAAGGAACTCATACTCCCAAATGAGTTCCAAATAGGCTTCACCGTTTATACGAATAACCCGTTCGCTGGGTACTTTGAAGGGACGTGCCGGCCACACTCTAACTGCGCATCCTAAGTGATGACCCTCACGAAGTACAATGGATCAGGCCTCAATTGGCCTATATGGGGCAGTAATTCTTTGATATTCTGCGATATGGTGTATGTGGGTCCGCGATCTGGAGTGATGATGGTCAGGTTCTGGGGTTCTTCCGGTACTAGAGAAGAAGGCCTGTGCAGCGAGCAAGCTTTGGATCAGTGGGTATATCGTACTGGCATTCCCAGAGGGACGAAGATCCTGTCCATGCTGATGATAAGATGCACGATCTCATCCAGGCTCCCGTTCGAAACTGGTTTTATGATCGGGGTGTCCATCCCCAACGTCCAGCGACGAAAGATCCTAGTATGTGTCGAATTCTATGAGCTCGGCCTATACAAGCAACATGCAGTTTCTCTGTACAGGTAATATTGATCCAAGTATGCTCCTAATTCGGGTTATCCTGGGGACTGGTGTCTTGTGGTGGCGTTCGATAACCTGGTTGGAATGGGATTCAAGATAGCTGCGCAATGAACCTTCACGCTATTCACCATGGTACCGTCAGCCATCTCCCCGTCATCGATCACTTACCACCCCAAGGCGTCAAACGCCATCCCATTGGATTCTTCAGCAGTGGCACAGACTCTGAGTCGTTCTTGCTCAGATGGAACGAGGAGAACTTGCGACTGGAGCTGTCTTCGGAAAACCTTTGTAAGGACATCCGTTGCATTTTGCAGAAAGCCTCGGAGAAGAATTTGTGCAGGTGGGAATATGACCCGGAGTATCAAGTCTTGAAGGTCAAGGCTATGATTTCTCCTCTGCATGACAGCTGGTACAGTCGTTGGACAGCATACAGTAGACTTTGGAATTCTTGGTCAAATTTCTGGTATTGTAGAAAAACAAGTCCGTGGAGTAAGATATATATATCCAGGGGAGGACATTTCCAGCCCATAATTCCCGCTAAGAGATAAAGTGGTGGTCGACCCTATGTTAATATCAAAAGAACAAGCATAAATATGATATAAACCATTCATTCATTCCCTCCTACCTCGTTGGAATGACCGTTAGATATAGGAATATAGAGAGGAGACAGAACTATATAAAGTGCAAACAGGACAAACATGACCTCCGCCGATCGACCGGGTAAAGTTCCGCTCCGCCTGGATTGGTCCAGACGCGCATCTCGGCGCGTCCTCTTCTTTTCCAGAGAGATTTCTCCGAACGTTCCCATTTCATCTCCTTTGCCATTAACGACACGACAATGGCATCGGAACCAAATGGAACCGCAGCAGCGAAAACTCGCGGGGCCAATGCCCGCGAGCGAGCCCAGCAATGGATGACCAAAGGAGGTCTGGTTCGGGAGGATTCCGACGACGAACTGGGCGAGGAAGATCTCCCTTGGGAATGGATCTATGATTCGAACGACGACGCATTGAAAGAGGAGGAGTCAAACGAAGATCATCTCGAAGGTACCCCGAAATCGAATCGACGACGCTCCTCCCGCGCCAAAACCAAGCATCGCCGACGCATTGTCGGGGCCCGAACGGGCTCGTTCGAATGCATGTTGGGACAGATTGTGCTCTTGAAATCACCAGAGCCTGGCAAGGATTGGGTGGGGATTGTCATCGACTTTGTGGAAGAGGAGGACGATGACGAGGAATCGGTCATGTCGGCGAATATAATGTGGTTCGCGTCGCCGGATGAGTTCATGTCCACTCGGAACAAGCGACGGACGGATGCTTTGCCCAATGAGCAGTATCTGACTGCGGATTTCAACGTGAACCCCGTCAAGTCGATCACTGGCAAGGCGACGGTCATGTCCAAGGATATTTTCTTCGCCAAGTACCCGAACGGCGCACCCCCGAAAGGAAAGGAGGAATTGGCGGAATACAACAAAAGCATTATCTGTCGCAGGGGGGTAAATCAGGTACAAGGCCGATATACTGAGGAGTTCATTTGGGAGGAGGTCTACCACGAGGACAACATCTTCGACCTCATACAGATGATCAAGGATAAGCTCAAGTCGGCCAAGAAGCGCAAGCAGGCGGATGAGGATGTGAGTTGTTGTCCCTTGAGTGGGAGGACAGGGTCTTGCTAATTGATTCGCCAGTATGTCGATACGAAAGACAAAGAGGATATTGCGCCCTCCACTCCGCGAAAGAAGCAGAAGATGGCCTCCATGAATGTCACGCCTCAATCACGACGCCAAAAGGCCCTTACAACCCCATCACATAGAAGGTATGTGTAGTGACTGCTATTATGTCGAACGAGGTGCTAATCAGACTTTGACAGAATCGTCGTCAAAAAGCCCCTCGAATTCACACCTCTTGGTACTCGTGTACTTTCGCCTTCACACTTCGCTTCCCCATATCGCCAAGCGCGCACCCTTCTACACGTTTCAACCGTCCCTGAGTCGCTCCCATGTCGGAAGAGCGAATTCGACACCGTCTACAATCACCTCAGTGCTGCAATCATGGAGGGAAGCGGGACGTGCATCTATATCTCAGGAACTCCAGGAACGGGGAAGACGGCAACAGTTCGCGAAGTCGTTGCGCAGTTGAATTCCGCCGTTCTCGCCGAAGAGATGGACGACTTTATCTTTGTCGAGATCAACGGGATGAGAGTCACCGATCCGCATCAGTCTTATTCGCTGCTGTGGCAAGCACTGAAAGGTGATCGGGTCTCCCCATCTCACGCCCTCGATCTGCTTGAACGAGAATTCTCGCATCCGTCGCCTCGACGAGTATCTTGTGTAGTGCTGATGGACGAACTTGACCAATTGGTGACCCGAAACCAGTCTGTCATGTACAACTTTTTCAATTGGCCAGCGCTTCGTCACTCTCGACTCATCGTTCTGGCCGTGGCAAATACCATGGACTTGCCGGAGCGAACACTTAGCAACAAGATCTCCAGTCGTCTCGGTTTGACCCGTATAACCTTCCCCGGCTATAAGCATACAGACCTCATGGAGATTATTAGCACTCGTTTGGCGAATATCCCAGGGAAAATCGTCGACGCAGACGCTATTCAATTCGCGAGCCGGAAGGTGGCTGCTGTCAGTGGAGATGCACGGCGTGCACTGGATATCTGTCGTCGCGCAGTAGAAATCGCAGAACAGTCCAGCGAAGCTGCATCAAAAGAGGATGCGATGAAAGCGGACGATACAGAGTCATTACCACCAACTCCCACCAAGACGCCCGCCCGAAAGCAAAATATCTCATCCCCGCAAAAGAACGCCCAACCCAAACCGCCCTCCGGACGGGTCACAATCGCAACGATCAAGCAAGCCATCCAAGAAGCCACATCTACCCCACTCCAGCAATCCCTCCGTTGTCTCCCACTCTCCGCGAAGCTCTTCCTCGCAGCCCTGCTAGCACGCGTCAAACGGACCGGGATCTCCGAATCCACATTCGGCGACGTCATCGACGAAGCGAAGCGCATTGCCGACGCCGCCGTCGCCGTCGCTGGTGCAGCAGGCGCGGGTATCAAGGAGTTTCTTCTCGCGGGTGGCGGCGGAGCGCGTGTGAAAGCACTGGGTTTCGCAGCCATGGAGCTGATGAACTCCGGCGTGCTGGCTTTGGAGTATGGTGCCGGAACCAAGGGTCCACTGGGAAGCTCCGCGATCCCAAGCAGGGGCGAACGGAGTGGTAAGGTGAGGTTACGGGTCGCGGCAGAGGATGTTAGAGCGGCGTTCCGGGAGGACATTGAAGCGAAGGGGCTGGGCTTGGGGATAGACGAATGATCTCCTCATTCTAGCTGATGTACGATCCGGCGTGCATAATAGACAATGTCTAGAAGAGCCGCATGGACCCGGATCTCTCATCGCTGCTCGATTGCGGGCAGAACGCAACCTTCGTGACCTCGCCGATGCCGACTATAGAGGGACCCGACGCCCCGAAAACCATGAAGGCGCCCCCCATTCCCCTGACTGGAGCCTTACGCGCCCCTTGGCCTAGTCTAGTCCGCCTTACCACAAACAACTTGGAAGCATGACCGAACCGCTATCATCGCTCTCTGGCTCCTGAGTCTCAGCATCCGGGAACCTCCATTACCTGAGATTGGGTGATCGCCAAGCATACCTACCAATATGCCATTACGGAAGACTTAGAAAGACACAGCACTGTCTGATCCTGTACGGCTACCTGAACACCACACAACATGTCATCATGTGTCAGGCAGTATGGATAAAACCAACTACGGATTGCTCAGACAGCTCTATCAGATACGATACTCAGCAGTCGAAAACCCTTATCCGACTCAGAAATGCCTGCATTGATACCCACTTCGTGAACACTATCCGCTCTGGAAGGGAATCTGGCTTGTACTTTGACCTATTCATCTAGCTGTGGTCCGTTGGATGGGAGTAACCTCAACGATCAGTATCATGTAACATAATCAAGAATCCATCCATGTATATATACCCAGTGACCAAATCACCATTTATTCAACAGAAAACAGGAGAAAGATTGATGGATAGTATTATGTTAAATCGAAGAACAAAACATGGGTATGATGTGACAACAACCGCAACAACAACATAGATAGCAGCGCAAAAAAATATCTACACTTCACAGAATGAAATCACTACCCCAGCTCTCGACTGATCCTCCCCACGCCCAACACCATCCAGTAAGCCAACTCTCTCTTGACAGTATCTGAACTCGGGCCCTTCCCTATCGACTGTTCGTTATCGATCTGGTTATCGGAGTCCCATTCCATGCGGACAAAGACCGGGATATCAAGGACGTCTTCGTCTGGTTGGAGTTGCTTCTGCGAAGTGTCTTGGGATTGGCCGCTCCAGTCGAAAGACCCCTGCATCATTGTATTGTCGTCATCGTCGTCATCATCATCATCATCGTCGTCGGAGTCGGAGTCGCTGTCTTTACCGGCGGGGCTCTTCGTGGTACCTGCAGTGCTGGACAGTGGTTTCCCACCCGGTAACATGCCCGGAACGACTTCCAAGACGACGGTCGTCCAGTTTCGGCCCTTGTCCCACACCTTGCCGGCTTCTGCTACTTTCTCGTAGACACCTAAGCCACCGGAGCGCGACGAGCGCTGGTCTCCTGGGGCGGTTGTTTGCAAGGCTTCGTCCCAGACGTCACTGTTGGCGCCGATGTCGAACTGCGGGCATAGGATTGTAACTTTGGAGGCTACACGTCCTGGGGTCACTGATGGTGTTGCCAGGGTGATTCGGACGGGGTCGAACATGTGGTTTTTCAGTGTGAGGAGTAGCTGGATTGGTTTCAAGGGGGATAGGGCGTCTAGGTTGGGAGGGGGGCTGGGGATGGGGGCAGAGGCGGACGGTCCCTGAGTGAGGGGTCGCATGGTAGACAGGGGGATGTAGCTGAGAGCGATGAGACGGATACGGAAGCGGGTCGACTGCGGTTTGAACTCGGGCTTGACGAGGATGTGTTTACAGGATTTGCAGCGCTTTGAGCGCTTAGTCCGAAGGAGAACGGGGAGCGGAAGGAGGTCCTCGACGAAGCGGGCGTCGGGGGCTGGAAACACTGCTGCTCGATGGATGCTAGACCCTCCCACCCGCATTCTTTGGAGGCAATTCGTTTGATCAACGAGGTTTCGGCGTTCGGGGCGGGGACCTTGAGTCCTTCGCTGGCGGTGAGAGCCTCACGCATCACTGGTGGCTTGGTCTTGGGTTTCTTATTGCCACCGTAAAGCCCACTGAGCCGGGAGGACGAGGTGTAAAGGGACATGATGCGGTTCAGGGCACCGGGTGAGGAGAAGCCAGCCCCAAAATCAGTTCCCAATGGATCGTTCGGTGACGACGATGTCGCGGCGATTTGGTTCTTGTAGAAGTTGCTCAAAGCGTTGAATCTGGCGTCGTGACCAAGGGGAGCCTGCTCGGTAGTCGTTGTAGACTCATCGCTTTTGCCGTCTTGCGACGACATGAACTGCTCGTCAATTGATCTGTATGTCGAGAGCGGCGACTTGAGTTCTCCGAACGTTTTAGACCTCTGTCTGCCTTGGGACACAGAATCCGTCATCTTGGACAGCTGGGTGCGGATATTGGTGGGCTTGTCGAATTTAATGCCGATGTCTAGGGTTGTCCACATGCAGTATCCACACGACAACACCCAAGGGCCCTGCTGGCTGCCACCTCCCGTGATATTCTCTAGTGTCGTGACTGCGAGCGGTGCCGTGCACGCGGGGCAGTTAAAGCAGTTTCTCGCGCATCTAGACAGATCATGGCATCCGTTAGCGCTACGTTCTGGTTCCAGTGCCAGTGCACGCATTCCACCCAGTACTCACCGGTTTCCCTCACTCCTAACCATACTGCTCGGCGTTTCAAACAGACAGTTAGGGCAATAGGAGCAGACAATCTCCTCCGTGATGCATCGTGGGCACTTAATCTGGTGACAGTCCTCGCAGTAGAGGAGCTGTTCCGGGGGGTACAAGGAGAAATTGGACCGTAGAGATCGCGGATCGAAGGTCTTCTCGTCCTCATCCTCAAATTGAGGCACCTCCTGGGATTTTGGGCGTTCGGGATGGGGCTTGTGGGGGGAGTCTCGCGATCTCCGCTTCCTGGCCGGGTCGGGGACGGGGGTGTCGGCACACGGGCACGAGATGTAGGTGTAGGGGAAGGGGCGCGACATGGTGATGAAGTGCTGGACGAGGCTCCAGGCCTATAACTGATCAATTGCCCCCATGAATCTTCGCGTCTTGTGAGATGGTGGAGTGGAGTGGAGGCAGGAGAAGGAGAAGGTCCGTCCGGTCTGGTCGGCGGGCGGAGATCAACAATAGCTGCGGTTTGCCTTGTTTGCATTCACTATCAACATCCACCATACTATTCCGAGTAGATTCCTCGTGTACAGCAAGAGTTGGGTTTCAATTGCCTATTAATCTCTAGCGAAACTCTAGTGGAGGTCTCTATTGTGCCTAGTTCAAAAATCAAACTATGTGGTGTCCTGAATTCACTATGCATACCGAAACAAGCAGACATATCAAAACAATGGACCTAGTATATCCGTGACCAACAAGAGTAGCGGTGTAATATTCGTAGACGTCATATGTTTCGTTAAGCCAAAACATGTATAGAAATCAAAACGCCAATGGACCATCAGACAGGAGACAACGCCAATATATATAATCTAATAACAAAACATGGTATTCGTGTATCAAGGTGGTGCGGTGATGGGGGGAGGACTTGCGGTTTCGGGGTCCCAGCATCCCCAGAAGAATCCAGGGGTGTCACAAATGGAGGTCAGAGTCGGAGGGGAAGTTGGCGTCGCGGTTGGCGTCGTGGGATCGCGACAGCCGAACCATCCCGGATGCTCGCAGGTACTGGTGGAGGTTGCGGTCGAGGTGGGCAGAGTGGTGGTAACTGGCGGGCCCGGGGTAGCATCAGTGGTGGTGGTGGGATCGTTGCAGCCGAACCAGCCTGGTGTCTTGCACGTGGTGGATGATGTTGATGAAGACGAGGTGGTGGAAGTGGCCGTGGTTGTGGTGCTCTCATCCAAGCATCCCCACCATCCAGGGGTCTCGCATGTGGAGGTGCTGGTCGACGTAGTGCTCGTCGAGCTGGCGGTGGTACTGGTCGTTGTCGTGATCTCGGACCCATTACTCCGGAAGAATTTCCACAGCTCGCAGTCGTAGCACTCCTCCTCGGCTGCGCAGGGGGGCACTTGATCGTAGGCCTCGATGACATCGCTGATCACCGCTCTGATCCGGTGCGTCCCGATGGCTACCCGCCAGCCTTTGTCCCCGACAGTGTCATAGGCACACATCTGGCCGGTGTGGCATGCCGACTCCATCGCATAGCCACCCCACGTGCACACCGAACTCACCCCGTTGCAGGTGCCCATGTAGATCGGGTCGGCCGTGTGGCCGAAATGGTAAGCCCCGGTGTTCCGTCGCGACTGGGACAGTCGGGGGTCGTGCCCAGGCGGGCTCGGGAGGCCCAGTCGGGCGGCGGGAAGCGCCTCCGGGACGGCTTCGAAGGTGACGACGGGAAGGCCATAGGTCAGACCCAGGAGGCTTGTCATCGCCCCGCCCAAGGAGTGACCGGTGAGCCAGACGTTGGCATTGGGGTACAGATCCGTCACATTGGCGTAGAGGTCAAGCGCGGCGCGGTAGTACCGGTTCTCATCGTTCATCGACTCGACAATGCAGGTCACGTTGGCGGTAAACGCCGAGGTCTGGCAGTCACAGACCTGGCGCCAGAGATAGGAACCCCCCTGGCCACAGCAGCAACTGAAGAACAAGTTGTCGTTCAACTTGTCGTTGGTGGTGGTCCCCGCGCCGTCAAACAGGGCGGGCGAGGTCCCCTTGAGCGAAATGACGATCGTGCTGTTCGTCTTGTCCGCATAAACGTGACCACGGAGCCCGTCTTTTCTCCAGCCGAAGCTCGACGAGTAGTTGAAGCGGCCATGGATGTCCTGCCAGTCGGTGTTGCCGGGCACCTCCACGTAGTCATTGGCCGTCATCCGGGCAAGGGTGAGCACACTCCTCTTATCGGTCACTTTTGGGCCATCAAGGGTATCCATCGTCCAGTCAGATGGCGACAAGGCCACCGCTGCTTCTCCCGACCTTGCGGCCGCCAGGTAGTCCTCGATGACGGAAGGGTGTCGATTCACCAGGCGTTCGATGGTGACCGGATGCGACGAGGCCACCAGGGGGGCTTCCAGGTCCGCGGGTCCTTGTTCCTCCCCATCCTCTGAAACCTGCAAAAGACGAGTATGTGGTTGGATATCCAAACGCCGATGGAGATCTAGATGCTCATTGATGCCGCGATGGAAGATGTGGCGTAAGTTCTATACGATCATCGGTCAGCCTATCGTACTATTTTCTTCGTTTTTTTCTGTTCTTCCTTTCTTTTTTTCGTATCCTCCACCCAGAAAAATACTTACAAATTCAAGATTAGGAGGCTCCGATGCTGGTTTCCCCAGAGGGATCTGTGGACGTAGACCGAAGTGGACAGGCTCCCAAGCGGAGGCGGGATTGGGGAGGGAGGCGAGGGAGAGTAGTCCTACAAGGGACAGGTTCCACCACCACCGCTTTTTCGTCGGTCCCTGGGAAGAACCCATCCTGATGAGCAATAGACAGTGAGAAACAAAAACCAAAAAGGATGATGGATGTTGGAGTAGAATAGATAAGGATATAGATCAGTGACGCAAGATGAATCTCCGCCTCGGACGGCCTAAGATAACGGAAAGCGGGTCATGTGCCGCTGTTTGTCTGGTTTGTCCCCCCATCGTCTCTCCCGCATGTTTTGTTGCATTCCGTCCATCCACTTCATTCGCCTGAGACTCCCATCGTGATTATTCCCTTCGTCATGCGGCCTCTCGCTCGGTCGTTGATTCGTCCCTATGTCTGTCCCTCTTGTCGATCGGGTCGTCTGCCGGCTCGGAGGCAATTTGCGTCGGACGCCCAGGTGACTCCCGAGATCTATGATGTGGTTTGCGTCGGAGGGGGGCCTGCCGGCCTCGGTCTCTTAGCTGCGCTCCGTGAGTCCAATTACCGATAGTTCAATATATTGAGGAAGACATGTCCTAATATTCATGTGTAGGAGCTTCTCCGGCGACTTCGAAACTCAAGGTTGCGTTGATCGAGACCCAGGACCTCCAGAAGGCTCGCGCATGGAACCTCGATTCGCAGCACTTCTCCAACCGAGTCAGCAGCCTGACGCCGTCGTCCGTCTCGTTCTTGCAGAAAATCGGTGCTTGGGATCATCTGGACCAGGACCGCGCTCAGCAATACCAGGAGATGCAGGTATGGGATGGGGAAACGGGCTCCCGCATCTCCTTCGACTGGTCCATGGAAACGTCGCCGTTCGAGGACCTGCGCACTGTCGCAACCATGACGGAGAATTCGAATCTGGTTCGCGCGCTTCTGTCGCGGATATCCGCGTCGGGCGATGAGAACGTCTCCATTTTCTCCAACACCACCGTCTCGTCCATCGACAATGGCACGGACCTTCCCGACGGGCCGGATCTGTCGGCCTGGCCGATCCTGTCTCTCTCGCCGACGGGAGCCGCACCATCGCAAGCACCGTCGCGCATCGCGGCCAGATTGTTGGTCGGGGCCGACGGAATCAACAGTCCGGTTCGTCGGTTCGCTGATATCTCGACCGATGGGTGGGACTACAACCGAAACGGCGTGGTCGCGACTCTGTCGCTGGCGGAGCAGGACCCGGTCCCGTTCCCGCTTGGCACAAAGACAGCCTACCAGCGTTTCCTGCCCTCACTGGGCGGTCCCGTGGCTCTCCTCCCCTTACCCAACAACCACGCGACCCTGGTGTGGTCGACCACAGCGGAGAACGCCGCCTATCTCAAATCCCTGGCCCCCAAATCGTTCATCGCAATGGTAAACGCAGCCTTCCGGCTTGGCATGCCGGACCTGAAATACATGATGGGCATGGAGAAGCCTACATCGTCAGACGTCGACGATCAGCACGAGAGCGAGTTGTCCTGGCGCCTGCAACACACGCCCCAATCCGGCCCACAGCCTCCACTAGTGACGGGCGTGCAAGAAGGAAGCGTAGCGGCCTTCCCTCTCCGGTTCCGCCACGCCTCCACGTACGTCTCGCCGCGGGTGGCCCTCGTCGGCGATGCGGCTCACGTCATCCACCCTCTCGCCGGACAGGGCCTCAACCTCGGTATGGGCGATGTAGCATCCCTGGCCCGCACCCTCGATTACGCCGCGACCCACGGAATGGACGTCGGCGACATTCTGACCCTCGAGCGGTACGCCGCGGAGCGGTACACCACCAACGCCAAGATCGGCGGCGCCTGCGATATGCTCCACAAGTTGTACAATGTTCCGGGCCAGGGACCGATCGCTTGGGGGCGGAGTCTGGGTTTGGAGGTCATTGAGCGGCTCCCGTTTGTCAAGGGCTTGCTGATGAGGCAGGCGGAGGGTTGAACCACTGCCGTCCATGAGGATTCTGCTGTACGTTATATGGTTTATTAGTGTGTGTTTCGATGCAGTTCTGTGCGTATAGATAGATAGATGTATTATATGAAGGTATTCAAAATGTGATAAGACTGCGAAAGCCGGTGGACACTACCATTGTAGTCTCTGGAACTCTTTACTTCAGATCATCTGTTTGTAGTCTCCAGCCCAGGTGACATCCTCGATGTCTTCTACATTACTCGTGACAAAACAGTGCTATTGTACCACCATGGATGGATCTCGGGATATTTCAAAAACCTAATGCTGTATAAAACCCCCCCACACACACATATATTCCCTATCCCCCCCCCTCTCCAAACCCGCACATCTCCTCCGTTCCCATCCGCCCAAGACCTCTTCCCACCTAATCACAGGGAAAAGTGCAAGTAACCTCGTTGCTCGCACCAACCGGGTTCGCCCAGCCGTCCTTCGAGCAACCCTCCTCGTTAAAGTCACGATGCTTATTAGCATAGTCCAAATAGCCATCGGTATTATCAGTGTTGGTGACAATACTATAACTCAATTGTCAGCCACTCACTAGGGCAGAGAGCCCAGCCCCGCAAGAGAAACATACCAGATTTTGAAGGGCAGCTGCGATTCGTAGCAGTGGTCACGACTGACCTCGTTGCACTTTTCGGATAGGTTCTCCTTGCGGCCATCGCCGTAGTCGAGAGTGGCATGGCAGGAAAGGTTCACGTCTCCTCCTCCAACTGGGTTCTGTGTCCGTGGTGTGAGGTTAGATGGGGTGGGTTCGGATCGTAAGTATACTTCGATGTGTCCCTCTACGTACCTGGGTGTGTAAATATCCGAGTTTGAAGGTGCATGTGGGTTGACGGGGTTCGAGGGCCGCTGCTGAGCTGCCAGCTGCTAGAGTGGCGAGCATGGCGAGGTAGTACTGTGAAAGCATGGTGGTGGTGATTGGTGAAAGTTGTAGATAAGAGTCTGTTGCTATTGAGAGTGGATGTTTCTGCTGTTGCTTTGGAAGGAGGTGGTTTGAGATATTCGAGGACAACCAAGGGATGCGGGCCCTCATTTATAGCCATGGCCAAGACCAATTTGCTTCCCGTAAAGTTGCAGCCTGTTCGTGTAGGCTGACTTTCCCTTCCTTGGAGGCTGAACATTTCTGTCAAAATGATATCCCTATCCCCATCCAGAGAGTGGAATCCGCCTTGCCCTCATCACTCACCATACCTCTCAGTCCTGCTTAGGCATGATTTGCATCTCCATCATTTCCCAAGGATCCCATTTGATGTCCTTCTGCCGTCCTCCTTTCTATTATTGGATCATGTTGGGTTGGGAGGCCTACGAAGTCAGCAGCAGGAGTGAAAACCTTGCCGGCATGACGCATGTAACGGCCCATCTTGGCCTCCTGTTGGTTTCAATATATCCAGGGACCGAGTAATAGAGACCTTGTTGCTAGTGAGGAGAGGTAATGAGAAGGAAGGATGCAAGGCACCTGGTCATGACATAATGATTGCAAGTGTTTCTATTTTCAGACCATAATGCCTGGCAGCTTTCACACTGCTGGGTCGCCTAATATTCCAACAAACATTAACGAAGCGGAAGGAATGATGGCAGTGGCTTCAGACCAGGCTTCAAATGATTGGCACTAAAGTATACCTATCTGGGTGCAGTGCTCTATGGTTAGATGTGCAAGCTTATAGTTGAGATCGTGCAAGCGACATCTCCACACTGACACGGAGGCCTGCACTGGTAGAAAGCCTCAGATATACAAAGCACCGCAGTAAAGAGTTTCCAATATTGTTAGTATCGGGTGCTCTCTACATCACCCAGTACATTTGCGATTCGACAATTCAAGGTACCAATTGCATGTTGACCCAGCAAATGGCCAAGCAGATGATCAGATTTGCAAGACCTATTGTCGACAGCCTTATGGAGAGATAGATTGCAACCAAAGGATTGATGCAACTTCGGAGCTTCAGGCCCCCGGCATGTCATCATCAGTCAACAATGATTGGCCAGAAGCTGGGTTGTCCCTTTCCCAGATACGAGGTAAAGGATTTGTATCCCCGCAATCTTATAGGTACTCTCCTGCTCAATATAGGACTCACTGATCATGGAGAGCTCAAAGGTTTGGCTTGGTGAGGCTGTGGGGCAACTAGGGGCCTTCGCTTTACCTAAATAAGGGCATCAGGAAGACAACGCCTTTGGGGTTGGAACGGTGTTAATGACTCTAATCAGCACTAGAGTACTCGGGTTTCCACTTCTTTACAGTGCAGGAAGCAGATAGTCTCTGGCATGAGCCAAGTTGTGTCTTGGAGTATAGGTAGTATATACTTCAATGTCATGGAGTTAGTGCAAATGCATGGTGCGATTAACGCGTCGCTGCTATATTTCCAGAGTTAAACTCGACAGATATCCCTGCAATAACAATACTTGAATCCAATGAAGACACTGAGCATGAGAAAGGGAAGATGAGAGTAGATCTAGAAGAGTAGAGAAGAGAAGAGATGAGGTGAGATGATGGCAGATCTGGGGATAATGACTAAGCGATCGAGCACAGGCACCCAGGCATCCGTCTCGGTTATCCGCGGGATCGGCGCCCCCGCATGACGCCGGAGAAGCAAGTAGATAAATATCAAGGGGAGACATACCTCACTATCCCCCTCTCTTTGATACTTTACTTCTTCTTCTTCTCAGTCCTATCTCGACTCTCCATTTCACTATGCACACCCTTAGATCCCCGACGTTACGACTAATACGTCCGCCATGTCGGCGGTACTCCACCGCCGCACCATCAGCGGCCGCACGCCTCAACCTCCCCATCGACTACCGGTCTTCACCTCTTTTGCACCACAGTTCGGCCTCGCTCTCCAATAACCTAGATCTCCCAGAGTCTACCACCTCGAAGTCGCTCAATATGTATCAGGCGATCAATTCCGCCCTGCGGACGGCTCTGACGGCCTCCAACCAGGTCATGCTCTTCGGCGAGGACGTCGCTTTCGGAGGTGTCTTCCGGTGCTCGATGGACTTGCAATCGGAGTTTGGCTCCGAGCGTGTCTTCAACACCCCGTTGACGGAGCAGGGGATTGTGGGGTTCGCTATTGGTGCCGCGGCGGAGGGCATGCGGCCTGTGGCGGAGATCCAGTTCGCAGATTATGTCTTTCCCGCTTTTGATCAGATCGTGAATGAGGCGGCGAAGTTCCGGTATCGGGAGGGAAGTACGGAGTCGAATGCGGGTGGGATGGTGGTGCGGATGCCTTGTGGTGCTGTTGGACATGGGGCGTTGTAAGTTCTGTTCTCGTTCTCGTGGTTTCATCAGTTCGCGATCTGCTTGCTTGTGTGGACGGACTGTGCCCCTGCACGCATGACTAACTGTTGAATATAGATATCATACACAATCGCCTGAAGCGCTCTTTTCGCATGTCCCCGGCGTCCGCGTCGTGATGCCGCGGTCCCCCTCGCAGGCAAAGGGCCTTCTCCTAGCATCCATCTTCGAACACAACGACCCCGTCATCTTCATGGAGCCCAAGATCCTCTACCGCGCAGCAGTAGAGCACGTTCCGAGCGAATACTACACCATCCCGCTCAGCAAGGCCGAGATCGTGAAGCCCGGCAACGACCTAACAATCATCTCCTACGGCCAGCCCATGTACCTCTGTTCGGCAGCCATCGCCGCCGCCGAGAAGGCCATGGGCGCTAACATCGAACTGATCGACCTGCGCACTATCTACCCCTGGGACCGACAGACGGTGCTCGACAGCGTCACTAAGACGGGGAGAGCGATTGTCGTGCACGAGAGCATGATTAACTACGGGGTTGGCGCCGAGGTGGCCGCCACTATCCAGGATGGCGCTTTCTTGCGGTTAGAAGCGCCTGTCAAGCGTGTCGCGGGGTGGAGTACCCATACCGGGCTGGAGTTTGAGAAATTCATCCTCCCGGACGTTGCTCGTAAGTTCCTTCTTGCTATGTGGTTGTTTTTGCCTAGTCCGCCTTGCTGATTGATGAAAACAGGGATATACGATGCGATTAAGCAGACGCTGGAATATTAGACCACGAACTCTCGTTCTGTAGATCTAGCCGCGCGGGGGAACTTCGTGCGGGACATGAATTAGATGCCATAATTATGAATGAACCGTTCCATAGAGCCGTGGCTCGAGTCATATAGCCGTTGATGAGGCCGTACGTCCGCCAATATACCACCTGCTCCCGCCATCCACTAGATATCTATATACATCGAAACAAGGCAACGCAGCCAAAGCAAAAAACAGATAATGGTCCATATGGTAAAAAAGAAAACACGTATACTTGCATTAAAATCGTTATTTCGTTAACTGCCAGCGCCACGTCCCTGGGCCGACCTCCCCACGTATAAAAACCGAGCCAAAGCTTTCACGGCCGAATACCACCCGCCACGACGCCGGCGCTCCGCATCGTCCTGACATATTCAATCAACTAGGGCGCCAGGTGTCGTAGGGGACGGATGTCAATTTACCTTTTCCCATGGCATCTCGAGCGAGGCTAGGATGTCCGGATTTTCTTTGAACTCGCTGCTCTCAACGGTGGCTAGGGCAAACGAGACGTCCCGTTCGACTAGGCCGCCCAGCTTGCCCGGTTGCGGTGTGGACCCGCCAAACACCCGCGCGAGGAAAGACATATAGGCCGCCAGCACCTGGACGGTGGCGTCCTCACTGTGCTTTGGGATCTTCTTAAGGATCTCTGACAAGAGCCCCGGCGCGTAGTAGGGCACGACCGCAACGCCGTCATCGATTCCGTCCACACTGAGTCCATCTACCAGAACACGCCGCGTGGGGTCTGCGAGGAGATTGAAAGCCCGCTGGAACCGCTCGGCTACGTCCTTGTTCTCCACCCGCCCCATAGATAGCAGCCGAAGCAGCGCGCGCTCGTCGCTGTTATCCGTGGATAGGAGGCCAAAGCCACACTCGTGCAGGGTGTTCGCGCGGAAGGTCAGAACCTGGTCGTAGCAAGCTCGCGGAGTGTCGATCAAGTGCCTGCGGAATTCATCGAGTCGCTGGATTGTGGCCATGTATGATCGGAACACCGATTCCGTCATCACCACGCAGCCGTGCGGGTTCCTGTGTGCAGCAGCCCCCGCTACATCCAAGAACGTGACCGTCGCTCGGATGTGGAACCCTTGGTCAGCTTCCGGAATCTGCTGCAGCACTGCTAAGCTAGCTGGCGCGGTCTCCCCCTGCAATACCTGAGCGATATTGACTCGAGAGCCGAGTTCTAAATTCTGGAGGACCGCCATCCGGGTTTTGCGAGGCATATCTCTTAAACTAGACACTAGACCCGCCTGTGCGGCCTGTAAGACCGTACCGGAGTGGTCACTAGAGGCGGGTGATGCGGGAGACGCGGGGGACACCGGGGACGCCGCGGACGCCATTTCCTCGACCTCTTGGGCCAAGGCGGGATCCTTGCCGATATCATCAATGACCAGCGCGACCAGCAGGGCGTAGATATCTTCGGAAGACGGATTTCCCTGCAAAGAGAATTCCCGCAAGGACTGGAAGGAGGCCCTGGATAGCCGCGCCGCCTCGGGCTGACCGCCGGTGAAGGCCTCGTAGTCATCCGCAAGAAGCCATTTCACGGCTAGCATACTAACCAAGGTCCGATTCACCTCTGTAAAATCCTCTCCAAAGACGGCCCTGGAGGGAGTCCAGGACTTGGAGCCTGTACTTGAGCTAGATTCCACGGTGGGGTCTGCATTTTTCAGGTGAGAGAGGTCTGGGAAACAGTCGGCGAAAAGACGGAGAGCATCAGAGTCCGAAATGCGAGGTAGTTCTCCCTTCGCGATGCTGGTATACAAGGAAGACATATAATAGATATGAGTGTTTCACAAGAAACTGAGAAGAGGGGGAAGAGGGGAACTTGAGTGATTAGAGAGATTAAAGGATTCTAGGCTAGGAGACCGACGTAGGCGCCGGGACATCACTGTTTGTCCGAGTCAGGCCCGTGGATCTACTCCGTACCCAGAAAGTCAAATCCTGTCAGCCCGTGGATCGATAGGTGACACGAGGGATTCTCAGATGTGTGGCCAAGTATGTATGGTTTGGTGGCTGTGGCGGGGGCAATGAGCGTTCGTCTTGGCTGTGACGGTCTACCGCTGAAAACCACCAGTACGCCGTCAGGAGGGAGAGAATCCACGAGTGGCTGGTCAGCGTGGCGATTGAAGGAATGACGTTGAAGTTGATCACGAATTCGATGTAAAAAAGGACCAGGTGGTGCAAACGAGTCAATCCGCACAAATCTCCCAAACAATGCCATTAGTCATCAATGTCTATCAACTCGAGTCGCCGGAATAACTTCATTTTACTCTGTGTATTGATCGCTGAGCATTAGATGATCGAAATGTGTGGTAATGTCTCCTTTACCCAGCCACAGTTCGGTTACTAACCGGTCAAACCAGGCACCATGAGATACCAATAGAACACCCCAGCCCCGTACCTTTGGATCACGCAGCCTCATAAGTGGAGATGCCCCACTCTGCCTTAGCTCCAGCCTCCCGATAGATAGCTGTACCTCGGATGAATGACGCGCCTCTCCTTTCCAATGACCGGTTCGTGTAGTTCGTCTCTCGCCCTCACTTCACTACCATGAGGAGTCTCCGCTTTCTTGTTTCCGTCGTCTCATTTGTCTTTCACCATGTCTCCGCGGCACGTCATGACGATGATCTCATGTCCTTCGTTACGGTAAGCCAGCAGTCCACGGATGATGGCAGGACATCGCTCACCGTCGCTAGTTGCCTGAAGTCCGGGCTTTGAAGTACGACGTTACATATCATGGTGATCGCAGTCGGGTCAACCCGGGATACTGGTTTGTCGCTCCGTACGGCAATATCAATCCCGAGCCGCCTACCCACCGATACCAGCAGTACCAGATCGGTCCTTACATCTATGATGCCGACGGTGTATGTCACTCTATCTACGCTTTGGCTGTGTGAACATAAAACAAAGTTGACATGTGTACAGGTTCTAATCTGGGCGGGTTCGTCCATGTTCGACAATCACAATGTCTTTGACTTTCGAGCGGTCCACAATATGGGAAAGGAGCCGCACCTGTCGCTGATCGCGCAACGTTCCCATCGTGACGAGAAGGACGACGTCAAAGTCAAAGGAAGTGGTGTGGTCTTAGACCAGCACTATCAACCCAAAGAGAAGATCGTTGCTCTGGACGAGCTGCACGAGTTTAACGTCCACGAGTTCAATGTCGTCGACGGCGGAGAGAAAGCGCTGGCCTGCGCATATCGCACGCAGAAACTCAACCTGGCCGATTTGGGGCGCCCCAAGGACGAGTCTTTCTTTCTCACGGGCGGGTTCATCGAGTTCGACTTGACTTCAGGGAAGCCCAAAATGCAATGGGACTCAAAGGATCACCTCGCACTACACGAATCGGTAAAATACCTCGCAACAAACGACGTGGTCGATCAACCGCCAGGCTTTGATTACGTGCACATAGACTCGGTGGACAAAAACGCCGCCGGCGACTACCTGCTCTCAATGCGGTTCACCGACGCCATCTACCTCATCTCAGGCGAGGATGGGCAAATCCTATGGCGCCTAGGCGGCGTCGAGAACGACTTCAAAAACATGGACTTCTCTTTCTCCAGACAGCACCACGCGCGATTCGTCGAATCAAACGGCTCCCACCACGTCATCTCCCTCCTCAACAACGCCGCCGACGAACTAAGCGAACAAGAGCACGTCTCCTCAGCCATGATCGTCGAGGTAGACGGCGACACCAAGGTCGCCAAACTGCTAAGGCGCTACACCCGGCCAGACGGCCACCTGTCCAAGCTACGCGGCAGCGTCCAAATCCTCAACAACAGCAACGTCTTCGTCGGCTGGAGCGACCAGGGCTACCACACGGAGTTCTCGACAGAGGGCACGCTCCTCATGGAGGCGCGCTTCGCGTCAGACCGCTTCGTCACCTACCGCGCTTACAAATACGAGTTCACTGGCCGGCCCAGTGCTCCGCCTGATGTTGTCGCCCAGGTCCACGGCGCAAGCAGCTTAGACCTTACTACCACGTTCTACGTCAGCTGGAACGGCGCCACGGACGTGGCAACCTGGAACTTCTACGCGCGCGCCTCCGAGAGCGCAACCCCTGTGTTGGTCGGAAGCACCAACAAGACGGACTTCGAGACTATGTACACCGCGCACGGCTTCCTGGACTGGGTGTCGGTTGAGGCCCTCGACAGCCAGGGTAAAGTCCTGGGCACATCCAAGACCCATCGCAGCACGACGCCAGACTGGGGAGCTATTGGATTTAAGGGCTCCGCTCCGCTCCCAAACGACCCATCATCCATCGACTTTCCACCCAAGCAGCCCGATACTGACGACGACGATAACGACGACGACAACGACGACGATGACGATGATGATGATGATGATGATAACGATGATGACGACGACGACGACGGCCACAAAAAGAAACCCGCCAACACCGACACCGACATCAACTACGCTAACGCCAAAGAAGTCGCCCAAGCAGTCTACAAAGCGTACAGCGTAATCCGTTTCATCAGCGGCGCGATGATCTTCGCGCTGGTGGTCGCGTGTCTCTGGGGCGCGTACCGGTTCTACGTCAGTCGTCGCAGGGTGCAGCTTTATCGGCATATTCCGACGGATGAGAGTCATGCTATGCATGATTTTGAGCTGGGGGATAGTGGGTCTGAGTAGGTTTGGTTTACTGTTGAGTTGTGTTACGGGGATGGTTGGTTGTTGGTTATCTCTGTATTGGGTGGATTGTTTCATGGTGGGGGTGTCAATATTGCGCATGTAGATGGCTCTTGATTTGGGGTTCAGGTTGGATAGATGCGTCGTGGATACTTTCAGGTTGTCGCCCCATACCCCTACTAATATTTTCGATAAGAACCGTTTATGTCGTTATTTATGAGAAGGTACAAATAGGTTACTATAGATAAATAACATCTAGCGAATTGATTGACCTGACTATTCCTGTAATACGCCGTACAGACACCTGTAAAGATAGATATAACCAAAGTCAGAGACTTCCCTCCTGTTCCCTTTCCTTAATGACTGGACCCAAGCACAATGGCAGGTCGTCGATAGACCTGCGAAGAGCGCATGGACCAGACGGGTGTAGGAAAACAGACAAGATAAGAAGAACACCACTGACATCGCTAATATGAAACTGATGAGCACACCCAGCATCAATAAAGTGACAGAAAAAATAAGTATAAAACCTCAAAATGAGAAACACTGCAATCTATAGACGGGACATCAAGCAATGAACGGTCGTGACGGAAAAGGTTCGAAACCCGCGCAGATGCGGCTCGATCACGGGATGGCCTGGACGCCAAATTCGGCGTCGAACCGGTATTCCGTAACGACGGCTTCGGGTACGGCATCCTTCACTGGGTGGAAGAGGATGGGCGGAAGGCACACGCGACCGTGCTGTTTTTCATACTAGATTCAATTCTATCAGCCGGATTCTTTCATTGTAAGGATATCTCGAAGGAGAAGAAAACTCACTAGTTCACCACCCTTGCCAGCCTTCTCCCAGCCTAAGAAGGGCCAGTAAAGACGACCCGCCAGGTTGGCGCGGTAGTACCACGACACCTCGCGGAAGCGGGTCTCTCGGCCCCATCCAAAGGGACTGTTCTCCGTGCTGCCAGCTCGGCCGTTGACGCCCGCGTTGAACCACTTGTCGAGGCTGGTGACGGGGAGGTCTTTGTTGTTGTAGACCGGGTGCGGCGCGCTGACGGCCTTGAGCCCGTGCAACAGGGCCACCGAGGACGGAAAGAGTTCGGAGCCCATGGTCCGTCCGGCCAAATTCTCGCCGTCCATCGTGAGGAGCAGGCGTCTCGACAGCCGCGAGTGCGTGATGAGACAGGCGCGGCGGGGCGTGTCAGCGCCGAGATACCCGTACACTTCGTTTCGGATGACCCATTCGGTGCCGATGGGGTGGAAGATGGGGAGGAACGTGATGAAGTCGGCGTCTTCGCCGACACCCCACTCGTAGTTGTCCTGCTCCGGTGCGCGGTGTGGCGGCGCGGGTCCGGTTGGTTCGACCCGGGACGGATCCCGATCATCCAGGGGAAGGGGACCCCAGACGGCTTCCTGTTCGTGGTGTTGCACGTAATCCCGGAAGGAGGTGTCATAGTCGCCGTGCAGTGCGGGGATATAGAACCGAGCGTTGCGCTCCCAAATGCCGCGCCGGGGCTGTTTGCGCCCAAACTGGGCGAGTCTCTCGGCCAATTCGTAGTGGTGGCCGGTGAACCGAGCGTCAATCTCCCAGTTCCACACAAACTCATACTCCGGGTGCTGCAACGTGAAGTGTTGGACCGACAGCCACTGGGCATGATGGACACTGGTCGTAGTTAGCCATGCTGGTTCACTCAATGTGGGGGAGTGAAAGATCCGGTCACTTACTCGACAACGCTGGGGTCCAGCGGATAGCGCGACGCCACCATGGGGACATTCCACAAGACCGTGATATCCCAGAACTCCCGGGGAACATTCTCTTTGATGATCTGCCGGGCGACGTCCTTCACCTCGATCGGGATCTGGTCATCCTTGACATGGAGAAAGAGGAAGACCGAGTACTCGCCACCAGATTGGAGGGAGAGCTCCGTGACGAGCGAGCGGAGGACGTAGATGTCGTTCTCGGTGTATTCTTTCCCGATGTAGGTGCGAATCAAGACGGCGGTGCGCGGCTCCGGGGCGATCCCCTTATCGGAGGGTTTGATGGGCGTTTTGGGAGCGTATCGGTCGGCGTTACGCTTGTAGCATTTGTCCTGCAGCTGTCCCCAGTTGACGAGATTCCAGTCCACCTTCTTCGGTTTGATCCAGTTTTCAACGCCGGTTTCGTCCTGGCCGTAGCCATAGGCGCCGTATCTCGTGTAGCGATCTAAGGAGACGTCTCCGTCGAGACCCAGGGCGTCGTAGGAACCGAAGGCGGGTTTGGGGAACCCTAGACTGACATTAGTTCCAACTATTTCTCCTGCGCATTAGGGAGGTGTTCTCGTACCCTCGGGGACGCCAAGGTAGACGCCGACTTGGTCGTCGAGACTGTCCGTCAAGAGCTTCCCGCGTGGACCCTCGCAGGCGTGGAAGGCACCCCGGTGCGTCTCCGTCCACTCGGGGCTGTCATAGTTGGGATAGGGACGGTATATGCGAGGGATCTGAACGCCGGTCTTGCTGCCGAAGCGCGGATCGTCGGTGACATTGGGATTCTGGTGGTCGGATGGCATGCGGATCTGGTTCAACGTGGGGATGACATTGTCGAAGATTCTGCAGGAGGTCAGCTACCCAGGCACGACCTGACAGTTGGAAAGGTACTGACAGTGGATACTGCTGTTGTTCCTCTTCGTATCGTTCCTGGGGGGTTTTCCACTGTTTCCGGGTCAGTTCCTTCCCTACGCGATAGGCGCATTCTGTCGAGGACTCACGTTAAGCAGCGCTTCGTGTCTCCAAGCAAAGGCGGAGATGATTAACATATACAAAACGGTGATCAAGAAGGCCCGACGAGTGAACCGTTGCGACATTTTGTTGAAGATGTTCATGGACGGCGGCACGGGGCCAGATGCATTCGAGAGCACCTGGCAGTAGAAGGGTCCAAGTCCGACAGAAAAGGCCGTCAGCGCTCCAGGCACACCGGGGTGACGATTGGCAGGATGATCAGTCAAACGGACTTTCTGACGCAAGTGGCGGCGATCCCGGAGGGGCGACTTGGGTTTAATTATGATAGCGCGATGGTGCGATAGTAAGATGGACAATCGGCCACGATCCGAGCACAACACACAAATTTTGGAGTCGGGATAAAACGATTGAAGAGATCTGATCGACCGGAGACCCCAACCAGTGGTGGATAGCAAGAAAAGAAAGTCGGAAGGCGGTTTGTCCAAGTCATTGAACTCTCTGGACAGCCAGAGTAATGGACCATGAGCTAAGGGCCGGTGGGGAACGGTTCAGAGAGTGCTCCACCAAGCGTCCAGAGTCGTAGTATCCTTGTGGGTCCGACTCGCCACGTAATCGCCGGAAATAACGAGGGTTCAAAACATACAGGAAAAAAAGAAAAAAAGAAATTCAAACCAGCACAGTCAAAGGAAAAGGAAATGAAGGCATGACGACGGGTTGCCGCGTTTCGGCGGACCGTCCAAGGTACGACATCGGTCGTACCTCAGGATCGATGGAGCCATTCATCTGGGGCGGATTTCCCTTGCTGGTGGAACCTCAAAGCAGGAAGGACGAGGGTTCCAACCAGAATGACAAGCTTCAAGGGGGAAGTAACCTTGCTGATCCTGTTGGGATGGAAAGGGAAAGTTGGGAAGGAGAAACAAGAAGACGGGAGGTTGAATGGGCAGAAGTGGTGGTGGACTCAGGCAGTAACCGCATGGGGCAAGGGCCTGAGGCTGATGCTGTTTTTATCCTGATTTCTCAGGCGATCGGGCACGGGCATCGGATTGAAATCTGATTGGCTGGAGAAGTATCCGTGTATGCTGAGTAATTACATGTATAAGCCGGTGCTTGTGCAGGAGGATCATGTGAGATTATGTGAGATTATGCATGATATCACATGACCCTCCATATTCCTCTGATATCACTCTGCTCTACTCTACTCTACTCTACTCTACCTCCACCTATACTCCGTAGTTATACCTATACTGATCTATGTGATGATATCTTCAATCCAGAGACCTAGAATGGATCAGGTACCGATCAGGTCCTCTTCCCACGATCCTATCCCACTAGTCCCTGGTCTAACCACTAACCGAGCTGTCCGGATCTAGCATGTGGACATTCCATCTCTGGATCATGACAGTATGACACGAGTATCCCCAGGTGGGACAATGATGTCAAATTACTCCGGAGTATGGAGAAGCACGGAGATAATAAAGAATGCAATATCAAACATTCCTCCGTTGAGCCCCAAACCCTTCCATCTGTCAACATTCCTCCACTGAGTCCACTCCTCCATACCCCCATACCTCCTCCTACTAATCCCATATCGTCTTAGTCTGAGGCCAAGTCCAAGCCAACTGCAAGTGAAAATTGCACTAATAATAGTATGCACAAACAAAAAGAAAAAAAGTTAATAAAGGACAGAAGGTAAAAACCGACTGTTATCCCTCATCCGGTTTGGTCGCCTGCAGCCTCGTGAACGACTATCCGTCATCCACTACTCCGTCCTGAATCATGTTTGGTCCATCGCGATAGAGCCGAAGAGAGACCGGGTGGGGGCCAGAGCTTATGATTAGCTGCTGCTGCCCCTAAAGCTTTCACGATGCAAGGATGAGCACTGGCGCTGGTCGCTTTTCTCGTGCTCGGACTTTATAATATTCGTCAGGCTGCCATGGAAATTTCTCACCTTTAATATCTGTTCTTCCTCCGCGCTTCATACCCGTCTAAATCGGGCCTGAACCCTCTCCACGGTCTGTCACTACTCAAAGGCACTATAGCGAGATAACGTCGTGTCCACTGTCTAGTCGAGTTCTGTGATGATTGACCCACTCGCGCTTTGATCAAAATCATCAAACCAACTGCAGTCGCAGTGACCTAGAGGCGATCGACCAATATCCCCAGTTATACTTCCACATATATCTGAAATTTGGTCATATCATACGAATCCCGCCCACCATGTTATCCCGCTATCTGCTCGGGTTCGCCCTGTCGGCCGCCGTCTGCGCCCAGACCTGCTACTACCCCGACAAGAAAACCGTTGCCAAAGGCTACTCCCCCTGCTTCTCGGGCGATCAGCCCTCCCACTGCTGCTCCGGTCGCTCCGTCTGCTTGACAAATGGCTTCTGCATGGATATGTCCCCGCCCTACACCATGGCCCGCGGCGCCTGCACCGATCAAAATTGGGAAGGCGGTTCGTGTGAAGACCCCTGCTGGCCCGGTAAGTGTCCGATCTAAGTCCGCCTTCATGACGGGGTCGTCCTAACAGAATGGTAGTGGTCGGTTCGCGAACCGGTGGCTGTTCCATCGTCCTCTACAACAACCGCGATGGCGTCTCCACCTACTGTCCCAACTCCATCGTCGCCAATTCCAGCCACAGCATCGGCTGCGCCGGCGAGGCCGAGCCCTTCACCATCAAACAGGGCGACATCATCACCGACCGCGGCGTTCTGTCGCGGGCCTCCTGTGCTATAGATACGATTGACCCGACCGCCGCCGCCACTCCGTTGCCCTCTCCCACGCCGACAGGCGCGGGCCAATGCAAGGAGAGCAGCTCTACGCACGTCGCCATCGGCGCAGGCGTGGGCGTTCCACTGGGGGTGATCGCCATCTTGGGCCTGTGTTGGGGTCTCTACGAGCGACGAAAGCGATACCAGCTGTTAGGCTCGGCTCAGGGTGACATGATGCAGGGGCAGCACTATAACATGGCCCCGACCAGCACGTCTTCCCACACCATGGGAGGGGTCACGCCCATCTCGAGCCCCGGCCATACTCGAAGCGTCAACGTCGCACCCCAAGAGCTGGGAAACGAAGGGTATTATAAATAGGGGGACTTCCATGCTTTGCTTGGTTTTTCTTTTTTTTTCTTCTCTAGTGACTGACTGACGTGAACACATTGTCAGCGTATCTAAGCCATGTATATATATTTAATATAGTGACGTTGATCTTGTAAAAAAGGTTCATCTTCTTGGACAACGGCTAATCACGAGACTGATCACATGACTGGACATCTAGTATGGAGTACCTGTATCTCTCTCTACTTTCAACGTAGTTAGTAGGTAGGTTGATTCTATTCCTATAGTACTATTTCTTATCTCAAAAAATCAATATATGTACAAAATCCCAAATTACATGCATGTCCCTTGTCCACAGACGTGGTATCCACTTCCTAGATCTCCGCATCTCCAATCACATCCCCTCATCAAAATTTCTCCCTCCAACAACGCCATCCCCACAGCCCACGATTCCCTCCCCCTCTCCCTCTCCCCCAGTCTCCCTAGAGCCATTATATCTACACGGGATGAATCCCAAATGGTCCCCCGGACCCGAACACGAAAAGTTCACAGAATGGGCCCAATCCCAAGGCATCATCGCCAAGGGCGTCGGGCCCGCACGCTTCCCGGGCCGTGGCTTGGGCATGATCGCCAAGCGTGATATTGAAGTATACCCTCTCTTCCCTCCTCCATTACCACCTTTTCTCTCTGGAAATAAGAAATAAGAAATAAATAGATACTAAAGAGTAGTACAGAAAGGCGAAGCGCTCGTCACCGTCCCACGCGCAGCAATGGTCACTGTCGACGGACTCCCCGAGTCATTTACGGGTCTTTTCCCAGAGGGGACACCCGTGCATGCTGTTCTCGCTGCGTTCTTTACTAATGGCGACCCGGAGGACCTGCGGCATTATGATCTCTGGCGCAAGACGTGGCCTTCACGCCGTGACTTTGAGTCTTGCATGCCTCTCCTCTGGCCGGCTTGTCTCTGCGGGGACAACGACAGCCCCTCTTCACCAGGTCTTCTCCCTCCGTCCATCTCAGGGTCATGGCGATCCCTCCAGAAGAATGAACGAGGACCCAAATCATCTGCATCCAACTACTCCTCCCATCAGGATCTCCTCCCTGCGCAAGAGACTCGTCTGCGCACGGCGTGGACTGCCGTCCTGGAGGTATCCCCCGAGACAGACTGGGATGAGTTCTCGTATCACTGGCTCGTGGTCAATACGAGGAGCTTTTTCTATCTGATGCCTGGGCGGGATATGCCGGAGGATCATAATGATGCGATGGCGCTTTTGCCGTTTGCGGATTATTTTAATCATTCGGATGTTGCTGTTTGTTTTTTCTTCCCTTCTTTTCTTTTCGTGTGGCTTATGTTGTATGATATTGGGTGTCGGTGGGTTTTTCACTGACTGTTGCAGTGTAATGTTAAGTTCGACGGGGAGAAGTACGTCTTTTGGGCGACGAAACCGTACAGTGAGTCTTTCTAACCTGTCATGCCAGCGTGTGGATATGGATGGCATATTGACACAACACGTGCACCAGACGCAGGCGAAGAAATCTACATGAGCTACGGAAACCATCCGAACGATTTCCTCTTCGCAGAATGTAAGGCCATACCTATACTGCATACTGCGCAGCGCTAACTCTAACAGACGGGTTCTACCTCGACGAAAACGCCTCCGAAGCGCTCTACCTCGACGACATCATCTTCAAAGATCTAGACCCCTCTCACCGGGAGGAACTCGAGTTCCAGCAGTATTACGGGTATTCCCCATATGTATAACCCAGACTGTTCAAATAACCAAGCTAACAAATCTAGCAACTACCAACTAACAGCGAGCGGCGTATGCTTCCGCACCGAGATCGCAGCGTGCATAAAATACATGGCGCCGGAGGACTGGCGGAACTATGTGCTCGGGTACTCGTCCCAGGGTATGAACGAGGCGAAATCCGAAGCGATCATCAGGGAATGGGTTCGTACGTATGTCCACGAGGCGGAGGTGACGATCGCCGCGTTGCAGAATGTGGGGGGCGCGGAGACAGAAACGGACGCGGAACGCGCGGGGAGAGAAGAGAAGGTTGAGATGCTGCGTAGGCGGTGGGTGCAGATTGGGGAGCTTTGTAGAAGGGGGTTGGATGCTGTATCTTGCTAGAAACGAGGTGCGAGAAGTAAAGAAGAGGGATAGGGAAAGAAAAAGAAGAAGATAGAAGAAACGCCAGGGCGCCTGCACACCCACACTAGATACCCAATGAAGAAATACACAGAAAAGAAAGAAAAGAAACGAAACCAGGCTAGTACTAGAGAAGATCCACCGGGATGGCAGCCGACTCTCGCTGCTTGCCCTTCTGCTGCTTAGCGAGCACCAGATGCTTGATCATGTAGTTCACCACGCATTTCATGCCGAGCTCCTCGCCGCGGCGCACGATGTACCCATTCATGTACTCGATCTCGGTGGTCTTCCCGGCGCGCACGTCCTGCAGCATGGAGCTCTGGTTCCTGGACGTCTTGTTCGCCAGCCGCGTGACCATGGAGCGCAGCCGCTCGGGCGAAAACCGGCTCTCGATGCCCGGGACGCCCTGCAGCTCGGGCAGGGCGCAGATGACGCTCGAGATCTCCATGAGGAGTAGTCGCATGATGCGCGTGAAACTGTAGTTGTAGAGGAGCTCGCCGTTCTCGCAGTCCATGATGGCTGTTAGCGGGTTGATCACTGCGTTCATGGCGAGCTTTTCGAGCTGGTACAGCATGAGAGCGGAGGGTGTCTCCGCTACCGCGACGAGCTGCGGGCTGAGGGTCAGCGTGCGGAGGAGGTACTTCGTGCTGGCGGGCCATCCGTCCTGCTCCCCCTCCTTCCCGGTCGCGGGGAGGGAACTCTCCGACAGGGCTGGTCCCAGGATGGTTGTTCCCACCCCGATGTGCGCGACCTGGAAGGCTTCTTTCTTCCGTGTCAGGCCGTGGGAAATGATGCCGTACATGTAGTGCGGGCGGCGCCGCGGGTCCGGGAAGACCCGCTGGTTAACCTCGTCGATGACCCCCAGTCCATTCTGGAGGAAGAGGACAGTCGAATCAGGCGTCAACCGGTGGCTGACCGACTCCAACGCCAGCGCCGTGACGGGCGCCTTGACCGTAACCACCAAGCACTCGATGCGCTCGTCGTCTTCCACGGCCTCCTCCTCCATCTCCGATTCAATCTCCCTGTCGCTGCGCTCCCCGCCAGCTTCCTTATCCCAGTAGGGAAACGCATGCCACGTCTTGCCGCTCAGGACGTTCACGTCGAACCCGGTCTTGATATCGTCCAGCCCGTTGTTGTTGACTGACAGGCACTTTTTCCGGTCCACCCACGAATCGTACAGCTTGGGATTATGCAGGAGAAGCGTCACCGGCGGCGGCGACGGCCGACTCATCAGCGAGTGCGCGACAAAGGTGCCGACGTTTCCGAGGCCCAGGATGTGGATGCGCCCTGATAACCGCGGCTTTCCGTCTTCTCTGAACTCGTCCGCATCCTGCATCCACGTTGACAGGAGGCGGTTCGGCGCGCCTCGCTGACAATTCCCCGCGGTAAAGCGACATATGTCGGAAATGCCGATCCGCACCAGCGGACGGCGTCCTAGGATTTGCAACACTTTGGCGGATGGGAGAAAAGATGGGGAATTTGAGGGTTGGTTGGGATGCGCCGGTCGTGGGAATAGTAGTCAATTAAGCATCCATTCCTTGGGTTCGCTGTTCACTTTTATCACCAGAAGCCAGACCCGCAATAACTGGGGGAGTAGAACAATCAAACAACAGAGGATCGACGCGAGAGCTTCACGATCTCGACAAGATCCGACCATGACATGATGGCGGAGAGAGCGCCAATACCGCCGGCAGTATGCTCACCGCCCGCACGTATCGTCCGCGGTAATCGCAATACGCTTTTCTGTTCTTATCTTACTATTCCCGACAACATCTAGAGAATACATGGGATAAACCATCAATCCGGATCTATGGAAGATAGAACGTCCTGAATATTCTCTATATCCAGCCGAACAATGTCATGGCATTTCCCCGAACCTCACCGGACTCGCCGTTTGTGACGTAAAACCGGAGTCTGGCCGAGTGAAACTCCTTCCGAGACCCCTCTCAGCTCCAACCCTCCTCCACCTTACTGCGAACCATGCGAAAGGCTTGAGCGCCTGTGCTCTTCGCAGACCTTCATGAGGATGGAGGCCTGTTTCTGCTCCTAGAGAGTGATCATTTCCCTCCATTTCTCGATCTTGAAGTCTTGGGAAGGGAGAAAACAGCGAATACCAGCTCGTCGCCGTGATTACGCTCGTTCCCCACTATACTAGCGACTGATCGATGACATGCATGAGATGACCCCAACGACGAGCTCGCCGTCAACGATGGTCTTCACCTCGTCCAGGTGCAAACGAGCATCATCGGAGCAATCAGACTGCCCCAGTCCGGCAGGATCTTCCCCATCTACGCCTCTCTCCGCCACCGCCAGTCTCCCCGAAACGGAACGGCTGCGAGAGGAGGGAGACCTGGGCAATCATAGTCCGCGGGCCGCCGTCGCTAGTCGCCTGGGGGATCTGGCCATCCGCGGGGATCGTCTGTTTTCAACAACACCGCACATCCCCCACAATCCTCTCGCCCAGGAACACCTCGCGGCCGCGGTACGGTCGGCGCAAGCAGGCATATTCTGGCCTGGCTCCCGTGATATGCCCGAACCGGGTGTTCCCATCGACAATGGCACCAGTCCCGGTGGGCCGACGACCGAAGATCAATCACAGTCGCAAGCGCAGCCACAAATACGGGAATCATTGCTGCTGCCACCACCACCACCACCCCCTCCTCCTCCTTCGCCCCCGCGACAGAACAGCCCCTCAGTAACATCATCCCCGAAGAAAAAGCCCACCTCCAGTCCCCGCAAGAAACGCAACCCTCCAAGCACCTCACAGCGCAATCGGAGATCGCCCCCACCGCCCGCCAGCAGCGCAGCGGAAGATCCACTGACATGGCACGACTCAGAAATCACAGGCCATGACCCGACGGACCCCACCGACGACGGGTACGGGATCAACGGGATCGGATTCAGGCCCACGGCAGCGACGGCATGGATGCGGTCGCAGAAGCGACAAAAGCAGATGACGGAATGGAAGAACCGCGAGGCACGAGAAGCGCGCGAGAGGCGAAAGGACAGACGGAACGCCGGTGGGCTGGACTTGCACTCGATCCGAAATGGCTCTATCCAGAAGAAAGTCAAATTTGACGTGTGACACATATTTCTTCTCTCGCTTTGGTTATGGGTGTATTTTGGACATGGAGTTTTACAGGGTAGGCACTTGGATTGGGACGGCGTTGGATTGTTAACAGGGTTGATTGGGGGTAGGACAATACATGCGATGATCATGACGCTTTTTCACGACCTTGATCTCACTCGAAACAACAGGCCTGGATTCAAGAGGCTAGGAATCAATGCTCATTCATATACTTGACACCCACCATGCAACCCTACTCGTACACATACACATATTATATACAACATCAAAAAGGCCATCCTCCATCTATCCCAACAAAAGCGAGTAAGAGCGGAAAGAGAAACAAAAGGAAACCCATACTCCAATAAATGTACACTCTAAACATCCATACTCTCCCCTCACCAAAACTTGTAATTGGACAGATTCGTCCAGCTCTTCCGTCGACGCTCCTCCTCCGCCGCCCGCGCAGCTTCAGCCGCCTTAACCTCCTTCTCCTTCTGCTTCTTGACCTTCAGCTGCTGCATCAGATCCACGGCCTGCTTCATCCCGTCGAGCTCCTGGAGCCTCCGTCGCTGGCAGAATTCGTGCGCCGCGAGCGCTGTGATTGCGAATGCGCCGACTGCCCAGTTACATGCTGTCCACATTGATCGGAGGCCTATGCATTACAATCCATTAGTATCATTCTATCTTCTTGAGGGGCCAAAAAAAGAGTATGGGAAAAGAGCAACGAGAGAGATAGAAAGAACATACCACCAAGCACACCCCTAACACCACCCACACCAAAACCCGCCCCAATCCCTAACATCAGCGAGTCGCGCGCACAAGGCATCTTGTAAAACGACGACGCATTCTCAAGAGACAGCGACTTCATGGCGTCCGACACGGTGAGGTCCTTCGGCGGGGGCGTGGCCGTGGGCCCGGACTGGCCTGGGAGGGCATTTGCGCGCTCTTCGGGCGAGCCGAAGGCGTCCCAGAGTTTGGCGGCTTGGGGGGTGCTGCTGCTTGTTCGGCGGGGTTGGGTGTTGTTTGTTTCTGGTGTTGTTGTGGGGGGTTTGTGGTGGTGTTGGGTTCGTCGGCCATTGTGGTGGTTGTTTATTTGTGTTGGTTTTTTATTGGGGCGTTCGTTGAGCAGGTAATGTGGGAGGGAGTTCGTTTCGAGCGTGGTCGCGTTGTAAGTGTAGTGTAGTGCGTAGGATGTCGAGGTAAATGAGCCCATATTGATTCGGGTGGACGAAAATCGGCACGGCGATGGCGGAGTTCGGCGGCAGAATCTGCTTTACTATTTCTATACGCATGCAGCTTGATAAATACCGAGTCTTGTCAGAGGGTAAATAGTTTATATTATTTGCTATATGCATTTCTATATGGTACATATTTTGGTGATATTCCAATTGGCTCAGTAGATGTATAGGCTATCTTGAGCTATGCTGAACCAATGGGATCTGTATATAGAGCTTAACGCTAGATCGCTGGTCTATGCTACTCCGCTTGGTGAATTCGGATGAAGTTTGGGGTGGTCAGGCAAGTAGATGGGCTGTACATCAATTTTGAGGTAGAGTGCAACAGCCAAAAACGGGTATCATGTGCTAGTAGTTCGGCTGCATCATGTGTTCCAACACGGTGAACCTCACAAGACCGTGTCAGTGATGTTCGGGTGTTGATCACGGTCAGTGGGTCCGTTGCTTTATATCCAGGCGAGGCTGCGGATATATGAGGTGGTGTGTTGAAGTTCGTGAGCTGGGGAAAGATAATGCCGCTATCGCACTCAATCCCAAGCCCCCCAGCCATCCTCCTCCTCGTCATCTTTCGGTTTCGTGTCGATCTTCTTCGCCGGCGCAGCAGGCTTGGGCTTCACCTCACTCCCCCGACTGGAAGTTCGAGAGATTGGCGTCGAGGTCTTGCTCAGCCCCTTTGGCAGAGTCTTCTTGGTCTTTGACTGGGCGGCCAGCCATCCCGCAAAGTCAGGCTCGCCTCCGTCATCATATGGAACGGGCGATGGCTTGGGCTTGGTTGAGATCCCCGACGATGGTCGAGACGGTACTGGGGCACTGAACGGATCATCTTCCTGCGTGTCCTTGGTGTTGTCGTCATTGTCGTCTATGGCGCCCCAGGCATCGAAAACGTCGTCCTGTTCTTGCTCGTCGTGGTCCGTCGCGACGAGCGCTGGCTGTTCGGAGACAGACCGACGGCCCAGCGGCTGGGCGGCTGGACGTAAGGTCTGCTTGGGTGAGTTCAATTTCGCCGAAGGGGAAGACATCGTTGGGCGAGGGACGGATGCCGAGCGAGGGACCTCTGCTTCTGCAGGCTTTGCGCCGTTGGCAGTTGGCTGGATTTCGCCATCTGCCGTGGCAAGCTTATTCGTGAATGAGGAGATGGCCCATCCGGCCCAGGATTTATCGTTGGAGTCTCCCATACGCGCGGGTTCTTTGGTCGCTTCCGCACTGGTGGTCGGGGAAAGTGCAGTATCAGGCATGGTGCGGCTGAAATTTCGGATCCGTTGGAGGTATTGGTCAAGGGTCTTGTTGGCTTGGTCGCGGATCATCCTACGCCTGGTTAGATGCGGTGACAGCAGAAGTCTCAAAGGGATCCTCACTTCTCTCGGTCCAGAAGGACTAGGCATATCGCAGGAAGGATTTTGGTCGCGCAGTCTTCTTCGGTGAAGAAATCGATCGTTGCACCCAGCGCCAGCAGACCGGCATTTCGAGCGTGCACGAACGGGTCTCGCAGCGATCTGCTGAAAGCCGCAATGAGGACCTTGGTCCGGGACTACCCTCACGTTAGCGTCATATCAAATCCGGGGTACGCTCTCAACATACTCCCTGTCCTAGATTCTTGGCGATTCTCCCCAGACAAATGGTCGTGTTCGTACGGATCCCCGGTTGCTCGTCGTTGGCCGTGCGAGCGAGGAACTTCAGCAGCTCGCCGTTGATGGTCCGGTCACTCAGTTTATTGATGACGCACAGGACCGCCTTGACGGTCTGTTCTCGCACCATAGGCGCAATGTCGGTGAAACCGGAGGTCTGGTATCTCGGTCAGTCTCTGCTTGGGCAAAACGGGCCACGTTGCCTACCATGGGTGGGAAGATCTTGTCGTTCACGATCTTCTGCGGAAGATTATCGATCATGAGCGGGAGATTATCCAAAAGACACACGCGCAAGGCGCGGTCAGGGTTCCCGAACAAACGAACGATCACCGGCGTGAGCCGTGCGTTGTATTCGTCAGGGGTCAGTTTCGCTCCGATCTTCATTATGGCGCTGAGAACCCTGGGTCCACCACCACCAAACTCCACGGATTTTAAGAGCTCTGGAAGCACCTTCATCTTGAAGAACTCCTCTGGGAAGTCGTCAGAAAGCTCGTCCAGCTGATTGATAAACTCCTCCCGCTCCGCATCAGACTTGAGTCCGAGGCTCTCAATGTCGTCTGCCATGGCGATCAATGGAGTGCGGAAGAATCCCCCGTGTCTCTTGCCTTGGTCAACAAAGTGCGCCGCACTCAGACGTAATTTGGGATTGGCGGTGCAAAGACGCTTGTAGCTCTGTTGCATGCTCGGTGGGATGTTGGTCGTCCTGCCCACCTGGTCGCCTCCGCTAAAACTGCCGTTGAACACTTCATATACCAAGATTCCGAGCCCGTACGAGTCGACGGCGGAGAGAGGATGCCGTTTGATGGCATCCCACCCGCCTTTGGCGATCTCCGGGGGCGTGTAGCGGGCGGAGTCTGGCACAAGGCTCCCGTAGGTCTGCTGGCTGTCAGAACACGCCGTCCCCTATCGCTGAGTTCGGAGGGCCTCACATATATGATCGCATCCTCATCGTTCATTGAGCTCAGGACATCAAACCCTCCCAGTTTCCACTCGCCACTTTCACTAGCGTATATCGACGAGGCGCGTACGGCTCCGTGGACAGATGTCGCATCATCGTTGATGAATTTGAGGGTCGACTGGTCATTGATTGTTAGCGACCGCCACGATAAGTATAATAATAGGAATGACAAACATACTGCCACTGTGTACAATCCCCACTTGGAGGTCTCCTCGCTCAGGCTCCTCCGCTTGACGTGCCAGGACAGGGGAACCACTCGTTCCGTCACAATGTAGAGGTTGGTCTCGGTCTGTACCGCGTCAGTAGGTGTGATACAAGTCCAATCTGCGACCACCATGTACCTCAATCGTGTCCAACACCTTTATGACCCCCGGGTGTCTCAGCGTTCGCGACTTGCGCACGGCATTTCTGGCTAACGGGAGGCGGGATTTATTGGCGGCGATTTCGAAGGTGAAGATACTGCAAGCCGATCCGTCTTCCTACATTGTCGCAAGCAAGTCACTCTGTCAGCTCCAATATCCGACGGTGCGCCAAACAAGGCTCACAAGCGCAGGGAAGGGGTTGGAGCACTCACCCGCTTGGTCGCATTGTGAAGGGTCCAAATCGAATCGGAGATATCCACTCGGTCTCCAAGCGAGTACGGAAAGGAGCTGCCTTTCGCGATCGCAGAGGCGACAGCGGATTTGAGGAAATCCATTGCGACCGGCGACAGTGGTGGGTGGGGGGTGAGTCCAGGTTACAGCCGGCTCTGTCTGGTCTTTCCCGCAAGACAGGAGAGGTCAAGCGCACCGTTGACAGAAAACGTCGAGCGAGAGAAGATCTCAAGGCCGGAATGAAGGCTGAGGTGAAAGCAAGCAAGGTGTGGGGGAGTAGTGGGGAGAAGGAGATTGAAAGGAGGAATGAGGAGGTCACCAAATCAGGATCACCATAATAAATAGTTCGCTACCTATAAAAGCTCGCCAGTTGGCCCCTCCAGTTGGCCACAAAAACACAACAACTACTAGTATTAGGGTATATTCCACACGAATGAACACGAATTGAACTGCATCCAGTACACCAAAATCGATTGCTATTCTCAATGGATCCTGTACACCCACCAGACACGGTGGATCGTCCCTCCATTCGTCCCCTGTCTCTATCGCGCTTGGTTGTCTGCTCCACTTTGATGTTGGGAGCCAGTTTAATCTGGACCTTTAAAACCCGCCATCTCCCCCACCTCGTTACGACCCCTCCTTCCACCCACGCCCTCTCCAACCTCACCACCAATCTACATCTACACACCATGGCCTACCAACAGGAACGTCTCATCGCCGAGCTCGCCGTCCAGCGCGCGACCATCCTCACCCAGAAAGTCTTCAACGAGAAGGCCAAGGGAACCGTCTCCAAGGATGACAAGTCCCCCGTCACCATCGGCGACTTCGGTGCCCAGGCCCTGATCATCCAGGCCATCCGCAAGAACTTCCCCAACGATGAGATCGTCGCCGAGGAGGAGGCCAGCTCCCTGCGCGAGGACAAGGCGCTGAGCGCCGAGATCTGGAGACTGGTCCAGGACATCAAGCTGGAGGACCCCGAGAGCGATGCCCTCCTGGGCGGCCCGCTGCCGAGCGAGGTCGAGATGCTGGACATCATTGACCAGGGCAAGAGCGCGGGAGGCCCCAAGGGTCGTATCTGGGCGCTGGACCCCATCGACGGCACCAAGGGCTTCCTCCGTGGCGGCCAGTACGCCGTCTGTCTTGGTCTGATGGAGGACGGAGACGTCAAGGTCGGTGCCATTGGCTGCCCCAACCTGCCCGTCAACGACGCCGAGACCCTGTCCGCGTCGATTGGCGTCGACCAGACCAGCGGCGCCGGTAACGGTGTCCTGTTCTCCGCTGTCAAGGGCGTCGGTGCCGCGAGCCGGCCCCTGGCCGCCGGCAAGCTCGCCGAGAGCAAGTCGATCTCCATGCGTCCTGTCCCCGATATCGCCCAGGCGGTCTTCTGTGAGGGTGTCGAGGCGGCTCACTCCGCGCAGGGCGACAATGCCGCTGTGGCCCAGCTCCTGGGTATCACCGCCCCCAGCGTGCGCCTCGACTCCCAGGCCAAGTACTGCTCGATTGCCCGCGGCGCCGGTGACATCTACCTGCGCCTGCCCGTGAAGAAGGACTACCAGGAGAAGATCTGGGACCACGCCGCGGGCGACCTAATCGTCCGCGAGGCCGGCGGCCAGGTGACGGATATCTACGGCAACACGCTGGACTTCAGCAAGGGTCGCACGCTCGCGGCCAACACGGGCGTCGTGGCGGCGCCCAAGGCCGTCCAGGACCAGGTCATCGGTGCGGTGAAGAAGGTCCTGAAGCTGTAAATTACGCGCGAAAAAAAATCAAAGTACATAAATGACACCACCGTGTGAAGTAAACCCGGGATCCTGCAACGAATCTTTATCGGATTAGACCGTGCACGCTAGATGCGTCTAGAAATACATAGCATAGATACCAATCGCGAGATGAGAAATGAGAAACCGTGCTTGGATATACATGTACAGAATGGAACAAAATAAAAGAAAATATGCGGAACCCTTCGTTTACCGGATCTTCTTCGCCTTCAGTTTGATCGTCTCGTCGTTGATGAAGATACCCTTGCCCTTGTAAGGCTCAGGCCGGCGCCACTCGCGGATCTCCGCGGCGAACTTGTTCACGGCAATCTTATCGATACCCTCCAGCAGGATGCGAGTCGGCTGCGGGGTGCTGGCCTTGACGCCCTTGGGGATGCCCAGCTCGACCGGGTGCGAGAATCCGACCTTCAGGTTGACGAACTGCTGGCCCTCGTACTCGGACTCGACGGTGGTGGCCGTCGGCTCGATCATCGCTCGGTAACCGACACCGACCAGACTGAGAATGCAGACGTGGCCTTCCGACACGCCCAGGACGGAGTTTTGTAGCAGTGCCCGCATGGTTCCTACCGTGCAATTCCGGCGGTTAGATACGTGGTCCGTGGTCTGGAGAAGAAGCGCTGTCGGACGGGAGATACATACCCCACATGGCACGTTGGTGAGCGATCGTGGCGTCCACGACGGACAGGCTCGCTTTGCGGGCGGCTTCATCATGGTCGATCTTCAGGAAGGAAGGGGGCGTCAAGGACAATTCGCCTGTGGGAAATTCCAGATGTTAGTGGGTTCAACGCTTATCCGCGGTGGTCTGCGTCCCAGCACCGCATGGATTCCCCGGTCGTTGGCTTACCCAGAGGGCCCTTGATCTCCACCTTTGTCGTCGGAATATCCTTCGTTACACCTCTCACGGCGACCTGGGGCAGGTCGATGAATTTCAGGGAGACTTCCGGGGGAATGGCGATCGCCGCAGCGCCGACGCGAGACTGGGTCGGGGAGGTCGTGGAGAAGGACTGGGTGCGAGGGAGTTGCGAGAAGGCCGGGGCGAGGAAGATTGGCAGGGAGCCCTGGCGGAGGGGACTCCGCGTCAGCTGTCGGAGGCAGCTCTGCGTGAGGAAAGTGGACATGGCGTATGGGATCGAGTTGCACTTGAAGGTCTCAAGGCGGATCTCCGAATTCAACTGATTTTGTCCCGACTCGCTGATGGCCCGATATGGTTAGCGCGCCACGTGATCATGTATAGAGTGCCTTGATGCCTTTTCCAGTACAATCCTCACCTGAAGAGTAATAAATATCACAGTGTGTCAAATGCAGAAAGTTCAATCTGTTACATGTGTCCCAAATATTGCATTACCTCTCATATCGTATGTTCTGAGAGGTCTACAGTTGCTCGTATGGCTGGCATTCAACAACAGATTAAATACGCATATTGGCCTCTTGAACAATCTAGTCTCAGGAACGGCCAGGACTCAGGGGCTATTATCTTCTGTACGGTAGGTAGTAGAAAGCGTCGGTTCAGACTGCTTTACAGTGACAGTAGCATTGATGTTTAGCAATAATCTAATGTCCAAAAGCACGGCACAGTAATCCGTATAATGCAAACCAAATGCAACGCTGCAATGTATGGAGTATGTGGATTTCAAGGTCGTGAAAGAGATCTAACGTCATATAAGCCAGCACGTAGAGACACCAGCATCACTTGTCAAGGCTTTTACTCTTGACCACCCTCCCAAGCAGCTCCTTGCAGTGTTTCTCACTGTACTGCTCCCAGACTTCATACAACGAGACCAGCTCCTGCGTGCATTCAATGACCGCTCGGATGTCCACCTCACTATCCGCCAGCCAGCTGATGAGTTTCTGGATCCGGGCGGGAGGTCCTGCTCCGCCCCGGTCCCCCAGCGCTGCAAGGATGTTCATGCCTCCGTCGCGCATTGCGCCGGCCAACGGGGCCGCGGAGCCATGGAAACTGGACTGGCTGGGCTTGAAGACGATGGCCACAATGATGGTCATCACAGCAATGACATGAGGAGGGTGCAACAATGGCAGGTCGGTCAGGTAGTGATCATTGATCACCGACCACGCAAGTGCCACTTCATCTGATGTCAAAGCCAGCTCGGGTTGGAGTTCCGAGAGCGTCCGGTACGGATGGTGTACGATAAGCTGCGAGCTCATTTCGGATATCAACATAAACTCACATTCCCCCAGTTTGGAAACATCGGGGGCAATGAACTCTAGATAATGGTTTAGATCCAGTCCCGTAAGAGAGCCGATGGGTTCCATACCTGGCCAGAGGCCCCGGGCCTCGCCGACCACGTATCTGATATGCTGGGGGCATTCTTCCATTTTACAGGCAAGATAGAATGCCGTGGTCGCCACCAAGTACGGGTTGGTGTGCCGGATCTCGTTCTTGGTATAGAACCTCTTGATATATATCTGGGCCGTGGCCAGAGCTTGCTGTCTGGTGGACATTCTCTTCCCCAGCTTGATCAATTCTGCAATCCTTTAGCGGGAAGGCCTATATTAGATAGTCTGTGACCTTGCATTACTTACGCTGGCTAAAGTAGATGTTCAAGAGCCTCTGGTCTGGCAACGGGAATTGCGAATGGGCTGTCTGGTCCCTCGCGCGGAACCCTTCTCGGATCTCTGTTAGCTTTTCCCGTGAGAAGAGCCAATGTCGGTATTGGGTCGACGCCCAATAATTTGCCGCCATTATGAAATCCCAGCTCGAACGCCGTCTTATAATGTGATGTGTTTATATGAGACCTGAAGGATCATCATGGCCCCAGGCGGGGTGGTCAGTATCTTATCCGAACAAAGCTGACCGCAACTCCATGCGTCAAAGACTGCAGTGGCGACAGGAACGCCTTCCAGTCAAGAACAGCAAGGTCATTAATGAAATTAACAAATCCAAGAACGGATTGCTAGATGTCCTGCTGTGGAGGCAAATACGTCTGCGACATCAGACAACCGATGGATGCCCACGTGACTGGGTTTGCGTTGTTTGTTCTGTTTGCCCCTTGAGCAAAAGGTTGGCCTCGGGAATCAATCGGTCTCCTCGACTTCTGCTCCGTATACTGACGCTCTCTTCTCTCTGGTTGCGTCGTGGGTTATCTCTTTCATTCCCAAGGTCACCATGAGTGCGCACATGTTGATGCCGTTTCGGCGTCGTCCGTGGACCTGTCGGACCTGTCTGCAGCGCCTGCAGCGCCTGCAGCCTCGCCGGTCCCTAGAGACGGCTGCATCGCCAGCGTCCCATGCGACAAGTTACGACTACTCCCCCGCAAATCACGCAACACGACAGAAGACGACGGACGATGAAACATTACGCCGGGTATTTGACTCGCAACCGTTCTGGCGCGACTTCTCGCAGCGCAGCGCCGCCCAGACCAAGCCGACCGGGCTGGTACAGAACCAATATTTGACCAGCCCCGAGGGCTTCCGGACGTTCGCCGGCACCACCCTGCAGAAATGCCAAGCGATTGTGACAAAGGTATTGCAGGCGTCGACATTGGAGGATTATAGAACTATGGCGCGCGATCTGGACCGACTGAGCGACCTCCTGTGCCGTGTGATTGATTTGTCGGACTTCATTCGAGTCATCCACCCGGATCCCCAAGTGCAGGACGCGGCTACCCAGGCGTACGCCCTCATGTTCGAGTACATGAATGTACTAAACACCACCACCGGGCTCCACGATCAACTGAAGACAGCAGCCGCCAACGCTGATGTCACATCGCATTGGAGTGAGGAGGAGAAGATTGTTGCGCACATCTTGATCAAGGACTTTTCGAATTCCGCAATCCACATGCCCCCGAATGAACGCCAGCGATTCGTTAACCTCTCCAATGAAATTAGCCAGGTGGGATCGGCTTTTGTCAACAGCGCCGAGCCAGCCAAATCCCATGTGGTCGTGGGTGCCAACAGTCTCCGCGGGCTGGACCCGATCCTCGTTCAAAAGATCAAGCGATGGAACCGGACAGCGTCAGTACCGACCATGGGACTGATCCCGCGGCTGGCATTGCGATCAGTCCACGACGAGTCGACTCGGAGAGAGGTCTACTTGGCCACGAGAACCTCGAGCGGACGACAGATCGAGCGCCTCGAGGAGCTTCTGGCTAAGCGGGCAGAGTTAGCCAAGCTCTCCGGATTCTCTAGCTTCGGCCACATGACGCTTAGCGATAAGATGGCGAAATCCCCCGAGGCGGTGTCGAACTTCCTCACGTCGTTGGTGGGAAGCAATCGGGAATTGGTCCGCGAGGAGCTGTTCCGGCTACAACAGATGAAGGGAGACTCCCAGTTCCAGCCCTGGGACCATGCGTACTATGTGCATCAGCGGGTCATGCAGCATTCGCAGTCCCGACGGTCGCGCGAGCTGAGTGCGGTGCCCGAGTTTTTCTCCCTCGGAACCGTGATGCAGGGCTTGTCCCGGCTCTTCGACCGTCTCTACGGAGTGCGTCTGGTGCCCCAGGAAACCGCGTCCGGTGAGACGTGGAACCCGGACGTGCGTCGTCTGGACGTAGTCGACGAGTCGGGTCGGCATATCGCAGTGATCTACTGCGACCTGTTCTCGCGACCGGACAAGCACCCGAACCCGGCGCATTTTACGCTGCGGTGCTCGCGCGAAATTTCCCCCGAGGAAGTGGCCGAGTGCGCGACGCTCGACCAGTCGGCCCACCCCAATGACGGCATGGCGACGGCCATCGACCCGCAGACGCAGACGCTCCGTCAGCTACCCACGATCGCGCTGGTCTGCGACTTTGCCGAACCCCCGGCGACGGGCGCAGGGCGTCCGTCACTGCTCAGCGAGCACAGCGTGCGCACCCTGTTCCACGAAATGGGCCACGCGCTGCACTCGATCTTGGGCCAGACGCGTCTGCAATCCATCTCGGGGACCCGCTGCGCAACGGACTTCGCGGAGCTGCCGTCCGTGCTGATGGAGCGATTTGCCACAGAGCCCGCGGTCTTGGCCATGTACGCACGCCACTGGGAGACCGACGCGCCGCTGTCCGAGAGCATGATGCGCAGCATGGAGCAGGACCGCACGGCCCACGGATCGATCTACGGTGCGGTCGAGAACGAATCCCAGATCCTCATGGCGCTCGTCGACCAGGCCTACCACTCGCTCCCGGCCGGAGGCGCCATCGACAGCACGCACATCTACCACCAGGTGTCGTCGGCACACTCCACCCTGCCTGACCCAAGTGACTCCCAGCCCCCCACCTCGTGGCAGGGATTCTTCGGCCATCTGTACGGCTACGGCGCCACCTACTACAGCTACATCTTCGACCGGGCCATCGCGAACAAGATGTGGGAGGATGTCTTCCAGGCGGGGCAGGCGTCCGTGGATCGCTCCGCGGGCGAGCGCTACAAGAACGAGGTGCTCCGCTGGGGAGGCGGCCGCAACGGCTGGGAGTGCGTTGCAGGCGTCCTCGGCAGTGGAAACCCAGCCAACGCCGACGGTCGCCTAGTCGAGGGCGGCGACGAGGCGATGCGCGAGGTAGGACGATGGGGACTGGGGCGCGATGGCGTTTCTGGATAGCTGGCCTTACCTCATCCCTACACTCTTGAACATGTTTCGACATACCGTACATATATATGCCATCTATAGAGTCTATAGAACCTTGTTTATACTAGAGATTATATATATGCCTGTACCATTGTATTATAGTATACATAAGAGTTGGCGCCAGCTCGGATTGGTTCAGAAAATGACCCAGCCTTGATCTGCGCGGCTCAACCGTCTTCTTCATCCATTCTTCTTTCATCCCTTCTTCGTCCGGCATCCTCCACCCATGTCAACGGTGTTACTTCCATACCATCTAAATGTTCACTCAACAGACTGATGTATAGGCATAGTGACAGTTTGAGACTCGGCATATTTCGACACGCACAGGCCTTGATTCGTCACGGTGGTACCGATGCACCCTCTGGTGGAACCAACGCTGCGACAAGCATCTGATAATTAACTCGCACTGGAATTTGAGTACAGAGGCGATGCACTCTCTTCCTGACCTAATACTTTATCGTCCTACTCCGGCATGCATCATGCCCTTTTATCGGGGCCAACAGACTCACTGTCTAATGAACCAGTATATATATTCACGTGGTCAGAACTCCACCATTACATACAAAAAATATATACATGCACACAATATACAAATCTCGACACCACCAGGGCATCAGAGATCGTCGAAATGGCCATCTTCCACCGGGGAGGGCGGCAGCCGGAACAGCCAAATGGCTAGCCCGACCAGGGTAAACGCCGTGCTTGTCATCATCCACGCGAGGCCGATCCAGACCCCGCCCATCTCGAGACCGATCTGGAAGACGGTTGTGATGGATAGGCTGGCGACGACGTTGCCCACGGACTGGAGGACTTCGATCATGGTGAAGAGCCGGGCGGTTTCTTCGCGCCGGACAAGCGTTGTGACGAGGGATCGCGTAAGGAAGACGAAGCCTGCGCCGGCGGTTTGGACGATCAGGCTCGGGATCAGCGTGGCGATTGTTGGCGACAGGCCGATGCCCAGAGTGCCCACGATGAGGAAGATGATGCTGAGGCGGGCGAGGTATAGATCCTTTTGGTTCGTTTTCATGGTGCGGAGGAGCCGCCGGGAGATGGCTGGCAGCACCCAGAGGAATAGCGGGATGGTGAGGGCGGGCTTCCAGGACATGAGGAAGTTGGCTTGCGCGAGGCTCCAGTGGTATCGGGTGGAGATATATTGGACCAGGAACCAGGAGGAGCCACGGCTGAGGCGATAGACGAGAAAGGCGGAGAGGAGAAGCATGAAGTGTTTATTGCGAAAGATGAAGGAGTAGGGTGTCAAATAGGCGCGACACCGGGCGAGGAGCTTGACGATCATCGGGGGTGGTGTGCTGGGGCCGCCTCGCGGGGGTCGTGTTTCTCCCTCTTTGGGAGACTCGAAATCGTTCCAGTCGTCTGGGCCGGGTTCCTTCGGGACCCGCCTTGTGTGATTCTCCAGATCTTCGTGCGACCACCGAGAGAGCTCGATACTGGGAGACGGCGACGGAGGATGAGCGTGTACCGTGTGCATGGTCTCCGGCAGGGTCAGTGCCAGACAGACCCCTCCCATCACGATTGACCAGCCCGCCAACAGGGGAATCCACGGATTCATGACCATCAGCCAGGAGCTCGCTAAGCTGCTGACAAAGTCGGCTCCCATACTGGCGACGCCGAACTTGAAGAACATGGGCGCCCTAAGAGCGGTTAGTATCTAGGTATCGTCCATTGATTTCCTCCATCGGACTAGGCAGCGCTACCTTTCTTCTTCAGTGGTGACGTCGGACATCATGGTCCACGCGACGGCAAAGGCCACGACGGGTCCTCCACCGATCAACCAGGCCAAAGACGAGGCCCAGACGGCCCGCAGCGGGAGCACGTCGGAGTACCAGATGACGATGAAATTGAGAAAACAGTTGAGAAAGAATCCGGGGATACTGAGCGTGATGGTGGGCTTGCGGCCGGAGCGATCGGCCATCAAACCGTACGGGATGGCCAGAAAGATACCTGCACGGAGAGCGAGAGACTGATCAATGATATGCCCAACAGGGAGGAAGACCCGGAAAAACCAGCGACATACTCAAAATCCCATCAAAAAACTCCATATACCCTTTGACAGCCGCCAACTCAGACTGGACCTCCTTGAGCTTGCACTGCGACTCCTCCACATACCCACTGGGCCCAATCTGAGACGGATCGGTACGGGCATAGAACTCGCGACAGGTGATGGACTCATAGATCTGGGTCATGGGTCCGCCGGCCATGACGATGCCGACTTCGATGGCCAGCACCATGGCGAACAGGGTGACCATGAGGCGGAGACGGAGATTCGGATCGATCGCATGTTGTTCCTTGCGTTCTTTGCGGTCCCAGGGGGAGGGATTGCTGTTGCTGGCGCTGTCGGCGCTGTCGGCGCTGGGGAGGAACGGGGCGTCCTCGGCGTCGCGAGGATCGTGGGGGACCAGAGTCATGGTCATGGACGAGGCATTGCCTTGGGGGTCGGTGAATATACGGGATATCTATCTATATATATTCTCTATGGATGGTATATATACAGATGGAGAGGTATTAAGGTGTGTTAAGAGGGGGAGGGGTGTGGGAGAATAAAAAGAGAGAGAGAGAGAGGACAGATAGGGAAGAGGAGGTAAGACGAGGCCGAAGGATTAAACACAGCCCAGCAAAAAGTAAGAGCAAGTCTGATCCTGTTCGCTTGGCAAACAAAAATAAACCATAACTTATCTTCAGTCGAATTGAAAAATACTAATCTCACATCTAGTTAAAGATGAACAGCCATTATACAGGAGTCAGGAGTCACTATAATGGATTATATTCAAACTCAGTATTCCATTCGACCTCCCTGCTTGTTCCGTCCTCTCAAACTGCTTCTTTGTCCCCCCTCCAATGATGGAACGTTTCCAGAACATAAACCATACCATTAGTGTGCTAATGGTGTTAAGCTCCACTTTATACTGGAAAGCAACTCATCGGTAACAAATCAGAGTCCGTCCATGCGACCAGGGGGGGCGGTGTCAAACGGATGGACCAAATAGGGGCTCCGCCTGCGTTCAGGGGACGAACGCCATCGCCCAGAGGCGTTCGGGATGGATGGAGCTTATGATGGGGACTGTTGTGATCGGAGGGAATGATATTCTGAGAGTCGTGACTTGTCCGAATTATTGGATTGAAGGGGAGAGAAAGAAGGCAATCAATCGTGTTGCCCCGACCGAGGCAACGCGGCGCGGATGATGACACCATCGCCAAGGACCAGTCTACTATAATTGGAACATCCGCCTACGGGTACGGGCTCATTTGCGGTGGGGTTCGTATACCAGGTTGTCTCAAGAAACGGAAGGGGTAGGATCGATAGACAATCGATGGTCGGAGATGGCTCCAATATATTTCCAGGGTCCTGGGGACGAGCCAGCGCTATCCGCTGGCAGAACAAGAGATTGCGACGCCGGTGCGATGAAACATGGGTCTGTGCGGAGGTATCTCCGTTGAGGATCTCCTCAGATCGCCCACCACGAAGACAGATCAGTCGCTTCTGTTCCACGAACCAGGTGCAGATATGGCTGACACGCACGAGTGATGAACTGGCCGACACGGTGGAGTGCTGGATGCAATCACCAGGAGATGCGTGGTCCAAGCCGAATGAGCGGCAAGAAGTCTTAACAGCGAGACCCGACGATAATTATCATCGCAAGTCCCTGATCCACTTGCGAGGTTCGGATCGAACGACAACAATCAGATCATACCGCATTCCCATCCGGCCGCTCGAAGAAGGCCTGGGACCGCGTCACCTCGACGCCGGATCTCTCCACAAAGGCCAACGCGCTGGGCTTTTCCACCTTGACCGTGACGCGCTCATTCCCGAAGTCGACCGTCACGATGTGGGCAATGAAAGTCGCGAGCGCTTCGACTGTTTGGTACGACGTTCCCTCGACTCGCTATGAAGAACGATTAGTACTCGCCACCACACTGGACAGGGAGATGTGAAGTCCGCCTACCTCGGCAACCGCCCGTGTCATCTCCTGGCAGGTGTTCACCACCGTGGATCCCCACGCCAACTGGCCCGGTCCCTTGAACTCCAACGAGATGATCACCGCCTGTTTCTCCACCCTCTCGTGGGAGTTGACCCCCAGGATGCAGTGACACCGGATTCCGTCAATGCGGAATTCCTCCTCCAGCACCACCGGGCAGCGTTCGGACTCGAGTCCCATGACTCCTTCGCGGTATCCCCACATGGTGACGCTGCGGTACCGGAGCCCCTCCTCGGCGCGCAGCAGCGCCTTGGGCAGATGCAGCCAGACCTCGCATTGACCGAACGACCCGTTGATCGAGGTATCCGACGACGTGAGGGAGGACGCCAATTCAGCATCCAGCTGGCCCGCCGAATGACTGGGCCTCCGCCCACCATGCTGATGCACATGCGACATCCTCCGGACCCCGGCGGCCGTCTCGTCCAGCAACCCCAGACCGCAATTGGCCACAATCCCCGCTGTCAATCGGACATCCTGTCCCAGCTCCTGACTCAACATCTCCTCCCGTCGTGTCCCATTCACATTGATCATCTTTCCCCCAGGGTGTTCCTGGTTCGCACCCATGTGACGGACGTCTTCCTCTAGGCGACGGTACAACTTGCCGTAGTCCAGCGATAGGGATACATCATCCGCGGCGGCTGCCGCAACGGCGGAGGAGTAGGATAGCTTGAGAGAGGCGGTGCAGGGCTGGGACTTCCCGAACCGATGCCATGGGTCTGGGGCCACGGGCAGGGGGAGCTGGATGTTGCGGAGCTGGACGCTATCGAGGACTGGGGGAGGGGAGGGGATATGGACGTTGACCCGTTGCTCCGCCATGATTGTCTGTCTGAGGAGAAGTAAGAGAATAGCTCAGCACGTTTCAATGACCAATTCGTAGGAGTGCAGATAGATGACGAGAGGAGGGTTTCTCTCCATTAAAGAAGCGGAGGATCACCCCACCTCGTGCCTCAGGCAGAGAGCACCGTAGTGAATGATTCATTATCCTACACTAATCCCGATTGGGCTATTCAACAAACACGCCAAGCTTTGTACTCGGCATAGTGGTGCATGTGCACGTGCATTGCATGTCATGTGCATATGCCTTATGGAGGGGGCATCCATAAGATCCGAGTCAACAAATCAAGAGCGCATCCTCGACGGCTTCAAGGATGCGGTTCCTTCTTCCTCTCCACATCCCATCCGGTCTTTTCGCCTGGTTCCTCTTCTTCTTCGCCTCTCGTTGATCTCCCATCCAATCATTGCTTCGATCATTCCACTCAGCCACTCTTTTGGTATTCGGTTCCTTGACTTTACCTTCGCCTCCCTTCTTCCCTCCCTTGCATGTCGCAGCCTCTCCTTCCTGCCTTTCCTTTACATACCACACAGAATCTTTCTTTTCACTCAGTACTTTGATCATCGACCGGGGTATTATCCACAGGTGACAGACAATATACCGTGGTTCACTCCGTCGTCGTCGGCCTCATGAGCCACCATCATGGCCTCTCTATCGGATGCGCCGCCTCACGCTCAGTCCATCCGCCGGTCGGTCACGCTGCCCGTCAGCTTGACTGCGAGACCCCATCGTCGCTCCGTATCGTTTCAGCCCTCCGAGAATGATCTCTTCTACCATCCGGCCGCAAAGGTCGTCCATTTCGCCCCCAGAGCCGTGGCCCCGATCCCGTCGAGTACCGCGCCGTCCGACTTCGACTATCCCGTCGACGCCGTCGAGACGCTGCCGTGGCGTTCGCCGACTGAACGGACCGTCGCGTTTGCGCCCCTCCGCTTGGAAAAAATACACGGGTTGGCGGTTTTCCTTAAGTGCGGCAGCGTCGTCCATGCGATCCTCAAAAACTCCCAGTGTTGGTGCGTGGACGGCGAGTCGACCTTTGTCCTGCGCATCCGACCGTTGACTTACTACCGTATCGAGTTGCCGAATATTACGGAGGAGGACAGAGGATATGTTACGGCGTTGAAGACCGCGCTACCGACCATCTTACGCTACGAGATCACTCCCTGCCCCTTCAAGCGCGGGTTCACGGTCCCGATCCCCGAGGCGGCCAAGGCTCCGCGCCCAAAGAAAGCGTGGCGTCCCAAAGGGAGGCGAGAGAGCGCACCGATCTACTCGCTCCCGACGCGGGAGAAGAGCCCGGCACGGGCGATGGCCGAGCTGGCGCCGGATGTGCTGAGCGCCGGCGAGGAGACGGATGGCAATTTGACCGATGATAGCAGCCTCTTGACCCGCGGCAGCAATAGCACCCTTCTCGAGACCATCCCGGACGACAATGAGGCTAATGAGCCCTCTCTGGAACCGTCCGCGGGTGCGCAATCCACCCATCCCCATACGAATCCAGCCCCCCGGGTCGCAGAGCCCCTGCGACGTTCGGTGTCAGAAGCGCAACCGAGTTTTCCTACCTTGCTGGCAAGGTTTGACGACCGCTCGGAACGCCCCGCCGTCCCTGACCTGCCCCTTGCGTCCAGCGTCGAGCCGTTTCACTCCCTCGAGCCTCGATCCCCTCTCGAGTCCGACTCCCCGTCGGAAATTTCCGCCCCCGTGTCGTTCGGCGAGACTACACCGCCTCCGGACGTTCCGCGGGGTGCCTCGGAGAACCCCTCAGGTGGCCTGAAGACCCTACTAGAGGTGGATGATAGTGAACGGTTTTTCTCTGCCCCGCGCGATTCTCCCCACTGCCACTTGACTGCGACCCCGTCGCCGGTCGGGAGCTCGGATCGCAAATCGTCGGTTTCGGCCGAGTCGACGCGCAGCACCGAGTCGAACCCGTACCTGAGCGACATGAGCGCCGAGTTCCGACGGCGGTCACGGGCGTCGCGAGCGCGCGAGGTGTCTCCGATGCCGCCACCCTCGATTTTAGTGACCAGCGGGGCACCGGACCCGGATGCAGAGTCGATTCTGCACAAGACGTGCACGCTCGTGCTGGTGCCCCCTATCCAGCTGCTGATCGTGCTCCTCCACATTGCCGCGCGGATTGTGATCGGGCCCCAGGGGAAGGGGGCGATCGGGGATTTGGACCGCAAGTTTGAATGCCAGATCACGAACTCGCAAGAGGCGGTGGATGACTTCGACCTGCCGCTGGCGCTGGACTGTCCGCGACGGGGATCGGAGGGACCGCCTGATCCGTGGAAGTTTGACTGACCTTCTCTCTCTTTTCCTTTCATTTTTTTTCTTCTTCCTTTCCCCTTCTTTCCCTCTCTCTCTCTCTCTTTCTCTCTCTTTTCCTTTCCTTTTTCATCCTCTTCATTTTCTCCCAACGTAAAGTTGTAATCTGGATTTCTACTGCATTACTGTTTTCTGGCGACTTGACGCACCTTGTACGATTTTGAGATTCCCCGGTGTTTTGTTGGATTGGGATATGGATCAACGGTGATTGTGCATCTGCATACAAGAGGATTCCGCTGTATTTTAACGCCTGACGAATAAAGCTGCTCTATCAAGACTTGACCTGGCCCTATCCAAGATCTCCATCTCTCTCCCTCGTTTTTCTTTCCTCTTTCTATTCTCTACATATTCTCTCGATCTTACATCTGTTACCACACCCCTATACTCTCACCCTTACCAATCAAATTTACTATCCAGCTCACCAGGCCTCTTGTCATATCTTTCTGGTCACTCGTTGTGGCTAGTTATATCCAAGAGTGTCCAGGGTGCTGAATAGTTGAATAAGCCAATAAATAAATAAATAGAGTAGTTGGAATAGCTGCTACAACAGATATCTCGTTAAGTGATAAGACACGCAACTGGCCAATGTCAGCTGACCTGCGTTGTTTCCCACATTGAATTATTGTTTTGACTCTTCATGTTTCTTGCAACCCTTTCAACTATTCGCAATCTTCAGGAGTCATCAATATCATCGTTATGTCGACTATTGTCATCGGTCCTACCACAACCCTAGCTCCAAACAGTTTTCTACTGACGAGTTGCAGGTTCTGGTGTAGTATAAACAACAGACGTTCATCTATGCTACAGTCTTTTAGCTTCTCATCTCCAACCCTCTGCCCACCAATGTAACCCTTGTTTTTCTTTTTCTTCTTCCATGCATGATTGATTTTCCACCTCCCATATGTCGTATTGATATCAACTACTAGGGTTCTTTGGATGAGTTTCTGTCTTCAGCCACTGAGCCCCGAGTCGTGGAGCGTGTCGACCCTCACTCTAAAGTACACAAACAAAACTTCTGGGCCTATCAGAAATCCACCCTGCAGAGAGTCGCACGCAGCAATGCTGACCACCATCGTAAAGGAACATGGGTCAGCATCACCCGGGGCTCCTCCGTCTCGAGGGTCAGCCGTAAAAGCGGCAGGGCCCGCCCAAACAGACGAGATGCTCCACCTCAGCGACCTGCTCAACTTTCACCATGAGAAACTCTTCGACCGGATCATGCAAACAGCAGATCTCCAGCGAAGCGGGCGATGCGGGCGATGCTCTGATGGGAGGGGAAGCCCATCCTGCGAACCACGCCTCGGGCCTGGAGAAAAAGGCCTCCTGGTTTCGACGCACTTTAACGGATACTTGGGCCCCGGAGATCACAGCTATCGTGTCAATGCTTCTTTGTCTAGTAGCCATCCTCGTCATCCTTACCGAATACCAGGGCAGATCCGTCCCCGACCTACCAATGGGATTGACTCTCAACACGATCATCTCGATCCTGGCCACCGGCGCGAAATCACTGCTCATTTACGCGATTTCTGCGTCGATTGGTCAGTCCAAATGGATCTGGTTCAACCCAGGTCAGCCGTTGCAGGACCTGCAGACCTTTGACGATGCAAGTCGCGGCCCCCTCGGTTCGACGACGTTGCTTTTTGGACGAACGATAACGTCCGTTGCGTCCTTGGGCGCAGCTGTCACGGTTACTGGGCTGGCGTTCGAGCCTTTCGTCCAGCAAGTGGTCCTCTATTCCGTTGAAAACGTCAAGACATCGTCTCCGCTTGCGACGGCGAACAAAGCCACCAGCTTTCGGGAGGACGGGGCACATATGCGGTCGTCCGTGATGTCTGGTATCTGGGCTACGAAAGAGGCGTTGCAGGCAATCCCCTCGTGCCCGACTCAGAACTGCACATGGCCAAGACAGAGGATGACCCGTTCCTTGCCGGCACTTTCGAAGCCTCATTCTACTATCCCCGCATCCTCCTCCAGCAACTACTACAACGCCCGACCTCTGGGAACCGAAGTTATCTGGGGATCGTCGTCACCAAGTTGAAGTGCTGCAATACCAGTTCCGCTTGAGAGAAAGCATCCTCCTAGGTCCTCAAAACGAGGGTCAGCATATTGGCCATGCAGAGCGGTGTTCAAGTGCAATCCAGCTAGTACTGGGCTTCTTGCCCTGTATGGGTCGAGTGATGTAACCGATGGAATCAATAGAAGAAACAGACAATCGAATAGTCGCGGGTATTAACTACTGTCGGACTGAAAATTGGATGCGGATAACGGTGCTGGTGCATCTGCATGCATTGACGACGTTTAAGTATGTTGACACCTGACGAATGAGGCTGCATGTTGACTGCGACAAACGTGGCAAACACGGACTTTAGGCTGTATCCATCGTTACCAAATAATAATCCGGTCGATGACGCATGCCTCGTTCCAAAGTGGACACTGACACTGGACAGTGGGTTTGCCGCGGGAAACCGGGGCAGTGTGTTCCATGTCCAAAGTGCTTGGGTATGATGCATGAGTCGTGATCTGATGATGATCCATTCGTCCATTTCTCGGGTTCGTCACGGTTAGTGACGGAGTTAGGTCGGAGTGTTGGATAGAATGCATGTAATGCATGTAATCTTGATCAAGTCAATCTGATACTCGATTGATAGCATGTCAATATCGTCAGTAGTCAGTATCAATAATAGAATCAAATATAGAAGTAAAAATGGAGAAAGAGAATGGAGTTGAAATCGGAGGAGCAGGCCAACTCCGTGCAGGTGACCATCCCGGCTTCGGCGCTCCCGCAAGGGAACCTCAGGCCTCTTTTTCTCTTCTTTCCTTCTTTTCCCCTCTCGACTTCTCTTCTTCTTCTTCTTCTCTTCACCTCACTTCATCTCATCTCTCCTTCATCATCATCATCATCTCGCTTCTTTCATCTCTGCATCTCTATCCATTGATTTCATCATCCCGTGTGTAATCCGAGCCTGACAATCACTCCGGCCTCCGACCAACGGCAACTGCTCCGATCTCCACTCTTCTTCTCCCCGTACTTCCATCCAGCCGAGACAAGACCGTCTCTCTTTTTTTTTTTTTTTTTTTTTTTTTTTTATTATTTTCCCCCTCGGGTATGTTCTTTGCCTCTTTCTCCCGCCCTTTCCCCTCTTCCTCCTACCTTCCCTCTTGTCCTTTTCTCCCTTTTCCCACTTACCGATTTGCTAATCCGTCTCGGAGATAGTAGTAGTAGTTCCAAAGTCTTCTCCATCATCGCAATCATGATGATTAATACTTCTGCCCTTCGGCTCCGTTCCGCATTGGCTCGTTCGTCCTCTGTCATTGCTGCCCCTCTCGCCGCCGTTGCCCCTCTTCCTTCCTCCGCTTGTCGCTCCCTCTCTTCTTCTTCTTCTTCTTCCTCCTCCCTCTTCTCTTCTCCTTCTTCTTCTTCTTCTTCCCCTGTCTCATCTGCTTCTGCTTTTGCTCGTTCCCCTAGAACGTTTGCTTCCCTTCATCGTCCCATTGCCTCGACTGCCTCTTCCGGACTTTCTTCCTCTCGTTGGATTCAATCTCGCAACATGGCTTCCGAAATCCCTAAGATCAAGGTCAAGAACCCAGTCGTCGAACTGGATGGTGATGAGGTAGGTTTGGTCTGCATTTCGGCCCGCTCAATCGAGCCAAGAAGTACTGGAAGGAATCCCGCACATGGCCGGTGCCGCCCTTTTTATAGTTTCCCCCCCAATGGTCTCCTTCCTTCGGTTGCACATGTTTCCTGGCCCCCCCTGCGTCAACGCGGGGAAAGACGGCGGTCTCTGCCTTGATTCACGGTCAATCACCCGAGGACGGATCTTCCACCCCCCTCCCTCATCCAACCAATGGCCCGGCTTCCTTCTCGTCTTCGTCTTCACATGGAAGAAGCTAACCGCTGTATTCTCGCCATGTAGATGACTCGCATTATCTGGCAAGAGATCAGGGAGAAGGTATGTGTTGTCCCCTCCCGGCCCCGCGTCGGTGTCTGTCCCACCACACCGTGCGGGCCGTATGATCCCGATCCTAGGTCACTAACGGTTTCTTCCTTTGATAGATGATCCTGCCGTAAGTAGCACTCGGCATAGTTCCTTTACCTCGTCGCCGGCATACTGACCCCACCCCCAGTTACCTGGACATTGACCTCAAGTACTACGATCTCGTACGTTCCCCCGGACCCTCCCCCCTTCCCCCCCCCACCCATGCTAATCCCCTCCCAGGGTCTGGAGTACCGTGATGAGACCAACGATCAGGTCACCATCGACTCTGCCGAGGCCATCAAGAAGTATGGCGTCGGTGTCAAGTGCGCCACCATCACTCCCGATGAGGCTCGTGTTGAGGAGTTCAAGCTGAAGAAGAGTAGGCCCACCCTCCTCCCCCCACTCTCACCTCATTCGCTAACATCCGCATTTAGTGTGGCTCTCCCCCAACGGTACCATCCGTAACATCCTGTATGTTGTCCCGTCTCCGCATCCCCCAGTCTTATGCTAACCCTTCTCAGTGGTGGCACCGTTTTCCGTGAGCCCATCATCATCCCCGCCATCCCCCGTCTGGTGCCCGGCTGGAACAAGCCCATCATCATCGGCCGTCACGCCTTTGGTGACCAGTACCGTGCCGCCGACCGTGTCATCCCCGGTGCCGGCAAGCTCGAGCTCGTCTACACCCCCAAGGATGGCAAGCCCGAGACCGTCGAGGTCTACGACTACCAGGGTGGCGGTGTTGCCATGACCATGTACAACACCGACGACTCCATCCGTGGCTTCGCCCACGCCAGCTTCAAGATGGCTCTGCTCAAGGGCCTGCCTCTGTACATGAGCACCAAGAACACCATCCTCAAGCGCTACGATGGTCGCTTCAAGGACATCTTCCAGGAGATCTTCGAGTCCACCTACCAGAAGGACTTTGACGCCAAGGGCATCTGGTACGAGCACCGTCTGATCGACGACATGGTCGCCCAGATGGTCAAGAGCGAGGGTGGCTTCATCATGGCCCTGAAGAGTGAGTCTTTTTTTACTTCCTCAACATCTTCACCATGCGTGTAGGCTAATACATCTTAGACTACGACGGTGACGTCCAGTCCGATGTCGTCGCCCAGGGCTTCGGCTCCCTGGGTCTCATGACCTCCACCCTGACCACCCCCGACGGACAGGCCTTCGAGTCCGAGGCCGCCCACGGTACCGTGACCCGTCACTACCGCGAGCACCAGAAGGGCCGCGAGACCTCCACCAACCCCATCGCCTCCATCTTCGCCTGGACTCGCGGTCTGGTGCAGCGTGGCCAGCTCGACGGCACCCCCGAAGTCGTCACCTTCGCCGAGGAGCTCGAGCGCGCCTGTATCGACGTGGTCAACGAGGAGGGCATCATGACCAAGGATCTGGCCCTCTGCCAGGGCAAGAAGGAGCGGGAGGCCTGGGTGACCACCCGCGAGTACATGGAGGCCGTCGAGCGCCGTCTCAAGGCCAACCTCAAGTCCCGCCTCTAGATATCCCATTTTGAATTTTGACCGTTTCCTTTTTTGTTCTTTTTGAAATACCAATCGTTGCATGATTGTTTCGGAGTCAACGGGGTCGCATGAGACTACCCTCTTGTACATTGGTTGCATGCCTGGGTGTTGAATCGGTGCTCATGTTTCCCGCGGGCTCCAATGTGCCATGAACCTGTGATTTGCTATAGAGTAATTGGATTTTTTTGCTTGGCGATAGACAGAATATTATATATTCCTTGTGTCTTGGTATTTGGGGAAAGTAAAACATTTTCTTATGGAAATCATTAAAAGGGAAACCATCGTCAAATGCGTTATTCCTATCTACTCTATCAAGGTTCGTCTGTCACCACTGGTAAGGGGACTTCCATCATGCGGACTCACTCGCCTGAGGAATGGGAATCGGCCCGCCGGGCGAATCAGGCAAACGCGCAGTCAACACCTCGACCCCATCCTCCGTCACCAACAACGTATGCTCAAACTGCGCCGACAGCGACCCATCAGCAGTCGTGCTAGTCCAGTCATCCGGCCATGTGCGATCCCGATGCGTGCCCAGATTAATCATCGGCTCAATGGTAAAGCACATGCCCGGCTTCGCCGTGCCGACGGCCTTATTCTTGCCATAGTGCGGCACATTCGGCGCACAGTGGAACAGCTGATTGATGCCGTGGCCGCAGTAGCTCTTGACGACGCTGCAGTTGCGCCCCTTGGCGTGCTTCTCGATGACGTTCCCGGGATCCCGGAAGAGCATGCCTGGTTTGACGAGCGCGATCGACTGATCGAGGCATTCGCGGGCCGTTTCGACGACGCGGACGGAGTCGGGGTTCGACCGGGCTTTTTCGCCCACGTAGTAGGTTTCGTTCAGGTCGCCGTGGAACCCGCCGTGGTAGAGGGTGACGTCGATGTTGATGATGTCGCCGTCTTGGAGGGTGCGTTGGTCCGGGATTCCGTGGCAGATGGTTTCGTTGATGGAGGTGCAGACGGATTTGGGGAAGTGCATGTAGTTTAGGGGGGAGGGGTAGGACTGTTCATGCAATATGAATATCCATAATTCAAATATATGGGAGAGGGTAAAAAGGGAGGGGGGGACCTACCTGCCGCTCAATACAAGCCTTATGCACCACCTCGTCGATATAATCCGTCGTGACACCAGCCTTCACCTCCCGCGCCGCAATATCCAGCACCTCGCGCGCCAGCCGACACACCTTGCGCATGCCCTCCTGCTCCTCCTTGTTGAGGATGGTGATGTTGTGCCGGCCGACGAACTTCTGCTCGGACCGCGGGATGCCATCGCGGGCGTAGTCCGGGTGCGGGATAGCGGCGGGGATGGAGCGCGGGCTGGACAGCGGGTAGACGGGGCGGAGGGAGCCCGTGTATTGGAAGGAGGGGAAGGGGTTGAAGTGGCCGGTGGCTGGATCTGGTTCAGAGACTATTCGGGGTGGGAAGAGGTTGGTGAGGAGGTTACTCTTTTTGTGGATGGTTTTGTGTTGGCTCTATTCACTGTTAGTTCTTCTTTCTTGGTTCCTCTCTTGTGGGCATCCTTTGAATGATTGATTTCATTATCTAGAAGAAAGAAAACATACCCAGCTCCGCTTGAAACAATCCTGTGAGCAGAAGAAACTGTCCGTCCCCGACTTCAGGCACGTCGGACATTGCAGCGTGCCCGCGGGCTTGTCGCAGTCCACACCACTACATCTCCGTTCGGCAGTCATGGTGGATATAATCGATATAATGGACAGAGAAGTAAGAAACAGCGAAATGTATTAAATCAACGGTAGAGTGACTGGTGATGTTGATCCCCCGCAGGAAATTGAGAAAATTCAAGAAAATAAAATCAGGCAAAATGATACTTCCGGATCGGGTATAGTGTAGTCGTCCGGAATGGGACTAGTGTAGGCGGTGAGTCGGGTATCGATAGCTGACTAATAACGCATCACGTGGGCGGTCACTCGGGGCAGAATCGCCCGTCCCGATAACAGATCGCGGGGATCCACAATCCACCGGTTCGATCGACTAATCCTCGCTCCAAACGGGACTAACTGCCTTTTATTTCCCCGGTGAGCGACGGCCTAATCCAGTTTAATTCAAAGGACGCCCCACTGCCTGCTTCCTTCAATGACTCAAAACGGTGCGTGGTTGACAACAGTCGGTGGTATATACCCCTCTCCGATCGAGATTTCCACCCCACTTGCCGTGCTGCGGGCAGATCGTCTTCATGGTTAAGTCTACGAGACAGAAGGTTGTTATTGTTGGGGCTGGTCCTGTGGGGTCGCTGGCTGCGTTGTATGCGGCAGCGAGGGGGGACGATGTTGAGGTGTATGAGTTGCGAGGGGGTATGTTGATGCTCTTTATCCAACGTGGTTGCTTAGATTGATCTAACAACAGTATAGATCTTCGCGATCCTGCCACGATCCCCCTCAATTTCACCAAATCTATCAATCTCGCGCTCTCGGAGCGCGGGATCAATGCGATGAGACACGCGGACCGGGAGGAGCTGATCGACAGGATTATGCACGATGCGATCCCAATGCATGGTCGCATGATACACGGCCAAGACGGGGAGGAGTTGTGGGAAGCTGCGCAGCTATATGATGTGCATGGACAGGTCAGTACCCCGGAGACTTAAGCCTCTCCGTTGACGCTCGTGGTTCAAAACGTCTAACTCCAATACCAGGCCATCAATGCAGTGGATAGAGGAATCCTGAACAACGCTTTGCTCGACGAGCTGGAACGCACCCCCAACGTCAAGCTGTTCTTCAACCATAAACTGACCGGCGCCGACTTCCACACCAACCGCGCCTGGTTCGAGCGTCGACTCCCCGGGGATTCGCCCACTCCCAACTCCAACAACCGCTACCCCGAGATCGAGGTACCGTTCGACTTCATGATTGGCGCCGATGGCGCGCACTCCGCCGCGCGGTTCCACATGATGAAGTTTGCGCGCGTGGACTACCAGCAGGAGTATATCGATACCCTGTGGTGTGAGTTCCGCATCCCGCCGTCCGACGACGGTGACTTTCGCATCTCCCCCAACCATCTGCACATCTGGCCGGGCAAGGAGTACATGTTCATCGCCCTGCCGTCGGCAGACAAATCCTTCACCTGCACCCTCTTCTCCCCTGCCATCCACTACACCAAACTGACCGAGTCCCCCGAGACACTGGTGGACTTCTTCCATGCGAATTTCCCCGGCGTCTGCCCCAATCTAATTGCGCCCCACGCACTGCAGGAGCAGTTTGCGAGCAACCCGCATCTTCCCCTCATCAGCATCAAATGTAACCCCCATCACTACGGCTCCAGCGTCGTCATCGTCGGCGACGCCGCACACGCCGTCCTCCCCTTCTACGGCCAGGGTCTCAACGCGGGCCTCGAAGACATCCGCGTCCTATTCGAATGTCTAGACAGCTCCGATCTATACGACTCAAAGGCGTCGCCCAGCGTCCGCGCACAGCGCCGCGAGACCGCTCTGCAGCAGTACACCGACCAGCGCTCGGCAGACACTCACGCAATCAACGACCTCTCCAAGCAAAACTACGCCGAGATGCGCTGGGGCGTGAAACTTCCCCTGTACAAGATCCGCAAGTCAGTCGAAGAATCCCTCGACCGATACGTGCCCCGGTTGGGCTGGAAGACGCAATACTCCCGCGTCAGCTTCAGCAACCAGCGCTATTCGGACGTCATCCGGGCTGCGCGCCACCAGGGGACGGTGCTGGGTTTGGGTCTAGGGTCTCTTGTGGTCTCCGGCGTGGCGGTTGCGGGCGTCCTCATGTGGAGGTATTCGTTCCGGCAGTGTCTTGGGTCGCTTTTGCAGTCTGGTTGGAGTCGCTTGGGGAGTCTTTGGTCGAGGGGTGGTTGACCTGCATACTCTGTTTATTTTGTATATTCAACTATGGTATCACTTGTAAGCTACAGCACAATGAGCTACGGAGAGATTTACGTTCTTTCTTGTCCACAATTGTATAGGATTCTTGTATGCTTGGTACTGTAGTCAAAGCATCGGGCGAATCACCGGTGCAGGTCTCCACGTGGATAAGTGTACTAACTGTTACGTAAATCTCTTTTGTTATATTATCCATCTATATATATATATATATATATCTTGATCGTTATTTGTCGCTATTCAAGTTCATATCAACTATGTATAGATGGCATCCGCATCCGGTTTAGCGCCCCGCCCCGCATCACAAGTTTAACGCGCGCTTCTTTTTTTCTGGTCGGATCCAATTCTCCAACTCAACTCAACTCATCGTCGCGAAAACCTTTCAGTACAATACTATCTCTCTTGTCTCCTTGATTCTCCTCTACACGCAATACTGATGGGAGATCGGCTTTTGTTATACATTTAATCTTTTTTCCTTTTTTCCCACCCAGGCGTCATTCAGTGCCACTAATCACCCCGCCCATGTCCGTCTATCGTCGATTCTAGATTCCTCCTTTCTGTCGCTTTCAGTTCAATCCTCCTTTCTTACATAAGAGCACTTCGTGCTAGGAGGCATAACAATTGCCATGCCTCCCAAAGCGAACCCCCGACGAGGCGCATCCGCCGCCGCGGCCAACCGCCGAACAGATGCAGCAACTCCCTCCGAGAGCCCGGCCCCGACACCGGGCGCGGCCGGTCCATCCGCTCCTAGACCTCCCGTCCAGCGTCTTCAGTCATTGAAGAAGTCCACACCGTCCGGGAGTATCCGGCCGACATCCAAGCCGCCTGCCGCCGCCGCGGCCGGGCCGGGCGGAGAGCCCGCCAAGCCAACTCTCAAATACAAGCCGCGGGCTGTTGGTCGACGCAGCAAGGAAGAGCGAGAGGCGATTGAAAAGCTCGAAGCCCAGCGCAACCGCGAGCGATTGGCTGAGGCTGCTGCTATCCAGAAGGGCCGGGGGCGGGGGAGTGGTGGACCGGGCGGACGAGGAGGGTTTAATGGACGTGGCGGGGCGATGGGGTCTGCTGGACCGCTGGGGTCTGGTATGGGGGCGCGGAGAGGTCGTGGAGGCTTCTCGCAGCGGTTTGGGGGGGGTGACTCGCGCGCGTCGTCTATGTCGAGGCGGAGTCGGTCGATTATTGATTTGGGGAGTGGGGCGGTTAGTCGGGATGTTTCGTCCGATGAGAGTGATACCGATGTTCGCATTAGTATCGACCAGATCAACCTGGATAGCTCGGATGATGAGGGCCAGGAGGTCGTGGATAAGAAGAAGGGCAAGGTCGCTGTTAAGGGCGCGGGGGCGTCCGGCGAGAAAGGCCTGCGACCGATCCGAGTTGAGAGACATGAGCATGAGGAACGAGTGGTCAGTGTCAATATGGAGTCCAGCTCGAGTAAATCTGCCGAGCTCCGCGAGCAGGCGAAGGGCAAAGCCGCCGAGGACGATGCGCTCTTCGTGCAGGATGACGACGACGGCCCGGCTCAGCCTGAGACCGAACCGAAGGTCAAGCCGGAGCCCACCGACGACGACGACCAGCACATGGCGGATGTTGCACCGCACGCGGATGAATCCATGATCACGGACGATGGGTTCCTGCCGGTGCAGACTGTGAAGGTGCGCCGGAAGCTAGACTCCAAGGAGCCGTCCGAGCCACCCGTCGTCAAGGAGGAGAAGAGTCTCCTGCGCACGAAGGAAGATATCGAGGAATACGAGCGCCACGCACAGGACCTGCTGGTCATCAAGGACCTGCTCTGGAAGGAGCCCCCCGCCCCCGCCGCGGAGGCGAAAGAGCCCGACGCTGAACAGCCCGAAGCATCAACCAGCGGACCAGATGTCGCCGTCACCGACCAAGACAAGGACGGGGAAAAGCCCGAAGGAGAAGAAGCCGAGAAGAAGGACGAAGAAGAAGTCGAAGACAAGCTCTCCGGCCAGCTCTTCCTCATGCAGTTCCCGCCCATGACGCCCAATCTGGTCGTCCCCGGCGAGGCTTCTTCTGCCCCCGCACCCACCGAGAACGCCACCGAAGCACCACAATCAACACAACCACCCACCGGCGAGACAGCCCCGCAGCCCGACGTCCCCGTGAAGCAAGAATACGGCGTCGAGGTCCTCGACGGGCCGGACGAGTCTTCCGCGACGCGCGAACCCCCCCGCGTCGTCACGGCCACAGACTGGCAGCTCAATGCGGGCCGCGTCGGCAAGCTGAACGTGCATGCCTCGGGCCGGGTGACCATGACGTGGGGCGGGATCAGCTTCGAGCTGGACCGTGCTACGGCTGTGGATTTCCTCCAGGAGGCGGTTATCGCGTCGACGCCGCCGGGGGCGTCGGTGGAGGATGAGCCTGAGGAGGAGAGGAAGGTGTGGGCTATGGGGCAGCTTAGTGGGAAGTTTACGGTTATGCCTAATTGGGGGGAGATGTTGTAAGTGCTGGCTTATTTGGTTTGGGTTGGTGTAATCATGATTTAGCATGTGGGATGTCAAAATATAGAGCTGTCTTGTGATGTTAACAAGATATATATACATATTTATATACTTTTTGCTTGTAGATTAGTAGTGTAAACGATGTTGTTATAAAGACTGCTATACTAATTGTATACATATACGATCCGTATCTACTACACTATATATTTCCGTCCAGACAACCTTCAATACCCACACTATATTCTATCAACCACAACCCAACCAGTAAATATCCACCTACTACGGAGCAACTACTGTTTCACCCCCCAAACCCTCACAGGCAACACAACACAAGGCTTATCAGGACACACATTCTCGCGCACAATATTCTTAAACTGCGGCCCATTCGGCCCCGCCGCATACTTCGGTTGTCCAAACAATGACGGTCCCCCAGGGAGGGCATCGTCGCCCCACCGCCCGTTGAACCGCAGCCAGCTGACGGGGTAGACGGGGTCATAGGGGTGGAAGGATGCGTCGGCGTCGTTGTAGCTGTAGGCGTATGCGTTGGGCACGGGATCCCACAGGATGCCTTTTTCGGTGGTGTCGACGAGGAAGCCTGCGGGGAGGTTGAGGTGTGGGATGGTGTGGTCGTGGTTGCTGTGTAGATAACTATGTGTTAGTATTTGCTTTTGGGTGGGGGGTTGTGTTGGCTGGTATAGCAGGTGGGGAGGAGGAATACCCTTCTGTAGCGTAGACGGCGTGAGTGCCTTTGGCGGAGTATGCGAGTGGTCGCTTGTCTTGCTTTTCTGTGGCGTCGTAGGTGAAAGCCTGGCCGTTGGAGTGCTGGCTGTACCAGAGGGCTTTGGGGGTTCCGTTTTCGAAGCGGATCATGTTGTGTTCCCTATGGATATGATTGCATGCGTGTTAAAGCGCCGGACCTTGGGATAGGTAGTGTAGAGCTATACTAACCAGTCTCCGATATGGTTCCCGAATTCCATTCCCAGGACAGTGTTTCCTTGGTTATACCTGACATGGATGAGTCTAGATACCATGATGACTAGATACGAAGGGTCCTCACGCGTAGAAGTAAAAGTAGAATGCGTCTACGATGCTATCTCCATGCTCACGGACGATAATAGTCGACGCGACTGCGTCTTTCGTCTGGCCGTTCTCGTCCGGAGTCACACCGCGGAACCATGCCGGCTGCGGATCAGCGTCGATGCCCTCGATGGATGTTAAGAAGACACTGGTGTTTCCGAGGTCGTTGAGTTGGTCGAGATTGTCGAGTCTCAATGGCGAGGGTGCGCCTTGGACAGGTTTCCAGTTGACTTGGGGGGTCGTGTGGACTAGCTGTTGCCGTATGTCGGAGGGCATGTATGGGTCTTCTTTGTGGAGCCAGACTAGAGGGGCTGTGGAAGTTAGTTCTATGTTTGGTAAGGTGGTATTAGGGTTTAGTGAGCATACCGTAGTCTAAGACATAGTTGGGGGTTGAGATGGCTGTGGGGTCTATGGTCGATGCATCCACTGTGTGGAGGATGCTATATAGAGCGAGGGTATACCCTCGGTTCAACATGCCAAACATGATGCTGCTATGCTTGCTCGGAAGAAAAGTAGAGTGCAATTAAGACATGCATCAGAGAGATTATACAGAGTAGTCTATCATTTATACTAGAAGTATATGAGATAACACAGCTGGTCAAGTGATGCATCAAAAGGATAAGCGTGCATTAATCATGCACACTGTCAGGTCCCGTGCCATCTAGATCAACCTCCTCTTCTCTCTTCTCCTCCATCCCACCGTCTCATCTTTATCTTATTAACACACCCCTACGCTGTCAGACTGTCATCTGCAGATGATCTACAATAAACATAGTCCCTGAATGGGTCTCCATGGTGTGTCAATGTAACCCTGTGAATCCCCTAAGAGTGAGCTCCATTCCTAATGATATAACTAGGGCCAGCTGACCAGAAACATTGAATCACCAACCATCTCAAACAAATCTCGCGTGGATACCTCTCTCAAAATAAATCAAACAAACACAACAATGTACAGGGATATATATATACAAGGAAATAACCATTTCAGCGCACTCTTCGCTTGCAACCCATCGATGCAGCTAGTCTACTGCCTCATCCTCGTCACTGTCATCACGCTCCTCAGTATCTGTGTCGTCTGTCTCGTGTCGAATGGGTGTAGGGGTCACCAGTCGCTGTTTGGCTCGCATTCTTCGACGGGCATCCCTGGTCGTCGGTTGGTAGGAAGCCGATCTGTGGCGTGAGGGGCCGTTGTTAATACTGACTTGGATTTCCGGCTCGCTTTCAGATTCCGAATCCGTTGTAGGTTCGGTGTCGCTCGATGAGAATAGCTTTCGGGAAGAGGTTTCGTTGGTCGGTGCATTCTGAGTTGACTGTCGAATCTTGCGGTATCTTGGCTCTGTATTGGAATGATTAACTAGCGTGGACTTGGTTTGTGGTGTTTCTCATGGATTTAAAAGACTTTTCGCATAGAGTGGTCTTGCGCCGAACTTACTCTCCTTTGGTTCGCTTTCATCATACAGACTGTCTGCGCTGGAAGATGATCCGTCCGTTTCATCTTCCGATGAGCTCAATTCTTGACCGCCGCTAAATCCCAGAGATTTGAAGAACGAAGGCCTAGCACGGGATCGCGATGTTCTAAATGGAGTATCGGTTTTTACCCTCCGAGATATGACCTCCTCTGCAACTTCGCTGCCATCAGAGTCACAGTCCCCCTCGTCAGAAGACTGGGACTCTAATTCAGAATCGAGACAGACTACTGATGGGCCGCTCTGTCTTGAATCAAGATCACTCTCATCTGAACATTCAGACGTGGACTCGAATACACTTGGTCTTACAGGTGGCCTTGGTTGCATTTTCTGCTTTGGAAATACTTGCTTTCGCTGCGGCTCAGCTGCAATAGCCTTGAAATCTTGGGCGGATTCACATCGGCTAGTGTTCATTGCCTTGGTCATGGACCTCGGCTTGAACGGATCTTTCAATCTGGGTTTGGTATTCTTGAAAGTATTTTCATTCAACGCCTTTGACGGGCCATCTATATATCGCTCCTTGCGGAGTGTCCTCTCCTTTCGGAGTGGTTGGTCACCTTTCACAAACGCCTTGGGTGGGCGCTGCTTGGTGGGTTGCTTCATTTTTTCAGACTCGGCGCTACTCTCGCTCCCTGAGGAACTTGAGATTGAGCTCGACCTAGAGCTGGGACTAAACTCAGACTCTTGAATAGGCTCTCGCTTCGATCCGGCACGACGTGCAGAAGGCTTTCTACTAGGAGTTTCCCAAGGGGATAATCGTCCTGGGTTGGCCACCATCCAATGCTTCGGCGTAAGAGACCTAGACATGGACTTCCGAGTTGACGAGGGGGTTTTACCCTCAAGCTCGTCATCGGACGGCACAAACGCCCAGCGTTCATACTGCTTGGACGTATCACCAGGGGACGAGTCCTTCCGTTTAACGGGTGTAGGGTACCAGGCTTCTTTCCAGGCATCGAAAACAGCATCTGGTTCCCCATTAACACGCCGAAGTAAGACCTTGCGCCTGATCTTCCGCCATTTGTCTCCACACTGCTGTTCCGAGCGGGAATGGCTCAGGCCATGGCTCACTTGGTACCAAGAAATGTCAATTGAGGGGTCCATCTCGTAGATGTCCCGGCCTAACAAGGCATCCTCACCAACCTGCTTCATCCGGTCCCACATCGCCTGCAAGGTGTCCAACAGGCCTTGGATTTCGGCCTGGGACCAAACCCCTTGGTTCATCGTGGTCCGGTGTTGCAATTGATTCCGCCACCGTTGGGCGACATCATCGGAGCTTCTATCTAGCTGCTTGGCTATAAACGCCCACTGAGCGCCATACACCAAATGGTGAGAAATGAGCTCTTCATCCTGCGCAGCGGTCCACGTATGTGAAACCTGCTTATACGGGAGAAAATGCCTTCTCATAAAGCGACAAACTGACTCGGCATTCCGCGTGGGAAGAACCTCGTATATACGATCCCAGAAATCGTGTTTCCTGATGAGGTGCTTGGGAAACACTCCATCACCAGGATCCCGATCTGAGTGCTGGACCATGAGGTTGAAGTCAAATCCATTGATGCCGTGAGTATTGCAAAAATCGATCTTGAAATCTTCCAGTAGCTCACGCTCGTACTCACTGAATCGGCCTCGGCTGCCAACCGCTCGACCTTGCTTTCCTTTCCTCGGCGTTGATGGTGTCGGCGGCGGATAGGTTCGTATGGCTTTTCTGGGTGTGACCGGTGGGGTGGGATGCTCACGTATTGTCTCTGAGGGCTCTGCGGAAGCAGCATCTGGGTCGTCTGTATTTTTACAGACAACCCGCGGAGCTGTCCTCGTGTTTGACTCGTCGTTGGAAGCATCATCGTCCGACTGCGAATCTGCTCGACAGTTTGGTGTGTCGCGATGTCGGCCTGGCTGCCTACGCAACTCGGGGATTTTCTTCCGCTTAGACGGACGAGCTGTCACCTTGTCTGATGGGGAGGCGATGAGAGAAGTGGTGCGCTTCTTATGCTTTCTCGTCCGTTGATTCTTCTTGGGCGTTGACGGTGATGCATCTGTATCTTCCTCTTTGGGAGTGCGCGAGCGTGGCGGCGGTTTCGGAGAATTTTCTTGCGACAACACCACATGAGTTAGTGAGCATCCTCAGCCACAGTCCTTTCCACCATCGACAGCTCGGCCATATGATAAACAAATAGCGAGCTCACCGGTGACTCGACGGAGCGGACCGGCTCCGGTGGATTTAACCATCAGCGGCGATGGATATGGGATTGAAGTGTTTGGAGGACAGCGTTTGAAGGGTGTGATGACGGGGAAACAACAACATTCTTTGAGAAAGGAAGAATGGGAAGATGCAATTTGCAGAAATCTGGCATTGCGTTTGTCGTTTCCACTATTTATGACCTGTCAGAAAGGAACGCGACCTACGCGTGGTTTTATGGGTCGACCCGCGTTCGACAGTTACCCACTTTTCACCTGTCCATCTTTTGTGATTAGATGTCGAATTGACTGGTCATATGCATATGCTAGTGATGACTGTATTACGATGGAAGAGAATGCTCTACTGCAGCAGAGGTCCAGCAGGATGAATCCGGATGACGGCCCAAGTGAACTATATATTCGGCACTAGCGACGCCCATACGAAGAATGAATAACATTTGAATTCAATTACCAATGCACTTCCACATCCCAAACCAAACAAGAGACATTCATAGACTCTGCTTCCCCTTCTGTTCCGCCTCTAACTCCCGCTTCTCGTGCGCTTCCTTCATCAGCTTAAAAAGCCTTAGATCCAGCGGAATCCTCTCTCCCAACCACGTCGCCCGCTGAGTGTGATTGCGCTCTTCCTCCAACTCCACGGTATTGGGATGGATCAGTGCGCTCAGCGGCCCCCGGTTGACAATCAGCCACGGAATGAAGGCGCCGAACTGCGCCGGCGTGAAGATATTGACCTCGAACATGGCGACTGGATGCGGTCCGACGGGTTGGTCGAAGAAGCGGTAGATGCGGAGTTCGGGGACTGGCGCGTTCAAACTGCTGTCAGCTTATACATCTACTGACTTACTACCAGTATATATCTCTAAAAATAAGGAATGCGCTACTAACACTCCCGTCTGATTCTCTCCCAGAGAGCCCGGGCGTATGCTGCCTGGTCTGGGTTATTCTGCAGACGTGTTAGCAAAAACGAAGATCCGATCATCGCGGATGGTACAGGTGTCGCCGAACCTGAAAATGATAGATGTGTATATCGAACCCCCCGCGACGGCCTTTCGTCAAGGGGTCGGGGAATTCCTCGTATGCTTTGCTGACGATGCCATGTTGGGGGTTTTTGAGAGATTTTCCGTCTTCATTCTTTTCTCTGCATGATAAACGCTGATTAGTCGATTGCTGGAGGTGGTAGTGTTGATTTGCTATCTGTCTATATGCACCGGACGTACTCGGATAGAGGCTCCTGGCCCTCGTGGCCTTCCAGAGGCCAGGGAAATGAGTATGCGAATTGGTCTGTCATGGTTCGGTCTGGGCTGGTTTGAATTAACAGGTTACAACGGTTATGTCGGAGGAAATGTGCTATATAGTAAGATCGACAGTCCCAAGGCAAATCGCAACTCCAACAAAGAACCGGATATATATATACCCCGCGATCACGAAAGCGTCCCAACTAGATCCTGGGAATTGATAATCCAAACCCAAAGACAAAGAAGAATGACGTATGATTCAGCGGATATTTGCAATGCTTAGGAATCAGTAGTTGCAATGGTTGACAATGACTTATGTAGTGAATGAGTCTGGATGAGGTGAGCTGTGGATTTCCGCGCTCTGACAAACCCGCGGAATGGAGCCGGATCGCGGGTTTCCTTTTTGGGAAAGGTCTGCTTGGTTGATCTTATCAATCTTGTATACATTTGGACTCCGACACTTGATGAATATAGAAGGCTCTAACATAGGTTTATTGTCCCAAACTCCAGTCCCTATCCAAATTCCAATGGTCATGTTCGCTAATACTGTAGAAAAAAGAAAGCAGAAAATGACTACCAAGGCGCCTTAAGTTCCACATGCCCATCCTCGTCAATAACCTTCCCCCGATCCCACTCTCGACCCTCGCCCTTACGCGACCACTTCACGTCTTCGATCCTGCTCTCGTCGTCACCAGCTGCAGTAGTAGAAGCGGTGGTATTCTTCTTCCACCGCTGGACGAAGTCATCGCCAAACCCTGCCTCGCGCAGTCGATCCTCGCCTTGCTGTTTCCACCGCGCGCGGTCACGCACCGCCTCCAGGGACGCCTCCCAGTCGTCCTCGGCGGTCATTAGGCCCGCAACGTGCCGTCTTAGGCGTCCGTTGGACGGTTTATTTGTTTCTTCTTCGTCCGGCTGGACGTCCATTGACGGGTCGTAGTCGGCGGCGAAATGCGCATCAATGTTGCTGAGATTGTAGGCGCCTCGGCCGCGAGACCGAATCGGCGGGTCTATCTTTGGGGGTAGAGGCCCGACGAGGTCTTCTAGAGGGTCGGAGTCGTGTCCAGATGGCGGTGGCGGAAGACGCGATGCGCTCTTGCTGAATGAGGGCGAGAGGCGTCGCGAAGAGGCGTGTCCGCGAGAGCGACGGCCCTCGTCACGGGCCTTTCTGCGCGCGCGGTCCCCGTCGGGCGATCGCGACCGAGATCGAGACGGGGAGGCGGACCGCTTGTGGTGTCGGCGACGGTGGCGACGGCTTGACTCGTGGTCTCGGTCGTGTCGCGGGGAGCGGCTTCGCGAACGGGATTCGGAGCGGTGTCGTCTGCTCCGTCGGGATGATTTGTGCCGGTGGTCTTTGTCAGACCCGTCGTCATCATCGTAGGATTCATGCCTCCGTCTGTGTTTGTGCGAGCGCTCCCTGTCCCCAGACGGCGAGCGACTCCTACGCCGGCGGCGATGCGTGTGTCGGTGGTGGTCCTTCCTGTCGCGTTCTGACTCCTTGGTGTCCGATGATCGGTGGGGGCGGTGACGACTGTCGCGGGGGTGGTCTTGGTCGTCCATAGAAAACAGACGGTTCCTTCTCAGCTGCTGCATCTTATCCCGGGCCTCTCTCTCCTCCTTGCGTTTCAGCGCCGCGTTATGGCTGTCCGTCTGATTGATGATGTGACGCAGGAATCGGGTGTTGGGTTTGGGGGCCGCGCCGGTCGGTCTGCCACCATCATCATGTTAGCATGGTCCAATTGCGCACTGGTCTTATAGTGAATAGTTAAGAGATCGGTCGTACCGTCGCGGCAGATACGCCTCTGCTCCCTGTCTCGCGTAGTTCGCGGAGTTGTCCCGCGCCTCACGCGCGAGGACTTGCGCCACGTAGTCATCGCTGCTCAGATCATCCATGGTTCCTAATCGATTGGGAGGCATGTAGCTCGCAGCGTCACCTCCTCCAGGGATATGGGATGCTGATCGGGAGGCGATGCGTTGGCGTAGAAGTCGATTGTCGAAGAGCGATGAGACTGCAAACCGGACAAACGCATCACATGACCTGACGTCAGGTATACCCTATATCAGGCCAGCGAGGGCACCGTATTGGTTTGCCGGAAGCTGCTAGAATGGATCGGAGATGGTTATAGACAATTATCGACAGTTGGATCACTGTGTATTGGAAGGAGTAAAGTGGCCACACGAGATGTCATATTGTTTAATTGAGTCTGATATGGCGGCCTGAGGCACCAAGTGACCGATCACTCAATCAGTCGGTCTGACTGACATATGCAAACATAGGTCAGATCAAATCAATATATATCGTTATTCTGACTCTATCGACAATACTTCCTCGGTAAGACTACACTTCCAACCAGAGTTATACAGAGTTATACAATTCCGAGCCTATCGCAGGGCGGGAAGATGGGGCAGAATGACGACGATGCGAATCAACAGACCGGCCGATGATCAGCGAAGATCTGATCTTCTCCCCCAATTGCTCGGACAGTATTCTGGATCTGACACGCGGTGTTTGATTTAAATACCCTGGAGAGAACGAGCTGAAGAAGTGCCCCTGATTTCTCCAACTCCGAGTCTGCTCACTGTCATCTGTCGGTCTTCCCCGCAGCGGGGTTATCAGAATCGGTTATCAGAGTCGCTCAGGTGCGTGGATCAGGACCACTGAGTCGCACGGCATCCGATTGCCCTTCTGGATCTTATATTAACCACTCTTAGGCTGGTCGTACAATCAACCGACGAAATGCCCTTCTCTCACCACAGCCACTCGGGCCAGTTCTGCCCCGGCCATGCCAAAGACTCCCTGGAACAGGTCATCCAGCTGGCCATCGCCAAAGGATTCGAAGTCTTCTGTCTGACGGAACACATGCCACGGGATGAAGTTGACTTTTACCCCGAAGAGGTAACGCGACACCGGACCCGAGAAGAAATCCGACAATCGGTCAAATAGCTAATAGAGCCGCTCAGATCGAGGCCGGGAACACAGTCGCAGAGATGGTCACCAACGAGGCTGCCTACATTGCGGAGGCCCAAAGACTGCGCGCTAAATACGCCTCGCAGATCCAGATCCTGATCGGTTTTGAAACGGACTGGATCCGACCCTCATCGTTGACCCTCATCCAAGAAGCCCTCTCCCGCCAGCCCTTTGAATTTTTTGTCGGCTCAATCCACCACACCAAGACCGTTCCCATCGACTACGACCGCCCGCTATACGAGAAGGCCCGCGAGCTGGCTGGGGGAACGGACGAACTGGTCTTCGAGGCGTACCTCGACGAGCAGCTCGACATGCTGCAGAAGCTGAAGCCGCTGGTGGTGGGCCACTTCGACCTGATCCGGCTGAAGAGCGACGATCCCGACCGGAGTTTCAAGACCTGGCCAGGCGTCTGGCAGAAGGTGCTCCGGAATCTGGACTTTGTGGCGAGCTACGGCGGCATCTTGGAGCTGAACTCGGCGGCGTTGCGGAAAGGCATGAAGGAGCCGTATCCCAGCGGAGAGATCTGCCGGGAATTCTTGACCCGCGGAGGGCGGTTCTGTCTATCCGATGATAGCCATGGGTTGGACCAGGTCGGACTGAATTTCCACCGGGTGTTGGCGTTTGTCGAGCAGGTGGGGATTCAGAAGTTGCATTATCTCGCTCTGGGGGATGACGGCGTCGATGCGCGATTTCCGCGGACTTGTGTCCGGGAGGTCAGCGTGGAGGAATTAAAGACGAGGCCGTTTTGGGCTGCATATGCATCGTAATATATTGGGTAGATAGATAATTTTCAGGGATATTCTTGTGTTGGTGTACTCCGTAGTGCAACTATATGAATGCCCAACATCCGCTCTTTCTCTTATCACATCTTTCCCTCTTCTATCCTCTCCCTCCTTTCAGCTTCAACCGACTTCAATCAACCGACTTCAACCGCCTGAATCCCCGCTCTAACCATCAGTGGGGACATCCTTACCTTTAAAGTGTTATCGGTGGATCGATCGCCCCACCAATCACTACCACAGTACCACTATTATTCAACCGATCGGACAACGCCCGACTAGGTTTTTCGCACAGGAACCCTACTGTACGTAATAGCTGGATGTCGCATGGTGGATGCTAAGAGATTTTATAGGAGAATGCGGGGAGGGTCTTGATTGCAACTGGCTTATTCCTCTAAATAAAGATTACGATCCGATCCAGACGAACCATCGCAAAGATTGACAATACGCCTCTCGCCTCGGGAACACTCCTGTCCACAACATGGCAACCCTCGATGGAGCCATCCCAGAGGGGACGGAGTCGCAGTCGGAGGCGCACATCCCCGAGTCTAGAGTCCTCATCATCATGACAGGCGGCACGATCTGCATGCGACCGTCATCCTCGGGCCTCGTCCCCGCGCGAGGGTTCCAAGATCAGTGCATGGCGCGCGTGCCATCCTTCAACGACGGCTCGCGCGCAACAACAATGGACGTCGTCGTCGACAGCTCTGGCACCATCAAAGGCCACCCGAGTCTGCGGACGCCACAGACCGCATACGGCCGACGAGTGCGCTACACGACCTACGAGTTCGAGGAGCTCCTGGACAGCAGCTCCATCGACGCCAAGGGCTGGGCCCAGATCGCGCGCGCCATCGAGAGCAACTACACACTCTTCGATGCCTTCGTCGTGCTACACGGCACAGACAGTCTAGCGTACACTTGCTCCGCGCTGAGCTTCATGCTCCAGAACCTCGGCAAGACCGTCGTCTTGACCGGGTCGCAGGCCCCCATGCTGCAGCTGCAGAACGACGCCACGGACAACCTGCTGGGATCGCTCGTCGTGGCGGGCCACTTCGTCATCCCAGAGGTGTGTCTGTATTTCAACAACCGGCTCTTCCGCGGAAACCGCGCGGTGAAGGTGTCCGCCAGTGACTTTGCGGCCTTTGACTCGCCTAATGCGCCGCCTCTCGCGGTGACTACGTCCATGCGCACCTCTGTCCACTGGGAACTGGTCAACCGGCCCCGAAGTATCGAGCACTTCAGCATCCAGACTAACCTCGACACCAACCACGTCGCCTGCCTGCGCATCTTCCCCGGCATCAAGCCTGAGATGGTGGACGCCGTGTTGCGGTTGGATGGCCTCCGCGGTCTGGTCCTGGAGACATTCGGCGCGGGCAACGCCCCGCATGGGCAGGATAACGCCATGACGAAGGTTCTCGCGGACGCGATCAAGCGAGGCATCGTCATTGTCAATATCACACAATGTGAGTCATCCCTCCTTCTACCCCAGCGCCATCCCTTTCCCTTCTCTATCTCTCATTTCCTCCTAACTCTCTTCCAGGCCTCACAGGCAGCGTCAGCTCCGTCTACGCAGCAGGCATGAGCCTATCCCGAGCGGGCGTCGTCGCCGGTCTAGACATGACCACCGAAGCGGCACTGACCAAACTGGCATACCTCCTCGCCCACCCAGACGCCACGCCCGAGTCCGTCGCACGCGACATGTCCGTCTCCATCCGCGGGGAACTGACCGAGTCGTCGCAGCCTGTCTTCCGGCATCCGGACGGGGCTCTCTCCGAGCGGGTCCAGGGTCTCGCGAACTTGGGCTATGCTATCGCGCAGGGGGATCTCGACCGTGTTCAGGCCATCGTTAAGTCTGAGTATTACTGGTTGCTTAATGATTGTGATTATTCGGGGAATACTCCTATTGTACGTTTTTCACCTGTCTAGATCCTATGGTGTCACTGACCTGGTTGTTTTTTTCTCCGTTTAGCATCTTGCAGCGACATCCTCGGTGGATATCCTCCGCTACCTCCTTCTACAAGGCGGATCGGTACACATCCGGAACAAAGCCGGACGCACGCCCCTGTTCCTCGCTGCGAATGCAGGGCTCTCGGAGAACGTGATGCTCCTGCGCAAGTCCGGCGCGCATCTGAATGCAGACGAACGCCCCGCGGCGCTGCTGCTGGCGCAACGACGGCCGGGCGTGTGGGGGTTGGCGGGGATTGGGCCGCGCGAGATGGTAGACGCCAGTGATGTACACGTGCAGTCTGTGCTGTCGGGGTCGGCGCCGTGATAGTAGACCTTCCTACTGTATGGAATGAAAGGGCGGGGGGCCAAATCTGACTAGATGCAATATGATACATGTCATTAATACATATACTTTTGTATTCTGGGTTGGTTTGTTTTGGAATAAGGACGATCGTCGCTGTCTTCACTTTTGTTTGATTCTTCTGCAGGCTTGGGTATCAGATAACAGCAACGCAATCGATTAGTCCATATCGTGGAACGCCATGACGTGGTGGCCTCCTCCGCCGGCTTCCTTGCCCTTGCCCTTCTTGTGCTTCCGGCGGGCGTTGTTGTTCTTCTGGTTCTCCCGCTCACTGTCATCGCTGTCATCGCCGTCGTCATCATCGCTGTCGTTTTCGTCGTCATCGTCATCGTCGCTGCCTCCATACGCGCGTTTCGCTCCGGCGCCACTCTTCCCACCGACAGCCTCATGCCACACCTTGACGGTCTGCCCACCACCGCTAACCATGCGACCCTCGACGTCAAAGTCCACCCCGACCACACCCTCCGTCTCATCGTGCATCACCTCCGACACGACCTTATTCGGGCCAATCTGCACAAACTTAACAAGCCCATTGCCCATCCCAACAGCAACCGTCTTCCCCTTACCCAGCTCCTCCGGCAACGCTGTCAGCGTCTCCAACGACTCCCCATTGCCGCTCCCGCGCTGGACATAAATGCGCTCGTCCTGGTCATCCCACACGCCCTTCTCCCACAGCGTCAGAACGCCGTCCGACCCGCCCACAAGCACCTTCTCGCCGCGGCTGGTCCCCGCGCTCGACAAGCCCCCCATATACGTCGAGCTGATCAGCTCCTCGCCCTGGTCCTCGCTGCGAACCAGCACCCCCGCCGCAGATCAGTCACCGCCAGCGTCGTGCCCCCCGTCGTCACCCACTGCTTGCTGAACCCGGACGTGCTGGTATCCGACGCCGGCAGCGCCGTCAGCGACGACACGTAGTCGTCATGCGGGTGGTGCGTTGCCTGCGGCCGCGCGGAGACTTTCGAGAACGGCGTGCGCAGGTCGTAGAGGTGTAGGGCGCTGGAGTCGGTCGCGAGAAGGAGCGTCTGCGGGGAGAGCGCGTGGATGACGGTTGGGGCATCAATTGATCTTTTGTCGCATTAGTTTCCCCGTAGGAGAAAGAGTAATTGTACTGAAAATAGATATAGATAAACTCACCCATCCTTCCCCGTCGGAATAGCAATTTTACTCTCGACGACCCCGGTCTCCGCCTTGGCGGCCTTGACGAGCCCGTCCGTCCCAGCCGAGTAGAGCGTCTCGCCGTCGAGGCCGAACGTCAGACACCGACAGCTGCCCTTGTGTCGTCTCGTGCGCCACATGGTGTCGATGTGGCCTCTGCCATTGCGCGAGGACGAGGTCGAGGCCTGGTCATCTTCGCTGTCGAGTTCCTCTGTCGGAAGACGGAAGGTCTGGACGTGGCCGGTGGAGAGACCGACGGAGACGATGGGTTCGCGGGGGTGGACGACCTGCGAGAAGAGGTCTGCCGAGAGGGGCAGGGTGCAGACCGTGTCGAACATAATGACTTGATCTGAGGGAGAGGAGGGTTGAATTGGATTAAATTGGAGTCGGTAGTATGAAATTGATATGATGGAAAGCTCTTTGCCTTTTTGAGTGGAGGCGGGCCGAGGGATCTTCCGTTGCTTTTGATTGGTGCGTTGGGGGATACAAATTGGCCAATCAGGTTGTTCAATCCGTTGGATTTTCACTTGCCGCTGGTTGACTGTCATTGGCTGGGACGGGAAATCTAACATCCGGCAATCGATACCTAGTGGGTCGATACTATTGATAAACATGGCTTAACAACTTAGGTACATGACGCTTGTCTTTGCATTCCCATTCGCCTGGTTACGGTTGAGCATGCCATGTACTTTCTCCGATGCATAATTCTCTTACAGAAACGCGACCCATTCGCTTTGCCAGTTCAGTATGGCCCAGCTTTCCAGAGCGGAGGCCATTGAACAGAAGCCGATCGGCGAGGGATTGGTTTCCTTTCGCGATGACCTGACCTCAGTATGCGAGGGTTTAGGACTCCCATGTTCCGTTGAGTCCATACGGAAGTTGGACCCAGAAGGTAAGAAATCCTTGCAAGTCAATGAACGGGGCCTCTCTAATGAAGAGATAGCTCGTCAGGATCTATCAATTCACTTGATATTGGCTTTGCAAACCCTTCCGACTTCTCGTTTATTACCTCCCATTAGTGGACGCAAGAACCTTTTCAGTGACTTGTCAAGACTGAGCTCAAGTATCAATGCGGACGAGTTCGACTTCCAACGGCTCGTACCATTGCTGGGCGCGATCCTTGACCGAGAATCGGATGGGGTCATTTGGGAGAGGGTCTACGCCGCCGCCGCAGAATCCACCCCGCCGCCTCGGCCACCACCTTATCTTGGGCAAACACCGCATTCGCATTCCACAAGCGCCGTTTCAAACTCTCACGAACACCGAAATGACATCGATGCTGTGTTGAGGGAGGAGCTTGGCTCAATCTACACCGATGTACCTGGGTTTGATGGGGCCTACTTTGCCGTGGAGGGTCTCGAGGAGGCCGCCGCTGCCGTGTTCAGAAGGCTCCAAGAAGGGGATGATCCTGTATTTGTTGACAAGACTGGCTGGCAGGGTTGGCCTGAGCCCGCGGAAGAAAAACAGGTTCTGGCTTGGTTAATCACAATGGTCGACAAAATCAACGGGATCGCGACAGAAGAGGCCTTCACAACAAACGACTGTCGCAGTATTCTGGGATGGCCTCACCAGCCACTTCAAGGCTCTATAGCTGCTCGGAAACTGGATGTTGGATTTGTCCGGTCCTCGCAAATGACTGGTGACCAGACCCACTGGTCACATATACTCGTCATGGGGGAACTCAAACGGAGCCCTAAGATGGATACAACCTCTAGTACCTGGCTAGATCTCGGGCGGTATGCCAGGGAAGTCTTCGCTGCTCAAGATACTCGCCGATTCGTCCTGGGATTTACTCTATGTGGTCCCGTCATGCGGTTATGGGAGTTTGATCGCGTGGGTGCTACATCATCTACACCATTCGATATTAACACAGAAGGCGCTCGATTTGTTATGTCAATGCTGGCATTTCTTCGAATGAACAATGAGGAATTAGGGTATGATCCTAGTATCATCTCCACTTCGGACGGGACTCGATTTATCGAGATCACCCGGGATGGGCAGCCAGAGCGTCTCTTTCTTGATGGACTAATGAGAGGTGCTTCCTGTATTGTTGGTCGAGCCACGACTTGTTGGAAAGCTCACCGTGAAGATGAGTCAGACAAACCGCTTGTCGTAAAGGATTCATGGCAGTACCCCGAAAGGGAGGATGAAGGGGAGTTGCTGCGAGAGGCAGCCGAAAAACAAGTCATTAATGTGGCTAGGTATTATTACCATGGCACGGTGCAAATTCATGGAAAAGATGATGATATTCAAGGTGCCGTGCGCAAAGGCCTTGATTTGAAACACGCTAGAAGACACCACCAGGATCACTCCAATACTACTCCCAATACCGCCGCAGAATCCGCGAAAACCGGCCGTTCTACCAGCAGTGCTGGGCGGAAGCGGACGTCCAGCCATCTAAGCCCTGCCGAGCCGCCCACTAAGCGCACCTGCTCTACCTCTCCCGCTAGAAGTGAGCACGATCCGGAGGAGAATAGGGTGCATCGGCGCATTATTGTTCGTGATTATGGGGTGCCTATATACAAAGCAATGTCGCGTGTCGCCATGCTCTCTGCGTTTGCTGAATGCATAGAAGGTAAGAACGCACATGCCGCGTTTTCAAAAATCTTGATACTGATATTCAAAGGCTATGAGTCGTTGCATAGGAAAGCGGGGTTTCTTCAAGGAGATATCTCCACCGGAAACCTGATTCTCAACAAGGATGGCGGAAAGCATTCATGGCCAGCCTTTCTAATCGATTTGGATCTTGCCATCAAGGAGCAACGTGAACAACCTTCCGGAGCAAGAGGCAAAACAGGGACTAGAGCATTCATGGCCATAGGTCTACTCTTAGGGGAGAAGCATTCATTTATGCACGACCTGGAATCATTCTTCTGGGTTATTCTCTGGATCTGCATACACCATGACGGTCCGAGTGTGAGCAAAGTTGTGCGCAGATTCGAAAGATGGAACTACGTGGATCTTGAGGAGTTGGCCGAGCTGAAGAAAGGAGCTGTAGCACATGAGGGTGACTTTATTCGCATGACAGACGAGCACTTCTCTGATTTCTACAAGCCTCTGGGTCCTTGGGTGAATCGCTTACGGAAGATGGTGTTTCCAAATGGTGGAAGGTGGGAAGAGGAGAATAAGGGACTTTATTCTCAGATGAAAACCATGCTGAAAGATGCATGTAAAGACCCTGGGGTTCTAACTCAATAAAACAAGATTATGGCAAGCTGATCTTGTTGGTTAACGGATATGACAGATAGTTAGTTGTCCATGCAGCTTATTTGTAGTTGGCTAGAAGAATTCAGCTTGTTTCTGCCTCTTGCACTATAGGAATCTGTTAGGGCAATCAGACTATTTCCCAGATATACCCATTATAATAAGGATATTGGGGGATATACACCAGTTGCTCAGTGATAAAAGTCCCACTTTTTTTTTTTTTTTTTTTTTTTGAATCGAGCACTGTGTCAAGACACTCGGATCTGTTCTAGTTTTTGGTGAGTTGAGGATTTTCTTAGATTTAGGCACCCGAGAGTTATGTAGGTGTGATATTAGATTGAACAGTACCTATCTAGGTACTGAGTTAAGCAATAACACTGGAAAGTCCAATTGATATGGGCAACATTGTGAAAGAGACCAACCACATTTACAGCATCATACTGAAACACAAGTATACATCAGTCACTGTCAGAATCCGGCAGCTCTTCCAGTCTCCCCTCTTGAGCAGCCACTCGGACAGGGTTCTCCACGTTGAGCAATCCATTCGCTCTGGCCCTGCAGAGATTGTTAGCGATGCACAGATTATAACGAGCCGAGAAAAGCCGGAGAAATACCGTTCAAACAAGACAAAGAGCCTCTCTGCCTCCCGCTCCTTCTCCTCCTGCGTCATCGGGGGCCCGGTGTCCTGCGGCTCGGCATCCCATCGTTGCCCGGTGACCGGGTTGACCGCGGGCCCGTTCGTGGCGAATGCCTCGCCAGCCGTCTGGGGGATCTCCATGCCGCGCGAGGCCAGCAGCCCCGCCGCGTACCCGTAGCCGATATTCTGGGTGAGCGTTTCGGCATTGTTGTCCGACAGGAGAAGCAGAAGCTCGGAGATGGTGATTTTGAGGTTCTTGTTCGGCGACGTCGACAGCTTCAACAGCCGGGACGGCAGCGTGTCGGACTGGCCGATGGGCTCACTCCGGTCGTTGCCCTCCGGCAGGAGAAGCGCTTGCATCTGCTTCCGCGGGCCTTCCGGAGCCATCTCGGCCATCATGATCAGTGCGTGTAGGAGGGGAGCGGCCTTCGTTTCGAGGTCCTCGGCTTTGTACGTGGCCGTGGCGCGGTCCAGGATGAGGACGAGTCGGTCGACATTGCAGTTCGGATCGAAGGGGGGAAACAGCGGGCTGCTGTCGAAGGAGTGGCCCGACTCGTTCTTGAGGTCGAGGACGGTCAAGCAGTTGATGAGGTAGCTGAGCAGACCGTCCAACGGCTGTTCGGGGATCTCCATCCGACTGATCATCTTGAAAATGTAGGGGATAGAGGCGGAGAATGCCTTCTCAAAACCCGTGACCGTTTCGCCATTTTTGAAGTCCGAGATTTTGCAAGTATTAAAGATCAATTTCAGGGTGTCGATGAGGGCCAGCTCATCCATCTGAGACAGGGCCGGCTTCCCGGACTTGGGGAACTGCTTGGAATGCCGGACGATTTGCTGGCATCGGAATCAATATCGGTCTCGGCCCGTTTAGGTACTGGGGTACTTACATAGTAGACACTATCACCCAACCCATGCTGATTGAGTATGTGTTCGTATTCACTCTGGTTCGTGCCGTACGTCAACAGAAACAAGATGCGGCTGATCACCATCTCGTCATCAGACGAATCACACTATCCGGGTCAGCCACAAACATCCAGATCTAGGGAATGTCCACTGTACCTTGAGCATCTCTGCCAAACGTCCACCCCGGCGAGTGGCCATCAAGTAACCACGCGTCTGGGGAACTAAAAGCAGGGCATTTGCGACGCATCGCAGAGCTGCCCGACGGACATCTACGGTCTCACCTTCCACACCATACTTGGAGAGGATGTCGATTCCCTGACAAAAGTCAATAAACCAGTAGAGAAGCCGGGGGATGCATCGTTGCATACATGCTCCGAGTAAATGGGGTCGGCATTAGTTGGCACAGTGCCATGCTGTCTCAATTGCAACAGCGTTTGCACCCGCTCTACCGGTCAGTTAGACGGGTTTTGCATGTATATGCAGTCTATCCCAACTCACGAGCGGTAGTCAGTGATTTAGACTTCAGGTCCTCCTCCAGTGAGCTCAGGAGCTCCTTGACCTGCTTCAGCTTTTCTATCGGAAACGATCAATTATCTCGCACTGAAAAGGGGGCAGATCTCGGATCGAATCCATACCTGGGCCTTGAACTGTACTCAAATTCATCTCTTTTTACTTCTTCTGTTCTCCTTACCCCTGTTAGTTCGGAGATCAAAATACGGCCGAGATTAGACGAGAGCTCAGATCCACTCCTCGTCTAACGTCATCCGGGGGTCGCGCGGGAGAGCTTGGGAGTAGTCCACAGGAGACCAGTATACCCCGTAAGCTGCGACTTGTCAGAGTAAAAACAAGAAGAATTTAAGTGAGAATCCAAGGCAATGCGAACAATGAGATTGTCTGGATGTTTCTTGATCTGATGAGGAGTTTCTGATGTTGTTGCGGCCAGTTTGTTCAGGCGGGAAGGATGCCTGAGGCTGCATAACCCCATTGACCCCACATTGACCCTGAATGAGGCCTCTGTCTATCTGAATTATAGGTCAATTCTGGTAAAAGATGGATCAGAGGGATATAACACGCATGCAAACATAATAGTATCCCGTGCCTTAATTATACATTTCATGTAGTCACCGAGAGAGCAGGAAGAGAAATCCTGATTGGTTGACTGTGCGTAAGGGATTGCTGACTGAGCACCAGCACTGCTGTGCATAAACCAATATAATCCGAACCGACAACCATGCATTGTTTTCTATTTGATCCAACTCGCTGTCAAATGTCTTAATCGTGGTCCTGATTCCCTCTGTTCTTCTATTCTTATTCAAGAAAAGCGTGTCACTGGGTCAATCCTGTCTGGTGATAATAAACCATGTTATCCCTTCTTTTGCTGGCATTGCCGCTATCGGCCGCCGCGACGCAGATGCAGGCCATTCTACACAACACCCATCGCGGAGACAATTATCATTATCCTACGGATCTGACGAGGGGGATCTTGCCGGTGAGTGATTCTCCATTGATGCAGTGGGCGGATTCCATGGCACTTGCAACAAGAAACTAAAGCTCCTTCGATTCGAGCTATAGATCCCTGTCCATTCCCACAAGTAAGTGACACAGTGCATAGTACCTCCGTTGGCATGGCTAATCCTTCTCAGTGACTATTGGCGGGATATTCCGTTCTATACCGGTATGTCACCCCGGTGGGTAGCGTTGAATGAGCACAGCATCCCTGACTGTCTCAAGGCCTCTCCAACGGGTGTATGTCGACCGAAGCCGATGTTTGGCTGTACAACGACACCCTTTACGTGCGTATCAAAACACAAGATATCGTCCGAACAGTAGCCTCTGACGCCGTCTAGGTCGGCCATGATGAGTCTTCTCTGACGCATGAGCGTACCCTAGAGTCGCTCTACATCAATCCCATTCTAGACGTACTAGAGCGTCAGAACCCGCAGACGCCTTTTCTCACCTCTCCTACGAAGAAGTAAGTCCTTCCAGATAACTCCAATACTTCCCGTAATCTAACACGAGTCAGCGGGGTCTTCGACACCGACACGGCCCAGACACTCTACTTCTTCATCGACGTGAAGACATCCGGTCCGGAGACGTTTCAGGCCGTGATATCCGCCCTGGAGCCGCTCCGTCAACAGGGCTATCTCACCACGCTCACCAACAACAAGACGCTCACGACCGGTCCGGTGACCATCATCGGCACGGGAGACACGCCGCTCAGCATGGTCGGCCCCGTGGAGGATCGGGATTATTTCTACGACGCCAAACTCGAGTCCCTCGACGAGCCCGAGAACGCGGCGATCACGTCGCTGATTTCGCCCATCGCGTCGACCAGCTTTAAAGACGCCGTCGGCACGGTGAATCTCGGTGCGGACAGCGTCGATACGGTGCTGGACGACAAACAGCTCAAGGCCCTTCGGGCACAGATCGAAGTCGCCCAGAAGAGAAAGATCGGTGCGCGGTACTGGGAGACGCCGTACTTCCCCGTCCGAATTCGAAATCTGGTCTGGAGACTGTTGCTGCAGGAGGGGGTGACTTTGTTGAACGCCGATGACCTCGAGGCCGTGGCGGATTACTTTTGACGATTCCATGTATTTGTAGCCACATATAGACAGTAGACCCATTGCTAGAAATTCTCATATCTTCCTCAAGTCCTGTTGGAGTTAATCTCCGTTAATTTCTTTGTTAATGATGAACAGAACACGTGACCTCGCGCGAACAAAAAAGGGTCGAAGCGCGTCAGAAAGTCGGATCGACGTCACGAAAGGAGCGCAAATCCAAGGCCCAATTCCAGAACCAACCCTCGCGCATGATTCCTCCATCCCCGCGTCTGTAGGGTCGACCCGACTGCATTCCCGATGTCCCACGTCGAGGGCGATCTGGGGGACCTCTTGGCCCAAGGGCTCCCCACCGGGGTCAAGCTGACCATTCGCCATGTCTCGTCAACGCCCACCCCGTGCGCCGCGCTGTACGCCGCTCCACCAGGCGAAGAACCCGAGCCGACCTTCTGCGAAAACCACTTCCTGTCCGTGTCCGTGCCCGTCGAGTCCGACGAGTCCGGCACCGCCGATCTCATCGTCTTCGGCATCGAGGTGCTCGTCTACAGCGCCGCGCATCTCACCACCATCTTCGTCTCCAAGGCCGACTCCACCGGCTACCTGGACCAGCTGAAAAAGGTCGCGCCCAAGGCCTCGCTCCTCCGTCGCATCTCCCACACGTTTCTAGCCTACCTCGTGCGCACCCGCCAGCGCCCAGGCGTCCGGCTCCTCCTCTCGCTCTTCGCGCGCGCCCAGAACCAATACCTCTTCCCGGGGAGCATCGAGAACCCGAACAAGCATGTCCTGGACGACAGGGGTCTGATAAAGTGGTGGTGTCGCGCGGTGGACCCGATCCTGCGGGAGTACGAGCCCGAGTCAGGGTCGGACGAGAAGGGCGTTTTAGAATCCGCCCGCAACTCCGCCACGGCCTTCCTGATCGTCCCCGGCTGCGACCGGTTCGAAACCCGCGGCTTCTTTCCTCCCACTGCGAAATCCGACGACAAGGATCGCCCGCGCTGGCTGAACAGCTATCCCCTCAAGCAGCTCTGCGATAACCCCCGTGCGCCGCCGCGCTGTCTGGTCCCACGCTTCCCTGACGACCCTAAGACCCGGTTCTTGACTGATCTCGATGATGAGCTTCCCCGGACGGCCCAGTCGGGCCAGTGGCGCAGCGTCCGGTCGCTGGATCAGTTTTGGGAAATGATGTCCTTTAGACAGGAGTGCTCGGCGGGTAGGCTGGTGGGATTTCTCTGGCTGGTCATCAATCCCCCGGGGATGGTCAATTCGGTCCAGATGACTAGTTCGCGACCGGTGCCTATCGAGACGGCGTCGGCGACGGCACCGACCACGGGAGACAAATCGCAGTCGACCGAACCGACCCTCGCGGATTCGCATCCCGCACCACCACAACCATCACAGACACCTCCATCAGAACTCCCCCACGACTCCTCCAAACCTACAAAAGACCCATCCTCGACCGCAGAGAGACCCCCAACCACCACCGAGACCAACCCATTCTTCTGGCCCGCAGAAGGAAGAGGCCACGCCGTCCTCAGCGAAGAAGACTACAAAACAGCCATCAACTTCCTCCTCGATCAAGACTTCTTCAACGAAGAGGTCTCCATCGCCAGTAGCAAAGCATGGGCTGACAAAGTAGCCTCCCTAACGGACGAACTCTGGGTTGGGCAGCAAGTCGTCGGAAAACAGACACCCACCACAGCAGCAGAGTCCGAGTCTGTCTTGCCAGGCGCGTCCACCCCCGCTGCGGAGCCCAGCGGCAATGTGCTAGCTCAGGGACTCGTCCGGAAGCGCAAGAAGGTCGAGGATGGTCCGCAGGATAGCCAGAGCGATGCGGCTACGGCCCCGTCTACCATAGCACCACCGTCGTCGTCACCTCCGCCCCCGCAGCCGTCGTCTTCGTCTGCGGCGTCTGAGGTTAACGTCCTCCAGGGGAACCTCATCCGGAAGAAGAAAAAGAAGACATAGGAAGGCGTATTTGAGCACGGAGCTGCATAGGTGTTGGGAACTGGAGTTGCTGGGATTGGGAGTAGTCTTTTGACGGGTTCTTTTGAGTGTATTTCATAGATAGTAACTAATTGTTGGGAGTCCAATAAATCAAGCGCTTTCTCTTTTTTTTTTGCTTTAGTGCTGTGTCCTCTTTTACCCTTTCTTTGATTCTTTCCCCCCCGTCTCATGCGTCACGCCTAGATACTGTGTACATATAGCTATGTACTTCCCAAGGACTGCACCGATGACAATCCTTTCCTGGTTCAGTGAACATGTCTGAATATCACCACCAATAAAAGATAGGCGACCCATAGATCGACAGGTACATAAACCTAACCTCGGGTTTGGTCAGTCAATGTACTAAACCGTACTATCGTGTACGCGAAATCTCTAGGACAAAGAATACGGCGAGTCCAACGTTACGGAGCATGGAGCAAAGTCCCGTAATCATATCGACGTAATTATTTGTAGGCATAAACTATCTATCTACGCCAAACCCAGCTAGACGGTAGTAGCTGCGGGGGTGTCCGAACTGGCACTGGGGACGGTTTCAGGGCCAGGTTCATCAGCCACCTGCCCAACCCCAGGGTCTGGATCGTTACTGTTGGTGGTAGTGATATTGTCAACAACAGCCGGCTGAGATGCTTGTTTCTCCTCCGGCGCGTCCAGCTTGCCGTTCTCTCCCAGCCACATGATCGCCTCCATGACTTTCCGGTCGTCGTCTCCTTTCTGACGGTCCAAAAGCTGAACAAAACCCTGTTAGCGAGCTGTATATCTTCTACGGAATAGGGAGAACTCACCGCCTGCAACAGTCCCTTCCGGCCTTGCTTCTCCGGGACAGGCTGTTGCTTTGGCTTCGCCCCGCGTTCGGGCGTCTCGTGTAAATATTTGCACTTGTTTCCGCGTATACAGTGCCCCCTGCGTGCGAAATTGTGACATACTGCCTTTTTGGCTTCACGGGGCGGGGGAGGTACGCGCTCGGGTCCCTCGCGGCGTGAGGTTGCTTGTTCGGGTGCGGAATCACCATCGCTGTCCTCCGAGTCCGAGGAAGACTCTTCGGAGCCACTGGAGGAGGTCCAATCGTCGCTGTCGGAACTGTCGGAGGATATGACGGACTCCGCATCGTCGGGGACCCCTGGGGTTACACCACTGCTGGTTGCGCTCTGGGGAAGAGACCCTGTGCCCACGCCGATTGTAGACTCCGGATTGTCGTCGGAGGGAGGGGCTCGGTCCGTATCCAATCTAGTCCCAGCACCCGGCTGGGTTGCATCTTCCCGCATCTCGAGGCCGCTTGCGACCCCCTTTTGCAACTGCTCGACGCGCAGCCGAGCCCGTTCGGCGTCTGCTTCCGCTTTCTCCACCCGTTTCTGCTCCTTCATGAGCTTCCGCCGCAGTTTATCGGCCTTCTGTTTGGCCTTCTCCGCTGCATCGATGGGATCGCCAGCTGGGGTTGCCGGTTCCTCGCGGCTTTGCTTTTCATGCGTCTTCTGGGCACGCGCGTCCTTCTGCTGCTGTCTCGCCTCCTGCTTTCGTGCTTGGTTCTGTCGTTGCACTTCTTCACGAGCTTTCTTTGCCTCGTCCATGACCTTTTGCTTTTCGGCGACTCTTGCCTGCGTGGGGAACTTTTTCTTCCGCTCTGCGATCCAGGCCGCGATGTCTGCGGCGCTCTGCAATGTGGACGTCCGTCCTCGGTAACTGATCTGCAACGTGGCGGGCCCGTCGCTGGCCCCCGAGGCAAGCCGCGATTCCTCGTCCGCGTCATCCTCCTCGTCACTAGATTCGTGCTCTTCCGTCTTGGGGGTCAACCCTAGCTGGTTATGCTTTCTCTTCTTCTTCTTGGGTTTCCGCGTCGCGTCTGCGGGGGGCGGTGGCTTGGAAGGCAGAGGACTTCCGAAGCTTGGAACCGGGGGAGGGGCGGGGATCCGGGGCTTTGCCGACGGGGGTTTCCCAAAGGCCGAATTGTGGTCTCGTTTGTTGGGCTGGTGCGTTGGTCTACCGCCCGCTGCCGCATGGTGAGGGTGGGCATTTGCCTGCCGTGGACCTCGCTGGTTTCCACGGTGGTTCCCCCGTTGATTCCCGGGGAAGCCTCCCGGCAATGGGGCCGGGTGTTCAAACCCCCAGCGCATGGGTGGGCCCATCATCGGCGATTGCATCGCCGGGGCCGCATGGTGGTTCGTTGCCATGGCGTGATAGGGAGTTGCTGGCTGTGTATTGGGCGAGGTATACGCTGCCCCATAGCCCGGCTGGGCCGAATACTGTCCCGCGTGGGCCGCAGGGGCCTGCGCGTAGGGCTGTGGAGATGGGATGGCCGGGTTGCGAGCGTTTTGGAAACTGGGTGTCGGCGTCGCGGCGTTGTACTGCGGAGTCGGCATACCGGGTGAAGGAGATCCCATCGACTGCGGCTGATAACCGGCATAGTTCATCGGCGCATAACCGGTCGATGGCGGAGCTGCTGCCTGAGACATGTAATGCCCACCGCGGCCTCCTCGATTGCCATATCCTCTGCCACGACCTCTGTGTCCACCACCACCACGCCCACCCCGTTGACCATTATTGTAGTTGGATCCATACTGAGCGGAATACCCCCCGGTCTGGCCGTAGGATTGCTGACCTTGCTGTGGTTGCTGGGAGGTCGGAGGCGGCGGCGGGGGAGGAGGAAACGAGAAACCTCCTGGGGTATTCATCGCGAGACCTTTAAAAGACCGACGAACTAAAACATCACCCCTCCATCATAGAGGGTAAACAGGGCGGTCAGACAGAGAAAGATGGGGGAGGGAGAAACCGAAGTTGAAGATGGAAAGAGAGAGAGAAAACAACCTCACAATATGACGCTGTGAGTTGTTCCGTTCCGGCCCAAAAGAGGCCTCAGGCACCGCAGATCATTGGGTCACGTGCAGGTCCAGACGCATCGATAAGATCGCGGCATTCTATTGGCTGGAGCTGGGTCGGCATCAATTATGTCATCCACATCCATCCTTGCATAACAGATCCGGTCGAGATGCACAAATAAAGGGTTTGGGGGGATTATAGATGGTGTAAATTAACTACACAGTAGTGCCAGGTATTGCAATAGGTATATCCTCAGCTGCACGCACACGTTATCTACATCAGTACTGTAAAGGTGTTGGCCCAAAGCGGAGGCGTCGTCAGGTGGTCTCACGTGGGCGGCATCCCGAATAAAGGAGGCAGTAAATCCATCGTCGGCAATCGATCAATAGCGGATTCCATAGATGGAGGACGCTTTGTTTTCCTCCCTTCTCTTCCCCACTCTTCTTGGGTTATTCCTCCGATCCGCCTCTCTTACTCCATCCTCCGACTATGCTCATGTCGCTTAGTGAGCCCATGGTATGAGTTCGTTCCCCACCTCTTCAACCTCCGTCCGATCCCCCTCGGTCCTGTCTGAGCGACGGGATTGGAGGAGGTTATCGCGTCTGTCCCCTTCCTCTCCGACCGAGCCCCCCAGGGAAAATGTGACTCCCCCGACGATTACCGAAGAGGTCAGCGAGATCAAACGATATGAAGACTTTACGACAATCGACTGGGTCCAGGATGCGGTTCATGAACAGTTGCGACGGCGGGCCAGGCGACGAGACGGCTTCGGGTTCTGGGATAAGGACGGCGCGTTCGGGTGGAGGCGCATGGTGCGCGAGCTCTACGATGCGGGTCAGTCGTGGCTTGTTATTACAATCGTGGGCGCGGTGATTGGGTTGATTTCGGGCTTTTTGAATATCATCACCGAGTGGTTGTCTGACATCAAGCTGGGCCATTGTACGACGGCGTTTTACCTCAACGAACAGTTTTGCTGCTGGGGTGCAGAATCAGGTGGGCTACTCAATACTCTGGTGCGGGTTTTGGCAGGTTGCTGATTGTCGTGTATGGCAGGCTGTCCCGAGTGGAAGCTTTGGACGCCTTTCTGGTTATTCAACTACGTCTTCTACGTATTCTTTGCGGTACGTCATCTCTCCCGTGGTCATCCCGACCGTTAAAAACTGATGCCTTTTTCTGTAGGTTCTATTTGCCTTCGTCGCGGCCGTCCTGGTCAAAACATTCGCCCCGTATGCCGCAGGTTCCGGCATCTCCGAGATAAAGTGCATCATCGCGGGTTTCGTCATGAAAGGGTTCTTGGGTGGATGGACGCTGCTCATCAAGTCGATTGCGCTCCCGTTGGCTATCGCGTCTGGTCTGTCGGTGGGAAAAGAGGGCCCCAGCGTCCATTTCGCCGTCTGTGCCGGTAATGTCATCTCGCGGCTCTTCGGCAAATACAAGCGCAATGCGTCCAAGACGAGAGAGGTCTTGACCGCGACTGCGGCGGCTGGTGTGGCCGTTGCCTTTGGTAGCCCAATTGGCGGCGTGCTGTTTTCGCTGGAGGTGAGTATATCCGGATGATCCTGATCCACCCACTGCGCTGACTGACTGGATCGTAGGAAATGGCATCGTATTTCCCGCTGAAAACATTATGGCGGAGTTACTTCTGCGCCCTGGTGGCAATTGGAGTGCTAGCTGTATGTCGCTATACGTGTGGTAGAAAGATGGTTCCTGTGGCTAATACGCTGTCTAGATGATGAATCCTTTCCGGACGGGCCAGCTGGTCATGTTTCAGGTCGAGTACGATCGCACCTGGCACTTCTTCGAGCTGATGTTCTTCGTGCTTATCGGCGTTTTTGGTGGTCTGTATGGCGCATTGGTGATCAAATGGAATCTGCGCGTGCAAGCGTTCCGAAAGAAATACCTCTCCCAGTTTCCCGTCGTGGAAGCGGTGGTGCTGGCGGCCATCACAGCCCTCATCTGCTACCCGAACATGTTCCTGAAAATCAACATGACGGAAATGATGGAGATTCTATTCCGGGAATGTGACGGCGGCCATGATTATCACGGCCTCTGCGAGTGAGTATCCCGACCAAACACGACTCTGATCATCGTTGACCAAAGTCTAGTTCGACATATCGATGGGAAATGGTCAGCTCCCTAGGGATTGCTACCATCCTCCGGATTTTCCTCGTCATTATCTCTTATGGCTGCAAAGTCCCTGCGGGGATCTTCGTGCCCTCGATGGCCATTGGTGCCTCCTTTGGTCGGCTAGTCGGGATTCTCGTCCAAGTATTGTACGAACATTTCCCTGACTCGCGACTGTTCGCGGCATGCGAACCCGACGTCCCTTGTATCACGCCAGGGACCTACGCATTTCTCGGAGCAGCTGCGGCGTTGAGTGGGATTATGCACCTCACTATCTCCGTCACGGTGATCATGTTCGAGTTGACCGGCGCCCTGACCTATATCCTTCCCACGATGGTACGTCCTCGCATATCTAGAGACTCTATCTCATAACTAACACGTATAGATCGTGGTCGGAATCACCAAAGCCGTGAGCGACCGGTTTGGAAATGGAGGCATCGCCGACCGCATGATCTGGTCCAACGGCTTCCCCTTCCTCGACAACAAGAAAGACCACGTCTTCAACGTGCCCGTTTCACACGCCATGACAAGCGACCCCGTCTCTCTACCCGCATCGGACTTCCCCGTGCGCGAAGCAGAGCACCTTCTCGGAGACAACAAATTCCAAGGCTTCCCCATCGTCGAAGACCGCACCAAAAAGATCCTCGTCGGCTACATCGGCCGCACCGAACTACGGTACGCCATCGACCGCGCGCGCGCAGACGGCATGCTCTCCCCGACCGCACGCTGCGTCTTCACCAAAGAAGCTGCCGACGCGTCCGCCGCCCGACGAGCCTCCACCTCCATCTCCCGCACCCACCTCTCCCCCCCGCAAACCTTCGACACCATTCAGCACAATTCAGGAGCCCACTACGTCGACTTCAGCGGCTACGCAGACCACACACCGCTGACGGTGCATCCGCGCCTGCCGCTCGAGACCGTCATGGAGATCTTCAAGAAGATGGGCCCGCGCGTCATCCTCGTCGAACACCGCGGTCGTCTGACCGGCCTGGTCACCGTCAAGGACTGCCTCAAGTACCAGTTCAAGGTCGAAGCCGAAGAACAAGCCCTGGCTGCCACCAACCCGCCGTCCCTTGCGCTCGGCGGTCCCGATCGACCCCCCGCCGATATCCTGGAGGACCGCCTGTGGCGCTTCCTGCAGTGGGCAGGCTCCCGGTCGTCGCCGTGGTGGATAAAGTCGCGTGCTGCAGCTGGGGCAGCGGCCGCGCCTGCTCGTCCAAACCGACAAGGGGGTGGCCCCGCGAGACGAACGTCGGAGGAGGAGGAGGATGGGTTTGTGGAGCTGGAGGAACGACAATAAAGCCTATTTTCTTTATTTGATTTTAGTTTTTCTTTGACTGGATATCTACCCCTTCTTGTACTATATAGAACGTTTCGGATCTGGTATCCTGCAACTTTTATTGATTTATGCTGTTGGTTCTCGTGTTGTCTGTTTCTAGACTAGAACCAGGAATGAACCGGAAAGATGGTACCAAAAGAATGCCAACCAAACAGATATATATATATACAAAACACACGAACAGAAAACATTACCGTGGGAGATAAGTACTAAATCCTTGCTCTGCCCAGAAAATCCAATCAAATAGACGCGATCGTGCCATTAGGACTGCAGGGCTGGGGCCTAACCAGAAGCTCTGTGGGGCCTGCGGGGGCGCAGCCCATGTATATATTTATATAGAGGAGTCTTCCACTCGCCGCGCTACCTCCTGCACGACACGCCGACAGTACTAACCAGATCGTCGAGCATTACTGGATCAACCATACAGACTATCCCATAACCCCCCTCATGAAATCTGTCGCCTATCTGCCGCAGGAGGTCGTGGCTCTCATCCTGCAGAACTGTGATTCCTTCCGCCAGCTGCGCAGCCTGATTCTAACCTGCAAGCGGATCCATTTGGCCTGGGAGCTCAATAAGCCCGCGATTCTCTGGCACGTTGGACGAGCCGAAATCCCAGGCTGGACTGATGCGATCGTAGCGGTAAGCCTCCCCTCCGGACGATGTTCCCCAGACGGACCTGGCATTGATCCCAGCGCGCGCAGATCCGGGCAACCCAGATTGCCAAAGATGCCCTCCTCAAGGGAGAGCTCCCACCGGATCCATTTCCGGTCTCGGAGCTGAGTGGTGAGGTCCGTCGGCCCTCGCTGGAGGAGCTGAAACAGGTCCAGAGCCTACAAAAGCTCGCCAAATACCTGGAAAGTGAAATGCTGGCATCGGACGAGGATCTGTTTATTTCCATGCCAGATGACCAGTGCAACGCGGGGCCTATCAAATGGGCCCGTTTCGCGTGGAGCGTCTGGCGAGAGGAGTTTTGTCGAGCCATTTACCGTCATCTGACTGCGGGTGCCATCCTCTACCGGGCGTATCTGGCTCCCATTGTCTGGGGGGCCCGACCCGCAGATTTTCTCGCGGCCTTCATCACGATCATGGAAAGCGGCGAAGACCTCGCCGACGTAACAGCCGATTGGTTTTCAGATAGTGACCGGAGATATCTCTCCACGGTCCCTGCGTACCACATCCCGGACGGCGGCCAGTGCGACAATTACTTCCAGCCCCTGGAAGATGTGTTCGTGGAGGAGAGCAGAAAGAGGGCACTGCTGGATCCACCGATGAGGCCTCCGCCGCCCGGTCGAAGAGGAGACTGGTCTCCGCCCCCGACGCTCTTCTCGACCTTTGGACAATATGCACCGATCCATAATCCGCAGTCTCTGGAGACCTCCCATGCGGAGGCTCTGTTCCATCAGACTCTTCAATTCATCTTCCTGAATGAACAGAGTCCCCAGCAGTTTATCTGGGACTCACCACGAGAAAGGCAGGAGGAGACCAAGGAAACCTCCGAGAATCTTCCCTCCATCTTCGCCATCTTCTTCGGGTCTTTCGTCCCATTACAGGTTACCGTCAGGGACGAGACCCATGTGACCGCGACCGCAGCTCTGCCCGGCCTTGAAAGCAAGACGCCCACAGAAAGCAACTATCTCGGGTTCCAGTACATGGACGAGTTCCTTCCCATACTGAGCGCGGTAGGCGGGATTCCCAACTCCCATGGGAACGGTCAAAGACTCCCAGACTCTCGGTTCTGTTTTGCCGAACACATGCTGCGAAAGTTCTTTGGGCTTCGTTTTGCCGATACAATCTATGAATCGACCCTTGACAGCACGTGCGCATGGGATGCGCTCACCTGTTACGGCGGCGTCTTTACGAATCGAGGATTGCGTCCCTGGTATCATGGGGCGGATCTATTCCAGTCGTCGGATGACCCCATCCCGACCCCTTATGTTAAGGGCGCTCTCGAGTAGGTGATCAGTGATCTATTGGAGGGCTGAGTATTTATTCTTAGTTTGCTATTATTTCAGACGACGAGTTAGGAAAAGCATTGCTCCTGCCGATCATTCCATGGCAAAGTCGCGGTGAGAGGCAGCTTTGCATCTCTTCTAGAGGCTCTTTTTCCCAAGTAGACGATGGAATACATGATAGAATCTAACCTATACATAGACTCATTTACTCGTTCGGGTTATACGAACTTCAAGCGTCTACCACGATTCAAGAATACCGTCAATCTCCATAGCAGAACGAACCCCAGCAAACACATGCAGAAGGTCAATGGCTCTGGTGTGCGTCTTCAGGAAAACCACTCAGTGGAGGATGCATGCCGAGGTAGAGTCCGTGCGAAGGTGCTGCACAGTAGTCGACATCGTGCTTTGATGAGGAATTAATGGAGACTGCCATCCTTCTCCCTGTTGGGGGCCTGATATTACCCGACATGCAAATCAGCTATTTAAGCTCTTGAAACTAGGGCAATGGGTGATCTTCAGTTGAGATATTGCCTATTTGAGGAAGGTTGCATCCTATGCTGAGACATTTATGCAGGGCTCAAAAAATCCACCCCGCCCTGTATCACTATCAAGACACTCGCTTGCTGGTTCTGCGAGCGGACTAGATGGAGCCAGGATTCCATCCATGCCTGTTTGCTGCGGAGTACCTGCAAGGCGTTCAGCCAAGAGCCCCGGGCTGTCGCCAAGAGGAGGCTTCGCGATACAGTGCCGCACTGTGCTTGAATCCCAGCCTGATCGCCCCATTGAGGGCGGTAGAAGGAGGAATCCATGGGCCTTGAGCTGAATTCTTTTCAATGATGTACAGCGTCGGCTGATTGAACATCAGCAAGGCTGTTTCCCTCAATCAGCGACTTAACTAAATCTCCTCTGACCTGCTATTTGCCATTGATCCGCAGATAAGGCGTTTCTCTCATCACCTTCTTCTTCACCTCCTTCCTATCCTTGTAGTTCTCGGCGTGGATGCGGTATGCGTGGTAAGTGCTGTCTGTCTCGGAAGGAAGATCTCGCCCTTATAGTCCCGACGGTGGTGTGGAGGTCATATCTGTTTCTTCGAAGGGCCACAGGGCTACGCTAGGAATCCACCGAGTTTAAGCTTGCAGGTAACTACTCATTTCTGACCGCCATGTAAAGTAGACACACAATGAAATTTCAGCCAGAGCTTAAAATGATTAGAAGCTCATTCTTTCCTGTAGTAGGTATGTCCTATTGTTCAATTTGAGACTTTGTCAGATGACTCATAAAGCTTCCTTCAACTTAGGTCTCTGTATACAACACGGACATGCAAAGAGACAGAGACCAAAAGACGGGTTCACGACAGCGTAGAGGCCGCCTCATTGTCAAAGTTCTTCGTCGTCATCTTCGTCATCTTCGTCATCTTCGTCTAAAGAGGTCATCAGGATCCTCATCCCATTCCTTTTGGCAGTCATTGTCAATATTCCCCTTGGGATAGCAGTATCTTTTGCGCCCCAGCGCCTCAAGCCAGGTGCCAAATTTACTTCCAGGATCATTGACTATCTCAAAGTCGAATTTGAAAATTTCGTAGTTGACGTCGTGGTCATCTTGTATATTCCTAGCCCATTGGTGATAGAATGAATCGTACCATTCCTATTTTGAAGCCTGTCAGCACCTGGTCAGAGGACCTCACTGGCTCAGTCACCCACCTTAATCGTCCCATGAGCCTGACCCTGCCAGTCTTGCTCTGTGTTCAAAGGCCGCACTTTTTTTTTACCACACAAGCGAGTTGGCGAGCCTACATAGACACAGCACTGATGAGTATGGCGGACGCAGGTGAAGATTGCAGGAGAACGCACAGTAAGTATTCGCTCCTTGGCCCCCTTCAATCCAGCTGTAATCGCCATCATCAGCAAAGAAAGAACGAGTGAAGAGGAGGAAGATTTGACATACGATGCAGCAGGCCATTCGTCACAAGTAAACCTGGCACCAATCATGCTCCAGGTCTTTTTGATGGTTCCGTCCGGATCGTACGTTATCTTGGCTTGGCCGAACTGGACCGGGTCCTGTGTTTCTGTACCGTCTGGTTGTTTATCCTGCATCATCTCGATTTTCCTTTGACCAAACTTCTTAAGTTTGGTGATGTAGTACCAAAAGTCCTCTGGCTGGTTGGGCTCAGGGCATTGGTGGCTTTCAATCCACCTGTTTGGACAGGCCTGGTCTCGGCGAGCGTCATGGCGTCCATTCGAGATATCCGCATCATAGTGTCTCGTTGTCTTTGTTTCGCCGTTCAACCTGGTTCGAGCATTGGCGCAGAGTGCTGGAACTTTGTGGCAGTTGTACACGAGTTTTGGACGTGCGCCTCTCGCGTTCAGGTCATTGACTGGTGGGAAGGCGTCAGCGTCGTCAGTCACCCTGAACTCACACTTTCTTGTGATCGGACGTGGTTTCTTAAGGACCCTATGTACCTTTGTACGTGTACACTCTATTCCTATCTTCTCGGGCCTTTGCCTTCCAGACCTCCACGCCATTTTCCATTTCCGTTTGCTTCGGGCCCGGCCAGTCCGCGGCCACGGCAAAGAGGGCTATACAGGCACATGCAAGCAGCTGCGAGAGATTCATAGTTGGTTGACGGGACTATTCTGGAGAATTGCCTGCTGGAGCACACTAGGTAGAGGGGAGGGCATCTTGCTCCTTTTGTGGTCTGCTTTCTTGGCTGATGGCCTTATCATACCTTCTGTTGATCATCCCCTTTGGAAAGCGCATGCGCTTTGGGGGGAGGCCCCTCCTCAGGGGACAAGGCGTATTCTAACCGGAGGTGATAGGCGTGCTGCTATATTGACCGAACGGCGCAGGACGCCCAACAACCAGCGCGTCTTACTCAAATGTGTGGCAGTATAGACTCGCCGGGTTACCTGATCGGGTAAAATGATTGTTCCTGGCGTTCGCTCATTCCTCTCGCTGCTGCGGCGGAAACATGTTGTTTTTTTTCCTATCACAACTAGCTCCCAGGTCGACAGGGAAAAAGGAATAAGGCATAAGATGGGCCAAGATTCTTGGCTCCAGGGTGCCTGATACCCGCTAGAATACGAGGGTGGAAGACATGATAGCACCAGAATGCAGTCTGGGACGCCTAAAAAGCGACTCCTATACTGAGAACTATCGGGTGATCTCGGTGATCATCGAGGCTGTGTAGTGCATCTTGAGGTGGAGTGACGAGAAAAAGCTCCAGATGGATCCAACACGGCAATCAGCAGACGAAAGCAAGCTGTTCTACGGTGTATACCCGACTATCTACTGCGAGGTAGGACGGAGAATATAACATATCAAGGGAGGAAGCTCAAGCGCCACACTCTTGCTTCTCTATAGCTTACAATTTCGTCTGTTTGTAAGAATTCTTTGTTTTTCTTTCCCTCCTTTTTCTTTCTGGGTCTTGAATTACCGATGCTATGCGTTCCCGACAGCATTGGCACACCCTTTCGTGGGCGCTGGCCCTCATCGCAATGGTGGTGTCTCTGGCAGCCGCCGAGAAGGAGCTCCCTGATCTCCGTATCATGCCACTGGGAGATTCCATCACCAAGGGAAACGGCTCCCCCGACAGGAACGGCTACCGGGGGAAGCTCCGTCAGAAGCTGTTGGCCGAGCAAAAGGGCACCGACTCCACGGTCGACATGATCGGGAGTCTGACGGATGGAGACATGCGAGACGCGAACCACGAGGGCCACAGTGGCAAGTACCTCGCTGATATTCGCGGGTATATCGAGCTGTCTCTGCCCGCGAAGCCGAACATCGTGCTTATCCACGCGGGCACCAACAATATGGACAAAGGGGTGGATCTGGACAAGGCGGACAAGCTCATTGAATCCATCATTGACCGGGCTTTCGACGGGTCGCCGGGGGTGACGGTCCTGGTCGCGCCGGTCATCTGGGCGAATAACCCACCTATGCAGAAGAACACAGACGCGTTCAACAAGAAGCTTGGTGCCATTATCGAGCGCAAGCAGGGCGGCGGTCAGCATATCTTATCTGTGCCCATCGATATCACGGCGGCAGACCTATCGGACGAGAAGCACCCCAATGAAGAAGGGTATCGGAAGATGGCTACGGGGTGGTACAAGGCCATTATTGACGCGCACCGGCGCGGATGGATCCAGGCCCCCGCCAAGGTTGACGTGAACGACCTCCCCGGCATGGGGCTGGGCTATAGCAACGGGATCGAGGATCCTACCGGAGGCAATTGCGGCGACGCGAACTGGAAGAGCCGGGGCCAGGTGTTTGGTAGCTTCCGAAACTGGGAGGAGAAAGGGCCCGTCATCGATACGATCAAGGGCGCTCGTCGAGACAAGGTTATCCTCGCGGATCTCAACAACGACGGACTTACTGACTACATCCTGGCCCACGAGAATGGCGACGTCCAGGCCTGGATCAACACAGGTACGGACGAGAATCCGTGGACGGGTCTCGGGAAAATCAACCCCGACTGGAAGAAGGTGACGGGGGAGATGATCCGCATGGCCGACGTCGACAACGACGGCAAGGCGGACATGATTGTGCTGTATGCGGACGGCGCAGCCAAGGTGTGGAGGAATGTGGCCAACGGCAAGAAGTTTGAGTCACTCGATGCGGAGTGGGCCACAGGGCTGAGTGAACCTCGCGAGAAGGTCCACTTCCGGGACATGGATGGCGATGGCTATGCCGACTATGTGATCTTGCACGACGGAGGGGCAGTGGACTGGGCCCGCAACACGCACAACAATGGCCGGGATCCCGACCAGCGTAACTGGGAGGCCATCACTAACATTGCCCCGGGGCCAGCGGGCGTGCCGAACAATCGAGCGCAGCTGTATGATTTGGACGGGGATGGAAAGGCTGGTGAGTAGCTCTCCTCGCCGAGCTTGCTTCCTGGGATAGCGACCTCTTCGAATCAAGTCGAGCGCTAGTCACTGATGAATGTCTCCCAGACTACCTCGTCGTCTACGAAGGCGGTGCGGTCGACGCCTGGCGCAACACGGGGAGCCTCAACAAGGCGGGCCAGAATTGGGACGAACTCGGCACCATCGCCCCCGGCATCGAGGGCGTTACCGGCAAAATGATCCGGTTCGCAGACATGGACGGAGATGGCAACGCGGACTTCCTGGCCGTCGCAGACGACGGGAGCATCCGCATGTGGAAGAACACGGGGATCGTTGCGAAAAAAGGGTCGAGCCTCCGGTTCGCCGATCTTAATGGGGACGGCTATGACGATATCATCTCGGTGGATGACAAGGGCCGTGCCCGCGCATGGCTGAATGAGAAAGATGGAGGTTGGAAGGATATTGGCGAGATAGCGCCGGGTCTCGACGAAGATCTCTCAGCCGCCACCATCCACTTCGCCGACGTCAACGGCGACGGCCTTGCCGATTTTCTTGTTGTCTACGGCGGCGGTGCGGTCAAGGCTCACCTCAATAATGGCAACATCCCAGACCAGGGGAAAGACCGGATCTGGAAACCAAGTATTGTCATCTCCGAAGGGGTCGGCGAGCCCGGCCGAAAGGTGACGTTTGCCGATCTGAATGGCGACGGATACGCCGACTATCTGGTTGTCTTTGACGGCGGCGCGGTCGATTGCTGGCTCAACCAGAAGAATATTCCGCCAAAAGACGGAGGCCGCATCTGGGGCCAGCGAACCACCGTGGCCACGGGCGTCGGGGAGACGGGCAGCAAGGTGCGGTTTGCCGACCTCACTGGGGATGGCAAGGCCGAGTACATTATTCAGTACGACGGAGGCTCGGCCAAGGGGTACCGCAACTCTGGAAATATCCCGGATGCTGGCAAGCCCAGTAACTGGATCGACATGGGCACCATCTCCACGGGCGTCGAGCGGCAGGGTCCCGTGGTATACGCTGACCTGGACGGAGATGGCAAAGCAGACTATGTGGTGGTCCTGATCAGTGGGGAGGTGTATTCGTATGTCAATTCCTGTGATTGGAAGCCAGACGATGGAGACGGAGATGGCGATGGCGATGGCGATGGCGATGGCGGCGACGGTGGTGGTGGTGGAGGAGATGGAGGAGATGATGGCGAGAAGCACGATGTCCTCATCGATCCATCCATCTGGGATGACAAGACCCCGGAGGTGTTTTGCCGGCCACCGTGCAATTTGGTGCTCCCTCCCACCGTCCTGCCCTCTCCAACCGTGATCTCGATCGAACCATATACCACGCAACTCGAGGTTGCTTGGACCATCGATTGGACCGTCACTGCCACGATTCAACGAACCGTGATCACTCTCCCACCCATCACAACGCAGACCATTTCATTCTGGCCGGTGCCCTTTCCCACCGACTCGAGCTCTGGCTTCACGTTCAGCCCCATTCCGATGGTCTTGCCGCCTCCTATGACCACTACGAACGATCCCAATCCCATGTCCGAATCCGGGGTGTCTCATCCACCGGTCACTCGCACAATATCGCCATATCCTTATCCCACCAATGTCGATGACGATGACGATGACGACGACGACGACGACGATGACAATAAGTTGTACGGCGGTCCGTTTCCCATCGTTACCGTGGCTCCTGGTCGCCCGGGGCCCATTTGTACTTCAGGCTGTGGCTCACCGTGCAAAGGGAAGGCCTGCGGGGGCGTGGACCATCCTTGTGTACCCGGAGTTACCTGCCCGAAAGGAGATGACTGGTCAGATCCCGAGGACCCGGGCGACGATGAAGAAGAAGAAGACGACGACGATGATGATGATGATGATGTCTGCTATATTGACCCGGGTGACCCTGGGGATGGCGATGGCGGTGGCGGTGACGACGATGGTGACGGTGATGGTGGTGATGGTGATGATGGTGGTGGTGATGGTGATGGTGACGGTGGAGATGACGGCGGAGATGACGGCGGAGATGACGGCGGAGATGACGGCGGAGATGACGGCGGAGATGACGGCGGAGATGATGGCGGGGATGACGGAGGAGATGACGGCGGAGATGATGGCGGAGATGACGGCGGAGATGACGGCGGAGATGACGGCGGAGATGACGGCGGAGATGACGGCGGAGATGACGGCGGAGATGATGGCGGGGATGATGGCGGGGATGACGGCGGAGATGACGGAGGAGATGGTGATGGCGGTGGTGGTGACGGTGATGGTGGTGACGATGACGGTAATGATGATGATGTAAACCCTTGCATCAAGGTCAACATCATAACTTCCATTGGGCTCACAGGCCAACATTCCGGGACCATGTGGCACAACGATATCGAGGTGTGCGACGAGAGCAAGACGGACAATGAGGGCACCACGCAGTTCCAGTGCGAGGAAGGTTTCGCCCTCGAGTACAAAACAAAAAAGAACCCAACGAAGGGGGCAAAAGCCTGGCTCACATACCCGGGGGCAGAAGAAGTCGAGGTTGAGCTGGAACTCTACGATCAACTAAACATGCCAGGTTGTGCGGGAGGTAAATCTTCGTCTATCCCCGTGTTTATAGTTTTCGAGAGACGGATTACTGATTGCAATTTCGCAGGTTCTGTCCCGATTACCTGCCACAGGTACTTTTATTCGTTCGAGGGGGAATACTGCGACTGACCGGGTTGATTTCTCTCCTTACTATGTCTGTTTTTTCTTACATCGCTCGAATTTTACCCGAGAATGATGCAGCTTTTTTTGTTTCTTGGACACCAATACGTCCTGGACTACTAGATATGCACTGCGCTGGTTCTAGGGCGTACACCTGGAATAGCAAGTTGACTGTACTCATCATAGTATGTAACATCTTAGCCGCGGCGCCAAAATATTGAACAACGATTGGTATAGGGCTTAACCTGACTGATATCTTAACAAATTGTACCAGACAGTGTCAGATTATTCTTCACGAGCGTCTATCGGACCGGTTTTAGAAGGAAGGAAATAGATTATGTCAAGTGACGAGGTGATGTAACTAACAAATCCCAAGGTATATCCCGGCTATATACCATCGCAGGTACCAATCTCTGCCATCACTTTTCTGAGACTCAAGCCTACAAGATATACGAAAGGGATGTAGGAAGAGAACGACCTTCTGTGATCGATCTCTAGGGCTTGTAGATCATGTGACTTCCATGCCATACAATCCACGACCTTCGAATCGACAGTGCGACGATCCTAACCACAGAGGTGAGGTGCCTTCTTGACAAAGGGTTTAAGAGACATAGACCATCTTCAGATTAGGCTGTCATGCGGTATAGGGTATTCTTATACTCGATCCATGGGAAGGACGCGATATGCTGGGTGGTTTCACGGAGAATGGCAGCATTATCGACACCCACGGGTCCCGCATGATCCCACCACTGAATATGATGCAGCCCTCGGTGATAACGATCCGAAGCTCTCGAAAGACCATAAAATTTGTAGCTTTGGTGACTTTTGGACTAGGGCTCCCTGAAGTCACCTGCTCGAATTTGGTCGGGATGTTCCCGAGAAAAAAGTCTATAAGTTCCATACGTTCCAAGGATATCTTGTTCACAGGCTTATTTCTGTTGTCGGATCTATAATTGACTCAGTATAGAAAGATGGTGTCTTGTATTATCTGAGCTAGAATGGTTATATTCTCAGGGAGCCTGGTTATGTCAGGGTTGTGGCATGATGTAGGTCTTCTCATAGTAAGCCTATCTATAATGATAACCCTTTACCTTATTGTAAATACTAGTTCGCGGGTGCAATATATCCTATTATATAAACGTTTGCTTTGTACGCTGAACCATCGCGATGTATAGCTGTGCAACTTATACGTGCGGATACATGATAATCAACTAGGCGTGTCTGCATACCAAAGGAAAATCCCTAGGACAATATATATCCTTTTACCTTCAAAGATTATAATTTCGTGCGTTGATCTCTGACAAAATGCAAGATTACAACCCATGTCAGAGATATCTACATGACTAGAGACAGGTTCTGCAGAATGCTCGACTAATTTAAGTGGCGCGTGCAGTGGCTTTGTAGTTATAAGACTTGGAGTCAATCTATACTGGACTTTTTCTTGAGAGCAGTACGACATGATCAAGAAGTTTCACAGTAGGGACAATACCGCTCGTACGTTTAGTGATTGGCATATTCATGTAGCGTCCTTCTGATCAGAAATCCTCCTTTATTTCTAAGCAGGGCTTTCCATCCTTGTCACAGGTTCCCTGGCTTACATGAACTGTCCTGTCCTTCTGATCAGCCGTATATTGTTCCCCCCCCTGATAAATCTGAACACCAGAGAAGCTGTATCTCTGCTACCGCGATTTTGGAGCATGCTTCTAATTTGCATCTTCATGGAAAAGTTATGGGAGTCACAAATCCTGCGGGACATCTTTGATATATAAGTTGGGTATATCAGTCAGGTTAAGCCCTATACCAAGCGTTGGGTCAACGTTTTGGCGTAGCGGTCTTGGAAATATATACCACTCGAATTACTCTGGTTGTGGGGCTGCTCCTTAGTATAATATGTTGGGTAGTTTGGCAAAGGAAGGCCTAGATTTTAGGAGTTCATATATAGCTGTCGCAATATAAGATACTGCATGAAAGGGTACCCACAGAAATCAGAAGTGTCTAGATATCTTTCGTAGCCGAGTGGTATTCTTTGCGACAATAGCTAATTGCGTTTCGCGTATAGTGTGCCTTGCAATAGCCTGGGGAACTGGGGAGCTCAAGCAACAATACACAAACTGATAATTAGTAGGGGTTTTATCTCAGGACACACGTTGTTGGACTATGTAGGTCTCCGATGGGAAGATACCTGAGGGACTCTTGCGAACAAAGAGTGAAACAAAGATGCTCATACCCGCAATTATTTGATTTATGCTGTTTTGCTCTCTGTCCCTGTTTTAGATTAGAACGTGGAGTGGATAGGAAAGTTGAAACGAGATCAATAAACAAGGAAATGCTGGAAAAGAGAAGAAGACTCTCGTATGAAATGTTGTTCGACTTGGTTCATTTTTGGAAACGTATATATGTCACAATCTAATGCGATCAATTACACCGGCCCTCCTCTATTGGCAATACATCACTGTAGCAACCTCAATTAAGCGCGCATCTCACGGAAGAAGTCCATGACACCGGTAAACACGACGAGGAGGATACCACCACCGGGGCCCAGACGGAGGACCTTGGGGAGGAAGCCCTTGTACAGCGCGGCGAAGCCTTCCTCCTTGAAGACGGTGCCGAGGGCAGGCCAGGCCCAGTTGTACTTGGGGGTTTGGCCGGGGATCTTGGGGGAGTTCTGGATGCGGGACTTGACGACGTCCATGGGGGTGTTGAGGATGGTACCGGCGGTACCACCGATGGCACCGGCGATGAGGTCATTGCGGGTCTGCTGGGCCTTGTTGCCCTCCTGGGGCTTGGGCATCTGGGCGCGCACCTGGAAGATGCAGCCGAAGTAGCCCGCGTTCCAGAGGATGTGGCGCCACAGGGTCGACTCGAGGCCGTTGTACATGGCGAGGGGGCCCTCGGTCGCGACGATCTTGCGCACCACGTCCAGCATCCCGTTGTACTTGCCGGCCGAGGCGCGGTCCTGCAGGCGGATCTTGACCAGCTCGAAGGGGACCACCACGAAGGCTTCGGTCGCACCCGCCGTCGCGCCCGTCAGCGTCGCTAGCCCCTGCGTCTGCTTTTCCACTCCGAACAGGTTCCGGTAGAAGGAACCCCAGCTGTCGTTGGCGGCGAACTTGGTGGCACGCTTGGGGGCCTCCATCAGGATGGGAGCGGTGATACCGCGGTATAGACGGGAGAAACTATCACTGGATTAGATAGGATGTTCCCTTCTTGTGTGTTCGAAGTAGCGTACCCTTCATTCTTGATGATCTTGCGGAAGCAGTCGAACATGCCATTGTATCCTTCCTCACCCAGGGCCGCGGGGCCTTGCTGCAGTTGTCTATGCGACAGTTAGTTCGCCGTTGAGAATCGTCCGATCAAGATAATCGTCCGGTAGGGAGGGTTTCGCACACTCGAGTCTTGACCACGTCCAGAGGGTACCTGTGATGTGATGTATCGTCAGCGCAAGGTTGATGGGTCGCGCGATGCGGCGCAATGGTGTGGGGACACAGCGTACATGACCAGAATCTGTCAACCCCAGGAGTCAGCCTGCACTTTCTCTCCATAAACACTATTGATTCGGAGGGACATACCTCGGAGACACCGGCAATGGCGCCAGCAGCGAACTGGTATTGGAAGGGAAGAGGCTTTTGGGTGGTGTTGGACGACATGATGATAGATGAGACAATTCAACTCAATTGAATAATTTCCAATAAACCAACCACACAACAAGACAACAACAAAAAAATCGAGGGAAATAAACAAAGAGAAAGAAGGATTCGGGACAATGAGTGGAGAAGTGGAGGAAGAACGAAAGACGCGAGAGGAGAAAATGATGAAATTAACCGTCAATCCAATCCGATCCGGGGATTCGGTAATCCGCTGAGTCATTTATCCAGTTCCACTGCCCCACATATCGGTCTGTGTACGATGGGGACTCTTGGCTCGGATATTCAATTAAGCATTACTTGACAGAGGGCAGTCAAGATTGCTATAATATCATTGATCTCGAAGTATGGAGTACACTGTGTATACCATGGATTGATCGTGAAGATGAGGATCATGTGATTGACGTTGTGCATGGATTAGTAATCCATGCAAACCACCCTTCGCGATCAACATCAGTTGACGTTGTTGAACCATTTGCCATACTGGACTGACTTGATCGGTTCTAACTCTTCTTCCGACAATCACCAGCCCCACTGCCACAGCCATAACCACCACGGACCGGGAAGATCCCTCCTCCAGTGGGCTCAGAATCAAGAACAGTGAGAAACGCCTGATCAGTAGCTAAACGGTCGTGATAAATCCGGACGAGATCACCCGGGTCCTCCAAACATCTAGACCTGATCAAGGCGACCAAGGGAAAAGCCCCAAACCTACCTGACGATAAAGTTTTGACAAGCAATACTCGGTTTCCATCATTGGGTTCTCATCATTGGGTTTTTTACACCCTTCTCAAGACGCATGAAGTAACTGACTACAAGGGATGGCGGCCGACCTTCCTACGCGAGAGACCAAGCGGGACAGGGAAGAACAGCAACACAGCGATCGCCTGGAGGATGGAGCTGCCGGGTTGGATCCCATCGATCTGCTAGCATTAAGTCAAGATCTACGAATCATCCCCATCCCCGAAGATGGCGATGACCTCGAGACCACCGCTCAGAAGATGGAGGATCTCGCCAAGGTGGTCCGGGGTGGCAACAGCCTGGCGCTGTACACGGGCCTCAAGCTGGCGCCACCCCAACCGCAGAACCCCGAGGAGATTGTCGTGGCGGAGATGAGCCTTCAGGAACGGACGATGTACAACGCATGGAAGAGGAGTCGAGAGTCCGACCAGAGCAGTCGGGACCCGTCCACCGTTTATGTGCCCCGGCCATTCGACTGGGACGCCAATGTGGCCCCCGCCCCGACCGGAGCCCACAGCCGCAAGAAGTTTGCCGAGCGGGCGGCGGCCATGGACCTGATCTGGGGTCATGAGGGCGCCACCCCGGAGCATGCGTCCTGGCTGACCTTTCACCGGACCGGCTTATTGCCCCTCGTCAATGCCATCGCCAAGGTCACCAGGCGCACCAAGCACATGAAAGACCATGGCCCCAAGTCCCAGGGGGGATTGAGTGACATGGAGGCGGCGGAATTGGAGACCATCCGGCAGACCATCACGGTCGCCGAGCGGAATCGCAGTCGGGAGCTGGAACGGATCCGCACGATGACCCGAACCATCGCCGAGTCGGTGACTATTCTCAAGTCGCGCGTGCACGATCTCGAGAGGGGGACGTCGGAGTAGCATACCCTGGGCAGGTTAATGAAGATAGACCAGGGAAGAAAGCGTCATGGTAATCAACGATAATTGATTTTGAATGTAGAAACTGTCTGTTTGTACAAAGATGGCGAGCATAACCCGGATTAGTCATACATACTATGGGCATAGTCTGGCACACCGCCTGCCTATCCCATCTCCGTATTTATTTTTTCTGCCGTTCTTTTTGCCTCTTTGGTTGAAATTTTCCTACTTTTCTCTCTCTTCATCTCATCCATCCTTCTTCTTCTCTCCCCCTTTTCATCTCCCTCCTTCTTCTTCCGTCTTTCTTCATCATTGTTTGTTGGAATTCGGATATTTTAATCTTGTGTGGATTATACTGTGCTCCCTCGTTATCCTGATCTATCCTACCTTCGATCACCCATCATGCTCGGCGCGTTTCGCCGATTCGGCGTCGCCCATGCGGTGCGCGCTGCGTCCCCCCAGGCCCAGTCCGTCCGCTCGCTTCCTCAACGCGTGCAATGGCGCTCTCCCTCGATCGCTGCGGCCCCGCGCATCGCTTGTTCGTCCTTCCATTCGTCGTCGACTTTCCTTTCGGCCGTCGCAGAGGCTCAGGCCCAGCCGGATGTCCTCGATCCCGCCGTTTCCTCGCGACTCACGCACTTCTCCCAGCTGGCCGAACGGGGCCTGGTTGATCCGGAGATCGTCCGAACCATCAATCAGAGGATGAAGATTGAGACCATGACGGATGTTCAAAGTCAGACCATCCAAGATATTCTGCAAGGTGGCGATGTGTATGTGGACCTTTGCCTCCCCCCCTCCCTTAATTCCCCCTGTGTTTGAATCTCGCTGACCTGGTTCCCTTCTCTAGCTTGGCGCACGCAAAGACGGGTACCGGAAAGACACTTGGATTTCTCCTTCCGGTGATGCAGAGATTGATGGAGGATCCCTCGGTCTCCAGGTCCCCCCGGGGCGCGATGAGGTCGAGATCGCGCAATTCGCCTGTCGACATTCGCTCCATCATCATCTCTCCCACCCGCGAGCTGGCGGAACAGATTGCCGCGGAAGCCACCAAGCTGGCCTTTGGCACGGGGCTCAAGGTGAAGACCGCCGTCGGTGGCACGCAGAAGAGGGCCGGTTTGCGAGACATTCAGTACAACGGGTGCCACCTGCTGGTCGGCACCCCGGGCCGCCTGCAGGACATCCTGTCCGATCCGTCGAGTGGCATCACCGTGCCCAAGTTGTCGACCCTGGTGCTGGACGAGGCGGATCGCCTGCTGGATCAGGGATTCGCGGAAGAGCTCCTGAAAATCCAGCAACTCCTGCCGGACCCCAGCCAGGTCGACCGCCAGACGCTTCTGTTCTCGGCCACGGTGCCGCGCGAGGTCATGACCATGGTCCGTCGCACCATGAAGCCGAGCTTCAAGTTCATCAAGACCGTGCGCGAGGATGAAGTGCCCACCCATCTCAAGGTGCCCCAGAAGGTGGTCCATCTGGACAGCTACGTCCACGAACTGCCCGCCCTTCTCGAACTCATCAAGACCGACATGGCCCGCGCCCGCGCGGATCCCACTTCGATGCCCTTCAAGGCTATCGTGTACTTCAACACCACGGCCCAGGTCAACCTGGCCTGCGAAGTGTTCAACCACCTCTCCGTCGACGCCGAAGGCTTTGGACCCCACCCGCTGGGCCGCTTGCCCATCTACGAGATCCACTCGCGCCTCACGCAGGGCAAGCGGTCGTCCGTGGCCAACTCCTTCCGCGCGGATAAGGAGGCCATTCTCTTCTCCTCGGACGTGACGGCCCGCGGCATGGACTTTCCCAACGTGACCCACGTGCTCCAAATGGGCGCCCCGCGGGATGCGGAGACCTACGTTCACCGACTGGGTCGCACGGGTCGCGCCGATAAAGCGGGCGAGGGCTGGGTCTTCCTCCACCACGGTGAGAGGGGACCGTTTTCCTCCAAGACCCAGGGCCTCCCGATCACCAAGGACCGGTCCCTGGTCGCCCCCACCCTTGAAGTCGACCTGATGGAGGCTGAAAGCGAGAATGCCGACAACGAGGCCCGCAACGTGGGTCTCGAGTCGATGAGACAGGTGCGCCAGGCCATGTCCCGCGTCGATCTCCAACTGCGAAGCAGCGCGTGGCGCGCCCACAACGCCGTCTTGGGCGGTTCCTTCCCGTCGGTCCGCGCCCGGGTGCAGGCCATGGAGGAGCTCGGTCGTCACGGCCATCTGTTCAAGACCCTGCCCCGGTTCGAGGACAGTGGCTCGCGCGGCTCGCGCGGCGGCGAGCGGGGTGGCAACCGTCGTTCCCGCGATGACTCCTCCACCCGCGGCGGCCTGTCGCGTACGTTTGGCGGCAACAGCCGGATGAACGGGTCCCGCTACGACTCCGGTTCCAACGAGCGTTCCTACGGTCGCCCTCAAAGACAGTCCAGCTCGCGATTCGAGCAGCGATCGTCGTCTCGCTACGAATACTAGAGCGCGCGCGCGCGCGCGATTCTCTTTTCCCTCAAAGTTCCCAACATCCACGGCGAGATATGATTCTGCGTGACTTCCCAAATCACGAGTCTTCTCGATTTGCATCATTGACGGCGTTGAATTGTGTTTTAGAAAAAGGAAACCAGCCTTCTCTCCCTCTCTTCTCTTTTTTCTTAATGGAAACGGTTGCGTTTGGCCCAGAGAGTCGATCTTTCTGCGAACCCTGACGGCGTGTACATGTACATTATATTATGTTTATGCCCCCTTCCAGCCAGATATCTATGTCAGGTCGACATTGCTAGCGATGGTTGCAAAAATCTTGGCTTGTTAATTATTGTATTTTTTTTTACTATATCTGGGTTTGGTTGGATTGGATGTTGCTTTTTCTTTATTTATTTCTTTCTTTCTCGGTGTATTATACGAATCTTATTGAATTTTGATCCTGCTTATTTACTCTCTTTTTCTTCTGCTTTTTCAATGATTACCATTCTTCACTACAAAAATCGATGAAAGGGCTTGATATGAAGAGAAAAAAAACTATTTACATTGCGATGAACTTCACATGAGCTCCTACTTATAACATCCCCTAAACAGCAGCACGACGGCCAAAAATCCGCAACCGCTTAACACCACCATCCGGCACCAGCGTCAGCTTCACATGCGAGAAAGTGCGCGCATCCTCCCCACCAGCCGCCAGATCCGCACCCTCAAAGACATGCTCCGTATCCGCCTGGGTAGGCTTATCACCCGCCAACAGCGCAATCCAGCCCGGATGGTCCGGAGCAGGGACCTCGGTGGCACCGACCTGGCCGGCGAGCAGACCGTGCACGCGCACATGGCGCGGGAAGTTCCCGCGGAAGTCCTTGGTGTCGACGACGACGCGGCTCACCGACCCAGGTAGACCCAGCTTCATGACCGTCCAGTCGACGTGGCCCGGGGTGCGCGACCGCGCCGTCTCCCACCCGTCGCCCATGTCCTTGCCGCGTCCGGGGAGCAGCAGATTCGACGACGGGGTGTAGTGCTCGTCTGAGGCGGCGAGGGCCAGACCGCCGAGTAGCGCGGAGGAGAGCTCCTCGAGGGGAGCACCGGTCCCGCTGACGGCCGGTGGGGGCGGGGGGATGGCGTGGCCGTAGACGCGGAGACGGCCGAACCCGCCGTCCGGGTACATCAGCAGGCGCACGTGGGTGTAGGGGGTCGGGGAGGCAGGGTTGTAGTCGTTGAGCTTGTAGCCGCGGCGCTGGGTTGGGCCTTGCTCTTGCGCGGGGAGAATGGTCGACCAGCCGGAGAAGGCGGGGTCGGCGATCTGGGCGTCGGTGATGCCGCTGTCGGCGGGGGCGTAGGTGCCCTGCAGTTCGGCCTTCTCGCCGTAGTTGCCGCTGAAGAAGCCCGTGTCGATCTCGACGCCTTGGATGGCGGCGCTGGCGACGCCTAGCTTGATCACGACCCAGTCGTAGGGCTCGGGGTTGTGGCGACGGGTCTCCCAGCCATCGTACCAGGCGCCGGTGTGGATGAAGACTCCGGGACGGTTGATAGGGGGCGTGGGAGTGAGGAGGTTCTTGGCCTCAGCGAAGTATTCGTTAGAGGTGGAGAGGATCTTGCTGTTGAGGTTGGCTGAGGCCAAGTTGGTGGAGTGGGCGAAGGTGCGGTCGATCTCCTCCGCGGGGACGAAAGTGACAGCCATGATGTAGGTATTGTAAGAGGGGCAGAATAAGAGAGAGATAGATATATATCAGGAATTGGTTTGAGAGGATACAATCGACTGGAAAGAGAAGAAAGACGAGGGCGACAGGCGATTTAAGTAGTTTTTTTGGACGCGACAGGACGATAAAGGCCGATCACCTGCCGATAACGATAAGCCCCTCATCCTCTCTTCTCTTCTTCTACTTCACTCTTCTTCTTCTCACTTCTCACTTCTCTTTTGCTTCAATTTCTTCTCTCTTCTCATCTCGCATCTCTCTATCTCTTCATCTCTCATCTACTCTCCTCTATGCGTCTCTCTTCATGTCTACTCTATTCTCTCATTTCTGTTCTCTGCAATCCATAGCATCCATCACTCTCCATACTACAGCCCCACCGAGTCGGAGGTCTCCGATGGATCGCCCTCTTCCGGTTGCCATTGGTTTCTCTCAGGTAATCCAACCAGAAAAACAGGGGCACCTCGGAGTTAGGCCCATGCGCTGTCCAATGTGAATGCAAGAAGAGAAAATCTTCCCCGCAGGCCACCTATACGTCCACCTATGCATTGTCTCGGCATTGGAGACGTTATCTCACCAGTCGAGGATACACCCTACTTCTACGTCCAAAACAGTGTCTACCAAGACAAGGACAAGAAGAAATCCGGATATTCATTACAAATTGAAACTAATCAAAAATACTCTCGTGCCAAAGCCCCATGTACGCCGCCAGCCGCCGCCGTCACTCTCACAGGTTGAATTCCGCAAACGCCGCCTTGTGGTCCGAGGGCCACCCATTATCTTTATGCGTTGGATACGGTGAGGGCGACCATTGGTCGAAGACCTGAGTTTTCTTCACCTTGAGCTTTTTACCCTTGTAGTAGATGAAGTCGATGCGATCTTGCGGTTCGAAGTCACCCGAGACGCCGTCTTGCCGCGGATACAAGGGCGACCAAGTCACCTCGTTGGCAGCAGGAATCTGGTGAGTCTCACGGAAGGAGTCCATGAGGCCATTGTCTAGCGGTGCCTTGGACGTCGGCCACTCAACACCGACGAGGCCGCAGTGTTGCTCCTTCAAACTTTCAACATAGTCCAGCTGCGAGGGGGCGTTGAAATCCCCCATCAGCAGGACGGGCACATTGTCTGCGTCGTCGAGATGTAGTTTCATGCCCGCCATGATCTCGTTGATCTGGTCGACACGGCCGGACTTCTTCTCGCCTTCCAGTACCCCCGCCCAATCCTTCTCCCCACGACAGGCATCATATGGCCCGTACGGGGTGTACCCCAAGTGAGCATTCCAGACGTTGAGATGGATCTTTTCCGCTTTTTCGCCGTTGAGATTGACCCGGGCGGCGCCAGACCGAGAGACGGCGCCGTATTTCTGCACAATGGGGTATCGGCTGAGGATGCTGACGCTGAACGAGCTCTCCCAGTAGTCCCACCCCAGCGCGGTGGCGATCCGGGTGGCGGCTCCATTCTCCGATTCCTGCAAGGCCACCACATCCACATTGGATTTAAGAATGACCCACAGCTGCTTGGTGAGGGCATCGTTGAGCTCCGCGCCGCCGTGCCAGATGTTCAAGGACATCGTCCGCACGCTGTCCAGCAGCCGTTTGGCACCTTCACGCACCGGGATCGTCAGCTTGATCGTCGACGTCACGTCGTTCTCCGCCACGCCGCGCACCGTGACGTGGGAAGGCCCCGCCTGGCTCGGGATCCCCTGGAGGGTGCCGTCCGCGTGGACCGTGATCCAGTCATCCCCTTCCATCTTTTCGAAGCGGACGTTCTTCTCATGCTTGCCGAGAAGGAGGCCGTGGAGCCGAGCCTCGTAGGCCTCGCCTTGGCGGCCATTGCGCAAGGTCGCCTCGGCCACGGGGAAGTAAATCTCGGGGTAGGTTGACAGCGTGATATCGATCGGGTCCGTCAACCACGAATAGCCGTCCTTGGCGAGAAAATACACGGTGTAATTACCGGCGGCCAGAGAGCTCACGTCAAACCACAGAATACCATCGTTGCGAGGCGCATATTTCCACATCAACGACTCCCCATCCTTACGGTGTTGGACAGGGCCCTCATTCAGGGGGTACAAACCCACCCAGTTCTTTCCATGCAAGTCAGGCGTCTGGTATTGGATGGTGAGCGACCCGGCGTGCATGTCCCTGTTCAACATCGGGCTGTACTTCGGGGGATTGTCCGCAGCAGACGTCGCGCCCAACAAGGCGAACACCGACACTGCCGCCACCGACAAGCAAGAGAAGACACGCATCGCGAGGTATCAAAAAGAAGATAACGACAGTGATCTGTCAGACAGAACTACTGCTTCTCAAAATGCGGGGCCCAAATCCATTCAAATACCCCCCAGTCACCTCCCCACCTCGTGGAGCCTCGCCGCACAAGATCAACAACAAGTAGTTGATCACGTTAGTATTGTGATTAATATTGTCATGGGTCAACAAAAAGCATACCAGTTCCGACACAGCCAGTCTGCGTTGGACAAGCGGGATATAGTCTCCACCCAGGCCACCATCATAGGGTGAAACTGTTTCGAAAATAGCAAAAACACCTTGGCGGTGCAGAGTCCGGTGGACCGCTCTGCCCTCCTCGAACAGGGATCTATAATGTATCCGGCAAGCCACGCCGTAGATCCTTTGTATTATGGTGATACACTTTCCATGCAACATCTTTACTTCGCCCTGCACAGCGCACAGTCAAGTATAAGCCTAGTAGGGGGAGGGGGGTGGATACGACGCTACTATCTGACCTACGCAAGGCAAGGGCGATCGATCCATCTCGCTGGTTGGATCATTACCCTTTGTTGAAGTGCCCTGCCTACCACGCTTGTCTTGGCGGTATAAGCCCTAAGGCGGGTGCGGGGCGCCGCCCTACATGGTGGTCTTTTGTTGGTATTTCACACTATTCAGAACACAATAAAAGGGTGTATATCACCCTGGTTTGGGAGCAGGGAGTTGATTGATTCCCGGCTTTGTTGTTCGTCAGGCTTATTCATGCGAGGCTGATGTCATGAATAGACTAGTCTGGGAACGGACTACATCGAGGTGAGACTGGACTACATGCTAGTTGCTTCAGGCATGGATATGTATCATTCCCTTTCTTTCTATACCGTTACACATGACAAGCTCAAAAATCAGAATCCTTTCTTCACTTTTTATATTTTGTTTCATCTTCCATCTTTCCACGAGGATATCCCTGAGGAACACCCTTGAATTGGAAATTCATTGAATCATGTCAATTATCCTAGTCAAAAACCAATTGGATCACTAATTTACATCTTCTCACCGGCAGCCTGCTTCATCTGGCCGTACTTCTTCAGGCGGATGGCAGACACACCGATGAAACCGGTGGTCTCGGTGGGGGCGAAGTCACCGATCTCGTCCATGCTGGACTCGGACATGTCGTACAGCTTCTCGGTCTCGGAGTAGCGGCCCAGGACGATGAAGTTGCCCTTGTAGGCGCGGCAGCGGACCACACCGTTGACGGACTTCTGCGAGGACTTGATCGAGTCCTCGAGGAACTCGCGCTCGGGCGAGAAGTACAGACCGTTGTAGAGGATCTATCTCGTTAGTGGTGGTCTAGACAAGAAGGGGGGAATAGGAGACAAACCTTGGAGTAGTTGTAGGTCACGAACTGGTCGCGCAGGGCACGAACCTCACGGTCCATCACCAGACCCTCGAGGTCACTGCGGGGTCAGCCGATGAAACAAAGAAAGAAAAGAATGATTGGAGGCATACACGTGAGCAGCGCGCAGACAGGTGAGACCAGGGGTCTCGTAGCAACCACGCGACTTGATGCCGATGAAACGGTTCTCGACAATGTCGATACGGCCGACACCGTTGCGGCGGGCGATGGTGTTGGCGGCCAGGAAGAGCTCGACGGCGTCGGTGACGACCTTGGGCTTGCCACCCTCGGTGTACTCGAGCTTGACGGGGTAACCCTTCTCGAAGTGGAGGGTGAAGTCCTCGGGCTGATCGGGGGCGGTCAGAGGGGACTGGGTGAGCTTCCACATGTCCTCGGGAGGGGTGACGTTGGGGTCCTCCAGGATACCGGCCTCGTAGGAGCAGTGGGCCAGGTTCTCGTCCATGCTCCAGGGCTTGGACTTGGTGGAGGTGACGGGGATGTCCTTCTCGGCGGCATAGGACAGCAGATCGTTACGGCCGGCGAAGCGCTCGTAGAAGACGGGGTCGCGCCACGGGGCGATGACCTTGATGTCGGGCTGCAGGGCATAGAAGGCCAGTTCGAAACGGACCTGATCGTTACCCTTACCGGTGCAGCCGTGGGAGACGGCGAAGCAGCCCTCGCGCTGTTGGGTAGGAAAAGAAGCGGTGAGCCGGACGAGGAATTCCTGGCCAGAGGGGGGGGGGGCAATCAAGCACCAACCTTGGCAACATCAATCTGGGCACGAGCGATGACGGGACGAGCCAGGGAGGTGCCTATTCATGTTAGTATGGGACATTGTGGTTTGGTTGAATGGTTCAGGATAACATACCGAGCAGGTAGACGTTCTCGTAGATGGCGTTGCAGGCAATGGCGGGGAAGCAGAGCTCCTCGACGAATTCCCCTAACTCCAGGTGAGCGACATTTTTCCCATCAATTTGTGACGTCGAAACTACTTACGACGGAGGTCGACAACCTCGGCCTTGACGGCACCGAGCTTCAGGGCCTTTTCGCGGATGGCATCGAAGTCCTCTGAATAGTGGGGGTGGAGGGGTCAGTGTGTGAAACGAGATTCGGGAGAGTCGGATCGCAGTACCTTCCTGGCCAACGTCGGCAGCTACACATTATTAGTATCGTTCACAGCATTGTAGACATAGATATATATCTGCTTGAAGAGAATTGACTTACTGAAGGCAACAACCTCATAGCCCTCATCGATGAGCCATTTCACTAGGCGGTGTGGTTAGTGAGGGACAGCATCAGCAAGGGACGACATCCGTACAGATGATGCTGGTGTCCAGACCACCGCTGAAGGCGACACAGATCTTTCCTTTCATGATGAAGGTGGGAGACTGATGTAGGAAGCGTAAAAGGGCTGATTGATGAAAGTGGAAGAAGTGAAGTCTGGGGAAGATCCGGAATTTGCAGCTTCAAGTTTGACTCATCGGAAGAAAAAAAAAGCTCGGCCTGAGGTGTGGACCGCGGAATGCCCGGTTGGGGTTAGTGGCTTGGCGTGTTTGTTCCTGATAAGATAGCGATAAGGATGGCGATAAGATCACGGTCACACCAGATCTCGAGATGATTAGATGGATTAGATATAGATGGATAATGGATAATGGATTGGATTTGCTCTATTGTTGGATTCATTGAGAGTATTATATCTACTGGCTATGGGTAAATCATGTATATGATCCAGTACTGTATATGGTATACGACTGCCTCAGAACACAATGACCTCATCCGTTGTCGATGACGCCCTGGGACAGACCGAAACACAGATAGACAATCAATGGAGGAATCTTCTCTACTAATACTCAATGATCTTGATCTACATTGATTCTGTCTAGTTTGGATATCTTGTCGGACTCCCAGAACATCACCTGACTGCAGAAGTTCTACTAAACTAACTGATTTCTAATCAATCCCTCACATCATCGAGTTACTCCACTCTCCTCATTCCTATATCTTCTGCCATCTTTCCTACATCTCTTTCTCTATAGATTTTTGCTACATATACTATATACATATACATATACATCCATCTATATATACATATATACCTATAAAAATGCCCAATCCCGCCCCCATCATCGACAACAAGCCCGCTCCCAATATCTCATACTTCACCCCCGCTCAGGATCCCCCCGCAGGAACCGCCGCCAATCCCCAATCCGATGGCCAATCGCCTCCCAAACTCTTCCAGCCACTTTCCATCCGCGGTCTCACCCTGCAGAATCGTATTGGCGTATGTCCTCCTCATACTACGTCCCTTTCCCTCTTCTCCAGTACAATGACTGATCAGTATACAATAGCTATCCCCCCTCTGCCAATACTCCGCCGACGATGGCCACCTGACGGCCTGGCATATGGCCCATCTGGGCGGCATCGCCCAGCGCGGACCCGGGTTCATCATGATTGAAGCCACCGCAGTCGAGCCCGAGGGCCGCATTACCCCGCAGGATGCCGGGCTCTGGCAGGACTCGCAGATCGAACCCATGCGCCAGGTCATTGAGTTCATCCACAGTCAAAACCAAAAGGTCGGCGTGCAGATTGCCCACGCCGGCCGCAAGGCCTCCACTGTGGCCCCCTGGCTGTCCTTCAACGACACCGCCGTCGCCGAAGTCGGCGGATGGCCCGACCGCGTCAAGGGTCCCTCCGACAAGCCCTTCACCGATCGCTTCCCCACCCCCAAAGCCATGACCACGGCGGACATCGAGGATCTCAAGACCAAGTGGGTGGCCGCCGTCAAACGCGCCGTCGCGGCGGGGGCCGACTTTATCGAGATCCACAACGCCCACGGCTACCTGCTCATGTCCTTCCTCTCGCCCGCGGTCAACTCCCGCACCGACGAGTACGGCGGCAGCTTCGAGAACCGCACCCGGCTGAGTCGCGAGATCGCCCAGCTCACGCGCGACGCCGTGCCCCCGACGGTGCCCGTCTTCCTGCGCGTGTCGGCCACCGACTGGCTGGAGGAGTCCCGGCCGGATCTGCCCAGCTGGCGGCTGGAGGACACGGTGCGGTTTGCTAAGGACCTGGCCGACAGCGGGACGGTTGACCTGCTTGACGTCAGCAGCGGCGGCGTGCACGCCGACCAGCACATCCACGCCCGTCCTGGTTTCCAGGCGCCTTTTGCGGCGGCGGTGAAGAAAGCCGTGGGCGACAAGATCTACGTGGGGTCGGTGGGCATGATCGACTCGGCGCATCTGGCGCAGTCGCTCCTCGAGAAGGATGGACTCGATGTGGTCCTAGTGGGTCGGGGATTCCAGAAGAATCCCGGGCTGGTGTGGACGTGGGCGGACGAGCTGAACCTAGAGATCAGCATGGCCCATCAGATCCGGTGGGGATTTGGGAGCCGGGGGGGTCTGTGTTTCTCAAGCGTCAGGGGAAGATATAGATCTAGTAGAGACTTCTTAGATACTAGAGTACATACTTCTAGAGTAAATAGAATGACTCATGTATCCAAGTTTTGTGCAGATTAGGTAAGAAACCTGAATTGTTGGGGTGAAATGTGGGGTTTCGCCCCAGGCAGCCAGGCACCCAGGCCGGCATCCATGGATCTGCCTCGTCTTTCAGGTTCTCCTCGGTTTCATCTTCTTCTTCTTCTTCTTTCTTTCTCCTGTTCATCGTTCTTCCATCTCTCCATCTATCTTCATCCGTCTGGCTATCCTGTCATCTTCATCTCCATCCCGTCATGGATGCTGTTCTCTACTTCCCATGAGATCTCCCCCCTCTCCAAGCCACTAAGGCAACTAAATCAACAACGGTTCTACCCTCCGTGTCGCATTGTTTACCCCTTCGAGTAACCATCCATCCCCCGCACGTTGGAACCATCCCCCTATTATTCATCATTCCCCATATTCAAACCCACGAGATAACCCCCTGATAACATACCACACGCCCCTTCCCGCCCCCTGCGTCAAGTGTAACCGTCCTAACCCACTGCACGGACGGGTCGCGTGTGACACCACATACCAACTCCTGCAGCCCCACCCGTTTCAGTATGGTGTTCTGCGGGAAGCCGAGTAAAGGCTGCGGCGAATGTCGATCGCGCAAGATCCGATGCGACCAGGCCCGCCCGACCTGTTCCCAGTGCGTCAAGGGGAACCGCACCTGTCCGGGGTATCGCGACCAACTGTCGTTGATGTTTCGCGATGAGAGTCAACAGGTCGTGCGAAAAGCCCGGACTGGTGGCTCGCGCCGCGCCAAACCCTCGCGCAAGTCCCCACGTCGGGTCTCCCCGTCTCCCAGCACCAGCAGCTCTGATGCGGTCCCCCCGGGGCCACCACCTGGGGTTGTTCCTAGTGACTTTAACGACCGGTCGGATGTCAAAGACATCCTGCCATCATCGTCGCCGCCCGATGAGGCGCTGTCCCCGCTCGTGGGGCCCTCTCCGCGGCTGACGATGCAGCCCTCGTACCAGTTCAACGACAACGAAGCGATCTGTTTCTTTCTGCATTCCAACTCGTGGCCCGGGACCTTTTGGATGATGGATTTCGCCCCCGACTTTTGGGTGCAGGGTGGTGGCTCCCCCAGTCACCAGGCCATGAAAGCGGGTCTAATCTCGGTGGGAACGGCCATGTTGTCGCGCATCCGCCAGTCCGCCAACATGCAGGTCACCGCCGAGAAGGAGTATGGCTATGCGTTGCAGCTGCTCACTACGGCCGTCATGGACGAGGAGGAGGCAAAAACCAACCCTACTCTGGCGGCGGTCTTGTTGCTCGCTATTTTTGAAGTACGCTTTCCAGATATCTCCAGAGATAGATTTTTTTGGTTGACTAATTGGGTGTAGGTCGTCACGAGTCGAGCGCCTCGGAATATCGAGAAATGGACGAGTCACATCTACGGAGCCGCGGCGCTGCTCGAACTCCGAGGTTCCGAACAGCTTCAGGACGAGGATGGACTCAAACTGTTCATCCAACTCCGTTTCCAAATTGTACCCCTCCCCCTCCCCCCACCCAATTGATTGACGCAAGTCTAACCATCGCAGATCGTCAGCTGCCTCCAAAAAGGAGCCCGAGTACCGCAACCCGTACTCGAATGCTCTAAAATTGCCATGTTCCTGCGGCCACACGCCGAGGCCTACTCCGACCGACTGATCAGCATCGCCGGCCGGTTATCCAATCTGCGGGCGGACATCAACTGCAAGGTCCTGGCGGATCAGGGCGAGATCCTGACGGCGGCGTACGCGATCGAAGCGGAGCTAATGGCCTGGCTGGCCAGCCTCCCGGCCGAATTCCTCTATACGACAGTGGAAGACCCGACGCCAGTGGCAGTGACGATGGGATGGGGCCCCGCGCCGTGGAACAACCGACACCACATATACAGCGACCTTTGGATCTGTAACACGTGGAACCAGTACCGGTGCGCGCGGATCATCGTCAGCGAGATCATCCTAAGTTGCCTGCGGCGGCTAGCCACAGGAGCGACAGTGCCAGCAGAGCTACAGAGCCACTGCTCGCGCATCCGCGGCACCAGCCGCCAGGTAGCGACGGACATCTGCGCCAGCGTACCGTTCCACTTTGGGGTGGACAACTTCACGACCAAGCCGTCGCTCTACTTCCCCGTGCACCAAAGCTACCTGGGCGGGCTGATGCTTCTCTGGCCATTAGTACTGGCGGGGGCGACAGAGGACCGACAGCACCCGATGCGCAAGTGGGTGATCGGGTGTCTGCGGTTCATCGGACACAGCATGGGGATCGACCAAGCGCTGGCGCTGATCGATGTCTTGGAGTACGAGTTCGGGGTGTTCGAGGGGGTCGAGGACGGCGAAAACGGGGTGGTCTTCCGAACGCACGAGCAGATGACGCGGACGAACAAGGTGTTGACGGGGACGTGGGGGGTGTAACTATCATGTACACAGTCTGGACATACTACCCCATACCATACGATAACGATAATGATACCAATGATATATCTATTACATATCACTAATCCTTCTGCTCAGACGCATACACCGCCCCCTCAGCATAAGCCCTATTCTCCGCATTCCTCCCCTCCACAAACTCCGCCAAATACCCGGGCACCTCACCGACCCTCCCATCCCCATCGCGAACGGGCTCCCCAAACGTCTCCCAAACAGGCACAACCCCCGTCCACACCCTCCCCGTAACACTCTCATCCGCACTATCCTTCCTCTCATCCGACACGCCCCCGTCGCGGATCTTCCCACTGCCTCCAACGACCCTCACCCTCAACACAGCCGTCGACGCCATCTCCGCCCCGTCGGGTGGAACCCTCGTTGCAGCCCATCGTCCGGTCACGACGGAGTCGGTCATGAGCCGCATGGCGTAGAGTTTCTCTGCTTCGTCGGTGACGAGGCTTGCGTGCCCGTGGAGAATGGCGGAGCGGTAGTTGTAGCTGTGGCTGTTGGGGGTTAGGGAGAGGATGAGCCCGTCGAGTTTGCTGGCGGCTATGCAGACCGGGAGGCCTTTATCTGTTGCCGTTGCTGTTGCAGCTGTTTCTGTTGATACTGCAGATGGGAGGGTAGATGCAGATGCAGATGCAGCCCGCGCAAGATTCATAACCCGCGAACTAACATACCCATGCAAGTAACAATCCATCGGCTCGTTGATATCGGCAGAGGGATACTCGAAGGAACCCATTGCGCCGATCATGGGGAGGATTGCGGGGAAAGGGTTGTCATTGTTGATGGAGCCGGTGTTGAAGGAGACGTGGAGGACCTGGGTGGTGTTGATTATGGAGTGGATTGTGCGGAGGTCGTAGGTTGCTTTTTGTTTATCTAGTTAGATTGTGATGTTGTGATATTGAGGTGGGGATAGGTGGGTATAGATGGAGGTATGGATGGGGTATACCTCGGTCGTTGTGCCGGTTGACTGTGTTGAAGGGGAGTTTGGGGTAGGTGAGGGTTCGGCCCATTTTGTATTATAGATAATTAGATATGTACCAATGGAGATGTAGATGTATTGTTGGATGAGTATTTGAGTAGAGTATGGATTTGTATAGACTGCGTGGTAGACCAGTGAATATATAGTCGAGTATACAGAGTATACAGAGTATACCTCTATATATAGTCCTCAACCTCCCACTCAACCACGTCACAACCCCTCTTCTGTAACCTTCTTCTGTATCACCGCTATCGTACCGGTCTATCCGATCAATGAAGCTCTTCTGATCAATTAACCCATCTATCATCAAGGCGATATCAACCTATCAGATCACTGTCAGCATCCCTGATTGGCCGCAGTCTCCGAAAGGGCGCAGCCTGAGGCAGAATAGCTTATCTGCATCATTAGTAATCAACATTGTCCATCATCATCAGTTTGACTGCAATAATTCACCTCCAGTTCAAGAATTGATCCGACTCTCCACCATCGTCCAAGCCATGTCTCGCTCCACCATATCGGCATGCAGATCCCTCTGCCGTCAATGGCCCCGCTCCCTCCGTTCTTCCACCCCCGTCATCCCTCGCGCCCTCCTCCGACGCTCGCCCGTCGCATGTCCCGTCCGCTCCGTCTCGCATTACGTCTCCGCCGCGGAGCTCAAGTTCGGCCAGCCGCTCCACGAGACGCATCCTCACCTTTTACAACCTGGAGAATGTGTGTTCCCTGTCTGATACTATGAGGCGATGGCGATGTTGAGAACAAGAATATATATTGACTGATCAGTAACCCCCGGTATCACCGCCCTGGAATACGCCCAGCGCCGCTCGCGACTCGCCAATAAACTCCCCCAAAATGCCGTCGCTGTGCTGGCTGCCAATGAGGTGACCTATCGCGCGTCGGGGATCTTCAATCAGTACCGACAGGATTCGAATTTCTTTTACCTCACCGGTTTGTTTGTGTTGTGTCTGCGGAGAAAACCTTTAATTGACTTCTGTTTATCTGATAGGTTTCGACGAACCCAATGCGTTGGCTATAATCGGTGAGATTGTCAACGAGTTACGTGGAAAGGTGCATGGGGTAGGGCGCTGATATTCGCAGTCAATGACGGCTCCGGTGATAACCATATTTTCCATCTCTACGTGCGCGGGAAAGATCCCCGCGCGGAGCTGTGGGACGGTGCGCGATCGGGCACGCAGGCTGCTATTGATGTTTTCAACGCGGACGAGGTAGGTTCTCCATTTCTGGCCGTACTACCGAAGGATGCCGCTGACGCTTGTGTACAGTCCGGCGACATCGAACGCATCGGCGACATCCTCCCCAAAATCCTTGGCGACGCGACCGAGATCTACACCGACATCCCCGCCTTCAACACCGGCCGATCCTCCCTGCATCGGTATCTGTACGGTCCCATGGGGGCGTCTGACAAGCTGAAGAAGATCGTCGACCACCGCAAGACCAAGCCTTTGCGTCCTATTCTCAACGAGATGCGCGTGTTCAAGAGCGAGGACGAGGTGGTGCAGATGCGTCGCGTGGGCCAGGCTTCGGGTCGTGCCTTTACCGAGTCGATGCGCCAGACTTTTACCATGGAGAAGGATCTTACTAATTTCTTGGAATATAACTTTAAGAAGAATGGCTGTGATGGCAGTGCGTTTGTGCCTGTTGTTGCGGGTGGTTCGGTGGGTTTACTTCCTCGCAGAGAGGGGATCGTAGCTGATTGTTCTAGAATGCTCTGGCTATCCACTATACGAGGAACGATGACGTCTTACGGTATGAAAGGCCTTACCCTTACTCGTACGGTAAATTATGTACTGACTGACCAAACCACAGACAAGGAGACATGGTGCTGGTAGACGGAGGCGGAGTGCGTATATACAGCAACATGACAGACGATGTCTAACTAGTTACAGGAAGCCGGAACCTACATCTCGGACATCACGCGCTCGTGGCCCGTGAATGGCAAATTCTCCGACCCCCAGCGCGATCTGTACAATGCCGTGCTGGACGTCCATCGCAAGTGCGTGTCGCTCTGCCGGGAGGACGCCGACCTGTCGCTGGATCGACTCCATTCGGTGGCGGAGAGCGGGTTGAGGGAGAATTTGCAGCAGCTTGGATTTGACGTATCGAGTGATGTATGCTTCTTTTCTTTCCTTTTCGTTTTCTGCTTGATGTAATGAATGTCATACTAATTAACCAGGCCATGGGAATCCTCTTCCCCCACCACCTCGGACACTACGTCGGACTGGACGTGCACGATTGCCCGGGTTATTCGAGAAGTTACAGCCTCAAGGCGGGGCAGTGCATCACCATTGAACCGTATGTACCTCCTCCCTTTTTGAAACTTGAGTTCCTGGCAACTAACAACCTCCAGCGGGGTCTACGTTCCCGACAGCGATCGATGGCCCGAACGATTCCGCGGCATCGGGATCCGCATCGAGGACAGTGTGTGCGTTGGAGACGAGAGCCCGATTGTGTTGACCACCGAGGCTGTCAAGGAGGTGAGTTCCATTTCAGTATAGGATGGTTAGATGTGCTAACGAGTATAGGTGGACGATATCGAAGCGCTTCGTGATTAGACGCAGGACATGTCGATACCTGCATTATGTCATTGCATGTACTATATCTATCTGTATATTTATGTCAATCAAACATGTCCAAAATAAATCATATATTGACAGCATATTGAGAGTATTCAGAGTGGAGTAAATAGAGTAGAGTATCTGAACAGTGTACATGCAAGTATAGCATCGCCCACTCATACACGGATGCATAATGCACAGCCGATCAATCGGAAGAAACCAAAAAATCGGCTAGAATCGGAGGCCGGTCGAATTCCGGCCTGCCGTGACTAACAAACGTTAAATCGGGCTGGACCAGAGAACCCTACCCAATCATTCAGCCACAAAAATGGGGGGAATGGAGACACGGAGACCTCCGATTGCAACGCGCATCCACTTGGCCATTTCTCAGCATTCCGGTGTTCATTTGGGTTATTCACGATGTCGATCACTGGTCACGGGGTTTGCGGTCACGGGGGACGGCTCTCTGGATTGGGATTAGCGTGTTCCCGTGACCGTGTCTTGCCCTGATTTGATATGGAACAGTTGAAGGCATCATGAAGTGGACTTCAGCATGGGCAGTTGGGAATGGCTTCGGATGGGAGAGAGGGGATGGGGAAGACTTGATATATAGGCTAGGACACCTTGTATAGCCCCTGACTAGCAGTCCGGCCATGTGACATGGATTTCTCTGGCTCTTTCGTAATGGCATCCTTGAGGCCGGAATTGATACCGGCCTCTCAGGGTTATAAGAATCGCCTCCTTTCCGGCAGATTTCTCTTTCTCTCTGCTCTTCAGACATCTCCCCAGACATCTCTCTCACTTCTTTTTTCCTACTTTCTTCTATCTTCCCTATCCCCAGTCATCCAGTCCATCACCATGTCTCCCTCCAAGCTATCTCCCCAATCCACCACCACCCAACACTTCCCTCACATCCACGATGACCCAGCCTCCCTCCCCCAGTCCCTAGACCCCTTCACAATCACCACATCCACAGGCTTCATGCCCTATCGTATGGGTCCCACCCACCTCCCAGAAGCCTTCCAGCCCCTAATGGCCCTGCTCGACCGTATGCCCGTCCGCAAGGCCGACGGCTCCCCGGGTCTGCTGGCTACCTATGAGCTGGGCCCTACCGTCCAGGCGGGATTCCCGGACCTGACGGATGAGGTGGACAAGCTGGTTACTGAGGACGGTGCTCCGGATTTGTATACCGTTACTGCTGTCTTCAGGGACTACACTTTCCTGGCGTCGGCTTATCTGCTTGAGCCTTGCTGGGAGAGCTGGAATTGTAGTGCTGATAAGGGGTATGGGTTTGGGAGGGATGTGTTGCCGAGGGCTATTGCTGTTCCTATGTATCGGTGTGCTCAGCTGTATGTTTTCCCCTCTAATATCCTACCCTTGGATATACTTCTTGGATATCTTCCCTTTGCTACCCTCCTTGGATATCCTCTATGATATCTACCTTTGATATCTTCGATAAATATAACTAACGATAACAGCCTCGACATCCCCCCCTTCATGTCCTACGCCGCATCATACGCCCTCTTCAACTACAACGTCGCCGACAACGCCAAAGGCCTGGAGTACGACAACCTCCGTCTAGTCCGTGCCTTTGAGTACGGTCTCGACCCCAAGAGCTCCGAGGCCGGCTTCATCCTCACCCACGTCGACATGGTCAAGTGGTCGGGCAGTCTCATCGCTGGCGCTATCAAGATCGTCGATACCATCGAGCAGGGTGGACCCCGGTCGGATGTTAATGATGGGTTTAGAGAGATTTTGTCTGCTATGGAGAAGATTGAGGCTGCTATGGAGGGTATGTCCCCTTATACATATATATATATATATACATTACCTCTATGTTCATATACAGAGCTAACTATGACTACAGATATGTGGGCAAACTCCAAACCCGGCGAATACCTCTCCTTCAGAGTCTTCATCTTCGGAATCACTTCCCAGTCGATGTTCCCCAATGGAGTCATCTACGAAGGCGTCCTCGACGACAATCGTCTCAACTTCCGGGGTGAAAGCGGCGCCAACGACAGCATGGTATGCCCCTCCCTTCCTTCCCTCGCTCCCCTCCTCTCTATCCAGCAAAGGCGTTAGGAAAAAAGCTAATAAGAATGAAGATCCCCCTCCTAGACCACCTCCTCCAAATCCCCATGCCCTCCACCCCCCTCACCAAAATCCTGCACGAATTCCGCGCCTACCGCCCCCTCCCGCACCGCGAATTCCTCGCCCACATGAACGCCAAGTGCGCCGAGCTGGACATCCGCGCCTTCGCCGTCCGCGACACGGAAACCGCCATCTGCTTCCTGAAGACGCTGAACCATGTGCGTAGCTTCCGGTGGAGGCATTGGCTTTTTGCCCGCGAGTATATTATTCGCAGGACGCCGCATCCGACTGCTACGGGGGGGAGTCCGATTGTTACTGTATGTTCCTTCTTTCTGATTTACCCTGTTTTTGGTTTGGGGGTGTGGTGATAGATGCTAATGTGTGTGTTTGACAGTGGCTCCCTAATCAGCTCTCCGCTGTTATGGATATGATGCTCTCGCTGTATGATACGTACCTGGCGCCGCAGAAGACTGCTGGTGGGAAGGGTCCCGACGGATTGACCGGGTATGATGCGGTGTACCAGAAACAGGTCGAGCCTATGATGGAGATGGTGCGCGATCAGAGGGAGAAGTTGGCGCGGGAGGTGGAGCGTTGGTGTAAGGAGAGGGGGGTGTAACTTTTCTTTCTTTTTTATTATTATTTATGTTTTACTGGTGTAGATATAGAATGGAATGTTGACTCTTTATTAATTGTGTGGGTATGTTATTATGGTAGAGCTTGTTTACGGTAGAGAGCCCATTGCAGTAGAGTGTAGTGAAATCAACGCTTGATGGTGATATATACAGACTTAGTTAGGACCATCTTGCTCAACAAGTGTATCCCACGCGAAACAGTAAGGATTGTAATAACAGCAGTACAAGAAGGAAATAAAGGAAGGACGAAATCAGGGAAATAGGAAAGGGCCAGGGTATGGGAGACACAATAATCGATACAAATCAGAAAAACACTACAATTCTCCCATGGCTCGCTCGTCTGCCACGCGCATCCGCAAGAAGATGGCCAACGCCCAGCTCCACAGCTTCCGCGTAATCACAAACACCGGAACTTCCGGCTCGTTCTCGCGCGTCAGGTGGAGTTGAAGTAGCAGTAAGGACGTGCTGACAAAACTGGCCACCGAGAACACCAGCAAGGATGCTGTGGTTTCGCGTTTGATCGTCGCGTGGTTTTGCGTTGCGTGATAGACGAACGTGAGAGTCTATCACTCGTTAGATCATATTTGATATTCACCGGGGGGGAGACAGGTACCGTTGTAATGGAAATCCAGGCCGGAAGGAGAAGACGCGGATCAGACGAAGCGCCAGACAGATACAACACCCAAGACGAAATGTAGGCGATCAATCCATTGGTAGTGAGAAGACGAATAACAACGGCGGGCGGGGTATAATTCAAAAGCCTGTTCGGTCAGAAGTTGAAACAAGACGACCGATCGGATGACATACCATCGAGACATCATACAATCGGCGAAAAAATAAGAAAGATAGGCGGATGCACAGCACTGAACAATTAGTCTCCGTATCGCTCAAGTGGATGATAGTGAATGATAACTCACCCACATAATCGCTAATGCCACCTCCGTCACACGAAACCGCCTCTCCACATCCCATTCTTGTCCAGCGCTCCCCACTATCGCCGCCGTCCATCCCTCGCGTCCCATGCCTGGCCGGATCTGCAGCAGTTCGGCCAGGAAGGTGAAGGCGCACCGCAGCCCCCACCACGCCGCCGGCACCGTACTCAATGCGCGACAGATTATCAGGGGCAGGTACCACTTCCGATCCACCCCCAAGATGACTGCGACCCGCGGGTGCAGGGTGGAGGTTGTGGTCGCGTGCTCGGCATCGTTATGGCCGGGAAGGTGGGACGTCGAGGGGGCGGGGAATGGCGGGGCCGCGGTGGAAGTCGTGTAGGCGGGGGAAGCCACGTCTCTAACTTTATCCTGGAAATCCAGCGAAGGGTTCCAGAATCGCGCGGGGACAGGTGACAGTGGATTGGTCCGGGAGTTGACGGCCGGACGGGAAGGGATCAGGTCAGGTTCAGACGACCGGGAGTGCAGGGAGAAGGGTAGAGGAACTGCAGCATCACGAGAAGGAGCCAGCCTTTCTCTACGGCATATGCAGCCGTTGCGCAATCCGTCCACGAAAGGGAATGGAGGAACGAAGTCAAGAGAACTGGCTCACAGGAGACCAGTTGGTGTGATATGGGAGGATGGAGAGGGGAAATGTCGATGGCTAGAAAGAATGGAAAGATTCCCACAGACGGACCCTGTTGAGAGGGAGATAGCCACTGAGTTGAAGATATTCGACACCCTAAACAACCGAACCGAGGGGAGAGTGGAGAGGAAGAGGAGTGAGATAGGAAAGAAAGAGGAGGAGAGAGAGAGACGGAGGTGAGTTTAAGGTAGTGTCGTGGGTACCTTAGGCACGCAGCCGGCCGTCCCTCACGTGACCCGCCCGCGGATCTCGATCCGATCATGAGAATTATTTGCATCTTCACTTCGGCGCGTCCTCTCGTCTTCTTCTTTCCCCACCCCTCATACGACGACATTTTCTGGTCTAGTCGGTGGCCCGCAGTTCGAAATGGCTTCGTCACTTGCCAAGGGTCCCTTGGTATCGACCTTCCGATCCAACAATGTCCTTTCCCAGCGCTCTTCCGGTCCTCTCGCTTTCGTCTCCGCGGCCTCCCAGTGCAGGCATTTTTCCAACTCTCCCCAACATGGCATGGGAAACATGCGGGGGATGCCCCAGAACTTCTCGGTGAAACAACCGGCACAACCGAGTACGAAAACCCGCGGTCGGGAATTGTCGCGGGCGGACTTGCCGCAGGATATTGGGCTGTTGCCCGGCACATACGTTCGACAGCTCTGGCGGGACATGCCGTCGATCTTTCACCAGCCGGCGGAGCGCTTGCGATTAGAGTGGCTGTGGCTGAAGACGGGATTTCAAAACTTTCTGGGGTGCGCTTTTCGACGCTCAAGCTGGGTTGTGGAGTGACCGTGGGCTAACGATCCCAGACTTCTCGCCTACTGTAAATGGGTAAACAAAGGATTGCCCCTCCGACTGAAGGAGCGCCGACAGGTCGCTGGCGAACTCCACCAGCGCATGTATACTGCATTCGCCGAGTAAGCCTCTCCTCCCTGGAATGCTGTGGCCGGATTACTGTGGATGGACCCATACTAAGGCAGCCTCTCGCACAACAGTGGAAACCTCCCCTTACTGCGCAAGACGTGCTGTACCGGTCTGGCGAACAACCTCGGCACGCGGATCAGCACCCGTCCCAAGGATGAAAAGGTCACCTGGCATCTGGACAAGTATATCCGCTCGCCGTCGACGTTCCTGACCGGCATCCGTGTGGTCTCGGACCGCGCGACCCAGATCCCCGAGCTCCCGGATTCGGGCGTCCGCCAGGTGGTGGTTCGCATCACGAGCCGGCAATCCACCGGGAAATCCAAGGTGCGGCCCCAGCGAGGCCAGCAGACGCCAGCCAACGAGGTCGAAGAAGTCGCCCCCGCCAAACAGCAGGACTGCACCGAGTACATTGTCATCCAGAAACTCCGCTGGGTCGGCGAGGAAACCGACTGGAAGGTTTGGGGCCATGCTTCGCCTACGACGGTGGACAACCTCAATGATCCGGCTTTTGCTGCGGGGCTGACCATGCGTGAGCGCATGGAGGCCATCCAAGACCAGATGGCTGGCAAGAAATAAGGAGACCCTCCGTTTTAACCGAGGTCCCTTAGTGTTGTCAGAGCCAGCCTGGTACGCTGAACGTTCAGGACGATGGCTCGTCCTCTGGCTTGTGGCTACTGGGTCAATAAGAAGACGCGACAGACGGCCAAGGTCTATGCGAGGCTTTAAATCCTCGACGATTCACTTGATTGTATTTTACGACCAGCCCTGCATTGACCCTCCCATTCACCTACAGCTATCTGGTTCACCTTTGTATCAAAATGCGAATATCCGATCCCCATGATGTGTTTTGCGCTTCCTATTTGATCAATCTCTCGAGTTGGTTTCTCTGGAGCCGATTCCCATCTGTGTCATTACCATTTGTACTATATATCCATCTACGCCCATCCTGTGTATTATCTCATTTATAGAAATGAAAAGTTCAGGAAATATTCAATACTTGTCATCATAATATATAAGCCATCCTTTTGTAGTGAAGACTGCCATGAACCCAGGGAGCATTTGGCGCACCCATACTCCCTAAGCCCGGTGTATACAAACCCAAACAGGCTAGCGTGTGAGCCGATCGGGCTGATCGGCCCGACGAATTGGCCGCCTGTGGGGAAAGAAAGAAGTCATCGATCTTCATTCTTTTTTCATTCTTCTCTACAACCATCCAATCTGGACGACAGACAATCATGGCGCCCATGTCAGAGGAGGACCTCGAGTGGTTCAAGTCCACCTTCCGTCCGATTCCCAAACCCGAGATCCCCGACGACTGTGTCGAATATGCGCTGTACCATCTCCCCTCAGACCCCGCCCCCGCTGCGGTCGACACGGTCGCCGAGACACGAACCCGGTTGGTGGAGGTGCAGCGGACGGCGGCGGAGCTGTCGAAGCAGTTGTTAAAGGATTATATTTGGCAGCGGGATGGTTTTCATCTGGAGATCAGCAAGGAGGATGGGACTACGGCTCTGCGCGGGCGCACGAATTACGGAGACTCGATCGAGGATGAGTGGGTGGTTGTTTATATGCTGCGCGAGCTGAGCTTGAAGCATAAGGATATCTGGGTGCGCGTGGTTGATAGTGATGGCCAGTTCCTTTTGGTGGAAGCCGCGGGTGCTTTGCCGGAGTGGCTTGAGCCCGATGTGGCGGATAATAGGGTTTGTTCTCAATCCCGTTCTGTTTGACAATTGGTGCTGATTCATTGAAAAGGTATGGATAAATCAGGGACAGCTGGTGATCATCAAGCCTGCAAAGGAGAAGAAGGGGAAAGTGACGGAGAAGCTGTCGCTTGCGGAGGCGCGAAAGGTCATAACAGAGGAACCTGGTCGATTGATGCGGTCGACCATGATCCAGGAGGAAGCGTTCTACCGGCTGCGAAACTACCCCCAGCAGATCAACGAGAACCTACATTCCGCCCTCATCACACTCCCACGAAAAGTCGCCTTCCTGCTGCACCAGAAACCCGGCTATATCTCGGCGGCTGTCGAGACTTTTTACCTACGAGATCCGATTGCACTGCGACCCCTCCGCTCTAAAGGGACAGACGCCCTTCTTTTCAAACCGGAGGATTTCGTCACCGTGAGCGTTCGATTCACTAGGGTAGGTTATGCGCAGCTGAAGAGCCAGGACTTTCCCGCGCCGAAAACATGGCTAGACCAGCTTCCCGCGAAAGAGCAGGAAAAGGAGCATGATCGAGCGGAGATCGGAATGAAATTGTCCTGTGGCTTTGAAATGCTCCTCGCCGACCCGCAAAGCCAGGACAAGCCCATCGTGCGAGAGATCAAGCTCTTATTGGAGGATGTGGATTCTGGCGACGAACGGCTACCCTCTGACGATGAGATTTCTACCTGGGACAAAAAGGAGGATGACGAGAAGTGGCTGGATATCAGTTTTGAGGACCTCGACGCGGAATTGAAAGGGAGAGGCAAAAGCAAGACCGACAAGGACAAGCCCGCGGGAGATTTCGGAGACTCCAATGCGCAGGAGAACCTGCAGCGTATTGTGGCCCGCTTCGAAGAGTTTTTGAACGATAACTCTGCAGGATTCGAAGGAGCCGATTTCATTGATGACTATGGATCCGATTCGGACGTCAGTGACGACGACGATGCAGCTAGCAGTGACGGAGAGGACAAGGAAGCCTCCTTTGACGAAGAGGAGTTCTCCAGAATGATGAAGGAAATGATGGGGATGCCATCCGGAGCGCCGACAATGCCCGGATTGAAGCCCCCGAAGAAGCCGTCTGCGCCACGCGGTAAAGTGGAGGATCTGGGCAGTGATTCCGAGGATGACACCGAGCAGATCAAACAGCTTTCGCGCGAGATGGAGGCTGAACTGAGAGGGACCGGTGTTCTCGACCTGAACCGCAAGGGCAAAGAGCCTGCCGGGAAAAAGCCTGTATCCAAGGGGGAAGAAAAGACGGCAGAGAAGAGCACCGATGAGACTGATGTCAACGCGGAGGACGAAGATATCGATATCAATCTGGCGAAGAACCTTTTGGAAAGTCTCCAAGGTCAAGCGGGTGCTGCTGGGCCGGCGGGCAACATGCTCTCTATGATGAACTTGCCTATTCCCAAGGACGACCGTCCTCGCTGAAGTTAGGCTTGAGACCTCGCCGTAGCCTTCGGATTCGTCGACTGCTGGCCGTTGCCCGCAATATCTGGATTGTCCGGCCTCCAAAAAAGTGAACTCTACCCTCGATCTATGGACAATCACAAAGTCCGTGACTACGGGACAGAACCATACTGATTTGGTGTTTGCTATCTCTCTTCCCATCCACATTGCTATGGGTCCCGGGGTCGATTTAAAGAACCTTTCAAAGGGCATCTTAGCATACAAAGGGATACCCTCGGAGTGCAGTCGACAAGCATCCACCACGATCGGATCATTCGATTCTTCTACAGATATAATCAATACGAATGTTGCATATTCTGCCCACTGCTCCGATACGACGGTGCTCGTGTTTACTATGCGCCAATTGATAGCCATCATGGTCAAGGATAGTCAGCATTGAGTTTCGTCAAGAGAAGATTTACGCGGCTAGTGGAAAACCCTTCTTCAATGAAACAAAACAGTTATCTCGCTGAAACGCTTGGAGTCACACGGGTTGGTAAAACCGTCGCAATCAGCATCGAGAGGCTGATTTGTTGACCCGACGGCATGCGTATACTAGCTACGTACCTATTTATTATATCTGACAGCGTGATCATGCTTTTGATTATCTCAGTGAGCATACGCTTGATGCATCTCAGTATGGGACTCGTGATCTGGTCAATTTTCTAGCTAGGTTTTGTATCCAGGATTATCAACCTAGCCAATGACTATCTTTGGGAACAACTTATGAATGTCAAGTACGACTCGGACTCTAATTCTGGTCCTATCGTCCTAACTTTCTATAAAACGTATAAGAGGGATAGGCTCGAATGACCGACAAGGTCTGATGATGAAGTACATCAGATGAACGGGTGTAGTGCCATGGGAGGCAATTGTAGTGCCATGGGAGGCAATGTAGTGGCGAGACAACAATACGAGCAGCGGCGAATTAATTCATTAGCTAGTCAACAAGGGACCGTCTGGCGTAACAACTTCTACATGATGCTTTTATTTCAAGTAAACAAAGTCAACTCGAGATGCTATACCTAAGGATCGGATATACATTGAATGTCACGTGACGGCTTCTCCGGCTTGGCATCAAATTCATTCCGCCGATTCCTCCAACTCGTCCTCCGCAGACGCATCGTCCTCTCTGTGCCGACTTCTCACATTGAATCCCACCGCGAACTCGACTTATCTCCCGTTCTTCATTCCCGAATTTCCATCCACATAGCGATTCACCGACAACATGATCTGCCAACGGTGCCGAACGGGCATTCTCTCCCGCCTGCAGCAACCGCAGACTGCCGTGTCGTGGTCTGGAGCACGCCAGTTCCCTCTCCAGCGGTACCAGCACCAGGCCCGCTCGTACAGCGACGGCAAGCCGACAGTGTCCGCGACTCCGCCGCCGCCGGCCCCTCGCCAGCCCGTCACCGACGACGTCTCGATCCCGTCCGCTGTCTCGTCCGCGACCCCCGGCGTGTCGCAGCCGCTCAGCACCCCCGGCGAGGTGCACATCAGCCCCAGCCAGAAGAAGACCCCCAAGCAGGAGCGGCCTCCTAGTTGGTGCATAGCCGGATCCCGCATGACGGGCCTCAACTATTTCAAGAATAAGCCCGATGTGCTGGCCCTCGAGGACTCGGAGTATCCTGAGTGGCTGTGGTCGCTGCTGGATGGTGGGAAGAGTGAGAAGAAGGGCGGCGTGGATCCGAATAGTACGTTCTTCCTCCTTTTTTGTGGAATCATTTCAGGAGAAAAAAATCCATGCTAACTTGTTTTCTGTGCAGCCCTGAACAAGGCCCAGCGCAAGCGCTACGACAAGAAAATGGCCGCCCGCGCCGCGACCCTCCCCCCCAAGATCCCCGTCCACCACCACGCGACGGATCTCACGCCCGCGCAGGAGGAGGCCTCGAAGGATCTGCTCAGCCGTGCGACGGAGAGTCTGGAGAAGCGGGAGGATATCACGAAGAGTGCACGCGACGCGCGGAGAAAGGCCATTCGGGAGGCGAACTTCCTGCGTGGACTGTAGTTACTTTTCAGTCTCCGTTTCTGTTGTGCTGTGTTTTATTAGCTATTTATATTGTACTGTACTATTGGGTGACGGATGTAGACTTGGGCCCTGTTCAGAACATTTTACTGTATTCTATGAGATTTTCTTTCTTCTTTATTTTTTTTTCTTTCTTATTAAGCGTGGGTATGAAAAGGGAAAAAAAAGACCTAGAAACCATGCGCCTTAACTATATACTGTAAAAGATAAATACATAAAAACATATAGAGTAAAACCACTCAACGACGAACATCCCACTCCTTCACTTCCCCTTGACCCTCCATCCACGGCCGACAAGCATCCCACAGCGCCTGCAAGGGCCCATCCCCCACACTCACCAACTCCTGCCACAGCTCCTTATCGGCCCTCTCAACCCACGCCAGGAACGCGACGACCAAGAAATCCGCATACCCCGGCCGGACGCCCTCAAAGAAGGGGCCCTTCTTGCCAATACGCCCGCGCAGCATCTGGGCGATCGTCGCCAACTCGGTCTTCATGCCGTCGACCATGGTGCGCACCTCGCGCTCATCCCGCGGCCGCAGCTGCGACAGCGGCTTGCCGAACCAGGCCGACCGCGTCTTGATGAAGTACTCCCGGCCGCGGGGGTCCAGGATGTCTGCGATGAGGGGGATGAAGAGCGTCCAGCCCTTTGCGGCGACTTTGTTGACGAGTTTGTCGACGGCGAGGGCGAGCGCGTAGCTTGCGTCGAGGGAGGGGAAGAGGGGCGGCGAGGGGAAGTTCCGGTCGAGGTGGGCGGCGATGGCGAAGGAGTCCATAAGGGCGCCGTGCGGGTTTTCAGTCACTGTTGGGGGGTGGCTGATTGCGGGGAGGGTGAAGGGGATACCTTCTGCGTTGGGGGGGAGGCCGAATTGGTGGCTGATGAGGGGCGCGATGTCAGGGTAGGAGATGAAGGATTCGACGTATAGGATGCGCTTGTAGTTGAGGACCATGCGCGCTTTGAGGGTGTTGGGGGACCATGATTTGGAGGGTCCTATATCATACTGAGGTTAGAGAGGGATGTTGATAGGGGAGTGGACTGAAGGGCTTGCCTGGGAGTGTGGAGGTGATGTCGAAGAAATGGACGGGCGTTGTTTGTGCCATCTTGACTGTGTCTGTATGAGTGTCTGTGAGTGTCTTGTCAGGAGTATTGAGTGTCTGGGGTGAAAAGGAGTAAGTTTGTTGAGGTTATCTTTTTCCGGGTCCAGAATCTTCCTGCTTATTGATGACTTTCAATGCGGGGAAATTGTCCGCCTTCCCTGCTCTCTCTTCCTCTTCGACACCATTCAGACTAATTTCTTACCTCCACTGAACCAATCAGTGGAAGATTACAAGTGAACTCTGCACACGGGCAATATGAGTCTCCGAATCATATCCTTACGACTGCAGGAGCCTTATCGGTGGCTGTTTCTAGATTCTCCTACTCTGCGGGGGTCTGTTTACCCCGCCAAATCGAGATCGCGATGGAAAAGGTAGATCGTCATTTGGGATACTATTCCGACCACATGGACACGCGACGGAAGGATAGTCATGAGCAGAAGTAACATGGCCCGGGAGAGAGATCAGCAGAATGGGTCATCGGGTCGCGAATCATCTGGAGTTTGAGCCCAAATCAGCCAAGCAAGAGTGGAGCATCGACGAAACAGTGACCGCCAAATCATCCTCCTCTGGACAACCTCTTTGTTTTGGTTTCTGTCAGGTTCTCTGCACTATACAAGAAACAGATAAGGAAGAACGGCAGGGAAAAAAAGGAGAAGGAAAAAAACACGAAGACAGAAGGAAGACACCCCTGTCACCCATCGATACAACAGCTACAAGCATATACTGCAGCCTAACGTCACTGAGGGGTTCCGGTGGTTTCACCTCCTTTTTCAAACTAAAGAGTGCTGGTAAGACGCCATGGAGAAGATCACTAAACTCGCCAACCGTCTGTCACTCGATGGTTCGGCAAAAACACCGGTGGTCAAGCCGGATCCAGATGCGCTGTTTTCGCCCGTCGTGACCTCCCATCTCGAGGAGATCTATGCCTCGTTGACGGCCTCCTCCGATGTCGACTTCGTCAAGGATATCCAACATGAAACCCCCCCAACAGACACCGAGGCCGGACCGCTTTCATCCTTGGAAGCGTTCAAAGAATACATGGCCGGTCCCAACGCGTCGGCCCTGCAACCGGCCCAGAAGCCGGATCTCACCGTCCCCATTACCGACTTTTTCATCTCCTCGAGCCACAACACCTACCTGACCGGTAACCAGCTGTCGAGTGACTCGGACGCGAGTGCCTACACAAATGTATTTATGAACCGTCGATGGTCTGTGTGATGTGATCTACGGCTAACCGTGTGCTAGGCTCTTCTGAACGGATGTAGATGCGTCGAGATCGACGTCTGGGACGGGGATCTAGACTCCGACAGTGATGGCGACGTGAGCAGCAGCAGCGAGTCCAGCTCGGACGACGAACAAACCAAAGAACGGAAGAAGGAGAAGCAGAAGAAGAAGGCAGAAACCGTCGGGCGTCGTAACACCGTCTCGAAAAAGTTGAATGGCCTCCTGGGCCGAAAATCCCCTCCCGCCGATGAGCCCGCTGAGGAGGAGAAAAGCCTGGGAGCCAAGGCTCGGGAGTTGATCCGGATGGAGTCCAAGGAGCCCACCGAGGAGGAGAAAAGCCTGGGAGCCAGGGCTCGGGAGTTGATCCATATGGAGTCCAAGGAGCCCACCGAGGAGGAGAAAAGCCTGGGAGCCAGGGCTCGGGAGTTGATCCATATGGAGTCCAAGGAGCCCACCGAGGAGGAGAAAAGTCTGGGAGCCAAGGCTCGGGAGTTGATCCATATGGAGTCCAAGGAGCCCACCGAGGAGGAGAAAAGCCTGGGAGCCAAGGCTCGGGAGTTGATCGGGCGGGAGCCCAAGGAGCCCGCCGTCGCGCCGACCGAGGAGGAGAAAAGCCTGGGAGCCAGGGCTCGGGAGTTGATTGGGCGGGAGCCTAATGAGCCCGCCGTCGCGCCGACCGAGGAGGAGAAAAGCCTGGGAGCCAGGGCTCGGGAGTTGATCGGGCGGGAGCCCAAGGAGCCCGCCGTCGCGCCGGTCGAGGAGGAGAAAAGCCTGGGAGCCAGGGCTCGGGAGTTGATCCGGCCGGAGCCCAAGGTGCTTCACGGCCACACTCTTACCAAGGATACAACCTTCCGGGACGTCTGCCATGCCATTCGCGATAGTGCCTTTGTCAAGAGCGATCTGCCGGTGATTGTCAGTCTCGAGGTCCATGCGTCGCTGGAACAGCAGGAGACAATGGTGGAGATCATGGAGGAAGCCTGGAGAGGAATGCTGCTAGAGGTGACGCCCGAGATTGAGGCGACCAAGGCCCCGCCGCCCTTGAAGAAGCTCCGACGCAAGATTCTGATCAAGGTGAAGTATGTGGCACCGGCGGATGACACCGAAGGGGCCGACCAGGAAGATTACACCGACGAGCTCGAAGGGTTGCAGCCGCAGCCGAGCCAAGGTGAAGCAAGCGTAACCAAGACCAACACCAACGCATCCGCCCCGCCAGTGAAGCCGTCCAAGATCTCCCAGGCCCTGAGCCGGCTGGCCGTGTTCACCAAGGGGTTCCATTTCAGTCACTTTGCGCAACCAGGTAGCCCACCCCTCGATTGTTGTATAGGAGAACACCGTGGCTGATTAAATGAACAGAGGCCAAGGTACCCGGGCACGTGTTTTCCTTGTCGGAGAAAGCCGCTCGCGCCGCATATGCCAATGATCGCGACGCCCTCTTCGAGCACAACCGAAGGCACTTTATGCGGGTGTATCCGTTCGGCCTGCGTGTCGATTCCTCAAACCTCGACCCCACCTTCTACTGGCGCCGGGGCGCGCAGATCGTGGCCCTCAACTGGCAGAAATTGGACAAGGGCATGATGCTCAACCGAGGCCTGTTTGCCGGCGAGGAGGGATGGGTCCGCAAACCCCAGGGATACCTGAGTACGGAGGAATCCTCGGCTCCGGTTCCGAAGGTCCAGCTGGACCTCTCTATTGAATTCATCGCCGCACAGAATCTGCCTCTGCCCCCCGGCGATACCAAAGAGAAGGGGTTCCATCCCTACGTGAGCTGCTACTTGCACGTTGAAACCCCCAGTGAGGAGCCCGACAGTCCCACCGACGACGACACGACCGACTCCGAGAAATACAGCTACAAGCGGGAGACCAAGAGCACGACCGGCTGCAACCCAGACTTCAAAGGCCAGAAAGTCACCTTCCCCACCATGACGGGGATCGTCGAAGACTTGACATTTGTCCGGTAAGTGCATCCACCTCCAGCCCAGAAGGAGACGAGCTCACCCACCCCCCCACAGATTCAAGGTCAAAGATCACGAGCTGTGCCGCGACTCCCTCGCTGCATGGGCGTGCATCAAGCTAAACCGCCTACGCGAGGGTTACCGGTTGATCCATCTGTACGACTGCGCGGGTGCAGACTCTGGCGGGGCGATCCTCGTCCGGGTCACGAAGAAGTTGGACCAGGTTTCTGCCTAGATGTGCGATTTTTGTCGCCAATCAGCCTGACTAGTCTTTGCATCTGCATGTATCACACTATCAGCCAGACGGACTGGATTTGTTCGTCTGACTACAGAGTAGAACCGGATGAAGACTCGGTCAAGCACACTACATGCGGACCAGTAACGTTACACTGCAGGAGGGGGAAACCATCATGTCAGCGTTTGCCTCTTAAACACGACCTTTCAAAGCCACCTGGACCCATCGTATTCATCTCTGCAGAAAAGTAGACATTAGACAGACTGGTAAGGTAGAAATACACTATTCCACTCTAAGTAACTAGAGTGCATAAGCTCCACTCGATGACTAAGCCAATCCACCCAATCCATGATTCGATTGATCGATCGATGGCATCACATCCCATCAATCATCAACTCCAAGAACGACCTCACCAGGGCACCTAACACAATAATGGCTCCCACAAGCGAGAAACGCAAACTCGAAGACCCCAATGCTCAACAATCCACCCCAGACACGACCGACAAACGCCCGCGCGTGATCGGACCCTCTCTCCCACCCCCTCAAGCCTCCAACTCCAACTCCGACAACAGCGACAGCGATAGCGACGACGATGACTTCGGCCCGACTCTACCCCCACCCGAAGGTTCAGTGGACACCTCAGCCGCGACACGCGCCGCGATAGCCATAGCGAACGCGAAGGCGGAAGAAGAAGCGCAAGCAGCAGCGAAACCGCAACGCGACGAGTGGATGCTCCTACCGCCTGAGAACTCAGATTGGGGATCGCGAGTTGATCCGACGAAGTTGCGGAACCGGAAGTTTCAGAGTGGGAAGGGGGCGGCTTCTGGTGGGAAGAGTGGGGGTGTGGATGTGTCGTGGACAGAGACGCCGGAGGAGAAGTTGAAGAGGTTGCAGGATAGTATTTTGGGGGTTGCTGCGCCGGGGGAGGGGAGGAGGGTTGAGGGTGGTGCGGGTGGGGAGGGGATGAGGGGGGGAGGTCGTCGGAGGCTATGAGGGAGAGGGTTGAGAGGTATAATGTGAGTTTTTCATCTCTTTTACTTTTTTGGTGGTTGGGTGGTGTGGGTTTGGGACTGACGGTGTGTTTAGGAGGCTAAGCGGAAGGATATCGCGGCCGAGCATGAGAAGGAGAGGAAAGCTAGGGAAGAGAAGAAGAAAGAGGAGGATGATGATCCTAGCAGCCGCGCTTTTGATCGAGAGAAGGATATGGCTCTGTCTTCGAAAATTACGGCGTCTCAACGGAGGGAGATGATCAATAAGGCGGGTGATTTTGGATCGCGGTTTACGAAGGGGAAGTTTCTCTGAGGGGAGCTTCTGGTTGTGAATACAATCAATCTCAAGGATTGGGATTCCACACTCGTGGGAGGTCATTGGTACAGTGGAGCTGAAGTTCCCAGAGACCTGCGTCGATATACCACTTTCTGTCAAATCCGTGTTCAGCAGCCCGTTCCGCGGTTGTGACGGAGAGGATGACAACAGACGAGAGTCTAGTTTGATGGCTCTGAGGTTCATCGATATCGTCACGCACGGCTCCATGTACAGCTCTCCTAAAGTTAAGTCCACGCACTGATGCTTGGCTTACGGTGAGGTTACGTTGTCTAGGTGGTACATCTATAACTCCACAAACAGCCATGTGGACCCGACGGATCCAGCACTTCTGGCCCTGTTATCGAGAATCCACAATATGACCAATCCACAGGTTTCGAGCTATCGCTATGCAGAACCACACTCTTCGTTGTCAACTTCCTATCCAACTTGCCGTAGGTGTCACAATCTTGATCTATGCAATTATTATACTCCGATTTGTCGGTTGAGCTGGTTCGTCACCGGCTTTCTGAATTGTTGTCGGCAAGATCATGTGCGTTTCTGCCGCGTTTAGTCCTTCTATTGGTGGCACTATATACCTGGAAGTAGATTATGTCCAAGTTATACTTTCTCTTTTCTCACTAAAGCGTCTAACATGTACGGGGTGTTGCCCGACTTGTTCCCAACGACATGTCATATATATGACTGCTTCTTGTGACTGCGTTCGAAGGATTCATCGCCATGTCGTGTGCTCCGGACTATATGGAAAGGATGAAGACAAAGACAATAGTTGGACAGGAGGTGCAGTCACAGACTTTGGGTATCGAACGGATAGACCCAACGTTCTCGATACGAGATGCCATAACAAAAAGGCCTCAACCAGATGATACGTGGTGCTGGTGAGACCACAGATGTTAAGCAGCTGCGTCAGCTTCCTGGGCAATTATTCCCTGTCGACATCCTCCCCGGCAGCTAAGTCATACCCTCATGAAGCAACCATAAACCAAGTCTTGGAGACAGCATGGCAGCAGGACAGACAGGTGATCACACCAGTCCACTGTCCATCTCCATCTCCGTCAGACATGCTGGTCGGCTGGCCAATGCAGGTCACGGATCAGCGGGAGATCATCACCTTCAGGACTCCTCACTATCTCATCGTATCGTATCGTCCAGCCTGAAATGTGGGGTGTAACATCATAAGCTGCATGGCGTGTTGATAGACGCTGGTCACTGCGCAGTAGTATGATCTCTATCATGCTTTCCACGCGTCGATGATTGGGTGTCGGTGAGGGTGAAATGATTGGGGATTTGCCCTCTCTCCACTCCTGGGATTCGAAACGAGGCTACCTTAGCCACCGTGCGAGCACGTTTCTTCTCTGATGTTGATGCGTTATCAAGGCGACATGGCAGGATGGATCCCGGTTGGTCTGGTCTTTAGTCTTTTCTGACTTTTTGTCTTTTTGTCTTACTTTTCCGTCTCTTTGGTAGATAATAAACAGTAAAAATAGGATAAAATCAATGAGATCAAACAAGAAGGGGAAAAGGGAAGACATCCCTTCATGGGGCTAGAAAACGCCTCAGCCTCGTCTTGGTGTATCAGAATCCCTCCCCGCAAGAAAGGCAGATGAGGCAGTGCAGCGTGCTTGGAGCGGGGTCAGTTATCCTGATTCGGGGTTAGTCTCAACCTTTCCAGATCCTTTCGACTGTCGGTCATCTTCGTCCTGTCACCATTGGCTGTGGTGAGATTGCTTGTGCTTCCTCACGGAGGAATTCCCTGAGTCTTTACTCCAATTCCAGAAGATCATCCGTGGCGTTCTGGATAGGTCCCTGTAGATGACGAGGCGCCTCACTTCTAGTATCGTGTGCGGAGTATTGTCATTCTATTTCTTTTCCAAATCCACGTTGGATCTACTTGGTTCTACGGAATCCTCGACATATGTGGGAGTCAACTGGCAAATATCTCCAACTCAGGCCAAGCGGGTTCAGCCGCCTGGGTGCCTGAGGGATTCGGATGCATCATTTCCTCATTCTTCCATGCATTGGTAGAATTATTTATAGAACTGCCTGGCGACAAGGCTCAAACACCTACTAGTGTTCTATGTCAAAGATAGGCTAGAATTGGACTAGAATCGGAGCAGGTCACGGGGCCTGCAGCCTGCGGGAATTTCGCGACTTGAAGTTGGAGTCAAAACTCACACTAATCGGTCTTTCAGCTCCACTTTCTCACTCGGGTCTAAACCAATTCTTCCTTCCCGCCACAACAATCTCGATAATGATTGAAAAGTCTCAGAAGAGCCGCAATGGTCGTGACCCCTGTTGATAGCGGTGTATTTTGCCCCCCTCTCGTCCCAGATTGGCCACGGCGATCGTGGGTCAGCTATTGGATCCATAAGGCCCACCCTGTAACACGACCAGTATCCACTTTCCAAGTCTCGTGGGATCCCTTGGATTGTTCCTTTTCGGGTGGATGATGATGATGATGATGATGATGATTATAGTGCTGGGCCACCACCCCCTAGTCGCAGTTCCTGGCTGAAATTGCAGGCCCACTCTGGTCCTCGGTGGTCGTGGAATCATGAGGCTCTGTCCCAAACCTTCTCCTCCCCTTCCTTCTCATCTCGCCTCTCAAGCGTCTGCCGATCGCATATTTGGGATCAACTATCAATCATCTTCAGATCGACGTGCGGGCCTTTGGTGGCTTAATTTCATCTGCGGATTCGCTGTGCCGCCCCCCCTCGCTCCCAAGCTCGTCATGCATCCGGGAAGCTCTTCGGGTTTTCCAATCTTGGAACTACAAGAGCCGCATCAGCATTCTTACTATGAGGCTCAGGGACGCAAATAATAAAAGACCACCCACAGCCCAGCGGCTGGTCGAGACCTGGTCTGGAGCCCCATCCACCAAAGTATCGGTGAAGTCACAAATGAGCCTCATGAATCTGCCACTGCCCTTGTCGTTTGCTGCTCCATCTGGCTGTGGTCGCTGTTGTCCCTTTTCCATCGTTAGGTTTACCATCAGGTGTCCCATCTAATTCGATCGCTTCTTTACCCCCCCCCCCTGCCCTTCCGATGGTTGGGAGACCCATCCGGCTCGTCCACGGTCATGTTAGAGATGACCACCACGAATCTGGACACTGTCCCTTATGATGTCTTCTATCAAATCGCCTCAACGCTGGATTGCCAAGACTTGATCCATCTGAGCCGTGTCAATCGTGCTCTGCACGACTTGCTGCGGAATGAGTCGATTGCCCGCAAGATTATTGAAGTATATCCCCCTTCTTTGTCCCTTTTACGGTGCCACAGTTCTTTATTCTATCTATTTCATTTTACTCGATTTTATCTTTTCTTCGCCCTGTTTCTTTCATTTTTTGCATCTTTTTATTTCTCTTCTCATCTTTATTTTATTATATTTTTGTAGCTATAATCATTATCATTTTCCTTTCTATCGTCTATCTTCTACGTTATTAATATGATCATCACCAGAATCATCACCACGCATCAATCATGGCATCATTGAATGAAACAAACTAACTCGTCGGTAGAAGAACTTGCGTCACACCAAGGAAGGGCAACGGGCTGTTCGCTCCAGCAAGGGCTATCGCAATGCCGTCGGTCGTCTCTTTGACGTGAAAGAATCCTTCGCCACGGCCCAGCCCTACTCCGCCTCCATCCTAGGCTACGGCAGCGCCTTCCTCTACGGCGGCGGCTCCTTATGTTACATCTTCGAGGATGAAATCCGTAGCTTGGATGTCCACGGCGCCAGTCGAGTCGAGCAGGTCCTCAACATCTACACCGTCCTGTCCCGCGCCCTTCCCGGCTGCGACCCCGCCAAAAACGCCGTTTCCATCTCCCTACTTCACTACAGTCATGGCATCCTCTCCTTCATGGCCGAGGTCGTGGACCGCGAGGAGGCCTGGCTCCTCGCAGTCGACATGCGACCCCGAAAGCAATGCGCGAGATCCGGCAGGCTGCGCCTCCGGATCCAGCTGCAGTCGACCCGGCGCCTCTTCGTCCGCAACAACCGCTCCTACCTCTACTATGGCACACACTCGGCCTTGGGATACCACGGGTATCCGCAGTGGTCCGTGAACTGCGTGAGTCTGGACACTGGTCCTGATCCCACCCCGTACACGGTAGTGCTGCATAACTTTGCCGGCACCGAGATCGGCCAGACCGTCTGCTTCGACGTGCATGAGGACCATCTCTACGCTGTGTCGACGCTCATCGACTTCGAGGAGGAAGAGGTCGACTGGACGTCACTGTACATGTGGATCTGTCTGGCCCCCGACGGTCGTGCGGGATCGTCGGTGAGACCCAACAGTACGTGGCGTCGCCAGCACCGGGAGGGTCCGATCAACGACTCGTGGTCAGACCTGACCCTGCGGCATGATGAGGCGACCAACCGCCTGACCATCTTGGAGTGCCGCCGCGAGTGGCTCGATGGGGGCAGTGCAAATACCCGCACCTACTACGCACAGCCTCTCCCGTCGCCTGCCGAGATCCTGCAAGGCAAACAACCCCGGTCCTACTCGCCCGCCCATTCGACACCCGCCCCCCTTCCTGACGAGCCCCTGGCCCGGACCATCAGTTCCTCCAACAAACCTACCTACGAGCCCCCGCGCAAACGGTTGCGCCGAAACTATCACCAGGAGTATCCCGTGGAGAGTGACGACGATCCCTGCGGCCGCCGCGATTTTATCCTCGCCAAAACCAAGTTTCGCACATACAACCCCTCCGCATCGTCCTTCGTCGACCTGGTCAACGACCCGCGGCCCCCACGCGCCGGCAGCCTGGTGCCCCGCGACCGTCTGCGCTTGCGCGTTGTCTCCCGGAAGCGTAAATCTCCCATCGACGCAGATGGCCAGGAAGGGGAACCGGGCCTGCTCTTCCGGCCGGAGATCGTGGACCCCGATGGCCGGAGCGTCGACGACAGTGATGAGCGCTTTGTCTCCCGGGGGACCAGCCTCTGGCCCCCCGACCACGCCCCTCTGGAGCTAGATCAGCTTTTGTGTCCCGGCCGTCGCACTGGCAGGGTCCACGCCATGGCCGATGAACGCTCCCTCGTGTACTCCGTCGACCAAGACGGGCTGACCCCCGGCGATCAGGCAATCGTGCTCCTCAACTTCGACCCATCTCTGCGGTTACCGGGCCTAAAGCGTCTAGACCTAACGGGGGCCCTAGCATCTAACGGACGCTCGATGGCCGTTGAACTCGAACGTCCCAAGATCGGCGACTTGTCCGATGCCCCCATGACACACCCTTGTCCCCCGGTCAACCGGCGACGGACAAACCAGGCGATGCCATCTGTCCGAGAAGAGCCGGCGATGTACCTCCGTGTTGGGCGAGGCTATTGGCTTCGCTGAGCTAGTGTGGACTCTGGGTACGAAGCTCTAGCCTTGCTTCGTGGGTGGGGGGGGGGGGGGCGGACCGCTGGGCTGGCTTCGTTCGGTCCTCGAGGCTAGGCATCCATCACCTAGAACATCCGAATACGAGACATAATACAAAATAATTAATAACCCCCCGCTTTTCTCTTCTCCCTCTCTCCAAACAGGCTCATAGATGTGGTTGGTTCGGCACGCACTGTAAGTACCCTCGTATCTTTCCCCCGGTCTAAATGGGTGGTCCGTAGAGGACGAACAGGTTCCAACCCCACCGAATGGATTCACACCGGCTTCTCTTCCCCCCACGCATCGTCCTTTGGCTATCCAAGAGAAGTATGGATGGTCTAGATGGATTGACGGAGCTCCGAGACAGCGGCGGTCTGAGTCACGCTGCTTCGGTGCTTGTGCCTCCGATTCGGCGTAAGGATTAGCTGGCGTTCCTGTCTATCGCCATAAGTCCCTCCTGCGCCGAAGCCTTGTCAGCGCTTACTGACTGATGGCGCCACATTGTCATCTTTGCCTCTCCGTGGTTCTAGGCCGATTAGAGGCACTCCTCGTTCCGCTGACGCTGGGATAGTTCGTAGGCAACTTCTCCATTGGACCATGGGCTCTTAAGTAACGAGATCTGCTCAAAAAAGATGGATCTATCCATGATCTTGGTGTTCTTCTTCTTTTCGGCTCGTAGCTATCGTGAGAGGTGTTGAGATGCTGGGTGATGGCGGAGCATCACCTATTACGCCATGATGTTCAAGATCAACATACATCTGCAGCTCGGGGAAATCGTAAAGTAGCTATCATTCAGGAAGACCCTTCCAATGTAATATCCAGCATCAAAGTCCACACGGTCATAACCGGCGATCTCCATCGACTGGGTCAGCAAGAGCAGACCTGATACGAGGAGTGAAGGAGCTGAGAGAAGAGAAACTTACCCGATGAGGAATAAGATAGGGTCCTGAGTCAGCATTAAGTCACATGACCGACCCACCCAATCAGGCAAGTTCCGCGGACCGTCCTTAGTTCGCTCCATTTACGTTTCGATCTTCAAACCTCGTTCTTTTCTCCCTCTCTCCCCATTCTCTCACCCTTGTCATCCCCCCCACTCTTCTCCCCTCACTCATCCCCGTCTTCATGGATGCTAGACGCGGGGATGTATGAGCCGTTGTATCTTTCCTTCGACGCCTACCCGACCGTAGTCCCCCGTGTCAGGGTACGAGGCGTCATGGCTCTGTTCCTCGCTGTCTCCATTTTGTGGGCCCTTATCTGGTGAGTTATACCCGGGTCTTTATCTATATGGATTGGGAATGGATTAAGCTAACGCATGTGCTTACTTACAAGGCTGCTCTACCGTGCGTGGCAGGTCTGCCAGACCCCCAATGATCTTCTGGTCGAAAAATTGGGTTTGGATATCCCCCCGCCGCCGGAGGTCACCCTGGAAGAGATCACTGCTCGTGAGATTCGGATCGCTTGGAAACAGCCCGAGTTTCATAACTCTATCCATAAGCATATCATCCAGGTGAATGGCGCCAAAGGTACGTTTGAGGACTGGTCCTCGCCGTCTCTGGGTCTCGACCCTGCGGGACTGTCCAGGCTAACCAATGGATAAAGTGGGTGAGTCGAAACGGGCAGAGACTGCTGTGGAGATATTGAATCTGGTTCCCGGAAGTATTTATCACATCTGCGTTCTGTCCGTGAGCGCGGCCAATTTCCAGACTCCCAGTGCTATCATCCACGTGCGAACGAAATCCATTCCCCTGTCGCCCGCTCAGCAGAATGCCGCCGCCGGTAACCCTACGATCCGTGCTTCCATCCCCCGCTCGACGGCTGGACTTCCGACTCCGTCAGCCCCGGTCATGTCCCGTGAACACAGTGGAGGTCAAGTGCCGAATAAACGATCGTCGGCCGGGCGCAAACAATCCCCCGCCAGTGGCGCCGATTCTTCCCACGGTACGACGAATGTCGAAGAACTGCAACGGAGTGAGGCAAGCAACGACCGCGATGGAAACTTGGAGAGGCTTGCCGACCGATTGAAGCAACTGCAGCACGAGAATGAAACGGTGGAGAAGCAAACTGGCGACGAGGACGAAGAACACGTTGCTCTTCTCAAGGATCTGGAGAAACAACGGGACGATCTACGGAAGCGTGTCAAGGAGAAGGACGAGGCGAGCGGAGACTTGAAGAAGCAAGTGTACAAGTTGGAGAGCGTCAATCGCAGCGTGCAGAGTGAAAAGGTCAAACGCGAGAGACTATTGCAACGCAAGGAATCCGAACGCAAGAAGCGGAAGAACGATATTATCCGATGGCGAGAGCAGATGGAGCGGATGGCCAATGACGTTGCGCAGGCCAGGGAGGAGAAGACTCGAGTGGAGGAAGAGAAGAAGAACCGGCTGGAGGAAGTCCAGGAGAAGATTGCTAAGGAGCAGATGGAAATGAAGCTTATCGACGACGAGATCCAGGATAAGGGTGGACGCGTGAAGAAGCTCGAAGACGAGAGGAAGACCACCCAGGCGCCGGATAGCGAGGATGGAAGGGAGCTTGATCGCATCGACAACGAACGAGCCCGGCAGTGGGAGATGAAATTGAGCAGTCTGCATGCACGATATGCCACTCTGGTTAACCTGCACGCACAGGCTCAGCAACAGTACCACGAAGCGCAGGAGCGTCTGAAGTGGCTCACCACCCAGAGACCCGGCAGCACCGGTCCCTTTGCCCTACCAGCCCTGGATCTCGATCTGTCCAACACAGCAACTATTCGCCCCCGTCGCCATCGCAGCTCGCTCGCCAGTAACGTCTCTTCGCCTATGAACTTTGCTACCATGGAGCCGTCGTTCTCGGGTAGTATCGCCTATAATCCGCCAACTACCAGCTCGCCTACGTTTGCGCCCAGTTCGGCATTTTTCAACATCAACAATGGAATGACCCTCCCGGACCTGTCTGGTCAGGCAGAGACTATTCGCGGAGCCGAGTCCGAGGTTTCTTTCGGTTACAACCCCCAAATGAGCCCTCGGGCAGACGCGCTCCTCCCATCTGATCTTCTTGGGGATGAGGAATCGCCCGAGCTTCCCCGTCCAGTGATTCGCCCTCGATTCTCGAGCTACGAGCAGCAACAGATCCCGCCAGACGGCTTTCCGGACGGCTTCCCGCACGGTCCACCATCCCCGGTCTCTTCTGGTAGTCGACCCGCGAGTGTGTTTCCGAGTCCACACGAGAACCCCCGCCAGGAGACGGATTCTCAGCCTGCCCATTTTCCCGACGCGGAAGAGGCCCCAAAGAGCGCGTCGCGGCGACTGTCGGGTCTCTTTGGCTTTCATCGGCCGCGTGGTAAGACACTTGCCGACGAGCCTCCTTTGCTGGGCACCTTGAAAGCCGGGCAGAGCCAGTCTTTCCCGCGGAATTTGGACGAAATGGATCCGATCGGTGCCCGACGCCGGCGATTGAGTCACACTGGCAACTGGGCCAACCCAATGTCGTTATTCCCTCGGAGCAACACGGCCGGTGTCACGGCCGATAGTTCGTCCGACCACGCGCCGTCCCGACGGGCCGCAATCACCAGTATTTTCTCTCCCAGCCGGTTCGGTTTCGGCGGTGGAAGCGGCTTGGCTAAGTCCGGGGATCACTCGGACCTCAGTACTGGATATAATCAATTCAGCCCGAGACATGACCCTATCGACCCATCGTCGATTCTCGGGACCGTGCGACGAGGCTCGTTGTCTCCCCGACCGTCCTCCACGTTCTCATTTGATAACCAACTTCCCCACCCATCCACGGACAATCGACATTTCGGCTGGCCGTCGGCAGAAAAGCCCGAACACCGGAGTCCCTTGGGCTTTGACTGGGCCTCGCCATCCACCTGGTCTAGGGTCCAATCGCGCCGACCGTCGACCCAGTACGGCTCTTCCAGCCATCTCCCCTTGACACTGACGGGCGAGCCGGATTTCCTCCAGGATTCTTCCTACGAGCGCCAGGGACGGCCTTTGCAGGCGCCCATTGGGACCCGGCCATCGTCCTCACATCGACCAATGACCCCGAAATTGAACCCCGCGGCACCCACCTTCACCGCAGTCTTCAAGTCCGGCCAGGGCCAGGAACACGAAGATCCCAAGGATCGAGACCTAGAAGGCCCGTTCAACATGTCCATGGACGGCTCACCCTGTGATTCCCGCGTCTCTCGGGATTCCCGATCACTCTCCAACTTCGCAGGCGACTCATACGAATCACTAGAGCGAATGCCATCCGCCGCCTCAGCCGACAACAGCAGCTCCAAGGAGTCCTTCATCCGCAAGATCACCCGCAAGGGGAGCTCAGGGAAGTTCAGCTCCTGGAAGGACCGGTCGGGGCTATTCTCCAGGAAGAGCGAATCCGTACACGGCGACGACGGCGACGCGAACGGCGAAGTGCAGCTCGCCAAGAGCGTGGATAGCACCGTCTCCAGCATCCTCTCGGCGGACAAGTCGTCCCGCAGCAGCCTGGGTTTCTTCAGTCGCAAGTCGCGCCGGTCCGAGAAGGCCGTCAGCGAGACGAGCGAGCGGCCTAGTGAACGGGCGAGTGAACTGGGTGATGATGAGATCCCGGAGGAGGGCACTGCGTGATGGATGTGGACGGTCTGGACATGTGGTGATTCTTTGGTTGTTGTGTTGGGAGTAGATCGGTTGGGGGTGTTATCGGATGCTATTATCTATACTTATACCTATATCTATCTATACCCTTATTGACTACATACCCTCGTTGACGTAATCAATTCAGTCATCTATTCTTACATATAAGCATATCAATAGTAGATTTTTTCCTATATTGCGCTCTATATAACCACATCTGTGTGCAATAGTACGCCCAACGAGACGGATTCGTGATGCATACGATATATACAACATATTCCAAACCAATAATGTCATACACAGTCTATACAGACTAGGAAACGCATCCGACGTACCATCAACCCCGCTGTCCGTCAAACGCCACCGTTGATGACGTTTTGGACGAAGAGAAAGAGGCCTATCGCATAGACTATATTCAAGGGCACGGGCAATTCCGGAGGTTGGGTTGGGCTGCCTGAAGGACCATCCACGCCGAATTGGAGAAAGCCATTCTGCAGCGAATGGAACTGAGAAAAGTTGCGGGTCCACGTCGAAATACACGGCACGAAGGCGGAAGAGCGCAGAGGCTGTTAATTCCTTCAAGGACGAGTATCAGGAGGCCCGGATTGGTATTCGAAACTCGGAGCTCCGTCGATACCAGACGTAGGGGGCTTGGGGAAGGCGCGATTGGCGGACCCTGACCAGGGAAATGAAACAATTTGAATCATTGGAGGGCGATGCGTGTACTCGTGCCCTGATCCTGATCATGCATACATAGCAGAGACTTTGTCTTCTGCGGAGCCACTCACTCATCACACGATGCTTTTGCTCGGGAGTCAATTGCTCACACCGTGCTGCCCCGATCCCAATGTGGTTTGCCTCCCCAGGAGATCTCCGATCAATGGCCACTGTCCGGTTGATACGTGTCACGGTCTGCATTCCCTGTATCCTATAGCCGCACGCTGCTGCTGAATCTTAATCTAGTAGCTGCATGTTCGCCTGACACGGGTGTATAGGCTATCGATGAAGATACATACATGCAATCTCTCGACAAATGATGTAACATATACCTGCCTGCTTGCTTGAGGAGACTGGCTCTGCCTCGACTGCGAGGCGCCGGTGGAGTACGGCTTCTCGGACAGTTTTATGTATTGTCGCTGCGGTAGAGTCCAGCAGGATGCATATCGCTTCCACTGTCCCCTTCAGACCCACGGGGCTTTTTCAACCGCATATGAGCCGGGCATACTCAATGAGACGCTCGAAGGCTTGGATGCCTTCCCAGAGAAGAATATCTTACTCTTGGGCGAGACGGGGGTGGGCAAGTCTACCTTTATCAACGCCTTCGCCAACTACGTCTACCACCCCACTTTGGACGAGGCGAATCGAAACTCGTTCCAGTCCGTGATCCCGTTCTCCTTCAGAGCGTGTGACGATGTCACATTCGAGGAGAGAATCACCGACAGCAAGGAACAGCTCATCCGAGGTCTACAAAATGTGCACGACCAATATGAAGATGAATTGAGCCAGATCCTGAACTTCGCGGCTTCGTTAAGCGTATTCTTGAAGAGAAGGTCACTTGCTCTGTACTAGGATCCCTTGTAGGCTAGGTTGAGTGCCATAACGGACCCCAACGAGCCCTTGCAAAGGATCAGAAACCAATACACCACGACACTCGCGGCACTCGAGGCGCCGAACAGTGGCTCTGGTTTAGCGGTGGATACTACCACTGTCAAAGGAAAGATGGAAACACTGTACGCCCTGCAGCACTTTGGCAGCTCACTCCGGAGCAATGTTTCCGCATTGCAGGATGCGCAAGATCGCACGCAGCTGGAGAATATATTCCCTGTCGTGGTCCGCGGTTGGGAACGTCCGACACCACCGACACCACCGGCCGATGGTGGGAACTTGACACCCGGGACTTCAGGAGGTTGGAGAGTCGATGTAGCGAGTCGACCTGGTGGGGGATTGCCAGTGACTGTTCCGGTTGTGGGGCAGTTGGCCCAGTAGATGTTGAGTTGTTGTTTTTGCCCCCATGAAAGTGCTGTTTTAACTCTTCGTGATTGGAAACCATTCGCAGTTCTTCATAGATTAGCTTCAAGATCATCAATCTTATCGTTGTTCTGTCCGTTCCACGCCGCCTGTTTACACAGTAGATAGGGCTAGTCGTCACCTGGTTCAAGATTCCCTTGGGAGTGGCAATCTTACTATCTTATATTACCTAGTCTACTGAATTGACAAGAGGATCAGTTCACTGTCTGGATTATTCTGCAACATACAGTTTTAGACAAGGTATGGATATTTCTTCAAGACACAAGTATGTGCCTGGTCCTGAGGTGGATTGAAACAGTCCATGGGCCATGGATTCCCCGAGGCTCTAGAAAATCAAGTATATATATACATATAAAACCAATCTACCACTCCCCCTCACTCTCACTCCCCGGATAAGCCTTCTTCTTCAACTTCCACAAATGCCCAGACCCCCGCTGCTGCTGCTCCCTCCGCCAGCGACTGTGGTCCTCGATGACCTTCATCCAGGGGACATTGCTGGCTTGACGGATGCGGTGGTTTAGGAGGGCTGATATTTGGTCTTCCTTCTCTTTTTCTTGAGTGGTTGATTTGGACGTTTGCTCGTCGATCTGGACCCGATGCCGCTTTTGGGCTGCTCGTGCGGAGTGGTATTCTTCGCTGAGGGCCCAGTTGGGGTTATCGAGGGTCCCGCGCACGAGGATTATACCGTGACTTTCACTGTCGGTGAGGGCAGCTTGGATCTGGCGGGGTGGGATGGGGGTGATGAGCTCGAGGTGCTGCGTTTTGGGGTCAATGGAGCGGATGAGGGCTAGGCCTAGGCTGCGGGTGGTTTTTGGGTCTGGCGGGTTGGTGCTGCCGGAACCGGAGAAGAGGTAGGGGAGGTTGGTTGTGGGGGCGCGTGTGATGAGGGTTTCGAGGGTGGCGGGGGTATTGGTGTCGGTGTCGGGGTCGGAGGAGGATGTGGAGGAATGTCCTAGGATTGGGGTGGGAGATTCAAGGGCCACGATCGAGACGATGGATCCGTCGAGAACCTCGTGGAGGATGTCTGGCTGGATTGCGGAGCCCAACACCATGATGCCGCGGATGCCTGCGGTGGGCCCGGCGTAGCGGACGCGGAAGGGGCGCGTGCGGGCGAGGGCGTCGCGGACCAGAGAGGGGTGGCGAGCGGGCCGGGGCGGCCCATGTGGAAGTAGGATTGCATCTGCATGGCGCGGAGCTGGGCGCTGGATCGGCTGACGAAGTCGGTGGGTTGGGAAGGCAGCGTGGTGAGGCGGATGCCGGCGTGGTGGGCGGCTTGCGCGAGAGGCTCGACGACCTCGCCGGGACCCTTTTCGCTCATGTAGACCACGTCGGAGAGACCCAGCGTGCGGATCAGCCAGGTCGCAACCTCGAGGCCGAGGCCGAAGATCCAGCCTGGGTAGTTGATGATCAGCGGACATTGGGGGTAGCTGGCGAGGAGGGCGTGGTAGCGGTCCATTAGGTCGACTGCGGAGATCATGTAGTGATCGGGGTCTTCGCGGGGGAGGTGGCCCCGATGTGATGCGCGCGGACGATGGTGCCCTGGCGCGAGCCGTCCAGGGAGGGGTGGGTGAAAGGCGGACCGAAGACCGGGGTGCGGACGTGCGTCAGCGAGACCTGTCCCATGGGTGAAAACTCGGGCTGCCCGGGGTCCAAGTCCAGGAAGGCGACGCCGTCCGTGTTGCAGTAGTTGGTCTCGGTCTGGGGCGCGGGGCTGAGGAGGTGGTTAAGGAGGTAGCGGCTAAAGGTCGATTTGCCCGATCCTTTGGGACCACAGACGAGAGTGCGGAGTCGCCCGCCGCGCTGGGAGAGGGACTTGATGGCGGCGCTCCACTGCTTCTCGAGATGTAGCGGCCACAGATGGCGCTTGAGGGAATCATCCGCGGATGTATTTAACTGGACGGATTAGCGCAAGCTCCATGTGAAGGGGCCTTGGATTGAACATACCACGGAGAACGATCTTCGGCACGACGACGGGGCCTGTTTCAGCGTGAACTTGTCCGCCGGCGTGTTCTTCCCGTTCCAGACGCACTGGTACAGGGGCGAGAGATCCCCCAGACGCGTGATGCCCGTGCTACAGGACTTGATCTCGACTTCGGCGACCCCGTCCACCCCGGCGACGCATTTGATGACGGGGAGCGAATGGGTCGAGGGGGCGTAGACTCGGTAGACCTGAGGCGAGGGGTGCAGCTTTGCGCCCATAAGACTGACGAGGCCGCGCTTGACCCAGAGGTCGTACTGTCCCACCAAGACCAAACTCATCTTCTCCTTGATGCGCACGCACAGCGTATCCTCGTCACTGTACACGACGTTGGACTTGTTCAGGCGCGTTTTGGAGAGCGGGAACTCCTGGACCTGTACGGGAAGCTCCGCCGGCGATTCATAACTAGTCCGGTCAGCATATGGCTCCTGATCATTCCAACAGAACGAGGGAAGATTACCCGTCCTCCTCCTCTGATTCTTCGTCTGGAGCAGCGATGGGATCCATCCTGGTGTCTTCTTCGACTGCTTCCGATTCGTTCATATCCGAGTCAGCCGGGACCTGATCCTCAATTTCCTTCTGAAGCTGACGATCAAGCGACTCCTGCGCAACCTCGACCTTCTCCGTCTCTTTCCTCTCGACGCTCTCGCGACGGTCTATGGCATCACTGCGTCTCGACGATCGTCGCAGCGGGGGGTTGTCATTGCGGGGCGATTTGGCGGGAGTCTCCTTCTCCTGACTCTCCGGTGCATGTCGCGGCTTCTTAGACGGGGGTTCTGGAATCGGATCGACCTGGGAGGGCTTCTCTGTGGCCAGGGCCTGTGCCTGAGCTTGTTGCTGTCGAGCCTTGCGGGCTGCCACCGCGCTGAGGGGAGCTACTTGAGTTAGATTTATTGACCAATTGGAGATACAAGAAGTACGTACCAGCAGGTTGCTGCTTCTCCGCCTTTCGTTTCACCATTTGGGCTCTTTCTTTCCAAGACTGTGGGGTATAGAGAAGTGAAGATGAAGTTATTCCCTTATCAGCTTTCATATTTTTTTTTATCGCAAGCCGAGGTGTGGCGGTGCAGATGAGGTACCAGCCACAGCCAAGGCGGTGAGGCCGATCGGAGAGAATCGTGAGAACGAAGAAGGAAAACCAAAAGCATCATCCGCTCTCTCTCTCTCTCTCTCTCTCTCTTCACTCCATCTCCCTCCTCCCCCCACCTCCTCCCTTTGACCAGATAGCCCCTCATGCTGCGCTCATCTGTGGCCCCGGGTCGCCAATTGCTGTTGACCTCTGTTCGTCAACGGTCTGCCTCGCAATGGCTCTCCAGAGCTGGCGCCAGTAGCCGACTATCCGGTCAGGTATGACGATGACATCAGTCTATGTCCTTTCTTTTCCTTCCATGTTCTTTCTTTTTAACTTCAACTGTCACCTCTTGAAGATAATATGTCTAATCATCAATTAGAGATACTTCGCCGATGCGAGACCGCCTCCCCCAGCGCCCCGACCCCGGCCTCCCCCTCTTCCGACTCCCCAATTCCCCCGGAGACCGTCTTCAAGCCTGCCACGGAGCAAGGTACGATCGCCCTGTGATGTCGATGGACGCAATTTCAAACGCCAATGGCCTACTGATCGATTGTCTAGGTGTTCCCCCCCCTCCGCCTCCCGCCCCCGTCCGCAAGTCCGGCCGCTTCAGGCGCTTCCTGCTCTACCTGATCCTCACCTCCGGATTCGCCTACGGCGGTGGTGTCTTCCTCGCCCTCAAGTCCGACAACTTCCACGACTTCTTCACCGAATACATCCCCTACGGCGAGGAGACTGTGCTCTACTTCGAGGAACGGGACTTCTACCGCCGATTCCCCAACACCCTGACCACCCAGAACCGCATCGCCTCGCGCCCCAAGGAGGAAGGCAGCCAGGTCACCATCCCCGGCAAGAGTGGTCTGTCCTCCAAGCTTTCCGCCGATGACGCCGGCAGCGATGTCTCCCAGAAGGGCCCCCACATGAGTGCCGCCAAGGCCGAACAGGCCGGTGAGGCCCAGATCAAGCCCGAGGCCGCCTCCCCGGCCAGTAAGACCACCGCCGTTCAGCAGGCCAAATCCGACCACGCCACCAAGGAGGCCATCCCCCAACCGGCCGCCCCCGCTGTGACCCCGCTGGACTTCTCGCAGGTCAAGGAGGGTGACGAGGCGATCGTGCAGGAGCTGGTCAAGACCTTCAATGACATCATCACCGTCATCAGCGCCGACGAGAACGCCGGCAAGTACGCCGGCTCCATCACCAAGGCCAAGGAGGAGCTGCAGCTCATCGGCGACAAGATCGTCGCCGTCCGGGATGAGGCCCGCCGCGCCGCTCAGGACGAGATCCACCAGGCCCACGCCACCTTCGACGAGTCTGCCCGCGAGCTGATCCGCCGCTTCGACGAGGCCCGCGCCCACGACGTCGCCCAGTACCGCGAGGAGTTCGAGATTGAGCGCGAGAAGCTGTCCCGGGCCTACCTCGACAAGGTCCAGACCGAGCTGCACCGCGCCCAGGAGGTCGCTGAGCAGCGCCTCAAGAACGAGCTGGTCGAGCAGGCCATCGAGCTCAACCGCAAGTACCTGCACGATGTCCAGGGTCTCGTCGAGCGCGAGCGCGAGGGCCGTCTCAGCCAGCTCACCCAGCTGTCCGAGGACGTCGCCGAGCTGGAGAAGCTCACCACCGGCTGGAGCGCCGTCATCGACACCAACCTCAAGACCCAGCAGCTTCAGGTCGCCGTCGACGCCGTCCGCACCGTCCTCGAGCGCTCCCCCGTGCCCCGCCCCTTCATCCGCGAGTTGGTCGCCGTCAAGGAGCTGGCCGCCGAGGACCCCGTCGTCGAGGCCGCCATCGCCTCCATCAACCCCGCCGCCTACCAGCGCGGCATCCCCTCTACCCCGATGATTGTCGATCGCTTCCGCCGCGTGGCCGACGAGGTCCGCAAGGCCAGCCTGCTGCCCGAGGATGCCGGTATCGCCAGCCACGCCGCCAGCATGGTCCTGAGCAAGGTCATGTTCAAGCGGGACGCCGTCACCGGCAGCGACGACGTGGAGAGCGTCCTCAGCCGGACCGAGACCCTGCTGGAGCAGGGCCGCCTGGACGACGCCGCCCGGGAGATGAACAGCCTGAAGGGATGGGCCAAGATCCTGAGCAAGGACTGGCTGGGTGATGTGCGGAAGGTGTTGGAAGTGCAGCAAGCTCTGGAGGTATATACCCATCCCCCCCCCCACCTAACTTTCCTCCTCCCATAACGACATGAAACTAATCCACAATGAACAGGTAATCGAGACCGAAGCTCGCCTCCAGTGCCTGCGAGTTGAGTAAAAATCCCTTCAAATGAATTCAGCATTTCTTTTGTCTCCTGTAACCTTTTTCTCCCCCCTGCTTCCAGGACCTGTACCTCTAGATGTGTTCTTTTTTACCGTTGCGTCGCTAGACCCAATTCTAGATTTTTCTTTGTTCTTTTGATCGTCAGATAGTTATCTAGGATGTCGGGACTTGTATATGAGATATTATGACGCGTAATAAGTGAGACAGAGTATTATTTCCTTTATTGAGGTTATGGGTGTTCTCTTCTATCAAGACTATGTCTTCCTCTATTTATCCTTGGATATACGACCCTTTGGTATACAATCCCTAGGGTATAGCAACCCTCATCAAAGCCATTGAATTCCTTATCATCCCCAGCACTCCAAATCCACATCCCCATTCCATTATCCACCACTTGATTGACGGAATTGAAACAATCCCTCTGTGAAGAAAAAACAATGTTCATTGAATGGAATGGCCTCTCGTGTTACATGCCCTTCTCTCACGCTCAACCGTCCTTTGTTATATGCGCGCTCTCCTTGTTGGGATGGTGACGGACGACGAATAGATGTATAATGGTTGGGGAAGTATAAAAGGGTTGGCGAATTCCTTACTTCAGTTGCTGTTCTGATTTACAGTTGAGGTTCTATCCATACTACTTTCTTGAGTTTCTGTTCGCGATATACTTATATCCATCTTTGCAGATTCTTACATATACTAACAGACTTGACTATCCACTCATTCCATCACCATGGCTAACAGTGATTCTAACACCGACCATCCCCAAGAGCCAAGGGACAAGATGCACAACAGGATTCTCAACAGACCGCCCCCAGAGCTAAAGCGATCCGGGGCGTTCATCCACCGCGAGAAAAGCGAAGGTGACCAAACTGAGCCCGAGTTCCCCTCCGGCCCGCTCGCCATGGACCGGGACCAGGTCTACATGTTGCCCGCGACGTTAGTTTCGTACGCCAAGGCCGGGATGACAGCCGTCAAGATAGGCCAGTTGCTGCACAGGGCGGTTTACGACAATGACGCGCCGCTGGGCCATCTCGTCACGACGCTTGTGGATGAGCGGACGCCGTACGCGGAGATCGCGACGACTGTGTTCTTGTATCTCGATCTGCGTGATGATAACGGGGCCCCGCTGTTTCCTGATTCGTGGGTGGGGGATAAGGAGGTGCGTCCTGAGCCTGGGCCTTATGCGCGTGAGGTTTAGGGTAGGGTGTTTTGGCGTTTCTGAGACTGTTGGGCTGATTTTTAAGGGCTGTGATGATCCGTTTCCTGATTTCGCGACGATGATGGGGTTGGATTAGGTGTAGGCTGGGTAGTACTTTGAGCGTGTAGCTTGATACTCTTGTCCAGAGAAACTCCGGACTGATCAATGTACGTAGCCAGACGTCATAGTCGCATGGTAGAGGCCGTAGCATGGTAGAGGCCGTAGCATGGTAGTCTCATTCTCGAAAGTGGAATTGATAGGAGTCTGAATATCACCCCACGCGGTTTGGTAGGCTCCTCGAGAGAATATAAGTACGATCACCTACAATCATCAGCACAATCTACCGACAACCAGTAATGCAAAAACATCAAACCTAATACCAAATTGTCGCTAACGTTCACTACCTATGTACAATAAAAGAAATATCTACAATACATACCATACCATATCAGTCAGTCAGTCTACTCCACATAGCGAGCCGCCGCTTCGGCCTCCCTCCGCTCCGCCCGCTTAACCTTCCTCACGAGCTTGATGTACTGATCGACCCTCCTCTCCGCATAGACACATCCGCCCAGCGTCATGACAGCGATCTGGAGGAACACTTTGAACTGCGGGGTAAGGCCCCGGTAGACGCGGGATGCCGGAGAGAGCCACTCGGAGAAGCCTTCCAGCGGCTGGTAGAAGAACTTTGATCTCAAGCGCTCTTTCGAGAAAGGTGACACTCGAGGGCGCGCGTGGGCCTTATGCGACGGGTCGGATGGGGTCGGAGGTGATGCGGGGGGAGAAAAGCGAAACGGATGGGGGAGGATCATGATCATGTGTGCGAGGATGGAGACAGAGCCGAACTGTAGATCTATTAGTATTTTGGTATGCTTTGAAGACCTCTACAGTGCCTAGTCATCTCGTATCGGTGGGCTAAGTTCATCTGGAGGGCGATATGCACATACCCGGAAGGCGCCTGCCAGGAACCCCGTCACGGCTTCGGAAGTGACCTGATCCGGCGGATCAATGTCCTTCCTCTCCCACGATGGAGCAGGCATTGCTATGATAGACTGTACTGGAAAGGGAAAGATAGATATCCTGGTCAAGATGAAGTTGAAGTAGATCGGATGACGCGGATTGGCAGATTCGGAGATGCCCGGATCAACCATTTCTCCCGTCCGGTAATACCAATACGAGCGATACCACAAGGTTTCCCCGCGGCTTCAAATATCAAATCCCGGAGATATCGTTCGCCATCCACTCCTCCGTCGCCCCATTCCTCTATAACCGGTCAATTCGAACAATCGACCACCTCCGCCACAATGCCGCTCGCCGCTCGAACCGCGTCCCTGTCCCGCGTCACGAACGAGACCAAGATCCAGGTCTCGCTCTCCCTAGACGGCGGGGTTCTTCCCCCCTTTGAGGCCTCGGAGCATTTCCCCGAAGACCCCAAGGACGCAGAGGCTGCCAAACAGGGCGTTGTTCCTATCAAGGATGCCGCCCATGCGACCCAGTTCACCGCGACCCAGCAGATCACCGTGAGCACGGGCATTGGCTTCCTCGATCACATGCTGCATGCGCTGGCGAAGCATTCCGGCATGAGTCTGGCGGTCCGCGCCAAGGGCGACCTCTTCAGTAAGTAGCCATAGCAATCACCGGTGTTGTGTGGAGTGTCATATTCTAATGTTCTTCGTGCCACAGTCGACGACCACCACACAGCCGAAGATACCTTCCTCGCGGTCGGCGCCGCTTTCACCGAGGCCCTCGGAGCCCGCCAGTCGCTGGCGCGCTTTGGCCGTGGCGATGCGCCGCTCGACGAGGCGCTCTCGTGGGCCGTGATCGATCTCTCCAGCCGTCCCTGGGCCGTCATCAACCTGGGTTTCCGCCGCGAGAAGATCGGCGATCTGAGCACCGAGATGATCACCCACGGATTGCAGAGCTTTGCCCAGGCGGCTGGCGTCACCCTCCATGTGGGGTGCACCTACGGTGACAATGACCACCACCGTGCGGAGAGCGCTTTCAAGGCTTTGGCTGTGGCTATCCGTGCTGCTTGCACGAGGAGGGTGGCTGGTGAGGTTGGGGCTGGAGATGTTGTGAGCACTAAGGGTGTGTTATAAAATAGATGTGCGGTTTTTGTTTTGTATCAGAAGACGACGTTATGACGTTTGGATAATCAATAGACTTGATCTTATCAGTTTTTTTTTGGGTGGAACTCCGGGATTGGTGGATGGAGAGTAATTGCCCGTCATAAACCCTGATCATGGCTCCTCAAGTTATCCTATGGTCAAATGATCTGTACAGAAACTGCTAGCAGCGATACCTCGGGGACAGGAGAGGAGAAAAGAAGAAAGAGGTCATGCTATGGTATCATGTAGCCTGTCATATTCACATAAACCAACCCCTAAGCAAGCGAAATACTCGAAATCTGATTCCCAATCTTCGCCTTAACACAATCAAACCGAACCTCAATTTCCCCAAGACTCCGTAAATCCATCGACGCGATTCGCTCCCTCGCCTCCAAAGACGGCTCCGTCAAACTCCACGCCAAAGAGATATGGAAACAACGAGAGTAATCACCAGACGGCTCTCCCGACACTTGCTTTCTGTCGCCGTCCGTCGAGTTCGCATATAATGGCGGCTGATCGAACAGCGCCAGATAGCGATTCGACAGTCCAAGCAAGCGGTTCAAGCTATCGTCCGCGGGTCTGCTCACGCGCAGGACGTAGAACCAGCGCGTTTTGTCGAAGTTGGAGACGCAGTCTAGGGTTTCTACTGTGGTGGTCACGCTGCGGTGTACCGTTAGTGACCATTTGTTCAGGGTAAGGAAATTCTAAGCATACGCTTCGATATGCGACTTTTGAATGGCCGTTTGGAACACTGTCATGAACGACTGCCGCTGTTCAGTTCGAAGGACGGCCGGCCTCGAGAGACTGATGTGGAGAGGAAGTCTAACGCCGAGGTCACTCCGTAGTAGACTGTGTATCTCTGGCTCTCTGCTGTTCTTGCCTAGTTGAGCTCTCATTTGACTGATCGTGTCGCTCAGCAAGGCGAACTCTTCATTACTTGGATACCCTATCCGTCCGAGTTAGCGGGTCTGTCACTGGTAAATGGAGTAGAAGATTTACATTCTAGGTACAAATGGGTTGGCCAGTTCCCTTCAACATGCGGAATAGCTCTCTTACGCCCTCCGTGAAGACTGGGATCGTCGCGGACGCTGACGCGAGTGCTCGTCGCGTACAGGTCGTGGAATGCCGCTGGTAATGGCGGGATGTCTGAGGGGGTTGTGTTCTTTCGGGCCTTTTTGGCTGGGGGTGGGGAATTTGATTCTGCTGGTGATTCGGAGTCCGAGTCGGAGTATTCTACCAGGGCCATGTTATTTATGAATTTATATAGAAAAAGACAGGAGAGAGGTGTGGTCATGTGGTGAGTGGAAGTACAGCCTGAGACGGGTAACTTGTATTATGGATGCCACTAAATTCAGGCGTCTACTATCTTCAATGGAACAGTCTATATATATGGATTTATTTTGTCAAGTGAACATGGCATTGGAATCTCATTCGTTATATACGTCTATTCCGTGTGCTAGGATCACCCGCCTTCCTCCCCGTTGTTAGGAAGTGTCTCGTCTTCTGACTCCTCCTCTACCTCAGCCAGCGCTTCTCGCTGGGACTTGCGGTCTGTCTTGCCCTCACCAGCTTCGGGGCCTGCGGTGCAGCACCGGGCGCCAGGACAGGACGGGCAGCGCCAATACCACCGGACGTGACGTACAGGAACTCTTCTTGCGGGAAATGGTCGATGTGGTTGAAGAAGGAGGAGAAGCTGGAGAATCGTTAGCTGCATGGAATTTACAGGGAACTAATAAGTCAACTTACGCGTTGAGCTGCTCTTCCTCGCGGAATATCCGATCGTAGATCTCGCGTTGCTTGAATTCGTCGATCTCTTTGTTATATCGGTCAAAGTCGATGCTTTGCTTGCCGTTACCGATCGTATCTTGCCGCTTGTTGTACATTTCGAAAACCGGGCGCTCCAGCAACAGGCCCAGTCCAGGCGCCTTGGGGATGGCGATCTTTGTGGGGCCGTACGTTTCCGCGATGCGCGAAGGATCACTGCCGCATCGTACCACCATCGCCGCCATGGCGACCATCTTGCGGATCTGGTGCATCATGAAGCTTTGGCCGTGCACCTTGAGGCTGAGCCACTCGGTGCCGTTGATGATGATAGGCTCGGGGTGCATCTTGAAGGACTTGATGAAGCGCTTGGCAGAGGGGTCCTTGAACATCTTTTGAATAGTGAAGTTCCAGAAGTTCTTCGTCCCAACGTACTGATCAAGTGCCGCCTGGATCCGAGCCCGACGGGACTCGGGAATGCGGTACGCCCGTTTCGCGGTGATATAAACAGCCTTGACCTGTTTCACGACGTCAATGATCTGGCGTCTGAGGGCTTCGTCCGCTTCGGAGGCAGCATCAGCCGGGGCTGTTTCAGAGGTAGCTTGAGCCGCCTCGTCTTTGTTTTCTGCCCCCTCCGTCTGCTGTTCATCCTCATTCTTGGGGCCCTTGTCTTCGTCAAAGTACAGTGCCTTCTCGACGAGTGCGCGAATGTCCTCCGGAACACCCTCCAAGATCGGTTTGACGTGCTTCTCATCGACTTCGTCCCAGAAGCCAGCAACCTCCTCCTGTCTAGCGCGATACGCCTCAAAGTCCCCTTCCTTCTCGGCAACCTCGGCGATCTTCTTCCCTAGGTACGTGCTGGGATGAGGCGGCAGGAAGCAATGGCTCGGAATCAGGTATTCGTATACACGGGAGTCGCACAACTGGTAGCTGCTGAAGGACTTGCTGGTGGGGAGAATGTCCCAGACCCGAATCTGCGCGCTGAGCTTGTCGTTGATCTTTTGAACAATGTCCTCGTCCTCAACGATCAACTTCAAGGAGACAATGTTGCCCGCAGCGTGGACACCCTTGTCCGTACGCGCACACCGCACCAGCGACGACTTCTTCGGGTCCGCCGCATTCGCCTTAGAGATAGCACCAGCCGCCACAAACGCAGTGAAGAGCTCTCCCTCGATCGTCTTCTCAGTTTCACTCCTACCAAACGTTAGCACCTTTCTTACACATACCCCGCACCACTCGACCTCGGTCCAACCGAGAACAGTGAGCCAAACATGGAAAAAGAATCATAAACATACAACTGCATCCCTTTATACCCCGTCCCCGAATACCCCAACAGCACAGCAACCTTCTTCTTCGGCCGTCTCTGCTCCTGATCGATATCCTCCTGGGAGAAATGCGTCGCATAGACAGGGGCCTTGACCTCCTCCCCATTCTCTATCTTGCGCCGATTCTTCTCTGCCTGTTTATCGTTGCGCGCGCGCTTGTCTGTGTGGAGCCGACTTCCTTGGTGAGCGATGGCCGATCACGGTCGTATACCAGCACGTTCAACATACCTCCACTCCTTTCGGCCCATATCTCTAGCTTTACGCTTTCCACTAGCATCTCTCTGTCCGCCGCCTCCCCCTTGTTTATTATCCATTGCAACGGTAGTGTTTCGAGGCTTGGGGTCTCCCAACGCTGTAATGATCGAGCGGTGTTTGCGAACGACCTCGTAGGGTTGAAGAGTGCGGTCGGAGAGTTTTGGCGCGACGTAGCTCGATTCGTGTAAAAGGACGATAGCCTAGGTATAAAGCGACAGGAAATAGCCCGGCTATGCATAGAAAAAGATAGACGGGGTAGAGATGTGGCGAGGGAAACCATAAAGAAAGCGCTCTTGAAACTATTAATGGAGGTTTTTTTTTCCAGCGGCCGATTTCATGGGCAGACAGCGCTAGTCCATATGCGGTTAGACTGCCATATAATGACGCCTGAGGCATTGATTATCAACTACTCCATCTTTTATACATTCACAAATTATATTCAAGCAGAGCAACCTATATCTACAGACGTGGTTTGGATAACTACTTCAATCGTGCCTCGATGACTCCCGTGGGCACACCAGGCAATCGCCATACTTTGACCATTTGCAATCCCGAGCGATCGAGCAGGTTCGCCCAGTCTTTCTCGGTGCGTTCGACGCCGCCGAACGTCATCATGGTGTGGTCCATCCAGGCGTGGAACATCGTCCCGCCTTCTGCGGGCACGATGAACTCGGTTATTAGTACTCGGGATTTCTCGCGATCCATGGCGCCCGCTAGGTTGGACAGGATCGTTCGCGCCTCGGGCTCATCGGGCCAGTCGTGGAGGCAGCGCCGGATGTAGTAGGCCAGAGCTCCTGCGGGACGAGTAGAGATCAGCAGGGGAGGTTGAGAGCGGAGAGGAGTAAGGCAAGTATATAGCATACCCTTGACTGGTTGTGGATCGAAAAAGTCATGGCCCATCGCTTCGATGCCATGAGACTTAATTTCGTCCCCGTTATCCTCGATTACGCTGGGCCTATCCTGGAGGATGAATCGGCCCTTGAGGCTTGGGAAGGCCTCCTTGATCTGCCGAGTGATATGGCCGCGCCCACCACCGACGTCAACTAGGGTGACAGTGTCGTCGTTGGCAAGTCTGCCCAGTTCTTTTTCGAAGGGGTACAGGTCAACGGTCATCAGGGACGAATCGGCCCCCTGCATCGCGTCGTTGAAACGACTAAACCGGTCCGGAAACTTGGAAATATGTTCAAACATTGTCTCACCCTGGCAGTTCATGGTCGCGGTATATGGGTTGTTGTGCAGAGTGTACCGGTCTTTCCAGCCGTTCTGTTTCTGCCAATCGTAATTGCGGAGCATGCTGGGGATGAATTCGTCGGCCCTGGAAGATGGATGTTAGCGGATATAAACACCGTCGAAAGGGAACATCCATGCGCACATCATATTATACACGGCTTGCATCTGTGGCGCCAAATAAATCTCCGAGAAGGGCGTGTGGGCGTACTGCTCCTCTCCTGTTTCCCGGACAGGGCCGACGGGGGTAACCGCCCGCATGAGTCGCACTGTTCACAGTCAGTTCGGTTATCTTGGCCTAGGCGTGTCCGGTGTCCGGTACCAATCAGTGCTTTATCCACGCCGGTTTTTAAGGCGAGCTTGTCGGCTGAGATGCTCTCACCACCCGTCGGCATGGCTTGGAGTACTCCGCCTTCGAGCAAGGCCCGAATCGCTCCCATCTTTGAGGCCTGTTTCCCCCATCATGATCAGTATGACGGGCGTGGGCTAGAACGAGGGTAAATGCTAAAAGCCATGCTCACATCCTCGAAATTGGCAAAGACCATGTCCGCCGGGCCGCGGATAGTCTGAAGCAGGTTGTTTGCTTTGGTCATGAGGCTGTACCGTGCGTTAAAGTTGGCTGCATTTGATAACTCGGCTTGGTGCTTTTGCACCGCGAGGAGAACTCGATCGAGCTCATCTTGGAGGATGTCAACTGGTCCGATACTACCCATGATGCCACAATCAATACAGGTCAAGAGGCTACGCTCGCATGCAGGACTTGAGGGGATACATCAGGGCGTTTCACATTTATACCTAGATCAAGCTCGGAGCCAGTCGAAGTGCCTAAAAGAGGGGGCAGGGGCGCAGTTCCTCTCAGATTATCCCAAAACTCCTCGAAGGATGATCATACCGCAACGGAGGCAAATGACGACCAAGTGGTCCATCCGTCTCCTGTCTGTGCGCTCGCGGTTCAAACACATTTCCGACGGGTGTGCCGTTTCTGATGGGCTCGTCAACGTCAACCAAGGCCCACTGCACCCCGGCTAAGTCATCGATTGCATCGATAGTGAGATTGGACGCGCAAGGACACCGTGAATCCTTTTCCTCATTTGGGTTGGCGACGAACAACGCCGGGTTAGTCCACAAAGCTTCCCCGACGAATGCTGTTGGCTCGTTCAGGATGTGGCTTGTGCGCATAATGTGACAATGGGATTGTCCACTGAGCGCCTTGGACTCTCGATACGATGACCCACCGTCTTGGCCAGTGACCCCGATCGGATGGTTCCCCCTGTAGATTTCAATAATTGGCCCACTACCCACAGGCAGAAGTCTGTTGAACTCTATGCGTTTCTGACATTTCGCCCCGCACGTCCGAACGCTCTGTGATCTGGTCTGCATGATGCGTCTACGGTACGGAGGAGTACCCCGTAGTCCATTATGCATTGGACTCCGTAATTCAACAAGTCTAGGGATTCGTGAAGAAATTCCCTGGTCAACTTTAGATCAAACCAGACTAAATCGGCAGGGGGGTGGATCCTGATCGATTATCATAGCCTACTTGGTTTAGTACCAGCTCGCCACAGCTGATCAAAAGACTTTATCACTTACTTCGTATACACCATGTCCAGCTCGGACAAGCGGGGTCTCTCGTTAACAAAGAATAAAGCGATATTCCTGCAGCAATCCCAAGGGAACGGCTATTTGTCACAAAAATAGACTTCTCACTGCACGTCGCGAGTCAGGAGAGACAGATGATAGACGCACCTCTCCCTTGCATTATTGAGCTGTCGTACAAATAGTGCCGACGCCACCTCGATCTGTCACGATGCTCAACCCCCAGAACGCCGACCACTCGAGCGCAGGAACCTTCGGGAAGAAGGAAATTTTCTGACTGGTTTCCGGGGGGGTGATGTGCGATATCAAATTTGAACGTGTCACCACCGAGTGTGACCACTAGTCAGAGCTGCTTTTCGGGACAAATCTTCCACATCCGTTTGGACTAGAGACTTTGATGTAATTCACGAACAGCATATGCTCTGCTCTCAATAAGTACGAACGCGGATTGAAAAAGCAAATCCCAAAAACTATAGGGAGGATGGAGGGAATACGGAGTAGATACAGAGCCATCCTCATATAAGGATGCCTCTGACCCACGGGATACCCTCACTTACCTCCTATGTCATCTCAAATCGTGCAATCTGATTTGGGACTCTGATCATGGACTTGAGCAAAACCCCAGCAGCACCGCCCCCGCCGGGGGTGACCCCCAATTTCGACAATCCTGATGGCTCTGAATATGAGATCTACTCGATCAGTATCGCCCTATGTATGACCGCGACTCTGACCTTGATGGGTCGCCTTTATACCCGTGCTGTGATTTTGCGGGCAGTCGGTCTCGATGACTGTAAGTGCTGTCGGTGGTTGGATAGTCGGCACATGGGGATAACGTTGGGTTCGTCTAGGGTTATGTATTGGTGGCCAGATATGTGCATGGATCTTCACGGTCCTGAGTATCCTTAGTGAGTATCATCAGGCCTTTTCCCTCAACCAAACAAAAGCTGACTGGACGGTACCAGACATCAGAAACGGCTATGGGGTCCACATCTGGGACTTGCATCTCGACAAGTTAACCCCGTTCAAGCAGTATGATCTCGTCGAAGAGGACATCTACGCCCTCGGGGTGTGGTTCGTCAAGACAGCCATCTTGGTCTTCTATCTGCGTCTCAGTCCCGAAAAGCGCTTCCGCCAAATCACCTATGGCATCATCGCCTTCGTCGCTATCTATACCCTGGTCAGCCTCCTCATCTTCACCCTACCGTGCCGACCCATCGCCGCTACCTGGGACGTCACCCTCATGGCGGAGGCCAAGTGCATCAACCAGTTCGATTTCGTCTATGCCAACGCGGCTTTCAATATCCTTTCGGACCTGATGGCCCTGGTTTTGCCCATCAGACTGTGCTGGAACTTGCAGACCTCCCTCAAGCAGAAGGTGCTGCTGATGTTTCTCTTCATCATGGGTTCTTTGTACGCACTCCACAAGGCTCCTCGGAAGACAGTAAACCCATCGCTAACCACAGTCGATCATCTCCACAGCGCGTGCGTCGTCGCCATCATCCGAGTCGTGACAATGATGCCCTTTATCGACAGCAACGATTTCACCCGGTTCAAAGTGACCCTCGCCAAATGGTGGTACGTTCACTCTCGCGCATTAACCCCCCTCCACTCTCACCCCACATCCCAAAATACATACTAAACATCCCCTAGCATGGTCGAAATCAACGTCGGCATCATCTGCGCCTCTCTCCCCGCCCTCCGTCCCCTCCTCATCCGCACCCGCATCTTCAGCGCCCGCGACATGAGCGCTGAACCCGACAGCAAGTATCCCCCGAAGTCCTCGCGCAAGAAGGTCAGCCGGTCGTGGAACAATATCACGGAGTTGGATAGTCAGCGGACGCTGCAGGGTGGGCCGGAGGGTGATGTCGAGAGCGCCATCCCTCAGGGCGGTGATAACTCTGGGTCTGGCGTGGTGGAGGACCGTACGATTGTCAAATCGACGGACTTGGAGGTGAGCTATGAGAAGGATAATCCGCCTCGAGTATAATATTTTCTTTTGTTCTTTAACCTCTGTTGGTTGGTTATTCTGGTCTCCGCATGGGTTGATGTTATGGATCCTGCCGTTTGAGTTCGGCTATATATATACTCTTCAATCATTCATAATTGATATTGGAATCAAACGTCCGTTCCACTTCAATCTCAAAAGATATAGCCAACTTAATCGTAATAATGCCAGTGGAAGTGATGGTCCAGAGAATGTGAAGAAGAGACGAGGGATTTTCCACCAGGCCAGTCAGCCACGCGGGGTTTGTTTGTCTCCCTGTCTTTTCCCTCCATATAAGATGGAGAGCCCACCCTGGATTTTTCCCCTCTCTAGTTCTTGATCTTACTTTATTCTATTCGTGGATCGCTTTATTCTACTTGTGGATCGCTCTGCTAGTCATGAAGCGTCATGCTTTATTATCTAAAACCGACATAACTCGACAACAGTCTCGGATCAGCTCGTCCATTATCCTTGGACAACTCGTGCAGCCGTTTTCGCATAAATATAGCTACACGTCGGTCGCTAAGGTCGAGATGGACAGTAGTGTCTATCTAATCGCCCAATGCTGCATCGCATGGTGACTCATTCCTGGAAGAGCAAACCGTCAACTCTAGTCAGAATGTGCCCCACAGGGCAGCAATGCCGACAACGGTCTAAGTCATTATCATGTGTGCGCTCTCGTGGAGGCCAACAGGCGAAGCTCGAGGCGCGGCTGATCCGTGTCTGTTGTCTGGAAAGGGCCCGTTTAGTTCTCGACACCGATCTTAATCTTCTTTTCAGGAGGCGGGATGACTTTGTCCTCATCGGCGCCCTTGAGTGTGGGAAGAGCATCGACTGCGTCGGAGATGATCTTGAGCGCTTCCTGGATCTGTTCCTCCGTGATGACGAGTGGCGGGGCCAGACGGATGATGTTTTGGTGGGTGGGCTTGGCCTGGAAAGAGCATTAGCATTCGACGGCTTCCCCCCTCGATCTCGGAATACGTACCAGCAGACCCTTCTCCTTAAGCAGCATGCAGAGGTCCCAGGCGCTGTGACCACCCGTCTTGGTTTCGTCGATGATGATGGCGTTGAGAAGGCCCTTGCCTCGCACCTTCTGGATCATGGGGTTCTTGATCGCCTCCAGTCCCTTCCGGAAGACATGGCCTAGCGTCTCCGCCTTCTCCACCATGTTCTCCTCGCGGATAACCTCCAGGGCCCGGATGGCGACCGCGCATCCCAATGGGTTACCGCCATAGGTCGACCCGTGCGTGCCCGGCTCGATGGTGAGCATGACGTCCTTGCGGCCCAGCACGCAGGACACGGGGTACATACCACCGGAGATGGCCTTGCCCAAGAGGACCATGTCCGGCTTGATGCCACTCCATTCGTAGCAAAGGAGCTTGCCCGTGCGGGCAATGCCCGTCTGAATTTCATCGCAGATCAACAGCGCATTGTGCTTGTCACACAGGGCCCGAGCCTCCTTCAGGTAATCCTCGTCCGGCACAACGATGCCCGCCTCTCCCTGGATGGGCTCGACCAGGAAAGCCGCGATGTTGGGGCCCGCCTTCTCGAAGGCTTCGCGCAGCGCCGCCTTGTCGTTGTAAGTGATGGGCTTGTCGGTTCCGGGAATGTTGCAGCCGATGCCGGGCAGGTAGGGACCATAGTTCTCACGGGACTCGGGGTCGGAGGAGAGAGAGATGGCGGCGAACTGCACAAGACATACCAGGTTAGTGCCTCGACCCACCTCACACAAAGATGATAATAACGATAAAAATTATTATGATAAATGGGACATACCGTGCGACCATGGAAATTGTTCTCGGCACTGAGCACCAGCGCTTGGTTCTCGGGAATACCCTTGACCTTGTAACCCCACTTCCTCGCGATCTTAATACCCGTCTCAACAGCCTCGGCCCCCGTGTTCATGGGCAAGACCATGTCGAATCCGAAGAACTCGGTGACAAACTGGGCGAACCGTGGGAAAACATCGTTATAAAAGGCGCGCGAACTAAGGGTGACCCGCGAGGCCTGATCGATGAGAGCAGCCAACAGCTTCGGGTGACAGTGACCCTGGTTGACGGCGGAATAGGCGGACAAGAAGTCGAGGTAGTGACGGCCCTCGGGGTCCCACACCGAGCTCCCTTGTGCCCGCGAGATCACCACCGGGAGAGGATGGTAGTTGTGCGCCGCATAGTCCTTCTCCACCTGGATGGCCTCCTGCGTGGACGGCACATGGTAAGCACTGAAGTCATGGGAGTGACCGTTGGTGGACCCGTTGGTATTCTTGGACGCCATGATGGATAACTGAGTATTAGACTATGGATGAAATGTTAATTGAACAATCTTGGTAAGGTGATTATTGTACGAAGGGCAAGAATAAGGAGAAAGCAGAAAGAGAGAGTGATGTAAGAGCAGTGGCGACAATTGAGGTTAAATAAAGTTGATAGTCCGGTGGAGCCTCAGGCCGTCCAGTTGATATCTGGCCAAATGACGCTGTTGTGGAGAAACAAAGGACGAAAAGGGACAAGAATGGAAGACAAAGAAAATGCGACTAGACCTCTAAGTGCAAGTCGATGCGCCAAATGCCCACGATGTCTTCATCCACGTCGCGATCGTTTCCACCATTGGTTGTGCTTGCATTTCGCATTACTCAATACCAAACACCGACTGCGCTTACTCCCGGCTAGAACTCTCTCTCTTCTTCATCCCCAGTCTTATCTCTGTCGCGGTCTGATTCCCCGCATTATTCTGCATTATTCTGATTATTATAATTCAATTACCAGGGATTATTCATTCCTCTCTGTTCTCTACTTCCATTGACGAGCCTGTCTCGTGAAGAAGGGTCCCCCCTATTAGTGCGGGGTATACGAATAGCTTCCCGACGCGTCGTGCGGCGAGTATGTCGAGACCCCGTCGAACCAGGAGATCAGATCACCCTGTGTCCGTGTCGTCATCGTCGGTGTCTGACTCCTCCGACCTGGATTCGATCTCTCCGTCGCCAACCGCATCCCTTAAATCGTCAGATTCCTTCGTGTCCGCAGCGTCATCGTCCACGGCCTCCAATGTCTTCCTCTTCCTCGTCGCGTTTCGGCTGCTGAACGCCCTCTCCGTCCGAACCTTCTTTCAACCCGATGAATTCTTTCAGTCCCTCGAACCCGCCTGGCAGATCGCGTTTGGAAAGGATCAGGGCGCGTGGATCACCTGGGTGAGTGGAAAGAAACAAAACAAAGAGGCCGACCGCCCCACGATCGGGTTCGACCTCGATCGTTGTATTACTGGGATCGCTGATAAATGACGTGACGGAGTGTTCATGAAACAGGAATGGAGGCATCAGCTGAGATCGTCCATCCATCCGCTGCTGTTTGCCGCTGTGTACAAGGTCGCCGATCTCCTCGCCCTCGCCCTTCGCCTGGCACCCGCAACACGTGCCGACTTGCTGGTGGCGGCGCCCAAGTGCGCTCAGGCCGTTTTCGCTGCTCTCGCCGATTGGTATACATGGAAGCTCGCTGGGTTGGTGTATGGTCGTCGCAGTCGTGAAGCCTGGGTTACGGTGGGTTTGACCTTTCCTACCCTCCGGGGTAATGCGATGACCTCAAGGTTGATTGGATTTCTAGCTGGCATTGACGGTCGTCAGTCCCTGGCAATGGTTCTGCTCCACCAGGACGCTGTCCAATTGCCTTGAAACCACGTTGACCGTGGTCGCGCTCAATTCGTGGCCCTGGAAGTGGTCGGTCGATAACGTTCCCCACGATTATGGTTCGCATGCTGGGAGGTATGAAACTCAAGGGTCCTTTCTCGGGGAAATAGCAGATCGATAGGGCTGACCAACGAAACGCGTGTAGTCTACGCCGCTGCCTCTGGCTGGCCGCATTGGCCTGTATCCTGCGACCGACCAACGTCTTGGTCTGGATGACCCTGGCCAGCGTCGCGTGGTTCCGGAGTACGTGGACCGGACGGAAAGTCCTCGCGCGAGAGGCGCTACTTTGCGGGTGGGTCACCTCGCAACAACTTGAACGTATCATGGAGCTAACGTCTTCACAGGTCGAGCACCCTCGCTCTGTCGGCGGTGGTGGATCGTCTCTTCTACGGGGTCTGGACCTTTCCACCCCTCAAGTTCCTGTACTTCAACGTGGCGCAGTCGTTGGCCGCCTTCTACGGGAGAAATGACTGGCACTATTACATCTCCCAGGGCTTCCCGCTCCTTTTGACCACAGCGCTGCCCTTCGCGGCCGTCGGCCTGTATCGCGCATTGAGACCGTCCGCCGCCACCGGATCGCAACGGACCATGCAGGGGCAACTGGCTGCGATATGCCTGGTGATGCCGCTGGCGCTGTCCTTGATTTCCCACAAGGAAGTTCGGTTCATCTACCCCTTGCTCCCGGCGCTGCATGTTCTGACTGCACCTTCCCTCGTGACCTTCTTTGCGCCCGCGGTATCCCGATCCCATGCGGCCTACACGCCGAGACGGCTGACTTTGATGTTTCTCTTGCTGGCGAACGTGGTCATCGCGTTGTACACCACCCTCTATCACGCATCGGGGACCCCCAGCGTCCTGTCCTATCTCCGGGAACAGCAGCAAGCGCACGCTCCCGTTGACAAGTCGGCTGCGAAATCGGGGACCGGCATCAGCGCAGGATTCCTCATGCCCTGCCATAGCACGCCCTGGCGCTCTCATCTGGTCCACCCGAACATTCACGCGTGGGCGCTGTCCTGCGAGCCGCCGGTCGGCCTGGACGAGGCCCAGAAGGCAGTCTACGTGGACGAGGCGGACCAGTTCTACGACGACGCGAGTCAGTTCTTGCGCAGCCATATGGGTGGTGGACTCCACCATGTACCCCGCCGACCATCCTACCAGGACTCCTCCCGGCCGTCCGCGGCTTCGCCCACCGTCCACGACTGGCCGGATTACCTCGTCTTCTTTGCCCAGCTAGAACCGACGCTGAAGTCGACCCTCCGGAGCTCCTCGTACGGCGAATGCTGGCGCACCTTCAACACGGCTTGGCACGATGACTGGCGCCGTCGGGGGGACATCGTCGTGTGGTGTCTGGACCCCGCGGAGCAGCAGGCTTGGCGGTCCCAGACGCATCAGCGCGAAGTCGAAGCGCGCGATCGCCAATTCGACCGCGTGGTGAAGAATTTCCAGCGCGAGGCCCACGCACTGCGAAAGCAGTCCTCCTCGAGCCGGTGGGCGCTGCCCCGGCCCTCCATGCCCCGCGTCTCGTGGCCGCCCGTGTGGCCGTGGAGCCAGCCGAAGCGGAAAACCTGGCTGGGCATCGAGCTGCCCGAGTCACGGTGGACTAGCAGCCCATCTGGGAATTGGGACTGGGCCAAAGTCTGGAGGAAAAAGGCAAAGAAGGTCGTGGATCGAAAGTTATGGGCTTGACATGTCTTTCCCTAGTTTCATTCCTTTCGGCTCTTGTCTTTCTACTGCCTTTTATTTGATTGATTCGTCCAGGATATCTCGTTTGCGCGTTTGGCGATTTGCTTGACCAGCGTTCCAGCTGAGGTGCGCCCACAGGTTGGATCTGTCTGTATGTATATGTATGGTATACTTGGTATTTGCAATTACCGGTGTAGTGTAATCAATTGGATAGGACGAAGGGAAGAAATTGTCTTGAAGTCTATCCTTCCCATTGGGATCTACAGTATAACCTAGTGGCCTAGGGCAACGATATGTCCAGCATACTACGGAGTACTCCAGGACCAATCACTACCAGTCCAAAACTGATAATCAGATATCATTTGCTAATGATGCAAGAATGGAGGATATTGTACAATGATATAATAAGAATCACATTATGTTTGAAGCACATTTTGTCCTAGGTGGATGGATGATAACTGGATTGTGTTGTTTGCCTCCACGTGACTTTCGATGTATTCGACTTCAACTTCTCCAACTTCATCATCCTCATCAACCTCGGGAATCTATCTTGAATCATCCATTATCGTCCAACCCCACATCAATCCTTTTGTTTCTACAGTCGATTCATTCATGACTTTGTCCTCCCCCCACTCAAGGCGGGGAAATCACCCCGATCCGCGGTGATGTCATGGACTTGATCCAAACACAATGGCCACTGAATGACGCCCGAACCAGAGATTATGTTACCCTAACAAAGGCAATTGATATCTAGTGACACCACGACTACGCCAGGTCCACGTGTGTGCTTCCCCGGGCGTCTGCATTGTTTGCCTTGATTGGATTCTTCCACCGGGATTGTCTGGAAGATGAACACGGCCGAATCTTAGAGCTCTCCTTTGTTCCATGGGCCCGCCAATCTGGTCCGCGAATGACGAGTAGACCTCGTTAACTATGATGATACAGCATGACCTATCAACCCGCTAACTCGTGATGTCAGGATTGCACAGTGTTCCGGCAGAATATGCCATCGTAATAATGACCCTTGGCGGACTTAGCCGGGAGTTTCATATATCTTGCGTTCCGCAGCGCTTTCGTTCCTACTGTTCCTTTGGTAGACTATCGTCCTTAATGATACAGCATGTCTACATCCTACACAGATAGCGGAGGGGGCTCCCGATCGCTCCCTACGCTTCGGGAGATGGTTGATACCGTCTCCCTCGAATGTCCCGCCAGGCTCGGGATATCCGCCAAGGAGCTCCAGGCCAAGTCTCCGACTATTGATGACTTCTTCGATGCCATCGCCGCCGAAAGGCTGCGGCGCATGCCTGCCGATGGTAGTCGATTAGATGGCGCGCTATGTCGCGCATCTCGTCTGGCCTTTGCCGTGGGCTCCCTGCGAGACTCCGTCGTCTCCTTCATGAGCGGGGCCGACGAGGCTACCTCCATGATCTGGGGTGCAACTCTACTCTTGCTCGAGGTGAGTCGTGGGGATGATAGGATCGTCCTGGTACTTTCACAACCCCGTCCCGGACTAATGTGTTATGATGTTATAGGGAGGCATTGAGCATGTCGATACCCTGGATAGTGTCTTCGGCCAGTACGGTCGAGTGACCTTGGGCATCTCCCTGCTTCTGCAGCAGGAGTCCTACTTTCAAAGCTCTCGCGCGCTCCAGCAGGAGGTCGCCTTGATCTACGCCCATCTACTTCAACTCGTGGTTCATGTCGCGATGGAAACCCGTCAGGGTGCGCGCACCCAGAACTGGTCAGTCATGGGAGAAGCGGTCAACACCAACTTTTTCCGCTACTTCAACAACTTCGCTGCCCACTGGCGCAAGATGTCCAGCCTCGTCCTGGAGTCTGACGCCGCACATGTCCCTGCGATCGAGCTAGAATCGATCTATCAGTTCCTCGAGCTACAGGACCGCCCACTACAAACTCTGCTGGAGGGTAACGGCCACTCCCTGGTGGACGGCTCATTCGCCTGGTTCGACCCTCATCTGACCACTTTCGCCCTGGGCCGCCGCAACCTGATGCTGGTCTCTGGCAATCCCGGAAGCGGAAAGAGTGCGCTGGCCCAGTGGACGACTGAAAAGCTGCAAGTCTCGTCGGAGTTCGACATTTGGAACGCCATCAACGTGTCGATCCGTTCCGATGTCCCCATCACCACGTTGACCCTGAGTACTCTCAAGAGTACCTTGGTCCAAATGCTGGATCGCTGTGCCAGCAACCGCATGGCCCAAGAGTCCATCATCACCGAAGTCGCCACTGCGGTCAACTTGGCCGTCCGCGGAGCCTCCGATGCCCAGGTGGAGGAGCAGCTCTGGGTCGCCATCAAGGCCGCGATGCGGTCTAACGTCCATTTCATGCTCGTGGTGGATGGAATCGACCAGCTCAAGCACGCGGACTCAACCGTGGGGGCCTTCTTGCAGCAGCTGCAAAGCGCCGTGTCGCAGCGGAACGTCCCGTCCAAGCTCATCGTCTTCAGCCGCCCGCTGCCTGTCTCCCAGCTGCCCGCTCGCGACACCAGTACGATGGAACAGATCGTGATGGACCCGGCAACCACCCAAAATGACCTCCTCACGCACATGGGCGACATGATGGCGTCTGACGCGGCCTTCTCGGGGCTAGATACCTCCCAACGGGAGGCGCTGGCAACCGCCGTGGTTCCCCGTGCGCAGGGCTGTTTCGTCTGGGCGCAGATGGCCATCGAGGCTGTGCGCCACGAGAACACTTTCCACGAGATGTTCTCGACTTTGAAGAAAGCCCCGAACACGCTGGGCGAACTCATCGATAGCCACATTCACAACACTAGCTTGAACCGTACCGGAACCAGTTCCTTGCTGTCCTGGCTGGCCGCAGCCGAACGGCCCCTCCGTGTTCAGGAAGTCGAGCAGTTGCTCGCGGTCGACGAGAACACCTACAGAGTGGGCCCTCGCCCATCCAGACTCGACCGAGACGTCTTCCTGCCTTTGTCTCGCTTGGTCGCTGTGCGGGACGGCTTTGTCGGCTTCCGTCACCCCATGATCCGGGAGCATATTCAGGCGCGCGCTCAGATGCACCAGCACGTCCCTTTCAACCTGACCGACGGTCATTACAGTCTCTTACTCCACTGCCTTGCCTGGGTTCGTTGGTCCGTGCCGGAGGAGCCGGAGGTTGCCTGGGATAAGCTAAACATCATGGCCCGCGATCGCTACCTGGACGCCTATGTACTCCTCGAGTATACCTCCCGGTACTGGCTGTCGCATATGCTGGCCTCGCCCGTGGCATCCACTGCGCGCGAGTTCAACTTCACAAACGCATTCCGGCGTGCCATGCCGGAGTCGGCGCTCTTTGCTCGGATCGAGCTGACCAACAAAGAGTCGCAGTTTAGCCGCTCGAGCATCGTCGAGCTCTACCGCCTGTCGGTTGCCGTGCGCCGCGGCGTGCTCGGTGCCGACTCGCCTGCCCTGCTCCAGAGCTTGATCCTCAGTGCGCGTGCTGCCGATCTGGCCAAGACATCCTGGGCGAATGACCACCTTTTCGAGGCGTGGACCCGCAGCCGCAAAATGCTGGGCAATACCAATGCAATCACCCAATCTTTGGAGCAGATGCTGGTGGCCACTCCGGAAGGCCGAGGCAAGGCTGACCGGACTGCCGGTCTCAGGAGCGATGCCCTCCGTGATATGATTTTTGCCAACTGGGACTCGTCTGATATCAGCTTTGCGCAGCGGCTGCAGTATCTCGACCGACTGGTGAAGACCTATCAGGAGGATAACGAGCACAAGGCTGCGTACGAATCGTCCAGGAAGTTCTACAAGCAGACCCAGAGAACCTATGGCCCCCATTCCTCTGAAACTATGCAGGCGGCCGATTTCTTGACGGAACACTTCACCATCCAGCCCCCAGACGAGTTGGCGATTGATCTGGCGCAAACTAAGTACGAGACCATGTTGCGGTCTATGGACGCATCGGATCCTCGCCGCATTGCCTACGCCATCGCCCTGGCGCAGATGTACGAGGATAACAAGCAGGCCTCCAAGGCTGAGTCCGTGCTCTCCCGTCTCTGGTCTGGCGTGTCTGCGCGCGAGGTCGACACCAGCGCTACCTGGGACCAGAAGACCAAGGTCGCCTTCTACTACTCGCAGTTCTTGCGCCGTCAAGATCGCCCCACCGAGGCCACTGCGATCCTGCGGGAGCTCTCCGCCGACCTTGAAGCCGACGGCGGCGTCCGGTCTTCGGAAATGGTCCAGCGTGCTGAAGAGCTACGCGAAGAGGCGCGCCAGATGCGCATGGCCGACATGGAGCGGGCGCTTTCCCTCCAGATCTGGAAATACTATCAGTCCAGTGGCCAGGTGTACTCGACGGAGGCGGTTGCTCTGGCCGAGTACCTGGCCAAGGACGTCATCTCCAGCAAGGGAACCGTCCCCAACATCAATGCTTTGTCCGCGGAGGAGAGAGACCTTCTGCCCGCTTGGATCGACTCCATCGCGTCGGCGGGCAATGACCAACAGACGGTGTCACTCATGGGTCTGTGCCATCAGTTGGCAAATCTGCACATCCGCAGCGAAGAGTGGCTCGAGGGCAGTGAGACTGCGCTCGCCGTGCTGAAGCACGTCTGGCCCTCGGTCGAGGATCCCCACTCAAAGGCCAGGTTCCCCTCGGACCAGGCGCCGCTGATCGCCACCCTCGCGCTGGACCACGGCTACTGCCTGTTCCGCCAGCTGAATGTGCCTACCGCGACGAACGTCTACGGAAATGCGTTCAAGGCGTCTATCACCGCTGACCAAGTGGCGGTGCCGTCCGTCACCGCAGTTGTCAAGTCGGTGGTCGAGTTCTACGAGACTACCTTCCAGTTCGACAAGGCCTTGGTGCTTCTGCACCAGGTCAGCGAATTCTTTGCCTCCCGGCTCGGCGAGAATGACAAGCACACGATCGATAGTCGGTACTACGAAGCTGACCTGGCTTTGCGACTCAACCGCCGCGAAGAAGCAGGCGACAGCTACCGCCATATCTATCGTGCTTGCATCCGTGACGGCAAGGTCACTACGTCCGGTGTGCGGGCTGCTGTTGCTCTGGTGACCCTGTACGAGCAGGACAAGCAGTACGACGCTGCTCTGCAGGTCTATCGTCATCTGTGGCCCACGCTAGTGCGGTTCGACGAGAAGGATGGGTACGACCGTGCTCTGCTTGAGGGCCTGCTCCCCAAGACCTACACCGGCTACATGTCGATTTTGGGTCAGATGGACCAGCAGACCGCATATAACGAACGCTACCAGGTCGCATCGCAACAGCAGCAGCTGTGCCGCAAGCTGTACGGGCCTACCAACAGTCGCACACGCGATGCCACCCTGAGCCTTGCTGCGCTTTGTGCGAACAGCGACCGCCACACCACCGAAGCCATCAATCTGTACCATCAAGTCCTGCGGACCCCTGAATGGGTGGCTTCTAGCGAGGCATCGCACGATCTGCCTGACATGGCCGAGCCTCTACCGATCAGTATCAAACACCAGATGGCTCAGCTGTATCTCCGTCAGAAGGATACCAGCCCGGAGGCTCGCGAGCTGTACCTGGAAGAGCTGGCCCTAGCCAAGCAGCAACAAGGCCTGTCCGCCCCTGCTACGCTGCTCTGGCTGCGTGAGCTTGCCATGATGTATGTCTCTGAGGACACGACGTCGTCCCGTCGCCAGGGTACCGACTTGCTGCAGACTCACGTCGACGAGATTGTCCACGTCACGGCGAACCGGGAGACTCTCATTGACCGGGCGCACCGCCTGGCCGAGATATATCTGGAATGCGGACTCATTGACGAAGGCAACACCTTGATCAACGAGATGCACCAGCACGTGATCCACGACACTCCAGTGTCGCAGCGACAGGCCCTGAACGAATACCGACCTGCCGTGTTCGTGGCCAGCTTCGAAGAGGTCTTCGGCAAGCGCCGCACCTTCAGCCAGATCATGGCTGACCTGTCGCGCGAAGGCCAGGTCTACAACACGTTCCAGCAGAGCCTGTCCAGCCACGACCTGATGTCGACGCTTGCAGCGGGCGAGAAACTGCACCGCCTGCAGACGGACCAGAAGCGTTCCATGGCCGCCCAGACCACGCAGGACAAGTTGTACGAATACTTCTGCAACAACCTGTCCGTGTCGCAGTCTCTGCGCAGCAAGCAAGTCATCCGCCATTTCTACGACATCTGCCGCCGCGAGTCCTTGCACGAGGACTACAACATCAACATTGTCACGAAGACCACGGGCTTTGTGCGGGATCTGTGCGACAGCTCTCGCTTCCAGGAGGCGGCCGATGTGACGAGCGTGTTCCACTCGTTCGTGCATTTGACTGATGGTCTGAAGTCTACGGAGAGCATCTTTACCTCCATCAAGATCTGTCTCTATCTGAACGGATACCAGACCAGCAAGTGCTCGAACGAGATGACTGCCAAAAACATGTCGCTGGAGTCCAAGATGCTTCTGCAGGAGATCATGTCCAATGCCAACGAGCTGTCGCTGGAGTTCTCTGAACTGCCGTTCGACGAGCTCAACGATGTCATTACGGTGTTGGGTGAACACGAGATGTTCGAAGACCTCGAGGTATGTCCCCCCATCCGTAGAACCACCTTGCAACCCCGACTAACAAAACACAGGTCATCCTCACCGATCTGTGGACCTCGCGGATGGTCCAAAAGACCTGGTCCCTCCCCGTCGTGGTGTGGATCGGCCGCCGTCTCGTGGAAACCCGCTTCTGCCGCGGCAATGTCGCCTCGGCCACACAGCTCGGCAAAGACATCTGCTACAACCTTCGCCAAGTCTGGGGCAACTGCGACCCGGTCACCCTGGAGATGTCCAAGCTGCTGTCCGGCCTGTACAACGCCTCAGGCAACTACCTCGCAGCGGCCGCACTGCACGAATCCGCCCTAGCGGAGCTGCTCAACAGCGACGCCGACGACCACCAAGCCGCCGTCAAAGCCGTCACGCAGCACCTCGAGCTCCTGCAGCACACGCAGGCCCGCCTCTCCCGACAAGGCCAGAGCGCCGCCGTGGACGCCCAAGTAGCGGAAGACCGCGTCAAGCTGATCGCCACCAAGTTCGGCATCTCCTCGTCCAAGCTGATCTCAGCCGTCGACTCCAACCAAGACGTCGGCATGTGGCAGCGTCCGCGCCGCTTCAGCCTCGACGTCGAGGACCCCTCCGCGCACCAGAACCACCTGCGGCGGTCGAGCGGAGCCGCCTTGTTGAATGGAAATGCGGGCGGCGCGAAGCGCGTGTCTATCACTGCGCTATAATACCTTCTTTTATTCCTCGATTGTGATCTTTGGTTTCGATATCTGATTGTCGTTTTTAGTGTAATTATTGTACCTATCTAATGGTATGCGGCGGAGGAAACTGATAGGGTAGTATATATATAGTTGAATGAATGTTTTATTTTGAATTTATATATGGGGTGGGTGATTGCGGTGTGTATGATACCGTCACATTCTGCATACAGCTTGATGAGCGCTCTGTATGAGTAAGTCAAGAGACCTACAGTTACACTCAAGTACTACATAATTAAAAAAGTAGGCAGGAGAGGAAGAAGAACAGGTATACCAGCACACGATATATATTCCGAGAATCAACAATGTAAATGCGGCTACGATGTTAACCGAACATTCTCCATTTTAATAATTGCCTTGTTGCAAGAAATCACGACTCGGCTACAAATGATATATATTTCACGGCAGTATTGTCCATCACATTGAACTAACCCTATATCCAGTGCAATCTCCTATCAGCTTATGCGTCCTTCTTCCCAAAGAGGTCTTTCTCGACCATGGAGCGGCAGATGGGATGGTAGAAGTCCTTGTTCTTTTCGAACGTCTCGGCTGCGAGTTTGGGGTCGACGCGCGAGAGGTTGCGGTACCTGGATGTAATTGTTAAATTATGTTCGTAGGACAGATATAGACTGGGGATGGGTTGGGGGCACGTACAGAGGCCGCACGAATTTCATGCGCCCAATCCGACCGAGCAGGTCCGCGGCGGGAGCAAGCACGCTCTTATCTCCGGCTTTCAAGCCGACCTGACAGTACAGGTTTGCGACTTCGATGTTCTTCGTCGTGGTGAGGCCGTAGACTTCGCCCATGAGCTTGGATAGCTCGGGGGAGAGGGGCTTCGGCGCGGTGAGGAACTGCTCCAGGAAGACGACGATCTGGTTGGCGGTCAGGCCATCGATGTCGCTGGGCTGGGGCTTGAAGGGTGATTCTGGCAGGGACTCCCATTGCTTGGCGAGCTTGTAGACTACGTCTACGAGGGAGGTGTCGAATTGCGGCTTGGGTGGGAGGCCTGGGGCGTAGAACCACTTGTCCCAGTCGAGGGAGGTGAGGAGCTTGGAGGCTTCGGCGTCGGATTGGAAGAATTCGAGGATCGTGGCTTTGAATTCGTATGAGTCCAGAGATTTTTCCTTGAAGGTTGTGAAGTACTGTATGGTATTAGTTTGACTCGAGACGAGAAAGAGGGAAGAACTCACGTGGGGAATGAACTGGTCGAATTTCTGCTTCCCGACCAAGGTCTCTAGGTGGTACAGGAAGTTGAACCCCTTCTCGTAGGGGATGCTCGAGAACGCATCGTCAGGATCCTTGCCTTTCAGGTCGGTAATCAGTCGGGTAAACTCGTGGTCGGCGCCATAATGGTCTACCGAGTCTGCGAGCGCCTTCCAGCCGATGATGGCAGAGAAATGCCGATAGGCCTCGCCGTGTCTGAACAGTTAGTGGTTGATTTCAAGCCCAAGGTGCTCCTACTCACACTGCTGCCAATATCTAGTAATCGTCAGTTTGAGTATTCCCAGCATTGAAAAGAACACTTACCCGTCTCTCCAGGTAGGTGGTCCAGCCCTCGTTCAGCCAGAAGTGCTCCCACGAAGCATTGGTCACCAGGTTTCCACTCCAGCTGTGGGCCAGTTCGTGAGCAATGACGTCCACGTTCTCTCGGTCCTAGTCCGTGTCAGATCAATGGTCATCGTCTGCGACAACAGGTAATCTACCTTGGAGATGATGCTAGGCGTGGCAAAGGTGAAGATTGGGTTCTCCATCCCTCCGTAGGGAAAGCTAGGAGGAAGGATCAAGACATTGTATTCACCCCAAACATAGGGATAGACGATTTTCTAAGACAGTCAGCGAGTCCCACCAAATAGTCGATTTCACGCACCTCAATCGCATTGATGAACTTTTCCGTGTCCGCCTCGAGCTCCCACTGGCACTCTTGTAATTTGTCGGGGCTGGTAGCGACGACGCTGCGCGGCCCAATGGAGGCTTCCGAGATATCCCTTGATGGACAAGTTAGGCAAGTCTATAAACCTAGAGGAACAGCAACCTACCCACTAGCCAACGCGAACAGGTAGCTCGGAATCGGGACCTTCTGGTGGAACTGGTACACGCTCTGCCCCTCAGAGCCACTCGATGGCTTGCGAACGGGCAATCCGCTGGCAATCACCGGATGAGGCGAGGTGATGTTAAAGTCTAGCGTGCTCTTGACATCCGGCGTATCCTGGCACGGGAAGATCGACCGCGCGTGAATCGCCTGGCACTGAGAAACTGCAAACCGTCAACGCCGTCCCAACTTCCAATGAGGTCACATGACGTACACATATAGGGGTGCTTTTTGTTGGATGTCTGCGCGGGAGTCAACCACTGCAGTGCCGTGCACTTATCCGTGGTCTTGACAGATATCTAGTGGCGTGTTAGCTGTGTGTAATAGAAAACCGACACGATAGCCATACGTCGACATCAACGGTCTCGTCGAGCTTCACGCCCTGGTCCAGCTTGATCTTCAAAGCAGTCCCATACGGCTCCATCCGCGGTAGAAGCTCCCAGGTCGAGGACTTGCCGTCGACCTTGACGTCGCCGACATCCAGGTAGCTCGTGTCGAAGATGATCTCCGTGGACGACGCGTCGGTGATCGACCGAAGCTTGTGGATCACATTTCCGGCAAGCTTTCTCTGCTCGAAGAGAATGTCAAAATTCGCGGTAATATGGGTCGATCGCCAGTTGTTGTAGTTGCTCAGGGTGTTGGGATCCCTGGGGGTATTGATCGTCGTGGCCATCGTGCGTCTGTGGACCGTCCACCGAAACTGAATCGAAGCTGACTTGGGGCCAATACTGAACGTGGGCAGATGGGAACTGCAGGACAATCGAGAGAGGAGGACCCGGCTCATCAGGTGGGGTTCTCTTAACTGATAAGGAGAGGGGCAGGGGACGTTAATGCGGGCGCAGATGAGGGGAGAAGAAGAGCGATGTGGGATGGTTTGTTTTGGGTCTAACGTTACATGCGGAGGAGCTTCTTCTCCGCTTACCCGCGGGGTTGCAGATTATCACCCACCAGACAAATCTGAACTACGCAGAACTAGAAGGAAAATTATAGATATTGAGGATAGTATAGTATCATGAGTACAGACAGAATCGCTGCGTCTGTAAAATTCGGTTGCAACATTCTAAAAAACTAAAAAGACATGCTAATGGAAACGACCGAATGTGCGACCATCGCACAACCCCAACTCCAGGAACCATAATTACAGGAATCCGGATCGACCAGCTCTAGAGGTCAATACTAATAGGTATCAAAACGATCGGGCAGAACAACCGGGGCAACCAAGGTCCACAGGTAGATCGCATAGCAGACCCATGCGCTGATGATCTTCACCCAACTGGCCCAGTAGGTCCGGCCCACCGGCGCAAAGTCGTCCACCGTGTCCGGGTCCAGGTTCTGGGTCAGCAAGGTCGCCACCCAGGTTGTGGCCAAGAAGAAGATCACGTGGAACAGGGAGTAGTTGTACTGGGTCGATCCCCGCTCGTCATCCCGATCCTGGCCATCGTCCGACTCGTCGTCGCTGTCTTCGTCCAACGCGCTGGCGGGGAGACTGCCGCTGGCGACGGCTCGCCGCAGAACCTCGGCGCGCATCTCCCGGCGAGCGGTCGGCTGCTGGGTCACCAAACCATGCTCGTTGTCGTCCGTCCCGACGGCGGAGTAACCGTGTCCGCCCTTGGACCCTAGCGCAATACCCTGGGTCGCCGCACGGGTCGTCGTGTACGCGATGGTGGCCATGGTGACGATCGCGCCCAGCACAATCGTCGCCGTTCTCGTGCCGCGCGCGCGGATCAACGGGTTGCAGCTGTTGTCATCGGGTTCCATCGACACCGCCGACATGGTCAAGTATGTGCAGTATGCAGTCACCATCGCGGCCTGTGCCAATCCCGCCCGGGGGTTGGCCTCCTGGACGACGGGTTGGACCGACACGAAGGAGGTGATTAAGAATACGACCAGATTGATCTGAAACGTCAGTAATGGTCGACAGTGGAGGGGAGAAGATCGAGTCTGCACGTACCGTGATTGCTGCCTGGTTCATGTGGCACTGGCTGCGCGCGAAGAAGATATACATCAAAATCGTCATCACGAGCGACGAAACGTACATTCCCACCGTGGAGCCGATCAGCAAGCCCCGCCAGAGACCCGACCCGCTGTCCTCGATCTTCTGCAGACAGAGCTCGGCCCACGAATGGGCCAGGTCCACCAACAGGATCAAGCCCAGCAGGAGGAAGAGCATGGCGCACAGGAACGCAATGTAGGTGCCGTAGACGAAGAAGAACTGTTCAGGAATGAAGAACGAGGCGACGACCAGGAGGATCCACAGAACGACCTTGGGGCCCCAGAAGCCGTTCTGTAGAGCCGCCCGACCGTTCCTGGTCGATCGGACCCCCAGGAGCATGAACGCGAGGATCAGATGGAAGAGACCCAAAGCGAAGTTGATGCGATGGACGGCGACCCAACCGTGGCATTCTTTCCCGTCGCATTTGATTTCCATGTAATCCAACGTCATGTTCTGTAACTTTTTCAGGGCCCACGGGGTGAGCATGATCCAGGATATGATCGAGTTGATGAGTAGGATGAACGCATATGCGATTCTCGTGGCCATGCTGCATTACTGTCAGTTCCAGTCCGATCGAATTCCCAGTCTACTCCCGGTCTCCCTACCTGTTCTGAAACTTCCCACATGCGCTACACACCGCCGAGCACGTCGCAGCACCACAACATGATGTCGCAACGGTGATGAGCTATGCTTATGGTCAGTCTGCAATTCTTCCGGATAGAGGGAATGACGTACCGTGCTGGCGCTGGGAAGGGCCAAGAGAGGAATCGAGAGGAGAGCCCCCATGGTGTTGAAGTGAACCAGGTCAACCAGGTCAGACAGTAGGGATGTGAATATTGATCGTTCTCTTCAAATAGGAAGCAGAAGAGTGTCTATCACACTTGTCGCAAGTGATCCAACAGAAGCGGAGGCAAACGGAGACAAACGGCGACGGCGTCACGTTGCCTCGCGGGCGGTGAGTCAGGTGGTCAGCCGGTCAGGTGATCGATGATGATGCCAAGACGCGGGCAATTATCGGCCCGGGGATGCATGCATTGGCATTACGTAATATGCATTCTCCCGGGCATAACGGTCTGTCCTCCGGGCTGCCTCAGGCCAGGTCTCCTTCCCCCTCGAATCGTTCTTGTTCTTCTTATCTGTCGTCTTTCTGTCTCTCCTTCACCCTCTTTTTGTATCTTTCTCTTTTCCACGGTCTTTCAATCCCTGTCTTTCCCCTTCTCTACTTCCCAAACCGCTGGTTGTTCGGTTTGGATGAGAGTCTTGCTTGTCCGCTCTCGGCCCTTCATTCGCGTCAAGTGACTACTTGGCTTATCTGTCCCGCGGCTTTGGGTTTATGACCTCAACGTGACCAATCGTTCTGGATAACGATATCAACCACTGCCCCTCTTTCGCTACGTCGGTCGTGTGTCTGAACGGGCTTTTTGACGACCTAGAGTATATCGAACGCATGATTTCACCATGGCAGACTCGACAACATCGAAGCGGGTTATCTCCGTGATTGCGGGAACCCTCGTGGCCTTGGCCTGTGGTACCAACGTGCGGCTCTCTTAGGTTTGAATGCGACACATCGGCCTGAGGGACTGGACTGACAGATGGACAGTATGCATATTCTGCATGGGCCCCTCAATTTGCCCACAAGATGAAAATCTCGTCCACCGAGAGCAACTTCATTGTAAGGCTTCTTGCGTCTTCGTGCCCCCCGGGGTGGATGGTCGTTGACTGGTTCTAGGGTGCGGCCGGTAACTTGGGAATGTACGCTTCGGGGATCCCGTTGGGGCTGTTGACGGATGCTCGGGGACCCCGTCTCACCACCTTTATCGGGGGTATTGCCCTTGGAATCGGGTATTATCCGATCTATCAGGGTGGGTGACAGTCTCCCCCTCTGTGATGGTGCGGAGTCGTGTGCTGATCTGTCGTTCGGGAATCTAGCCTATAACCAGGGGCAGGGATCACTGGGGATCGCGTTGCTCTCGTTATTCTGCTTCCTTACGGGTTTTGGAAGTTGCTCTGCCTTTTCCGCTTCGATCAAGACCGGTATGTCAACATGGCATTTCATATTGTCCGTCCCCAACTGACAGATCTCAGCGGCATCCAATTTCCCCGATCACCGCGGAACCGCGACTGCATTTCCTCTCGCCGCCTTTGGCCTGAGCGCCTTCTTCTGGTCCACCGTTTCCGCTGTCCTCTTCAAAGATGATACCGGCCGATTCCTCCTGCTCCTCTCTCTGGGGACCTTCTTTCTCAACATGGTGTCCATTCCGTTCCTTCGAATCATGCCCCCGACCGAGGAGTATCAATCGCTGGCCCGGGAACGAGCCCCGGCCGAGACCCGCCGGCTTCGCAAGCACCGGTCCAGCGAGATGCTATCCGTGGGAGAGGCTGGCGATGAAGGTGCGCAGAGTTCTACCGCTTTCGAGTCTCAATCCCGACTTCACGTACGGTCCCAATCATCCGTGTCCAACTCGCACATGCGGACTCACAACCCCGACCTCGATGAAACGTCGTCGCTGGTATCCAAGACGACCTCGAGGCACTCGCGAGACTTTTACCAGGGGAATGAGGACGACGAGGACGATGGGCTGTCGGACGTTGGCCTTGACTCACCTCATCAAGACGTTAGGGGCATGGCGATGCTGCCGAGGGTCGAGTTTTGGCAGCTGTTTCTGACCATGGCGCTGCTGTCCGGAATCGGACTGATGACCATCAAGTTTGTCTCCCTGACAGTCTCCTTAGAAGTTGACCTAGGCTAACGGTTCTACAGCAATATTGGCAATACGGTAAGGGATATGGCCCCTCCTCATCTGACCCCATACTAATCCCGGCAGGCCAAGGCTTTGTGGATGCACTACGATGATAGCGCCGACGACAAGTTCATCCAGCAACGGCAGGTCATGCACGTGTCGGTCCTGTCCTTCGGCAACTTTGTTGGCCGGCTTCTCAGTGGTATGTGCTCCTGCTGTCCTGTCCGCAATTGGACCGGTCGTTGATAGCTTCATTCTAGGTATCGGCTCCGACATTCTGGTCATGAAACTGGACATGTCGCGATTCTGGTGTCTCTTCGTCTCCGCGTTCGTCTTCACCGTGACGCAGATGGCCGGCGCCGCGATCACCAACCCGCACCAGCTGGTGGTGGTATCGGGGTTCACCGGAGTCGCGTATGGCTTCCTGTTCGGAGTCTTCCCGTCCCTGGTCGCCCACACCTTTGGCATCGGCGGTCTCTCCCAGAATTGGGGCGTGATGACGCTGGCCCCGGTGTTGAGCGGCAACGTGTTCAACATGCTGTACGGCAGCATCTACGACCGTCACTCCATCGTGGGAGATGACGGCGACCGGGATTGCCTCGACGGTCTGGGCTGCTACCAGGCTGCCTACTACACCACCTTTTTCTCCGGGGTGGCGGGCATTCTGGTCTGTCTGTGGAGCATTGTGCGCGAGCGTCAGGTCCACGGGTCTTTCCGCAAGAAGCAGGACCATGAACGTTTGGCCTAAACGAGGGTCGACCGGTGCCGTGCACTTGGTTTGCGCCCGTTGGCTGAGGATTCGCACCCCTTCTTCCTTCTTTTGATCTTGTGAACCTTTTCTTATCTTGGACATATATACCCATGATTCAATCTCTTGATTTCTTTGCTTTGATCCCTGTCTCATCACAATTATATAGCTATTATTTAAGCTTGCGATCGTTATAGAATTGGCGGCGGTCTCCTGATGAACTGCAAATGCAAGCATGTTCTCTCGTGCTACTAAAAGGGGAAGTACCACGCAGCTAGAGATATACAATGACATTATAACCCTATAGCGACATCCTCTTGAGGATATACGGAGTACTCCATAGTGAATATGGATATAGATAAAAGCCCGATAAATAATAATTAGTCATCGCCCAAACCGGCTAGCGCGCTGACAACCTGCGGGATCGGATTGGCGGGGAGCCTGAGGCCAGCTCCGACTTCGCTGCGGAGAATCGCGATCCACTTTTTTTTCGTGGTGGAAGAAGCTCTTGACCTTCTCCTTTCAGCGGAGATCCTTCATCCAGACTTTTCTCATTCGCATCTTCTGCTGTGGTGTGTGAATTGTATATCCTGCTGCAATCATGCTCCTCTCGCAAGCCAAGGGTCGGCTCATGCCCGCCGCTCTGCGGAGCTTCTCCAGACCTGCGGTCACGAATACCGCGTACGTACAAGGACGTGGATCGGGAACCAGATGAGGATGAGTTGCTAATGATTGTCCTCTAGTCGTCTCCTGTCTACTACCCTCCCGAAGCGCAAAGACGAACCCCTCAACAAGGTCTCCAGCCATGTCACGCAGCCCATCTCGCAGGGTGCCTCCCAGGCCATGCTGTACGCCACCGGTCTCACCGAAGCCGACATGAACAAGGCCCAGGTCGGCATCTCCTCCGTCTGGTACAATGGCAACCCGTGCAACATGCATCTGCTCGACCTGAACAACCGCGTGCGCGAGGGCGTCCAGAAGGCCGGCTTGGTCGGGTTCCAGTTCAACACCGTGGGTGTCAGTGACGCCATCAGTATGGGCACCACGGGCATGCAGTACTCGCTGCAGAGTCGCGACCTGATCGCCGACTCCATCGAGACCGTCATGGGCGGCCAGTGGTACGATGCCAACATCAGCATCCCCGGCTGCGACAAGAACATGCCCGGTGTCATCATGGCCATGGGCCGCGTCAACCGCCCCAGTCTGATGGTCTACGGCGGCACCATCAAGCCCGGCTGCGCCGCCATGCAGGGCAATGCCGACATCGACATCGTCTCCGCCTTCCAGGCCTATGGACAGTTCATCACCGGTCAGATCGACGAGCCCCAGCGCTTTGATATCATCCGCAACGCCTGCCCCGGTGGCGGTGCCTGCGGTGGCATGTACACCGCCAACACCATGGCCACGGCCATCGAGGTGATGGGTATGACCCTCCCGGGTTCCTCCTCCAACCCCGCCGAGTCCCAGGCCAAGTACCTGGAGTGTCTGGCGGCCGGTGAAGCGATCAAGAACCTGCTCAAGGAGGACATCCGCCCCAAGGACATCCTCACGCGCCAGGCCTTCGAGAACGCCATGATCGTGGTCAACATCACGGGCGGCTCGACCAACGCCGTGCTGCACCTGATCGCCATCGCCGACTCCGTTGGCATCAAGCTCGACCTCGAGGACTTCCAGAAGGTGTCTGACCGCACCCCCTTCCTGGCGGACCTGAAGCCCTCGGGCAAGTACGTCATGGCCGACCTGCACTCCATCGGCGGCACCCCGTCGCTGCTCAAGTTCCTGATCAAGGAGGGCGTCATCGACGGCTCCGGCATGACCGTCACCGGTCAGACCCTCGCCAAGAACCTGGAGAAGGTGGCCGACTTCCCCGAGGACCAGAAGATCATCCGTCCCATGTCCGAGCCCATCAAGCCGACCGGTCACATCCAGATCCTCCGCGGCTCGTTGGCCCCCGGTGGCAGTGTGGGTAAGATCACCGGCAAGGAGGGAACCAACTTCACGGGCAAGGCCCGCGTGTTCGACGAGGAGGACGACTTCATCGCCGCTCTGGAGCGCAACGAGATCAAGAAGGAGGACAAGACTGTTGTTGTCATCCGCTACACTGGACCCAAGGGTGGTCCCGGCATGCCTGGTATGTCATTTCACTTCTTTCATCTCTCCTTTCTGCTTCTTCGTTTCGTGGCATGATACTAATCTATCTTATAGAAATGCTGAAGCCCTCGTCCGCCCTGATGGGTGCCGGTCTGGGTGACTCCTGCGCCCTGATCACGGACGGTCGTTTCTCCGGTGGTTCTCACGGCTTCCTGATCGGCCACATCGTGCCCGAGGCCGCCGTCGGCGGTCCCATCGGTCTGGTCCACGACGGCGACGTCATCACCATCGACGCCGAGAAGCGCGTCCTCGACCTGGAGGTTGATCAGGCCGAGCTGGTGGAGCGCCGGAAGCAGTGGGAAGCCGACAAGGCGGCCGGCAAGCTGCCTCCCACGGGTCTGACCCTCAGGGGCACCCTGGGCAAGTATGCTCGGTGAGTTTGATCTTCTATCTTTCTTTCTCCTTCGATATAAGACTTGCTAACACGTAACAGCACCGTCAAGGACGCCAGCCACGGCTGTGTCACCGATGCCGTTGAATAAATGACTGTTTGAGTACGAATGATTTCAGATTTGCATGGCTTTTTTTCTGTTTTCTGGATAGGCGAACACCAAAATTCTTTCATTTCATGTTTTTATTATAGGAGCGTTTATCAATACAGGATACCGTTTTCTTTTCTTTCTTTACTCCGTTCATAGCTTCTTGGGTCGATCGTTGATGTTACACTTCTTGTGTATGGAAGTTGGGATATTCCTCTTCATCTGGATTTAACCAGGTTGTCACCTCTTGAACAGACTGACTTCTATCGTGGAGTACACTGATTCGACCAGCGTGTGGAACCTGTCCAAGCGTACATCTCCGCAATTGATCTGCTTCTGCCCCGCCTGAGATGCGGGCAGCAACAACAAGAACAACAACAGCAGGACCCCTCATTTACCTTCCTGACACTACTCTCTCATTATCCCATCGTCTATCCCATCATCCACCCATCCATCAATACTCACCCCAATGGCCAAACCAAGCACCCAGATCCACCGCGCATGGTGGAAAGAAAGCTCCGTCTACCAGATCTGGCCCGCCTCCTTCAAAGACTCCAACGATGACGGCATCGGCGACATCCCGGGCATCATCTCCAAGCTGGACTACATCAAGGACATCGGCGTGGATATTGTCTGGCTCTGTCCGTCGTACAAGTCGCCCCAGGTGGACATGGGGTATGACATTGCCGATTACTACAGCATTGCGGATGAATACGGCACGGTCGCGGACGTCGAGCGGCTGATTAAGGGCTGTCATGATCGCGGCATGAAGCTGCTGATGGATTTGGTTGTTAATCATACTAGTGATCAGCATGAGTGGTTTAAGAAGTCGCGTAGCTCGAAGGATAGTGAGTATCGGAATTGGTATGTGTGGAAGCCGGCGAGGTATGATGAGCAGGGGAACCGGCAGCCGCCGAATAACTGGGTTTCGCATTTCCAGGGTATGTACAATTATTACTCTGGAATATCTATACACGTCAGTGATATTCTGTAACCAATCAACTAATCAATCCCCTCAGGCAGCGCATGGGAATGGGACGAGCACACCCAAGAATACTACCTCCACCTCTACGCCGTCGAACAGCCCGACCTAAACTGGGAGCACCCACCCGTGCGCGAGGCCGTCTTCGACATCATGCGCTTCTGGCTCGACAAAGGCGCCAACGGCTTCCGCATGGACGTCATCAACTTCATCAGCAAAGACCAGCGGTTCCCCGACGCACCGATCAAAGACCCCCGCACACCCTGGCAATGGGGCGACAAGTACTACGCGAACGGGCCGCGCCTACACGAGTACCTCCAAGCCGTGGGCAAGATCCTGAAAGAATACGACACGTTCAGCGTCGGCGAGATGCCGTTCGTGACGGACACGAACGAGGTACTGCAGGCTGTGCGCTACGACCGCAACGAGATCAACATGATTTTCAACTTTGAGCACGTGGACATCGACCACGGCCGTTACGACAAATTCGAGCCCGGGAGCTGGAAACTCACTGATTTGAAGGCGTTCTTTGAGCGCTGGCAGACGTTCATGTATGAGAATGATGGCTGGAATGCGCTGTACTGGGAGAATCATGACCAGCCGCGCTGTGTTGACCGGTATGTCAATGCTAGTGAGGAGAACCGCGTGCCGGCGGCGAAGATGTTAGCCACTGTGTTGGCTTTGATGTCCGGCTCGCCGTTTGTGTATCAGGGTCAGGAGATTGGCATGTCGAATGTTCCGAAGGAGTGGGCGATGGAGGAGTATAAGGATATTGACTGTTTGAACCATTGGCATCGGTATTCCTCATTTTTCCCCCTCTCTCACACCACATCCCAACTAACAACTAACAACAACAGCCTCCTCAAATCCCACCCCACCGACACAGCAGCCCAAGAATCCGCCCGACGAGAATACCAAAAGAAATCGCGCGACAACGGCCGCACACCCGTGCAATGGAGCTCCGCCCCCAACGGCGGCTTCACCTCCCCCACCGTCAAGCCCTGGATGTCCGTGAACCCAAACTACACCCGCATCAACGCCGAAGCAGCCGTCAAGGATCCGCACTCAGTCTACCACTTCTGGGGCGCGGTGCTGGGCCTCCGGAAGAAGTATCTGGATGTGTTTGTTTACGGGAACTATGAGCTTGTGGATGCGGGGAGTGAGGAGGTTTTTGCGTATAGTCGGCGCTATGAGGGGTTGAAGGCTGTTGTTGTGGCTAATTGGACGGAGGGGGTGGTGAGGTGGGATGCTGCCGCTAAGGGGGTGACGTCGAAGAAGGAAGTGTTGTTGGATACGTATGAGGGTGTGGAGAAGGTAAGGGATAGGTTCTCGGGGGAGACGTGGGAGTTGAGGCCGTTTGAGGCGGTTGTTGTGCTGGTGGAGTAGATGGGCGTTCTATGTCTAACTCTATTATTCATGATAGGCGAGGGCCAGATTACCTATTTCTTTTAGAAAATGGAGATGGTTCTCAATGGAGTAGTGAAGACTGATATACTTTTTTCGTCTGAACTGTGCTGGATATTCGAATACCGGGATGAGTATGCTGAATTGAGAGACATGCAATCGGCCAACAAGTTAAGTGGCTTGCCGGAACTTCCCTGAATAGATTGTATTTCAAGGCTTGCAACTCGTCGCAGATTTTCAGAGTAATAAAAATGATGAATTAATCATTATGTCGATCGTCTTCCATCAGTCCTCCCACACAAAGGATCCCCCAAACCACCCATGTACAACTCTGCAAAGCACTCGCGCATGACCCCTGCAGCACTTCGTGATGCCCGAGATTGGGTCACACAGATCGAACCGGTGTTGAGCTGATGACTTCCTTTGGATATGATATGGCAGTTCAAGCAGTGTCTCCAGGATTGTTTTTCCTCGCGTAGTTAATCCTCCAGGGTGTTCTCAAAGTCTCTAGTCCTCTTTTGATTTCCGTCGCCGACTGAATTCTATCAGTCTTGGTAATTATAATATGTGCACTGGATTCAGTTACCTGGCCAGAAACTTTCCAAAGAAGATATGTAAGTCCCCAAAAGCCAGCGGCAAAAGGCACAAACCACTGCCATCCTGGAGATCCTTCGGTGGCATTGACGTTCATACCGAAAAGGGACTGTTCCTGCTTAGTATCTTTACTTTGGCACAAAGTGATGGTGTGTATCTTACTGCAGTAAACATCAGAGGTAGATAAACGAACTTCAAGATCGATAAGCTGTGGGATCATCACGGTGGGAAATCGGACGGTGGATTCTTACAGTCACAACACTGATCCTTCTGATGAAGGTGGCCTCGTGAATAGATTGGCGAGTGTATTCCTAAGTGTCTTGTAAATCATATCATTCAAACAAGGAGTAGCGCAGCTGCTTACCATCTGCGATATAGAATTGATGGTGTGTTCAAATCGGTCGAGCTTTTCTGTGTAATACTGCTTACTCGTTCTGAGGCGAGTCTGTAAGGACTTAATCTTGTCTTCGCGGTCATCTTCTATCACGGTGCTGTAGTAGCGTTTGATCTCGGTCTCAATGGTCTTCAGTTGATAGTGAAGGGTACGCCGAAGATGAGTAAGATATAGAAGATCACGCCCCAGATCATTGATATGTTTGGGGTCCAATGATCCCTTAGCGAATTGTTGTCGCTATTTGGATGGCCACAGAGGTCAGAAAGAAACAGAAAAAAAGGGTCTGAGTTGGGAAGGCCACGCACATGTTCCACTAGATGAGTTTCGGTTGAATCACAGTATCGCTCCCACTCTTCATCAAATTCTCCCCAAAACTGCATCAGGGACTCTGAGACACTTTCAGGGATCCAGATCTTTGACAATGAGCTATTGTAGAATGGATTGTGCTGGCTTTTATAAGGAATTGTCCACTGGACTCCCCATAAGGTCTGCTCTAATCCCTGGAGATTACACATAGAGCTAGCTTCCGTGGATTGAAGAAGGATACTAAAAGTTGTGTGACATGTTCGTGATTCAAAACTGCCCTCTTGCCTTTCGTCGGAGAAATTTTCCCAGGCATCTTGCTCGTTATGTGCACTACCAATAGTTAGCCAAACAAGGTACAGTAGGATGATAGGAGGATGCATGATACAGAATCGTTGTCTTGGAGTTTTCACAGCATTTGATGTGTTTGATTTCAGCTGTTGTTCTGAGTTTAATGCCATGGGTACGCTGATTCTTCTGCGTTAGACCCAATTTGAGAGATTGCTGCTGCTCTTCACTCAGGTTTGACCTGTAGTTTGACATGCAGTTTGACATGTAGTCTGCGATACCTTGAATGTTCAGTTGTGTTTGCGTTCTATAGTATGAATACTTTTCAGACTCTGGCAGTTGCCATAATTGCAAAGAATCCTTTACCTCAATGGGACGTATATTAAACCACTTCCCTGTGAGACATAACATAGCTGGGTCGACGCCATGTTCCAAAAGGACATGGAGAATGCCGATCTGCTTTATATTCGCCACTGCTTCTCGTAGACTTATCCCAGAACTGATGACCCAATTCAGTTCATATAGAGGGACTTGAAGTGTATCAATCAGTCTTCCGAGTAGTTGCTCGACCATTTCGACTTCCTTGTATTGCAGAAGCTCTTCAATTGAAGCTCGAAGAAACTGTCTTATTTTAGACAAGTCTTTGTGTTCCAATTGTGAATAATTGAGCCAACCCTTGCCGACCTCCAGGAAACGCTGAAATGATATTGCAGGTGATGGGTGGCGCTTTATTTGCTCGAGTGATCTCCCCAGATTGCCCCATAATGATCTGAACATGGATTTTTTATCGTAACAGAGTGCAAGAATAAGTGCTGTCTGCCCCCCTTCCTCGTTAGTAGCATCACAAGTGAAATGCGGTATCCCCATGAGGGCTTTCACGGCATACTCGTCATCACGCATAACAGCTTCTGATAATAAGGTCATCTTTCCTTTGACAGACTGGTTCAGTATCTTGACAATACCCTGATCGCTCGATTTCGCAGGCATTTTCTGCCGATGTTTTGGGTCAAAGTCTGGCGGGAGACACGAGTACATTGCGGCCTGACGCGAAATGGTTTTGCCCTTATATTCGTCATTCTTCCACTGTTGGTGAAGACACCAGTACAAAGGTGTCCGATTCTCATGATCGCAATCGTCATAATTTCTTTTCGTATCGAAAAGTTTCCTGACAATATCATGGTTTCCAGCCTGTGCAGCATAAGACACAGGCGATCGGCCGCCATGATCCGCGGCGAATACGGCATCATCCTCTTTGTACTCGTTGCAGAAAAATTCCACTGTCTCTTTGCATCCCATACCGGCGGCCCATGACAGAGGCGTTCGGCCGGTTTGATCCCGACTTCGAGGATCCGCGTTCTTATCTATCAAGAGCCTGATGTTTTCCCTCGACAAGGATTTCAAATCGCGACCCGGGCCCAGCGATATCCATAAATTTTTATTGATTTGCTTGACCCCTGCTTTCTTGTGTTTGACCTCTGCAGTCGCCGCATACGAAAGCGCAGTTCGGCCCGTTGCATCGGGTTTATCTATGGTGCTGGGATGACTGTACTGCAATAGGATACGAACACAATCGGTATACGGAGTTTCGGCAGCGTACGAAAGTGCAGTTCGACTGTTGACCGGGAGATCAATAGTGGTCTTATTACGCACAATGGAGGATATCAATGTATATTCCTTGTAGCGCAAATAATTCCGTAATTCGGCAACAAGATCTTCAACCGAGGAGTGCTGGGAATCGCTCGGTGGCGGAGCGAACATGGTTGCAGCAATTGTCGATGTATCAATCGAAATGGAAGGAATTCCACGGGGATATTTCTCACCGTAATAGTAGAAGCAGGATATTCGATGGTAAACAGGAAACGTTCGGTTAGCCGTGTAGACAGAAGGAGATGAGAAGATGTAGGTCAGCAAGCAGCGGGGTCGAGCCTCGTGGCATCGAGGCTGAGGCGGAATACCGACAGGGTATAGCAATAGTGACTACGGCTGAATCTGGTAAAATGCCGGCCAATGATATGGACTAGTGGTCTCATGCTTCGTATCCTCTGAAATCCATAGACCATTATCATTCAAATAGCGAGTCAGCAGATACTCGGACAATCAGTTCTGTGTGAATAGATAGTCGAAAGAGCCGATTCGTCTATCGGCTAGATGAGTGATATGAACGTCGTTTACAGGGGACGAGAAGAGATGGTTATCCAGAACAACAAGAGGAAAGATAAGATCCTTATCGATAAGGGTGTTATCGATAGGGTTATCTCCGCCGAAAAATATTCCCGACCCGGCGACCGGTGAACTCAACATTTCTCTCCATCCCAACTGCTTCACTTCGGCTTCACCCCGTCCTCCATCTCTCTTTCGCGCCCCCTCCAATTATCTCTCATTCCCTCTCGTTTCTCTCGTGTCAATATACCCGTCCTATCCGACCTCCTTGCGACTGGATCTCAGGGATCTTTGGGATTTCCAACCACCTGGTTGGCCGCCCGTTCTCAACCCATTCTAGATCCCACACCAATCCCGCGGAAAACTCCGTCCTTCGACCACATCTCCAATCCTTGAGGAAATTCGAAATGTCTGCCAGTCTCCCTTCGCGTCAAATCCCCGCCTTCCTGGCCCGGCGGCAGCCCCGAGTTCTCAGCACCGGTCGCCGTGAGTTTCCCGCCTACGACCACTGATCCCACATCCCGTCTTCACCAACTTATATTGATTAATGCTGGTCATAGGTTTCCAATCCTCATCCGCCGGCCAGACCCAGAACCCTTCTTACCCGCTCTACCCCTCCGTCTCCCAACTCCTCCACCAAAATGGTATCCCCGAATCCGACCTCTCCAAGATCCCAGCCTCCGGACCCAAGGGCCGTCTCCTGAAGGGTGACGTGCTCGCCTACATCGGCGCCATTCCGCGCGACTATCCGTCCTCGCAGGCCCAGCGACTCGAGCAGCTGTCTCACCTCGACCTGAGCAACATCAAGATCGCGGCGCCCCCCGCGCCGGCGGAGCCGGCCAAGGTGGAGGAGCCCGAGAAGCCCGTGGCCCGCGCCCCACCCACCACGTCGGTCGCCGTGTCGATCTCGCTGGCGGCCGTGCTGTCCGTGCAGAACAAGCTCTCCGAGACGCTGGGCGTCAACGTGCCGCTGTCCACCTTCCTGGCCCGCGCCGCCGACCTCGCCAACGACGACCTGCCCCGGTCGTCCACCGACAAGCGCTCCGCCGACGAGCTCTTCGACGAGGTCCTCGGCGCGGACCCCATCGTCACCTCGCGGGGCGACTACATCCCCGAGCTGAACGCCTTCGACGGGCCGATCCAGTCGGCCCCGCGCGTCCAGGATGACCTCATCGATCTCCTCAGCGGCCAGTCCAAGAAGCGGACCGCTACCCGGGTCGCAGCCGCTCCCGAGGAGCCCGCGACCAACGTCTTCAGCCTGACGGTGCCGCTGAGCGACAAGAAGCGGGCGCAGACATTCCTCGACCGGGTCCAGGCGCTCCTCACCGTGGAGCCGGGGCGGTTGGTTCTATAGATATCATATTGGCGGCTAGCATTGTTAAATCTTTAATAACTACTGTATACAACTCCTCTACTCCCTTTTCTTCCCACCTTACTTCCTCCCAGACTGCACAGTAGGATCCTACCGTCATCAGCACCTGCGTCATAACCAAAGAAAGAAAAAAGAAAAAAAGGTATAGTACGAACCAAATAAACCTGATAAAACCGCATCTTCAACTCCTCCCCCTCAGCAAACACGACCCGTCCCGCCCACGGCACCTCCACCTCCTGCTTATCCGCATCCGCGCGCAGCACGAACTTCGCCGTCCCGTAGAGCATCAGCTCGCGCGGGCCCCCGAAGAAGACCTTTGTGGGGGAGTGTTTCCGCGATGCGACGTGTGTCCAGAGGTTGTGGCGGAGGGTGAGGATTTCTATCATATTATTTATTGTGTGTTAGCGTTGTTCGGGGCAGTACTTCTAGTATAGTATAGCATTATACTATTCTATGCTCCACTCTAGGTAGTATGATATGACGAGTAGAAGCAGAAGTGGTAGTAAGAAGAAGAAGGTAGACAAACCCTCAGATCCCTTGGCAACCTTCGACCCCATAATAAGCGTCGCATCATCCGTAAAGTAAGAAGGATACTTCTCGTGAGCGGACTCGGTGTCGCTGGTTGCGTAGAAGGACTCCAGGAAGGAGGTCATTGCGGAGGTGGATTCCGGGGAGGGGGAGAACGCGGGGTTGAGGGTAATGTTGTAGGTCATTTTGTTTCTTTTGTTTCTTCTTTTTTAGAGATGATTGTTTGTTGAATTGCAGTAGAAGTATTACTTGTAAGTATGTTGAAGGATGTGTGCATGGGTAAAGTCAGGCAGATGGTAGGAGTCAATAGTAGGATATCCAACGGTCCGATATCAACCCCACTTCCGGTTCTCTTCCGATTGCTCTTCCGATATTTGTACTGCTTCTTTTTATTTTTAAGGTTCATTCATTTGTACCCAGTACTAGTGCGTCTGGTTGAACACATATCGTGCCACTGATGCCTCTCAACACAGTACAGCCTAGCTCAACCTACGATCCTCCCCCCCATCAAACCTCCAACTCGCCTCATCCACCCCATTCGGTCGACTCCCCCGCACAAACCGGTTATCAACGCCCTCAATCTCCGCAACCGGCCGCACGACCTCGATCTCCGCATCATACGCCTTGGAGTGCCACCGCTCCGTCAGCACATCTGCCTGATAAAGATGCGGAAACCGCCTTTGCATCGCCCGCAGCACCGTCGACGAGATGCGATCCACGCTGTCGCAGTGACGCAGACCGAAAAACTCCGCCGGTTGCGCTGCGCGCATCGTCTCTTGCACCTCCGCAGGGTAGGCGCCCACGGCGAAGAGCAGTAGATCGTAGTGCATTAGCGATGCCTTGCCGTGGTAGGAGCCGCCCGTTGTGGCGCGGTGGTAGAGTCCGCTTAGAGCGGCGATTGCGCCCATGCACCCGGTGCCGTAGTCGGAGATGGGAAATGGGGGGACCACTGGGTTGGAAAGGCCCATGAATTGGCCTTGGGCCCAGGCTATACCTGTCACCTGTTGATGGGATGGTCGTCAGTGATGGTTTTGTCTTGTTCATGCAGGAAGGAGAACGTACGCAATCTGCAATCTGCTGCCAGCCGGGTCGGCCTGCCCACTCGCCTTCGTAGCCAAAGCAATCTTCCGACACGTACACGATGCCCTTTCCGCGTTTCTCGGCCATCGCTGCGAGCGCCTGCGGCCCGTAGCCGAGCTTCTCGAGTGCGCCGGGTCGGTAGCCGTCCACGACTACATCAGCGTCCGCTACGAGCTCCTCGAATTGGCGACGTCCTTCCTCCGTTTTGAGGTCCAGGTCGGTTGCATGCTTGCCCATGTTGCCGTCGACCTGGAAGAAGGGCACGTCGGACAGATGCGGGCTGGTGATCTTCAGCACGTCGGCACCGTACTCGGCCAAAATGCGTGCGACGGTGGGACCGGCGATGATGCGGCACAGCTCTAGGACCTTAACCCCTTCCAGTATTCTGGTGCTCCCGTCACGACGAGCCGGAAAGGGCGTGGGCGGGGCATCGCCGTCCAGACGGGATACCTTCCACGGAGGCTCCTGCACGTTCAGTTTCCCCTGTAGCTAGTCAGAATCCACTGTGCTCGGGAAAAGGCAGGATACGTACATGCGGGGTCTGGATAAAGTCTTCATGCTTGTATGCCGTCACGCCGGCCTGTCTCCGATCCTTGTTCATCGCCTCCAGTTCAGCGGCGCTGTACCGCTGCACATGGCTCTCAATCACCTTGATGATCTCCTCGTAGTCCGTCAGATCGGGCCGGTGCCCCTCCAAGCCGATCATGTTCAGCGTCGTAGTAGCCTCCAGGGACCCGTGAATATGGAAGTACTCTTCCTCGTTCTTAGTCTTGTACAAGTTGGCAGACATCCGCCGATAACCATTAGACTGGGCCGCCAGCAAATCCGTATCTTTCAACTTCTTCTTCACCTCAGGATCTAGCTTGGACAGGCCATCCACCTTCGCCATATACACCTGGCAGCCAAATGCCGTCGCCCGCTCCAAGTTAATGCTGACCTTGCGCGGCGGGGAAGCCGACCCGTAGCGCAAGTTCGCGAGCGCGGCGGCCACGGCGCCCTCTACGCCCTTCAGCGCCGCAAGGGTCTCTGTCTCCTTGAACGGAATCGGGAAGTAGATTTGGTCGTACGACGAATTGAACGAGACAGCGTTTCTGGCTTGGGAGACCTCCGCCGGTAGACTCAAGCGCTCTGACTGATCGCAAAGCAGGGAGAAAATGCGACCTGCTTCGCGGACGGGCGAGTATGCGTTCGTATTTGAATTAGCCATGATGTCGGTTGGTTGGGGTTGCTATATATAATCGCAGCGTAGAGGCACAGCGAGAAAGACTATTTGATCAACACCGCCGGGAATCAATGCGTGAAGTCAGAAATATATAAGATCAGGTTCAATCTGGAACAGAAGATCCATGGTGGCAATTCCGAGAAATCCAACGCCATCAACCCCTCCAAGTTCATTCCGAACAGTTGGAGAGATGTCGGATGTGAAGCCGATAAGATCGGAAGTGAATCTCCAAAAAGGGAAGTTGCTGCCTGTGCGCCTTAGTGCCTTGTTGCCTGACATCTTGTATGTCTGCCTTGATGCCTTATCATACTATCGGCTCAGCCATTCATCATGGAATGTTCGTTCCTTTTTGTCCAGGAATGACTATCATCAGGCCTGACAGACACTTCTCCAAAATAAACTACCAGTTAGCATCTCAGCGGCTGACCTGGTGGATCACACCTGTGTATCCAATTCCGTCGCACAGATGTTCGCATGCCTTGTGTGTCAAACCACTAGACTTATCTGTACACACAACTCCAAAGTAAACAATATCAATATCATCAGCATACCTCATGTGCATAGCACGTATCTAGCGCGCCAGTAACCAGTCAGCAACAGCCCATCAGGTGAAACATGGGCAGACCCCGCGAGGAATGTGCAATCCCTGACCCCAAAGCCCTGGTACTTCGCCAGTCACTTCGACCTGGGTCTTCTCAAGAATGTCCCTGTCGTGATTTCAGAAACAGGTTTGACTTCACCCCGCTGTTAGTTTCTTAGCTCTTGTCTCTGAAATAGCGTAGCTTTGCGACGATTATCTCAATGTCCCTCGTTATCGTCCACAAAGCATGGCATTGAATCTCGATAGATTGTCCGTCGTGGCAGCCACGCTGAGCTTCCTATTGATTCTGGCCTGTACGGTGCCCGCGGCTCGCAAAACCATCTGCCGACTGGCAAGAAAACAGCAGTCTATCCAGTTATCAACAGAGTCAGGAACGGCGCTCTTCGCGCCACAAGACAGTCTTCAGGCATATGAGGACGAAGATGGCGTCGCGACGAAAGCCTCGCTGCAGGCATTCTCAGACGGGTGGCAGAAAGTCGCCATTATGGTTTTGTCTGTCGTGGGATTTCACCTCGCGTTGGCGTTGGCGGTTGTTGCACCAGCACCGTGGTCAGGGTTGGATATCCGTAGTGCGCCATTTTGGTTGCAGGCTGCTGTGTGGGTAGGTGCTGCGAAACGAAACTTGAGCTATGGTGACTAACTGGGAATTGTAGGCGCTTTTCTGTCTTCAATCCGTGGCTTTCTATACGGAGCCGTCCTGCGTGCAGAGGTATAGGCTTGCCAACTATGCTTTCGTCGCTAGTCTGCTCGCTGCTGCTATAGCATGCATGCAGATCAGTACATCCTCATCAGGAGGGTACTCTCCCACGAGGGAAATCAAGAACCTTCTAGTCAGCATCATAGCTATTGCCATTCTTCGCGCCATGATCGGTGCCATGATTCCACGCCGTCCAAGCGTCTACCATGACGGCCAAGTAGTCGACCAGCAGCAGAGTGCTAGCATGCTCGGCCGATATACCTACGAATGGGTCAGCGACTTGCTCCACTACATCCGAAGAAACAAAGGGTTAGAGATTGACTGTCTGCCCAAACTACCTTTTGCAGTCCGCGCTCACGCTCTTCACGCGCAACTGGAGTCGGTCAGTCATTCCTGCACGTTGTGGAGGGCTTTGGTGGTGCAGCATTCTGGGACACTTATCCTGCAGGCAGCCCTCAGTCTGATCACCTCGGTGCTGAGCTTCGGGCCTCAGATCGCGCTGTACGGAATCTTGAGGACTTTGGAAAGTCGTCAGCCTGGCGAAAGCGTCGCTATGAGCTCGTGGCTCTGGGTGGCTGGTCTAGGAGCAGCCTTGGTCTTGTCCCTAGGGATCGAGTCGTGGCTGTGGTGGGTTATTTATTCTCGACTCTGGTTGCCTATCTACGAGGGGCTCTCTGCGCTGGTGTTTGCCAAGTTGATGCGTTGCAAAGATGTAAAAGAGAAACCACCGTCGAAGCAGAGCTCAGAGGACGCGGGCGGGGAGGACGATGGAGAGCAGGAGAATCGCCAGAGCGTCATCAATCTGGCGACAGTGGACTCAAAACGAATTGCGGACTTCGTCATGTTCAACTATCTCATTCCGAGTTGTGCGACCCGCTTGCTAATTGCGGCTGGCTTTCTTGTTCATTTGATCGGGTGGCCCAGTTTGCTGTGTGGACTCTCAGTGTTCGCCCTTGTTATGCCAGTCAACGTGCTTCTAACCAAAAGATACTCTGACTCCCAGGAAAGATTTATGAAAGCCACCGACAAGCGCGCGGCCGCCGTAGCGGAAGTGCTCCATGGGATTCGCCAGATCAAATTCGCCGCCATGGAGCAGCAATGGGAGGATTGTATAAGGGGGAGTCGCCAGGCGGAGCTAAATCTCTTGCGGAGGACCTTGCTGTACAACACGGGGCTGGTGTCCGTATGGATCCTAGGCCCGATGATGATGTCCGCAGTCTCCCTAACTGTCTATTGTTTGACGAATCAGGAACTCTCACCATCGGTAGCCTTCACAACCCTGTCCGTTTTCGGGTCCATCGAGTCCGCGCTTGCTAGCCTGCCGGATCTCTTTTCCCGAGGCATGGAGGCAAAGGTCAGCGCAGACCGCATAGACGCATACATGGCGTCCGCTGAAAAGACTCCACACGCGGTGGATGTGGATGCGGTCTCATTCCACTGTGCCTCCATCGCTTGGCCATCGGAGACAGAACCGGAACAGCAGTGCGAATCTAGTGACCGTTTCATCCTCCCCCAGTTGGATCTACGGTTTCCACCCAAAGGCTTCAGCGTGATCGCCGGTAAGACCGGCACGGGTAAAAGCCTTATTCTCGCGTCTATCCTCGGCGAATGCGATGTACTGGCCGGGTCAGTGGCAGTTCCTCATGCGCCGTCGCTAGAAGAACGGTTCGATCACCGAGCCATCCAGGACAACTGGATCATCGACTCAGCCGTGGCATACGTAGCGCAGAATCCGTGGACGGAGTCTGCCTCGATCCGCGACAACATCTTGTTTGGACTTCCTTTCAGCAACTCCCGGTACCTCGAGGCCGTATTTGCGTCCGGGCTCCATAAGGACCTCACACTGTTGCTAGACGGCGACATGACCGACATTGGCGCCAATGGCATCAATCTAAGCGGTGGTCAGCGGTGGCGGATCTCGTTCGCTCGTGCGCTATACTCGCGCGCGGGGATCTTAATCCTAGATGATATCTTCAGCGCTCTGGACGCGGAGACAGGTCGCCATGTGTACGAGCATGGCCTCACCGGAGTGCTCGGGAGAGACCGTACTCGAATCCTCGTTACACACCACATCTCGTTGTGTCTGCCTCGGGCAGACTATTTTGTGGTCCTCGACAATGGATCAGTGTCTCATGCGGGCCCCGTGGAAGAGTTGGCGGATCCGTCTCTGGCGCAGCTTCTGCATGGACTGGAGACGGAAACCCCCGTGTCCCCGATAGAGGCTATCACAACCGATCACGAATGGTCTGGTAGAAAGCGCTTGTCGGTGGATCCGAGTCCAGCTATGCCTCCCTCCCACATACCCAGAAAGTTCACGCAGGATGAGAAGCGCGAGACAGGGTCGGTGTCAGCTAAGGTGTACGCAACCTACCTCCGTAAAGGGAGTGGTAAAGGGAGTGGGCTTACCCTATGGCCGTTGGTCCTGCTTGGAGGTATCATGTTCAATGCTTTGTCGGTTAGCCGGGTAAGTGAGCCTTATAGTCTCTTCCGTCTCATATTCTGACCGGTCTAGTCTTGGTGGGTGGGTGTCTGGACAAGCTCGACCGGGCAGTCCCATATAGCTCAAACATCGACAAACAGCGAAGTGCTCTTCTATCTCTCCGTCTACGTAGGCCTCTCTGTGGCGGCCTGCGTTGTGGGCACGCTGCGCTACTTTGTCCTCGTCCATGCAAGTCTTCAATCCTCCCGTCGGATGTTCGAAGGACTGCTCGCAACCGTTCTCCGGGCACCTCCCCGGTGGCTGGATACCGTCCCAGTCGGCCGCATTTTAAACCGGTTCACGTCAGACATTCACCTTCTTGATTGGAGGCTGGGTTATGATCTGGGGCTCTTCCTGTACAAGGCGTTAGAGTTCACAGGCATTCTCGTGGCCAGCGTGCTAGTCTCGCCCACTATCTTGGTCCTTGCCGCAATCTTGCTAGTCCCTTGTTTGTCAATCTCGCGGTTCTACCTGACGGCCGCCCGCGAGATCAAACGGCTCGAGAGCACTGCCAAAAGCCCCGTCATGGAACAATTCGGCTCCAGCCTGACCGGTCTGACGACCATCCGCGCGTACGCCAAAACACAAGTGTACATCCGGGAGATGTACGCGCGGATCGACCGTCACGCGCAAACGGCATGGCATCTGTGGCTCCTCAACCGCTGGCTGGCTCTGCGGATGAGTGTCATCGGCGCAGTCTTCTCGACGACGACGGCCGCCCTTGTCGTCTACACCCCCACCATCTCCGCCGCCATGGCCGGGTTCGCCATCAGCTTTGCTCTGCAATATAACTATGCAATTTCCATGGGTCTGCGGTTCTACGCCGACCTGGAGATGGATATGAACGCGACGGAGCGCGTGCTGGAGTACTCCTCCATGGAGACCGAAGACCAAGGAGGTCATGACCCGCCCGCCGCCTGGCCGACACGCGGTCACATCGAGGTAGATAACCTGGTGGCCGGATACGCTGCCGACCTGCCGGCTGTTCTGAACGGGCTAAGCTTCACTGTGGAACCCAACCAGCGAGTCGGCGTGGTGGGCCGCACAGGATCAGGCAAGTCGTCCTTGACGCTGGCGCTCTACCGCTTCCTGGAGGCGCGCCACGGCCGTATCCGAATCGATGGGCTGGACGTGTCTCGGATGAAGCTGCAAGCGCTCCGCAGCCGGCTAGCCATCATCCCCCAGGATCCCGTGCTATTCTCGGGGACTCTGCGCTCAAATTTAGATCCGTTTGGCGAGCACACGGACGAGGAGTTGTGGAACGCCCTGGAAAGGGTACACATGGTGTCCTTCGAAGATAACCGGACGCTTGGATCTCAGCACAGCACAAAATCCTTAACCAGCAGCCCTACTCTAGCTTCTTCCTGGTCGTCTGCCTCATCCATCAACTCTTCCGCCAAGCCATCCTTCAGCGGGATCGCCTCCCTGAACACCGCAGTTTCCGAAGGGGGCTCCAATCTCTCACAAGGGGAGCGACAGCTCCTATGTCTTGCGCGAGCCATCGTGTCCCAGCCCAAGATCATGATCCTGGATGAAGCCACGTCAGCCGTCGACATGGAGACCGACGCCCTCATCCAGCGGTCTATCCGGACGGAGTTCGGACGCCGGGCGTCATCACTACTCGTCATCGCCCACCGACTCAGCACCATCGCTGATTTTGACCGCATCTTGGTCATGGATGCGGGTAAGGCTGTGGAGTTCGGTCCGCCGCGAAAGCTTCTCGCTATTGAGGGCGGCGTGTTTCGGAATTTGGTAGAGAATAGTGGTGAGAGGGCGCTCGTGGAGGCGATCATTCTGCGTGGATAGTGAGGTGGGTCTGACTGCTTTGAAGGAAAAGTAAGGGGAGTAATGAAGAAATCGACGTTGCTTGGATATCATAGTTAGTTTATACATCAGCATGGCGTTGGGGGTTAACTTTTTTCAGATATTGCAGGAGTGACGGTGAGCGATCTTTGTAGATGGATCGAGGTGAAAAGAGTAGACGAGGAGTGTGTGCCTGAGTGCCTGATTATGGCTCAAAAAATGACAAGAATATTCTTTCCTTTCTTTGATCAACAGTAGGCGACAACTGTGAGTGTATTGAAATCTATTCGGGAATATAGATAAAATCTACGCTCATCTTCAAAACGCTACATTTCCCACATCAAAGGTGAAAAGGAATTGATTCTACCGGAATCTCTATAGTTCCCAAACCCACGTATCTAGCAATTCATCAAGGTCATACAATCCGTCATCACCCAACGCAAAACACCGAGGTCCGGATATAAAAGGCAAACGGGGGACGGCCAATCCTTAGAACAGAAGGATAGAAGAAAAAAGGAAAAGAGGAAGAAGAAGAAATCTATCACGACTGGGCCGCATTCGTAGCAGCCTTCACGTCCTCCTCCGAGCTCATGATCTGCACCTTGATAGCGCCGGTCTTCGGGTCGGAGGCAGTGTCAAACGCCTTGAGGGCATCCTCAAGAGTGTAACGGTGGGTCACCAGCTTCTTCAAGTTGATGACACCGCTCTGGACCAAACGGATGGCGCGCGGCCAGGTGTTGCAGTAGCGGTACTGGTACTGCAGATCGATCTCCTGAGTGCTAAGGCGCATGAAGGGAATCTTCATCTCGTTCTTGCCCACGCCGATCACAAAGACCTTGCCGCCGAACTTGACGCTCCAGATGGCGGAGGCAACGCTGCTCTCGACGCCAGTACACTCCAGTGCCAGGCGAGGTCTCAGGATGTCCGGGCCCGTCGTCTGGCCGTCGTTGAAGGCGGCGATGATGCCCGTCGCATTCTCCTCGGCCGACAGCTTGGTCTGCACCTTGTAGGGGCGTACCTCCGGCACGAGCGACTTGGCAAAAGCCAGACGTCCCTCGTCGATGTCGGTGATGACGAGGGGCGTGGCACCGGCGGCGCGGGCACTGAGAAGAGTAATGAGACCGATGGGACCAGCACCGGTGATCAGGCAAGGGTCGCCCAGGCGCAGGCCACTGCGCTCAATGGCAGCCAGCGAGACACTGAGGGGTTCAAGCATGGCACCATCCTCGTAGCTCATGTCTCCGATCTTGTGGCACCAGGTGGCGGGGTGGTTGACGTAACGGCGCAGGAGACCGTCGACGGGGGGGGTGGAGAGGAATTGAACGTTTTCGCATCCGTTATAGCGACCAGTCAGACACGGCTCGCAGGCGTTGCAGATAACGTTCGGCTCAATGGCGACACGGTCGCCGGGCTTCAAGTGGGTGACATCGGAAGCGACGGAGATGACCTGACCGGCGGACTCGTGGCCCAGGATATGGTCGCCGGTGACAATCATCGGACCAATGCAGCCTTCGTGCCAGAAGTGGACATCGGATCTAGACGAAGCCACGATTGTCAGCTACTCGCATGATCACAGAACGTATGAACCATTCCAGAACAGTTCCCCAAAGGAACAAACGAGCGAAAGAAAAACTTACCCGCAAATGCCAGTGCTGCGGACCTCGACAGTCACCTGGCCAGCATTCAGGCCTTTCCCGACCTTCACATCGGCCAGCGACGGAGTCGATTCGGCGACCCAGAGGTCATGGTTGGTGTTGGTGAAGACACCAATGTTCGGCTTCTCGAGATTGATTGTAGTCATGGTGTATAATTGAATGTAGGAGGTGTTATCGAGAAAAACAGATCCAGGATACATCCCACTTTAATACCTGCCCCTCATTCTCATCGGAAAATATAGATTATCGCATTTATCCGGGGTGTGGAGACCAGACCCACTTGGTGATAACGAGGGGTATATTAACCTGGGGAGGATTGGCGCATGGATTCTCGGCCTTGGGACTGGAGATGGACGTCAATTAATTGATGGAACTTGAGCTATCATCTTCCGTTGTTAGTCTAAGACGTAATACACATGTATAAGACATCAGAAGCTTACCAAGGACGAGAGTTTACGAGGATTGAAGAGAAGGAGGAAGATGAAGAATGAAGATTTGGTCTCGGTTAATTGCGGTCGATTAATCTCGCCTCAGGCCCCCCCACCGGGCAATTCTCCGGCGGAGAAAACGCCGTCTGGTGGACTTTTCCACCATGTCCTTTACAAGCATTGGTCATCTATGGAAATATACCTAAAACGATAAGATATCTCTAGTTTCCTATGGAGAGTATGTACTGGTGGCTATTTAAACCATTTATTCGGGATTATCCCCATTGATACCGATCAGAAGTGGGCTTCCGCCTTCAATCGTGTCGCCGGGCTGGACCAACAGCTTCCTCACACTGCACTGGTCAAAGCGCGCATCGACTCGGATACTGATTTCCAGCTTCATGGCCTCTAGAATGATGACTACCTGGCCGGTTTCGAGCGCGTCGTCCTCCTGAACGAGCACTTTCCAGACATTGGCGCTAATTGGGGACTCCAGGATGACGGATCGGGGGTCTGTCGTAGTCAGCCAGTGTTCTGAACAGGGCAGAAGACGGAAACCATAGGGAGAGAAGAACCAGGAAAACAAATAAGGAGTGGAAGAGGACATACCTTGCAGATACTCGCCCACTTGGTTCATCGACGGACCACCAGCCGCTTTCTCCTCCGACCACTGCGTCAAAAGCCGTCGCTCGATCGCGAGCATCTCCTTCTCAAACGCGCCCTGTCTCTCTCGAATTTCTTGGACCTCACGCTTCGTGCTGACCAAGAGTGTGTTATGCGCAGCCATGTCAAACTCGGTGTCGGACATCTTGTACTGGTACCGGCCACTTCTCCAAAGCGCAATCTCCTCCTCGAACTGTTCAGGCTGCACCTCATAGAATTTGATAATGTCCATGTCCTCAAACAGCCACGGACGATCGGCTGAGAATCCTTCCTTGGACCCCAGGATGTCCACGCCAGGGATCGTCAGACCGGTCAACATGTATCCACCAGGGCCGTCGGCGTTGTACAGCGCCATGCATGATCCGCCCCAGGAAACGGCGCCCGCGGGGGTGAATGTGCGGGAGGGGTTCATTTTCGGCGAGCGCAGACGATGCCGAGGATCGGCGGGCAGACATTGAGGGAGCGCCATGACAAACCCCACGCCGACGGCGACAAAGTCTGCCTTGAGAAAGATTGACTTGAGTTCGTCGCGCGAGATCCCGTTGTTGCGAGCGAGAAACTCGAAGTTATCAGGGAGATAGGACGCGTAGGGCCGTTGGTTCGTCATGTATCGTTCGGTAGCTGCGGTGAGGGTCTGATGCTCGAAGACGAAGGGGAGGTAGAAGGTCCGGTTGGCGATCTTCATGGTCCGAATGTCTCCTAGCTGGCGCTCGAGGGCGACGAGGTGCTCGAGAAGCTTTCGTTGTGGCAGCTGGAGTCCATCGTAGTATATCTGGAGGGAGCTGCCACAGCCCACCGTATTGACCAAGCCAGTCTGGAAGGTGATCCCCTCGGATGCTGCCCTCAGGGCCCGAGATAGGGCCGTCGCTCGACACTTGTGGTTCAGGTCGAACGTGCCATCGCCGTACTCGACCAGGAGGTAATTGTCGCCACCCTGTCGGTAGGTCACGGCGGGCGTGCCATCCGTCGCTTCCAGGCGTCTGAGAACAGCCGGGTCTGTGCATCGAGCAGCGGCGGGATCGTCAAGGACGCCACTGACGGCCTTAATGCTTGAAAAGTCCCCTGACCGGATCGCCCGATCGAGGCTGGCAAGGTAGTTGTCGACCTTCCTCCGGCTGTTGAGAGCCGTGGTCAGGGAGATGCGGTGGAAGGTGAGTGTGTCGCCTGGCTGCAGCTGTCCCACCTTCCAGAGGTCTGCACTCACTACCGTCAAACTACAAATGAACCCTCCGAAATTGGGACAGTCGACGGGGAAGATCACCGGCTCATCGCCCGTCCAGTTCAAACCCCCCAGTGGGTATCCCCACTCGATGACATTGCTTGGATGCGACCCTCCTTCGCCGCCATCCGGCCGGGCCCATTGCGGCCGCGGGCCGATCAGTCGGATGCCTCCTCGCGCAGCATTGTGAGAGACCTTCCACTTGTACGTGTACACCATTTCGAGATCCTCCGGGAGGAGATACCCTTCTTCGAAGGGGCCGCCCATAACCTGCACGTCCCAGTGCTTGGTGTAATGCGGACGGGCCGATTCAGGGATATGACATGACTTCGGACTCTCAAATTGCTTGGAAAGAGGAGTGAGGGAGAGATAATCCCCCGATTTCAGCGCTCTGTTCTGATACCCGCCGATGCCGATATCAGGGCACGTCGATTTGGAGCCGAACCATCGGGGGACACTGGGAAATCCCCCGCGGACAGCCAAATACGCGCGGCAGCCACCGGAGGCATTCACCTTTCCGATCATTAAACGCTGGCCTGCCTGGACGTGAACTTGTGTCCAAAGGGGCATGGGATTGCCGTCCAAGGCTGCTTCCAGCGGAGGTCCGCAGAGAGCTATCACAGCGTCGCCGAGGAACTTCAAGTCGGGTCCGTTGAGAGTGATCTCCAACGCCTCCGTGCTGTCTTCGTTACATACCAGCTTATTCGCAGCCTTGAATGTGACGGCATCCATCGGCCCCGAATGGCCAAACCCCCGTCCGATCGTTGGCCGCCCGGGGAAGTCTTGAACGAGGGTCTTCGCACCGCCGGAAACAACGTCAATGGCAGCAGGGGCAAAGTTGAATGACTTCAGGAAGGTCGTGATGGTATTCCCCTCATGGAACGGAGGGGACTCCAGGACAGCGCGAAGGAACTCCAAGTTGGTTGGAGGCCCACTCAGAGCCGTCTTCGAGACAACCTGCACCAGGCCATCAATCGCTTGCTCTCGAGTGGGAGCATGGTGCATGATTTTCGCGATAAGCGGATCTTTATCAAGTCAACAAAGGGGTCAATCGATTGAGGCATACAGCACCTACCGTAGTTCGGACTGATCGCAATCCCGGGGCGCACCCACGTATCGATTCGAGTTCCGGGAAGCATATGCCAGTCCACCTCCATCAGCGTTCCCGGCGAAGGGACAAAATCTCTCGCTGGATTCTCCGCGCAGACCCTCAGCTCGATGGCATGTCCCTGCGGTTGACGACATCTCTCTTGAAGCCGCTGCAGCTCCGACTCCGCGATCCCTCCACGACCGCAGAGCTGCGCATCCGCTTGCAAGTACATCAGCTCTACCAGGTCCACCCCGTAACACATCTCCGTAATCCCATGTTCAACCTGCAACCGCGTATTCATCTCAAGGAAGAAGAACTTCCCCGTATCGTCATCAACCAAGAACTCGATTGTGCCTGCAGAAGCGTAATTTAAATGCTCTGCGAATCGCACCGCCGCGGTAGTAAGCTCCTCCCGCAATTCGGGAAACCGGTTTTCTACAAACGGTGAAGGACATTCCTCAATGACCTTCTGGTGTCGACGCTGTATAGAGCACTCGCGCTCCCCGAAGGAAACAGCCTTACCGCTTCCGTTCCCGAAGACCTGAACCTCGATGTGGTGGCTCCGGGGGAAATACCGCTCTACGAAAACGCCGGGGTTCTTGAACAGCGTACTCCCCCGTGACTGAACGCTCTTGAACGAAGATCGGACTTCTGCTTCTGTCTCGCATGTCAAGAGACCCATCCCCCCACCTCCCGCTGTCGCTTTCAGCATGACCTGCACACAAATTGTTAGCGCCATACATACCAAGTTTCGTGAAGAACCGCGGTACCAATAGAGACACTCACCGGAAAGCCTATCTGACTAGCAATCCCAACCGCCTCCTCCTCATCCACCACTAACCCCACACTACCTGGTACAATGGGGATAGAGGCGTCTATCGCGCATTGTCGCGCAGTGTGTTTCAAACCCAGCGACTCCATGACATCCGTCGACGGGCCGACGAACACCATGCCATTCTCGCTCAGCCGCCTCACGAAGTTGGGGTTTTCTGAGAGGAACCCATAGCCTGGAATGACGGCGTCTACACTGTTCTCTTTGGCTATTGAGATAATTTGTTCACTATTTTCATGGTCAGGTCTTTCGCGTCAGATAAGGTGAGAAAAGAAGCTCACATGTCGAGATAGGCTGTGGTAGCTGGTCCTTGCAGCGGACATGCTTTGTCTGCTAGAGAAACGTGCGCTGATGTGGCATCTACGTCGGTGAATATTGCCACGGACTTGATATTCAGACGACTGGAGCTTTCCTGTCAGCTTGTCTCTCTCTCTCTATCTGCCTGGGGAAGAGTCACTCACCGCGCAGCTTCAATGAGACGGACAGCGATCTCTCCTCGGTTTGCGACCAACACTGTCTTCAGCGCATCCATGATTTCTATAATGAGTGGTCTGTGTATGAACGAAGAGTATCGCAATGGCCTATCATTATAACAAGAATGACGTGCATATATTCAAACCAAGAAGTTCCGGGGTATTCTACTTATCGGCTAATATAGACTGCTATCTAGTAGTCTCGAGCTAGTCAGAACCCGTCGGACCCAACTTAATCTGTCGGACCTCCACTTTATCGTTCTTGGTCCGTTGTCGGATCGGGGGTGGTCCGATCTTTACATCCGATTTTTACCTCCAATATTGTAGATCTGGTTCTATCTGGATGCGATAACATACCCCAAGAGCATAACAAGAGGTGGGGTCAAGAAAGAGAAAGGGGAGAAAATAGAAAAAGAAAGAGTAGAAGAGAAAAAAAGAAGAAAAAGATACAAGCAAGACCTCTGGTGAATCCTCGTTCTATATCTGCAGACAACCCAAGCACCATGGGCAGCCATGTCGAAACCCATGCGCTGAGCGCCACCGCATCAAAACAAATTGCGCAATGGGAGAAGAACATCGCTCCAGGATTTGCCAGCTTCCCTGTAAGTAAACTCCTCCGCCATCTTGAAATTGCAACGCAGGAGATTAACAGGTACAGGTTGTCTGGGAAAGCGCCGCAGGCCACACGGTAACCGACACAGATGGCAAAGAGTACATCGACATGATCTCGCAGTTTGCGGTCGTCAACTTCGGACATTCTCACCCGCACATCATTGATGCCGTCGTCGAGCAGACCCGGCGATGTGCGCTCACCAATACATCTTACATGAACCCGCTCTATGGGAAGCTCGCGACGAGACTGACGGAAGTGGGTGCCCCCTCCTTGGCCATGGTGATAGGGATAAGAGCTAACGCCAGGAAAGAAATTCGGTTACGATGCGATCGCCTCTATGGTGACGGGCGCTGAAGCTGTAGACGCGTTGATCAAGATCGCGCGCAAATGGGCCTACGTTACGAAAGGCATTCCGAATGACGAGGCGATCATTCTGACGACGGACCAGTGCTATCATGGTCTAACGTTGGCAACTATGGGGCTCTCAAATCGCATTGCGCAGAGTATGTTTGTCTTGGTGGAGTTCACATTGGGGTGTTTTGAACCCATGGCGCAGGACTGACAGTTGAGTCCAGACTTTGGCAAGCATCTACCCAATGTCGGCCCCTACGATCCGCAGACGGGTCAAGTGGTGCGTTTTGGAGACGTTGATGATCTTGAAAACGCCTTGGCGGAGTCCAGCAGTCGGATTGCAGCCTTTTTGATCGAGCCTGTACAAGGATATGCCGGGTAAGGCGTCTTTTTCCTCTCTTTAATTTATCCCATCTACGTGGCTTCTCTTGCGAGCTTGAAGCCGCCTACACGTTACTAACTCAATACATTAGCACAAAGACCCCTCCCAAAGGTTATCTAACCGCGGTTCAAGCCCTCTGCCGCAAACACAATGTTCTTTTTCTCTGCGATGAGGTCCAGTCCGGTTTCGGCCGTACTGGCTTCGACCTGGCATATCAGCGCGAGCCCGGGGTCAAGCCCGATATGGTGGCACTTGGGAAAGCCTTGACAGGGGGTATGTCAATTCGTAATCAACTTCAAATGTCCCTCATGACTAACAGAGTCTTAAGGTGCAACGCCAATGTCCCTCGTCATGGGAAAGGCGCACGTCATGGACATCATTGAACAAGGAGACATAGTCAGCACATTCGCAGCATCCCCCGTAGGCTGCGCAGCCGCGTTAGCCGTCCTGGATGTCCTAGAAGCTGAGGACATCTCCGCACGATCCCAGAATCTGGGTCTCGTTCTCGCAGACGCGATTGACCGGGCTCAGTTACCTTATATTTTGGAACACCGGGGCCGAGACGCCGGGCTGTTCCAGACTCTTGTCGTAGACGAGAAGCCCGAGCTTGGCATCACGGCTCGCCGGATTGCGGCGCTTTGCGCACTTCGTGGGGTGCTGTGTGGGAATGCAGCCAATCGGTTGCGGCTCAGTCCTCCGCTGGTTATTACGGAAGATGCGTTGTGTCGTTCTGTGGAGGTCATCGCTGGGGCGTTTCGGGATGTTGGCTCGTTAGGGTTGTTCCCTGGGTCGACGTGACATACATATATGTTGTTTAGATTTATCCTGCGGTTTTTGTTGCAATCGATACACACATTGTTTTTAATCTCGGGTGATGCACTGTAGTGTTTTATTCGTCATCAAAAATGATAGCCCCATCGTAGACTTGGTGTGTGCCAATGTCAGACTTGGAGGCTACCTTCTCTATGACCTAATCCATATGTTTAGTCTAATCCGTTCCTATGGTCTAATTCATTTATACAGTCTAATCTCTACTTCGTTCAACGTTGGTATATATCAAGATCACATCAGTTTACCGTATATAGCGACAGTTGTCTAGGAATATCCCATCCTTGAGTTGAACTGGTCCACCACCTCTCGAGTCGCCTTGACAATTCCCACACTATCAGGGCTATCGGAATGGCAGCATATCGTCACCGGGTTGTCCTTCAAATCAAACGACACGATCTTCCCATCCACACTCGTCACACTACCATCCTCTACCTGCTGTGTGACATGCTTCTTAACATCATCCATCACCCACGGCAGCCTCTTCCGCTCGATAACCAAAGTCCCCTCATTGTTATACCTCACATCGGCGAAAAACTCCGCCCAGAACGGCAACCCCGCTTCGCGAGCCGCCGTCTCCATGTGCGTCCCCGGCAATCCAATGACAGGGACGCCGCGCGGGATACCAGCCATCACCGCACGTGCGATCTCAATGTCTCTGCAGCAGAGGCCGTACAGCATGCCGTGCGGTTTCACGTGGTGCAACTCCATGCCTTCCCGCTCCAAAAAGGCTTTCAGTGCCCCGACCTGGTATACGATGTTGGCTGTGTGCTCCTCCAGTGACAGGACCAGTTCCCGGCGGCCGAATCCGTGGATGTCTGGTAGGCCGGGGTGGGCGCCTGTTGCGATGTTGTGTTCCTTGCAGGCTCGGACGGTCCGGGCCATGACCACGGGGTCTCTATAAAGATTATTAGTGTTAGCACTGCGATTGTCTCGTCATAGCAGTCTGTTGAGCCGGCATATCGTGGGGAATTGATTACCCCGCACTATTTGATTGTTCGTCAGTCAGTCATCCGGATCGTTGTCCAATATCTGTTGATCAAAGCATCACATACTGGAATCCACAAGCCACATTGGCCTGGTCAATCAAGGGGAACAGCTCATCGTCCGGTCCGCATTTGAAGTTGCCGTAGGCTTCGCCCAGGTCAACATTGATGAAGGCCTTGCTCTTGATCGGGGGCATGGTTTGACAACGGCGATACAAAGGAGGTTTAGAAGATATTAACAGATAAGGAGAGCGTTATCGATAGTCCTGAGCAAATCCAAGACACAGATTTCCGATTGACCCTGATCTATACATTTTCACCCCTGTTATAGACAAACCGCGATGTGGGGATGAAGATAGAGAGATGCGGAGAAGATGTCGGAGCGGAGCGATGTCGGCAACGTTAAGCCGAGTCGGTCGGACCACGTGGGGCCAGGTGCCACACGTGATATCACGGCGCTTCTCCGACATTCAATTCAGATCTTCCTGGTTTACTCACAGCTTCTCCGCACGGAGAGCTGACAATGGGACTGGATGACATGCAGAATTGATTCCTGTCGGACCTCATACTCGTCTGTCCTTGAACTACCTCGTATCTCCGGCTTGAAGCGTGCTTCCGTCCCCGGTCTCCGTCTCCATCTGCACGCGCGCGATCCGTGCATGACCCTGCATGATGGATTCTGGTGCTAGTGCGAGGAGTAGTACCTCCCGACGTCGACAGCAACGCATGGCTTGCGACACCTGTCGGAGGCGAAAGACCAGGTGCAACGTGGTGGAGACAACCCCCTGTTCGGTCTGCGCCAGGTCGAAGATCCCCTGCAGGTAAGCCCTATGGAGTCGGAGTCGCCCTTCTATACGTCATTTAGTGGCAGAAATGCTTAAGGTCCGTTACCAGGTCCACCCCTGAATGGTCACGGCCAAGGTCTCGACGACGGCGGTCGACGCAAGTCCAGTCGGATCCGGTTGAGCCAGCGGCTGCACCAGAAACGACTAGTCCGCATCCTATGCCCAGCGAGGCACATCAGGAAAGACCCACAGACGGCGGGTTCACTGATGAGTCTCCGCCGGAGCTGGCACCCATCGTGACGGAGCGAGATCGCGTCGTCGACGGGCTCGCGAGGAATGTCCTTAGCCAGTTCTATCAACGCGGGGTAGATTCCACGCATTGGACGGTCTTTGCGGATTCGGATCACATCCGTCTGGCGTACATGGGAACGGCGACCTCTAACATTGCCCATCTGATTAGTCTGAAGCGCGTGGCGCAACCGTCCCTGCATTTTCCCTATCCGCCCATTCGGCCTCCGCTTCCTTGGAAGCCGGAGGGGATCTGGGGATCTCTGAATAATATTGACATCGCGCATGATACGGCCCGCTTTCCGGCGCAGGAGATCCGGGATGCGCTCGTGGACGCCTTCTTCGAGAAAATATTTCCTGGCTTCCCAATCGTCGACGAGATCACGTTTCGCCGACAGTACGCAAGTCGGACTAATCCCCCGCCATTGTTGCTCTTCCAGGCGGTTCTTCTGGCCGGCTCACATGCCTGTGAGCACCCCACCGTGGCCGCATCCCGCATGGTGGTGAAGAGGACTCTTTTTCGAAGAGCGTCGATGCTATTCCACATCCGACATGAGAACGACCGTTTGCAAATGGCCCAAGCGGCTTTGCTTTTTGTATGGCACTTAGAGAACTCGGACTCGGTGTGCGGCGGGAGCTACTACTGGCTAGGGATCGCCCAGCGCATCGCCTTCGGCATGGGCATGCACCGTGATCTATCCCGCCAGGCCAGCAGTCGCCTACCTGCCTGGGAGAGGCGGCTGAACCGACGGATCTGGTGGACGTTGTTTCAGATGGAGGTCTTCTCCTGCCTTGAGCATGGGCGTCCATGCATGATCAATTGGAATGACACCGATCAGTCCGCTTTGGAGCTGCAAGATTTCATCGATGATGAGTCCGAACGCGTCAGTGAGCGAGTGCAGCTCCACTACATCACCAGGAATATCGACATCGCGGTGATTGGGTTCCGTATCCTCCAAGTCAACGCTCCCTCGGTGCCGTCAGAGGAGATCGCAGCTTTGGTCCCTTCGATCGAAAAGTCCCTTGTCAGCTTTGCGCTGGATCTTCCCCCGATGACCGATTTCTGGTCCTGTCAACTGCGGATGCACTACAACCTGGTCCTTATCCACCTCCATCGGCCCCAATCTGCGACGAGTCCACCCATCTCCCGATCCCCCAACTGCCAAGAAATCTGTCGCGATGCATCCCAGGCCATTCTATCCTGTCTCGAGACCATCGTCCATCGAGGATGGACGGGTCAGTGCTTATTTACCGCTGTTGCGGCCGTCATGGCCGGCGCGATTCAAATGTCTTTGGATGCTCGACAGTCGCTCCAGCAAGGCAGCTTGGTGCTGGCGCTGAACGCCCAAGACCGCCTTGCGCGGCTTCTGCGCTGCGCCCGTGTGCTAGAGAACTTTTGGCCCAGCGCAGGCGCGGTCCATGGCCTTTTTGATCAGCTGTCGGCCGAGCTCAAGGATCTGGCGGCACGGACCCCTCAGAGCTCTCCGAACTATGTCGATGTTCCGCAAGGCAGCGAATTGCCCGTAGAGTGGATTCTCGAAAACCCCACCGATCTGTTTAACTTCGCTGTGCCTCCCGATCTTGTTCCTGGGGACTGGATGAATGATGCATGTTTCCTGAACGGTTCTCTTGGCTGAGCCAATGCATGCGTCCCCGTCTACCGCGTTTGGCACAGCCAGATGCCTTGAAGTTACGTTCTACGATATCGATCTTCACGCTTGCGCTTGTGTACAGGTCATATTTCTTCGTTCGTGAGAGCTTCAAACTCAACGGATAAACTGGTTTGCATAGTCCGCGCCCAACCCAACCTTTTCATAGTGCTCCCTAGCCAGCTTCAGCTTGCTAAACACATCCTCGACGCCCTCCGGCCGCCCCTGAGCATCCACATAGATATAAGCCCCCGTGACGTGGAACAGGGTGACCATCTCCTCCACTCCTTCCGGGACCTCCAGCGTGTGAATGTCACCCGGGGGCTCGAACGCGTGACTCCCCTCCGTGGCCCACCATGGGTGCTCCAGATAATGCCATCTGCCCTTGAGAGTTGTGGCCTGGACGGGGCCGGTATGTCGGTGTCGGGACAGGATGCCGGACTTGCGCACTCGCAGCAGGTTGACGAAATAGCCTTGCGAAACGCCAAGTACCAAAGGTCGGAACCACACGTCCTGCGGATTCGGTCGCTCGTCAGCCACGTCTTTGGATCGTATTGTGTGTCTGTATGGAATACATACCTGTGCCTGAGGGACCCATAAACGCTCGTCACAGTCCAAGTTGAGGACATTTGGGATAACAAGATCGTCTAACTTGTTCGGCAACGGCTCTCCTTGATAAGGCACTGCCTCGGCCTGAGGCCGCACGTCTTTTTGGGACGTTCCGTTTGTCGTCATTGTGTTTTCAATTTTTATTCTCCGATGTTGATCAGGCTATCGGCGTTGCTTCGTGTGTTGGAAAGATGCTCGATCTGAGAAGATGCTGGCGGGGCAGCGATCTCAAATATACTTGAGCAGTCTCGCTCTGTCCCTCTTCCGAACATGCCACTCTGGCTCCAAGGGGTGGATATCCCCTCATGGCATGAGCTTTCCGCAGTCGAAGGAGGGGCAACGCATACATCCCCCACTATGTTATGGAGAAGCAATTGCTCGTTCGGAGTAAAACCCGATGCCGGCATATCCGACGGAGTGGATGTCGGACCAAGTGGGTCGCCGGCAGGTCCGACTTCGAGCAATGATAATGATAGTGATTATTATTACAATTGTTATGACCATCCTTTTCGAGGCTTGGTCTCCACTTCCTGTTGATAACGGAGGTCCGGCATAATCCAATAGCCTGCGATTTGGATTAGGATTCCCCGGATTTCCATTCCCCACCCTGGAGTACTATAGTCAACAACAGGGATATGAACGGGCGAGGATGTCCATCACTGCTGACCAACAGGCAAGCGAGAATGATAAGACTATATAGGATTAACTTTCAGGTTATGGTTGCTCTGTGGCGATTGTCGCCCCTATCAGCGGTGTGCAACTCCTTCGATACTTAAGTATTTTATCTGTTCTAAGTCGAATGCGATAGTTTACAACAAGTTGTGTTTATTTCTCCACTCATATCGATTTCGTATAACCCATCCGCTACTGAAGATGAGCGTTGAAAATGGAAAAGAGGCAATCAATCCCCAACCCGACGATGACATTGTCGCAGGACACATCCACATGGGAGATGACCTGCTCAAAGGAGAAGACAACGACCAACGATTCGAGGTATTCCAAAGCACGGGGGATGGGGTAGACTTTCGAGTCCTCAGCTGGCAATGGGCATCTATCATCTTCCTGAAGTGTAAGTGAGCGGATACCCACCCAGCCCTATCTTTCCTAACACGTCGACAACCACCAGTAACCTTCGCCACCGGAGTAATGACCATCCCCGGCCAGCTGTACATTCTCGGCGCCGCTCCAGGGAGCCTCGTCGTCCTCGGATGGGGCATAATCAACACCTACGCAGGCGTCGTGCAAGGTAATTTCCGCAACCGACACCCCATGTGCCACTCCGTGGCAGACATGGCCGGGGTGGTAGGCGGGCCGCTGCTGCGTGAAGTTGCTGGAGTCTGCTTCATCGCGAGCTGGATCATCTGCGCCGCGTCCGGCATCAACGGCGCAACGACGGCACTCAACGCGCTCTCCGACCACGCCACCTGCACAAACTGGTACGCCCTGGCCGTCACGGCCGTCGTCGTGCTCGTCGCCAGTCTCCGCAAGTTCGGGGAGCTCAGCTGGATTAGCTGGGCTGGGTTCGTGTCTGTCTTCGCTGCTGTATTCATCGTCGTCATCGGCGTCACGCTGAGGGACCGTCCGGCGGGGGCGCCCCAGACGGGGGACTATGACTTTGGATATCACGCTGTGGCGTTTCCCTCTTTCGTGCAGGGTATCAGTGCTGCCGCTACGCTGTTCTCTGCTAGTGCTGGCACGTCTGCCTTCCTGCCTGTTATTTCGGAGATGCGCCAGCCGAGAGATTACAAGAAGTCCCTGTATGAATGAAGTCTCCGACTGAACTATACTATGAAACCTGTTGTGCTAACATAAGGATAGATACCTCTGTATGCTCACAGTAACGGCCGCCTACCTCTCCTTCGGACTCGTCGTATACAGATGGTGCGGGAAATGGATCACGACTCCCTCGCTAGGAAGTGCCGGACCAACCCTCAAGAAAGTATCCTACGGAGTCGGACTCCTAGGAATCATCGTAACCGGCATTCTCTACGTACGTCCCCTCCTCCCTCTCCCAATTCCCACCACATACATCAGCCACACAACACTAACACAACCAGGTCCACGTCTCCGCCAAATACATCTTCGTCCGCATCCTCCGCGGGTCCACCCACCTCCAATCCAACACCTTCACCCACTGGGCAACCTGGCTCTCCTGCACAGTGGGGCTCTCCATCGTCGCCTTCCTCCTCGCAGCAGCAATCCCCATCTTCAACTACCTGCTGGGTCTGGCAGGGAGTCTGGGGTTCGCGCCTATTGCGCTCATCCTGCCGCCGTGGCTGTGGATATTCGACCATGGGGAGTGGCGCACTTCGTCTTCGCCTGTTAAGATGGTTGTTTACTACTTGCATTGGGTGTGGGTTTTGATAGGGGTGTTTATGACGGTTGGAGGCACTTATGGGATTTTACAGTCTGTTGTGGATGCTTATCGGTCTGGGGATATTGGAGGGACGTTTTCGTGTGCGGATAATAGTTGATTTACCGTTATATAGAGCTAGGGATATCCAATATATATATAATAAGAGCGAAGTGTTCGGTTTTATATAACATGTACTAAGTAATATATAGTAGTAGCACAATCTACTCCTCAAACTCCAGGTCATAAGCCAGCGTCTCCTCGCACAGCTCCTCGCGCATACGTTGCACCCTACCACAATACAGTCAGCACAATACTCCCAAGCCAACCCTCAAACGCAGACAATCAAGACAGGAAATAGAGAAGAACAGAGGGAAATACTCTTGATGCGCCGGATGCCCCGCATAAACCTCCACATCCTTGGCCTCCTCCAACACAGCCACGAGACCCATATTGAAGCCCTTCGCGCGGGGCACACAGATAGGCAGCGGCGTGTTGGCTTTGAGGGATCGGAGGCCTGGGATCTGGCCGACCATGTTCTGGGCGGTTTGGGACCAGGTTGTCAGCTGGGCTGGGGTGACGTTGGGTTTGAGGCGGAAGAGGACTGGGTTTTATTGTGGTTAGTTGGGGGTGTTAGTTGGGAGGGGGGTTTAATTGTGTTCGAGAGTGGAAGAGGGGGTTACCGATGTGGTAGATGGGCATTTTGGCGTTTGGTTTATGGTAGTTGTTTGGAGAGAATGTTGGAGAGGTTGAGGGGTGTGGTGTGGAAAGGGTAATATGGAGATATGGCCCGATATGATGAAAGAGGGGCTTATTTAGCTGGGATGATCGGCATGATATTACGGTGGATCATCGATTGGTATGTTATAGCACGTCTCATCGGTATAGAATCAACCCAGAATAGAATAAGAATAAGTATGTACTTCTATAGTCATCAACATTATAAATCATAATCATTTCGCCTGCTCCTCCCACTGCACACCAGCCCATTCCTCGCGATACACCGTCACTCCGACTTTCTCCGGCCCACAGTCCTTGCTACAGACGCCCAGGATGATCGTGCCCCATTCCATCCCGGCGTCGTCCTTCGCACCCAATCCGACCTCGCGGCCCTCCTCCAACATGCTGATGGCGTGCGGGACGAGTTGCAGCTCGAACACCCGTTGGCTCCCACAGTTTTCGCAGCGGGGGATCCGGCTCGCACTGCTCGCGACCGTCGTCACGCGGGCTCCGGCGTTGGCAGCGGCGGCGTCGTGGAATCGCGCGCCCACAGGGTCGGCGTACGAGTAGAGCAGAGGGGTGCCGCGGAATTCATAGCGGAGGATCTGCTCGGGGTTGTGTGCCAGGCGGGTGGAGAACTTCATGAATGCCTTGTCCATCTCCGATTCGAAAGTATCCTTGAGATCGGAAGATCCTGCGTTGGCGTCATCGTCGGCGTTCTCCACGGTGACGTTCTCGGGTACGGTAGGCGTGGAGGGTCGGGAGAGAGTCTCGTACTCGGCGTCCAGGTAGTATTGCGGGTAGGGCGCGGGGAACGCAGACTCGGCCGGCCACGGCGTAGGGGGTCCACTGGCTTCGGGGGCCTTCGATTCCGGGGGCGGGGAGGACACTCGAACTTTGTCTGCAAAGGACTCAGCGAGTGAATCGTCATTCTCGGATGACGGTTGCTTTTCAGGCGCGGAGGGAGGAGCGGCAGGCGCTGGAGTCGGGGCCGGGGCGGGGGCCGCGAACGGGTTGCTCGGCGCGGGGGAAGAACTGGCAGGAGAAAACGGGTTTGCATTACCGGAAACACTGCCAGTGAGCGTGGAGGCTCCGAAGAGACTGGCCCCAAGATCCTGCTTGGGGGTCTCACTCTCCGTTTTCGACTCTTGTTGTGTTTTCGGCGGTTCCTGCTTCTCCTTCCTCGGGGCCGGCTGGTTCTTCAGTCTCTTGGTGGCGCGCAAGGCCCGGATGCTGCCTGGCTTGCGGTTGCACGGTTTCCTCGGGCATCCGAAAATGTACAGTCGCCTCTCATCGCTGGGGAAGTCATCGGGCAGGTCGCCATGCAATTGGAGAAGCAGCAGCATTGGTTGATTGCAGACTTTGCAGTTGGCGAAATCACCGGAAGGCGGGGTAGCGTCGTCAATCCAGGTCTGCAGTCGAATCATCAGTATATCAGAGCCCTGAAAGTCGATAAGAATGGGATCACACATACCGGTCGTCCACCCAGACGACTGATCGTATCTTCTATCAGCTCCTCCGACGCATAACCCAACAGCACACCGGTGTCTGTAAAGTCCCCCGCATCCTCGACGGACGAGTCGCTATCGTATGGGTCCATTGTTTCTCTGTCACTGGCTTTGAAGATAACAAGTCTCACTGAATGTGCAGTTGCCTGTCTTGTAATAGAGGCAGTAGTTGTTTGACTGACTTGATCTATATCTGTTGCAAAAGTCGAAGTGAAAAAATGAAGATAAAAAATAGAATCAAAGATCACGATAAGCGATAGGAAGAAACTAGTCTATAATGGGACTAGTGCGGTAATGGGGTAAATTACCGTATCAGGCACCCCAGAGCAGGTGACATCACATGTTGTGATCCATCTTCAACTTCAACTTCATTCTTCATTCTCTTCTTTCTCTTCTGGGTTTCACTTCATTCTTCCTACTGTCTCATTGTTCCTATTCTTATATACTATTGTTAATCAATCTTGTTTGATATGGGATGTCTGCTTGGAACGCTCAAGAGACACTATTGATCGTCAATTGACCAGCTCCTACAGCTTAAGCTAGGACCACTCAAATACTCGACTATCAACCAGTCAGCTCCCTGAGAGTGTTGACGTTCAAAAATTTCTCTATGATGACTATTCTTCACTCCCTGTCTGTTCTTTATGTGGCAATACTCTCCTTGATTGCCTTGGCCACAGCTGATGATGCAGCACCCAAACGAGTGGCAGTGATCGGTGAGTATCCTACCATCCATCTATTCCCATTGTCCAGACTAAACGGTATGGATTAGGCGCGGGCGCCGCAGGGGCCTCCACGGCGTACTTCTTGCGAAAACATGCAGATGACTCCGATATTCCGGTCAACATCACCGTCTTTGAGCGTGAGTCCCATGTCGGTGGCCGGTCCACCACGGTCAATGTCTTCGACGACCCTGTCTATCCGGTGGAGCTAGGGGCATCCATCTTTGTCCAGGTCAATGAGCATCTGGTGAATGCATCCCGGGACCTGGGACTGTCCGCCCGCAGTGCCGGTCACGCCCGCCCCAGAGAATCCGTGGACACCATTGGGATCTGGGATGGAGAGCAATTTGCATTTATATTGCAGGACACTTACAGCTGGTGGAACATTGGCAAATTGCTCTGGCGCTACGGATGGGCACCGGTACGGACACAACGCCTGATGAAGGCCACGGTGGGCAAGTTCCTGCGACTCTACGATGAGCCTCTCTTCCCCTTCCGATCCCTCTCGGCTGCCGCTGAAGCGGTCGGTTTGCTCGACACAACCGCCACTCCTGGGAGCGTGTACCTCGATCAAAACAGCGTGTCTCCTGATTTTGCCCGGGAAATCATCCAGGCCAGCACGCGTGTAAACTACGGACAGAATCTTCCCTTGATCCACGGTCTCGAGGCGATGGTGTGCATGGCTACGGATGGGGCAATGGCGATTGAAGGCGGGAACTGGCGCATTTTTGATGGAATGCTCAAGGCTGCAAAGGCGAACTTTCGATTTAACCACGCCGTAACCTCTATCGACCGGAATCATGATCACAGCTTGACTGTGACATTCGAAGCGAACAATGCCGAACAGAAGCAGACATTCGATGAGGTCGTTATCGCCGGCCCTCTCCAATATTCCGATATCGCGATCAACCCGCCCCTCGACATCGTTCCGGATGAGATCCCCTACGTCGAGCTTTATGTGACGCTATTCTCGTCTCCACACCGACTCTCGTCCAAGTATTTTGGTCGAACGGGGCCCGACGACCAGGTCCCGGAGACGGTCTTGACCACACTTCCGGCGGGAACCGACCTCGGTTCAAGCAGAAAAGGCGTAGGCCCAGCCGGTTTCTGGAGCATCAGCACCCTTCAAACCGCCAAGCCGCCTCGCTCATCCGCTCACGACGATCAGGACCACTATGTTTACAAGATCTTCTCGCCCGAACAGCCAACGGCCGAGTTCCTGCGAAACATCCTGGGCTTGGACGCTGACAATGCAGCCAGCACTGCCAACCAGACCATTGCTGATCTTCCCAAGAGCGACGTCAGCTGGTTCCACGAGAAGATTTGGAACCCTTATCCGTTCCTCTACCCCCGGGTCACCTTCGAGGACACGGAGTTATCGTCGAACATCTGGTACACGGGAGGCATCGAGAGCTTCATCTCCACGATGGAAACCAGCGCTCTGATGGGTCACAACGTGGCTACGTTGATCTCGCAGTCATGGGAAGACCCGATCGATGTGGACGTGGGCGATGATCCCGTTGTAGGCCATGATGACACGGAGCTGTGATATTATATACATCGGGGCGGCATGGAGGAGGGATCAGTGAATTCCACAAATTCCTATGCTCTTTTCTTTCCATTTTCCCGGGTCATTTCACATCCTACCTAGAAGCGACGTTGAACCTCCCAGCGTAGTATGATGCCCAAGGCAAACACCGCAACACGTGACCGCATCAATCTTCCCCGCGATCGATTCTTTTGAGCTTCATCTTCCCCTCACTCTCCGTCAACGGCTGTCTATCATAACCAGGTCACGGTGGTATTCCCTCGTCTCTAGACTCGTCGCTCTCATCCTTCTCATAATCTTCCCAAAGCAACCACCCCAGAAGCAACATCGCTGATACAAAATGTCGATCATCACCATCGGGACTCTTCCCCGCATGAGTCGCGACGCCCTGTCCGAGCTCCTCCTTTCCACCAGCTCCCCCAGCAAGCTCGCCATTATCGACGTCCGCGACTCAGGTACATCTTTTTATCCTACCTATCTTCTCCGCCACCAATTCTGAACACGCAACTAACAACGAACAGACCACGTCGGCGGCCACATCACCACCTCCACCTGGATCCCCAGCTCCTCTCTCGAGCTCCACCTCCCCGAACTCATCCGCACCCTCAAAGACAAAGAAAAGGTCGTCTTCCACTGCGCTCTCAGTCAGCAGCGGGGCCCCTCCGCGGCGCTGCGCTACGCCCGTGAGCGCGAGCGCGTCCTCGGCGCCGAGGAGGCGGCCAAGACCGGCCAGGAGGTGTTTGTCCTCGAGGGCGGGTTCGTCGAGTGGCAGGAGAAGTATGGGAAGGATGTGCGGTTGACGGAGGCTTATGCGGAGGATGTTTGGAAGATGTATTGATTTTTCCTTCTCTTTGGATTTTGGTTGACTGCTTTACTGGCTGGTTGTTTCTGTGCATGGGAGATACCCGTTTTACTTGATACTTAGATTCTAGACAATATGTTATGGCGAACGCCTCGTTGGCACGTGTGGAACAAGTATCGTCTATCTATATTACAATATACTACACACCTTTTATCTTTCTACCCAGTCATTACATGACAACGCTCCCCCCAAACCCAACCGGCCGACGTTTGCCCCCCTTCTCAGGGACGATAGCCAAAAACTTATAAAGCTTACCCATGCCATCCCCGTCACGCTCAACCAACCGCTTCCACCCACTCTCCAGCGTCTTGCGCTTCTCCTCGTCCTCAACGCCCTTAAGCAGTTGCTGCATGCGCTCCGCGATGCCCATACTCTGCAGGAAAGTACCCTGCTCGACAGGACCGTGGACTTCGACGCCCTCGCTGGCGTCGATGGCCGCCTCCGCCAGTGAGAAGAAGTCGACGTCGGCGCTGACGTCCACTTGGCCGGGGGATGACAAAGGCGCGACATTCTTGTGGTTCTGGATTCCGCGCAGTGAGTTCACCGGGATGGTGGACATTGTGCCGTAGTCCATGATGAGGGCTGCGCCGGAGGGGGTGCGCTTCGCTGGGGGAGGTGGTTGCCGAGCTGCGGCGCCCTGTTTGGCGTTGTTGCTGGCGCCTCCAATGCGGCGGGCGAAATCAGACGCGTAGATTCGGCTCTCGGGGCTGATTTCGATGGTCGAGCCGGGCTGGTTCTTCAGTGCTTTGTAGCGCTCGGAGATCTCGGGGATGACGAGGGATGACGGGGTTGATGCGGGCGCTCGCGTTAGTTGGAACTCTGCTTCGCCGGGGAGGTCCTCTTCGACGGCTTTAGGGTTCAGCGTGACCATGAGTTCGCGCCACTGGGGGGTGTTGGCGGCTTTGAGGGGTGTGTGGAGCTTTTGGGGGCCTGTGGGGGTCATGATCTGTTGGGGTTCTTGGGGCTGGTTCTCTGGTGATGGGGGAACGGATTCGAAGGCGTGGATGGGGAGGGCGTCGAAGAATTCGTGCGCGAATATGAATGGTGTCTTGTCCTCCTCTGTGGTTTTCAATGTTAGCGATTGAATCACAGGTCGTCGTCCGGTCCTCTTCACTCACCCTGCGGTAATAACCGGATGTCTTCTACCCAGACTACCGGGACATCAAAATACTTGCTCGTACTGCGATGTCCAATCTCCGTCTCCTCCATCGGGGCATCGCCGCAGAGGAGCTTTTTCTGCACCTCGCGGAGCGTAGGGCTCGCCTCGACGAGGTAGATCGCCTCGATGCTGGACGTAAATGTTTTGAAGTTCCGGAAAGTCTATATTAAGACGCGCAAAAGGTCAGCATCCACTCTCGTGCGCATCAATCTCCAATTGATCCAACCAAAGCTGACTCAACCCACCCGTAGTATATCATCCATCAGCGTCCCCTTGCCCGGCCCAACTTCAATCAGCTGCACGCCACTCCGTTTCCGCCCCTGAGCAATCCACTCTGTGATCGTCCACAGGCCGACCAATTCGCCGAAAACCTGCGAGATCTCGGGCGACGTGACGAAGTCACCGTGCTTGCCGAAGACTTCCCCGTCGCCTTCGGGGCGCGTCGTGTAGTACCCGCCGTCCGGGGAGGTGAGCACTTGGCGCATGAATGCTGCGATCGGGATCGGGCCGGTCACTTTGATTGCGTTGGCTAGGTTCTGCGCGAGTGGTGTCGACCACTGTCTTTTCTCGAAGGTCGAGGCGCATCGTCGCGACGGGATGCGGCTTCGCTGGGTTTGTCGCTTGAGGAGCTGCGTTACGGCGCGTCGCGTGGCATGGTTCATGGTTATTGGTTACCCTGGTAGAGGGCGACTCCGGTAGTTTGGAGTATCTTCAATAGATTGGATTAATAGATAGTGCACCCTCAATGAGCGCGAACGGGCGAAGAGTAAATGTTGGAGAGAAGTTGTTTCGCCGAATTGGTCTCCGCAAATCTCCGTGCACGTGATCTGTCCACGTATAGAGCAAGTATAGGATCTTATTTGGCCGCATAAAGTTCTAAAGCATTGTCTATATACATTTTAATGATTATGAAACATCTAATGCGACTGGTTCCACTGAATACACTCGTCAAAAGTCACCCCAGAACCCCCAAAGATGTCCAAAGCGCTCCCGATCGTCAAGTCCACCTTGCCTTGGCTACTGGCGTGGACTTTCTCCAGGTCCTGCAGACTGCGCGCACCGCCAGCATAGGTGATGGGGATGGTGCACCACTGGGAGAGCTTACACACGAGCTCTTCGTCCACGCCTTGCTGCAGTCCCTCCACATCGGCGGCGTGGATGAGGAATTCCGAGCAGTAGGGCTCGAGCAGCGAGATGGATTCTGCGGCGGTCAGCGTGTGTCTATAGACGCGAAGAACGAAGTGAGAGTACGTACTTTGGTTGATCTCCATCTCTGTAATGGTCTGCCAGCGGTTCATGGCTACAAACCAGGTGTTGTCTTTGCGCCGGCAGCTCAGATCCAAGACCAGCTTCGACCTGTCTCCGCCCAGCGCAGCCAGTACCGATTCTAGACGTTCCTGGGAGAATTTGCCTTCGGGGAAGAGGAAGGAGGTGATGATCACCTATATCTTGATATCAGCACTCGCACGCCAAATAATCAATGGCATTGTCGTCAATACGAATCGCTCACCTTCTCCGCACCCTGGTCGATCCAATACTGGGCATTCTTATCCGTGATCCCCCCCGCAACCTGCAGCCCACCCGGCCACGTCCGGAGAGATTCCTTCGCAGCGTCGTCATTCCCGGGTCCCAGCATGACAACGTGACCGCCACGGAGGTTGTGCTTCTGATATAGGGCCGCATAGTGGCTCGCCGGGAGTTTGGAGACGTAGTTCGTCTTGAGATCCGCAGCCACGGTGCTCAATGTGCCTCCGACAATCTGCTTCACCTGCCCCGAGTGCAGGTCAATACAAGGGCGGAATTTGGTCATTTTTCAGGCGTGCAATGGCTTTTCCTGAGGACGCTGGCAATGAGGTTTTTCGATGCGCCATCTTTGGTGGGGATGATCGAGGGGTGTTCCTATCTTATCGCACGTGATCTGACCGAAAATTTACCTCCGCGGAGCAACCAAGACCCTTCTCTCCACGACACAACCCATCTCTACATGACTTGAAGCAAAATGGTAGGCAAACGGAAGAGAGACACGTCGGTGGTGTCGAGATCGACTACCAAAGAAGAAGAAGACGCCCCTCCCGCTGTCGCCGATACGTCGGCCCATGACGTCTTTCGCAAATTTTTCGAGGCGCAATTCGAACCCATTGAGGCGCCCGAGGAGGCTGTCGACGAGGAGTCCGACGAGGCAGAGGAAACCGGTTCCGATGGAGAAGGATCTGATTTCGAGTCTGGGTCCGAATGGAGCGGCGTGTCTGGCGAGGGTGAAGAAAGCGAAGTGGAGGTGATCGAGCACCGGGATGCATCCTCGAGTGAGCACCTCGCGAGCAAAAAGGCTCGCAAAGCCTTTATGGTATGTCCATATTCTCTATCTACACCTTAAAGAGGGAATCCAAGCTAACGGCCGGCCACTGCAGTCTTCCAAACTTCCGTCTCTCGCAGAGAAACCGACCGCCGTCAAGCGCGCCCCGACGAAAGAGAAAGAAGACGATGACCCCAAGGAAGCCGACAATTTGAAACACGACCTCGCATTGCAACGATTACTCAAGGAGTCGCACCTTTTGGAAGACGCATCCGATCTAGCCCCGACCGGAAAGAACCGACTTAAGGCGCTCGATCTGCGCATGCAGGAACTCGGCGCCAAATCATCGCTGTATCACCAGAAGATGCCGTCCGCGCACCGGAGAGGCATCAAAGCCAAGGCTGAGACGAAGGAAGACAAGCGCCGCCGCGACGCACGGGAGAACGGCATCATTCTCGAGAAGCCCGCGCACAAGAAGAACAAGTCGAGCAGCGGACACCGGGAGCGCGGCGTTGGTGGGCCCTCGGTCGGCAAGTTCGCCGGCGGGACGCTCAATCTTAGCAAAAGTGACATTTTCTCTGTCAAAGGGAAGGCTTTGGCTGGAAGGAAGAAACCTAGTCGGGGGAAGCCTAAGGGTCGTCGCTAGTGCTCTCAGCCGATCTGTCTTCCTTTTCCTTTCGTCTACCTTTTTGTCGCAAAGGTAGAGTGCGCTGCGGGCGGCCTATCTATCTATTCATCTATCTATCTATCTATTACGACAACCAAAAGTTTGCCTTAACGCATCACGATCCGTCTCCTCGGCTGCAGGGCAGTCAGGCTCCGAACCGACAGTTGTCATCCTTCTCCGCCGATCAGCCGATCAGCCGATCAGGTCATGGTTGATCAGGAGAACATTCCTATCCCACTGGGTCCGAAATTACTGGCACGCGTGCGAGCTGAGCCACCGCCGTAACCATCTAACGTCAGCGGGTGTCGGCTCTCCGTCCGGTGGGTCGGCACTGGCTCCGCCCGGTTCTATAATTACGACCATCCTACTTTTGGAAACGATCTCGTCTGTTTCTCTGGTGGGTTCTGAGGGTACAATGGAGCGCAGAGGAGACTACTGTACATCATTTGATTAATAGACAAGTACCTCGGGCCAATCTTTTAGTAAGACATCTCGTAGAAATATTAATACAAGTAACAGTAAAGCCAGCTCAGACAGTCAGTTCATCCTGAGTGCGAACGAACTCATCGCTTGGCTTCCACCAGCCGCTTATCCAACTCGGAGTACCCAAAGACGGCGGGCTTTCCGCCCGTCGATTGGGCCAGATGGGTCACGAGATCGGCCTCGGACATCTGAGCCAGGTCGGCGGTGACCCGGCGCATGTAGGCGACGACCTGGGCGATCTTGGCCCAGTCGAGCTCGGAGCCGTCGGGGGCGTTGTAGCTGGCCTTCCAGAGGTTCCGCCAGACGGCGGCGCCCAGGACGGCATCGCCCTTGACGAGGCCCTCGTCGTAGGCGGCGAGGATGCCGCGCCACTGGATGAAGAGGTCCTTGAGGAACTTGTTGCGGATCGCTCGGCTGGTGAAGCCGTGGAGGACGTCCATGCGGTGTTCGGCGCTGTGCGAGAAATGGTCGATCAGGTGGCGGGAGTAGGTCTGGAGACTGTCGCGCGAGGGCAGGGCGCGCAATCGGACGGTGAGGAGGTACATGTGGAGGAAGGTGACTTGGGACCAGGTGGAGAAGGTGGGGAGGAGACCCAGTTCTGCAGATATTAGTTTCTTCTTCTTCCCGTTCCCACTCCGCTTCTTTCGCATTGAGGAAATGCGATGATTCTCGAGACGAGGCGGTTAATTACCTTCATACCACCAGCCCGTCCCCACACCCAGATCCTCCCCGCCTTCCGTCTTGGGGACCTGGGCTCCTTTCTGTGCGACCTGGGGTATACTGTAATCGGCCTGGGTCGAGCAGGCCTCAAAGAGCTTCTGGGTCATTCCGTACGCCACGTAGTTTTCGGTGGAACTGCCGGGACGGGGCATTATGGCCTGTGCCAGTCGGGAGGCCGCCCTCCGAGTGTGCGGGGAGGGGTGAGATCGGACATGTTGCAATACGGCAAGAGATGACGGACGGGGCGCGGAGTTGGAGGCGAATGGACGAGAGATGGCCGGGAGAGCCGGAGTGATGCGAGTATACGAGGCGGAGATGGGGGACTTGGTCACCTGGATGGAAACATGAGTTTGTTTCTTCGTTTCCCATAACTGCGTGGATGTCAGGGTACTTACCTCCCGTAAGAGGGAGCGATTGAGGAATTGGGACGACATGAGGGATCTGGTGGGAGAGAAGGGTATACAGAGCAGAATACCAGATGAAGATGAAGATGCAGATGTACCAAGTAGTGACGATGAAATTGGTTGTTTGCTTAGTTTGTATACTTTGTTCTGTTTATTGAGTTTGTTCAGATTGTCTGTTTGTTTACTTTGCTACGTTTGTCTGTTTGCTTTGTTGTGCTGCACAGCTGACTCATGCGCACTGTCCCTGTCCACTCAGGCACCCCACTTGTTTCCGCCTTGTTTCCCTCTGTTGCATCATTTCCATACAGACAAGAGTAAATCGAACTTAAACAACACCAATAGAATATATAAATAATAAGTATCTATCCATCTATCTATCGATTTGATCGCCTGTATCATGCTCTGATATCAGCACAGCCAATCACGTGCCCGCCTGTCCCGCATCGCCTCCTTTTCGCTCCTTCGTCCTTCCTTCTTCCTTCACTTCGACTTCATCTTCTCTTCCTCTCTCTCCTCTCTTCTTCTTTCTCCCTCTCTCTTGTTTTATCTTGTTATCCTCCCCCTCCATCTCCATGCCCCTCTTCCGTCGCAGCAAGAACAAGTCTCCACCTACTTCCTCTCCTGCATTCCGTTCCGTTGAGAATCTCCTATCTAACCCCCCTGGCGTCGTCGATCTCGACCGCCGTTTCTCCGTCTCCACTACCCAAGACGCCTCTACTAAGCCGCTGCCTCAGCCTCGTTCTTCGGCCACGCAGCCCTCGTTTCCTCGTCGCGCACAGTCCCAGCGACGATCTCAGAATTTCAATTCTCTGCCCACGGTGAACCCGCCGGTCCCCACCACCACTTTAAATACCACCGCTTCAAGGACACCTACTACCACTACTACCACTACTACTACTACTACTACTACTTCTTCTACTGCCACCACCATTCCACCGGTACGAACTGCTTGCTCCTGCTTCTCCTGCGGCTACAGCTGCAACCCTGCATCGATGCTGACTCCTCCGATCAGTCGTGGCCCTCGTCTTCCGAGGATCAACTCGAAGATCAAGAGCTTCCGACCAAGTCCCGTCGGAATCTCTTCTCGCGACACCCCGCCAATCCCCCGCGAGACCCACCCAGTTTCTTGGGACGCAATCTGTCCGTGAGGAAGCCGTCCCCCTCGGACCCGCGTCATCGCCGCCCGTTGTCCCTGGACACCACCGCCAAACCCCATCAACACCACCATCACCACCACCATCGTCCGGCGCTTAGTGCCCCAGACGATGCAGTAGAACCCCATCAGAATTCCCCCGAATCACCCATGCCGCACAACGCTGTCCGACCGCCCCATTCACCCCTCCCCCCACCCCCCGCTATCCAACGTTCGACCACCGATTCTTCGCGCCTTGAAAGCATATACCGCCCCTCCCCCGTCGAATCCTCGCGACTGCCCTCCGAGGGGAACGCCAGCAACCCGCACCTGGACCGTCTCTTGCACACCCGACCCCCGTCCCGCCAGTCGCTCGGTCCGCCATCCCCGCTGCCCCCGCAACCACCCCACTCCGAGTTCTCATCTGCAACCTCGCTGAGTGGCATGTCTGATCGCCCGTCCGGCGGTTCCCCGGCTGGTTCGTCCGCCAACGCTGCCGCCTCCTCCGGCGGCCATTCGCCGTACCCCCAGGGCTCCGCCCCGGAAACTGGGCTCCGCGGCAATACCGCGACCCCGCCCCACTCGCAGCAACAATCCCAGTCGCAGCCACCCCCACCGTCCTCTGAGTCCGGTCGGAGTCCTCCCACCGCGCCCAGCAACCGGGCGCGGGAGGAATCAGCGGACGTGGACGTCCGCACCTTGGTCCAGAAACATGACGAATTGCGTATGTCTTCTCTTTGTTATTTATTTCATCTTTCTATCCCGTGATCGGTTCCACTGATGATACAACAGAGGCCAAATATTCCAAGGTGAAACGCTACTATTTCGAAAAGGAAGCCCAGGTGCAGCACCTGCAGAATATCGTCGCCCACCAGCGTATGGCCGTCTCGCGCACGGTCCTAGATGATAATGAGTATGCCAACCGGTTCGGTCGCCTTGAGGGCGCCATCAAGGACCTAGCCTTCGCCGTCCGCAAGGACTGGAGGAGCCTACCCTCGTGGCTGGTCGGATTCGTGAACGACGACGCCCATCAGACGGGCACCAAGGAGATGACCGCCATCGGCCGGGCGGTCATCAGCCGCTGGCTCGTCGACGAGCTCTTCGAGTGTCACTTCCACCCGGCCCTCGAGTCCTCGCTCAGCCGCCAGCTCAAGAGCATCGAGATGAACCTGCGCCGGCAGCAGGGCCAGACCACCACCGAGGAGGACAAGGAGAATGCCATCGCGCGCATCTCCAACTGGCGCCGCACCACGCTCGACGGGCTGACCGACGCGCTGCAGGGGCCCGCCGCGGACACGTACCGCGCCGACCTGATAGAGCGCCTGGTGGCCAACCTCGTCGCCACGCTGGTCATGCACCTGGGCGATCCCCCGCCGCCCGGTATCGACAACGGGGTGCGGATGATCGTGGAGAACGCCGTGGGCATCGCCGACAGGATCCCGCTGGAGTCGCGCGACATGTGCATCGAGTATGTGCTCCCCGGCACCCCGCTGCGGGAGATGACCATGAAGGTGGAGACGGGCATCCCGCCCCTGACCGGCGTCAGCGGCGAGGCCATCTCCGGCGGGGCGCTGCGCGGCTCCGTCGACCAGGATCGGTCGCCCGAGGGGCCCGGCCCAGACGAGATCGACGCGGATCGCGAGGACCCGTCGGGACCCGCGCCCCCGGACGGCAAGCAACGGCGGTCCATGTTCACCTCGCTGATGATGGGTCGCCGACCGGTCCCGAATGCCGCGGGACCCGCGCCGCCGGGGCCCGCCGGATCCGCCGGATCCGCCGCGGGCACCAGCGGCGAGGGCTCCCGGCCCGTGGCCGAGGAGCGAGGCGGCACGGCGGGTCACGGTCGGGTCCGGTTGGCGTGTTTTGTGACGGCGGAGGTGCGTGGACGAGGACCGATGAACGTGCTGGTCAAGTCTCCGGTATATACCATGGATTGAACGGGTTCTGTTATTTGAACCGGTGGTCGTGTTGACTAGCGTAGTATGTCAGGAGAATGCATATATATATATATATATCCCATGTCAGATCGAATGGTTGTAGACGTACCCCGGGGTGGTTGGAATCATGTAGTCGTCGACGGTTGAGTCGCAATCACGACCGGGGTCACCCTCATCCCTGCCATCGCATCTCTCATCAGGCCGACCGAATGCCAATCTTGGCACATTTTCACGCGTTCCACCGGCCAACATTCCACAGTCCGTCTGTGTTCCGTCGCACGACGGCCATTCATGTCCGTTGGGTCTGCCCCTGTCTACCCCTAGACACGGCGGGAGGCACAGGCACAATGCATTCCACCGGGAAATTGCACGGCGGGCGAAGGCTGGCGGGCCAGCATTCCAGGGGGGCCCTTGGTGTTATGGCCGAGGAAACGATCAGCCCGTTCGCTGAAGCTTCCAGAGACTCAGTCTTTCGTCCAGCTTTCTCTACGAACGGACGACTTTGAGGATGGTTTTTCGGGCCTTTTGCGCGCTACTTTGCGCCATCTCAACCGTCCAAGCAGCTCTTCCAGACGACGACGTGCTCCAATATGTTGATCCTCTCATCGGCAGTGCCAATGGCGGTATGGCCCTATCCCCGGTTCTCAGAAGAAACAAACACCCATCTAATCCCATCCAGGCAACGTCTTCGCCGGCGCGTCCCTACCCTACGGCATGACCAAAGCCGTCGCCGACACCGACTCGGGCAGCAACCAAGGCGGCTTCGCCTTGGACGGCAGCAACATCACGGGCTTCAGCAGCCTCCACGACTCAGGCACAGGCGGCGCACCATCCCTAGGCAACTTCCCCCTCTTCCCATACACCGAGTGCGCAAACGACGACGTCAACGGCTGCACGTATCCCAAGAAACAGCGCAAGACGACCTACGCGGCGGACTCGGTTACCGCGCGCCCGGGCTACTTCGGCCTGACCATGACGTCGGGGATTCGCGTCGATATGACCGTCTCGCACCACGCGTCGCTCTTCCGCTTTGCGTTTCCCGCCGCGCAGGACGCGAGTCCGTTGATTTTGCTGGATTTGACGGATCTGTCTGATACGAGGCAGGATAATGCGAGTATTGCGGTGGATCCGGACACCGGGCGTATGACGGGCTATGCGCGCTTCTTGCCTAGCTTTGGGAGTGGTGATTATACGCCGTATTTCTGTGCAGACTTTCAAAGTCGTAGTCCGCTGAGGGATAGTGGCGTCTTTGTCAACTCGAGGGCTAGTGCTGGGGTGCATGATTTGAAGATTTCGAGGAGTATTAATGGGTATCCTCTTCCGGTATGACACACCTACGATCTATATATCAATATATGTAGTCCATGATCCCATATTTGGGGGGATTACTGACTGATCCCACAGGGAGGCGCATTTGTCCGATTCCACGATTCCCAAGACAACGATATCCTGGCCCGGGTCGGCCTCAGCTTCATCAGCATCGAGCAAGCCTGTCACAACGCGGAGTCTGAAATCCCGACGTTCGATTTCGACGCCACGCGCGCGGCGGCTACAGAGAGATGGAGGGAGAAGATGGCGCCGATCCGTGTGTCGACCACGGGGGTGAATTCCTCGGTGTTGACCAACTTCTATAGTAGTATCTATCGGACGATGGTCAATCCGCAGGATTATACGGGGGAGAATCCGCTGTGGGGGAGTACGGAGCCTTATTTTGATTCGTTTTACTGGTGAGTCTCCATCCAGGCCACGGTCGTGGTCATTTCCTGGGCCAAATCTGACGAGACAGTCTCTGGGATTCGTTCCGGTCTCAGCTCCCATTCCTGGCTATCTTTGATCCCTCAGCGCTGAGTCGCATGATTCGATCTCTCATCGACACCCAGCGCCATCTGGGCTGGCTCCCTGATTGCCGCATGTCACTCTGCAAAGGTCCGTCACATTGAACCCTACCCTATCTCAGGCACCACAGCTAATATCCACAGGCTACACCCAAGGCGGCTCCGACGCAGATATCGTCCTCGCAGACGCCTTCGTCAAGAACATCACCGACGGAATCGACTGGGAAGCAGGGTACGCCGCAGTAAAGCGCGACGCCGAAGAAGAGCCCTACGACTGGTCGAACGAAGGCCGAGGCGGGCTCGCGAGCTGGAAATCCCTCCACTACATCCCCGTCGAAGACTTCGACCACATCGGCTTCGGACCCATGACGCGCAGTGTCTCGCGCACGCTGGAATACGCGTACAACGACTATGCGATTGCGCAGATCGCGCGCGGGCTGAACCTGCTCGACGACGCGGAGCACTACGAGGGGACCTCGGGGTATTGGAAGAATCTATTCCGGGAGGATCAGACGTCTGTTGTCAATGGAAGTGATACGGGGTTTAGGGGCTTCTTCCAGCCGAAGTATTTGAATGGGACGTGGGGGTACCAGGATCCGATGACTTGTTCGAATTTAGATAAGAGTGGGACGGCTTGTTCGTTGACGAACGATGCCGCTGAGACTTTCGAGTCGAGTATTTGGGAGTATCAATTGTATGCCTTCTTTCCCCCTTCCCTCTCTTGATTCCTTGCCAGTATCTAACTAACAGGAACAGCTTCGTCCCCCACGACATGTCCAGCCTCATCGCCCACCTCGGCGGCCCAAGCAACTTCATCCGGCGTCTAGACTACCTCCACGACAGCGGCCTAACCTACATCGGCAACGAGCCCTCCTTCCTAACAGTCTTCCAATACCACTACGCCGGCCGCCCCGCAAAGTCCACTGAACGCGCCCACTTCTACATCCCACGGTTCTTCTCCCCCACACCAGCCGGACTCCCAGGCAACGACGACTCCGGCGCAATGGGCTCCTTCGTCGCAATGAGCATGATGGGTCTGTTTCCGAACCCAGGCCAGAACGTGTACCTTATTACAGCGCCGTTCTTCGAAACGGTGCGCGTTACGTCGCCGCTTACGGGGAAGACGGCTACTGTGCGCGCTGTCAACTTTGATCCCTCTTATAAAAATATTTATATTCAGGAGGCCAGGCTGGATGGGGTTCCGTATGAGAAGAGCTGGGTGGGGCATGATTTCTTTACGGAGGGGAGGGAGCTGGTGCTTGTTTTGGGGGGTGAAGAGAGTGCGTGGGGGAGGGATGATGTGCCTCCTTCTTTGGCTGGTTGATGGAGTTGTATCTTGTTATTTTTAGTAGTAGCATTGTCTTTTTCTAGATGATTGAAGAGGATGTTATTACCATGGTTCGAAGAGGACTGGGTATGTAGTAGACCGTGGGTGGTGCATGTTACATTTGACCTGGATTTGATATCCCGCAAGCGGTACCCCTAATCCTATACAGATACTACGTAGTGGCTAACCATCAATAAACGGTTCAAACAGATAATACAATTAGAATCAAACAATAGAATAAAATCAAAAAAGACAATCTAAACAGCCTCAACATCCCCCTTCCTCTCCCTCCCATCCGTAATCCCACCCTTCCGTCCCATCCTAATCCATCCCCGAATACCACCCCCCACCCGCTGCGCAATCACCCCCAATCCCACAGAGTAATTGAGCAGCGCTGTCAGCGCCACTGTATACCCTATTATCTGTCGCGTTGTAACGGGGGTGTCCCAGATGAGGACGGCTGCAAACACGAGCAGGATGTTCTTGGGAATGCTGACGAGAGTGGTGGTCAAGCCGGAGGTTTGTCTGATCTGGTTTTGTCAGCCTATACTATAATACCACATATACACATATATGTATACGTATATATACACATATATGATGTAGAGGGGGAAAAGAAACATACCAACAAAAACACCACCACATTCAAGATAAACCCCCCCGCAGCATTCAACACCAACAACCCCACCCCCGTCCGAAGCACCGCCTCCCACGAGAACGCCTCCCACTCAGTAAACCACACAACAACTGCATTGATAGCCGCGCACATAGGCGCATAGTAATACAGACTCACGAGCGGGTCCATCGACCGCGCGGGATCATCGTCTGCTAGCAGGATCTGGATGAGAATGAGCCGGTTGGCGTCGAAGGCGAGCGCCGCGAGCTGGAAGCCGAGACCGGGCCAGGAGAAGTGCAGTTCGCCGGTTGTCGTGAAGGCGATGCTCGCTGTGAGGATGAGGATGTTGATGAGGGAGTTTTTGGAGGGTGTGGACACGGCCCAGAGCCAGCTTGTTAGGAGGGTGATTACTGGGCCGGTGGCCTATCTTGTTAGTATATACATATATATATATATATATTGATCTCTCTCTAGAGAGAGGGAGAAATGGGGAAAATAGAGGTGGGGAGGGAATACCTTCAACATCTGCGAAAATGGCACACTCAGATACAGATAGACCATATTACTGCAGATCAAGCTCCCGCTGTTCAGCACGGCGATGGGACCCAATGTGCGAAAGAGGAGCCCCGGCGTCAATTTGAGGCTCTTTCGACCGTCCAGTAGGGTCGTCGTGCGAGCGAGGACCTGCGTGGCCAGCGTGGCGAAGATGAGGTGCCATGTTGGGAGGATGACGGCTTGGTTTGTTAGAGATTATTCTCTCATGTCCGTCGGGGGACTTACGGAATTCTGTATACTATTAGTTGGATGTATATAGATGGATGCTATAATGATACTCACTGAATTGGGCCGTCTCAATAATCCATTTGTTGAAGAGGATGGTGATGTTGGACCAGAATATCCATGATCTATACAGATAGATGTAAATATTAGTGAGTTAGGGCTAGCATGGTCAGGATACATACACCACGCAGAACGCAGTCGACCACGACCGACTTGTCTCGATCATTGTGTTTTACCGCGTACTCGAATATCTGTCAGTCTGTCTACATGGTTAAGTACTACTTATTACTTGTAGATGATTGTGGATCAATGTCACAATGGATCGGATCAATGGCACTGCGACTGTTACCTCCATCTCGATTCGTCCACCGAACCAGATTTGTTGAATGGAATTCAGAAAGTACTGCAAAAGGAGAACCATTGTTTTAAGTAAATTAAAATTATTAGAAAAGTATATTATAATCCAGTATAGTGAGATATCACCACGAATGCGTACAATATGTGATAAAATAACTCGGCCAAGCATCCACATCCATCACCCTCTTACACTCCTCCGGATCGAACAACGGATTCTCCCACGCCGCCAAACACACCGAGTCCTTATCATCCACCCAGCTAAACGGATACACCTGTTTCTGCGGCAGCAGCACCAACCGATCCTGCAGATCGGCAACGTCCTCCCCCTGACAGAAGAGATCCCACCCAGGCTTCCACCGCTGGATCGCCTCGCAGGCGTGTGCCCGCGCCGTGCCGTTCGCAAACTTGTCGTAGTACCGCCCGATGACGGCGCTGAGGGCTCCCGGGCCGGTCAGGCCCTCGACGGACCCGTCGCCTGTGCCTTCGGGCTGTTCGAGGACGTGCAGCACGGGAAGTAGCCAGAAGGGATGGCCTGGGGGAGACGCCATCCATCCGTTGGGTACGGCCGCTGAGCTCTGCAGGTCCTCACTGTGGCTCATACGGCCGAGAAAAGCCCGCTGCATGGACTCTGGGGGGCTCTTTGTGTCCATCAGTGTGCCTAGATGGGGTGACAGAGAGGTAGCGTAGCTGGCGAAAAGGGCGTTCGAGGAACGGAGCGCTTCGGTGTCGACGTCGGCGTACATTCTATATATCATCTTAGTACTCTCTTTTTCCCGGCAATTTTTTAAAGCAAATCAAGAGTGAAAGAAAGAAAGAAAGAAAGAAAGAGGAAAAGACGTACCCCCCAAAAACAAACATGTACAAATTCCGGATAACATCCGCACGCAGAATCTCCTTCGGCAGCGCATCGTACGCGTCCAAAAACCACGGAAAATGCGTCTCGACCAGCAGCCGATTCGTCTGGTCGTCCCACAGCACGTACTCCCAGTCGGGGTTGTACCCGCGCATGGTATTCACCCAGCGCTGGGCACGCTCGGACATGTTAGTCCCTGCAGGAAACCATGTCTGATGGATGATTTTGGGGATGGAGGTGTAGTCTTTGTTAGCCAGGGGGCGGGATAGGAGCAGTTCTGCGGAGATTTGGCGTGCTTGGGGTGGTGTCTTTGTTGTTGAGATGAAGGGGGCTTTTTGGTGGAGACGGTGGGAGACGTCTTGGGGGAGGCTGTAGATGAGGGCGAGGAGGACGGCGACGGCGAGGAACCATCGCAGGTAGCGCTTGGAGGAGCGTTTGGTGGACGGGCCGGTGGCCATGTTTACAGTGTGTATATTGTCTGTGTAGATCTGTGTGTAGAGGTGTAGAGGTGTAGATATATGTCGGTCATACGGAGAGGGCAGATTTAGATATATATAGATCGCGATCGATGTGGAGACGATGCGACTGTCAGGTCGTATTTGGCACAATGCCATCCTGATCCGGCGATCCTAATCCGTTAATTCTTTTGTTCTCTCTCCGGTGGGGGATTGGGTGGATGTTCAGATTTTGGTTCTTGGACTTTGGAGTTCTGAAGTCTTATTTCGTCTAGTAGACCGGCTGCAACTTAGGGCTATATGCAGGCTGATTTGACTGAATTCATAATCTGATGAGCTATCATTTACTAAAAAACACAGAATTTATATAAGAAAACGAACGAATAACCAACAGTAAACTTTATAGCCTGCATGAGCTATTATATACTAAAGAACACGAAAAACGTATACGAAAAGAAACAAATATTCAACAGTTAATCGTGTAAATCACTGCGCACCACCTCTCGCCACCACCTTCATATATCTATACAAGTCAGCCAACCAAATCATATAGAGGGAGAGAATAGAACATACAGCGTCATCCCCACCAGAGCTATGACAACCCCACCAATACTCTGTCGTAAGACCGGCCGCTCACTCAGTGCCCATCCCAGCCCAACTACAATACACGTCTTCAAGTGTCCGATGACCGTGCTGCTCACAGGGCCGATCCCGTCGATGATGTAGAACTGCGAGACGTTGACTAGGCAGGCCAATACACCGCTCTACTTACTTCATTAGACTCTCTCTGTTTCTCCCTCTGTCTCCTTCTCTCTGTCCGTGTGTATGTCCGGGGGGGAGAGCTCACCATCAGAATAGACCCCCACAGTGACGATGGCACCATCGCAGGAGGACCCTCCGCAAACGGAGCAACGCAAGCCAGCAACACAGTCGCCACAGGCGCCTGATTCAACAAGAGCTGCATGCTATTGAGCTCAAAGTGGCGGTGATACCGCGCGATGAGAGCCGTGTAGAGTGCGCTGGCGAAGACGCCCGCAAGGGCAAACAGCACGCCCTTCGAGGAGGTGGACGCGGCTGCCACAGAGTCAGACGCCGGCAAAGAGTCGTAGTATGTGACGACGCCGACGCCGAAGCACAGCGTGGCGAGCGGGGGGACGGACGCAGATGGGATGGTCACGCCGTAGAGGAGGAAGTTGAGGAGGACGGTGGCTGGGGTGAGGAGGAGGCGCACGAGCTGGTGCAGGATGACGGAGGAGAAGGCGAGCGAGAGATTCTGAAGGACGACCTGCGAGCTCATCAGGGCTACCAGGGGCAGGATCTGGTAGATGGGGATGGGCTTGCTCTGGAAGGTGCCGCACCACGGCCGCGAGAGTGTCCACAGCGTCAGGCCGGTGATGCAGAAGTGGTAGGCTGCAAAGGCCATCTGGCAGTGGCCGAAGGACTCATGAGCGAAGATGGATTTGTTAGTGAATATCTATACACCCTTGTCAGTTGGATTCCTGAGACTGAGTGTAAGGCTGACCTACAATCGACACGGTCGACACGACATTCACTGCGATCCAGATGGCGAGATTGCGAGGCTGTGAGTCCTGTCCATCTACCTCCTTCTCTTCCCCCGTCTCCTGGATAGAACAATCCGCTTCTTTGCCTGCGTTCTCGAGCGCGGAGAGCCCGATAGGAGAACTAGACCTCGACCACAGGGTGTCCGCCCACCCCTTCTCACCGTTGTTCGCGCTTGCTGTGATATGCATGGTATCTCGACATTGAACGTCTGTACCCCATCTTTACTCCGCTGCGCATGATTCGTTCTTTATAGAATCGATTTCCCCGGCGATGTCACTCCAGTCGGACAACAAGGTCGGGATGACTCGTGGGTCAATCCCACCCTTCCATCAACCATCCGCAGGAAACGCTGCATGACCAATGGCTATTGTCTTGAGAAAGGAACCAAGTGTCGATGGTCTAGAGCAGACGCTGACCCAGACCTTCCATCTCCAACATGGCCGTTTGCGGAATGTGTCTAATCTAGGGTTGTATGCGTGCCCCATGGTGGATCTCTCAAATTACTAAGATGAGCATCAGCCAGGGACGTGAAAGTGAACATGAAGAGAAGATGAAGAGAAGATAAAGAGAATCAATTCCAAGTCTCATAAACAGCCCACCCCCTACCCCCTCACTAGATGCCCCCGGGGATACACAAACTCATCCAGATTCATCTCCCTATCCGACCACGGCACGTCCTCATCCCACTGCGAATACACCGTGCGCTCCCCCGCCACCAACCGATGAATATTCATCCTCGTACTGTAGATCAGATTCCACGCCTCCTCCCCATGCACCTGATCCCAATCAAGCACATTAATATCCGAGTCCCGCGCCGCCGACCCCGCCCGGCGATACGTGCCCACGAGGTTCGGAAACGGCGCGTAGCACTCGATCCGCGTGCGGTTGGGATGAAATCCGCAGAGATCACTCATCGCATTATCGATCGCCCCCTCAATGTGATCCACCGACAGCTGCATCAGCACGTTCTGCGCCCCCCGCTTCGACACCGCGTACCCGTACGTGCAGCACCCCATCGCAGACCGGTACACGAACCGCGTCGAGTCCTCCGGATACTCCGGGTACTGCTCCTTCCACTGCTCCAGGGGCCCGCCCCAGGTGCCGCGGTGCTCTGTCCGTGGCACGGTCGGGTCGTTGGGGATGGCGTAGAAGTCGGTCTCGCTGGAGTTGGGGCCCGACGCGCACCCGCCGATCCAGAGAACGTCCCAGTCGACGCCGTAGGGGGCTTCTTTGGAGATCTTGCGCGTGCCTTTCAGGGCGTGGAGCCCGACGGCGAACTCTTGCAGTTGCGCCCGGAGGGTCACGTCCCAGTCGGCGTCGTCTTCGAGGATGAGCGCTGTCGAGTAGCCATTGGAGAGCATGCTGCGTTTTATCAGTCTGGGTTCGTCTGCTACCTGAGGGGTTGCGGGGGACGGACTCGTTCAGTGCATTCATGTGCGCCCGCCAGCAGCCTACAGCCGCAGGCTTCATCAACGTCAGGTTATAGCCCTGCGGTAGAGACTTCTCGTGCAGCTCATCCGGCCGGACTCCATCCATCCATTGCACCGTGATTCCCGAGACTGCAGTCGTGAGGGCCATGAAATCCCGCTTGTCCGTTCGCTCCTCCAGCCCAATCGCGTAGATATGCTCGAACTATAGTCGTAAGTCACTACTGTCGACAACCAGCGACACGGCTCGTAGAAGCTTACCCCCAGAGTACGGTTCCCAATATGCCCAAACACGCCATCGCTGAGCGACCGGCGCACGAAATCAGACACCGCATCCGACCATGACGCCTCGCGGGCTTTCTCGAGGACGGTGGCGTAGAAAAAGTAGAGCGTGCATGTCACGAGGAGGATCTGCAGCGCTCGGCAGAAAACCGATTTTCTAGTTTGCATCATGTTGAACTATACTGTCCTTCACCGGAGATGATGCAGAATGATCTACATTCGTAGTTATTTTATTCATTTTAAATGAGAAAGAGCGAGGGGAGGTCAGAGGGTGCGAGAAATCGGGAAAAGCTCTGGTATGTGAGATGGACGGAAACGGCCATTCGATTCACCCACTCGCTCTATCTTGCAAGACAGATGTGGAATCGCCTCCTTTAGGAGCTCTGTCGCTTACCAGAAGCGGTGGGAGAGATCACAATCGATCTTAATCCGAATCATTCATGGGGGTGTCGCACCATTGATTGACAGGTCGAGCCATGCGGCCGCATTCCAAATCTCGCCTCGATCATCCGAGAATGTCAGCTTGTCAGAATTAGTTCTGGAAAATGAAAAGGAAAAGCCTTGTCAGTGCCTCAGTGGCTGCTCACAATCAAATTCTGCCGTCGCTAAAAATTCGTATAACTATATGTACATGCGGGACGTCGTTCTAAACCGGAAGAAAGAAAAGAAAAAAGAAACAAGATCATGCCTTGGGACGGTAGAACTTGCTCTCAATCCACGGCATCGCCGTCACCACGGCCTTGCGCACCTTGTTCCGCACAACCACTCCAACCTCGGTGCCCTTCTTGTGCATCCCGTTCTTCACGTACCCCATGGCGATGTTGGTCCCGCCCAGCGAGGGGCTCGGCAGACCCGACGTGATCACGCCGATCGGCGTCCGCGACTCGTCGTTCAGGTCGACCAGGAAGGCGCCCTCGCGCGCCGGCGGGCCCTTCTCGACCGTGAAGCCGACGCGACGCTGCGAGAGCGTCTTGGCCGGAGAGGCGAGCTGGGGCCGGATCGTAGCCGCACCGTTGAAGGGCTTGGCCGCCGGGTCGCGGCGGTCCTTGCCGACCACCCAGCCCAGACTAGCGCCGGGGGGCGTCTGCGACGTCGAAATGTCGCTGCCGTAGAGGCACATACCGGCCTCAAGACGGAGAGAGTCGCGCGCCGCCAGACCAGCCAGGCGCACCTGGGCCGGGTCGGCCAGCAGCAGCTCCGTGACCTTCTGGGGCAGACCCGCGTCCTTCGCGGTGGGGATCGAGATCTCGAAGCCGTCTTCGCCGGTGTAGCCGGTGCGCGACACGAGAAGCGGCTCGGCGGTCTGCTCGCCCCCGGGCAGCGTGAGGTGGATCTCGCGGCAGTTGCCGAAGTAGAGGGTGCTGAGGTCGGTGTCGACGGCGTGGGCCTGCAGAACGGAGGCGGCCAGCGGACCCTGCAGAGCGACCAAGCCGCGGTTCTCGAGGATCTCCCACTTCAGGCTGTCGGGGCCGTGCGCGGCCTTGTAGGCCGAGATCTCGGCCTCCAGGAAGGCAAGATCTTCGTCGCGGCGGCCGGCGTTGGTGACGAAATAGAAGGTGTCGGCAGAGCGGCGGGTGATGACGCAGTCATCGACGATACCGCCCGTGCCATCCTCCAGCAGGCACGATAGCGTAGATGTGTTTTCCTTCAGCTTGTCCAGGGACGAGGGCGACACCTTCATCAGGAGATCCATCGCACCGGGACCGGAAAGTTGATGCTGCACCCTGTCGAGTCAATCGCGGTTAGCAAAGCCTCTTTTGCCCATTACAATTGGCATTGGATTCCATACATATGGCTAACGTCAAAGACACTGGCCTTCTCGCGGGTCCACATATGACTCTCAACATGGCTGAGATCCGAGTACTGCAGGGGCATGGAAAACCCGCCAAAGGGCACCATCTTGCCGCCATGTGCCACATGCAGGTCATACAGCTGGGTCTTCCTCAACGGGGTGGAGGGGGAAGCATAATGGCGGACTGCGCCTTGCTGGGAGAGTGCGGGCGCTCCCCACGGACGAGGGGCAAGCGAGCGTCCCAGCGCGGGGAGACGCGATGACGTCCGTTGCTGCCGAGCAAGCAATTGGACGGAGGCATTGGCCGCCAGGGGACCGCTGGTGGCGACGGATCGCGATGCCACGAGGTGAAGACCTCTTCTCAAGGGTTGCACAGCCGACATGTTTAGGAATTGAGGGGTTTGGAGAGGAGGAAAGGGAGGAAGAAGTGGAAATGCAGGATGGAATGAGAAGAGCGAGGCGGAGACCGGGAAAGTCACGTGGCGATAAGGCGGTCCTCGGAGAAGCGGGAAAGTCTCCATGTGATTTTCGTCTGTTCTTTTGTTTACTGGATGATCTACAGTATGACATCACAGCGGACGATGTAGATATGATTACAGTTTGAAAGAAATACAGTACAAGTACCAGTGATCCCACGCTCACCTCGGACTATTGCAGGACAAGATCTAATCCGTTCATCCCTCACGCTTGCCCTTCGAACCATGCGGGTGTGGAGCCGGGGCAGCCTATTATGCAAATCGTTAGCATATTATTCATCCATACAGAGGCAGGAACCATACAGTGTTCTCCATTTCCCAAACAGTACGCGTCGGGTCTTCCGACGTGGTGGTCTCGACAGTTGGCTGGGGAAGGTGAGTGATTGCCACGACGTACGGGCTGGTTGGGTTCTGTGGTGTCGGCTTGACATTTTTGGGCGGAATGGTCGTTCCAGGTGGCTTGGGTTGGGGGGCATATCGTGTCGGCCCTGTCTGCAAGCTGTAGGGGATTGTGTAGCTTCCAGTGGCCTGCGGTGCCTGCGCTACTGGTGCCGCCTGTGCTCCCGCCGCTCCCTGTGCCCCCTGCGCTGCTAAACCTTGTCGTTTCTCCAGGGACCCGTTTTGGGATTCTTCTTGCAGCCTCTCTTCGACAGCATGGGCGCCGAACACGGAGAACCGCTGGGACAAATTGATGACGGAAGCTTCGGGGCCTGTCGAGTCCATCTTGAGGAAGCTAGACCAGTGTCAGCATCCTAACAGTTTCCAGTTCATCGCCGACCGATTTTGTTGTCCTTACTATGCATTTGGTTCGTGGCTCGCGAATTCGGGGTCGATCCTGAAGGAAACCGAATTGCCTCGCGCAAACCTCGCCCCTTGTACAAGGGTTGATAATTCCGTCTTTAGAGGTCAGTCTCTGGTTAACAGACCACTGAGCATTACATGGATGTGAAAAGTCTTACGTGGGTTCCTGGTGTATCTCCACCGGTGCAGAGGTATAGATCGTACGTGGTCAGGTCCGAGATTCGAGGGAAGCGGCCTGTGTCCCTCCAATGCGCCGTCACGACATCTCCAGCTTTGAATATGGTACCTGTCGTCGGGACAACAAACTCAACATCTGCGAGAACCGTCGAAAGACCAGCGAGGAACAAAGACAGGGATTGTATGAGTCGCATCGTGAACAGAAGTGAACCCCGGAAGACAAGAATCAGTCAAACGGGTTGGAGGGAAAGCAGAGTGCGCCAACCATTGAAGCGTAGACGAAGGAAAGATGGACCAACGCAAGAAGGGAGAATGACCAGGAGTCGAACGAGGGATGGCATGCTGAGATTGTTTGGGTGATGCATGGATTCCTGTAATGTTGTTTATGTCCGACGATTCCGCCCTTGATTCCAGGCTGCCTTCACTGACTCTAGACTTAAGTCATTTTAGAAAAGCCGTTCTTTAACAGATCCTTGATGGTCTAGTGGTTATGATTTCCGCTTGTCATGGTTTATCCAAACAAGCGCGGGAGACCAGGGTTCGATTCCCTGTCAGGGAGTTCTTTTTGCCGATTTAATACTATTCCCCTAGTATTGGATCGCTTGTTTTTCACTTTTCTGTTCAACCTTTTTTTTAAAAAAAAAATTTATGTCGGTGTATTGCATTTGAGGGCCATAATAATGTTTCATATTGGAAACTCCCAGAACGGTTGCCTCTTCTTCGCTGTCTCTTTGCTTTTCGACAAGACGATCAGGTTGACCCGGTCAAACTATATATAAACGAGCAACAAGCCTTCAAGTTCGCTCCGACACAACCCTACTTCAAAAGAAGATAATGCCTGTCTTCCACCATACCTATAACTCGAAAAATCCCATATCAAGTCCCAAAAATGAAATCTCGATATGAAACAGGCAAAGTTCTTGCCATGGGTGGAGTAAATAAAGTTGATGCCTGAATGCTGCCGTAGTATCCTGGCTGCATAGCCGGATGCATATATGACCCATGATTAGAACAGCGAATCAAGGAATTTTACTCAGAGCACTTGAACATTCAATGACAATAGATCATAAAAGAAACCGCATTTATCGAATCCCATCCTCAATGGTCTTTGCTCGTTGTACTGCTGTCCTGTCCCACCACTACAGAAACCTGCTGTAACCTCAAGCTATGTTCGATTACAGCAACCCCTTTCATTCCTGGCCGATTTTACAATGTCGGATGGCATTATTGTACCGAGACATATGGTACTATATTTGTATCCAATATCCACACCCCCCAAGCTGTCAGAGGAGACGCACGATCTATGCCTTTCGCTCCGAGCATAGTGAGGTAGTATGTTAATGAGAGAGTGTCTCTAATATTACAAAGGACTTGTTGATTATATAACAAGTCCTTGATGGTCTAGTGGTTATGATTTCCGCTTGTCATGGTTTACCCATACAAGCGCGGGAGACCAGGGTTCGATTCCCTGTCAGGGAGTTCTTTTTGCTAATCATTCCGGATGATTATCGTCAGTTTTTAGTGATCTGTGGCTTTAGATTTAACACATATTTTTTTATCACACTGAGTAGGGATTTACTTACGAAGGCCAAAAGGATTATGACTCCCTTGCGATTCTCTTTTTATCTGCAACAGTCATGAACGCGGTGTCACAGGCATCTGAGCATGAGCGCAGTGTACGAACTTAGCCTGCCTGCAGTAGCACTTCTATGTACTACCTAGTCACAGAGTACTCACATTAAACCAGCTGATGTATGGTATCACCACGTGATGCTATGCTTCTTCATGTAAGTAAACTGTCCCTAGTCGATGATTAAAGAGTCTATGGAATATTCACATATCAAGAATTTGAGAGTATTTCAAACCAAGCCCGTGAAAGCATTAGCCTGGTAAACAAACAGACTAGTATTAAGGATTTGGGCATTCCATACTGCAATACCTGTGGTGTGTCTTACTGATTAGTTATAGCAGAGATTACCAAGGCTAAAGTCCCAATGTGTTTGCACCGAGTCTGTACTGTATCTGGGTATTAACTTGTTTATTATTTGCAATCCGAAAGTGTATTATTGTGGTTTTGTTCCCATATCATTAGGATGGAACAACAGGCGTAAAGCTCAGCATGCTAAATAACAATTCCTTGATGGTCTAGTGGTTATGATTTCCGCTTGTCATGGTATTATCCATACAAGCGCGGGAGACCAGGGTTCGATTCCCTGTCAGGGAGTTTCTTTTTTGCTTTGTTGCTATATCCATCCTCATTCTCCTTGCACGTTCTCTTCCTCTTGTCTGGTCTCTTTCTCTCTTATCCTTTTTTCCTTTTACCTTTAATTTGGTTTCTTTTTTTCTATCAATATATTTTTCTTTCGCTTGTCTTATTCTTTTTTTAATTTCTAATTTATTTCACTCCCATTGTTCTTGTACCATTAAAGTATACCTCAAACTTAAGCCACAACCGCAGGTCATCAACTGGCAGCTTGGTGGGATACTCCCACTCCCGAGACCGAGTGGGGCGATGCTCGGCACGCCGCGGCGACAGCCGGATAGTAGTCAACCGCCAAGCAATACTATAACAAGTCCTTGATGGTCTAGTGGTTATGATTTCCGCTTGTCAAGAATTCCTTACAAGCGCGGGAGACCAGGGTTCGATTCCCTGTCAGGGAGTTTCTTTTTTGCCTTGCTGCTATATTTGTTTTTTTTTTTTTTTTAATTTTATTTCCTCATCTTTCATTCTTTCCCTGATCACTGGGCTGGAGTCAATTGCGAGATGCCTAGACACCTTAGTTTGCAGATAGTTAATGTGATGACTGCATAATATTATGTATATTCAATTGCCGGGAGTGGAATGCCAATACCTCACCGCCTTCACGTCTCTCTCACTTTAACCTCACTTTTGGTCCTCCATATAATCCGACAACACCCTCAATTTCGTTTCTATCCACCCTCCAATGGCTCCCTCAACGATTCTCGCCGCCCGGCGACCCCTCCTAACCTCTATCGCATCCGTATCCCGTCCCTCCCGCACAACCCTCCGACCCATCACCCAATCTCCTCGCCTCTACCACTGCCAGCACACCCGGCCCAGCACACCCACGACAAAGACCACGACCCCCTCCATCCCCCGCAGGAAATACCACTCGACGCACCAGCCCACTCCAGACCACGAATACACCAACTCCCAGACCACCATCCTCACCGCCGCCCTCCGCCACGTTCCCCAGCTGGGTTTCACCCGCGACGCCCTCACCCTCGGCGCCCGCGATGCCGGCTTCCTCGACGTCTCCGTTCAGCTCCTCCCCCGCGGTGAATTCGACTTGATACTCTTTTGGCTGGCTAGTCGGAGAGGCCTCCTCCGCGCTGCTGTCGACAATGGCCTGTTCCGGAAGAATGGACCCCGCGAATTGTCCGTCGAGCAGAAGACTAAGATGCTCATTATGGAGCGGTTGCGCATGAACGCCGATGTGCGGAATCAATGGCAGGATGTTAGTTCTCTTCCCCCTCTCCTCCATAACCACCTCTACACTACACATAATTACACATATAAAAGTCCAAACGCTAACAAAAACAGGCCCTAGCACTCATGTCCCTCCCCAGCCACGTCCCGCTCTCCCTTTCCGAGCTCCACGCCCTCTCAGACGATATCCTCGCCCTCGCCGGCGATACCTCCGTCGACGCCTCCTGGTACACCAAGCGTCTAGCCGTCTCAGCCGTGTACGCCTCCGCGGAGGTCGTCCTCACCCGGGATTCGAGCCCCGATCTCGCTGCCACTGAGGCCTTCGTCGAGCGCCGCTTCGAGGATACCCAGGCGCTTGGGGATAAGGTTGGTGGTGTGAAAGAGTGTCTTGGGTTTATGGGGTCTACTGCGTTGGGACTTGGGCGGAGTTGGGGGTTGAAGATTTGATTTGATTTTTTGCTGTGTTGTGTAGCTTGCTGGTTTTTTCTTCTTCTTTTATATATCTTGTGTTAATAGTGTTATATTATTTACTCTACTTTATCATTGATCTCGTGGATATATACGTATGTGGTTATGCCCACCATACGATTGTCATGCACTATTAGATTATCTTTTATGCATCCGCGGCGACTCAAAGCCCCACTATATATACAAACAAAATAGTAAAGAACTACAAGGTAAGCTTGACATCAGCTACATCCAACCCCACCGCAACACCCGTCACAACAGCCGCATACCCCACCAAAACACCCACCGCCTGAGCGGTACTCATATCCAGCGTATTAAAGCCCAGATTGACAGCGCCCGTCAGCAAATTCGCAATCAAAAACAGCGCCAGGCCGTTCCGGTTAAACGCCGCCATGATGCGACTCGTCGCGAACGCCGTGCGCTCGCGCTCGCCGTCTTTGCCGGTCGCGCGGTGCACGGAGGGGAAGAAGAGCGTTTCGGCGAGGCAGAAGAGGAGGAGTTGTGCGTTGTTGAAGGCTGATACCCAGAGCACGTAGGGCATGTTTGCTAGGCGGCGCGAGACGGGGATGTTGGCGCCGTAGCCGAGGGCGTAGGTTGAGTTTAGCAGGAAGAGGCCTGTCCAGAGGAGGGTCTGGATGGCTAGGCTGAGGAGGACGTTCTTGCGCGCTTGGGCGGGGGATGTGCTTGCTGAGGTGCCGCGCGGGATGACGCGCATGCCGGTCGCGCGGCCGCAGAGGAAGATGGCAAGGTAGCCTAGGAAGGAGAAGATGCCTTCGCGGTTCTTGGAGAGGAGGTCGGGTCCGCGGGGGGATACCAGGATGTAGCTTTTGAGGTCGGTCGACTCGAGCGCGACCTGGTAGAGGAAGGCGATTACTAGGGATAGGATCTCGTAAGACGGGATGAGCGCGTATAGCGCGTCGAAGATCTCGACGAAGGGCGGGAGGAGCCCCAGCGTGAAGAAGAAGTTCCAGTGCACGCCGTACTCGGTTACGTGCTCTGCGTAGTCCAGTCCCTTGACGCTGTATAGGCGGATTAGGCCCAGCACGAGCAGTGGGATGGAGTGGCGCATGGAAGATGCGAGTCTCTGCGCGAGCGTGCGCTTTGCGGCGGTGTTGTCGCTCTGGAGTTTGAGACCAGACCGCGCGGACACGACGCCGCCGGAGAAGACGAACGATCCGACGCCTAGGTCCATGAGGGATGTGCCCCAATTTTCGACCTTGGCGAACCGGCGCGGGAAGATGCGGAAGTCGACGGCGAGAATTGCGATGCAGGTAATGATCATCATGGCGCCGCGGTAGGTCGTGAGGAACGGGTGGATGGGGAGGGAGGAGGACGACTCTGATGGTGATTGCTTTGAGGCATCTTTACCGGCTGTTGATGCGCGCGGGGGTTTCGCTTTTTGCTGCGCGCGAGACGACGGCTGGTTGAAGAGCAGCAAAATTGCTGGAGAGATAAGAAGGAGGTTCAGGACCCATGGTGCAGAGGAGTACACCGTTGTCGCGAACAGGATGCCTAGGACATTGAGGAAGAAGTCTGCCACCAGTGCTGCTGGGCTGTTGGGTGTGAAAAAGGACAGTCGAGATTGCAGGACCGACCATACAAAGATCGAGGCCTAGAGTCCACGTATCATCATTAGCATCTCTATAATCGCTAGAAACAGAGCCAGGGTACTCACCGGCGCGACTAAACTGACGGCATTGATCTCGAGGATGGTTCCTCCCGCGAGATTTGACACGAAAGCTTCTTTGCGAGCCTTGTAGCTCGGATCCATATTGTCACTCGATCTGGTCAACCGTACCGTACCCAGGTACCAATATTATCAGATTGAATCGCGAATTTATACAAGATGAAGACAATTGGCAAGATGGAGGAGAGAATTGGCCAGATTGTTTTGACGTGAATCCAATGACATAATGCAGGTCACATGACACACTCCACTACAATCTATATACTTCCTCATCCATGGTATAATCCATCTTATCCAATTCCCATTAGCTATATTAAGGCGGTTTGTATGTGTAGCATCCAATTTATTAAGTCGCATAGATGGACATTCATAATTAAAATCTGTATGGAAAGTGGCCACAAGTAAAGGAGCATGATTATAATACAAAAACAAAGATGACAAGGTCAACCAGCCACAGCTGGAAAGAACAAACCTCCGAAGAAAAAAACATAAAGAAAAGAAAAAGGGTATCATACAGTGGCTGAAAGCGAATGCAACTCAAAGACACCCCAATTACAACCACAAAACCCATCGCACACCGGAGATTGTACCCCGGAGCACCCCCCGGAGGAGCTTAAACGCCATGACAATCAGCCACACCCACCAAAGCATCCCGACCAGCGCCCACTCGAGCATCACAAAGCCCGCGCGTCGCAGCCAGCGGAGCCGGCGATGGCGCTTGCGGACTCCCCGGTCGAGCGCGTCGCTGAGTTGTTTCACAGCGAGTGTGCTCGTTGTGTTGAGCTGGATGCTCAACGCCTCGGCTTCTTGCGTCGTGGTACGGACGCGCGGGTTGATCGACTGATCGACTGTGTCTTCCAATTTGCTGAGCTGCGAGCGCAGAGGCGCCGACGTGTCGCGTGTGAAGTGATCCAACGAGGTCTGGAAGCGACGGTGCGTTTTCTCGAACTCTTCGAGCAGTCGTCGAGCGGCTAGATCATGCTCGTGTAGTCGGGCGACGGCCGGGATGGGAGCGTCAGTGCCGTACGCGCGAAGAAGAAATTCAGGCGTTGGGGTGCGAACGCTTTCGGCGCGACGGGTGATCTCTCGAGCTTTAACCCCGGACGAAAGGAGGAGGGCCCGCGTGCGTTCAACCTCGCGTTTGTTTGGCACCCCGGAGCTGAGTGAAGAGCTGACGCTGCGACGAGAGATGCTCCAGCTCCGTGACTGGCCGGATAACGGGGTGAGGGGCCTCCGAGGCGACGACGCAGTCGATGCTTGTGCCTGTGCCAGCCCCGTGACAGGAGGACGATGCATGGTGAAAGAACCAGTAGGATCCTGATGACGACGTTTCTTGATCTGCTTTTGGATGCTGTGCAGCTCGGGCCCAAAGGTCATGGCCCTCTCTGGCTTCGAAATTCGTGCAGGCGCTTCGGATGCCTTTTGAGATGCCGGAACGCGCTCGCTTTTGCCCTGCGACTCTCCGATACTGTAGAGCTGTGTGTCTGTGGCATGTCTTCGAGGACTACCGAGCCCTAAAGCCTTCAGCTCCCCTGCCAGGCCATCCCGCGGTGACGTTAAGACGGGCGAGGATGGGTTCGGCGCACTGGTCTTCAAGGACTTGTCCGGATCTTTGCGAGGACGAGTGGACTCATCGGCGAATGTGGGTAGACGGCGAAGCAAAGCCATGCGGCTAGAGGTCTTTTCACCTTTCGGATCCTCTGTCTCAGAAGCATTCTCGTCCGTCGTGATGCTGTTTGCGGACGACTTTCTCGAGTGCGGTTGGTGGTCTTTCTTCTTAATAAGGTCGCCCATCTTCGACACCTCATTCCCCACCTTTCCTGCGATTTTCCCAGGACCTTTGAAGATCCCACGCAATTTAGATTCTTGGATTGATCCTTTTCGGGTATGTAGGCTTGGCCTACTAGGGTCGTCCTGTTGAGCTGGAGGAGCTCGATCCGGCGGAGGGCCCGGCCCCAGTTTGGGTGAGCGTGGGGGGCCTTCCAGACTTTCCTTATGAAGAGCCACAGATTCCATAGAGTGACGGTCGGGAGGCTCTTTGAATCTAATGCTGCTTCTGCTCCGGGAGCCAACGGCGCGCGACAATCGCTTTGTAGGCGAAGGGGAACGGCTCGAAGCGGAGGATAAAGGAGAAGCAATACTCGGGAAATGCTCCGCATAAGTAGTATTGGCAGACCTGATGCTGTCCAGAGCCGCGAGAGATGTCAGAGGATCATATCGATCACCGAAACTGCGCCCGGAGGATACCGAGGCCCTTCGTTCAGACCAAGAATGTCTTGTGGGCTTTATGGGTTGCAGCGTGGGCATGCGCTTCACGTCGTCGGCACTTCCTCTTCCAAGGGGAACATTTGATCTCTGTAACTGCTTGTAAGATTTCGTGTAATCCGAGCGAGAGTTGTAGTAGTCGTCGTCGGAGGTGCTTGATGTACTCAAAGAGCTGATCGACCGCATATTGAGCTTGTCTCTCTTCGACCCAACGCGGTCCGGCATGGCGGGTTTGCTTTGCGGGAATTGAGGCGACACCGGAGCTCTGTGACGACGCCTCCCACGGTCTGTCCCCTTGAGATCTGCTGGCAGGAAGGAAGAAGTACTTGACAAAGAGGTGCGCGAGGTGTGTTGATCGGCATCCACGGATAGTCGATTGTTTGGCAGCCGTGTTTGACCAGCATCGACATCCATCTCATCATCGCTGGTGACAATAGAGGCGGGGTCCGGATATAGATGGTTTCCATCCTTATCAATGATTTTGGTCTTGTTGAGATCACTTTCAACCCAGGCAGCGTCAGCGAGAGACTCAGCGGGCGAGACCAGCCAGTCCAGCCTCGGCCTGCGTGCTTTGACGCTACTCGTACGACTGACCCTTCGTAAACTGGAGGGAGGAGAAGCCGGCATAAAATCTGGTTCTTCGATATCCTCATGGTGCACCGTCGATTTTGAACTATTCTCGAAAGGTGGCAGCCGTAGGCGTTCAAATGAGCTACGGCTCTGCTGGCTATGGCGGGACTCGACCAAATCCACCCATTCATGGACCTTCTCGACATCGGTCCACCCTTGAGATTCCGGAACAAGCGGGCAGCGCTCGCGAAACCTAACCTTGCGATTGCGAATGACCTGGAGAGGATTATAGGCACGACCTTCACCCGTCGTGACGGGGGGAGAACCGGACGATGACCCACTAGCCCCAGATGGGCGGAGAGGAGGAAGGGAGTGCAGCAGACGTAGATACTCGGAGAGTAATTCAAAGTAATTCCGAGCCTTCTCAGCACGAGCGAGGGTGCTCCGGGAAAATTCTTGCGGTAACGAATCAGGGCCGACCGACTGGGGTAAGAAATTCTGCACGGATGGTTGCTCGTTCGGTGCCGTTGAAGTAGAAGCATTGATAGGTTTGCCCCTATCATCAGTGGCTAGTTGAGTAGAAGCGCGACGGCGCCGGGCGGAGGGTCCCGCAACTGGCGGTTGGGTATCTGCGTAGGATAGGGAAGACGGCGCATTGGGTGCGGTCCATCCACCACTGGAGATACGACTCGAAGCGGAACGGCCCAGACTATTCTTCTTCCTGGATTCGCTCAGGTTCAGCGCCAGATTGACGATTTGCAGCGAGTCCCGATCCAGCCCGACCGTCCCTTGGGGGTCCGTTCTCTCCGCTTGACTTTCCTGCGACTCCACATTTTGTCGCATCCGAGAGGGACCAGCACTCTCGGGACCAGCATTCTCGGGAACGGATTCATTCGACGGCGTCGCTAGTGGCGAAACCTTTGGTTGTTCTTTATGTCGAATCCACGAAAACCGGGATCGTCTCTTCTGCCCCGTGGCCTCTGTCTCGGGTTCTGGTTCGGGGGCCCTGCGCTTCTCCTTGCGATCCGGCTCCGAGTGACGTGGGCGGTGATGGCCCAAGCGCAAGCTTTTCGAACGAGGGATGAACGACGAATCGACTAGAAAGCCACTCGGGTTGTGTGTTCGCCGGTGCGCGCGGCCTTCCTTTTCTCCATCGCGGGAGCTGCTCCCGAGCGTACTGCCCTCGAGCTCCCCACTTGCCCTTGCCTCGCTCATCGGGGGTTCTTCGTGGGGATGGGATACGTCATCGGGGCCGGACTGTCACAGAGAGGATGTTTCAGAGGGTGGATTGAAGTTATTGAATGCTCGTTATTCTCGTAGGCTATGGGAGCGCATGCGGATCATAAGGTTGGTATAGTGGTGATATCAAGGCGAGGGAGGGGTAACGGTTCGAGCCGGCGAGGTAGGGATAGGTGTAGTCCGTAAGTCGAGCGATGCATGGGTATTCGACGACCGCGCATTAGAGAGTCTCCCTGACTGTGAGCGAACGACAGCGGATCATCGTGCCATGGAGATGGGGATGTGTTCGACGATCGTCACTCTCTGGATCGACAAGACCGCTGATGCCTTATCCACCGCTGCAAACACGGCAAACACTGCCCCTATCTTCTCCATTACTCATCACTTGAGCATGACGACCAAAAGACAGAGTAGAAGATATACTAGATATCGGCGATATGGGAGTCTGGACTAGCTGATATCGTTTGATATTGACAGATGAATTATATTGACACTAGTTTCAGATGTTCTACAGTTATAAGACCCAGGTCGATTTCCGTGCTCCCCGCAAAACGCCGGGTTTCTCCGCAATGTATGACATCGACTCGTTGACAATAGCGTTTACCCAAACATTGCAAGGGATTTTGGTATTCGGACACCGATTAAGCCGGCGAAGAGTCTGCACTTTTCGCCAAGGTGCCTCCCAGTGTGATACTATCCCTCGAAAATTCTATGACACGAGCATGATCTGTATATACCAGCTCAAGAATGTCACACTGGTGCTGGAAAAAAGCCAATGGAGGTTGATGAAATTAGACAGCAATGGCTTAGACGTGCCGACTCCATGTGAAAAAGGCAACCCTTCCGGTATGTAATGGATCGACCACCGTACGGATTGAATGAAACACGCCCTACCATCGGCAGCACGACTGAACCGAGAAAGGGGGATGAGTGTGTTGTTGTAGGCGGGAGGGTGCGTAAACGGGCTCGGTGCCGCCTGAGGTCATCGAAGAGGAGATTGCTCTCCAACCGACTGTTCCGATCGATACAGCATTTACTGCACCTGCCTATCTCCATCGACAATGCGAGCCGCGATCTCCTGTCGCTCGTCACGGACCGTGAGATAGATCTTCAAATCCATTAGCAAAGAACGCCAACCCCAAACACCGTCTCAATCCAAGATCCAAAAACATACCCATAACCAGAACATCATCTCCATGAACCCGTAAGTGAAAATCACCCGGCTCTTTAGATGATCTAGACCGGACACCGCTTCCGGCGCAGTCCCATAGCCCACAGCCGGGGTAGTTCCCATTCCCACTCCCAATGCGACTTGTTTACTCTGGTAGATGAAGAACGACACGGCGAAGAAAAGACAGAACCGCGAGGCGGACAGCAGCGTCCAGATCTCCGAGTACATGGTGGCGAGTCGGGTAAGGAAGGGGTTTGTCCGCATGGCTCCTGCGACTGGAATGGAGGAGTGCTGGCGCGCTGCTTCGGCCATCTCAACGACCTCGTTGAGAGGTGGGACTTTCGTCACGAGAATCAGGTCGACCAGGGCTTCGGCGATTAGGAGGATGCCGCAGGCGGCGAAGGAGGATTGTGGGCGCGACGGCGATGGGGCTGCATCCTGTTTGACAATAGGATTGTATTAGCAAGGAATTGATCATGAGAGAAGCATCGGGGGTATTGTACAATGCGTAGAACCTCCCCCAGCATAAACACGATATCGGAGTCGGTGATGAATTCGGGCGATCGCATTAGGTAGACGGCGATGATAAACAAACACAAGGCATGGGCCTTGATGAGAGTTTTGGAGGATAAAAGAGCCATGATGGTCTATTGATATGGGAAAGAATATGAAGAAAGAAAAAAGAAGAAGGAGAAGAGGGAAAAGGAAGAGAGTGGTTGTAAGAATAAAAGACAGGTAGGGATGTTGAGAGTCTCGATCGAGCTAACTGTGGGGTTACCGCCGATGCTAAACTCCGATAACACAATTTGAGCCATCTCTCCTCCTCCTCCTCCCTTCTACATATCATTTTCAGACTGTATAACTGACATCATGTCAGTCGCCACTTTCACCAAAGAACGACACATTAAATACTTCCTCCGATGCCTCAAGACCTTCCTCCCCCACCTCTACACCCCCAATGACTCGAATCGCATGCTCCTCGCCTTCTTCACCGTCGCGGGGCTAGACCTGCTCAACGTGCTGGAGAGCAAAACCACCCCCGAAGAGCGACAAGGATACATCGACTGGATCTACCACTGCCAGGTGCCGACGGGTGGCTTTCGCGGATTTACAGGGACCGACTTTGGGAAAGACAGGCGCACGCCGGAGAACGCCGCGTGGGATCCGGCTAATGTCCCGTCGACTTTCTTTGCGCTGCTGATGCTGGTCATTCTGGGAGATGATTTGTCGCGCGTTAAGAGGGAAGAGTGCTTGCGATGGCTGCCTATGTTGCAGCGCGACGATGGGAGCTTTGGGGAGGTGCTGGGGCCGAACGATCAGATTGAGGGGGGCGGGGACTTGCGATTCTGCTGCTGTGGTGCGGGCACCCGGTATATACTTCGGGGGAGGAATGATGACGATGTGAAGGATATTGAGGATATTGATGTTAGCAAGCTGGTAGGGTTTATCGAGGCCTGTCAGGTACGAACCCTTCCAACCCATAGACCTCAAGTAGGCATTACTGATGTGGCGTCTTTCAGACATACGACGGTGGAGTCGGAGAAGGACCCTTTTGCGAATCGCATTGTAAGGCCCCTACATTCAAGGTAAACATTACAAGAGCAGGCAGCTGATGTCTCACAGCGGGCCATACATACTGTGCCATCGGCGCGCTCACTTTCCTGGGTCGCATTTCCCCAGACAAGCCCACAGCTGCGCTTCTTTCACCAGAGACACCGGAGTTCAATCTGCTTCTGAGGTGGCTAGTAGCAAGACAGACGGCCGAGCTAGGCGAAGTTGCGTCCGACGAAGAGGAAGATGCCACCGAAGAACCTAGCCCTCCAAAACCAGTCGAAGGGCTTAGTCCAAGCGAGGCAATCGACCAGCTCCCTACAATCTCCCCACCAACAGCGGAATCCTTACACTGGGCGGGTTTCAACGGACGCGCAAACAAGTTCGCTGATACATGCTATTCTTTTTGGAATGGCGCAACACTAGTCGTGAGTTCCTTGCCTAGAATATATCACGACGGCGAGACTAACCAGTGTCACCCACAGATGTTGAATAGATTACCCCTCATAGACGCCCCCCGGAACCGACGCTACCTCCTCGAAAAGACCCAACACATAGTGGGAGGGTTCGGGAAGGCCGTCGGAGAACCACCTGGTACGGACAAAAGCCACCTGCCCCCGCGTCTCTTAAGGACTGGTACTAATAGAATTACACGCCAGATCTACTCCACTCCTACTTTGGACTCGTTTCGCTCGCTTTCCAGGGAGAAGACGGCCTCGATGGCGTCGATCCCGCCCTGTGTTTGAGTCATCGGGCTGCTGGGCATTTGCATTCTCTTCCCTGGTGGAAGGAGAGAGGCTGATTGTAATTATGCATGATATAGAGATTGATATAATTAATGAACTGTCTATACTTGGCATATAGCTGACCCATCTGCAGTGGAGGGTAGCTGAACTGGGCCGATGGAAGGCCATGAAACGAGTCTGGAATACCGTACATGCACATTCTAGAAAATGATAAAGGTAGTACTCAAGACTGAGGCTGGGAATGCTGTGCACGACACGATGATACCTCGTTGGATGGCCTTCAACGAGACAATGTGAAAGTGCAGGAACAAAGGGTAGTAATATTGCGGAAGTGGAATTTCTAACAGTAGACGGTGCCACATGGGAAGTTGGAGTAATATACAAGAGACTCGAATGACCAGCATCGCTCGTTGAATTTTCGGACAAAGGGATGGAAGGAGAGATAGTGCGTGCGCTCGGAAGCTCACATAAGAAGACGCCAGGCACCCAAAATGAGGGCAGCGGTACCGGTGCAGACACCCCTAGACGGAGATATTTGTTAGTATACATGACCGACAGCGGAGAGGGAAGATGAAGATCAAGGAACAGGTTTGAACGTACATAAGCCATTGGAGAGTCGAGAATTTGACAGCCTCAACGCGCTCCCGCAGACCAGCCACTTCCTGCTCGATCCGCGTTTCCGTTTCCTTTATTCGCATTTCCTGGCTGTTCGCCTCCTCGCGGATCCGGCCCTTCTCGAGGTTCAGGTCTAACCGGACGGAGGCTTGCGTCCGGCCAATCTCATCACGGAGACGTGAGTTGAGCTTTGCGAGGTCCGCGGCGATTTTCTCGTGCGAGGACCGCGTCAGCTGTGCCTCGGTCGAGTCTGCGTTGAGGAGCTCCGAGCGGAGCTTGGCGAAGTCGACCTTCTGGGTATATGTGGATCGTTCGGTATCTGTATCATCTGGTTAAGACATGGCCGGTGGCGGCTAAATCAACCAGGGAGGGAGATCCGCTTACCTTCTCGCAGGACCATTGTTCGCGTCAGGTTCTGGATTGACTCCTGGATAACGTCGTTCAGCACGCGCATCATGGCGACCGCCTGCTCCTCGCTGAAGCCCTCGTCCTTTAACCGCTGCACGAACTTCAGGGTATCAAAGTGGTGGTCTCGTTGGCGAGAGGGGGTCGCATGGAAGGCCCGTCGAGCGGGGTTGAAGGTCGCCACGTAGACGCCATTGTATCTGATGGGATCGGCGGCGGAGTCGACGGCCGGACGACCTGTTGTCGGCTTCACGGGCGTCGAGAAATGTCTGGCGATCGTCGAGGATGAGCTGGTGTCTCGGGAGGTTGCGGAGATGAGTCCGGAGGAGGCGCGGAAGAGAGCTGAGGTGTGTAGCTGATGTCCTGGTGGAAACAGTGTCTGGATGCTCTTCTGCTTCTGCTGTTGCCGGGCTGAAAAGGCTCTGGTCTTGGGTGGTGTGATGCGAGCGCCGGTGGAGGATCCATTCCACGTCAGCCGTGGAAGGATGGACCGGGACACTTCCGTGACGGGCTTCTGAGGCGCCATTGTCCAGACGCTCAAGGACGGGAGGGTGAAGTAGTCACGGAGTTCAACAGGAGTAGTAAAGCAGGCGAGGTGCGACGAATAGAGGTCTTAACTTCGAACCGGGATATGGAGGAAGGAGAATAAAAGCATCATCCGATATGTCATGTCATGTGCGGAGGACGGACGGAGGGGAGTGGATGACTAACACAGGGGATAGTTATGCTTATGCACTCCGATTGGACGAACACTTCACAAAACATGGAATTTCTCTCGACCCTTTCTGCTGAAGGGGCAACAAGCCATGGACGGCGATACTGTATTGTTCTGAAGAATACATGAAGTCAATTTTTCATAACAAATATTAATGTACATGTCCCATTATTTCCGACCCCGCAAAACGCCAAACATGATCCCCACAGCCCAATTTATAGCTGGAACAGCTCCTTTAATTGCTTCATTGTGTCATCAGGACCGCTGACGGCGTGGCCTACAGTACGGGGATCGCTGTAGATCTCCCAATCGTTGCCTCCGGGGAAGGACTTGTCGCCGAAGAAATGGATGGTCTTGTATTCGATGCCGGAGATGTCCTTCTCGGCTTCAATGTGCTGCAAGCAGTAGGTCTTGTCCCAGCCGGTGGGGAAAACGTCAAAGGAGATCTGGCCACCGATTGAGAAACTATGTCCGGTAGTCAGCTATTGATCAGCGACAGGTATGGTTTGGTCGAGTTGTTGGTAGCATAGACATTGCCTTCCCGGGAGCATAGTGACCTACGTGAGACTATAGTCGGCGAACTCCTTCTTGAGCGCGTCCACGAAATCCCGTCGGATATTGTGCTGCTTGTCATACCTGCCATCAGGTCAATGGGCCAGTCCCCATACAGCAATCAATCGACACATACTGTTCAAACTCCCTTCTCTCCTCGTTGCTTGCGTTCCTGCCGATAGGGCTAACGTTGATCATTCCATTGCGGAACTCGATAAAAGTACCACGCTTCTTCGGCAGTGATATGTTGGCAAGGTAGGCCAGCATGAAGTTGACCAGCTTCTGATACTTCTCTTCGCCAATCCATTTGATGAAACTGTTACTGGCGAGAGGCTTGCCCAGACGAAAGGCGGTTAGACCGTTCTCCGAGAAGGCGAAGTCGAACATCGAGGTGACGTTGGTTGAAGACGTCCCGAGCTGTTCCTGCTGTTTGGCCAGGTCTGAGCCACCGACCTAGGCATTATTAGACAAGGAGCTATGTGGATTGGTAGGAGGCACCTACGAAGCCGATGGCGCACTTCTGGCGCAGGCGGGAGAGCAGGTCGAGCATCTCGGGGGCCACAGTCTAGCGCAATTGGTGACATTAGGTTAGCCCTAATGGATTGATACAGCCATATAATGAGCTGAACAATACTGAGCTCGACTTACCAGCCTTGCTGGCGTTAGAGTTCCATCTACATCGAAGAGACAGATGGTGTTCTTCAGAGGACGGTCCTCCAGAGGTGAATTATTTGCCATGTTGGCGTATGTAGTGCTCGATGGGCGTGGGATACTCCAATGGTAGAAACTATCAGATCTGATGATGTACAGTGGAATTGAAAGCAGGGACAGTGTATCCTGATCTTGATCTACCACCTCTATAGATGATGACCGCATCCAGCCGATCTGCCCCAATTCGGCCGTCCCCACCACGTGATCTACATGTCCCCGCCGTGGAGCGGAATTAGTCAGCGACAGCCCCACACCGCCTCCACCGCTGCCTTTGTGCCTGGACGGAGTTGAAGGATGCAAGTGCAAATATTCGGAGAATCATAACACTTGGAGGGGGACTGTGCAGTTGTTGATACTAACCAAACCCATAGTTACATATACCCCTGGCAGTAGCACTATGTGATGGCATGGATCATTGGTGGGCTGCCGAGAGTGAGCCAGCGCTAAGCTGCTTAGTCTGTTCCACGATTCTCGTCAACAGTCAACAGTTTGAATGAACAACCCCTCTTATGATCCCAATCGTCAGTGCAAACTTCGAACACACATAACATCATGGACCCCAAACAAAGTGATGCTGAGTGGGCGGAGCTCATCTCCGGTTTGAAGGCTTCGCTTCCAGACAAACTCCCCGTGTACCCGGCCCCGGCGCCTTCCGCGGTTAACCGCACGGTCGACCACACCCAGCTGGCATTGACAGCAACCGAGCAGCAAATCAATGAACTATGTGCAGAAGCCCTCGAACACAAGTTTGCGACGGTCTGCGTCCGCCTGAATCACGTCGCGCAAGCCGTTCAGAAGCTCCGCGCGGACCCCGACGTCACGGTAGCCTGCGTTGTGGGGTTTCACGAGGGGATGTATGAGACCGCAGAGAAGGAGCAGGAGGCCCGTGAAGCGGTCCGGTTGGGTGCGGCAGAATTGGATATGGTGCTCAAGTACCCGCTGCTGAAGGAGGGAAGGTTTCTCGAAGTCTACCAGGACATCGTAGGCGTGCGAAATGCCGCTCCGCCTCCGACTACCCTCAAGGTCATCCTGGAGACGTCGCAACTGACGCGGGACGAAATCATCGCGGGCTCTGCAATCGCGAGCATTGCTGGGGCGGACTTCATCAAGACCAGTACTGGATTCAATGGGCCGGGCGCCAGTGCGGACAATGTCGCTCTCATGCGGGCGGTTGCGGAGTTGGTCGGCAAAGGGAGCCGGGTCAAAGCCAGTGGAGGAGTACGGTCTCTGGAAGCTGGGATCCAGATGGCACAGGCAGGAGCTGAGCGGATTGGGACCAGCTCAGGTGTGAAAATCATGCAGGAGGCGAGGGGAGGTGCTAGCCAGGAGTTGAACACGAAGGGCGAGGGATACTAGATAGAGCCGTTGTCGGAAAACAATTGATCACGGGCCATTTCTAGTCGCCCAACTGTCAGATTTAGATGAGTGGACGATCGTGATGATGACATCGTGTGGGTCTTTACGTGCAATATATTTCAGCCCTAAGCGTATATGCATGATCCCTCGGGAGGTGCCAAGCTGATTACCTCGGATCCCACATCTCGTATCTATTAACATCTCCTGTCAGCCCACAACGTCCGGTCATACCCCGAAATGGAGATAGATCTCGTAACTAATCACTGGATCGATCCAATCCGGAGCCAAGAGAACAAGAAAGCGGGTGGCTCCACCCCTGCCGGTGCAGATACGAAGCGGCGTTGCTTGGCCGCCCCCATTCCATCCTCGCGGACACTCCGGTGACATCTCGAAAGAGAGGCCGTCGATCCTGTGTCCCATTTTGATTAATGTACTCTGGTAATACGAGTTGAGAGAAGTGTCCATGGGCTATTCACAGCATAGGCATGGCACGTGAGTAGACATGTCGATATCACCATCATAATTGGACTCGCAGAATCCAACCAAAGACAGACAAATCTCTCACGATAGCGAACTTCGACCCCAAAGACGAGATACGAAGTGCTATTTTGGAACTATCGGACGTACTCATCGGACCAGATTTTGTTCGAAGGGCATTGGAATGGAAAATATAGCACAGAAATTGAGAGCGAGTATATGTAGGTTAGCTGTTCAACCGGTCTATAAATATGTCCTCGAGCTCCCCTCAAAGTCCTTGAAATCATCAACAACAACTCCATTGCTCAATCAACCAAAGTTACCACAAACCAAATATCTTTAAGAGCCTTCCTCCGTCTTTCAAACCAAACCAAATCATCAAAATGAAGACCAACTTCCTTATCATCCTCGCCGCTGTCGCCGTCGGCGTCTTCGCCAACTCCGAAGCCAACCCCGAAGCCAGCGTCGAAGCCAACGCTGAAGCCACTATCGAAGCCGACCTCGACTTCGAAGCTAGCTCGCCGGGCGATGGCCTCGTCAAGCGCGCAGCCTGCCACAAGCCCAGCAAGTGCAGTGTGCTATGGGCTGGAGGTTGCGAACGTTATTGCCTTCCTCATAAATTCTCCCACATGACTAGCAGTGGCTGCCCGATGCTTGCCAAGAGGTGCTGCTGCAAGTAAGTTGGCGTTTGATTATACTATATTTCAGCGGCGCACAAACCCATGAAACAAACGCAGAGGCTCGAAGGGAAGATATGTGGGGGAAGGAATGGGAGAGTTGGGAAGTTAGGACGTGTGCTGAAGATGGGTCGAGTTCCTGGAGAGCTGTTTTTGTGCAATTGATGAATTCTTGAGACTTGTCACTCGTATACATTTTCAGTCTGAAACAATTGATTTTGGATGTGTGTTTTGGTAATTATCTTGCTCTTAAGATACGACTGAATAATATGGAAGTCTTGAACTGAGATACCTGTATGTATATAGATTGACAAGGGGTACTCTTGTAAAGTGTGCATTATGTGCTTGTGTGATACCAACCAAGTTTTCTCTAAGCTAATAGATTGTCACGAAGGTGGATCCCGTTCGCATGGTTGGCTTGTCCGAGAAAGGGCTCGGGGATCTGTTTCGCACAATTGCCTAGAGAGATATGGCCACCAGCCGGTACAACAGTGATCGCTTGGAATCCTAACAGCACCTCGTGTAAAGGGAACAGAGGTTACTTCAACCAGTTTGGGCGAAAATACTGGACAAATTTAATGGATGTTGATGTGTATATTGTAATGTTGAATTGCATATTGTACGTGTTATCAACGCTATCATCGAAAGAATCGATCATTGTCGGACCATATCAGTGCTGTTTGTGTCCAGTGGCCCGCTGGACACGCTTCAATCCCAAAGAGCCCCTGATCCTCTGACCTAGACTTATTGATATATCCAGGTCGGGTGCTTGCATAGCAAGGTGGGGCTCTACTCAGCAGAGTCGACAGAGAGGGTCCCATTTGACGCATATGCCAATAAACCGGATTTTGGGCACACCGAACGAAGCTCTTGAAGTGGGAGCAACATGCCGATCATCCGCGCTGGGAATGTTGAAAATGTGCCACGGCCTGTGTTGAAGGCGAAGATGCCGAGTGGGTTGTATAGTTGCGAAAGTAATCGCTCATCCTCGTGCTGTCAACGAGCTGTTGGCGCGGTTTCGGGGACTGTCGGCGCAGTGGCACATCGAGTTGTATTCCCTGCCACGGCTCGCTCGAAACGGTTGGGTAAAACTTGAAGATTTCATCCATCCCAATGCACTCGATCTGACTTCAAGACGGAATGTCGGAAGCCTTCACCTCCTGATATTTGGACAAGACTTTCATCTCCGTATTGCGCTCTTTTATCTTCTTGTCGATTGCTTTCTGAACATCTTCGCGTTTCCTCTCTGCGTCCTGGATCCGTTGCTTCACTTCCATGACCGCGAGTTCTTGCGCCTTAAGTGCCTCGGATGGAGACGGGAACTCTTGTTGCAGCTCTTGAAGCTGGGCGCGGATCTCCTCTGGGTCTAATGCGGTACATGTGACTGGATCGTATTTGTAGGATTCTAGGGGTTCGCGAGGGACACGGACTTCCGGGAGCAGATCGTGGATTGGAGTCGTGCGGATCGGCGAATCCAAAGAAACTGGCTTGACAGTGGGTGACTGCGTCGGTTCGGCGGGTGGAGAAAGAGGCGGTTGGTCCATGGCTGTGGGTAAGTTGTAGTTCTTTGTTTAGGGCACTGGATCGTGTAGTGTACGGCGATGATGAAGGTCAAAGACGAAGTTTGTGTCAATCACTTGGGTGGAGTTGTAGATGATCGCAAAGACGTATTACTAAGCACGGCATTATCTCGGCGAGATTTAGGGCAGTAGGGCGGTCAGTATCTGCCAGAGTAAACCACTCACCGCCGTATAGAGTGGAGACTGTCCCATCGTCACCGGATCCATCATCAACCATCGATCAACTGCTTGTGCAGATAATTGGACCTAATTCGGTTGATAAATTCATGAGAGGCAGATGCACGGAGTTGTATATCTCAGCTGGGTCTGAGAATCATCGAATATGCAGGCATTTGGTGAGTTCTTTACCCCCTTACTGATCTACCTACCCCGGGTCCCCTTCTCCCCTTTAGTCGAAATGCATGTAGCCCTATTATTATGTATGGGAATGCAGGCTAATGCGAGGACTATTAGTTCCGAAGAATCGGAGGGTAAGTCCAATTCAGGACACATAGTCCCAAATACTGAGCAATGCTTCTAGCCCCGGTTTGAATTTATATTGAGGGTAAGTGCTGAGCTGTCAACTTCATACGATGTCGTTGAATGTCACTGACGTCGCGATCTGATTTAGATCATCGACCTCAACAATGTTCCGCTGGTGAGTGGGACGGCGTTTGTAAAATGGCGCCTTCCTTCGTCAAATGCGGCCGAACACCACGGGCATACGGATAAAGCAGTCATCCTGGACCACCGAGCGTCGTGGCATTACGAGAGAGCACTACAGGTCCGGCTCACCATCGACCGCAACCAGAGCCTTCATGAGTGCGAGGTACACTTCGACGTCATCCAGGAATTTGCGACGGGTGGTCATAATGATAAGGATTTGCTCGGGAGGATCAGACTCAACTTGGCCGAGTATGTCGACAAGAGTGATGACGACGAAGGCATCGTACGACGTTACTTGATGCAAGATAGCAAGATCAACAGTACACTTCGCATTGGGATCGTCATGCGGCAGGTAGAGGGAGACAGGAACTTCACTACGTATGTGCACAGGCAATTGTGACTCAGCCTAGTTGCTGACTGCTTTCAGACCGCCGTTGCGATCAGCTATGGTTTTCGGGGCATTACAGGTGTTGTTTCCTCGGAACAAGGGGACCCTGATGACCTAGGCCGACAACCATCCATCTACACCCAAACCCGGGAGGCTGCAGATCTACAAGACATGTACCGTCGGACTTTGGCAGCGTCCTGGAACTCCCGGTCAGACGACCTGCCTGCCGACAAGTTGATCGAAGAGTTATTCTCCGGAGGCGTCTCCTGGAGCAGTGACACTCGTGATCCCCCAGTTGGAAAACAGACGAACGACGATCAGCGCCTAAGCGGCGAGACAAGAGCCAAGCGGACTAGCTCTGGGAACCGACTGTCACCCAGCTTCGAAAGACGGCCCCGAAGCGCGTCAAGCATGCATGCACTTCGAAACGATGCGAAAAGCTTACAAGAAATCTCCTTGGGTATGGACCGCTCCAGCAAGGGTGAAAGCATCGAACAGAAGCTCTATGATAGTGGCAAAGGAAAGGCCTGGAAGAGCCGAAGAAATGAACACGAAGTGTCCGAGTTTGACGTCCGTGAAGACCTGAGGAGTTGGGCAGTGGGTGGAAAGGAGGAGTGATGGATGGTAGGATTTACGCATAGTTTGAGACAATAATACCCAGATGCATGATTTTTGATAATTGCAACCGGTCACATGGGTTACCCACGACCTGCCATTACGCATTGGTTGGCTTGTATGATGAATATTTTTATCGTCTAATCTTTCATAGACTAGGTCCTGGAGAATCCGCCAATCTTCACCCCTAGGCTCAATGTGGTCAGGTCTCGTTCGGACCGAGATTGTATATGTGCCATGCTACTACGATTATTTCTCCCTCTCGTGGCCATCCACACGGCCTAGAATATCATTGGCCTTGCTTTCCAAACGTTCGGAGCTCGTGCGGAACAACCGCGGCAGCCCCGTTTCCTCAAACGCAGCGCCATCGACAATCATGCGCGCAATTCCCTCAGCTGAAAGAAAGACCTGGGGCATCCCATGGCCACTGAACCCGGCGACAACCAGCTGTCCCGGTTTGTGTGGCACATTCCCGACATGTGGGAGGGAATCTGTGGTGAAGCCCATGACTGAAGACTGGGGTTAGCATTGCTGTTCCAGCCCCAGCGAAGAGATATACATACTCCCTGTCCAGACCCGGTCTGTATATGCTCCCGTGTTCTCCCACCCGTGGAAATTCCGCTGCATGTAGTTGTCGAAGTAGCGAGACGCGGACTCGATCATTATGCTGTCGTCCGTGTTGTCGTACCACTTGCTCGCATCGTGGAAAAATGTGGATTTGGCCCCTCCGACAATGATACTACCATCTGGCCGGGGGATTAGGTAGTCATAATCCCAGGTATTGAAACGCATGGTGTATGAGCACTCCAAGGGGGTTTTGGGTGGATTAGGGACCACGATCCGGCTACAGACTCCTCTGACGGGGACAATCTTTCCCTTGTATTCCGGCGCGATCGCCGATGTATATGCGTTGCTCGCGAAAACCACCCATTTGGTTCGGATAGAACCCCGGTCAGTCACGACCGTCCAACGCCCATCGTCATCAGGAGCGTCAGACACTCGGAGCACAGGAGTATGCGTCTGAAGGTTCACTCCAGCGGTGACTACCTTGCTCAAGAGCTGCGTGACCAACTTGTATGGCCACAGCCTCCCGGTCCGAGACAGGAAGCATCCTTTCGCACCTTTGACGCCAGACACCTAGACAACTGATCAGTTATCGCGTGATGGGGTGGGGTTACAATGATTCTCACTGTCTCTGCCGATTCGAGCGGGGTAAAGTGGACACTTTCTGTGGCTTTGAGGCCCTGGGAGATAAGAGACTCCCGGCCTGCTCTCGCCTCTTCGCAGAGACTCGGATCAAAGTGAATGTCGAATAACTTGTTGGTGTCAAGATCGCAATTGATATGCTCCTTCTCGATCAATGACTGTATTTTCGGAAGGTGTTCATTTTCGAAAGCAGCCACCTCGGAGGCGGCGTCGAACCCATATTTCTCTGCGAATTTATGGATCTCGCTATATAGATCGGGTCTTAGGTGACCCCCTATGCAGACATTTGCTTCTAGTCATTTCGTATAGAAAAACCGAAGGGACTTACCGTTTCGGCCTGTCGCTCCTGAACAGGCCTGGCGTGCCTCTAAGATCACTATGGATGGGTTTTCTACACCAGAGGCCTGACTGCGTTGCAGACAATGGTATGCGGTTGATGTTCCTGCATAACCAGAACCTATGATCACAATATCACTGCTCTCAGGCAGTAGTTCTGTCGAGCGATGGTTGTCCAAAGCATGCGGTTGACTTCGCCAGAACGAGGTCATGCCATGGTCGACGGGAAACGATTTGGTCATATTTGCAGATTATTGTATGACTGCTAGAAAGATCAAGCCGTATATAAGCAATGGTAGGTGTTTGAACACGAATATGAGCAAAGATGAGCCTCTATCCCTCCGTACAGAGAGGTGTCGTGTTGATCGTTCATCTACTCCAAGTGATTCTTGTATAGATCAGACGCTAGTACCCTTCCGGCCTAGCCTATTCCACCCGTGACCCGTCCCGACTTTACCCAATCGAGACATCAATTTCATCCAGAGCTTCAATTCCTCCAGTCAAAGATTCGGTCGACCACCGGTTTTAAGAGGTCGCACCGCCGATTCCCGAATGTTGTCAAGAACCTCCAAACCTGCCGCAGGGCTTCTGGGCTCTCGCGGTTCCCCAGTTTGCCGAAAATGTGCCCTTCCTTCGACGGTGCGCGGGCGCGAGGTTTTTCTCCGATACCAGAACACCGCCAGCGATTCTTCCGACCGACCGCCACGGCCTCGCTCGCGCAATGATCGCAGACCGCAGTCGGAAAATAAGAGTCGACAAAGGGATCAGAGCAAAAGAGTGCCCATTGAGGTGACTTCGCTAGGAAGACCTGGTGAGGTGGTGGTCCTCCCGGAACGAACACGGCGTCGCCGCCAGCCTGCCCCAGTCGAACAAGAACCCAAGGATGGGACCGAGGACACCGACCTCCCATTTTTCTTGGAAGAGATAGACAACGATGATGGGCTTGACGCGATCGAGCGCATTGAGTCTTTCCGTTCGGCACACCAACCCGGGAATAAATTGTCTGGCGCCGAGTGGGAGGATCTCAGAAAGGACATCCAGGGCTCATTCACATCGCAGCAGTTATCCGATTATCTTGAGGAGTTATCTCGCGGTGTCTCAGAATTCAGCGGTGGACAGCAGTCAAGCGAGGGGACAGACGCCGGCGCATGGAGGCCTGGGATCTCAGCGTTTGTGGAAATGGGACCGGTCTCGCAGGAGGGTGTCGCGGATAGGATTGCGACGTCACAAGGCATGAAGGGTAAAGAACTTCTTGTGGAAAAGATTCTCCGTGACTACTGGGGTCTTGGTGTGGCCGGTGAGCCTGGACAGCTGGACGTCCGTCTCCCTGCCCACTCTTTATCGCTACTTTTGAATGCGAAAACCTTCTCCTTTGGAGAGGTGGCGAGTCTCCATGAAGCGAAGATCGATATCACACATTCGCTTGGTCTTGTGAGGATCACCGGGGATCAAGAATCCTGCGAATCGATCCGTGAAATCATATGCGACACCATGGCCAGGATCCGGCACGAGGGTATCGATTTATACCAGGATAAGGTTGGAGTCAAAGGCAATGGCCGCATCTTCAGCGCAGATTTCTTATCGTGGGTCGGTAAGACTTATGGGGTCGCCTTTGAACTGGGGTCGTCGAACGTACCGGTCAAATTGTATTACCTGGCCGAGAATCAGAGTGGGCCCGATGATGCTCGAAGGACCCTGAATCTCGCAATTTATGATGCTGCATCTTCGTCGATACCATTTGGCACCTACTTGTCCGCATCCGAGCCTGCGGATGTCCAACCCGTCGACCCGGAGAACAACACATCCTGGCCCAATCGTCAGAAAGAGTGGTTTCGCTGGGGCGTGCCCTCTACTGAGCCTTCGGAGAGGAGGGTATTTGACACTCCTCTATTTGATAACCACGAGACGCGCCTCTCTGTTGAACTTTTGAAATTGCTTCGGCGAGGAACTCCCGGCGCTCCCCAGGACGGGTCTACCGCAGTCCGAGAGGCTGTAACAGCGGCCGTTGGGAAGTGTCTCTTCCAACACAAATCGCCGTTCGATAACCAACTGGCTACCCCCTCTCAACTTGGCAAAATGGCCCTTCCCCGCATCTTTTCCACAGACATTCCTCGCGTGCCGTCTTTTCTCGGATCGTTGAGGCCCCTCGAGTCCTCGCGGATCCACCGCTTCCGGCTGGTCCCGTCGGCTATACACCAAGGCGTCTTTCCGCAGCTAGAGTTAGAAGCCACGATGAAAGCGCCGCTCGACGAATCCCATACAGGGCTAGAAATTGCCGTGTCCTCCGCGCAGGCTGTGATGTCCCAGAACAGCGTGGACTACCTGCTGCCAGAGAGTGGACTGGATCTACGGTTCACGCGGAAGTTGACGCGCGACATATCGGAAGAGTGCGGCGAAGGTCGCTCGCTCGCCGGGCTCGAGGGTACTCTACAAGGTCTCCTCGCCAAGAGCCAGGGTTTCGATGATGTGCTTCTTCCAATATTCTACCAGATCACTCTCCCCAACCGATTCTTGAACCGGACGGAGCCAGGTCAGGATGCGAACGGACACACCACTGGGGAGTACATGTTCATGCCCGTCGACGACATCCGAGCCACCCGCATCCAGCAGTATGATTTCCAGAACCAACAACTGAGCTACTCTTATTACGAGAGTGGTCCGTTCTTGGCACACCACACTACCGATTTGTCGCTGGACATGGATCTAACGGGCGGGTCCGAATCGGAATCTCCCAGTCCATCGGAGTCGTCTGAGACTGGTGACGCGGCGCCACAGACTGTGGAGGATAAGTTCGACTCATTCTACAGCGCCTCGTGCTCGCTGGCGTTCAAAGTGGACCGCGCCTGGCGATTACTGTAGCCTGACAGGGGACACTCATTTTCATGCACACTGTATTATAGATATGGGATTTTTCGTCCCTTGTAACGATTGTATAATATGTACTGATAGAACGAACCTCTCTGCTATTGGTATACACGATAATCATCCGGAATGAATCAACATTGGTGGATAGACATGGCAATATACTCCAGGATACTACCTAAATACTACTCACAAACTGCAATAGACAATTAAATCAAATTAAATTAATACAGAAACAGCCTATCCTTCGCATCCTGCACCACCCATTCGAGACCTTCGCGGAGATTTTTCCCGGTCATGGCACTGCAGGGCAAGATGGTCCATTTGTGCGTTTTGATCGCGTCTAGACCGAGGCGCTGAAGTAACGGTAAGTATCATCCGATGGATATTGATTTAGAGTTGGTTGAGAAAGGGAACACACCTCTTGGACTTCACTTTCTGTCATGCATCCTGTGACGTCTGTTTTGTTCAGGAAGATTAATAGACTTGCGCCCGTTAGGCGCTGTAAATATTCAATTAGCTGGTTGTTTCGATTCGTCCGCCACGGAGGGGATCATGAAAAAAAGAAAAAAAAAGAGCAGGGAGACAGATCGAGAGAAATGGTTAGAAACATACCTCCTCTAAAAGCAAACCAGCCAATTCATCACGGCAGTCGTCAACCCGAAGCCGGTCCGTAGCATCTACCACCCAGACCAGCGTGTCTGTCTTCTCGAAGTAATTCTTCCAGTACGATCGGAGAGTGCGCTGGCCTCCTACATCCCCTAAAAGAAAATCTTTCAGATTTGGTCAATCTGGAAGGGGTGATTCCTCTTACAGATATTCAATCGGTACCTGTATGGCGAGGTTAGCGGGTCCGTCCTTAACAGAGGGCGAGAACGAGAAGAAAAGTCTCACCCCTCGAAATCTATCGTCTTGATAATGAACCCTAACGTCGGACTGACGGTCGTGACGTCCTCGTTCATGATCTGTTTGACGATGGTCGTTTTGCCCGCATTGTCGAGACCGCTGCAGCCTTGTCAGTATGCATGTTGTGGTGGACGTCTAGGTGGGGTATTGGAATAGACGGTACAGCATTAGGATCCGCATTTCCTTGTCCTTTAATCGGGCTTTTCTCAAAATGGACAGCATTGTGTGATGGTTTTGAATTATCTGAGTACAGAGTCGATGTAATGTGGTGGATTTAAGATTTGGTGATGGAATTAAGCCGGGCGATCTTATCGCGCCCGCTTTGCCGCCCGCATATATTTGTGGGGTTGGCTGTGGTTTCTAACTACTCCAGCGACAGATTGCTGTACTGGGAGTATAGAACTAGGTATAATATCGGGTGGTCAATTGAATGTGTCTAATTTATTTCCCCCCGGAATGCAATATCCGAATACACTAGTCTAGAAAGCAAGGAGATTCCCTCCCCGGAAAATACCATGTACCTGTTGCTGTACTCGTTCGAATCTGGTGAACCCACAAGTCTCGCTCTCGAGATGATTGAATAGCCCAGCCAACGATGTAAAGTCCTTTATACACCTGTCCCTCCGATTTGGACAGTGGTATACCTTTTGCTTGTGAACGGGCGAATTGAGATGTTGATTTTAATCCGGACAAAGCGCGGAACCCCCGGTGGCACAGGTAGCACTCCCAGTCGTCCCCATTGAACGCATAAGAGGACGCCGAAAATTCGCTGGAGTCGCTCTCGTGCCATTCGAGCTGCTGTACAGTGAAGAAACCGTTCTGGTCCCGCTCGCGGATCATGCGATGGATTGTCTCGCGATTCATTTTGGGAGCACGGGAACATGACCCTGTCTCCAGGTGGTGAGCCACACCGCTGGCCGTGGTATAGCCGTTATTGCAGAAGGGACAGGCTAGGCTCGAACCCCGGTGGATCCTCGAATTGAGATGCTATGAGGATGTGGTAAGCTAGAGAAGCGTCTGCAATGGAGTTCCACCCAAATCCCACTATTTTGAGGTTATTTTCGTTGTTGAAATGTCTCCTACACTCCTGGCAGTAATTCTTGTAGTGGCCCTTGGCGGCCATGTGCTTGTCTACGGCGTCTTGTGTACGGAACATCGCGTTGCATACTTCACACAGTACCTTCGGTCGCCAATGATTCATGGAGTTCATGTGCTGGCACGCCGCATGCCAGGACCGGAATTCTTTAGGACAAGTCTCGCAATCGTAGGTAGGAGCCCAGTGATATAGCGTGTTCATGTGCTGGATGCAAGCACGCTTGTTCCAAAATTAGCGATCACAGGTCTGGCACTCCTGCCAATGATTATAGTCGTTCAAATGATCGTCCATGTCCTCCAGGTCATAACACTCCTCGCCGCAGATATCGCATTCAAACATCTTGGAATTGAAGATGGGAACAAGGTTCGCTGGATTGGCTGGATTGAAGTGATCAGGAAAGTAGATGGATGAATCCAGAGCAGCGGAGGTACGGATCTCTTGGGGTAAAAGGGTGTTTATCAATCATTATCTCCCGAGCCATTCAGGGCGACGATCCTTGGTTATAAAGTAGACTGATCCATTCTATCAACCCCACCGGGAGCACTTCCGCAACGCCACTGTTTTGGAAGGCACGGTTCTATCCAGTGAGATTGTCTGGTTCATTTATGGCTGAATGGATGTATAGATGCATGAAGTTTGCTCACCCCTTCACTTTGCCAAGACCCCACATGTTTAAAGATCAAACAAACAATGGTATGATAGGATGATGAAAGTCAATACTTTGTATACCATCCTACCGACAGTCGGATTCTTTATAAGTTATTTCCTGCGTCCCACTATGAACTGGATGAAAATGGATCAGTTTGATACTTGAAGAAATCATAGAATGACAATGAGATAGAGAGCACGTGCGATAAGATAAGGTCACGGGGTGTCCCTGGCCGCGATCGGAGACGCTAGTCCTATTTGGGATAGACCGAGTGCCTCAGGAACCGATGGTGATGATTCACCCCGCCGTCTTTTTCTCCTCCTCCTTCTCTACTTCCAAGTGGCATTGTCGTCTCGTTTAGATCACGTCTTGTTGATTGATTCCTTGTCAGTTGAGTACTTAGTGACTGCTACTACATATATACCCCAGTCATGTCCCACACGCTTTCGCAGAAATACCTTAGCACGCGGGGTGCTTCGTACGGGGTAAGAAATCCCTCTTTTGCCACTATCCAGATTCGACCTCATTGCTGATCATTTATACCCTTTAGCTGTCCTTTGAGGATGTTGTCTTGAAGGGACTGGCTTCCGATGGAGGCCTCTTCATTCCTGAAGAGATCCCCTCCCTCCCCGCCAACTGGGAGTCCGAGTGGCGGGACCTCAGCTTCGAAGACCTCGCTTTCGAGATCATGTCCTTATACGTCTCCTCGTCCGAAATCCCCTCCGAAGATCTGAAGGATATCATCAAACGCTCCTATTCTACTTTCCGTCATCCGGAGCGCACCCCTCTTGTCGAATTGGACGCCAAGAAGCACCTGCATCTGCTTGAGTTGTTCCACGGACCGACCTTTGCCTTCAAGGACGTGGCGCTCCAATTCCTTGGTAACCTGTTCGAATACTTCCTCATCCGCAAGAACAAGGGCAAGGAGGGCAAGGACCGTCATCACCTCACCGTCATCGGTGCGACGAGCGGAGACACCGGGTCAGCGGCCATCTACGGCCTGCGAGGCAAGAAGGATGTCTCCATCTTCATTCTGTTCCCCGACGGGCGCGTGTCGCCCATCCAACAGGCGCAGATGACGACTGTCCTCGACCCCAACGTCCACAACCTGACTGTCCAAGGCTCCTTCGACGACTGCCAGGATATCGTCAAGGCCCTTTTCGCGGACCCCGAGCTCAACTCCACCCACAACCTCGCCGCCATCAACTCCATCAACTGGGCGCGCATCCTCGCCCAGATCACCTACTACTTCTACTCGTACTTCTCCCTGACCAAGACCCCCGGATACAACAAGGACTCGAAGATGCGCTTCGTCGTCCCCTCCGGTAACTTCGGCGATATCCTCGCGGGCTGGTTCGCCAAGAGCATGGGTCTCCCCGCCGAGAGGCTCGTCATCGCGACCAACGAGAACGACATTCTCGACCGTTTCTTCCGCAGCGGCGGTCACTACACCAAGGACAACTCCGGCGCCGCCGCCGTCAAGGAGACCCACAGCCCGGCCATGGACATCCTGGTTAGCAGCAACTTCGAGCGTCTGCTGTGGTTCATGGCCTTCCAGACCGACAGCGCCAGCTCCGCCGACGAGCGCCGCAAGCACGCCTGCGAAAACGTCAGCGACTGGCTGAACCAGCTCAAGACCCAGGGCGGGTTCCGCGTGCCTCAGGCCGTCGTCGACGGCGCCAAGGCCGACTTCGAGAGCGAGCGCGTCAGCAACGACCAGACCATCGCCCAGATCCGCGCCACCTACTCCTCGTCCTTCCCCGCCAATTTGACCCCCGGCAGCGCCACCAGCTCCAAGACCGGCGGCTACATCCTCGACCCCCACTCCGCCGTCGGCATCGGCGCTTCCCTCCGCTCCATCGACCGCAACCCCGACATCCACCACATCTCCCTCTCTACGGCTCACCCGGCCAAGTTCGCCAGCTCTGTCGACACGGCCCTGCGCGAAGCGGACGGCTACGACTTCAGCGAGGTCCTGCCGAAGGAGTTCATCGGTCTGGAGCAGAAGGAGAGCCGGACCACTCCCGTTCCCGCCGGTGCTGGCTGGCAGGGCGTGCGCGAGCTGGTGAAGGCGGAAGTCGAGAAGGAGCTGTAGCGAGGAAGTAATGATCTCTCTTCCTATCTCACTTCCACATACACATACACATACACATTATGCATACATGGATAGAGGCTGGATTGCTTTGTTGTGAATACCTGGGATCATGTTGACAAAAAGTATATGTGAAGAGGACATTTTTCTGTTTTTCTAAAAAATTCCCATGTTGTTCAGTCGATAGAATTACCCAAAGATCGGTTTAAGAATACGATACATACGATTACTGTTGTTAGGTTGATAAGGTTTGTCTATAATGTAGATATGTATTATCAAAGCCAAATATACATACAAAAAAAGTAGATCAACCTCGAGAGTCAATGATCAAGTGCGCCGTGTCCTAGCGCCGTTATCTGCTGCTGCTGCTAAACCAAAAAGCAAAGTCTATGATACATGTTTCAAGGGTATGGTATGGGGTGGTATAATATGGTATACAAGCGGAGACGACCCGCTCAAGAAGCAGCCGACTGCAAAGTTTGATCAGGAGGCTGCTGCCCCTCGTCCAAAGTATCCGCCGCGACGGTGGTAGTATTCTTGCGGACAAAGCGGAGTAACCTCAGGACACCAGCCGGGGTGACGCCCTCCGTGCGTCTCGCCATACCGATACTTTCGGGCCGGACAAGCTCCAGCGCCTGGATCTCCTCGTTGCTGAGGCCGTGGACCTGCGCGTATCGCAGGTCCGCCGGGAGGAGGAGGTTCTCGTCTTTGAGGAATTTGCGAGCCTCGGCTTCCTGCCAGACGTACTGGGCTGCGTAGCGGCGGTCGATCGAGACGCGGGTCTTGATGTCCTCAGCGAAGGAGTTCGCCGTGTAGGTCGTGCCTGTTGGGGAGTCGATGTGGGGGATGATAGCGTCGATGTCGACCTTTTCGAGACAGAGGAGATCGAGCGCCGAGCGCTTGGAGGTGTCTGTGCGGGCGCGGAAGCCCTTGCGGGCCCAGGCGCTGGAGGATAACTTGGTGTTGTTGAGGAGGGTTTGGAGCTCGGCGATCTGGGCTTGCGTGTCGTTGAAGCGCTGCCAGCGCTTGTCGGAGACGAGGCCTGCTTCGCGCGCCATGCGGGTTAGACGCTGGTCGGCGTTGTCGGCGCGTGTGGTGATGCGGTATTCGCTGCGCGTGGTGAACATGCGGTAGGGCTCGGAGACGCCCTTCGTGATGAGGTCGTCGATCATGATCCCGATGAAGCCGTCGGAGCGGCGGAGGGTGAGTGGTTGGCGGTCTTGGGCGGACAGGCCGGCGTTGATACCGGCGATGATGCCTTGTCCGGCGGCTTCTTCGTAGCCCGTTGTTCCGTTGATCTGGCCTGCGAGGTAGAGACCGCTGATTAACTTGGTCTCGAGGGTTGGTTTCAGGTTGCGGGGGTCGATGTAGTCGTATTCGACTCCGTAGCCGGGCTGCAGCATCGTCACGTTCTCCAGGCCTTCGATTGTCCGCAGCATCTCGTATTGGGCGTCTGCAGGGACGGTCATCGAAATGCCGTTGGGGTAGATAACATCATTTGGAGCAAAGCCCTCCGGCTCCAACCAGATCGTGTGTCTCGGCTTGTCCGTGAAACGGATGATCTTCGACTCCAACGAAGGGCAATATCTCGGCCCTTTGACGGTCTCGCGGATGTGGATCGAATTCTCCAGGTTCGCGCGGATGATGTTGTGGGCGGCGTCGTTCGTGTAAGTCATCCAGCAGTTCAACTGCTCTTTATCTCCCACCTGCACGGTGTCGTTGACGTACGAGAAAGGCTGCGGGGGCGAATCCGCATGCTGGACTTCCAACCCCTTGAAGTCGATCGTCTTCGCGTCCAGCCGGGGCGGAGTACCCGTCTTCAGGCGGCCCAGCTGGAAACCAGCTTCGCGGAGCGACTTGCTCAATCCGAAAGTAGCCGCTTCACCCATCCGTCCGGAGGGGAACACATCAAGGCCGATATGGATTTCACCCCCCAGGAAGGTCCCCGTCGTGATGACCACCCTCCCGGTGGGGATAACGTCCCCGGACTCGAGTCTTACGCCCACGATCTTGCCCTGCGCCACCGAATCATCTTCCACACCTTCCTTCGACACCACGATATCCGCGACCTTGCCCTCCACAATACTCAGTCCCTCCGTCCCGAGCAGCTCCTCCTGCATGTACCTCTTGTACAGATCGCGGTCGATCTGCGCGCGGGGTCCCCAAACCGCAGGGCCCTTGGACCTGTTGAGCGTCCTGAACATGACGCCCGCCTTGTCGATCGTCCGTCCCGCGACGCCGTCCATCGCGTCGACCTCGCGGATCATCGTGCCTTTGCCGATACCGCCAAAGCTCGGATTACACGAGCAAACGCCGATGTTGGATAGGGAGGGCGTTACCAGTGCGGTGCGAGCGCCGGAACGAGCTGCCGCGGCGCATGCCTCTGAGCCGGCATGGCCGCCTCCGATGACGACGACATCGTATGGTCTGGTGGTTCACAAGAAATGATAATTAGTGCATAGTCCAGAAAGTGATGCGGAAAATTGACGGTGCACGCTGTACTTACCGCGAGTTGTCGGAGACAGTGGCCAGCCCGCGACTGACTCCCGGTGTGCGCAATCGCGAACCAAGACCCCAGCGAAGGACAGCCAGCGACCTAACTCGAAAAGCCATGATGATGGGTCGATGGTAGGATGTTGGGCTTCTGGTGGTGTTGACAAGAGGGAAAGAAAATCTACATCACGTGGGTTTGCTGATAACCGGATAGCGGAGAAATGATGTCCCGATAGATAGCCGGATGAAAATTACAGACTTTTTCTTATCGTGTATGGTATTGACTGTATCTTTCGTCTATCCAAGTCTATGGCCTTGTGGCCTTATTGACTCTATTTGATGACGGCAATGTATCTTCTATCTAGACATGTGCTCGACATTCGTATATGTAGCATATCATGCCTCTTTAGCCAGACTGATCACCTTCTTGGCAGCAGGCTCAAAGCCATCAAAGGCGTGCAGAGGCAGTCCACTCTCGGCGATCTATATAATCACGTTAGTATTGATTGCAGGAATGGCTAATGCACAGAGTGAAACGAACCATCTTCTGTCCTGCCTCTTCGTTTGTTCCTCTCAATCGCACCACAACCGGTACCTGCATGTGCAGATCACGGAAAGCGAGGATGATGCCCTCCGCGATCATGTCACACCGTGTCAGCCCCCCGAAAATGTTGACAAAGATTGCTTTGACCCGGGGGTCAGAGCAGATGATCCGAAAGGAGGACTTGACTGTCTCCGAAGTCGCTTTGCCACCGGTGTCGAGGAAGTTCGCGCAGTGCCCTCCGTGGATAGTGAGGGCGTCAACTGTGTTCATGGCTAGGCCGGCACCGTTCACTGTAAGGGTCAGTGTGATGGTTAGATCTCGCAGTTTCAGGGTGTCTTACCCAATGTGCCAATGCTGCCTTCACCATCCAACCTAGAATTCGAGGAAGCTGTCAGCAGTGGTCATTTTTAGAACCTGGGACACATACTTCACGTAGACGATTCCATCCTTCTCTGCTTCCACTTCTTCGGGAACTTCTTCTGCCTTGTTTCTCAGTTTATGAACTTCTTCTTGACGCCCTGAGCTCTTGTAAGCTGCATCATCAAACCCAAACCGCGCTCCTCGGACTTCCAGGCCACTGGTCGACAAGCTCGCGCGAACTTCAAGTAGATAGCCTTCCTTTTCCTTGAATATTTGCCATAAACTCTGGATCAGCTGTGCCAAATTCTCATAGGCCTCAGCTGGGGTGTGAAGATGAGCTGCGACAGCTTTCATAAGCGAAGATCTACCATCCAAATCTGGATTGGCGTAAGAAAACGGGAAACGACCCGTGAGGGAGGGTTCAAAGTCCGCTGTTGAGGATGCAAGAATGCAAGGAGATAATGATGTCCTATCGACGGTGAGAGTCACGAAGAAGTCACCTTCTGAAGGTGCAGCCTCACGGACTGCGATCGACTTTTCCTTCAGCATGTCAAGGGCCTGAAACTGTTTGACGTAGAGAGACCTGGTCTGCTTCAACGGCGCCCGGGTTGTGGTTTTGGGTGTAACACGCCGCATTGTATGCAGACCCCTCTTCTGATTCCCCGAACTGGCAGACTATATAACGGTTAGCACTATACCATTTGGTTGTAACGTCTGTGACGTACTGTTGTACCGACACGAGGCCGGCTATTTAAGAGAGTCTTCATTCCCTCTCCAAACTTCTCCGGGTGATTGACCATGACCGTCCCAGCACGCTCCAGCGCCCGATACTTGGTCTTTGCGTCCGGCTCACCAGGCGCTGCCCAAGCCCCTGCATGACCCATAATTCGTCCAGGCGGAGCCTGCAGACCACCAACTAGACCCATAATGGGCCTTCGGCAGGATTAGTTTGAGCACTCGATATACAGGGAGTCGAGATCTATACTTAGGGTTTGTAGTCCGGCGACGATAGTCCTTGATCCAATCCGCAGCCTCGATCTCCGCGATGCCACCAATCTCACCAACTAGGACAATGCCCTCCGTGTCGGGGTCATTCTCGAAAACGGTTAGAGCGTCCACGAAATTCGTTCCCGCCAGGGAGTCACCCCCCATGCTAATGCATAGACTCTGACCAAGCCCGGCTCTCGTGATCGAGGCGACGGTTTCGTAACTTAGTGTACCCGATTTGGCGATAATGCCTACGTTACCGGGCGCAAAGCAGGGCAACGGCTGGAAGCCGATACGGCACTTTCCGATCGCCGAAATGATACCGGGAACGTTTGCGCCAACAAGCCTTGTTTTAGACTGAGTCTGTAGCATGGAGTGGATCTGCATAGAACGAATCTGTAAAAAACCGGATACTTCCCAAACATGATAGAACGTACCCGCAAAATATCATGGATCGGAACATGCTCTGCAACAGCCACAACTAGAGGGATCTCAGCTGCGATGGCTTCTTCAATGGCCTGGGCGGTCTGGTTCCCGGGAACATAGATAGCAGAGGCGTCCGGCCTCGCCTTCTCTTGGGCCTACAACCCGTCAGTACGCAGACCAAGCATTTACGCCTCCACAAGACCATACCGTCCGCACGGATGGGAATATAGGAAGACCTAGGTGTTCGCCTTCAACACCCGGTTTGACGCCCCCTACAATCTTTGTGCCCCATGCCAGAGACTCCTTGACATTGGCCGTGGCCTAAGAGTATCAGCTTGATCCGTCAACGAGTACCGAGGCTCAGTACCTGTCTCCCTGCAGGGCACGTTAGCAGAGCACATGCAAATTATGCCAATATTCAAATACCAACCAGTAAATCCCTGGAACAAAACCTTGGTATGTTTCCCAATCTTAAGATTGGGAAGCGTATCGGCGTAGTTTGACCGTCGCGACGAGGTGGAGAAGCGACTCAACAGGCGGCTAGAAGATTGGTTTATAGGGAAATTCCGCGCCCGCGCGGGGAGAGAGCATAGCCTTGCCATTCTTTAAAGAATATAACAGCCAAAACAAGTGCAATTGGCCCGTAGGATGGGAACGCACAGCAGTGGTGGTGTGAGGAGGAGGAATAGTGATGCGGAGATGAAGTTGGGGTAATGTCCGAGACCGGGGAGCGGCCTGAGGCCCACGGCTGTATAGCCTCGGTGTTATGGATAAAGCCGTCTTCTGCATATGCAACCGAGATCTTCGCATTTACGTAGGATGGTTTTGGCGAGATGTTTACTGGCTAGAAACTATTTCTTCAAAGAAATGAGAAAAGTTTCTGATACACACAGTTTGTAATATAAATATATCTGTTGAATCTGCATTGCTTGTATCCTATAGAAGATCCACCGACTATCAGGCTTCCCGACTACTAAAGAATGTATTCTCCTAGTGCCTTGGTAATGGGTCGCTTTGGAACAAACATCCATGATATATATAGGGCGAAACTGGCCTTAAGGTAGTGATTGTATGATAGCAGCCTATCATAGGTATAGAACTTCCTTGTCGGGACTCATCAGCAATGCATTCCTTTCCACACACGACCGGGTAATCAGGCCTTGTCCCCAGTTGCAGGAACGCCACACTCAGACTTGTTTCCGGTTTTGGTGACCGCGATAGAAATGGTCGAGGTCCTCCCATCGTGCAGAGTGAGCACGAGCTCTACAGCCTCGAGGTCTGTAGAATAGGTTGCTTCCTTAATATGCCCCTTGAGAACGTCGGCCTCACTTCCAGCACCCCAACATCGGCCTGGCTCCTCTTTCCCAGGCGACCACTTGTTGTTGATTCCTGTGACGGTATTTCACGAGAGCCTGTCAAAAGATGTCACGATAAGCGGCGTATTCAGGAACTCCCAGACAGTTTTGCCGAACTTTGGTGCACAAACTGCGGCTCAATCCACGAGAGCAACCAAGGGTTTTTTGACGCCAGTAGTCCCAGCATAAGTCACGCTCAGTACATATTGCTGCCACCTTGCACTGGCCCTGTAGAGAACGTCCATCTAGAAGGAAAGCAGACGAAAGATCATCGAAATCACATCTCCAAATGGGTAGGCTCGGGAGTATCCAACACATCGTTACCCGCGACATGGATATTGTCATCCCATTCGTCAGCCAAAACGCCGGACCAGACTCCCTGGGCTAGTTGGTGCCAACGATAGATTGCATTATCGTACTCGAAAGCGTCTCCATGATGAGCGGGGGGTACATCAGCGCCGTGCGACCCGAGGTTTTCGGTATTGTCTCGATTCCCTCTCGTGGTCGCGTCGAGTACCTTGAAGGAGCTGTAGCTTGAGACATCGGAGTCAATCGTCATGCAGCCACCTTGGCTCATGACAATGGCATTCGCGTCATTGCAGTCATCCGAGCTAAAGAAGATCACGGTATTATCATGGTCCCCGTCGCGGTCGTTTGTGACAACAACATCTTGGGCCACGCCCACATAGTCCGTGCGACATCCCGCGTCAGAACCGCCGGACCAGGAACCCAAGAACTGACCCCTACACTGACCCGATGCGCTGCTATGGAACGCGAGCTTGTAACCATTAACCGCTGTGGCCATGATGCCGCCGGTGCAGAGGATCGGTATCGAGATAAACATGTTCGGTCGATGCACAAAGCTATAGCCCCATGAAGAAGGCTTTTTGGCAGCTTAATGAATGGTTGAATTATCGAACACTAATCGTTTTGTGGAGATGCCTGCGCCTTTTATCCCAAGACACTCTAATACCTGACAGAGACCCCCAGCATATGCTCAAGCATGTTAACATCCAGTTCATTCCGAAACATCGGAAACAGGTTTCCAGCGGATAGCCAGCAAATCAGAGGCATCATGCAATGTTGGGTTTTCGCGCGGAACAAAGAGACTAAGCCAACCTCTCCGCAGCGATCTATCCATTTCTCGGGGTGTTGTATGCAAGTTGCCGCAGGACTGTCAGATTTTAGTGTCCCTTAACTTGATTAGGGTCATAGTCCACCTTCTCCTCTGGGTTATCCACTCCTCTATTCCACAGGTTCCCTATAAGCAAGTTGTCCAGTACCCGTCTTGCTTGCAACAATGCCCTTCCAGTTACCAGATGATGAGGATCCTTTCTTCAAACGCTTTTTAATAATGGTCTGGTTTTTCGCCGAGTTTTTGGTTGAGTTTATATTCCCGGCGCTTGTTGCCGTTTTCCTCCTCGGCGGAACCGTGATGTTCTGTGGACTTCTGCTGGGGATAATACCAGATCCCCAAAAGACGAAAGACCAGCAAGCGCTGAAAGAAAGTCGAACGGATTCAACCGAATCGGTCCAAGCGTTGGATGAGAAAACACGGGTCAATCTCGAGATGGAAATCCTGGAGGAGATGCTACAAGCACGGCGCGTGAGGATGGAGAAGCTAGTAAAGAGTGACTGAGGAGTAGCTATCGTAATGACGCCTCGATCCTTTCACTGGCGGTATCTCTCCCTAGTCGCCTTGGGGAGCTCCTGGTGGATGACGAAGGGAAACACCTTGGACGGAGTGTTTGCCTCATGATGCAGAGATATTGGATATCCTCTAGGCAACATGTATTTAGGATTCTTTTCTTCCTCTCCGTGCTAAATATTCGTCAGGTCACCATTTCATCAACTGTAGCCAAAGGATGATATCAATTTACCTGTTGTGATGTTGCATTACAAAAAGAGAATGAACCATTTTACCCCAGGACGACTGTAGGGAAAACAGATCTTATCGACAAGCATGGCAGCCTGAGGCACCGCCCGATAAGCTTCCCCTCCATCTGTCTCCATCTTTCTCCATCTCCAACTCCACAACCGACAAACATCGGATTCCCCCAATTGCCTCCTTGCTAGTTGATTTCTGGAACATCTACAGAGATACGATTATCATGGACTTTTCCCTCGAGAACCACCAGTCGTACATTGGCCGTCCGGCCACTGACCTGCCCACCCCGTCTCTCGTTCTGAGCAAGCCGGTCCTGGAACGAAACACTCAAGCTCTCTTGCAAGATGTGAAAGATCTGAACATTGCATTCAGACCCCATGTGAAGACGTTGAAGGTAAGAGACAAAATATATTCCCGTGAATTTTTAACCCACAACTGACCCAACCAGACTGCAGAGGTGACGCGCATGATGCTCGGCAATGGTGCCCACCGGAAGATCGTGGCCTCGACACTGGCCGAAATTAATGGTGCTCTTACCCTAGCTAAAGAGGGAATCTTGGACGAGGTACTACACCCTCTATCTCAATTAACAGTCAGTCAATACCAAGAAAAAGTCTGACAAAACAGTGTCTCTATGGCATCCCCATCTACCCCAGCGCCCTCCCTCGCCTCACCGAGATCGCCAAATCCCTGCGCATCGTCCTCATGATCGACAACGAGCAACAGGTTGACGTTCTTGAGCAATACGCCCAATCTGTGTCTCCCACCCCCGCACCCTGGCCCGTCTTCATCAAGATTGACGTCGGTTCCCGCCGTGCCGGCATGGAGAATGTCTCCCCGCTATTGCCCAAGCTGATCCAGCGCGTTGAGCGCTCCCCCGCCGCCACGGTAGACGGCCTCTACTGCCACGCGGGTCACTCGTACGGGTGTCGATCGCAGGAGGCGGCAGTCGAGGTCCTGGAGACCGAAGTCGCGGGAGTGATTGAAGCATCGAAACACCTGACTGCTCCCGGGGACGGGAAGATCGTCCTGTCCGTGGGATCGACGCCCACGGCGCACGTGGTGAACACACTGAAGAAAAACCTTCCAGAGAGTATGGAGCTGGAACTGCACGCCGGTAAGATCCTATAGCGTGGCGACTCTTCCACCAATGGACTATCACTCACAAAGTACCGCAGGAAACTACCCGTGCAACGACCTCCAGCAGGTCAGCACCGGCCTCGTCAGCGAGTCTCAGCAGGCTGTGCGCGTCCTCGCTGAAGTCTGCAGTGTGTACCCCGAGCGCAACGAGGCGCTCATCAACGCCGGCACGGTCGCCCTCTCCAAGGAGACAAGCGACTTCCCTGGCTTCGGGCACGTGGCCGACCGTCCGCAGTGGAAGATTGTGCGCATGTCGCAGGAGCACGGCATCCTGGGTCTGATCGACGGATCGACATCCGAGAAGATCGACGAGTCATTCCACGTAGGTCAGAAAGTGCTGCTGCGCTGTCAGCACGCGTGCATCACGGCTGCGCAGCACTTTGCGTACTACGTCGTAGACGAAAACGACGTGGTGCGCGAGACGTGGGTGCCGTGGAAGGGATGGTAGACCTCCTCCTGAACACATGTATAAAACAAAAGCAGCCCTTCAACCGCAGATACAAATACTCAAAACAAAGGAAAAGACCAGCACAGCAGAGTCCCACCCACCAAACCGTGACAAGAAACATCATAGACGATAGGGTATACATTTCGTGGCTCTCACTCTTAGTAGTCTGTCAATCTTCGTTCTGCGCGTCCTCCACCGTTGCCTTGGACTGTCCTCCTCGTCCACCTCCACCACCAGCAGTAGACTCCTCCTCACCATTAGCATTATCGACCTCTAGCCCGGGCTTCTTCCCCTCGCGCTGCACAACCTTCCCCTTCCCATGATCCACATCATCCTCCTTCCCACCCAGCTCCGTCCCAGACTCCTCCACGCCCGGCGTAGCCACCGCCGAACCACCACCACCACCATCCCGCTGATGCTTCTTGGCCCTCGCCCTGCGAATCAACCGATTATGATAATCGCGACGCCCTTGCCCCTCCTCCTCCGGATTCTCCTCCAGCACCCGCCTCGCAGCCTCCCTCCCAACAACAGGCATCCGATCCGTCTTATCCTGCGCCTCGCGCGGCAACAGCTTCGGATCCAGCAGTCCCACCTGAACCAGCACGCTCGCCTGATCCCAGTACACATGCTCTGAGTAAAGCCTTCCCCCGCGCACACTGACAATACTGACAAGCACGATCTCTACGCGTTTACCCGTCGGCGCGACGCCAGGTAGCAACCACGGGATTTCCTGCGTGTGTTCAAAAGATGTATACAGCTCGTCGACGACGCGGTCTGCGCCGATGGTGCGCGAGATTAAGCGCAGGTGCATGGAGGGAGGTAGCTGGCGCAGGAAGTGGTGCTCGTAGAAGCGGCGGAGGGCGTGGGCGCCGATTCCGCCGCTCAGCGTGGGCGTGTATGTTGTTGTGGGGGTGAGATGGTTGACGTAGGGTTCCATTGTGGAGGAGATTTTCATGGAGAAGAATTTTGCTATAGTTTTGGTTAGTCTACGCGAATGCAAGATATCTTCCCCATCCAGAGGATGAAGAAAGTAGGGAATACGCACCATCCAAATGCTCCTCCCACCTCGCCTCAAGATCCAAATCCTTATTAAACGCCTTCCGCAGAACCCCCAACGACCGCGACCACGCCAGACTCGCCGCAAGCCGATCAAACTCATCCAGGTCATGCTCCGCGAACCCGGGCTCCACCTCATACGTATAAGCCGGATACCCAAAATTCAGACGCTCGCCGGTTCCGATACCGGGGTTGATCTCGCGGGTTGCGCGCCGCTTTTTGCCTTGCAGGCCGAGCGCGGTGGGAGTGGTCACTACGTCGACGGTTGTGCCAGCTAGGTGGACGAGAACGCGCAGGGTGGGGGAAAACCGGGACCGTGTGTCTGGGATCGCGGTCGGGTAGTAGGCGATTAGGGCGCAGAGACGGCTTGAGGATGTTGGTTTGAGGTAGTAGTCGAGGCAGTAGCTTGCTGCGTCACCGAAGGCTGTATTTACATTAGTTCACTATCATTGGGGGGAGGTGGGAAGTAAGAGTGTAGTGGAAGGGGACGCACCTAACACAGCGTAATTCTCCCCCACGCCCAAACCCTCCTTCACAGAGCGTAACTGCTGCTCATACTCTTTGCCGCCCCCGTTATACGGAATATATACAACCTCAAAGCCCTCGTCTTGCCACTCGCGCAGAAAGACGGCGTCGAAGTCGGGGGTTTCGGCTGAGATGCATAGTCGGGCGACGTTGGAGGCGTTGTTGTAGAGGAAGCCGCTGGCTCCGGGGGCGTTGATGGATATAGTGGCCATGCTGGCTGCACACTGGTGTTGAAAATGTCGGGTTCGAAGTGTACGAACTGATGGCGGTGAATGCACCTCTAGAGGACTTAAGAAGTTGAAAAGTCTCCTCTTATCTATATAAATCAAACCAACACTGTGGCAACGACGTGACCAAGTCGGACGGGAAACCGACCCATGGATATAGATGGAGATCGATATATATTGACAGGGCTACGTCATCGCGCGGTTGGCCGACGTCATCGGAACCAGCGGCTGTCAGATGATTGTGGACGGGGCAATCAGAGTGTGGGATATATATTAATTGATGGGGTTTAGTTATAACTTGAAAAGTAACAGGTTATCTTGCTGATCGTCGATGTACTTTATATATTTGTGCATGTCTACTAGTATAAGTCACAAGCGGTGCACTGCCTGCTCCATCGCCGACCAAGAGAAAACGCCAACATCCTCTACTTCGATCCTCAGGGTTTTTGGGACTTGGATACCGTTAACATGTTTGTTTAGATATGGTTAATCGACTTCTATACTTCAAAAAGAGATGACATTCGAGACATGCTAAGTTGGAAGAGGATACGGTGATGTATCTTTTTCGGGAAGTTGCCGTAGACCCAATCAATCTCCGCCGGCGCCGAATCTTTATACCAAAAGCTCTTGCCAGTAGATTGATAAATCCACTTACAGTTGCCATCTTTACCGAGAGATGTGGAGCCAAGGAATTCAAGACCATCGATAATGCAGCTGTTCAGGTCACCGAAGTTATATTCGCACATTCCGTTGTACGCAGTTGCTGATGAGGTATCAATGAAACCAGTTGTTGGGAAGACTGTGTAAGCGCCACATTTTCCACCGGATGATGCAGTTATGGTACTTGTAACTGTGTTGCTACTTATAGTTTTAGAGCAGGCACACAGAGTCTCATAGCCCGAGGGTATACGAATCGACACAACCTAGCATGGGGCCGCTGTTATCGTTGTGGCTGTTGTTGACGCAGTACTCGATCCTTTGGTACTGGTAGAGAAGGTTGTGCCGGGGGTAGTCCTTGATCCAGAGCCAATAGTGGAGGTTGTCGAATCACTTGTGAAAGTGCCTGTCGGGATGTTCCAATAGTATCAATCTTACCAGAGGCAAAGGTCTGGGCTGTGCATAACATACCGAAGACTGTCGCCCCCTTCGACATGCAAGCTATCGTCCAGACCATGACGGAGGATTTTGTGTTCAGGAAAGAAATATTAGATCCCAGCCGTATCAGCCCACCTTACCAGAATCGAAAGATAACCTCGGAAAAATTGTGGTGGATTAGATACCAATGAATGACGGCGCCACCCTTGATATCGGGAGAGAGAGAGAGATGCATTATCCTTGAATATATCACCGTTTCCGGGATCCTTCCAAGACACTGACGGCTGAGGGGCCTAAGTAGGGCCCGTCAGCTCGTATCAGCATTGTGGTCATGGGTTGATGTTGTCTTGGGTACTTGGTATAGGGGTGAAAGAGTAGTAATACTAGCAGGCTACCTAGGCCTCCTTATATAGGTGCTGAAACTGTGGTTCTTAGTCTATCTTAGCTTTATAGGCCTAGAATTAATTATAGAGAGAGAGGTGCAGCCTGCTAGATATAACTAAAGTTTTAGTATTTTATATATAAATATAAAGAGTATTGTTAGTTTGATATAATAAAGATAATATAATATAATAAAACTATAATTTTAAGATCTCTTGATAGATATATATCAGGGTATAGTAACTAGAATATTTATAACTTAGATTTTTAAGAATATTATTCAGTCTGACTCTAGATATATAATATCTATAGTTACTTAGTATTCTTAGCCACTTTAAGCAAGTCTATAGCTTATGTATATACTAGGTCAAGTACACGGGATAAGAGATTCCTTTAGAGATCTAAGCTTATTTGGTAAGGGGTAATTTTTTATAGGACCCCTAGGTAGGTGGCTAGGTAGCTAGGTAGCTAGATAGCGAGAGGTAGCTAGGGATAGCTAGGGATTTTCAGGGGTATTCCTAGTCCCCTGGGAATATTGCAAGTCCTCCCCCTGGTAGTATAGGTATAAATAGCTTCTCCAGGGGTGCTGCTCGCGCTTGTTTTAACTGATTTAAAGGAGGAGAGGTGTAGAGACGAGCGGCTCCGTAGGCGGTATATATGGGTGGATTAATGGTGTGAGGTATGTTGATACAGAAACAATTGAAGTCGTCCAGGACCCCACCCTTGATATCTATTTCAATTCCGAGACGCCTGTCAAGTACCAATATGATGCGAAAGGTAATAATTGCCGACCCCATGAGGACAACCAGAGCGAAGCCATCATCAATAAAAATGGTAGAGGCGACTTGGGAGACTGGTTGATTGGCAAAATCCTTTGCTTTAAGAACAATAGCAGTTCGTGTAGTATGAATTCAACCTCGATCGAAGAAGGAAACGGCAGGCGCATTATCATTTGATCAAACTTGGTATCCTTGCAATGTGAAAACAATGATGATTTCGATCAGTCCGAGCTCTGTGTGCTAACACTCTTGCATGAATATCAAGAGTGTGGCCCTGTTATACTTAATGGGGTAGCTCCATTGACTCGGCAAGTCGCTGAATGATGGCTTTTGTTTTCGGTCCCCAACAATGAACAATATGATTAACAGTTCGGTCTTTTTGCCTCCGAGAGCGGAATGTAAACTGCGTAGCTCCATCAAACTCTGGGATTTCAGAAGCAACCGGAAATTGGATCAGGGATTGACCTTCTCTGAGGGCATGGAAAGAGGCGCTCTCGAGACGAGGAAACTCGCTAAGCATTCCGAGGATTGGTTTCCAGCCCGGGCTGTCCAATGTAAACAGCCTGATTTCCAGTGTAAACACCTTGATGCTAAGAACACGAAGGCTGTCCCGATGTTTATGCAATAGCTTGCTCAAGAGTGCCCCGTCCACTTTTGCTGATCTTGGAATACCCTGTAGTGAAAGCTTTTGCAGCCGTGGCGTTTCAAGAGAGGAAAGATGCCTGAGAATTTCGCCGCCTGCTGATCCACTATCAAATTGGATTGTTAATTCCTGTAGACTAGTTGCATGCCGAACCATTGGATCGATCCACTCAAGTATCTCAATATTGCTCATCGTGAAATTCAACAGAAGGACTTCCAGGTTGGCCCAGGTAGCAATGAACTCCGGTCCCCGAAGATCAGGGACATTGAGACGTCTTAAGTCTAATTCATTTGCTCCTCCGGTACCTGGCTGTATGAAATCCACCAAAAATTCTCGCACGGTCATATTTTGGTTGATGATACTGGTAAGAACCAGCGTAACAATATCAGTTGACGTGAAATGGTCCAAACAGCTGTCTTTGTCGGACCAGCCATCTCGGATAAGGTGAAAAGAGGCGCAATTTACCAGACCTCGAAGCACCTCACCCCATCTCTGAACATCTGCATTTGATTTTAGGTAGCCAGAAGTATGCCGATTCCACACCAAACCTTCTCCAAGTGTATTTTCGAAATCAGCGATAAATTTCACGGTCAGGAAGTGAACATGTGGCGCCAGCTCTGGATCGCTCGCTATTGTCTCCATTCTTTTCAGACTTCTCAAAGACAGGTCTGTCTGTAATTCTCCGAAGAATTTACAGCGGTAGAGATATAGAGTACTCTCATAGATTCTCTTGCAGGCCAGCCGAAATATGCATAGATCTCGTGCCGGCAAGCATGATGCAATAGCTTGCAGTAACTCGACGGGGAGATTCCCAAAACTTGAATATGGCATTTTTCTTTCGTAAGTTGGCTGGTTGTTTTGGTGGAACCCCGCGCGCATCCTGTCTTGATGTGAGTTATCAGTCACGTGGAGTTCAGGATCTACGCCGCTACTTTTTCGACGGCGGGCGATAAGCAATGATTATATAGCCCGACGTCTCTGTGTAACTACCTATAACCTGTCAATAGGTAGTACATGCTGTTGACTTTGAAAAGTGGTACAGGTAGACCAAGAATGAAAAACAGGATTGAACATTCCGGTTCAAAATACCTCACAAGCTGTAAAAGAATGCCTTCGCACATGATGCTAGCGAACAATTGAGATAAAACATGTTGGAAAGGCTTGATATGATGCTGTTTGACAGACGTGATGGGTCATCGCAGGATGCGTACGTAATAGAAAAGAAAGGGAGACAGGTTTGTTCATTTCTTCCGCGCTGTCCAGTGGGACGGCCGATAGAGGCTCTGTCGCATACTACGGGGATCCTGGATGTACCCACATAGCGGTCGCTCATCCTCTGGCTGCCGTTTCTCGATCACGAAGCCCATGCGCTCAATCAAAGCAAATACTTCCGCTTCGGTAAGCTCCACCCTCCCGGGCTCCTCAATCCCCTGGGGTTCCCCCTCAGACTTGGAGGGTTGGTTCGCGCGGTGGTCGACGTCCTCGAAATGCCACAGGAGGGGACCCACGTTGACCCAGAGGCCGTTTGACTTCAAACAGTGGTGGATGGTTTCGACGTAGCGGATGAGATTGGGTGCGGTGTCTATGAAGAAGACGGTGGCGACGGCGTCGTATTGTTCTTTGTTGGATGGGCTGCTGTAGAGCACCACAAAATCGGCCGCGGACATGCTCATCGTCCCGAAGTGTCCACCTTCTTGAAGAGATTCATACATTGCCGCTCCGGGATGGATGTCCGGGATCTGCACCGTTTGGAGTTGTTGCTCGCGCGACTGGAGGTTGGAGAACTGCAGCGCAAAGGGATACAGCGTATGTTGTTGTGGGCCGGACGTGTGGTTTAAGATCCAGCTGCTGGCCAGCAATTGATGGTACGAGATCTCATTGCCCTCCGCGGCAAACCCCGCGCGACAGACTTCGAAGACCAATCTCCCGAGACCGGCACCAGGAACTAAGACCTTGATCTCTTCCTCCGTGGCATTTTCCTTGGCGAATTCCTCCTTGAGGTCGCGGAGCACGGGGCCGTAGCAGATATCGCGTTCCACTGCCCCTTCGGCGCTCCAGTCCCGGTAGAACTGACGAATAGTCGAATAGGCCTTGTTGACGTCCGAAGAAGTGGCAGTTTCCCGCCATTTCCGACTAGCATCGGTAGAGTCACTACTCCCCTCAAGTTCAAAGGAGGCGAGGCCTGTGGCGAGAATGGCGTCTGCAATATCGGCATTCACATCGATGGCCTCATCCACGCGGGTGAAGCTGTCCAGCAGGGAGAACGGCGGCTCTGACAGCAGCTGCAAGTGTGCAGGCGGGAGTGCATAGAACGCCTGGCGTCGCCGGTGGGTGGTGTTGGCGTGGGCTGTTCTCCGGTATTGTCTGTGAATGTCAGCGGCGATCCTTCACGACAGGCTGGCAGGCTGAGAGTGGTAGATAGAGAACTCTATTATGGAAAGACATTCAAGTACGCAAGGGAGTACAGAAGCTGGACAGAATCATGGACCACGTTGTAGTATGTAAATGTATGGAACAGCATAACGGCAACCCCACCGCGGGGTATCATGGAGGACATAAAACCGATGGGAGATCCTCCACCGCCAGTAACCACTCTTAATGAACTCACACACCTGAAAGAATCAAGAGCCGCAAAGAGCACTCGCCGGTCCTCTGGGTCGGCCAATGGATCATAATCCCCAGCCCAGCTACGAGTTTCCGAGTCGTCGGTGGGGGGATGGACAGTCATGATGAGGATGAATGATCACACTGTAGATAGTGAGAACACTGTAATCCGCTTCAACTTTGCCAGACTATTTTATTGAAGCAGCGATGTGTCCAGAGCACACCGATTGCGAGGATATATAATTGTTGATATCGAGAGGAAGGATTGTCCAAACCCATCACAAAAGACGCGATAGATGACCGCCAGACCGCCTTCAAAACCTGGCAGATCTGCTCCCTTATTGACCGCCCTCGATAATACGTCACACTATTTTCGACTATATTTTAGCGTGTCATGTCAACATTTCATTTCGTTGACATTCCCGACTTGTAAATATAGTAAGGATCAGCAAAGTCTTAGACAGTCCGTCTATTTTACAAGATTGAAGCTATTCAGCCATTTATGAATTACTACACTATCACAAAGCTAGACCGCTGTACAAAACACTTGAAGAATTAAGAGTTGGAAGGGTCTGAATTACAGCTTAGTCAAACATATATAAGAGTACATCAGTTTAATCCGCCCCTACCCACGACTTGCTAAGCTTCCACAACTTCATTTCCATATCCTGATCAAACGCCCAACTTGCATATCCATATTCAAGTCCGTCCCCATCCGAAGGGGCCGGATGGACTACCACAGAAGCCCCTTCCAGATATAAACCACCTCTCCCCTCCAGCTCGCTCGAGACAGCGCCGTACACGGTTGTCGCGCAGGCTTGTCCGAGACTGGACAGATATGTTTGTGTGCGCTTGTCCTGCAGCGCTGTCTTCATTTTCTCTTGCGAGTATTTCTGGAGGTTGGGGCTCACGAAAGCCCCAGGGTGTAGGCTGTAGCCGTGGAGGCCATGAGCTCCGTATAGGCGCTCGATCTGGTTGGCCATGTATATATTTGCTGTTTTGCTAGATCCGTAAGCAAGCCAGCCGTTGTAGTTTCCTTCGAAATTGACGTTGTCGAGAGGGATGGGGCTGTAGCGATGGCCTGATGAACCGACGTTGATGACACGGGAGTGGAAGTTTGGTGTGGCATGGGCTGTTGCCAGTAGGATGTCTTTCAAAAGATAGAAGTGGAGGAAGTGCGACAGGTGGTTTGTTCCAAACTGAAGCTCAAAGCCATCTTTGGTACGACTTTCTGGAGTATTCATCACCTATACAAAGTGAGAAAGTGAGAAAGAGAAGAAAAGAAAAGAAAACTCACACCCGCATTGTTAATAAGAACATTCAGCTTAGAACTTTGCTTAAGGAAGTCCTCGACACACGCTCGAACACTCGAAAGGTCCGTCTGATCCATCAACAGAAGCTTCACACGCCTAGTATCAAGCAAAGAACCCAAAGCCTCCTTCGCCTTTTCGAGATTCCGGGCTGTACCAAAGATAGTGGCACCGGTAGATGCCAATACACGCACCGTCTCTACACCGACTCCAGAGGAAACACCGGTAATTAGCACCACCTTATCGGCCCATCGGTTGACTAGACCCTCATCTTCGATGATTTGACATCCCGTTACGCGCGAGTCGCCGGGACCATTGAGTAGTTCCCACCGATTGTGCTCTGCATACCGACCAGAGAGCTGGAAAGGGACTCGGGATACCATTGACGTATGTTGTCTGAAGTACTAATGATGTCTGAACAACGAATGAAGTTCAGATTTAGATAAAGCTATGTAGGACTAGACAGACTGAGATGTCAAATACAATTCTCATGTCATCTTGTGCGGGGACGTATCCATGATTTCAGGATGATGCGGCTTGGGCGCCACCGAATCGGATTGAAACCGGCATCAGTTAAGTTCATGCTCACATCATGTCACTCCAGGCTGATAATCAGAAATAATCTTGATTTAGGCAGTTTAATCCTGCCACACGGGTAGTGTTCATCATCACTTGGATGTGATTTTCACGAAGAGTGCCTGCGATGACGTTGTCAAGTCCACGCTGCCTGGGAGAATAGTACAGCAGTGGAAGCTCAAATAATTAGTCTGCCAGTCTGCTTAAATTGACTTGCCAATGGGGTATAAACATTAAGCAAGAGCGGTCACTTTGAGATCAGTCCTGTGGATATGTATAGACAAGGATGTCGGTTGGTGTCAAGTATGGCCGATATATTTGAACGGAAGCTCTTTCGATCGGAGTTTTAAAAAAACCCTTGATTTGATAGTGCAGAATTTTAGGTCTGAGGCTGTATGATGATCTCTCCATATCATTAGCTTGTGATGAGGTTGTAATCAAAAGCGTCAAGCAGACGCGATCTAAATATACGTTCCTGGCACGTGACCAGGGTGGGATGTCGGCCTTCGTCTCCACAGCTTCTCCATCATCAACAGTACATCCGACCTGTCTACATTTACAAACAAGCAAAATGGCCACAACACAGGCCCCAGAACAGTCCCAAATGGACTCCATGCCGCAGCTCAAACCACAGGAGATTTCATTCCCGCTGCCTAAGGCACTCCACACCACCGCGCACATCCATCTCACCTTCTTGGAGACCTGCGCGATGGTCTTCCTCTCCACGACAACCCCAGGAGACTCGGCTGGCTCCGTAGCCTCAATGGGTAGTTTCGTGTATGCGATGCCAGATGTAAGTGCTCGTCCGACCTGCCCCACCCGACGTGGCATGCATGGTCTCGGTCTATTCCAGTAGCGAATATGATGCCTGACAAGCACAGCGCACCAATCCCCGCGCGGCGATTTCCACCACTATCTACACCGCGACCTCGGTCGAGTATACGACGCGGATCGCTAAGATCCTGGCTCGTCGTATGGGGGTTCCGGTGTATGTGGGGTGTAGCATTGATGCCACCGCGCTCGAGTTGACGGTTGAGGAGGAGATGGAGGGGTTGGTGAAGATTGTAGAGACGGTTATGGAGAGATGGGGAAAGCGGTAGCAGTTAACAAGATAGTGTGCTTCGTTTAGGCTGTAGTAGTGATTGGATCTTCATGACTGAGATACGCAGTGAGCCTATGCTGGAGACAAGACAAGTCCTCTATCTGTCCATCTCGTTACCTCTCTGACTGGAATTTACAAATACAGCTATTCGGAGGTCTAAACTGACGAACAAGCGTGATGTTGATATTCCTATATTCAAGCTCAACTTTACACTTCCCAAACAATGTTAAAGCTTGTCTGTCATCATCCTGCCCTGATTAGGGCTCAAATTCACAAATCATTCGGTCATTAAACCCTAACTTGGCTACCACTGTCCCCTCCGTCTATATCTAACGAACCATCGACCTGTCACTATATAGCCTACTGCACTTGTATTTATATACTCATGTGGCTCTTCGAGAGATCCACATCGCTAGGATGTTTTCTCGTGTGGGCCATACTGCTGCTCGCGCAGACAGCGCAGTCCATCCTGCTGGACCTTGATTCACCCGGTCAGACCCTCCTCTCTGAACTCCTTCCAGACTGACACCCCTGCGATATAGAATCTATCAAAAAAGCCGCTAAACAGGCAGCCTCTGGAATGATGGCATACTACAACGGACACCAACCAGGAAACATCCCTGGGAATCTGCCGGAGCCCTACTACTGGTGGGAAGGTAGTCTCCCTTAAGAACCCACACACAATACCTACTAAATAACGAATCAGCCGGAGCAATGTTCGGCGCCCTAGTCGAATACTGGTACTACACCGGCGACAACACCTACAACAGCCTAACAACGCAAGCCCTCCTCCACCAAACTGGCCCCGAAAACAACTACATGCCCCCAAACCAATCGCGCACCCTAGGCAACGACGACCAAACCTTCTGGGCCTTCGCCGCCATGTCCGCCGCAGAAACCAAATACCCAAACCCACCTCCAGACAAACCGCAATGGCTGGCCCTCGCGCAAGCCGTCTTCCACTCGCAGGTCGCCCGGTGGGATAACGCCTCCTGCGGCGGCGGGCTCAAGTGGCAGGTTTTCCCGTTCAATAACGGCTTCACGTATAAGAATACGGTGTCGAATGGGTGTTTCTTTAATCTCGCTGCAAGGCTGGCGGTGTATACGGGGAAAGGGGGCTATGCGGACTGGGCGGAGAGGGTGTGGGATTGGACTGTTGCTGTTGGGCTTGTAGATGGGGAGTTTCATTTTCGGGATGGCACGGATGAGCGCAGTAACTGTACGGTGTTTAATACGCTGCAGTGGACTTATAATGCGGGTTTGTATTTGCTTGGGGCGGCGCATATGTATCAATTTGTGTGTCTTCCTTATATCTATACACCCTCCATCTACACTTCCCACTCCTACCTACGCTACTAACCCACCTGTTATCCAGACAAACAACTCCCCCCTCTGGCAAACGCGCATCACGCAAATAATCCACAGCCTAGACACAACCTTCTTCGCCCAATCCAACATAATGAGCGAAATCACCTGCGAACCAACCCACACCTGCAACACCGACCAACGCTCCTTCAAAGCGTACCTCGCGCGCTTCATGGCCCACACGATGCAGATCGCGCCGTTCACGCGGCCCCTGCTGCTTCCCAAACTGCGCGCTTCGGCGGCTGCTGCGGCGAGGCAGTGTAGTGGGCCTGGCGGGGTGTGTGGGTTGCGCTGGACGAGTGGGGTGGTGTTTGATGGGAGTGTTGGGGTGGGGGAGCAGATGGCTGCGTTGGAGGTGTTTCAGGGGTTGTTGAGTGGAGGGGTGACGGGGAGGGTTACGGCTGGGAAGGGGGGGATTAGTACTGGGGGTGGGAAGGGGGGTGGAGGAGGAGGTGGGGGCGGAGGTGGAGGGGGGGATGAAGGGAAGGATGGTGAGGATTGGGATTGGGACGGGGATGGGGATGGGAATGGTGGAAGTGGAAAGGCAAGCGTAAGAGTGACCGGGGGAGACCGCTTTGGGGCGGCTGTTTTGACGATGTTGCTGGCGGTGATTATTGTGGGGGCGTTGTATTGGGGGGTTTCTTAGTCTTATATTATGGTATACTCTATTGCTGTCTAGGGCTTCAAGACTTGATAGTCAACGTATACTCCAGGTATCTCAGTCGTTGTATAGCTGCCAAGTCCCTGATGGTATGCACTGGAATGTAGACACTCCTCACTACGACATTAGGTTCGTATCTCGTATTGCCCGTCCTCGTATCTGTCGACTAATTATCCATCGCTTACAGTCAACGGGGATCAATGAGACTCAATGCTCGTAGAATAATATTGTAAACAATAAGTATAATGGGTATGCTAGAACCTGACAGTCCTGATGTAGACCATCCAAACCGAACTCCATACCGTACCCAGAACCACAATGCTAGGGATATCCGATTGCCACGCTGAAACAGAACCCACCAACCATGACCGGGAAAAATAACAAAAGAGAAGAGAGAAGAGAGAAGAGAAAGAGAAAGGGAAAAACAGGAGACCAGTGCAAGGGCCACGTGCATCCGGGAATGGGGCTGCCGAATCCCATTCGTCATGCCGATTAGCCTCGTAACTCGCACGGACGCGGAAACATTCCGATGAAAGGTAGGTATATATCGAATAAAAAAGATAGAAAGAAATGGGTGAAAAAAAAAGAGGAGTGAGAAGAGGAGGAAGAAGAAGAAGAAGAAGAAGAAGAAGAAGAAGAAGAAGAATGAAAAAGAAAGAAGAGAAAAGAAGAGGGGAAATAAAGGAGAAAAAAGGAAAAAAAAATCTATATCGATGGCTGGGGACATCCTCGCGGCCCTTGCAATGCGCATTCGCTGGCATGCATCCCACTGTGATGCCCCGTGTACCATCCATCGCCGATCAGTTGCCGTTCCAGATCTTGCCAGTACTTGGCCTTCCCGCCGGCTCCCGTCTTCAAATCTAAATCCCCCAGTCGCACTTCGACAGGGCCGTCTTCGTCCCGTGACATCTGGCCGAGTTCCGTCAGTGACGCGGTCATTTTTTCATGACGTCATCGTTGCCTTACCTTGATGAACATGGTACAGTCCCGCAGGGTCATCGCGAGGGACTTGTCCCGGGAGTGCGGGGCGGGACCGTGGAGTCCCACGTCGCCCATGGCGACTTGGTGCGCCACGAGCTTGTGTAGTGTGTGGTTTCGGTGTAGAATCCGCGCCAGGCGCCGTTGGTCTTTGCAGCCTTTGATGAACCGGGTGGCCCGGAGGACATTCTCGAATTTGTCGGATATCAGGTCGAGAGGGCAGAAGGAGGGTTCATCCTGGCCCCCGCGTCTCCGGTCGTCGTGGTTTTTGAGTTCTCGCAACGCGCAGGTGCGACACCGGCGCGCATTTCCCGGCGCCGTTGGCGACTGTAGTAGCCACTTGGGTTTGAACTCGGCCAGCACCGTCCGCGGGTCGCCGAACGGCGTCATATCTGTGACCAGCAGCCCGAAGGGCTCGTTAAGGGAGAGATACACCCCATGGCGTCGTTTCGGTCGTCGGCCGTTCACCTCCGCGAGACGTAGCTGCTCGTTGCACCACGGAATCAAGCCCGGAGGAAGGCGGATCAGCTCCTGGTCCACGAGCTCCTCCGATTTGAAGAGAGGCCGAATGTTGCGATCGAAATTCCGCGAGATCTCCTGGTACGGGACCCCCGACAGGGTGTCCTTTCGGAGACGCAGCAGCTTCCCCCTCAACTCCTTCGGGACCGCATGCGACTCGAAGGCGCCGGCCACGTGCGCCCTCCCCGAGCTCCCATTTTTGGGCCCGTAGGTTCCGTTCGCGAGTGGCGCCACGATGCGATAGATGATGTTGGCGCCACCCTCCGCCAGGTAGACGAGTCGAGCCCCAACGGGGAGCTCGAGGGAATTCGGTATGGTCATCCGTTCAAGTCGTCAATGAAAATATTGGAGTTAGATGTTCGACGAAAAGAATCATGGCCGGCACGACGACTCCCTGCTGGTTCGAGACGAGCGACCGCAGGATTGACCTCGGGGCGCTTTGACCAAGCAGATCGACGTCCTGCGATGTATGAATTCTCGCCGATGAGCACGAGAGCTGGGCGTTCATTAAATAGTGCGATGGGGCGGGCAGCGCGTGGAGCTGATTGTGAAAAAGCAAAAACCGATTTTCCATGCGCGAGGATGTAGATCGTTGGACAGGCCTGAAAGAATGTATGAAACCCGAACACTAGCCGGACTGGATGTCGGGGGTGTTTGATAAGGAATTTTTTCTTTTTTTTTTTTTTTACCCTTCTCCTTTTCCCCTTCGTTCTGTTGTTCTTTTCTTCTCTCTTCTTTTTCTTCAAAAATTTTCTCTCCCTTTACTGGGAGGAAGTAAAGAGATGATAGGAATCGGAAGAAAATCAAAGAAAAAAGTAGAGAAGAGAAAAATGCAAAGAAGGAAAAAAAAAGAAAAAGTGCGATGGAAGCGTTCTCAAATTTTAGTCAATTCGCTCCGGTACGGCCTTCCGAACCACTCCGTCGGATATCCAAGGTGACGATGACGGAATTTATGGAATCTCTGACGGTCAGGCTCAGCTGATGCATTCAACCTTCTGGAAACACCTTCCTCCAAGCAGAAACGGTGGAAGAAACGATCCGGCAGAAGGCTAACGGAGAGATAATCCTCCAACCCGATCGCGTTTAGCGGGAGAGGGTCCCCAGATCTAGAAAAGGCGCCCAGCACAGGGTTTCTGATCGAACCAGGAAACGGTGGCGCTTGGCCTTGCCAGACTCAGGCCGAACTCATGCCAATCAGATCGTCAGCGAACAGAAGTGGATCGAGACGATTTTTGATATTGGGTGCGATTGAGACCACCTGACGCCCTGGGTTAGATGATGCGCAACAGAAAAGACAAGTCGATCAATTAGAAATACGAGATATAAAGATTGAAGACCGAAAAAAACGAGTGAAAAAAGAACAAGATGAGGTCAGCAACGCGAAATGCTGGATCAGGCGTCGGGCACACAGGCGTTCGCGCCGTACCAGGGGTTTTGAGCAAGAGGCGGTCAACTGGGGCCCCGAATGACAGGCTCTGAAGCGTGGTTCGAAGTGGGGAGAGAGGAGATTCGTTGGAGCAAGGCGGAGAAAAGGAAGGCTGCAAGAATCATGCAAATAATCGAGCTAAACGAGGGACTGAGCGAGAGCAAACGGTCAGGCTGGACAGGGATGGAACTAGTCGGAGGAACAGGTTTGCCACGCCAGTTGATCACCGCTTGCCGAGAGGGTCCAGGATTAGAGGGGTTAAGACACCCGAGAATGCTTGATTGTGGAACACTGGGATGACAAAGGAAGCGATATAGAAAGGGGGAAAATTGAGAGGGAGAAAGAGAGAGAAAGTGAGATGAGGTTGAAGTAAAGAGAAAAAGAGAAGAAAAAGAAGATTTGACGATGGTTCGGTTAGGAGCCTCAGGCTGAAGAGAATGACAATGACGCAGTATCCGCCGAAATTCATCCACTCCACTATCTCTCTTCTTTCTTTCGTTCTCATGCCTTCTTTTTTCTCTCAATATATACATCATGTCTCTCTCTATATAATATAGATATATATATATAATTATACTTATTGTGAACCCCTGATCTTTCCGTTTCTATGCCCAACACCGGCGATCCCTTGCAAGGCCTCAGGATGATGGACCGGCCACTCGCTTAATCGAACAACCCCTCTTTCATGATAAGGTCGGTGGATAAATGGGGATTCCCCGGCGGTAAGGGATGGTCAGGAACGAACCACGGTCGTCAGGAGGAGACAATCTGGGGAAAGAAACAAGGGTACGATGGCGCAACTGCATGACACCCCCAGTCGGGATCAACCTCAGCAAGGGGGCTCAGCCCATTCGCAACCCGATAATGATACATCAGATTCAAAAGGTGTTTGACCAACGACGCATTCGAAACCCGAGACGCATGGCGTCGATAAGTTGGGGCTACTGCACATTCCGTTCGATCAGAGGGAACGCTGCCGGTCCCTGCACCAGGCAAAATAAGGGAAGACGATAGGCGAAAAGAGACCAGGCAAAAGTCAAAAATCATCAAAACAATTGGAACATCCTTGCAGTGGCCTGCACAATGCAGTGGTCCGATCCGGGCACTGAAAGGGGAAAGGTCATTTACCGATGCTTGTGGTTGGATGAAAGGATGGATTGTGACGGAGGTTTTCTTTTTCTTTTTCTTTACTTTCATTTTGTACCCCTTCCCTGCCCCCTCCATGCGTGCAATCTCAACCCCGCATTTGCCTTTGGATTTGCGACTTGTAGAACGGTTGCCAAGATCCAAAGAGCCCCATCTGCCTATCGACTTTTCTGGGTTCATCCCGTCTGATACTCCAGTGGCGGATCAGCGGCAGAAGGCTGAATTCCAAGAGATAAGGAACAGAGCCGGTTTGCGATCTGACTGCATCGCTGGATACGAGTGGTGGGGGGAGGAAGGCTGCTAGCCTGCTAGTATATTAGTACGGCGTGCTCCATAGTGTTGTCAGGTATCCTGATCCATAACGCTCAGACCCACACCAGATATCCGAATCGGGGGGCGACTAGTCAACGAATCATAGGAGGAACGAGTATGGAAACCAGTCGACCCACGATGGTTGTCATCCCCGATCGGAGATGAGATTCATGACATGGAGACCTGTTGACGGTTGACATCATCGCGAGTCATGCCATAACGGTCAGGCCGACCGTGGCGATTCTGCCCGATCTAAATGACCGCCTGATGAGCATGAGGTAGCGTTTCTCCAGACCCCTCCAGTTTTCGCGTTGTTGGTCGTTACATAGTTGATGCTGCTACTGTTAGTGTCCTCAACTAGGTATGTAGTATACAAGTGAAGCAGCTACTGTAGAACAGAGATCACCATGGTGATATCGAGATCGAGCGCGAACCTACCCACGTGATCACGAAAGGCCGCGGGGCTTCTGGAAGGCGGTGGAAGACACTCGTGTCGTCATCCGCCGTCTCGAGTCTTTTCTACGCTGCCCAATCTTGCCTATATCTTGCTGTCTCGTCCTCCATCCTGGTCAATCTGCACATTCATCAAAGGACTACTTCGCAATCTTACATACCTGAAGTACTCCATAATCACACATATCACACAACAGACTCGAAAACAAAAAGAATCTCTTGTTAATCCCACAATCGTCGTTTCATCATGAACGGCGCTCAGTTCACTGATAGAGCCAACAAGGCTCTGCTGGACTCCAGTGGTCTGGCGGAGCAATACTCTCATTCTCAGATCCTTCCGATTCACCTGGCAGTGGCATTACTGGACCCATCGCCAGACGAGTCGAAAGATCAACAAACCACAGTTCACTCCTCTCACGAAGCCGCCAGCGCCTCCCTATTCCGTCAGGTCGTCGAGCGTGCCCATGGAGACCCCCAACTCCTGGAGCGATCGCTGATGAAGCAGCTCGTTCGCTTCCCCAGCCAAGATCCTCCTCCCGAAACCGTCGGGGTGTCGCCCGCCCTCGCCAAGGTCCTTCGATCGGCTACGGATTTGTCCAAGACCCAGAAGGATAGCTACGTGGCCGTGGACCACCTCATCTTGGCGACCGCCCAGGACTCGCAGGTCCAGCGATGCTTGGCCGACTCGAATATCCCGAACGTGAAACTCATCGAGAACGCGGTCCAGCAGATCCGTGGCACAAAACGGGTGGACTCCAAGACGGCGGACTCGGAGGCCGAAAATGAGAATTTGAAGAAGTTCACAATCGACATGACGTCGTTGGCCCGCGAGGGTAAGATCGATCCCGTCATCGGTCGTGAAGAGGAGATCCGGCGGGTCATCCGAATCCTTAGCCGTCGGACAAAGAACAACCCGGTTCTCATCGGCGAACCGGGTGTCGGAAAGACGACCATCGTCGAAGGGCTGGCCCGTCGGATGGTGAACGCTGACGTCCCGGCCAACCTGGCACAATGCAAACTCCTCTCCCTGGACGTCGGATCACTGGTCGCGGGCAGCAAATACCGCGGTGAATTCGAAGAGCGCATGAAGGGCGTCCTCAAGGAAATTGAGGATTCCAAGGACATGATCGTTCTCTTCGTCGATGAGATTCACCTCCTCATGGGCGCCGGTACCACCGGTGAGGGCGGCATGGATGCCGCGAACCTGCTGAAGCCCATGCTGGCGCGAGGTCAGCTGCACTGCATCGGTGCGACCACCTTGGGCGAATATCGCAAGTACATCGAGAAGGATCAGGCTTTCGAGCGCCGCTTCCAGCAGGTTCTCGTTAAAGAGCCCACCGTGTCCGAGACGGTCTCGATTCTCCGTGGTTTGAAAGAGCGATACGAAGTGCACCACGGTGTCAACATTCTCGATTCCGCCATCGTCGCTGCGGCTACGCTGGCCGCGCGATACCTCACCGCCCGTCGACTTCCCGATTCCGCCGTCGATCTGATTGACGAGGCCGCGGCCGCCGTGCGGGTCACCCGCGAGTCCGAGCCCGAGGCTCTGGACACCCTGGAAAGAAGACTGCGCCAGCTTCAGATCGAAATTCACGCGCTCGAGCGCGAAAAGGACGATGCCTCCAAGGCTCGCCTGGAGGCGGCCAAGCAGGAAGCCGCCAATGTCTCCGAGGAGCTACGCCCCATGCGGGAGAAGTACGAGAGCGAGAAGAGCCGCAGCCGGTCCATCCAAGACGCCAAGATCAAGCTTGACAGCCTGAAGGTCAAGCGTGACGAGGCCGAGCGGTCCGGCGACACCGTGACCGCCGCCGACATCGGGTACTACGCCATCCCCGAGACCAAGACCCTCATCGAGCGGCTGGAAGCCGACCGTGCCAAGGCGGATGCCGAGAACCGGGCGCGGGCAGGCGAGGCGGGCGAGGCCCTGCTCGCCGACGCTGTCGGTCCGGATCAGATCAACGAGATCGTGGCCCGGTGGACGGGCATCCCGGTCACCCGACTGAAGACCACCGAGAAGGATAAGCTGCTGAACATGGAGCGGTATCTGGCGAAGCAGGTCGTGGGCCAGAAGGAAGCCGTCACGTCAGTGTCGAACGCCATTCGTCTCCAGCGATCGGGACTGAGCAACCCGAACTCGCCGCCCAGCTTCCTGTTCTGCGGCCCGTCGGGTACGGGTAAGACCCTGCTGACCAAGGCCCTGGCGGAGTTCCTCTTCGACGACCCCAAGGCGATGATCCGGTTCGACATGTCGGAATATCAAGAACGCCACTCCCTGAGCCGGATGATCGGCGCGCCTCCCGGCTACGTGGGCCACGACGCAGGCGGGCAACTCACCGAGAGCCTCCGCCGCCGGCCCTTCTCGATCCTGCTCTTCGACGAGGTCGAGAAGGCCGCCAAGGAGGTCCTCACCGTCCTGCTGCAGCTGATGGACGATGGGCGCATCACCGACGGCCAAGGGCGCATCGTCGACGCGCGCAACTGCATCGTGGTGATGACGTCCAACCTCGGCGCCGAATACCTCGCGCGCCCGACAACCAAGACAGGCCAGATTGATCCGCAGACGCGCGAGCTCGTCATGGGCGCCCTGCGCGACTACTTCCTGCCGGAATTCCTCAACCGTATCTCCAGCACGATCGTATTCAACCGTTTGACGAAGCGGGAAATCCGCAAGATCGTCGACCTGCGCCTCAGCGAGGTGCAGCACCGGCTGGACGAGAACGGCCGCAAGGTGCAGATCAAGTGCACCGAGGAAGTCAAGGATTACCTCGGCGAGGCGGGATACTCGCCTGCCTACGGCGCGCGGCCGCTGGCGCGGATCATCGAGCGCGAGGTGCTCAACCGGCTGGCGGTGCTCATCCTGCGCGGGAATATCCGCGAAAACGAGGAGGCGCAGGTCATCATGCGCGATGGACATATCGATGTGCTGCCGAACCACGATGTGCAGGTCGAAGACCAGGACATGCTAGACGATGAGGATGACGCGCTGGCGGAGATGGAGGATGAGGGTGGAGATATGGATCTTTATGAATAGTGGAATGCGGTATGATCAGCTGGATTGCGGTATGATTATGATTTATGATTGATGGTTTTTCAATTCTTTTTGTCTTCGTCTAATCCTGTTTTCCTTTCCTTTTCTTTTCTTTTCGCCTTCCTTTCTGTACATTTCTCACTCTGTTGTTTCCCATTATGACTGCAGATGTACATCCGGCATGGCGCGAGCCTTGTTCATACGTCCATAAAATGTACACATACAGCTAGATTGACTGAAGATAATCATTTAATTTTTCATTTGATATACATAAATTCCCTGACCAATACCCTGTGTAGTGAGTAAGAATAGTAACATAGTAACACAGTATCGCTCTGTTCCACTGCCACAAAGAATTGTCTTGGTTTAAATGAATGTTTCAGTAACCACGCGCCGAGCTACTGTCTCTAATTCTCTAGATAGAATGTGTGACAATCTCTAATCAGGCAGATATCCTCCTGATGAAGACTATCGTTGTCTATGTATTCACATGCCGTTCCACACACTGATCAATATCAGTCCGACCTCATCTCGTACTCGAGAGTCTAGGGAGAGGGGAACTTCCTCGTACAACCGATGCCATGACGGTGAACCCCATGCTATGCACGTAAGCGCTACCTGCATTGCACCTTAGTAAGTTGGTTGAGCCTGTGTCACTGTTATATATAGAGAGATTTGAGATATATAGATATACAGACGGAGAAAGACTAGAAAGACTAAGACATTATGCAGGCCTGTAGAACAGCGGAAATTACAGGACTATTCTGGAAAAACAAGACGCAGTGCAATCATCCAGCTGAGAAATGTAACTAATCCCAGACAGGAGGAAAGAATGTCTGATGTCTCGGACTGTGTCACAGTATGGGAAATGAGGATGGTATTCGCGGGTTGAGTGAAGTCTTATTGAGACCCGTTTAGGACTTAGTTTATCAGGTTGAGTCGGTCGGTTTTGACAGCTGGAAGGAGAGATCGATCGGAGAATTCATCTGGACTCCTTGCAGGGGATTATTGAAGTCATTAAATTACTTTATTTGATCCTGCTTTTACTACACTTCCACACTGCTACACTACACTGCTGCAACTGCAAGGGTGACTAGGGTTGTATATAACCTCAACCGCAGCCGCTACCCCTTCATACAGATCCCCATACTCCCTCCGACATGTTTCACCGATACATCTGGTCTGTGACCACCATTCTACTGGGGACCTGCACTGCCTTTGGGTTCCCCAACCCCTCAGCAGACTGCACATCAGTACCACTGGTCAATGCCACGGTGGATCAGCTACAGCAGGGCCTCCGCCAGAAATGCTTCAACAGTGTGGATTTGGTGACGGTTAGTCTTCTCTTAGTGTCACTTTCAGTACATACTGACAAGACAGGCCCATCTGTCTCGCATCTATGAGGTCAACTCCACCCTCCATACCGTCCTGGAAATCAACCCCGATGTATACGGGATCGCCATGCGCATGGACATGGAGAGAAGAATTGGACACACGCGGGGGTATGTCTGTTACGCGACATTGTCTGCTCGATCGTTGCTAATAGCTGAGATAGACCCCTGCACGGTATTCCGGTCCTCATCAAGGATATCATCGGCACAAAGGACAAGATGCAGACAGCCAGTAGATTCCCTTTCCTCAAATTCCCCCCTCCTCCTACTATAAAAGGACACATCAACCTGACCTTGTCCAGTGGGATCCTATGCCCTGGTCGGCGCCCAAGTACCAGCAGATGCAACCGTTGTCACCAAACTGCGCGAACAAGGTATGATCATCATGGGAAAGACCAGCATGTCTGAGTGGGCCAACGTCCGATCATCAAACTCCTCCAACGGCTGGAACGCCCGCGGCGGCCAAACCTATGGAGCGTACCACCCCCAGCAGGATCCGAGTGGCAGCTCTAGCGGTAGCGCCGTCTCGACGGACCTGGGACTCGCGGCTGTGACGCTGGGATCGGAGGTGGGCGCAGACACCTAAACCAGACATAGACACCATGCTAACCACGCATTCTGACAGACAAGCGGAAGCATCCTCCTCCCCAGCAGTCTCAACAACGTCGTCGGCATTAAACCTACCGTCGGCCTCACTTCCCGCTACATGGTCGTGCCCATCAGCGAGCGTGCCGACACTATCGGCCCCATCGGCCGGACGGTGACAGACGCAGCCCTAATGCTGCAAGCCATCGCGGGTCCGGACCCTAAAGACAACTACACCATGGCTTCGCCCTTTGGAGAACACCTCCCGGACTACGCAGCGGCCTGCAACCTCGCCGGCCTACAGGGCAAACGAATTGGCATCCCGCGAAACGTCCTCGACGCGATGGACCCGACCAACGAAGCAATCCGCACAGCCTTCAACAACGCCGTCGCGACCCTCGAAGAGGCCGGCGCAACCGTCATCGACAACGCCAACTTCACCGCATACACCAACTTCACGCAAAGCATGTCGCCATCCATCGTCATAGCCGCAGACTTCATCAGCGGCCTGTCCACATACCTCACCCAGCTAACCCGCAACCCGAACAACCTACACGGTCTCTCCTCTTTGCGCGACTTCGTCCACAGCCACCCCGCCCTCGAGGACTACCCGTCACGCGACACCAACACCTGGGACATGGCACTGGGCGCCGGCATCGACAACCACTCTCCAGAGTTCTGGGCGCTCTACCAAGAGAGTCTGTTTTTCGGAGACGAAGGTGGTATACTGGGTGCTCTCGCCCGCGACAATCTCGACGCCGTCATCCTCCCGACGATCATCGCGCCCGAAATTCCCGCCTTAGTCGGCACCCCGGCCATCTCGGTACCTCTGGGTGCATTTCCCGACGGCACGCCCGTCCAATACAACCCGCGCGGCGACCTGGTGGCCGCTGCCCCCGGGGTGCCATTTGGGATTAGTTTCCTCGGAGCCAAGTGGAGTGAGCAGGCGTTGATCGGGATGGCGTATGCGTTCGAGCAGCGGACGCTGGTGAGGGGGTCGCTGGAGAGGTATGTTGAGCCACGGACGGAGGTGAGGATGGGTCGATGGGGTTTTAGTAGTTAGTCTGTGATAGTAGTGGTGAAATCCGGTGGGATGTATGTTTATGGAGTGATCTTCTCATTAGGCCTTTGAACAGGCAATATGAGCTGAAATCGTATGGATGATATAGATCTGTTTGCCCTGCTTGTATAGATTGTAGACACACCCTAGAGTTCATTCATACTGGATACTTCTTCCACCATGTCTGATAGAGATCAGTCTCCGAATAGTTCGAATATTATAATAAATATATAGGTTGATCAATATAGAATCAATGGGATAAATATACAGGGCTACAATGATGGATCTAAATGATAACCTAAACCGGTTAGCGCCGCCGATCCGATAAGATCTTGTCTCTGCGGGGTCATTTTATCTTCATCTTCATCTTCATCTTCTCTTCTCTTCTAGTACTCTCTCGACATCTCTCAAGATAGTATACTATCTTATGGACAATCTAGATAACACCTGCGCTTCCCTGCGCCGGCGCATCGCCGAAACAGAAGCCCAACTCGCCCGTCTCCGCGGCGAACTCCAAGACGCCGAACGCGCCGCCACCACCGCCAAAGCGAAGAGTACGAGATGGCCGATGGAAGATGAGGAATACACTCGATATGGGCGACAGATGATTGTTCCGCAGGTTGGATTGCCGGGTACGTATCAGCAATTCTTTGGACTCCTGTCGGGTTCGTGATCGCTGACTAGTCACGTTTAGGCCAGCTGAAACTACGATCCGCCAAGGTGTTGATTGTTGGCGCTGGTGGGCTGGGATGTCCGGCGGCGCTGTATCTGGCTGGTGCTGGTGTGGGAACGCTAGGTCTGGTGGACGGCGATGAGGTGGATGTTTCCAATCTCCATCGGCAGGTCTTGCACCGCACTGCGAATGTGGGCAAGCGGAAGGTGGACAGTGCTATTGAGTATTTGCGCGAGTATGTTTCAACCTTGGGTTATTCAATTAAAGAAGAAAGACTAACTATGATGTACCAGACTCAATCCCCATCCCACCTACATCGCCCATCCCGCACACCTCACCCCCCAAGACGCCCCCTCCATCTTCGCCGCCTACGACCTCATCCTCGACTGCACCGACAACCCCGCCACGCGCTACCTCATCTCCGACACCGCCGTTCTCCTGAACAAACCTCTCGTATCCGCATCCGCCCTCCGCACCGAAGGCCAGCTCATGGTCCTCAACAACCCGCCTCAACCCCCCGGCGACCCCGCCGGCGGACCCTGCTACCGCTGCGTGTTTCCGCGTCCGCCCCCAGCAGCCAGCATCCTCAGCTGCGCCGACGGAGGGATTGTGGGGCCAGTAGTCGGCACAATGGGTGTCCTTCAAGCCCTCGAAGCTATCAAAGTGCTCACCACTCCGGCGAACCCACCAGCCCTGCACATCTTCTCCGCGTACTCGTCCCCGCTGTTCAGAACTATCAAGCTGCGCTCGCGCCGTCCTAACTGCGCCGTCTGCTCGGCCCAGCCTACCGTCACTCTGGACACCCTCCAGTCCGGATCCACGGATTACGTCTTCTTCTGCGGCAGCGTCAGTCCAGAAGCACTACTCCAACCCAACGAGCGCATCTCCCCACAAGACTACCAGCAGTCCTCTTCCTCGTCAGACCCCGCAATAATAATCGACGTCCGCGAAAAAGTCCAATTCGACATTTGCAGTCTAAACAACAGCATCAACATTCCTATCTCCACCATACTATCTTCTTCTTCCTCTTCCTCTTCATCCACCACCAACTCAGACCCTACAAAGAAAAACGAAAATCTCCCCCCCTGGCTCCCATCAGAAATAACCACATCCGAAACATCCCCCATCTACGTCATCTGCCGCCAAGGCAACGACTCCCAGATAGCGGTCAAAAAGCTGAAAGCGCTTGGTTTGGACCGCGAGGGGAGGCGCATTGTGGATGTTATGGGGGGGTTGCGTGCTTATAGACGGGTTGTTGATCCTGGGTGGCCTGAGTATTGACCTATTTATTCAGAGTATAGTGTATAGATAGATAGATAGGGAGATAGTCAGATGGGTATTGTATTGTTCAGATCGTTTATGTATATATTTAACCTTGATTTGTTATGTCCATAGGTATCCAGTCATATCCATGTCCATCCAATCACCCTAGGTATATACCATCAAGCTAAGTACATCCAACTATATACTATACTATACATAACTAAATACACGCAAGAACATCAATCGTATATATAAATCAGTCCAATGAAATGTCACGTCCAGTCAAGTCAATGTCAGCAGATATGTCCAATCCAATCCCGTCCCAATGCATCATAATCCATCAATCAATAAACATTGACCAATCAGCAATGATAAACAAACGTCACAAATGAAATAGAATGACACAAACAATGCAATATCAAAACATAAACAACAAATATAAAACAAATGTATAAAATGACATATATATATATAAAGAAAAAAGGAGGAAGAAGGGGAAGAAGGGGAATCAACTAATCGGCCGATGACACCTCACACATATCAACCTCTGCTTCCCATTCCGCGCCTTCGTCGCCCGGAAGTTCGTCCCGCGGCAGTTCTCGCACCGCATGACGTCGCCTTCGTCGCCGGTCGTTGCGCCATCGCCTTCACCCTCGCCGTCAGCGGACGACGTGTAGTCGCTGCTGAGGGCGCTGCCTGCGCTAGGCATGCGCTGCGGGACGGCCAGGTGGTTTGTGTCTCCTGAGGCTGTCGTGGCGTGGGTAGGCCGGGTTGTAGCGGCTGCTAGGGCATCCTGCGCGATTTTACCATAGTAAGCGTAGCTGTGATCGCCTTGCAGCCAGAGCGGGTTGTCCTTGTCCTGGACGTGGGCGGCTGCCCAGGCGACGCGTTCCTCGGGGGTGCCGTTTTGGGTGCCGCGGCGGCGGGCGGCGGCGGCGGCTGTGGCGTTCGCTTCGGCGCTGGAGCGTCGGCTGCTGTCGAGGGAGAACTTGTAGGCTGAGGGCGGTGGCGAGGTCGTCGAGTGCGAGGCGCCGATGGAGCCCCAGCCGCGCGGGCTGGAGTACCGTGAGAGGTGGTGGCGGTGCGGGGAGGGGCTGCGGGTGCGGGGGCCCTGGCGGGAGGAGATACTGTCTCGGCCGCTGTTCCTGGCGTGGCCGATGACGGAGTTGCGCCAGGAGATGATGCGCTCGGAGGGCGTCTTGTGCGAGGACTCCTTGCCGATGGAGGAGGCGATGCTGCGGCGGGCGGAGTTGGAGCGGCGCAGGATCCGCCGCGGGAGCGTCGAGTGCGTGTCCCAGTTTTCGAAGCGGCGCTTGTCGTACGCGCAGTCTTGCCGCAGGACTTTGATCTTGCCGGAGTAGTCGGCGATTACGATGATGTTCCCGTCTGGGTGGAGCGAGCGGTTGGCGTAGGCTGGGGACTCGAGGGCGACTCTGTTGGAGCCTGACCGGCGGTGTTGCGCGACGTTCTCGGGCGCGTGCGCGTTCAGGTTGACTGGCGGCGGGTTGCACACGTCGTAGATGGGGTCTTCCGAGGCACCGAGGATGCGCTTTGTTGTGGCGGGCGCCAGCACGGCGGCCGTTACCATGGCGGACTGGGTTTCTAGGACCTCGACAGCCCGCTTGTCTGTGTCTTTCTCAACCGGCCCCGTCGGCCAGAGGTAGGTGCGGCGGTCCTCGCTGCCGCAGATGATGTGCTTGCCGTCGTCGCTGAAGGAGGCGCGGATCTGGCTGCAGGTGTTCTCGTTGCCGCGGTACTTGGCCTCCAAGGCGCGGTCGCGGAAGTTGTACAGGCGGATGCGCGAGTCATTGCTGGTGATCAGCAGCTTGACGTCGCCGTCGGGGTCATCGCGCGGGAAACGCATGGTGTCGATGCCGGTGATCTTGCTGCCCTTGGCGTTGCGGCCGCGCGCGGACCGCACGTGGATCTGCCCGGCCATCTTCAGCCCGTCCGTCTGGTAGATGTTGCACATGCCGTTGAGACACCCGGCGATCGCGTACTGGCCTTCCGGCGTGAACGCGACCGAGGTGATCATGTCAGGGACGGAGGCCATGAACGCGACGCTCTTGTCAGGGATGCTCCACAGGCGCAGTCGGCTGTCGAGGGACCCGGCGAGGAAGAACCGGTCGTCGCGGGGGTGGAACTGGATCGAGGTGACGAAATCGCTGTGCTTGAAGCAGCAGAGACACTCGGGGCGGGTGACGTGCCACAGCCGAACGCTTTTATCCATCGACGAGGAGAGGAGGAAGTTGTTCTATCATGTCGTCTCATCAGTATTGACGCGGGGACCAAAGAAAGATCAGGTAATACCTTGCTCCAGCTCAAATCCAACACACTCCCGGTATGGCCCTCGTACACCTGGATCGGCTCCGACCGGAACACCGGGGCGTTCAATCGCGGCAATCCATCGCCATCGTCTTCCATCGTTTGGATCCTATCCCGGTCCTCGGGAGACCCGACGACGGACCAGACGCGCACCTTGCTATCCTGCCCGGCGGCCGCCAGGTATTTCCCATCGTTGGAGAAGACCAGCGCCCAGATGGCCTTGCCGGCGCCGCCGTGGCCGTGAGCGGAAGGCTCCTCGCTCTCTTCCAGCGATGCCGGCGTAATGCCAGCCCCTTCAAGTTCCTGCGCGACAAACACCCGACCGAACGTCTTGTGCTTCTTGTAGTGGGCCCTCACGCGGAGGTACTTGGGCGGACGCGGGAATCGAGGAAAGAAGCCGATCGGCTGCGCGGAGGCATCGGCATCCATGCGGGCGGTATCCGGCTCGGAGACATCATCCTCGTCCAGAAACTGGTCCTTCTTCTTCCCTGGTATGATGCGACTCAGGAACGAGACACCTTTTCTGTGAGAGAAGGAGAAGTTAGCGGATTTGGTCTACTTCCAGCAACGATATGCAGTTCTCCACCGTGCGGTGTACGTCAGACTGGCTGACGGAAGACAACACTCACTTCTTCTCCTTGGTCGGCTTATGCTGTGACACGGCGTCCGCGCGGGCTGATCCCTGGTCGACGAGGCTGGCATGGTCCGCGCCGCCCGCCTCGGCCTCGTATGAGGCTCGTCCGAGGAGTTTAAAAGGGATGGATTTCTGGGTATTGGTGCGCTTGATGATGTGCTGGAAGCGAACCGTCAGCGTCGCAACTCTCTGATCAAGTCCAGAAAAGAAGAGCGCACCTGAGACAGCGGATCTATGGCGCTGGAATCGGCGGACTCGATCAGGGTCGGCGAGGACAGCGAATTCCGGCTGGCACCGACCGCGGCATTCTGACTGGAACCCTGCAGGAGTCGCGAGGCTCTCTTCGTATCCTGGCTCGGATTATTCTGCGTCCCACTCGAGGCGGAGGCACCTTCGGACGTGACGGATCCTAGCGACCGAAGAAAGACAACCCAGTCAGCGAGGAATAAATTGATTGGGCGCAAGGCTGCGCGCAGGTCGGACAAGGTGACGATTGCGACTCGACCTGTCAGATGCGGCTGGATTCGGAAGACGTACCGATAGGAAAGGACTGGGAGGTGCGCAGGAGTCCCTGATGCGCGCCAATGGGACTGGTGGGAGTATTGTCCAGCGAGGGAGACGACTGAGGCTGGGTGGTGACGATCGCGGGGAGGGTGGTTGAGCGCGAGGCGCCCCGGTCATCGTTTGTTGGCGAACCCTCGGCCATAATAACGAAGCCCGAACGGGCACATGTATGGAGATGTATGAAGAAATAGATTTAAAAATAAGATCCGAGGGGAGAGGGGAGGGAAAAGAGAGGTAAGATGGAAAAGGAGAGACTAGGGTGGAAGAAATCCTGAAGCTGGATTGATTGATCTGGCGGCAAATCCCGGATGGCGAAATGACATCAATTGATATTTAACTATCCCGGTGGATTCCAGGGTAGAATGCATTGTTTATTATGGTTTATTACTGTGTATTTCCTTGTTCTATCTCTATCCCTTTCTTTCTTCTTTATTAATACATCTTTCGCATTTATAGACAAAGGGTTTATTATGCCAGTCTCCGCGTCCAAACAGGTAATGGTGGCGGGCCAAGCGCAAGGGACTAGAACAATCCAGCAGATAGATTATAAGATGCCACTAATATAGTATCATAGAAGCTGAATGAACTCGAACCAGATAGCGACCACTCTATATCCAAGACTGTAGAAGAGCATCAAGACTGCAGCTTGCGCGCTCGGTCTTTCGCAATGTCGCACATCGCCTGCCGCCTCATTAATATCCTGCGATTATAGATTCCACTAGGATGAAGACTCACCTGGATAGTCTCTGTGACCTCGCGATCGGCATCCCCACGGTCAATCCGCTGGCGCATTTCCTCCATGATCACCTCGCGACTGCGACCGTTGACGAACGTTCTACCCATAGTTTTAGTAGAAATCAAAGGAGAAGCAAAAGAACAGCAGAAGATACAGCAGAAGAAACAGCAGAAGAAGAAGAAGAAAAAGAAGAGAAGAAGACATACACAAACCTCAACCCCGGAAACCTCGACTCATACTCCTCATTCATCGCCCTCAACTTCTCCGCCAACTCCTCCGCCCCAACATTCAACTGCGCCTGCTCCTTCTGGCTCAGCTCGCTCAGCTGCTCCTGCGCGACCTTCGGCCTCCCCAACCGGGGATGCGATCCCAGGATACCGAAGAGGACGGTCCGGTCGGTAGGCGAGTTCTCGGCGGAGAGAGCCGACATGCGGCCTCCCACGGCGTCGATCAGACGGTCATATGAAGCGAAGGACTGGTTGGATAGCACCGGGGTCATGAGCGTGTGTAGTTCTGGGGAGGGCTCGAAGAGCGTGTCGAGGACGCGGAGCTGTTGGTCTTGGGGGAGGGAGGGGATGGATGATGGTGGGGGGAGTGTGGATGTCATTGTGTTGATATGTATGATATGATATGGTGAGAATGGGAGCGAGTCGAGTGATTGGAGTGTTAACGTTGATGCTGCTGGGCGATCAATGTGTATTATACTTTCCCACTGGCCCCGCATCGGGAGTCTCCGAGTGTGGCGGACTGGCGGGGCGGAGACCAGCGGATTGATTCTGCGGATGATAAGTGTTTCAATGATAGTGGTTCCGAGTGTATTCTATAAGTAGGTCAAAGTTGTAACTATTGATGTCGATATTGACTTTAGATTGGAGTATAATGGTGAGAAGGATGATGTTAGTCTGGCCTTAGGCAATGTACATCGCTGGGCGGTTAACTTCATTGTTCTATGGACAGGTTTATTATAAGTTGATTGTTTCAATAAGAATCAATAATGAAATAGTATATATAATATGGGTATTGATGTGAATATCTATTCTAATGCTCTCTTATATCCAAATATATCATGCTATGTAACCCCAAAATGCCTGAAGTGCGAGGAAGAAAAATTACATCCCCCGGTTGAACTCCACCTGTCCGTCCACTCCTCCCTTCGTCCAGAACTCCTCCTCCAGAGACGACGCCCCGATCGCCTGGCGCTGCGGGAACGCGCCCAGCGCCAACGGCAGCGCAAAGATCGACGTCGCCAGGATCAGCCCCAGGTTGAGCGGCAGCACCATGCGCGGCCGCGCCTGCAGCCACGCCGTCTTCTCCAGCCGCACGAGCACCAGCGGCGGGATCACCATGATCGGCGTGGCGTTCAGCACCCGGCTGATGGCCGTCTCGCCCACGGCGATCGTCGCCGCCTTCTTGCTCTTGCCCAGACTCTCCAGCGGCTCGCCCGTCTCCTCGCGCTTCTTCTTCTCCGCCTCCGACAGCACCGGGTAGACGTCGATGCCCTGGCGGATCTCCTCGCCGCGCATGAGGAACACGTTGAGGGCGCTGGCGCTGGACACGGCCGCGAACGGCACCAGGCGGCCCATGATGAGCTTCGCGTTGGGCGAGATGCCGCGCAGGCGGGGCACGAGCGCGTTGAGACCCAGCGCCACCGAGCACGAGGCCGACACCGCCATCAGGTATGACTTGGCCATCTGCGACATGGACAGCGGGGTCGATTTGTTGGCGTTGGCGTTGTTGATCGCGACGTTCAGCGACTGGTTCGCGATCTGCCACAGCAGGGTGCCCGTGGTTTGCAGCCCCGGCGTGAGCATGCCGCCCGTGACGATCAAGTTGGACAGGACGAAACTCGACATGCGGAAGGGGAGGAAAACCGGACTACCAGTATCTAGCGTCATCCGTCAGCACCGCAACCTATGCCACCCCCTATACCACTCTCCCGCGGGATCATATACACACCTGGGTGCAAGGTCGCGTCGACCACCTTCTTGGCCCGCCACAAGTCCGGCGTCATGGCGGGGACATGGTTCTGCTTGTAGGAGGAGATGAGGTTCTTAGCCTGTTCCAAGCCGGACGACGAGACAAAGAGGGTTCTGCCTGGAGATCAGTATTGCCGATCATTGCACCTCATAACAACCATCACAAAGCATACCGAGGATCGGAGATGTCGGCCGCATGGCGCACACGACCCCAGTAAGTCGTCAGATCATACTGAGAGGCCGGGAGGTCCCGGTTACCAGGGAGGGAGGTGGACATGAGGCCGACGGAATCAACGAAAGTGAGTCAACTCGGGGAGATGAGGAGAAAGAAGAAGAAGTGGGGAACAGTAGAGGCAAAGAAAAGAAAAAAAAATAAAACTTATCGGTCAGGAACCGGACACGTGCGGGCCAGGCGGTGAGCCGATAAGAGGGCCGCTGACCAATCGGAGTGCCTGATTCCCCGGGCCGGCCATGGATTCCTGGGGCGCGCTTAAAGGCGGTTCATTCGCCCGAGTATGGAGTACTCCGGAGTATACAGCCGGACGGGGGTCTTTTACTGTGGGAAATTGATATTATTTTTAGAAGAAGAAGCAACAATAGTAGGAATGTAAATAATATTCAATAAAAATTAGATTGAGATGAATAAGATAGGACAATCCATCCCGGCCGCCGTTCATGCACCCCCGGCACATCGGTCGGATCCTCCGCTTCCTGAGAAATCCTTCCTCCAAAAAGCCAAGAAGGCAAGGGCCGGGGTTGGTCCCAATCGCGTGATCCACCGGCTGGGGCTATGTATGTTCAATGGATGAATTGGCCCAGGCCCCATGAACGAATTTCATGGACGATCTTCCCTGGACGATCTTCCCTGGGCGAATCCCCTCACTTCACGATCTGCACCCCCTGTTCGCGCCCCCAGTAAACCGAGTCCCACGACGCCGAATCGCATCCCTTGACATTGATGTGCTTCAACCGCCGCGTCGTATCCGTCGACTCCTGCACAAACCGTCGGGTCGTGTTCCCGGTCACGTCCGTGTACGACATGTTGACCACTTCCAGATGGCGCAGGTGCGCCGCGATGGGCTCCATGACCGCATCGTTGATCCCGAACAGGTGCGACACATTCAGCTCCGTCAGCCCGTCGCCGTGTTCGCAGAGGAAACCCGACAGCGCCGGCCCGCGCAGTTGGTCACAAGTGTCCACGTGGAGGATTTTGACCGGAGCGCGCCGGCGCACCATGAACTCGTGAAGGGTCTCCACGGTGACCCAGCCTACGTCGCTCAGCACGAGCGTGTGTAGGTTGGGGAAATCCCGGTCGTCCTCGTCGGCGAAGGGGAAGGTCCCTCGAGCACTGCCGCCCCGGATGCGCAAGGACTCGAGTGTCGGCGGCAAGCCGACGGTGCGGCCGATGTACATTCCACCCAGATCCAACTTGCGTAATCGAACAAAGTCCATGGGATCGAAAGTCATCGGACACGGCACCGCGACGGGCGGTCCGGAGTGCAGCCGGAGTTCTTCGAGGTTGGGAATCGGGGGTCGGCCGGGCACCTCGGATCACTGTCGGGTTCATCAGACTCCGGTTGTCGATGGGGAATAAAGAGGGCCGGGACGTTAGCGGAGAAGTTCGGATTATCCTCAGAGGCGAGGGATATGCTGCGCAGGTTGGGCAAATGGGACGGCCATTGGACTTTAGATGCGGGCGAGGCGGTGGACCGGTGGATCTCAAACCGTTCTAGGCGTGGGAGGCTGGTCAGGAATTTGGCAATGTACTCCTGCGACACGGTGATCTCGGCGGAGAGAATCAAGGTCCGGAGCGACTGGGCGGATTTCAACAGGTCATATGCCAAACCGCATTCGACCGGCGTCCAGATCTCTAGGTATTCCAGCTGCCGACATCGGCTTAGGTACTCGAGAACTTTGTGTCGCGACGGATTGTTGAGGTTTTTGATGATGGCATACGTCAGAGTAGCATTCGACCGACGGATATAGGCGCTGACGGAGGTATGGGGGACGCGGGTGCGAACGCTGGAGAGATCGATGCGCCTCCACAGCTCGCGAAAGGAGGAGAGGAACTGGTTCCATTTCTTCGACACGCGGAGGAGCGTCCTGCGACGGTCAGCGGAGAAGGACCCCGACCGGAGATGGGTCGCCTACACCAACTGCCTAAAAGTCAAGTGGCCTAGGATCATGGAAATGATTTCCAGTGGCAGCACAGTCATCGGGTCGCAACAAGTCTCAACCGTCTTCAACTTGGACTGGATCCGGTCTCGGAGTTGCACTACAAGCTACAGAAGTCAGCATCATCAACCCCAGTTGTGACCGCAATACTGACCTGGCGGCCTGGACGATCCTCGGGCAAGTATTTGAGCGCGTACGTATAGAGTTGTAGGGCCTTTTCCGGCTTCCCCTCCATGACCAGAGCCTTCGCGCACCGGAGATATCCCTGTCCACATCAGCACGCGCTGGTCGATTCCCAGCAGACACCCAACCTACCCGCTCATCTTGTCGATCATCCCGAATCATCCGTTGCGCATCCTTGACGGCGAGATTGTACTGGCCCGTTTTCGCATAGATGGCGGAGCGTTTATCCAGCACGTCCAGGTGATCGACACCAGGGCATCTCAAGGTCTAAAGTGGGTCTGTCAGCACGATGCCCAGCTACAGACACACAGAAAGTGGGGCATACCTCTGTAAACGCCTCCAGCGCGCCAGCGAAATTCCCTTGGCCACAGAGCGTCTGCGCGCGACGATACAGAAAGTCGGACTCGCTGCGCACAGGGCCTACGCGTGTCATTACCTTGCGACTTGACCCGAAGGGAATCACGTATTCCTACCTCGTGTGGCTGACCGCTGTCTGGACGAGGAAATCATGAGAAAACGACTGATTCAACACATTCAGCCCTCCAAGTATACAAAACAAAAATCGCTTCAAATAAGAATGGATCTAGAAGAAAAGGTGATAGTCGGCAGCGATGATGCCATAGTCTTGGCATCGGATCCCGGGACCCGGTTGATCCGGGGTGTGCCCACGTGACACGGCAGGTGACCGGGATTGTTTACCTTCTTCCTCTTTGGGACGACGATGCGGTCGGACTAGCCCGGACTCCTGGTAACCGTCGTCACTAGGACGAACCCTTCCAACGGTCGCCTCTTTCTTTCTTTTTCCCTTGCTCATCCATCTTGGTTACCCCCCTGAGACAGCTTGCTGGCAAGCCATGGAGTCAGCGAATCTGCAGGCCGCGTCTTCCTACATTAATAATGTTCTGCTGGCCCGAGGGTTGCTGAAAGGTGGTCAGCCGATCGACTTTGCGGACCCTGACAATGAAGATGGGGGGAGTCCAGCGACGATGGCGCGGGTCATTAACCTGGTGAACGACCTGGTTTTGAGGAGAGACGTAAGTGGGACAAGATCAGTCCAACAAGTGGGATGCGATGCTGATAACAACAGCGAGAAGCCGAACATCGCGAGAGTCTGGCGACGACCATCCGATCCCTCCGTGCAGAAGAGTCCCAGAAAGCGGTGGAAATCGTACGTTACAACAAACATCAGGATGACTGACGGATGAATACGATGCTGAGACTGAATAGGAGAAAGTTCGGACGAAAAACTCCGAGTTGTCCCGATCGCTCGCGCTGGCAGAGGCTCAAAGCCGGTCGCTCAAATCGAATACCGCCAAAGCTGAAGCTACCGTTCGCGGCCTCAAGGAACAAATCCAGCGCATGAAGACCACCCTGCAACAAGTGCGCGGCCAATGCGCCAACGACGTCCGCAAACGCGACCTGGAGATGCAGAAGTTGAAATCGTACCTAGCCGAGCGACAGCGAGGGAGGCGCGAGGGGTTGGCTGTCACAACCATCAACATAAACCCAGCGGGCGACCGCGGTTCGAAGACGAGGAGCATGATGGGCGGCGATGGGGTCCACAACCCGGGATACAGCCTGAGGCAGGAAACCAACGATTTCCTGACGCAGCTCTGCCAGAACCTCAGTGACGAGAACGATACCCTGATTGCCCTTGCTCGCCACACCATCCACATCTTAAAAGACCTGCAGGGACTACCCGAGTTTGAGGACGAGGAAGAGTCCGGCATGGCCAGTGTCAACAGCCAGCGACAGTCGCATGGCCCGGTGGCTTCGCTGCCTTCGTCGTGCGAGGAACTGACGGAGCAGATTGAGCAGGTGCTCGGTCATCTGCGCACGCTGCTAACGAACCCGTCCTTCGTGCCACTGGAGGAAGTCGAGGTGCGCGACGACGAGATCAAGCGACTCCGCGAAGGCTGGGAGAAGATGGAGAGCCGCTGGCGACAGGCCGTGACGATGATGGATGGGTGGCACCAGCGCATCGCCGAGGGCGGGGGATCCGTGCAGGCCGAGGAGCTGCGACGGGGTATGACTCTCGACTTCAGCATCGGCTCGGCAACCGACGTGTCCATGGAGCAGTACCACGACACCGAGCATCCGCCGATCTTCGAGGATCGGGAGGCAGAAGAGCAAGCGGGAGCTGAGAACCCGGCCCCGGAAGAAAAGCCCGACGAACAAGCCCATGCCCAGCGCCCGGGCCGTGCGCTCACGGAGCGCAGTGATAACGTTCGGCCACGACGGTCGATGCGCAAGGTGTCCTTCATGCATGCCTCTCCCGAGAACAACCACACCAAGGACGACACGTTACCAGTCAAGGCGCACTGCTCGGACACCGTGACACGACGAGCATCCAGGAAGAAGTCGGAGGCGCAGCCATCCCCCAAGCCGGCGCGAGGCGCAAAACCCCGATCGGCGCGACTCGAGGCCGAGGCATCAGAGCGAAAATCCAACGACGAGTTAAGCGTGTCGCAGAAGCTCGCCGCGGCGGAGAGCGAGGCGCGGGCCGTCGAGCAAGAAAGCAAGACGCGCAAGCGCACGCGGGGGACGAAGAGCAAGGGACGCCAGGACCGACGACGCAGTACCCTCACGCATGACGAACTGGGCGAGCTCCTGGGAATGTCGACACGTTGATTTGTTTTGTAGCTATGACGATTGCATGATACCCTAATTGAGTGTATTATATTATCCCGGACTTGTAAATAGCTTTCTGATCACATACTCCTAACTATGGTGATTTCCTGTCTATGCTATTACACATGTCGTATAAGCGACACACAATGCGATACTTGACCTCCACTAATGGCCGTTTCAGAGGAAGATATGTATCGTGCATCTTATGCCTTGAGATATGGCGTCGGATCTCGTATACTATAAATGGTTGGCGCCTATGCAGATAAGACACCATAAGCTTATTAAGGATCAATAAATTATAACCACTAAGAATATATTTAGAATATGTGTATTAAATCCAATCATATATTCACGTTCCGTCCAATCCATCAAAAACCTCCACATGCAAATGATAATCGAGGTGGATGTCCGATCCGATCGGACGGGGTGGATCTCCGCATCTCGACGTCATTCTGTCTACATCCAGGGTCTAATTTCAGGAATCAGGATTGTTGAGTGTAGAGAGATTAGAGACGGTTTTAAAAGATGATACAACTATAATATATAATAAAGAGTATGGAATCCGGAACGTGAATGTAAATATTTGACAAAGATATAGATATAGATAGGGAGATAGAGGTTGATAATCAAACAATTAAATGAATATAAATGTGGATATAACTAGTAGATAGGGACAGATAGGCTGATAGAGAAATACAAATATAAAATAATATATAGATTGATATAAATAGAGATAGATCAAGAGTGGCAAACTCAATCATTCCTCCCGTCCGCCAGCGCGGGGTTTCCCGTCTTTTCTTCATTCCTCATCTCTCTTCAACCTCTTCCTACACCTCAATGCAGGTTGTACAGCATCATGAATCTCCACCGCATCGCCAGCCACAATTTACACACCTTCCGTCACAATCCCACGGCGGAGATCTCCGGCGCGCTGGGCGACCTAGGTACATTCCTGCCCATCGCCATCGCCCTGGCCCTCCAGCATTCCGTCTCCCTCTCCGCCACGCTGGTCTGGTCGGGACTATGCAACATCCTGACCGGAGTCGTCTTTGGCATCCCGCTGCCCGTGCAACCCATGAAGGCCATCGCGGCCGTCGCTCTGGCCCGCGACTTCGGACCCAAGCCGCTGGCCGCCGCGGGACTCTTTGTCGGCGCCTGTCTGGCCGTCTTTAGTGTCACGGGCCTGTTGCACCGCTTCTCCCACGCCATCCCCATCCCCGTCATCAAGGGGATCCAAATCGGCGCCGGTCTGTCCCTGATCATTGCGGCTGGCTCCAACATGCTGTCGTCCCTGCACTGGCTGCACCCCTCGTGGGCTGACAACCGCATCTGGGCCATCGCCGCCTTCCTCGGCCTGGTGATCGCCAATGTCTACCGTCGCGTACCGTACGCGCTGATCCTATTCGTCATAGGCTTTGTTTTCGCCATAATCTGCGCCGCAATCGCCGGTCATCTCCCAGCCATTGAGTTTTGGCGTCCTTCCATTATCGGGTTCCCCGGCCCCCACGCATGGCGCATCGGGGCCTTAGACGCCGGACTAGGCCAGCTCCCCCTGACAACGCTCAACTCAGTCGTCGCAGTTGTCCACCTCGCCGCGGATCTACTCCCCGAGGTGCCCACCCCCACCGTGACAGCCGTGGGACTCAGCGTCGCAGCCATGAATCTCACGGGGTGCTGGCTCGGCGCCATGCCCGTCTGCCACGGGTCGGGCGGACTAGCCGCGCAGCACCGCTTCGGCGCCCGCTCCGGCGCCAGCGTCATCTTCCTCGGGGCCATCAAGGTCGCAGTGGGGGTCTTCTTCGGGGAGTCCCTTCTCCCGCTGCTGAAGCGCTTTCCGTCCGCTCTACTGGGTGTGATGGTCATCGCGGCGGGGCTGGAGCTGGCCAGTGTTGGGGAGAGTCTGAACACGACAGGGGCGCGCGATCTCGCCAAAGCCCGCCCATTGGAGGTTATGGGCGATGACGACGCGAGGCAGGAGATTGGGCCCCTGCTGAGCGAGGACGAGCGCAAGCGTCGCTGGATGGTCATGCTCGTCACGGTGGGGATGCTGGTCGGGTTCAAGAACGATGCGATTGGGTTTGCTGCTGGTATGCTCTGTCATTGGGGGTATCAATTGCCGGGGGTGGTGGAAAGTGTGCGCGCGCGGTGGAGGAGAGGGATTCATCTGGCGTAGCTTTATGACTCCAACCTTGGTTAACACGAATGCCTGTACATGATGTCAGAGGATAACATCTACCGACATCCTGATATTTCAGGGTATATCAAATATGTGATCGGACTGGCAGGATTCGGGGCACCAGTAATTGTTTCAATTACCCCAGTATTCTGTACCTGGGTAGCATTTCGAACGAGAGAAAAACCCAGCCAGTCGTACCTGTATCAACTTCCTTACGCCGATGTATATAGCAGCATGCATATCAATAGCCCCCATAGCACTATTATGACCTTGCAAGCCAACAATCCTAGTGATAGATTCAAATTGCTGTAGACTCTAGATATGTAAATTTGATTCATTTTCTATGTCTTCCATCATTGGTTTCCCTTTGAATGTACCAAAGAATTCGCCTTTCATTGAATGTCCTACTTAGAATATAGACATAGCACCGTTGCTATATATTGTATTTTCAACTACTTTCACGGACTGACCATTGATGGATCAGATCCTGTCATATAACAAGAGCGCTCAACCAATCTATGTATATCTCAACTACGACAGCGCTATGCTTCTCCTCAGGTCGAAATCAATGTTGATCAACAATACCAGCATCAACAAACCCCACTCCTAATGCCCAATCAGAATACCAATAAAAAGGCATATATAAGAATCTGACGATCAATGCCGACTCCGGAGCTTGCCCCAGCATAAGCGTTGTGGCTGCCAACCAAGCCAAGCCATTTCTGTCCATCCTGGTGGGTCTAATGTCGGACATCGGGGTGGAATAGGCTCCGACCAACATCTGGTCGATTCAATCAGTCTCCATCTTGTACTGGCTCGTTGTTTGGATAGCGAGGAAGGTGGGAAATAGGTAGCTTCTACTCGTTCTATCGGTATGATGACTTTCAGTCAGTGGGTGATTGACTGGATTCAGTCGTAGCAGGACTAGATCTATGTGAAGCCTTTTCAAGCGGCCCCCCTGGGTCTCGTACACATTCCCAACCAATTGAATAGGGATTACTTCTGTGATTGATCGGGTCATCAACAGCCTTGAATGTGTCCAGAGTGTCTTTGTCCATCCCTGGATGATCCTCATTTTAGACCTAGAACCGCCTACCTACTGCGTGAAGCCGCGAAGGAATCCGGCCAGTACCCACAATGCCTGTTTATTCCTGGATATCTGCCTCCTGTCTCGAGACTACTAAGTCGGCAACCCTAAATTCAACCTACAACATGGCGGTGGGAGACGACGGCAGGCGGATCTCCTTCTAAGAGCTACTGCTAATTCGCTGGCGACTGTTTCGCCCAATCGGGGATGATTCTTTGATTGTGTCGACATTGTCATATAACTGATGATCGAGTACTACTGATAGAAGTACTACTGGTCTTCTGGTGGGTGCGGGAGTGGTGACTTGCTACGAAGATTGTGGATGGTGGTGGCCAGAGGATTGGCATTAATCAACTTAATGTACATTATGAGAGGATTCTCTAAGATTAGACAGTCCTCTCCTCAATCCCTGATCAGTAAACTGAGCCATCACCCCAGAAAAAAGTCGCACTAGGACTCGATCCAGGCTATAGTCGACCATGGTCGATTTAGGCGGACTTGCAGCACTTGAAGCAGCCGGGACCCTGGCGGACAACGGCCTATGTATTGATCGTTAGAATCTTGGTATATATTATCGATTGATGGTGCAGGTTAGGTTCTTACCGGGTGGTCAGAGACACACTTGACACTGCTCGAGCCAAAGCATTCAGGCTTGCAGTCTTTGCCAGCGGCAAGGGCAGTGGCGGCGAGGAAGAGGGTGGTGGCGATGCTGATGAAACGCATTTTGGCGGGAGATGTTGGTTCTTGAGGAGAACGGGTGAAGAAAGATGTGGTTTCAAGGAGGGAAGTGTTTGGAGATAGAGTGGATGATTGCTGGATGAGATGATTGATTTCCGGGGGATGATGGCTCTCATTTATGTCTTTTTTACACCGTCCCCATGCCGCATAGGACATACACCAATGTACCTATCTTGACCGCCCGATTATCGATTATTCGATAGATTCTGGAAGGATTCGGGGAACCAGCGATCTTTTCCTCGATAGATAGACTATCGGAGGAGGACGTTGAGACGTGAGCTGAATGATCTGCTGGCTTGGGTGGGGAACTCTCCACTACCGGTGGTGGAGCCCTAACTGACTTCAGCTGCCATGTCCAAATTCCACCCTTGATACAGAGTACTAGGACGGGGAATCGGACTTCCCACACTTCCCCGTGAGAATCAAGCACCAAGCTAGACAAGATGTGTAGTAGGGGAACGGTGTGACTGGCTCTTTTTGAACCGTGTCGGACGACTACCGCCTGGAATCAGGGTCTCTTCAAATCCCGACTGCCAGCTAGTAGTGTTGTCCATGTGAGCCGTGTTGAGTGGAATAGTCGATCTTTCCGGGATCATGAGTTACACTAACTGGTATCTCCTCGAGGCGGTTTGGTGGCTGGCTGGCTGACAGTTGTTGTGGCGATCAAATCTCTCAAGACAGCAACCATGCCTATCCTAGAAGGAATCTACCTTCACTAGCAGCTGGACCGGAGTGATTATACCTCACTTGACTGTGCCACATCACGGCAATAACCGGATCAAAGCTTGATCTGACCGGGTGATACTGGTGGACAAGGTACCAAATTCACAATTCTTCCCAGACATCGGAGCCCCCCCCCCTCTCGGGGTACGGAGTTCCCTAACAGCAAGACAGTGTCGTGAACTTTGTGAACTATCTATTTGAGCACGGGAGCATTAAAGCAGGACGTTAAACTCCAACTTTGTACCGCCCTGTGAGGTCCAGCAGATATTGACACAGTTGGCCGCATGAGTGTTGGTCAACCACTGCGCGAGGATGCTTGTGGTTTAACACAGGGCTAGCAGAGTAGGTCAGGGACATTTGTTGAACTAACTGCCATTCAGTTGGAAATATACTTGCACTAAGGGGTCGACATACACGAACAGAGCAGGACTTTGTTGGTAATAGCTGGATTACATGAGTTACAATTAGCCGTGTCGAGAGTTAGAATGATGTTCTACTGCATAGGTGTTGGCTCCTCGTCCCTCGTACCTTCCATTTGCAGCAGCTAGTTAGTATGTATTTAGCAACGAGATAGCCGGAGAATGGAAAAGACAAGCTTCTTCTCCCCTTTCTTCCGCCGTATGCGTAAGGGGAGCACTAGAGCCCCGCAGAGGGGCTCAACAATAGGTAGCAGGCTCGCTACCCCGAATATAATAGTAGAGGGTCCTTTGCCTAGTTTTTCCAGTAATCACTGTCTTCCATTTTGATTGACGTCAAGATGAAGTGATAGTACTAGGTACCGAATCAATAATATATCCTGAATTGCGGCGTTGCTTTCTGTACAAATATCAATACACAGTGATGACGATAGCTTGCCTTGCATTTTTCAAGAGACTTTTCTTAGAACATTCATTTCATCTCTATCCTCATGCTGTGCCCAGATGATGATTAACACTCATAGATAATTGACTAGGTCAATGCTGATCTATACCATCCATGATATCACAGGATATCAACAGACATACATGGTACATCACGTGCATGCATGTGACCGGTCTCGATATTACCCCACGTGACTACGCGGAGGTGGCAACGCGCCGCTTTCGTGACTCTGACATCTACCTCGTATGTTCCATCAATTTCGCCAGTCTCCAACACTGACTCAGTTCATGCCATGATCCAGTCATCATCGCCACCCCACCATCGACTTCCTAGGTCATCATGGGTGTCCATGGGCTCTGGACGGTGGTGCAGCCGTGCGCCCGCCCGATCAAGCTAGAGACCCTCAATAAGAAACGGCTGGCGGTGGATGCTTCCATCTGGATCTACCAGTTCCTCAAGGCTGTACGCGATAAAGAAGGAAATGCGCTGCGAAACGCGCACATCGTCGGCTTCTTCCGCCGCGTTTGCAAGCTGCTCTACTTTGGCATCAAGCCGGTATTCGTCTTCGACGGTGACGCGCCGCTCCTGAAGCGGCAGACCATCGCGGGGCGGAAGAAACGCCGCGAGGGGCGTCGCGAGGATGCCGTGCGCACGGCGGGGAAGCTGCTGGCGGTGCAGTTGCAGCGTTCGGCCGAGGAGGAAGCCGCCCGTCGCAAGAATGCCCCGCGCCACCAGCAGGAGGAAGCCGTTCCGGATAATCCGGTCTACGTCGAGGAGACCTTCATGACGGAGCAGGAGAAGAAACAGTCTCGCTTGTTTCGGAAGAAGGATGCCTACCATCTGCCTGACATGCAGGTCTCCCTGGAGGAGATGGGCGCTCCGAATGACCCGCGCATCATGTCGCGCGAGGAGCTGGAGGAATACGCGAGGCGGTTTCACCAGGGGGAGGATATTAATCTGTACGATTTCTCTAAGATCGACTTCGATAGCCCTTTTTTCATGAGTCTTCCGGCTACGGATCGGTACAATATCCTGAATGCCGCGAGACTCCGGAGCCGACTGCGCATGGGATATTCCAAAGAGCAGTTGGATCAGATGTTTCCAGATCGCATGGCATTCTCCAAGTTCCAGATTGAGCGTGTCAAGGAGCGGAATGATCTGACGCAGCGTTTGATGAACCTCAACGGGATGAACGGCGAAGACGCCTTTTTCAACTCTGGCCAGAGAATTGCCGGAGAGCGTGGCAAGGAATATGTTCTGGTAAAGGACAGCACGATCGAAGGTGGTTGGGTATTGGGTGTTGTAGGGAACAAAGAGGAAGGCCGCGAACATAAGCCGATTGATGTTGACCAGTACGGCGAGCGAGCAGTCTTACCGGATCAAAAAGCAGAATCTGACGACGATGATGACTTTGAAGATGTGCCTGTCGAGGGTCTCAATAGACTTCCTAGGCTACCTTTTCTACGGCAGGGCGCCTTGGATGAATCTATCCGAGAACAGCTACATCAGACGTCGAGCCAAGACCTACATGGAGAAGCAGAAGATGATTCTCTCTTTGTGCGGGACGAAGCCAGCATCCACGCCCGTGATGTTGGTCTATTCAGCGAGCTAGGCGATAACGAAGATGATGATCTTCAAAAGGCTATACAAATGTCTCTAGAGCCTACGGTGGCAGCCGAGCAAAATGACAAAGATATGCCTGATATACCGGTCAACCGGGATGTCGCTCCTCTGCCGGAGCCGGACGAGCTACCATCGACCCTCGATTCGGGCAGTGAAGATGATTTCGACTTCACGGCGGCTTTGGCACAGTCCCGTAGGACGAAGAAGGAACCGTCCCACGCCGCTAAAAACAACCCGTTCGATGGACCCCTGCCTTTTGAGTCCATCAAGCTGGGCCAGCCCGATAAACCTCGGGAATCTGCAGAGGTCGACCAAAGTGCGGGTGGCTTTGTCAAGGAGTCGGCTCAACCACCTAAAGAGGATCCATCACTACCTCCATGGTTTTCTGGCGCACAATCAGACACCGAATTCGTGGCTGATAAAGTTGATGACTCAATGGAAACTCGACACAGCAGGATCGCTTTGGATCATTCATTCGTGGATATTGATCGGTCTGATGATGTTATTGGTGGTAACAAACCATCTAGGTCGACGGAAATAATCGACCTAGAGTCTGATGATAACAAAGAGATCGAAACTGCACCGTCTCCGACAGAAATGAAGAATGAAGGACGTGTTCCCGACGTGGGGCCTGTTACCGACGTGGAGCCACCTGTGACCCAGCCAGAAAGGCCAGAAATCGTAACAAAATCCCCCAGCAGAGACGAGTTCGTGGGTGACGTGGCTGCTGAAGCTCCCCAATTGAAGGTGGATGAGCCCCGGGTCGATTCCCTGGCGGAAATAGCCCACGAGCCTTCTCCGTCTCCGGAGTTCGAGGACGTGGCCATCCCGCCACCAGATGTGGTAGACCCCGTTCCTGCGACGACATCCCAGCCACCGGAGCCGATAGACGTTGACCAGGCGGACGCTCTCATGGAGGATGAATTTTCGGATCCCGAAGACGAGGACCTCCTTCGCCAACTGGCCGCCGAGGGAGAAGAACATGTTCGCTTTGCCGCCACACTAAACTCGGCGGCCCCCGTGGAGCAGCCATTTGACTACGAGCAGGAGCTGAAGCAGCTCCGGTCACAGCAGAAGAAAGATCGCCGGGACGCAGACGAGGTGTCACAGATCATGGTCACCGAGTGTCAGCAGCTCTTGGCCCTTTTTGGGCTACCATACATTACAGCGCCCATGGAGGCCGAGGCGCAGTGTGCCGAGCTGGTGTCGCTCGGTTTAGTCGACGGGGTCATCACCGACGACAGCGATATCTTCCTGTTTGGGGGCACGCGTGTCTACAAGAACATGTTCAACCAGAGCAAATTTGTCGAGTGCTACCTCACTTCCGACCTTGAGAAGGAGTATGCCCTCCACCGGCAGAAGCTCATCAGCTTTGCGCATCTCCTAGGGAGCGACTACACCGAAGGCATCCCGGGGATCGGCCCCGTTACTGCCCTAGAAATCATCACCGAGTTCCCGAGTCTCGAGGACTTCCGCGAGTGGTGGACACGGGTCCAGACAGGGGCCACCATGTCGGAGGACGCGCACGCTGCCTTCTACAAGCGATTCAAGAAAAACGCCGCGAAGATCTTCCTTCCACCCGCGTTTCCAGACACGCGGGTCGAACAGGCGTACCTCCATCCGGAGGTGGACGCGGATCCGTCCTCCTTCCAATGGGGCGTCCCCGACCTCCACGGTCTCCGGAACTTCCTCATGTCGACGATCGGATGGAGCCAGGAGCGGACGGACGAGGTCCTCGTGCCGGTCATCCGGGACATGAATCAGCGGGAGCAAGAAGGCACGCAGTCGAACATCACCGCCTTCTTCAGCGGTCCACAGGGGGCGGGCGCCTTTGCGCCGCGTGCGCGCGGGGGAGGACCCAGTCGGATGCAGAAGGCGCTCAGTCGACTTCGACGGGACGCCGAGGCTGGGCGGAAAACTCCCTCCGAGTCTGACCCACCTGCGGAGACGGTGGATGGTGCTGTCGGAGAGAATGCCGACGAGTTGGGGGCATCGGCAAGGGACCGAACCGTCGAACGGGACAAGCATTACCCTGACGATCGGGCGCGCAAGAGACGCAAGACTCGGCCGAGTGGGTGATGTATGGATTGTCTCTTATGCTCTGTTTTGCTGGTGTAATGATAGTATGGGATAGAATAGTGATCTAGAACAACACGGCGTCAACAGAGATGTCTAGTGTAAACAAACCATGCATGTCCATCGTGTCCATATTGCTGTCTATCCATGGGACACATGGGTGATGGTTAATGCCTGGGAAACAAGGCCAACATCTCGCCCGAGTCCGGAGTTGTCGCCTCAGGCCGCGCCAAGTACCTCGCCATACAAAATGGGAGAGCAGTTACATCACGTTCTCGGCCGAGATCGGCTCCCCGCATAGCTTAATCCACCAACGACGCAGCCCGGATTAGTTGACTCGGCTGCATCCCGACCCTGATCTATCTCTTCCATCCCTCTTAAGCTGCCCATCTTTCTTCTTCGTTCACTTCTATATCTTTCATCAATTATAGACATAGAATTCTGTGAGAATGGCCAACGGAAAGCTGTCAGGGCAGGATGTCGCCCAACACAACTCCAAAGACTCCTGCTGGGTTATCGTCCATGGAAAGGCCTATGACGTGACGGAGTTCCTACCGGGTATGACCCTCAAATCTCTGGACCTGGATCTATGGACCTGAATCTTTAGATCTCTGGATCTGGATCGCATGATGAATATACTGGATCAGCTAATGGAAATAGAACACCCCGGTGGCCAGAAGATCATCCTCAAGTATGCCGGCAAGGACGCCACCGAAGAGTTCGACCCCATTCACCCCCCCGACACGCTGGACAAGTATCTGGACGCGTCGAAGCATTTGGGCGAGGTGGACATGAGCACCGTCGAACAGGAGGAGAAGGTGGCGGACCCCGAGGAGACCGAGCGCCAGGAGCGCATGAAGCTGATGCCGTCGTTGGCGGCCTGCTACAATCTGTTGGACTTTGAGGAGGTGGCGCGCAATGTCATGAAGAAGACGGCGTGGGCGTATTATTCGAGTGGTGCGGATGACGAGATTGTAAGCCTTCCCATTCTTCGCGATGATTTCGTTGTCGCTAATAAATCAGACCATGCGCGAGAACCACTCCGCCTTCCACAAAATCTGGTTCCGACCGCGAGTCCTCGTCGACGTCGAGAACGTCGACTACTCCACCACCATGCTGGGCTCCAAATGCTCCATCCCCTTCTACGTGACCGCCACCGCACTCGGCAAGCTGGGCAACCCCGAAGGCGAGGTAGTGTTGACGCGGGCGGCCCACGACCACAACGTCGTGCAGATGATCCCGACGCTGGCGTCGTGCTCGTTCGACGACATCGTCGACGCCAAGCGCGGCGACCAGGTCCAGTGGCTGCAGCTGTACGTCAACCGCAACCGCGACATCACCCACCGCATCATCAAGCACGCCGAAGCCCGCGGCTGCAAGGGCCTCTTCATCACGGTCGACGCGCCCCAGCTCGGCCGCCGCGAGAAGGACATGCGCTCCAAGTTCTCCGACACGGGCTCCAGCGTCCAAGCCGACAGCGGCGACGACGTCGACCGCTCCCAGGGCGCCGCCCGCGCCATCTCCTCCTTCATCGACCCCTCCCTCTCCTGGAAAGACATCGCCTGGTTCCAATCCGTCACCTCCATGCCCATCATCCTCAAGGGCGTCCAGCGCGTCGAAGACGTCCTCCTCGCCGTCGAGCACGGCGTCGCCGGCGTCGTCCTCTCCAACCACGGCGGCCGTCAGCTCGACACCGCCCGCTCGGGCATCGAAGTCCTCGCCGAGGTCATGCCCGTCCTGCGCGAGCGCGGCTGGGACAGCAAAATCGAGATCTACATCGACGGCGGCGTCCGTCGCGCCACGGACATCTTGAAAGCACTGTGCCTCGGCGCCCGCGGCGTCGGCATCGGCCGGCCCTTCCTCTACGCCATGTCGGCCTACGGCCAGCCGGGCGTCGACAAGGCCATGCAGCTGCTCAAGGACGAAATGGAGATGAACATGCGGCTGATCGGCGCGCGCTCCATCGCCGAGCTGAACCCTAGCTTCCTCGACACGCGCGGCTTAACCGGTGGCCATAGTGCGGCTGTGCCGTCTGATACTTTGAGCTTGAGGGCTTATGATCCACTGCAGGGGCCGCGGTTTAGCGAGAAGCCGAAGCTCTAGTCTTCCTTTCTCCTTTCCTTCTCCTTTCTTTGTTGTCTCTTTGTATAATGTTGTTTTATGATGACTGTTTAAATCACATGCCTGTCACCTGAGTTGTTTGATTGGCGATACCCTTGTGTATATATGAGAAAGGTACGATTGGTTGATAGACTACAATTACAATGTATTTGTCTTCACGATTTGAAATAAGTATACTGCAAAAAATCTTGCTTATATTATGAAAATATGTAGTGCAAACTATAGTTGATATATAGTCTTGCCTTTGTGAATCTTATTCAAAGATGTGTTGAAAAATTAGAATAACGCCCAAATCCAATGCAGATTCATCCAATGACCGCTCGGTTGCCGTTCGCTCGCTCGCTCGCTGTGCAGATGGGAATGTCTTTAAGGGCATCACTGACTATGTACAGTCATGGGGAACCACGGAGTAGTTTCATGAGGTGAAGAGTCATAAATAGCAAAAAGAAGAGGGAAAAGAGAAAAGAGAAGATGAGGGAGAAGGAAAAGGTGGTTATAAATCTACCACATGTGGTCGGTTGATTAACCGTCCTGAGGTACTGCTCATGCCGGCGGCATTCACGATCCATCCGGAGCCGTCGTTGTCACCGCCCCAGACCTTGGCCCACACGATGCCTAGGACCCCGTAGACAACGACCCGGGCGGCGTCAAACCAGCCGGAGAGGTCGGCGAGGTCTCGTATGATGCCCATGAGGAGGTTGCTGGAGCGGGAGGAGCGCGCGCGGCGGAGGCGCGACGCACACAGCCGCTCCCAGGCGCGCTGGGCTTCGTCCCAGTAGACGGGCTCGATGCCGTATCCGTCGTGGATGTGGCCGAAGACATGCAGGAGTGGGCGCACGCGCCAGATCTCGGAGAGTAGTGACGGACAGCCGGTGGAGTAGACGGGGGACAGGTCGAGATGGGCCTGGGGCGGGGTGTGCGTGACGAGGATGTCGGTGTGGATGGGGACGGTGCCAGACCAGGCGTCGTGGTGCGGCGGGTAGGTGAAGGCGTGTTCGGGGCCGAAGGGGACGAGAGCGGGGACTTGGGGAGCGCCGTACACGGTCAGGGATCGGCCGGTGGGGGTGGGGTTGGCCGTCAAGGAGGAGAAGGACGAGGTGGAGGAGGGCGAAGACGGGACGGACGGTGGTGGGAGAGGGGGGAAGGACAGGGTGACGGACGAGTGCTGCAGGTAGTGGATGTCCCCCCAGTCGATGCGGGGGTCGTCGTCGAGGGAGCGCAGCGAAGCGGTTGAGGAGGAGATGGCGGCAAAGGAAGGCTGGTCACGGTCCTCGGCTAGGCGGGAACGGAGGTCGAAGTAACTGTCATGGTTACCGCAAATCACGACCTTGTGCGAGTGTGGCAGGGATCGTAGCCAATCGATGGTGGCTTGGATCTCGCGGACGGACCCATCATTGGATAAATCGCCGGAGTGGATGAGGAGATCGCCGTCCGGCACGTCGACGTCAGGCCATTCGAGGGTGTGGGTATCTGAGAGACAGACGACACGAATAGGACGAGAGTCAGGCGGGGGACGATGAGGAGGGCCACGTAGTTGGGTGAAGAAGTGGTGAAAAGGATAGAGGAGAGCGGTCAAGGGCGAAGACAGGAAATAATCTGGAAGAGGACGACGATGATACGGCGAGGACATGCTTGATAAGGTATAAGATAGGGGGGGCGGAGAGACAAAGAGGGGTAGAGAGATAGAGAGATAGAGAGATAGAGAGATAGAGAGATAGAGAGATAAAGAGAGGAGAGGAGAAGAGGGGAGAGGAGGAGATGAAGTTGAAGATAAAGATGAAGATGGAGATGAGGTCAGTGCTTCAGGCATTCAGGCATTGCGGAGACTCCAAGAAAAAAGAGGGGATTTTGTTTGGTTTGTTTGTTTGGTTGATCTGTTTGTCTGTCTGTCTGTTTTGTTTTGTTTGTGTAGTTTGACCATTGTCTTAGTTTGTGTGGTTTGTCTACATGACATAATCTGTAACTTACCGTGTATCATGAATACAGCCGAGGTTGCAGCCGAACCCCAGACTTTCTCTCAAGTCTCTCGATCTCATCTTCATCTCATCTTCATCCTCCCAACAGTCCACAATTCACCTTCACCATGTCGGACTCCAAGAAAGCTGCCATTCCGTCATGGCAACAGTCTCAAAACCAACCACCTAAGGAAAACCAGCAAGAAACCCAGCAAGACACACCCTCCGAATCCACACCGTCAACCGACACTCAAACTCCTGACCAGCCCCGGTCTACTCTTCTCGAGCAAGCTTCCAAATTTCTCGAGGATGAATCCATTCGTGATGCGCCTACCGACAAGAAAATCAGCTTTTTAGAGTCCAAGGGTCTCAAGGGTCCAGAGATCGACAGTCTACTGGGCGTGTCGCGCAACTCCGAAGCGACGGCCCCGTCGGAGCCTACCTCATCCCAGCCGACTGCTTCATCCCAACCCACTACCAGCACCAGTAGTACCACCACCAGCACCACCAATACAGACACCCGCTCCGTTCCCCCAATCATCACATACCCCGAATTCCTCGTCCAGCAATCCAAGCCCCCACCGCTAGTCACCCTCCAAAGCATCCTCTACACCATCTACGGCGCCGCCGGTCTCGGCGCAACCTTTTATGGCGCGAGCGAATTCCTCGTCAAGCCAATGCTCGCGCAATTAACCTCCGCGCGACACGATCTCGCCGATACCACCACTTCAAACCTGCAGAAACTCAACGAAAAGCTCGAAAAGACCGTCTCCGTCATCCCGCCCCAGCTCACCGCGCGCTCCCTAACCAATACCAACAACGACAACAAAGACGAAGAAGACACCGAGTCCATCACCTCGGACCCAACAGAGCTCTTCCACCGCGACGTCGCAACCCAAACCTCCCCCGGGGAAGTACCCAGCAAAGAAGGCCTCTGGACGGCCGACTCCGACTCCGACGCTCCAAACACAGCAGACCAAGACCAACCCTCCGCAGCAGCAGCAGCGGTCAACAACCACCTCACCCGTCTAGAAAGCATGCGCAGCAGTCTGCAAGAAATCACCACGACAGACCAAGACTCCACAACCGCCGAAGACGACGTCCGGTCTAGCCTCAACGACCTCCAGCACTACCTCGACGGACTGCTTTACTCGAAGCAGTCGTATGGGTCTGTCTCGGGCTATGGGGTTTACGGCTCTGCGGGGGGTGGTTTTGATGCGAATGCCACGTCGACGGGGATTGGCAAGGCCGAGGAGGATGCCATTACGGGCTTTCGGGCGGAGATTAGGGGGGTGAAGGGGGCTTTGTTGAGTGCGAGGAATTTTCCTGCTGGGGGGAGGGCGAGGGTGAGATAATCTTATTCCTGGCTTTGCCTCTGATTTTATTTCTATTTCCTTTGGTTGTTATTTCAGTGTTGTTTGTACGTAGGTTTCCTTCTACCGATGTAGCCGTTGTATTGGCTTAGAGGATTGTCTATCTACTATCGTCAAGATATACTGTAATGGTCGATATCATCGGTCAACAATGAGACATAGAACTAGCTCATATTTCTACTCTCAAAAAATGAACAATCCCACAAGAATAACCGTATATATCCAGCTGGTTCTAAATACCCCCAAGACGCCTCAGTATCACGGCTCCGGTGTGAACATCGATCGGATATGGATCATGTGGGATGGTCAGATCGTACTTTAGCTACGATCAAGTACATCAGAGTATCTCCCATCATGCTTGGCTGTCGCACACGCGTTAAGATCATGAATAGAAATGGTCTGGACACATTGCCGGAGTACATATAAATGCAAAACCATAATCCATATCAACTACCGCCCAACGACCTCGACTATGAACCCCTGTTGTTCCAAACCCCTGCTATCCAGAAAACCTTTCCCATCAAACACATATCGAGGCTCGCGCATACTCTCCGCTATTCGGTCCCAGACGACAGACCCCGCATTCCGCCTGGTGGACACGCCATCTGCGCCGTTCGAACCTGGCGCATTCCCATTGTCCAGTTCCGGTATCTCGTTCAGGACAACCACCGCCCTAGCATCACGGCAAGCATCATAAACCGACGGAGATACCGTCAGGTGATCCTGTAGGGTGGCAGACACCAAGGGGTCGGACGATTGACCTCCCAGCTCCGTCTGTATCTGCGTCACCGACGCATACGGATCATACAAGGCAACCGAAGCACCGCTCTTGAGAAGCTGCAGCACCACGTCCCGGGCTGGCGTTCCCCGCGTATCTCTCGTCTCCTTCTTATACGCAAAGCCGAGCACCGCAATCCGTTCCTGGTGAAGAAGGGGCGCACCGCCCAGTTGAGTGACGATCCGCTCCGCGACTCGAGCTTTCTGATATTCGTTCAACAAGAGCACATGCTTCCAGTAGTCGGATGGCTCAGCGAGTCCGAGGCTGCGCGCAAGATACGCCAGGCTGGCGGTGTCTTTGACCAGGCAGCTTCCGCCGAAGCCGAACGAGGCCCGCAGGTATTTCGATCCGATCCGCGCGTTCATCCCGAGCCCGCGGGATACATCGGCGATGTCGCCACCGCTGGCTTCGCAGATGGCGCTGAGCGCGTTGATGCTGCTTACTCTTTGCGCGAGGAAGGCGTTGTGCGCGAGCTTGGTCAGCTCCGAGGAGAAAAGAGACATGGTGAGGACGCGGTTCGGCGGTACCCATGGGATGTAGAGATTAGCTAGAGCCTCGGAAGCGGCCTTTGCGGCTGGGTCGTCCTGGGTATATCCGATGATGACTCTGTCTGGGTACATGATATCGTTGATTGAGGTTCCTTGCGCGAGGTATTCCGGGTTCGACAGGACGGTGAAGGATTTCTCTGGCGTGGTGTAGCTCGCGAGCTGTATCTTGTTAGGCGCTGGAAGGTCCTTTGGGTATGTTCATTGACTTACAAAATCCGCAGAGCGTTGCGACGTGCCGCCGGGAACAGTGCTTTTCTCAACGACAACAGTATGGCCCACCGAGCTCTCCACGATCATCCTGAGAGCGCCATCATGCCTGGTCAAGTCCATGTCGAAATGATCGACACTGGAAAGATTGACATGGGCCGGTGTATCAACGCAGATGAACACAACGTCTGCCTCCGCAATCGCCCCAGCAATGTCTACGGAAAACGTCAAGTTCGGCGCTCGAGGTCCGTCTTCAATATCTTCAGCCCCGGCTTCCTCGACACCATTGAGCTCACGAAGTGAAGCCAATTCACGAAAGTATGCCGAGTCCTTGAATATGCCCGAGCCAGCGCTGACCTCCACCAGCATCTCCTGCAGACCCGGCTCAAAGATCGGCGGGTTAGAGGAGTTCCATCGTGAGATCCGGTCACCGTTTACATCCACCACCTTGATTTCACACGAGGGGTTTCGGTACGCCAGCACGGCTGATGTGCTGGTACCTATTCGCGATGTTAAGTCGTGATTGGGTTCGTAACGCAGGGAGACGGACCAACGTGACCAGCGCCCAATACGCAGATCTTGCGCAGGGGTTTGGCTGGATTTTGCGGATGTACATGTGGCACTGTCTGACGCATTCTGGGATAGTTTTCGGTGTTCGATATAAGGGACAAGCAGGATTCGAAGGACACGATGCTCCTCTCTAGCTTGACACTACGGGCTACTTTATAATGGCTCTGAAAAAGATTCGGCAGATCTTCGGCTGGAATATCTGCAAACTGAGACAGGCTCTGTACTCTTCAGCTCAGCCTTGGACTGCTAGGACGCGTAAGTGATCATAGCCCACCCGAGTCAGTAAAGGCATGCAAGGTATTCAGCGCCCCCACAAGAAGATCGATCCCATCCAATCTCGACCCACATTGGCGGGTCTGTATGAGCTCTCATAAACTCATATCTCATTATTGCTGATCGTGATTCCCAGTCGCAACTACGGCTGAGCAGTCTCCACCTTTATTACTGCATGTTATTCCCCGCCCTTGTCGGTGAAATTTTAGCATATTGGAGTTGGAATGTGATCTTTCCTTGCTTGGTTCACCGCTCGTTTACTAGTAGTCTGTAAGGGTTGGCTATTGTAAAGGACACCATGCATATCATTACTGACTGGAATTGTATATACATGTGTGCACTACTATTCTACCCAGTATATATACACAAGTCTATTAGATACAGCACGGAATATCATATACCTAGAAACAACCATATATCTAACAAGCTATAATGACCTTAATTTGAACCCCTCCCAAGCAACTATACACAAAACTAGATACATCTACATCCCATAAGTATAACACAAAGAATATAGAGTATAAACAGACAAACTATATACAGCATAGCCATGAACTAACATACAGCGCCAAATAACCGAACCATCCATACAACCTCTCGATAGGCTAGCAATATATACTCAACATATAAAATCAATATGAACAACAAAGAGAATGAAGAAAATCAAGAACCGCTCCTGGTATCAATCGCTAATGTGAGTCATTTCCATCCATCTGTATACTCTCCTGGAGTCTAAGCCCAAAAGTGACAATGATCCGGGGTTGAGAATATAGTTAATACGGGATGAAGTCTATATTCATGCGGTCTGATTCGTTAGCTTCATCTCTCTCGGCATATTATATATGCAGTAAGGAAGGATAAAAGGGGAGAAACACACCCAGAAACTCATTCCACCCCTCATCCCCATCCACCTGCCTCCCCGCCCAATACATCTCCAAAAACCGCAACGCCTGCACCACATTTGGCACGCGAATAGTTTCATACAGCTGCTGCAACAATCGTCTTACACAATCCCTATCCTCCCCACGCGCCTCACACCCCGCAATGAACAGCGGCGTCGTGAGGAGCACCCACGGGCTGAGGCCGGGGGCGGGGCCGATCTCGGCTGTGCAGGCTAGGATGCGCTTCACGGAGGATTGCACGGCTGGGGAGGAGGAGGGGGTGCGGTGGAGGCGGCGGTGGATTTGGATGAGGGCGCTGTGTTGAAAGGCTGTGTTGCAGAGGGTGAGTTGGTGCTTGCAGATTGGGGTTAGGCGGGGGGCGACGCCGGGGTAGAAGGTTGGTGGGTGGGTTGTTGTTTGGGAGATGAGGTTGTGAAGGGTGGATTCGAGGGTGTTGGTTTCTTGCAATATTGCTGTGTCTGTAGGCGGGTCTGTAGCTGTCTCTGGATGTTGCTCTGTATCGTGGTCTGCATCTTGCTCTTCCATTTGACCAGTCTCACAGTCCACATCTCTACCCCCCACTGTAGTCGTAGACGAAACCCCCTGTCGAGCACGCCACGCAACCTCCCCAATCCCCCTAAAAACAGCAGCCAACCGAACCGTAAACCCCCAATAATCATCTAGATAGTCCGGACTATCCTCCATCATCAACCCACCCAAATCATCCACCTCCCCAATAGGCGGCCCATTACCCGTCAACGCAGTCAATGAGACGATCGAGCGATGCCATCTATCGAGATAGCGACGGAACTCGCTCTCTCCTTCTCCTTCTCCTTCTCCTTCTGCAGATGATGGCTCAGTGGCAATCATCAACGCCCTAGCGCCCTCTATGTGAGCGCGCCATGAGTGGGGATGAATAGCGCCGGAGTGTATCTCCGCTAGACACAGCGTGCGGGCCGTCGCGAGGAGGACATCAGAGGATCCCTTACCCTGGGGAGTCGTCTGCAGCTCCGTGCGAAAATGCTCCAGACTCAATGCGACCAGACGGGCGATATGCGGCGCGGACTTGACGTTTTCGGATTGATTGCGCAAAGCCTGTAAGTGGATGGCTGATAGCGCTAGCGTAGCGTATAGCAAAGACGGAGTCTGTAGGGCTCTCGGAACCAGCATGTGGCAGATCTCGTGGCGCATGCTAGGATGGCAGGCTGTGATCTGCGACGCATCGCGGAGAAAGTGGTGAAGTAGCGACTTTTGGTCGGTGGAGAGACTGGAGAAGGGGTCGACTGGTCGCGATAGGGTTTGCGATGATGAGGTGGCGGCAGACTCAGTAGTATAGATAAACTCCCCCGGAGAATACTCCAACCTCTGCATCCCACCATCGCCCATACAGGCGCCAAACCGCGAGCGCGAAAACGCCCGTCCTCCCCATTGCAACTGCATGGCGTAGCGGCAGGGGACGTTGGCTGTGGCGCAGCGGGTGCAGGATGGACGTTGCTCGTCGCATTTCTGACGGCGGGCTTTACATCTTTTGCAGCCGTTGAAGGAGCGGGACATTGTTTTTTTTCCCTTGGGCTCCGGGGTTGGTGAGGGGTGGTTTATTTGGTTGGTTGGTTGATTGTGAGGAGAGGATGAGGAGGAGGAAATGTTGGGCGGAGGTACGGATAGTGGATTGCATGTATGGATGGATGGATGGTGATGAGGATCCACTTGATAAGCTCAGGGAGTGTGATTGGTGTGTGTTTCGCACCAGGAACCGATCTCATCAACCTTGGTTGAACCAGATAGTATGATAGACAGATCTGAGACGAGAAAACAAAGACGATTATGGATGAGATCAGTTACGTGATGATGCAACTCCTATAGATCAACTAACCCATTCCAGTCTAGAGCTACAGATATTGTCGATCAATCCGATTGTACGCTACCCCGCATTGGGGAAGTTTATACAGATAATATAGATGGAGTGAATGGACTAAAGAGGAGCAATGGAGATAGATGGTAGTGAGTCAATCATGTATTCACGTCATACACTGTACTCAATAAGGCCGTAATCCACCAGACCGTCAAGGATATTCACAAGAAGAGAAACTGTCACAAAGAAAAGAAGAAAAGATGTACAAGCTCCATTGGGAATCATAATTCACATACCCAGGTCACCAACTGGGAAGGGACCAGGAAGAATCAGGAGGTGCAAGAAGAAGATAAACAGCAGACCGTTTTGATCTCGGGGTATGTACCGAACCGATTACATCGTAACCACGATAGAAAGAAAAAAGGAAGATCATCACCACATCATACAGTCCATACAGTCGGTCAAATGCAGGGGAGGAACTGTTGCTATCAGTATCAATCAAACAAAAAGGGGGTGTTGGGAGGAGAAAAGGGGAACATACATTCATCACAATCAACATCGGAATGTCAAACACGTCCCGTTTCACTGTCCAGCAGTACGCGCATTCGACCTTCCCATCCTTGAACCCCAACTGGTTCATCCCCGCCTCGCTGGCGATCCCCCCCTTGCGCAGGTGGCTGTTCCACCGCTGGTGGTCATCCGACTGCACCTCCATGTCCTCCTTCGTCTTGTACTTGAGCAACTTGCACGTCGTCATCACGCTGCCGCGCGAGTCACCAAACGCTAGCCGCGCAAAGTCTTCGTAGAAGTCGACCACGCTGTCGTCGTCGAGCAGCTCTGCTAGGAACACCGGCTGCGGTCGCCCGGGGGCGTTGGTGTCGCCTGGTGCCCCCCGCGGCGTGAAGCTGCGGGACGACGCCCCTGACGATGATGCTGACCCTGACCCTCCTGTGTTGACGTTCAGGTTCGGCTCCTTCCCCAGCAGCACGTCCTTCTTCCATCCGGTCAGAATGCTGAATTCCTTGCCGACGGCGGCGACCTCGCCCGTCCGCCGGCAGACGATCGTCGGCGTGCCGCACGCGTTGATAAAGTCCTCGTACTCCCAGAGTGTCCGCTGGAAGCACTTTTCCATGAAGATCAGGTCGTCGCGGTTGAGCGTCTTCGTCGTGGCGATGAAGGACGGCCGGATCGACGCCAGCGCTTTGGCGATCTGTAGCGTCTTTTGCGGGGTGAAGCGTCGCTGGATAAAAGCGGTTAGGTTGTGGAATCGGTTCGTGTAGGCGTATGGCTCTTTGACGCTCTCGTAGATGGCTGAGGGATTTTGTTGGCGGCGTCGGGGTCCCCCCGGTAGGGTCGGTGGTTTGAGGTTGGGGGCCGCAATCGACGGCCGTTGCCCGTGCGGGTTCCCCAGGCCGTTCGCCTTGTGGGCGATGGCGGGGTGGAACAGCGGGTCTTCGAACCCGGACGTCGGGACCTGCGGACTGGTTGTGGTGGTGGTAGCCCCGGGGCTGTTGAAATTGGCCGAGCCGCTCTCGATGGCGAACGCGTGCGGCGCGTCCGGCTTGGACAGATGGCCCGGAATGACGCTGCCCTGCCCCGGCGGGTACACCCCGCCGACACCCAGGGGGCCGGGCGGCTGCCCGCCGGGCCACTCGTTGAGCAGCGGATCGCCGAACATGAACGGTTGCTGGGTCCCGGGACTTTCCCCAAACGGCGCGCCTGTGACCGGGTTGGCGGAGAACTGCGCCGAGCCACTCCGCCCCATGGATCCGCGCTGGGTGGCCGAGTCGCTGGGCGAGTCCCCCGCGCCGGTAGCCATATGGCCCAGCATGCTGAACTCGAGCGCGCCGTAGCGATTCTCGAAGTTCATGCTGGACAGGTCGAAGTTGAAGAGCGCCGGGTCGCTGGGGTCGAACAGGGCTCCCGCGAACGGGTTCTGGTTCTGACCGGGTGCGCCCGACACGCCCGGGTTCGGGGGCGGTTGGCTGGCGGAGGAGATGCTGTTGTGTCGGGCGGTCGGGTTCGCCTTCATGGAAAAGGTGGGGGAGACGGGCGACTGGGAGGGAAACGGGTTCTGGTTGAGGGAGTTCTCCTGGTAGACATTGTGGGAGGTCGACTGCGGGGTGGGGTAGAAGTTGGCGGCGGAGTTCGGGGGCGCGGTCGCATTGACGGCGTTGGCGCTGTTGCGGGAGAGGGGGAGGTTATTCCGTAAGGGGTGGTTGTTATTGCTGTGATTGTTGTAGAAATTGCCGCGGATGCCCGGCATCAGGGCGCCGTCAGGCGCGTCGTGCAGATACTTGGCCTTTTTGCGCACTCCGTCGTGGCAGGCGTCCTGGAGGCCCCGTTTGATGCATCGTTGGCACGGTCGTTCGTCGCCTAGTCCACATCTGTCAGCTCCGATCCACATCTTCTCTCGGCACTCACGATGCGCGCCACAAGAGAGGGGATCGCATACCGCAGGTGAGATGCGCCCGTTGACAGGCAAAACAGGCCCGTCGCGCCTTTTTCCTCCGGGGACGAGAGGGATCTTTCGGGTTCGGTTTGGGCGCCGGCGCGGTTGCGCCATTTCCCTCGTCCTTGGAAACCTTCCGCGGGGCGGGGTCTCCGTTGGGCACGAGATCCAGTTGACCGCGATCGGCCTCGGGGGCCGACACACTGGTATCCTCCGAATCCGCCTTCATGTTGACATGAAAATGGAGACCCTGGGGGCGATCGCGAGGGGGAGGAAGAGGGAGGGAGAAAGAAAGGGAGGGGAAGTCGTGAGATTTACGTTTCACGGCTTGCCACCTAGGTAGCTGGTCACACGAGACAACCTCGGCGGGTCAGAGACAGACTGAGAGGGAGGTAGGGGGGAGTCGAGGTCGAGAATGGATTAAGGGTCTCTCAGTATTGTGGTCAAAGAAGAGAGGGAGGTAAGAAGAAGGTGATGTCTTGCGGTCCGAGCGCATGAAAACCACGAGGTATGACAGCGCGCGACGGAACCGAGGGACGTTGGAGGTTCGGATGGATGGATCCCAATGCAGGTGATTGAAAAATCAAATAAAATAAGGGAAAATCAAGAGGATCAAAAGGTAAGTAGAAGATGATTTACAAATTGAATAAATCAATACAGCAGATAAAAAGAAAGAGGGATGATTTGGTATGCGATCAGTGTTGTCTTGTCTCTTTTTTTTTTTCTTTCTAATTGACCTGTGACAGGGAGAGGTCGGTGATGCGACAGACGGACTGCGGGGAAGACCGAGCGAACACGATGAAAACGTCGCAATAAGAAAGACGAGAGAAGAAGAAGAGAAGTGGGTAAGAGTTCCAGACAACGGGAATGCGAGGGTCGGTAGTTGGAATTAGGTATATGGAAATACCAATGCGGAGGGAGGGGAGGATAAGAGGGTTGAACGCGGGGAAAAGATCGAAAGAAAAGAAAAAGAGAAAAAAAAGGGAAAAAAGAAACGAGGAATGAGAAGGAGGAAATGAGGGAATAACTGGAGAAAAGAAATTAAAATTAAACAGAAAATTGAAAAGAAAAAAGGGAAAACAAGAACTGGGGCTTCTGATAGGTGGAGAGGCGCAGTATTAGCAATAGCCAGGGTTAGAATGTCGCGTGTCTCTTCAATGTACCTATTTTACTTAATAGATATTGGGTTTCTGATGGGATGAAGTAATAGAAAGAAGCCAAGAAACAAGTATTAATAATATAAATACAATAAAATAAGAAAGAGAGAGAAAGTGGCGGACTCATACATGGATAGAATAGTGTAGGACTTGATATCTGCCTCAGTACCAGATACTATAGCCTTATACTATCTAGATACTAAAGTATAGTCACTACATAAACATACAATAAATCATTATGCAGGAACTATCATGTACCCAATTGACCAGAGTAATCATAATCCAGATCGGAGGATCTCACATGTGAATCTCCAATCTTGTGATTCTGATACTTTAGCGCTTGACTTCACCCTGACTGATCTCTCCCAGCTTACTCCTCCAGTTCAACATGAGACAATCTGACGAGTTTCAAGACCAGTTCATTGGACAGTATCTCTATCCCCCATCTGGACATAGTCTACATACGTAATCCTCTGAGGCAGAGGCATTTCTTCTCACTGATTATTCATCTGACAGCTCCAAGCCGCCCACCATTTCAGTTAGTCAATCCCCACTACTAGTACTTAGGCAGGTAGTATATCCCGCATCTCTACCCAGCATACTAAAGTAATGACCAAGAACTCAAAAGAATAACAACAACCAAACCACCATTCGCCAGAAAACTACAGTACATATCACAGAGGTAGTAAGTAAGTATGAGCCATTTTCAACCCTGTCTCGGATCTTCTCGGAACCTCTTTTCTCATTCCCGACCTCTCCCGAGGGTCCTTAGTCATGGGCCGAGTTGGAAAATGCCTCGGCTTTTTTTCTTTATGTGGGGTATGTATCTACCTACTTACCTCTACCCCTACCTCCCTACCTAGTACCTAGGCAGGGGTTATTGTGTAAGTAATCAATTTATAGCAATGGCAATGGAATGGCAAGAGCCGTGGTCAAGCTACCTAGGTAGTAAATCCGAGGGCATGGATCTTAGAACCGGTTTGCTTGTCTACCCACACTACTTACCTAACTACCTTGTTAGGTGTGTTAGCGAGTTTTGAGTTTTATAGTGCATATACGTAATGGAATGAATAGACTTTGGGTGAGAGGTGGTAATAAGTCTAACCTCTAGGTATAGCTTTCCCAAATCATTTTTGCCCGCTTATTCAATCTGAATTGTTATGCCGATGACAGCCGCCAGCCGCCGGCCGCTAGGTAGACCGCCGCGGAAAACACTACCGAGTCCCGTCTAGGGCTATGATCTGCTGGTTCATCCTACTATATTCCCTTTCTTCTACACTTTATACAACAATGAATGTAAAAGCGGTATAGTATAAATGTAAAGTTCAGTATAAATAATTACCGTTCCTAACCAGAGGAAGTATAATAATACCAGTCATACCATCATGACAGCGGATTCTCCATCCGCGATGCAACGCCAAACCCAGAAACCAAACCCGAAAAAAAGGAAGAGATTACGCTGTCCACTGCGGACACACCCGGCGCAGGAACTTCATAAACTTGAAGAATCCCACCGCGTACTCCACATTCCCGTAAGGGTCGACCACCCGCTCCGGGAATGCGACGCCCGCGCCGTGCAGGCCCGGGATGAGGTGGCCCTGGGCGTTCTTGAAGTTGCCCGAGTCGTGGTCGAACTCTGGTGTCAGCTCGGCGCCGTCGACCGAGAGCGACGGGAGCGGGTCCCGCGTGTACCCCACGGCTTGCACCAGGTACGAGCACGACGGCAGGTGCTTCTGGTACTGTGCGGTTTCTTGCCCGCCGCCGCAGTCGATCTTGGTGATGAATTGGCCGGCCTCGGAGGTGGGCAGCATAGCGTCTTCCAGCTGTGTGCGCGCAAAGTCCGCCGCGAGGCCCTTCAGCCCCGTGTTGTCGCGCAGGATCCACCCGTCCTTGTACTCGGCGTACCGCATCCCGTGCCGCGTGAACCACTTGACGCGCAGCTGCGGGTGCGAGCTGCGCGCCAGGTCCACCAGGTTGAGCAGCACCAGGATGGCGCTGTGGGAGGCTCCCACCACGCCGATCGTCAGCGGCATGTCCCGGGGGAGGAAGGCAGCCAGGTCGCTCGGCTTCAGTGCCATGTCGAGGTCCAGCCTCTGCAGGGGTGATGCCGTTTCGGGCATGGGCAAGAAGGTCGGGGAGGATCCCGTGCACAGGATGAGTTGAGGGGTGATAATCTCGACGTCATCTTGGGAGTCTGAGCGGTGGATGCGTACCGTCCAGGAGCCGGTCTGTCGCACGTTAGTTGAGATACGAAGGACGAGTCTAGGGGCGATCACTCACGTTTGCGGCCTGGTTGGCGGCTGTGACCATGCCTCGGCAGGCGTACACCTGCTCCATCTTGACGACCCCGTCCGTCAGGGCGCGCATCATGTCGGCCGCGTGGTGCAGATGGCAGGTTTTATCCTGGTCAAGTTTGGCCATGGTGGTGAAGGGGTTGGGGGCGGGGGTGCTGTCGATGACGGAACGGAAGGGCTGGACGGCGGTGGCATATGCCTGGAAGAGTCCAACTTTGGTGTTGCTGGAGGAGCGGTCAGCGGGTGTTCCTTCGGGGTCTCCTCAAACCAGCAGCAACACTCACCTTGGAACTTCACGATACTTCCGATTTACGCGACCTCCTTGGAACGAGGGATCGATCCAAGCAATCTTCCCGCTGAGCTGTCTCTCCAACAGATTCCCCATAACCGCGAGACCCGCGGGACCGGATCCTACCACGACCGCAGCACATCTTTGTGGTGCACTCATTTTCCGATCTGATTCGTGGAGTAGTAGAAGATCGGATGATCGGTAGAGAGTGGATAGGTCGAATTCAAGATATAAGTATACAACGACCAAAAATGACAATTGGCAAACGGAAAAAACTGGCGAGAGGAGAAAGCGGAGAGCATTGGAGAGGGGCCCGAATTTAAGGGAGTCTCCAGATGGAGCCGGGGATGTAAACGCATGACCGGCGTTATCTTCGGCGACAGAAAATCAATCGCCGGTTGGAAATTGCATATTTGGCGGAGAGAAGGCGGGAGAGACCAGGAATCTGCACCATGGTTGACGAATGACAACGGGCGGGCGGGCATTCCTGACCGTGGCAGTTCTGGTTGACCGGCGACTGACCTGCAACCCAAGGCACCTTCTCGGGCGAGACGGCGACCGGGGTTATCATGCCTGGATTTAGCATAGAGTGCCAGTTGCGCAATCAGGAGGCCCGGCCCCACCCGGGCTGGCCGCTTTGTGTCGGCCGTGTCGTCTCATGGTGAGGGAGAGGAAGCATTCATGTTGGTGTCATGGTGTATGGTGGGTGGCGAGTATGGCGAGATTGATCCCACCGCAGAGTCAATCGTCCGAAGCAATTGCGTATATTGACGAAGCAAAGCTCATCATCAAGAAGAAGAAGAAGACAAGAGGAGGGAAGTTCCTTATATTCGAGCGACGAAGCTGTCGATGGGGGCCTTGGCGCCATGGCGTGATCCCGTCCCAGAATGAGGTTATCGCGAGGGACCTGGGGCCTGAGGCAGGAGACTTACCACATTGGGACATAAGTCGGCGACTCACTCGGAGAACTCGCGGTGGATCCGGCCGATCAGTTTGACTCCGCACTATCCCCGACATCATATACTCCTGAACCACGGTTATCTTTCCATTCTGCATGCGAACAAAGATGTTAACTGGATAGTATTTGATCCAGATCAATTGAAGATGATTGGAATTGATGGTAATTAATATGAGTTATAGTAGAGATCAAGTCATGAGAGAAACATCCAGCCATTTGACACAAGTATCCCATGACGTAGGTAGTCTTTGGAGGAGTAAATCCTACACTAACCCTAATAGTCACATACTATAGACCACGTAGCAGCCACATGGTCAATTATCTCCAACCATGGTTGTCTCTATCTTCCATTAGTCGGTGCTATCAGTTCGTGGGTCTATTGCATTTTAATCAGTTTATAAAGACTAGACAATCTCAAGATATGCCTATAATTGTTAATCTACCAAGCATTTGGCCCCGATAACTGCGAGAAAGACAGCAGAGAAATAGAGGCCATGATCAACAGGGATAATACCATACTGTCAATGTCAAATAGACAATAATCAGTCCCTTCCGTCGTGATCGGTCCCACTCAGCAACCTGGACGCTTCTATTCCTACCGGGGACCCACTCCGGATCCACTGTCTCTATCTTCGTTTGAGATAAGAATAGCTTACTCGAATCACGTTTACCTGACTATGGGAGAATAATATGCCAGACATATAGAGACTAGCTGGAAAACCTGGTGTTTGGATTTACTTATACGGACCTTTAATAACGCAGTATAGCTATATCTACTACTGGCCAGTGTATATTCTTCTGTTATGGATTAGGTACAAGCAGGTCAGTATCTCGATTATGAGGGAGACTGTATAGCCCTCTATACTTTCTTCAGTATAAGAACTCTATGAATACATTATATTTTCCTGGGTACTAGAGTTTGGGATCTTGCTAAATACACTAGCTAGAAAACCTATATAAACCATGTGTGAACATTCACCTAAATAATTTCAACAACAGAGAAAAAACAGAAAGTAAAAATACTATAATCACAGCAGCTGAAAAACACAATGAAGTCAAGTTACTTGAATCTTGAAAACCGCAGCTAATCTTTCTATTTTCCTTTCTGATAAGTACCCAATACTTAGTAGTCTATATACATCTCATCAAGTAGACAAAACCTCCCGCGTTGCGAGGCTTCAGCAAACATTAATTGAACTTTGATATATTGTCATTGTTTCCCTACTACTATGAGAAGTAATCGCCTTGGTCAAAACACATAATGATAACCATAGATAAAACGCTGCTACCTCAAGGGAGGCTCACATTGGCACTGTATGCTTTATGAGAGCATGTAATTGATCGGAGACTACCTAGCGAATAAGCACCATCTTGAAGTATCATTGCTGCGCTCGGTCATCCCCTTCTCTATCTCTCGCGCCAACGACTTGCCATGGTATTGAATGCATGAAGGGTACTGTTTAATCATCCCGAAAGAGAAAGGCAAAAAAGAAAAAAGGTACTACAAACAAGACGGGCAAAAATCAAACCGCCCAAAAAGTCCTCACCCAAAACCCATACACACGATTCGACCACCCTCCAAACCTTGCGCGCGCCCAAATGACCAGCGCATCTCCCACCTCCATTTCCCGCACCTGCTTCCCATCGAGCGTCGCGCGCCCCCTCCCCGTTTCATTCGCGATCTCCTCTGCCTCCGCCGAGTCCTCTTCTATACAGTCCTGATAGTGCCACGTGACAACATGACGCTGTGTCTCGCCCACTGCCGTCTTGTTGCACTGCAGTTTGTGAGCGTTGGGTAGAAGGAGCGGGGCGTCGTTTTCGAAGCCGCCTTGCGGTGGGTGGAACTCTGGCCCCGGGGCGTCTGGCGCTCGCTGCTGTGCGGAATGCATCACGTCCACGTCGAACCAGGTGAAGGAGCCTTCGTAGGGTGTGGTTCGTCGGCCGCCGCCCCAGCCTTGGTCGCGGCTGTCTATTGTGAAGACGATCTTGCGGCAGGGATGGATGGTTCGGTGTGGACGTGGCTTTGGGGTGGTGTTTTCTTGTGTCTGTTTATTTTTATTTTTTATCTTTAGCTTCCTTTCTTGACCTTTTTGCCTTTTTTCCCTCGTGATAGTGCTGATGAACGGGTAGAATAAGAGACTACTCCATGGATAAGTACATACCGTCTCATCATAGCAAAGCGGCTGCGTTACCACGACCACGGCGTCCCGATCCTGATGCACCACCATCTTCTTCTGCAGTCGCGTCACCGTCGACGGCCAATACTCCGCGGCATCGACGATCATGTCGACAATTTCCGAAGGCAGGCCCTCAGGGACGATCTTCCAGGACAGGAGATAGCGCGTCTTCAGCACATCCTCCAAACTCGGGTAGTATTGGTTGTTGTCGGGGCTGACATCCGTGTCGTCGGCCGACGTTGCGGGCTCGTCGTTTTGGTTGGGTGTGCGGTCGCGGTGAGCGAATCGGCGGATCATTGTTGATGGTGTGGGGTGGGATTCTTATATGAGGATGGTATGCAGTTGTTGGAGATGCAGGAAGAGGATGCGGGGGGGGTTGTTTCGGGCTTGAGATGGCTTACTGTAGCTTAGCTTCTGGCGCCGGGAGCGGGGTCTAGACTAGGCTACACAGCTGTGCCGATTTGCGACACGGATGGGCGGGCGGTCGTGCAGTTTTGCGTACTGGTCTTGTTTTTGTATGATCGTCTCGATATGACAGTTAGTCGTTTCAATGGCACAAATTCACCCAGAGGGAGGAGATCAGTTAAATCAGTCCATGTTCCTATCTGCGGGGACTGTCTGTGGGAATAGTTGGGGATGACGTCATGTACACCTGAGGCATTGACACAATCATTGCCTGAGGTATTCACAATGCCAGAACTACGAGTATACGAGACGAACCGATGATGATTATCCATTGAGACCGTGCGTGATATTTTATCGTGGTTGAGACACGCGCCAAAAATATACTCCTAATATAAACAGATAATACCCGCTAAGCCTTCACCTTCGCTTGTCTCCCTCCGGCTGCCTGGTACGCCGCAGCCCGCTTGCTGCTCCGGTTGTTCGGCTTGCCCTTGGAGCCCTTGGAGCCCCGACTCTTGGTCTTCACCCGGAGCCGGTTCGCGTCGCCCTCCGTTGCGCGCTGGCCTTCGAAGACCGCCGAATTCCCCGAGATCGTTCTCTGCCCATCCGACTTCAGCTGCGCCGCGCCAGCCCGGCCGAAAAGCCTGCTGGCCCGACCCTGGAGTGTCTTGGCCGCCTCGGTCTGCCGGCCGTTGCCCGCATCCTCTCGCTTCTTCATCATCTTTCGGGCGCGGGTCACGCGCAGTTTCCGCGGGAGCATGGGGGGGAACTTCTTCCCATCCAGGAGGAGCGCTTCCTCCACGCAGTTCGGGTCGTGGAATTGAACGTAGGCGAATCCCTTTCCGACGCGCGTCAGGCGGTCGCGGACGACGCGCACGGATTCAACGCTGCACTTGTTGACCTTGGATTTCTGGTCTTTCGAGCCGCCCGTGTGTGCGTCGAAGGTCCTCCAGAGGCCCTCCTCGACGTCAGCCGGCGCCCGTTTCTTGTTCTTCTTCTCCTCCGTCTCGCCCTCGACGTCCACGAAGTCAAGGTTACCGACGAAGACACAGCGCTTATTGTCGACCTTGGCGGGATGCGCAATGCTGTCCGCCCGCAGATGCCGGTCCAGGACGACAGTTCCGTTCAAAGCATGAGGTGCCTTCCGCGCACCCTGAATCGTGCTGTAGACCGCATACGCATTGGTGCTTGGGGTAGTTTCATCGAGCAGCTCCTGCTTGGCAAAGGCCGCGCGCTTGGGGACCTTTCCGCCACTAGCAAACGCAGTCGACCGGAATCGGAGGGATTCGAGTTTGTGAGGACCCGTAGACTCGGGGATCGAGGAAAGGAAAGACTCCAGATGTCTCATGAGGGTTTTCTTGCCGGATTTCGACTTAATAGCCTCGGTGGAGACATTGCCCAGGAAGATAGTTCTGTTGGACTTGTCGAGTTCCGAGGCGTCGCCCGCGTGGCTTTCGTGTTTCGGAGGGGCCGTGGCTGCCTCATCGGAGCTCTCATCCTCGTCGGAGCCGTCGGAAGATCCGCTCTCCTCGTCAGAGCCGCTCTTCTGTTTCTTGGTCTGTTCGGCGCGGCGCTTCTCCACGGACTTCTGCTCCTCCTTCTCCAGGCGGCGCATGTAAGAGTCTTCGAGGTCGTCGGTCGTCGCCCTCTTTCGTTTCCGGCTCGGTGCTTCGGCAGCTGCTGCGGCTCGATCGCTGTCTGCATCACTGGGAGATTCGGGTGCCTCCCCCATGACTTCGTCGTCATCATCTCCGCCGATTGATTCGCCGTCTTCCGGCTCGGAGATTTCCTCGTCGTTTTCCACCTCAGCTTTGCCGCGCTTAGACGATGCGCTGGGGATGATTTCAGGGATCGTGGGTTCCTTCACAGGACCAGACTACAGATGCAAGAGACATTAGCAAATAATCCACGCGACAAAAGGAAGTGGATTCGTACGCTTTGGTCGAACAGCGACGCCAGAGCAGGGTCGACGGCAATCTTCCCGGAGAACAAGGCATTCCCCGACTCCGGGTTAGCAGCCGATTGGGACTTTGATTTCTTGCCCATGTTGTGTGTGAGTCCGTCCAAAAGGCCCGGACCGTATATTAGGGATATTGGAGGGAATGGGAGAAAAGATAAGATGTTGGTGTCAATTGCGGAGAATCTTATTTTATTTTTTAACTTTTTTCTTTTTCGGAGATGGGCGATTTATGCACTAGTCCGTTTTGGGCCTGGTGCGGGTCTATCACGTGTGCTTGGTCCATATGGGATGTGATTGGCTCAGATCATCTATATCGAGGTATATCTGAAAATTGAGCATTTGGCTTACCTTCTATTTGAAGATTGCCACCATTCTATGATATAGAGATGGTTTATCTCATGTATTATCTTGTACACATTTTTCTTAAGTAAATGTAATCACGAACCACGCTGAATATCCATCTAGCCGCCTTGTTGGCAGGTGTCCTCTTGATTGCTGGCAGGAAAAGTTTCCTTCGGCCCTTAGTGGAAGATTCCCTGTCTTCTATATTGCTAATAAGTGTATCCAGAGACTGGACTTCTTGTTGAGTTGAAGAAAAGTAGACCATGGGCATTTACAGCTCTAGAACCATCGTCCATCTAGTGTTGTTGTAACAAAGACCCGGATTACCACTCGGCTACAGAATATATTTTAACAATCTTGGCCCGACAAGTACGAATTTCATCGGAGCCTCTGAGAGGTTTTCTCTTGTCAAGAGACAGAAGAGCGTTGACCCAATTTACTCTAGATCAGGGGACAGACCAAACACAGATAACACATATCGACGGTCCCAGCAACCTGTCGCGGCAGTACGCAATGAAGTCCCGAGTGGCCCACAGATCAGTGTGTCTAACATGAAAGCCATTTTCCTTGTAAAAAGAATGAATGTCATCCTCTCAAGACAAGAGGTGTCACCGAGCTTAGTATTGCTAGGGTGTATGCCTTGGTTGATACTCACCGATGTATATGAGGTTCTCATCATATACTTTACGTCATTATCAAGGGACGAAGATTGTGCCATAGCAAATCCAATATCTTGGTAAACGTGAACTAGACTTTGTTGATGTGTACTGTGCCCATGGCCATGTTCCAGGCGTCATAACAGTTCCAGGGATCGGAACATGTGATGCACGTAGTATATATATGATGAATTCAGAAATACATAAGAACCTGGCTTCTAAGTCAAAAGATCAAAGTAAGGAAAGGTAAGGAGGGGTGAAAGAAAAAGGCCTAATGATGTTAGGTAAATCATTGGATTACCCGTAATCAAATTCTATTTAAGCCAGCAACAGACAAAATGACTGTCCGCTGCAGGTCTAGACAATGTACATAGAGAAGTCAATCCTTCAACGCCTGGTCGCATGCTTTCGCGAGCATGCCGTAACAACCAAGGATATATCAGTATCATATATCATACCAAACCGTCCGATCTTGCATTATAACACAAGACGGTCCAGTCTCTTTCCTTCCACCCATCAAGCCAGAATTCTTTACTGCTGCAGCGCCTGCCACTGCTCCGGGGTGTAGCATTTGGGCGTCCAGGCGTGGATGGCGGCAATCTCCGCCTTCAAGGCCGCGTTGACCAACCGGTGGCGGGCGAGCATGGTCTTCTTCTCGAACTGGGGGGAAACGATGACGGCCTGGAACGCCTGTCCGCAGCCACCTATACAACCATCATGCGTTAGCGATCACTAGTCCTATATTGTCTTCCTCCAAATGATACCCTACACTCGAAAAGTGACCCGACTTACCCGACAAGTCCTCGATCTCAACGTGCTGCGCTTGCAGCTGGTCCGTCAGCTTGGCCTTGATCAGGTCCGCTGTCACTCCGTTGGTGGCATCCGCCATGGCTGCGTTCACGGCGGCGAAAGAGCGCGCGGAGACGGAGAAAGGCGAAAAGGACTGGTGGACCGGGGTGCGGAGGAAGTAGCGGCAGCTTCTGCTCAACAGGGTGGAGGTGCGGGAGTACATCAAGTGCGGCGGGTGCACTGTGTAAAAGAAAGAAAAAATTCGAATTTGAGGGCGTAAAAGGCGAGACAGGAAGGTAGAAAGGTGAAGAGAGGCTTGACCGTGAGGCGCAAAAAAGATGGATGTAGAGTCAGTTGAGATGACGGAATTAATCATCCGGGGATTGCGGATTTGGTGCCTGTGGCTGTGGCTGGTGCGTCGATTGTGGCGCGAGCTGCGACGTTGGTGGGGATCGGCTTCATCTGGGCTTGATTTGCGCATTGTTGGTCCTGCAACTCTTTATCCAATTTATCTGTGGTCCTAGATACAAACTTTTTCCTCTTATCAGTTGATTTCTTGTTTATATCTTGTACTGGACATTATACAATATTCTATGACTGCTCTTTCCCGCCTCTATTCAACCATGTCCTCTTCCCTCATCCCCGCATCGTCACCCTTCACCCGGGCAGTGGTGAACTCTATGAGGAAGTTATATCCCGAGTCCCTCGCAGACAAGAGCTTCGACAATACAGGCTGTAAGCTTTTACTGATATACATTGCTTCGATACTCTGGCAGCTGCTAATCAACTCACAGTACTCCTCGAGGCCCCGTTCAACCCTGCGCGCAGACAGAAGAACTCGGTCCTCTTGACCATCGACCTCACCAGAGCCGTTGCGGATGAAGCGATTGCCCGTCGGGACTCGGTGGTTGTCGCCTACCGTATGGAATGAATGATCAGTTACCCAGCGCGTACATGGATCGCTAACTTTCATTTGTTGAAGACCCCATCATCTTCCGGGGCCTCAAATCCCTTACCCTGAACGACTCACAGCAGAACTCTCTCCTCCGACTAGCCCAAGAGGGCATCAGTGTCTACTCCCCCCACACCGCCGTCGATGCGACCCCCGGTGGGATGGCCGACTGGCTCTGCGACATTGTGACCGGAGCTCTCACCCCATCAAGTGATGCAGCACCCGCAATTGAGAAATCCTCGTCCCAAACCTACTCGCAGGCCGTCTTTCCCCAGCCCCAACCTGCTTCTGCCACTCCGTCGTCTGCCGTGCCCCACGAGCGCAGCACCATCCACCCCTCCCCGCCGCCCGTGCCAGAAGGCCTGGAATCCGCAGGAATGGGCCGCATCGTCACCTTCCAAACACCCCAGCCCCTCGCCGCCATTGTCGATCGAATCGGCCGCGGCACTGGAAACCCCGGCGGTATCCCCATTGCCATCCCGCAGTCCGCGTCGGTGGACGACTTGAAGATCCGCACGGTGGGAGTGTGCCCTGGATCGGGTTCGAGTGTCCTTTTCAAAGCCCCTGGCGGCATTCCCGATCTGCTGTTTACCGGCGAACTGAGCCACCACGAGGCACTGGCTGCCGTTGAGCAAGGCTCGGTGGTTGTTGCGTTGGCTCATTCCAACAGCGAGCGGGGGTATCTTCGGGCTGTGATGCGTGAAAAGCTCGCAGGGACTTTGGCCACGGAGTGGGAGACCGTGCGGAAACAGCCCGAGAATGCGCCAGCTTGGGAGGAGGCATATGCGGATACGGAGAGCGCGGTTGACGTGAGCAATCAGGACAGGGACCCGTATGGGATTATGATTCGACAAGTCTAGGTTGGACTGTTGGAATGTTAGTGTTTAGTCGTGGTTTTCTCACGTTGTCTACGCAGGTATTATGGTCGAATGTATGTAAATGAAATGGGTCTTGTAGGGTTCTCTATAAACATCGCACTGAGCTTTATAGTAGCCCAATTCGTCCCGTGACAGCATACAACGAATTGTACTAATACAACCTCATCATATCACTTCCTCTCTCCTTCAGCCTCTTCTCCCCATCCCTCTTTTCTCTATCATTGGGCTTCTCACCTCGCATTGTTAATATAGCAATGCTAATATTCAAGTAGGCGAACACCCAATGTCCAGGGGTAAGACCAATCAATGTATTGAGCTCAGCGCTTCGGTGAGGTGAGAGATATCACATGACTGGAATATAGGCACCGGTGTACATATATTGGGGGGTTGGGTTGGCATGCATTCTGAACTTCTTAGTGCTCATTTCCCTTCCATTCAAGCAATCTTCCTTACTTCAATATTACCTTTGTCGACTCCTGCTATCTGCATAATGTGGAATCCAGTGACCGCCCCTTTCCAGAACTCCCAGCCACTGCCTCCTCTACCTACAACAGATGAAATCCGAGCTTGCACCAATTTTCTGTGGGAGACCATGGCCTCTAATATCGTGGCGGTGAACGACGATATCGTTGTAAAATATGGAGGTTGTATAAACGTCTGGGAAGGCCAGGCGTTGGTTTACCTTGAACGACACGTCCCAGAAGTTCCAGCGCCTCGACTGTACGCGATGTACCATGATTCCAAGCAACTTTTCTTGATCATGCAACGCGTTCCCGGGGTGCCGCTGAATTCCATTTGGACATCATTGGCGCACTCGGAGAAGGACGACATTATCGCCAAACTCCAACTAATATTCGACGCAATGCAAAAGGCCGAGTGTCCGTGGCCCGACTTTTTCGGGGGTCTAGACGGGGGCAGTGTACATCACTACCTATTCTATAGCCAACATGGCGATGAGAAGTTTCTAGGGCCTTTCTCCGGCGAACCGGCCTTTATTGCGGGCCTGGTTGGTAATTACAGAGCTGTGGTCGAGCGCAATAATCTGCCAGACTACAAGGCTCGCTTTTACGAAACATACCTCGCTCGCGTTCTGCAGGGGCACCGGACGCATGGGGACGTTGAGCAGAAGAACATCATGGTCGTGGAGAATTTAAGTCACCCAAACGATCAAGGTGGGCGATCGTTTGACGTCGCACTAGTCGATTGGGAGAATTCTGGTTGGTTTCCTGACTTCTGGGAATTCTTTTGTGCATCTGACCCCCTTCATTTCCAGTGGGAAGAAGACTGGCCGTGGCAAGTCCAGGAGTTTGTCCAGGTATGGCCTGCCGAGATGGCCGTGATGCAACTGATTGACAAGGATCTGGGCTGGTGAAGCACGTTGCTATGTTTAGATATGCAACGTGTAGGAGGCTATGGGAGATTAAGTTTCATCTGATAATCAGAAGACAAATAGCGTTTACTGAGATTGTATAGAAACACTTGGATGTCGTTCTCCTGGGTTCTTGCCAAGAGCTTCGGGGCCAAAAGTGGCTTGAAGCTCTGTATTCACGTCCTGTACGGTCTCCGGACCAGAGGAGACCAGCGTCAATGGTTCGAAGGCTCAATGGAACCCATGGACGTGTTGTTCAGGCCAATCTAGGAATTAGTGGCCGAGATACAAAGGCCAGGGACTGGAATCGTGGGGCATAGATCTAGCGATCACAAGTATAGTGGAAGGTACCCCCAGATTAAAATCTGATTCCCTTCACTACTCAGATTAAGTCTATTTACTTTATATACCGAAGAGAATCTATCGCCCAGCATATCGGGTTCAATCCTAAGCTTGGTTTCAGAACACGGAGGATAACAATAACGGCTGTTAATATTGATAAAAACTAACGCGAATAAGTCCAGCCCTCGAGCAAGGTACCTTTAGCCTGCTGAAACCCTCACATCATAGATACTGCTCATGCCGGCTAACCTTATCAGCTAGATCAGAAGGCTCTAAGCTCCTTTCGTCTTGTGTACAGTCTGGACCACTCACGATGTGAGGTATCATCTAGCGGGCTCAAGGCCGATAGCTCATCATCAATCTTCTGCATCTCACGGGCCCGATTCTCGGCTTCTTCTGCTCGCTCTTTTTCATACATCCACCACCCCGACAACGGCTGGATCGAATCGAGATCAGCCTTTTCGGTTGGAGCTGTAGGGACATAGGGAATTCTCTCAATCTCGCCTCTCTCGGTCCTTCGATACGACGGGGAGTCGGAATGATCCCTCGTGCCATCAAGCATCGCCCCGCTTGACGTGGCTTGGATGCCGACTGACCCGGCAAGCATCACTGTGTCATATAAAACCCCATTATCGTTAACAGCGACAGGTACGGAGGCGTAACCTGATGGAACGTCGTCTGTGTTAACACGGCGTGACAAAGCGTCATCCAGCCCGAACTCAGTCTCCCGTGACTCAAATTTTCGCGAGGAGGACGACTGCATGTTTTCTCGGTGCAATAACTGTCCCTTTTCATCCCAGAAACAGAAGACCGTGATCCACCCAGTCAGATAATTCGGTCCGCTTCTCATCGACTCTTTGTGTGCGCATTTGCTCCAGAATGTCAGCACATCCGGTGCGTCGGGTCGGTCGAACGATGCAACAAAATGATTCAGGACTGGTCGAAGCAGCTGAGCAAATCGCGCGGGCTCATCTCCCAACTGACGTAGCTTGTCAATCTTCGTCACCATTCGCGCCCAGTCCTCTCGCTCGCCTAACAAGGTCACGGATGGAATCCCACATGATAGGCTCATCTTATAAGAGAAGTATTTCTGCAAGGCACCCATCATCAAAATAGCCCCGACAACTTTGTCGGACTTGGTCGTGGTGCTAAAATCCGGCATGATCCAGCTTCGTAGATCCTTATCCACCACATTTTTCTCAATAAACCTTGTCATATGCAAGGCCAACCTGCCGAAATCAACAGTCTCCACAGTTCCCACATCGTACACCTCTAATTCCTTTTGGCCCTCGTGGGCAACAAAAAAGGACCGTAGCTCCTCTGCGTGTGCATTCACGAAGAAACCGAGCTGAGTGAGAATAGAGAACCACACGTCTTCGGGCCGGAGTGTCAGATGGTGATGGTCACTGTAGGCGTGGAACACGGCCCATACAAACCCGTGACTCGAGGCTGAAACGTGGGACGTGCTAAGGAGATTTTGAGAAAATGAGTTCTGTATCAACTTTCGGCTTCGGCGATGATTCTTCGGGCTGGCGCCCTTGAGGAGCTCTTCGGCGGAAGATACCTTTGGTGCCTTCCATCTGCGGGGGGGATGCTCGGCTGTGGTCAGGGTGACGGGCATATTGTCGAAGGAGTAATGTGAACGTGTAGTGCCAGATAGTAGTAATATTGTGGGGGGAAGTTGAAAAGTTGGGAAGTTGGGAAGCAGAGAGGAAGCAAACAGAGCTGCCTAATCTTATATGACGCTGAAGAGATGGCGAGGCTGAGTAGTGCGGGATGGTGTGGGGAGCATAGCCTACCACGACTATCAAAAACACGTATGATGTCGATCACGATGACGACATACGCAGAAGAGGAAGGTGCCAGATAGAGAGAAGTAATCTCAAGGCTAGCTCCGATGCAATCACCCATTCCTCACGAGATCTGCCTATCGGGGTACTTAGATTATAGTTCCAGACTGACCCATATATACTCCTACACCTGCTTCAAGTCCCTATTCGCCAGGTCAATGAACGGTATTGGAAGACTTGGCCTATACAGTTGAATGATTCAACAAGTTTGTATAATTCGATTTGATACATAGCATACAGGTCTTGTAGGTTCTATATACATCCAGTCGTGGGCTTTGTAGTAGCCCAGTAAGTCCCGTGACAACATACAAATTGCACTGATCAAGACCCTGTTATTTCACTTCCTCCTTCTTCATTCTCGTCCCGAGCTTCTTTTCTATCAGCCAGTTTGATCTAAACATGGACTTCTCACTTCGCATTGTTAACCAGATCAGTATCATTGGTTCATTTGTCCAACACGAGACAGTCGACCAGCCCCACAGCCAAGACTTAGCCCCAGTTGACTATGTATAGACGGTGACAACTATATGATCTTCCGTCAGAAGCATGTCGGTATGTTAGATAACTCCTCTCCATCATGTCGGTATACCTCTAATACCATTAGCCATCAAGCAGAGCCAAGTACAATTGCTTCAATGGCTTTGTATCTCTAAATCTACTGGTTTGTGGCATCTGTCAATCACCTTGGCTGCACCACGCATCCTGACACTTCTCACCTTTCTGATCTTGGCTCGACCATGCACTCCACCTGATTGATTCGAATACACACCTACATCTACAGGTATAGATATGTCGACATACTTCTTGCAAGTGGATGTATTATATGAGGATGTACGGTTGATACAAGGCGATCAGGTGACCCACTTTTCCCGCCAATCCGTGCCGCTTGAATGAACTCCGGGCGATCCCTCCGTCAGTTAGTAAGGAAGTACGTACGCCGTTGCACTCCTTCTTGGAACTTTACTTATCCTTCCTCTCCCTCCTTTTCTATCTCTTCCATCAGACTCCTTCGCACGCCAACTGCTCCTTTCGCGAAGACGAATCATGAGTCAACTCTTCTTGCGAGGAGTGCTACCGGCACTCCTCCTCGTTTCACCCGCCCTGGCCCATGGAGGCCACGAAAACGTCCCCGAAGGCGAAGCCATCTCCTTGGAGCCGATCGTACGTGTCCCACCCTGTCGCGGCGGACTCGCTCGATGGTCGCACTTGACTGACTCCACCCTAGGACTCGACGTTATGGATTCATATCATTCTGATGGGATTTGCCTTTGGCATCCTTTTTCCGCTGGGCATGGTTCTCGGGGTAAGTTTCTTTCCTAGGAAGCCCGGACACTTGGTGGAGTTCTGGGGAACAGTGGTGGTTGACACTCCTTGCGTCCCCGATATAGATCGTGCGCTCGCGGTGGCACGTTCCTGTTCAGATTGTCGCTACCTGTATCGCCGTCGTCGCCTATTTCCTCGGTCACGCCCATAAAGGCCGCCAGTTCGGGAAGAACGCCCATCATTCTTTCGCAAACGTCCTGATGCTCATGATGGCCGTGCAAGTCGTCTTCGGCCTCTACCTCAAACTCCACATCACGAAAGGCATCCACGGACGCATCCGCCGCGTTTTCGTCGTTGCGCACGGGGTGCTCGGAAAGGCGATGCCGGTGGTCGCTTGGGTCCAGATGGTGTTTGGGGGGATCGCGGCGCTGGGTTTCTGCCAGGATGACCATATGGGACAGTGTTTGGCCCACTTCATCATGGGTAGCGCATTCATCGCGTACGGAATCCTGCTCACCATCCTCCTCCTGGTGGGCCAGTACTGGCTGCGTCGCACGGGCCGGAGCCAGGAATTCTTCGACTCGTTGATCATCGCCGCCTGGGGGTGCGTCAACACCTTTACCGAGCACCGATGGGGCGGCCCTTGGGTCCACAATGACCTGCAGCATACCACCATGGGCATTGTCTGGTGGTGCGCGGGTCTCCTAGGTATCTGGCTGAGTCGCAACCGGGACGGTGGCCCCAAGCGTAACCTGATGCCCGCCATTGTCATCCTCTTGACCGGTTATGCCATGTCCGCGCACACGCAGCACCTGATGATCAGCACCATGGTCCACTCCATCTTCGGCTACACGCTGATGGCGGCTGGTGCGGCCAGAATCGTCGAGATCTCGTTTGTCCTAAAGGACAAGCCCACCCTAAGTCCCAACGGCTCGAACCCGCACAGTTTCCAATTCGTGACACCATTTGTAAGTGTCTGATCATGTCGCCGTGGGGTCACAACGCTAACTGTCGCAGCTTCTGTACGCCTCTGGTTTCCTCTTCATGGGTGCCACGGAAGAGCAGATGCAACTTCTCGACCAGGCCGGGGTCATGCACGTGTCCTATATCCTCATCTTGTACAGCATTGCATTCCTCCTGTTCCTGTGTAAGTCTACACCCGAATCCCCTGTGTAATAACCCCCTAACAATCGCAGTCGTCAACGTCCTTATCCACATCTACGCCGTCCACGCCTGGCCCGAATCCACCCAGCCCGCTCGCACCCGCTACGACGGTTTCGTCGACGAGGCCGAAAACCCCGACAGCTACTCCCGCCTGGGCGGCGCCCGTGTCCACCATCCCAACGGCCACGCCCGCTCCGCCGCCGAAGCGCAGCAGCTGCACGACGCGGAAGCCTTCGAGCTGGAGGGTCTGATCTCGGACGAGGAAGATGGCCACAAGGTATCGACCGACAGCCGACGTGGCCGGAAATCTGAAGACGGCGACGACTCGCCGTTGGTTGGGAAAGAGACGTCGCGTTGATTTGGTGGCGATCCGCATAAAAGCCGAATGCATCTTCTCTTACTTCATTTTATTTCTTCTTTCACCTGGTTACTTTTCTATGATCTGACCATCAGAGGCTTCTTCAAGAACAGCATGCCACCTCCGAATGGACTGTTCTGCCTATTTGTTTTCTTTGATCACTCGATTGATTGATCTGTTTATTCATGGAGGGGGCGTCTGTATTTATTTGCTGGGACTGGAGTTAGGAATAGAATATCATATTTGATTTCGAATAACTAGACTTCTCTTTATCATATTGTCCATTTAAGACGCCCTGTTTGTAGAAATATATTGCGGGCATGAGTACAGATACGGCTATTCGTGTGAATCCAACAAGACGGTTTCAGTTTATTGACATCGCCGATCACATACAGGACTGGCCATCGTATGGTTCGTCCGAGAATGATGATGATGATGGTGTCGAAAGGTATCCCAATCCTGTGATTCATGTCTATCTATCTATCGTACACTTCGTGAATATCTTTCCTGCCCCTAGTTTCCTAGTTCTGTTTTCTGCCGTCCCTCACATGGTATTCTCCTGTCCGTTTCCATTCCCAGTTTGGTTGTTCGTGTTTTCGGCATTCTCGTGTATGGGGAGCGTGACGGGTACGGTGGTCGTCGATGGCGGGGTAGGGTCGTCGAGGGAGATTGCGTTCGCGGCGGGTGGCACGGCAGCGAGGTCGTTGGGCATGCTGGATGGGAAGAAAGGATGGAGCGGGTAGATGGGAGAGACGGTCTTGTCGCCGTCGAAGAGGAGGAGGTTCTGGATGGGTTGTTCGCGGGCGCTGAGCACGTTGATGACGTCTTGGGCGAGTTTGCCGCCGATGAAGGTCGCGACGGAGCTGAGCTCGCTGCCGAGGTTTTGGAGGAAGGTGCGCAGGAAGGCGGAGTCGAGCGTGGCGATGTCGAGTTGGAGCTCGTGGTGCGCGTCACGGGCGAGCTTGGTGAAGGTTTCGAGATCCTGCGCGTTGAAGGTCGGGAGGGCGCCGCCGGAGAGCTTTTGGAATTCCCAGAGGGCGCGCAGGCAGGTGAGGAGTGGCGTTACTTGTCGTCGGCGGCGGGGGAGACGGGTGAAGTCTTCCGGGAGGGGGGAGGTGTTGGCGAGGAGGAGCGGGGAGTAGGTCTCGCGCTTGGTGACCATTTCGATGACCTTGTCATTTTCCTTTTTGGTCGTCACGTTGACGATGCTCCGTGTGGGGGTTTCGCGCGTGGCTGATACGACGTTGGATTTGGCTCGTTCGATGACAAAGTCGTGCGAGATGAGATCGGCGAAGATGAAGCCGTAGAAGCCGTGCAGCCCCGCTGCGTAGAAGGGACGCTGGGCGATGCGACAGGCGGCGTTTATGGTCGTGTAGGTCGCAAAGTCGAGTTCCGTTGCGATGATCACGTCGAATTGTGAGAAGAATTCCGGTTGTTTCGCGCGCACGTCCTCCGTGTCGATGTGGAGTTTTACCCGCGGGTTCATGGCGTGGACAGAGGGCTCTGCTGCTTGAGCGCGCTGCCAGCAGTCAGTGTACCGATACGCGAAACCAGTGCCGCAAGGAACATACATTTTGCCCAAGGCTCTCCTCACTGATGAAAAACTGCGCTCCCAGATCCTCCTCTTTGACGGTCTCATGGTCAATGATTGTTAGGGTGCCGATGCCAGCCAGGACCAGGTTCTTTGCGACTTCGTTCGCCAACGCTTTGAAGGTGATGAGGAGGATATTGGCAGATCGAATCCTGTCGTAGAGTCAGCTCTATACTGCGATAGTGGGGAATGCGACGTACTTTTCCTGGGCTTGCACACCCCAGAGGCGAATTTGACGATCGTAGAGGGCGATCTCGTCTGGCGAGGTTAGTCTGTATTCCTTTCCCAGACCACTGTTTCTGTCATACCTGCGCTAATGGACTGGGAGACGTCCTGGTCTTCCATGATGACTGATAGCTAGTGTGTTTATTCCACTCCGATATACTGACTGGAAGCAGATCAATCTGGCAGCGGGATGAGGAATGAGGGTGGAGAGAGCAATGCCAGATGAAGAAAGGTGAAATATAACCAAGAACACCCCAAGTGAAAGACCAATTGCCAAGTGGACAAGCCTAAAATCCTTCTGCAAGGAGCCGTCGGTGATTGCAATCAAAGGCAGTGAATCAATGCAGTCAATCAATGGAGAAATGCGGAGGACGCGACGGAGCGATGACGATGCGGATTTACGGCGGGCCGGATCGACCATGTAGACAATACCGATCTGTATTTTATTATTTTTATTATTACCACAGTTTCTGTTTCTTCCACGTCCATTGTAGTACTCTTGATATCTATGTGCTTGGGTAGAATCGTAAGGATATCAAGGTCAAGGTGTATATCAACAATTTTTTTCAAAAAACTATATACCAGACATTTGAGATTTAGTAGAACAAAGTTGAGTATTTTCTTTACTACTTGCGAGTACAAACTGTACTATAGTATGACCGCCGTGGTGATAGTGAAGATCCGTGTCTATCGGTAACTTTGGTAATTAGTGTATAATTACCATACAGCATTGATCGTTGGTCGTAGAGACAGTCACGTGACTGGGCTCCTATACTGCCGATCTGCATCTCCAGAACTACACTTCTTCAACTGAACATCAGCAGTCTACAGATCTACAGTTTCGCACATATGTGGGACATAAACTTTTGATGATGCACCCATGCATCCAGTATAGTCTATTGACAAACAGGTATCCCTAAACAAATCTAACCACAGAGTCTATATATACAGAACAAGAACAGAAAAATTTAGCCCTGGTAGTTGAGGGTAACGACCAGACGGACAGGGCCGCTGCCGGAGATGTTTCCACCGATACCGCCAATGTCGGTCTCGGCGGTGGTGTAGGCATTGTCGACGGAGGCAGCGTCGGGAGTGAGCGAGGAGCAGGTGCCGCTGCTCTGGTCGCAGATCTTCATGCCCTGGACCTCCATACCGGCGTTCTGGGCGACAATGGCGGAGACGTCGAAGCCGGACCAGCCCGAGTTGCCGTTGCTGCCAAAGTCGAACTCACCCCAGGTGGACGCGAACTCGCCCTGCCCGTCGGTGGGCACGCTCCCGGGGGCCGCACCAAAGCCTCCGTTGGTGTCGGGCTGGAAGGCGACGTACTTGGTCTCGCCCGGGTTGACGGTCAGGTCCAGGGCGTGGTGGCCGAAGAAGCCGTCCATCTGCCCGCTGGGGCCGTACTTGTTCCAGAACACGAGGCTCCAGCTCTCGGTCAGATCGCCCGAGATCTCCGCGACGTACTGGTACTGGTCGGCGTCGCCGCTGGAGATCTCGATGATGTTGCTACCCCAGGGGTCACCCGTGTTGCCCTTGTAGGTGATGTCGTCGCCGCTGTTGGCAGTGCTGGCTCCGAACCCATCGGTGGAGTAGGTCCCGCCGCCGGAAGAGGAGCTCGACGCGGCAGGGGTGGACGAGACCTGGCGTCTCTCGTGGCCTTGCGGGCGGGCAAGGGAGCCGGTGGTGAGGGCTGCCAGCAGCATCAGAGACTTGGTGAACTGCATTGTGGAAAGGAAGGTGGTAGTCGCGTCGAGCGATGTGGGTTTGATAGTAAAAAGATTGGAAGGACCGAAAGGTCAAAAGGAATGTGAGGTTTGAAAGGAAAGAGAGTGACTAGAGATGCACTTGAAGAGAATGATGAGGATAAGATCAGGACTCCAGAGGCAGATCTTCACCCCTCTATATAGGTTTCTCCTCGACACCAAAATCCTACCCCGCCACCGGTCAATGCCCACATACGGTGGTCTCGGATATCCATCGTGACGAGAAGGTCTGCTATCCTTGGAACTATGACGGCTGGATGAAGGACGTCGTCAGTACCTCGTGCGCCACTGGAGGCGCAGTGGATATCAACAAACGAAGAGGGCAATAGAAACAAGACTGAAACTTTGGCTTGTCAAAAAAGCAACGCGATTGGTCGATGGACTCTTCTAGTCTGGTTCATGTACCTCGCTAAGTAAAAACCGTTGATATCGTTGGCCATTGTGGCGGGGACCGCATTGTGAGCGGTTTTCCATTCCATGGAACTATCCATGTGGTTGTACCAGTCTTTGGGCCGCTTGTATGGACAAACGGCCACTTTTGAACCCAAGACAAATCACTTCATACCTATTGACACTTGATGAGATCCCATTCTCGCCAATACAAAGAAACAAGAAAAATCCCGGAAAACAAACGGAGTGTGGTGGCTGTCTAGCACAATGGAGGCGTTTTCACACACAGCCGCCCGACACGGCCGAAAGAAAGAACATACACCTAGTTCCTGGTATCGAGCAGATCGAACCATGGATCATTTAGTCCGGGACAGGGGCAAGTCCAGCATACCGCCGACAAGTCTCACTGGAATCCCCTTTGACTAATTGAAAATCTAGCCAATCGCCATACACTGTATGTCACAATTCCATGGATGCGAGTCTAGCCGACGACGCCAAAGTTGCAGAACCATGGGACGAAGCCTGTTTCAAGTCGGAGGCTCGGAATACCACCGGAATAGACCTTTTTGTCACTGTTCCTAGGATCATGGCCCTGACCCTGGCTTTGCCTTCGAATCCGTCATGGTGGCAGTGGAGACAGGCTTCTTTGGATCAGGTCCGCCTTTCGGGGCGCTTGCGACTACCAGTACCCGCCCTGATTATCAATCGGGGAGATGGAGAGAACGAAGTCAAGGTTCATGTGGTCGGGGGCGTTGTCGCCGTCTCCACCACAAAAGAGCTTTACATGAGAGTTTTACAGGAGATCCTTCCGCACGAGAAAAGTGACCTCAGATTGAGTTTTTCTTTTTTGCCTCGTGGGACACGATTTTTCTCAACTGGATATGTTTCTTGGCTCTCATACTCGGTTCTCAATAGCGTGCCAAGGATAGAAAGGAAGAAAAATACAGTCAGCCACCTCTCCCAAAATAGAGGCAGGCTCTTTGAAACATCGAACCTTGTAGTCTTGGAGTTACATCTGAAGACAAGAGGACCAAAGACAGACCATGTCCATCAGCCAGCTCCTCAAAGCCTAGAACAGAGCTGGTCTCCATCTCAGTCTAGACCGCGAGTCCACCTGTCATTCTGTCTCAGACACAGCGCTAGAAAACGCCCTGTGGGTTGCTTAGTCTCGGCATGGGAGGGCCTCGATCAATATGGGGTACGCACGTTCACGCATTGCATAGCACAGGTTCGTCAGACAATCGAAGCTAGTGCACACCTTTCTCCATCAGCCGTGGCGTGACAAGTAACTGGCAGACGACAGCTCTAGTCCCACTCCCCACAGCTACAATTTCTTGCTGATGGTGGGGACTTCCAAGAGTTTGACAAATGCCTAGGCCCACTGCACGGGCATGTCGTCCTTGGGTTGGAATGAACGCCCCCTCGCCCCCTCGCCCCCTCTTTGCCTGTGGTCTGTCTTGGATGCTTGGGGGCCTTGAAGGATACTAGGCCTTTTTTAGGTCTCATCCTTGGCTGACGTCTATCAGGATTTGAGCGTGGATGACGTGCTGTTGCGGGATTTACTGACCAGTGTTATCTGTATGGAGTCTTGTGGCGTTTGTCTAGTTTTGTTAGAAAAAAGATAGTAGTCATCTACTTTACATAGTGAATTGCAAATATGACTTCCCTAAATCATTATCACTTATCTCCAACGTATGCCAATATGTACGTATAATGTATACATACAACAATTATAGGCCAACAGGCCAAACCGCATACAAGATTATTCGTATCCTTCCATCCAAATCAGTGTATGCCATAATGCGCAGTAGAATTTACTCTGACCATTTCCAATCCCAGCTAGAGTGATAGTTCTTTATGTGATCAACCAGAAACTTGGCAACTCCCTCCTGCAATGCAAGTCCTTATATCATATTCAGGTTCAGCCATCTGACCATACACTTGAAGTGAATACCTTCTTCACGCAAGAGCTGATCCTCTTCTACTTTCTCCTCTTTCCATCTGTCTCTGATAATGGATGAGAATCACCCTTAGAAACATGCCTCTTGTCAAACTGGACAAGGATTACTTACGAAACCCAAAATAGTCATGGTATCTTCTATAGTAGCTTTATGTTCCTTTACTACAGATTATCATACGAACCAGTCAACCACGCCAGGAGACTATGATATCCGTGTTTCTGTGACAGTGTGTCTTCTAATCCGAGCAATGAGAATGATCCAGCTAACCTGGATAGACTCGTTGAACTCAGCGATGAACTGCCTGTGCGCTGAGACTCTCCCTTGTTGGGGATCGCGAGGTGAATTTCAAAACGAAGTGCAGGCTGGAGACAGAAGCTGTGCGCTAACTGGAATCATCAACACCTTGCTCATCTGAAGCAATGGACGGGTTGGTAGGCCTGCCACGTATTCTCCCTTGAGAAGAAAATCCATTGCTTGAAAACAATTTCATCCTATTCGAGCAACGGGGGTTTGGTACACTACTCCTTACAATGGGCTTCTCTTACTGCCACACATACATCAATTGCTTAGAAACTACGCCATGTGGGCGAACATGGGAATGTTGCAAATGACATGGGAGTTTCCACTCCTCTACAAATAGTATCATGGCGCATTCGGCCATCATAAGTAACCCTATATTCAGTGCAACAGGATGTAAGTGATCTAACCCTGGAAGTATATACCTTTTTTTTTGCTAATCTATCTTCAGGACGGACACAAGATCACCTGTTTTATTGCCGATACCTTCGGGGTAAATGGGAGAACACCGGATCCTTTGTTGATACCTGTCAACCCATATTGAGTCTCTAGTTACCCTACGCTGGCACTTTCGACGGAGTATTTTTGCAAACATGAGGGGGCTAGAGAGTCCTCGATTGAAGACGATTTCCCACTTGGCTTGGATTTATTTGAGAAGATTCATGACGGGCTATTCCAGCTGAACGGTTTGAAATGGAGCTCTCAGGCTACGGGGAGCATTGCTATAATGACTTCTTGCAACCTCGAACCAGGTATATTGGAGCCGCTGCCTTCATATTGCTGTATCAAGCTTGGGCATAGTAGGCAGGCATGAGGGTCAGTGATGAAGCCTTAGGCGTGAACCCGGGATGTATATAAATCATCGAGTCTCAACGGCGTCAATTGCATATTCGAACTATAGAAACGAAATAGCGTCTTGTCCGAAAACCGAATACATGTCATATTTATTGTAATGATAATATAATTTGTTCTCAATACTTTCAATAAATGGTAGAGGAAAACGACCAAAATGACTTCAGAATGGATGGAGACGATGCCGTCTTGCTGCCTTAGTGCCCGCTCTCTCAGGCACCGAACATCCTTGCCGTCGGTCTTTGTTTCGGTTGGTCCTTCAACCGTCCACGCATCTCCCTCCACCTATTCACCACATTCCATTCCTATTGTTCTTCAGGAAGCTCGGTACATTGTTCGATTGACCTTTTCTTTACATGGTATGGAATTTGTTTGATCGACCTCTATCCTCTCTTGAAACGGTGATATCTGCAGCAACTCCTGATCATCACCCCGTCGCATAGTATATAGTAAAACTGCCACATGGAAACATACGGTATGTGCCAATGACAATGATCGACACCAGTGCAGTTGGATCTAATCCTGTTTCAGTAGAACCCGCCTTTGCGGCGCAGACGGCCGCAGTCTTTTCGGTACGTATTTTTGATATCATGGCCCGAGCGCCCAAACGGCATAACTTTGCCTCTCCCCGACATGTCAGTCTAGTCTGTTGGCACAGCTAAGCAAACGATAGGCTGCTCTAATCCTGGTCTATGTCGCGCCGTTCTATCTGTCGTCTGCCACGCGACCATCGCAAACGCTCAGCCGGGACACCCCGTCTGTGATCCGGGCGCGCATTAGGGCGGTCACGCTCTCCTGCATAATCAGCGTCATTGCTGTCTTGGGACTATTGATCCAGAATGATGTGACAGTTCCCGAGGCTATGCACCTCCTCGGGTGGTGGCCGATCGGGCTGGCAGAAGTTCTTTGTACCCTGCTCCTGACGGCCATTCTCTTTGTTGGGCCCCTTTTTGAGCGGGTTGCGGAAGGCGAGTGGAAGCATGGAAGTCCTGTTGGCAGAATCTACGAGTCATTGAACAGTTGGGCGGGATGGAGGAATTATGTCGCCGTAAGTAGTGCCTTTATCTGATTTACTGTTGTCTAGCGCAGCTTATCATGTCATATTATGTATGCTGAATTAATCCCAGGGCCCCGTTACTGAGGAAATCATCTTCCGGTCTGCGATCATACCGCTTCATCTTCTCGCCAATGTCTCCCCAGGCCGGATTGTCTTCGTGGCTCCGCTCTATTTTGGCATCGCCCACGTACACCATTTCTATGAGTTCCGCCTGACCCATCCGGATACATCTGTGTTCATCGCCTTGTTCCGGTCTATCTTCCAGTTTGGATTTACGACGGTCTTCGGCTGGTATGCCACTTTTGTCTATCTGCGCACCGGGTCGCTCCTGGCGGTGATCATCGCTCACAGTTTCTGCAACTGGTGCGGGCTGCCACGACTGTGGGGACGGCTTGACGCCATGGTCCAGATGGAGTCACTGCAAGGCCCGGTATATGTCTACAGGCCTTTGGCAATGGGCTGGACTGTCGCATACTATCTTCTGCTAGTCGGGGGTGCTATCGGCTTTTACTATGGCCTGTGGCCTTTGACCGAGTCGGCCCATGCACTGGCCTTGTTCGCCAATTGACTCGGGAATATTATGGAACGACTATAAAGCATGAACTTGTTTTCATCGCGATCATTGCGATCAAATCCAATGCGATGAATTGACTTTGGTCGCGAGGCTTAGTAATCGGTCGTTATCTCCGAGTCGGACTCGGACTCCGCTCGGTTTTCTCCGCACATATCTCCATCTCCATCTCCATCTCCGTTATATCTTCATCTCCAGACTTTTTGTTTCCTCCATTCTTTTTATATCATAGATTATACATAGATCAATACCCATTCAGTTCTTCTCACTGAGTAAACCGCCAATGAGACTCCCCCGAACGATCCCCCTTCTCAAAGGGGTGACCAGCAAAACCCCCGCTCCCACACGATGCTTCTCCACCACAATATCCCGCTCGAGATCACGGATCGCGTTGGACATTCCCCCTCCATTTCCAGTGACACAGACATGTCCAGAACCGGGCTGCTCCTGTCCTCCAACCCCGGAGCTGCCCGAGGGCCTCCCAATCGACTATGACCAGCCGTTAAACGGGACCATGGCGGCTTACACCCAACAACTTCTCATCTGCACGGGACAACGCGATTGGACGAGTCGCATTGAGGAAGATGGCCAGGGAACGGGCTGGGGTGAACTGGCTAGGGGATTGAAGAAGCTGATGGGTCGGGGGGGACAATACGCTGATGTATGTTGTTCTGCATCCTCTTGGTGTATTCGACTTGCGGTATCTGACATTTGAATAGCCCTTTAATAACGTCCTCGTTTCCAACTCGTCCTTCCCCTCCTCCTCGAAGGACACTACATCCACCTCCGCCTCCGCATTCCTCTTCCCCAGCTTCAAATACTTCCCCTCCGTCCCCGCCGAACCAACGAGCGCCCCCACCCAACCCGACCTCTCCACCTTCGTCCGCGGCTTCCTCTTACCCGAGCAACTCAGCGCCTTCCAATCGTCCCTCCCCGAGTCAAAACAGGCAGAACTCACCCGCCGGCCGGAACTAGCAGCGGACTTCCCCGCTATCGACATCCGACACTCGCCGTTCGTGCTGATCTGCGGCCACGGTGGCCGCGACATGCGCTGCGGCATTATGGCGCCGGTGTTGGAAGAGACGTTCCGGAGTGTTCTGGACGGAAAGGGCTTCACTGCGTCTGCTATGGGGGATGTCAATGGCGGGGAATCCATTGATAGTCCCGAGCGGGCGCACATCGGGCTGATCAGCCACGTCGGAGGACACAAATACGCGGGGAATGTGATTGTTTATATTCCGCCGGAGATGAAGCTGGGCGACGAGACGCTGCATCCACTGGCTGGAAAGGGCATCTGGTATGGGCGGATTGAGCCCAAACATGTACCTGGTATTGTGGAGGAGACGATACTGGGGGGAAGGGTGGTGAAGGATCACTTCCGGGGGGGAATTGGGAGGGAGGGAGATATTTTGCGGTTGTAGTGTATATATAGTTATGGCATTGTATGAGCCAGATGATGGAGTATACCAATAGATGTATATGTTATACCTTTCCACAGCATAACCTGCTCTGGTCATTGAATATAATCTTTAGAAAAGTTCATCCCCCTGAAGACCTCATATACCTCACTCTTGCAAACACTTACTATTGAACCAATCTACTAGATAAACAACATCTCAACAACCGTTAACCCACCACTCCATATCCAGAATACAACGCCTGCAATGGTCAGACTGAGAACACTCCAAGTAACCCACTCCAACAACCAATCACCCCAACCCACCGATAGATCGACACATTAGCGCTGATACGGCCCCTCGTCCGTCGCACAGCTGTATGAACTAATTCTGGGCCCATCCTTAAATCCTCGAACCGTTGTTCCGTTCTCCTGACACCATCTCCACCATGGTGCCCGGAACGGTCTCCCCTAGTCATAACATTGACACTACTGAGGTCTTCCTGAGGTCTCGTCGCGGGCTACACGAATCATGAATGTCTTGGCTTGGTCGTAGCTGCGTGGGGGCGGCGCCGGAAAGCATGATTCCTTGTCTGTTAGACTTTGATCTACCTGATTTATTCCCTTGTGGATATAGTAGGAGCAGTGAGGTGCTGATCAGAGTCTAGGACGGACGGACTTAAATTGATGGCTTGTTCCACGTGGAAAAGAGAGAGAGAGATAGAGACAACTTATCCCTGATACTATACTGCTCTATTCATTACAAGCAGAATATAAAATGACTTCCAAAAACGTCGCCCTCGTCTTCGGCGCAAGTGGCATCTCCGGCTGGGCCGTCGCCAAAAATGTCCTCTCCTATCCTACCTCTACGACCTTTTCCCGCGTTATTGGATTAACGCATCGTCCTAGGACGGTCGAGGAGAGTGGCCTGCCTCAGGATCCTCGTCTGGAGCTGCACTCGGGGATCAACCTGCGCAGTAGCTTGGATGATGTGCTTGGACAAATGCAGAAGATTCCGAACGTGGATGAGGTTACGCATGTTTATTATTTGGGTGAGTGATTGCCTACTATCTATGTTCTATGTATGATACGGGGTTGATACCTGAACAGCCTATTCCAATGCCACGGCATATAGCGAAAACGTCATGGACATCAGAGACATCAACGTCAACATGACATCCAACGCGGTCCACGCATGCGACCGTCTCTGCACGAAGATGAAGTTCTTCGTGTTGCAGACTGGAACTAATGTACCCCCTCCTTCTTCCTATAGCACTCATCAAACCACTGACGACTGTATAGAACTACGGCGTCGCCGTCTTCCGCTTCCAAGACCAAATCGAGATCAACCCCCCGCTCAAAGAAAACCAGCCGCGCATTCCCTCCCCCTGGGGCGACGAGATCTTCTACTACGGCCAGGTGGATATCATCAAGGAGGCGAATCGGGGGAAGAGCTGGAAGTGGTGTGAGGTGCGGCCTGATCAGATTGTTGGTATGTTTCTTCTTTTTCTATCCTACCTATCTACCCTACTCTATCTATTCTATCCCCTACCCCAGGAAGAAAGTCTATACTAAGAAAGTGAAGGCCACGTCCCAACCCCAACAAGCATGACCTTCGTCGAGCCCCTCGCCCTCTACCTCGCCCTCTACCGCTACGTCAACGGCCCCAACGCACGCGTGCCCTTCCCGGGAACCTACAAGAACTACACGCACACGTACACGCCCTCCTCGCAGGACATCATCGCCCGCTCTGAGATCTACCTCTCCGTCGTGCAGCCGGACAAGGCCCACAACGAGGCTTTCAACACTGCAGACAGTGATACCCCCGCGCCGTGGAGTACCATGTGGCCGCTTATGTGTGAGTATTATGGGCTGAAGGGGGAGGATGCGGTCCCTGGGGGGACGAGCTGGGGGGGCATTGATGGGTGGTGGGAGGAGCATGGTGATGATTACGAGCGGATGTGTGGGGAGTATGGGCTGCAGAAGAGAGGCGTTAGTGAGGGGAGTTGGGTGTTCTTGAAGGCTGGTTTTACGTTGTTGGAGAGGAGTCGGCATATGAGTTTGGAGAAGATTAGGGGGGTGGGGTTTCAGGAGGAGTTTCCTGTCGGACATGGGTATTGGAGGGTTTTTGATTATTTGGCTGGGGAGAAGATTACGCCGGATTTTAAGTAGATTAGCTGATTGCTGCGGTGTGGATTTTGTGGTTGGGTTTTGGTTATTGTATGGTGGGGGTTTAGGTTATGATGAATGGTTTTGGGAGGATAGAATAGATACTGTGGAAAGAAGTTGCGAGCCTGATGGTCATACGAGAGAATGATCCATGATAACTACATGTAGCAGGTCTTGATATCAACTATATTCTACATCTAAATCCATCCAATCATATCTAACATTATGTCCATATCATATCCAAGTCTATTCCGGCGGCGTAAAATACCGCTTGAACCGATCCGTCCGCGTCAACCGCAACGCCACAATCACTTCGTGACAGCTCATCAACAGGCTCGGGAATCGCACCGTCCAGAAGTTCAGATACCCTTCTGGCAGCCCCCCAATGTGCGTCTTGAGATGCTCGGGCATGTCGTTGTAGTGGTTCCGCTTGTTCCGCAGGGCCCGGAGCAGGTCCAACATCTTGGAGCCTGTGTACTTGCGCTGCTTGCCCAGACTCAGGATGAACTCCTTGGGAAGTAGTCGCAGGAAATCCATGTCCGGTCCCATCACCTGCGGGGCCACGTCCTCCAGACGCAATAAAGCATCCGACGGCGGATCGCGCGGCTCGAACTCGAAGTGATCCGACACGTCACACATAAACGCCAACCGGTCCGACGGAGGCCAGAAGAAGGGGTGGGTCAGGACGGCACTAGCATCGGGACTGCACAAATTAGCGAAGGACTATGACGAAAGGAAATAGAAGGAAACATACCGACGACGCGGGTCCAATGAGATCATGGACTCGATCAGATCATGCGCTTCAAACGCGTAATTGCCCAACCGTTGGAGCTCCTCCAGGTCGTACTGCCCCTTGACGATATTGGCTTCCCGCATGAATTTGCCGTTCTTGTCGAACGGATGGCACCCCCGGGTCAACACGTAGTAAAACACGCAGCCGAGAGAGAATATATCGATAGATCGCGTGGCGCGCCGGTTGGTCTGCGGGTCCACCACGGCCGGCTCGGACGACTCCGTATGCTGCGAGTCCGGCCCCGGGGGGCTCGGGATCATGTCGTCGTCCACCAAGAGTTCCGGCGCGCGCCAGCCGGACGTCCCCGCGGCGTGGGCCGTGGTCGCCCGGAACGAGCTCTGGTTGTCCTCGAGCTTCTTGCACAGCCCAAAGTCCGAGATGAGCAGTCGCAGTCCCCGGCTGGCTGCGCGGCCGCGGGGCACCGCCGTGAGAATGTTTTGCGGTTTCAGATCCCGATGCACGATCTTCAAGGAGTGCAGGTAGCGGACGCCGCAGACGATCTGCCGCAGGATGTCGGGGAGGTCGAGACCGCCGTTGACGAGTTGCGGGTAGTCCCCAGGGCGCTCCACCACCTCCTGGAGCGAGGCCGGACACAGTTCGAGCGCGATGTAGAGGAAGCCGGCCGCCTGCTCGCGGCAGAAGTACCGGATAACGTTGTTGTGGTCGTCACTCTCCTGCAAGAGGCTGACCTCGTGCGACGCGACGTCGAAGAACTCGACTAGCATCCGCTTGACGGCGACGTCGCGCCCGTCGAACGACCCGCGGTAGACGACCGTGCCGTGGCTGCCGTGGCCCAGCACGACGTCGGTGAAGACCCGCAGGCGCCCGATGCGGAGGACGCCGTCCGCCTCGACGATCTCGTTCGACACAGTCCGCGCCAGCGGGACCTCGGCGTCGGCCCGGGCCGGCGGGGCGAGGGTGGACGCGTCGTCCGCGGAGCGGTCGGCCGCGCCCTCCCCGTCGGAGGTGCCGGATTTCTTGCCCCGCCGGTGCGCCTTGCCTCCCCGTTTCCCTCGGGCCCGCTTCTTAGGTCGCTTCTCGGGGTCGAGGACGAGAGGATCCACATCGTCATCCCCTTCCCGACCTGGCGACGAGACGGCAAAGCGCACCTGGGGTGTGGTGTCCGAGTCCAGTGATCCGCGGTCCCGCCGGGGAGTGGGCGTCGCGTCGCCTCCCGGGAGAGCCTGATCGTCCGCCAGATCGACCGTAACGTTGGTCACCCGACGGGCGGGGCTCCGCTCCCGGTGGATGCCGCCCGCAACTGGCGTCGACGGGGTGGACAGGGCGGGTTGGCCGGCGGACGCGATGATGTTCTTTAGGTCGAGCTTCTGCTTGGCCAGCTCCTGGAGGTGATGGGAGTTGAAGTAGATAAAGGAACCCAGGAAGAGCAGGATGAGGGTGACGAAGATGTCCAGGGCGTTGTCCCAACCCTTGCGGATGATGGTGCTGTGGCGCAGCGCGGGGGGCAGGGCGGGTTCGCGGGGGTCACCGATGAGATCGCGCGGGGTGTCGTTGGCGCGGTCAGCCGAGGCGCCGGCGAGGCGGGGGACGTGGCGCACGCCGCGAGGCCCGTTCATCGCGTGGACGCCAGCCAAGGCGGCCTTCTGTTGGTGGACGCTGAGGCTCGTCAGGGGCTGGCCGTGGCGGAAGTAATCCTTCTGGTAGCACTGGGCCAAGGGGGCGCGTGAGGTGACCATGGGGTAGGTCTCTTCGGACATGGCGTACCAGCCGCCGGCGTCGGTGCAGTCGATGAAGACGCGGCCGTAGCTGTCGTCGAGGGTGCCGTAGTCGGGGTCGGGGGGCTGGATCGGCTGCGACAGCAGGACGAGCGGGGTTGGGGCGTCGGGGGCGTCGTCGGCCTTGACGGGTCGAGCGATGTCAAAAACGCGAACGACGGGGGTGACAAAGTCCTGGAAGTAGCGGAGGCGGTTCCGGGTCGAGTGGTCGAAGCCCATGATGCGGCCGTCGTGGCTGCTATAGATGTGAGTGCGGTCCATGGTCTGAAAGTGCTGGCTCTGCAGGTCGACATCGCGGTTGTTGGGGGCCCACTCGGAGTATTTGAGGGTGCAGATGGGGTCGCCGGTCTCGGTGTTCTGGATGGCGACGGCGTATTCGATGCGGCCGAGGACGAGGGTGCCGGAGGGGGATTCGCAATCGTCGTCGTCGTCGGGGTCGAGGTCGAGGCTGTCGCCCTTGCGGCGGCACTCGGGGGCGGACGGGACGGAGCCATGGGAGCTGAAGACGCGGAGGATGGCGCCGGTACGGGCGTCGACGGTGTAGAGGGTGGTCTCCTTGCGGGCGGTGTAGGTGACGGCGGGGTCGGTGCCGGAGTAAGGGGTCTGGTCGACCAGGTCCTTGACGGACAGACCCAGTTTCTGCAGGCCGGCGTCGGGACCGGGGCTGTAAATGTAGAGGCTCCCGCCCTGGCTAGGTTCGACGATCCAGATAAAGTCATCCTCGGGCTGGGTGCGGTCGAAGCTGGACTGGTTTTTTTGGCGATGGTAGATGCTCTCGACCGCCGGACTGCTGGGAACCTCGAGGGCCCAGCGGGACGCGCCGGTCTTGCGGTCGCGGGCGTGAATGGAACCGTCGACGGTCGCCAGCAGGACAAAGTCCTCAACCTCCCAGTCCTGCAAGGACCGCGCATGCAGCTGCGGCGCCAGGCCGGCAGACGGGCTGCTGACAACCTGGGCAGGAGGGGCTCGAACGGCGTGGCCGGAGCCCGCCAGAGCCATCGTTGCTAGGGCGCTCGCATCGTTGGACTTCACGTTCAACGTGGAGGGAGATGGGTGATCGCGACCCGCGGGGCCTAAGGGCACGGAGAGGGTGGAGGGGCGATCGGCATCATGATGATGTTGGGGGACGGAGGCGTGTAGCTGCTGCGGAGCTACGAGGCCGGGCAGGAGAAGAAGGGCGACGCTGGCGGGAAGAGTCGACCGGGCGCCAGGCAGCCGCCACCGCATGTTTGTCTGTAATGGGTGGGTGGTGGATGGGGGGGACAAAGGAGGCGTTCACGACCACCCCCCGGACGTCATCGAGGGAGGAAAAATGGTGACCTTTGAGGATATTGACGAGATGGACAGAGGGTGGATGATGGACGATGAGACTGGGAAGAAATGGAGGAGGTGGGCGAGGCTGTCAGACGAGGCTGGAACCGTCAATCACTGCCAATCCGGACGGAAGTAGCCGACTTACCTAGTGGGACTATGCTGGAGGTTGTATGTTGAAGGGATCTTTGGTATAAACAATATCAACCGAGATAAACAACGAAGTCAAGGATGAGGAAATTGATGGAATCATGGAAATATCGATGAAGATGAAAGATGAGATGGAAAGGGAGAAATGCAACGGTTGTGGGAGAGTCAGAACAGGCCGAGAGAAGGAAGCCAGTCGAGCCCCCAGTCAACAAGGGGTGGAGACTGAAGACAGGGATGTGAATGGATGGGGGGAGGGAGGGATTGATCGCCCAAGTGGGACGGGCTGCGAGAGAGAGTCAATCAGAAGAAGTTGAGGTTGAATTAGTGGCGACCTAAGTAGAGGAAGATAGAATGAAGGATGGAGAGGAAGAGAAGAAGAAGATGAGAGTAAGATAGAGAAGAGAGAAGACAGGTATGGTACGGTATGGTATGGTTGGTATATTACCGTACTGACACCACAAACATATTTATGATATCAATTATGATTTTTGATTTTGATTCTTGGATATATCTCCATCCTACAAAGTATCCAAAGTATAAGTATCTAAAGTATCCAGTATCTAGAGTATACTACAACAGACTCGTCACACCGATGGACACGCAGATCTCCGGCGGAGTCGCCCTGAATCCACGGGCCTTCCCGAATAAATCCAATGATCATATATATAATATACTAGATTATAGATAAAACTCGAAATGATCCTGAGACATCAAGGGTCAGGGGTTTCTTGTCCTCGTACTGTACTGTAAAAGTGCTGCTGACACATTATACTATGCCCGTTATGCACCTCTTTAAACGCCACTCCCATTGAAGCCTCATTGATATCCAGATTCATCACAACAACAAACAAATACAACCAGAAGAAACAATTCCAAATAAATAAAACCAATATCAAAAAATGAAAGAGAATCATGGACAAACCCATCCCCCCCCTCTACGCCTGCTACCTCCTCCGTTCCGTCCCCAAACCAGCTGCCCTCTATATCGGCTCCACGCCCCATCCTCCACGCCGTCTTGCCCAGCACAATGGCGTCGCTAAAGGAGGGGCCAAAAAGACTGCCAATGATAAGAGACCGTGGGAGATGGTCATCGTTGTCGAAGGCTTTATGAGTCGTGTGTCTGCCTTGCAGTTTGAGTATGCCCCCTCCCTCCCTCCCCTTCTTGTACTCTATAAATCTATAAAAAAAAAAGCCTAACAATAACGACACAGATGGGCATGGCAACACCCCCACGACTCTAGACACACCGCCACGGAACCAGGCCAAATCACAAAACGCCGTGGTCGCCGATCCCTAACGGCCATCCTGGGCGACCTGCACCGGCTACTACTGTCCACCGGCTTCTGCTCCGCCCCACTCGCAATCCGCTTCTTCGCGGCCGATGTCTATCGCGCCTGGACGATGTGGATCGACCGTGATGGGCGCGCCTTACCGCCTCAAATGAAGACCATCCCGGATGGGACTTGTCCGGTTGGGCCTGGGGGCGAAGGTGGAAGAGTCGGCTGTGTTGATGCTATCCCTGTCGACTCGTCCCCCATCCATGATTACCTCGAGAAGGCGCATTTCCTACTCGATGATCCGGAGCATCTGCAATGTCGGATCTGCCGGGAGGTAGTAAATCCACTAGGAGAACGCATTGTCGTCTGTCCGCAGCCGCACTGCCACGGTATCAGCCATCTATTATGTCTATCGGCGAGGTTTCTACATGCGATGCAGGATCGAGACCAGCTCGTTCCGACGGAAGGGGACTGTCCGGCGTGCCAGGAGACTGTGTCATGGCCGCTCATGATGAAGGAACTGACTCTTCGGACACGAGACGCCAAAACCGTGCAGAAGATCTTGCGCAAGCGGAAGAAACAATCCTCCCGCCAGGCTAACTCACGGGCGACCTCCGTGCCCGCGGAAGAGCCTAAGAACCCACTTCCTCCAGACGACGTCCCCTTGGCCGACGACTGGACCGAGCAACTAGCCGTTGACTCGGACTCCAGCATCGAACTCCCTCCCCCAAGCCAACGCACCGAGATTGTCATCTCGGACAGCGAATGACCCTAGTCTAGATTAATGACCTTCGTACAAAGCTGGAAAAAGATAGAAAGAAAGATCACTCGGCAATCCCCTCCAAACTCCGCAAACCCCCCATCCCAGCAACCCTCCCCATCCGATCACTCACCACCTCCCAAATATCCCGACTAACCTTCTCAAACGCCGCCCCCGCATCAACAATCATGACATCCCCCGCAGGCAACCGATCAAACAGCGTCTGAAACAGCTCCCTTACCCGTCTCTGCATCGGCTCGTTCTCGTACCTCTCCGCGCCGAACCCGCCCCGCGCCCCCGCCTCCTCCGGCGAGATCCGCAGAAACAGACACACGTCCGGCCGCGGCAGCCCGATCTCCGGCGCCCACGCCCACTCCAATCCCAGCGCCGCGTTGCCCTTCGCGGCGGAGTACACCGCCCCGGAGTAGGAGTACCGGTCGACGAGCACGGTCGTGCCAGCTTCGATTGCTGTTCGGATCGTCTCCGCCGCTTCCCATCTGTTTGCCGAAAAGAGGAGGTGGATGGTGTGGTCGTCGAGGTGGGTTGTGCCGCGGAGGTAGTTGTCGATTAGGGTGCCGATGGGGGTTGTTCGATCTGTATTATCATTTATTAGTTTCCTTCTTCTCCCCTATTTCTTAGATACTATGTATATATATACCAGGAAATCGAATATGCTTCACGTCGTGACCCGCCTTCTCGAGCCTCTCGCGCAGTACCTCGCACTGACTGGATTTGCCGGCGCGGTCGAGCCCCTCCACGACGATGAGGGCCCCGCGTGTGGGTTTGGGCATGTTTAATAAGGTAGGTGATATGTATAATTCAATCGTATATTAAGTAAAGATTGAGAGCAAGAATTGAGAATGATGGGTTCAATTGATGAGGTGAATGAAGCAAAGCGGGGGTCGAGTGGTGGATTGTCGCATAAGTTATGCGGCACGATACAGTGAAGATTACTCAGCATTGGTAGGGGGATAAAAAAGACAGACAGGACAAGAGACATGTATCCAGATCAAATATGGAGTACAGTACAATATAAACACTCAGTTCTCCAAACCAAATCAAGATTATTGAATTATACTTATTACATACAACGATTAATGTGAAATATCACGTCGAAAAAAAAAGGAATCCCCTCTTCACCATCGACAACCCAAACCAGGCTCATCTGCAGACAGGAGATACAGATATAGTACCGCACAAAGCCACTAATAGGCTGGAACACTTCCATCTGCAGACACGGCTACTTCCGAATCGGACAAGTCGCAGCATACGCATCCATCTCCTCCTCCATCAGACGCCAGACCAGCGGCTCGTCCAGAGCAGCGGAAATATCCCGGCACGTCTCATTGTCCGAATGCGCCAGGATGAACGACTTGTGCTTCCAGCACATGCTTGGGAGACGCGTCTTCATCTTGACCGCGCATGCGTCGAGCGCTTGAGGATCATTGCAGAAGTCGAACCTCTCGCGCTCTGCGGCTCCCGCCGGCGCGCACTGCTCGAGCATCGTTTCAATGTAGGTGTCGGCGAATTGGAGCATTTGCTCGAATTCGTCCTCTGAGACTTTGAGGCGGGCGAGATGGCGCTCAAGCCCCTTTTGTACCGCGGGGCGTAGATGGTTGGCTCGGATGGTGTCGTGGTAGGTTTCTGCCGTGAAGACGCAGCCCTGGTGGCAGATGTGTCCCGCGGCGTCTTGGACCCACTCGTCGAATTTGCTGACTGCCTTGTTATAGGTACGGACGCAAGTGGGAGAGAGGATGAAGGCTTGGGCGCTCGCTGCCAGGAAAGAGAGAAGGATGGTGGCTTTCATGTTGGTCAGGACACTGAAGAGATTGCGGATGTAGGATACAGGTGACGGGCTTGTTGGAGATGGAAGTAGTTAATTTTGCCAGAGTGACAAGGGAAGAGACCGCGATATAAATGCTCTGCCGTTCTCCTCCAATATCAATTGCAACAAACCAATTATTGGCCTATCAATACAATGGGGCTATTGAGAGGTCACCTATAGAGATATTCAATCTTCCACTATGAGACCGAAGGTAAACACTTCAATGACCCCTTGCATGTTCGAAAGCCTGTCAACATTATTGCAGGCTGTTCTCTCTACCAGCCAGGAAGTGAATAAGCCCACATATGATAAATGCAATGCTAATTGAGATCGGTAAACCCATTTTATTGCTTGCTGGAAGTTTGCCAGGGGTACATCGGAGATTTGGCTCATAGGTCCACCAGTATATTGAACCACTGGTTCATCTCAGTCATAATCTGTGGCAAATACTTTTATTTGAGAGGGTGTTGGTTGATATCATATTGTCCGTTGCGCCAACTTCGGCCCTCGCCAGAAAATATGTAAAAACACTTGATTAAGGTACATCATAATATCGACTCAATGTCTCTACCGTCCTAATTTAATATCGGCACCTGCGAATCTCCGCAGTCCTTGCAGAAAGATCCTATACCTCGCAGACGAACCACGCCTGGCAAAACATGCGCTGTCCTCCCCAGTGCAGAATATCTCCGTGGACGCAAGCTGCCAAGGGGGGTACCCTTCGAACTGGATCCGCGATCCAAAGATAAACAAGATATCTGGGTTCAGTATCCGCTGACCTAGGTCATTCTTACTGCTCAGAGCACCTTTGTACGAGTCTGCCGTCCACTCCTTATCTTTGGGACGTGAGCGGTCGTCTAGCGAGGCCACAAGCATGGTCTGTAGCATCCTTTCGACTTGCATAGTATCAATCTCGTCTGGGGATATTTTCCCCTGTCCGACCAAGCCTGCCAAATCATTGCAAATGTCTGCGAGGCTATTCCGACCGTCCTGGGCGGACAGCAGCAACAGACTACATTTGCCGTGTCCGGTCCCGGTTGGATTCAAAGTATGCCGCTGTGCGCCGTAGTAAAGGCGAAGTCTAGTCGCCACTATTTCATGGATCGAGTCTTTGTTGGCCTTTAACGTTCCTGGATGATCTCTGTTTAGTACGAACCATCCAAGTGTCTCGACTCGAAACGTCTCACCTGTCCTCTCATACACGCTCAACAAGGTTATTCCCATGCAGCTACACCAGATCATAATATCGGCGACAGTGCTCATTGCGATGTTGAGTGCATTCGGGCCTTCCGTCAAGTGTAGTATGACACCTAAATGCGCTGGTATCTTCTCTAACTTTCCAGCATCCTTTTGTATCATCTTGAGCGATACTTCCTCGCCGTGCAATCTGCAATCTAGCCCTTGGCTGATGGCGCGAGAGTACCCGCAAACAGCATTAGATGCTCTCAGAAAGAGTTCAAAGACAAGATACAACCAGCCCACGAGTACATGGAGAACGTCAGGTGTCTCTATTACAGGGTCGATGCACTTGGCCCGGGGTCTCTCAGCTGTCACTGACCAAGCACCTGCGTAAAGTCCCAGTGCTTTAATTCGGGCCAGTTTTTCTCTAGGATCACAATATCAGTGGCTTCGTGGCATTGCCAAAGCATGAAGTCGCTCAGGCGGCTCGTGCCAGAAGTGCGTATCAGGAAGTCCAACGGCGGGCATCCTGCAGTAGACATTGTGTCTTCAAGCGTCTCGATCATGTCTTGCCGGGGCAATGGCACACCGTGACCGGTCATCTCGGGTTGAGATGCGCTATCAAGTTGACCGGCTGTGCATAGTCGACGGGAGTGCTTCACAACCGCTGCTTTCACAGAAGAGGTGATCTCGTGCCGTGATCCGTACGCCAGACAAATATTCAAAACACATTTGGTATTCTTAGCGAGGAGCCGTTCTGCATGTTCAAGGTCCTCGACGGTCTCCGCGCGCAGTAACGACTTATTGCCGCATATTCGGAGTTTGACTTCAAACCGCTCCGCTACACCCCCATCTTGCAGAAGCCGTGCAAGACAGACCTTCAAAAGAACCATGACTGCCTTAATCTCTTCAGCAGAGCGCCGGAAATTCGCAAGACTAAATGCATAGACTGTCACGGCCTGGATTCCGGTCGCGAAGCAGAACTCGAGTATCTGTAAGATATTTCAGTAAACCGCGTATACCTAAATACTGCAGATCGAGGCTATACTGACAGTCGCGAGCGTTGTGAGCACCAGCCTGATACACCTTTTCCAGGGGCATCTTGTCTTCTTTTCCATAACGTCTGTTTCCGTCCATGATAAACCCCACATGTTTTGGGATAGGGCCTTGCTGGACCAGTAGGCGAAGGAGGTCCTTCGACCAGGTGCTGTCCGAGTTCATTATTGAATAAAGATCAAATGAGTGCAGATATGATGGCAGTGCCGTCATCAGGAATAGATGGAAGTATAGAGGATATATAAATTGGATTCGGAAAGGTGGCTGGACGAAATACGTATGCTTTAAACTTCCTCATGGTGGTCCACCTCCTTCCTACAGCTTTGGATACATTTACTAGAGAACGTAAAATAGAATAGAAATGAGTCTAAGAAAGAAAGAAAGAAGCAATAAGGAAATAAACATGAACATAAACAAGAAACCCTCGAAAACCCCTGCCTACTCCGCACAGGATACATTACTCCCCCTTTTTCTCGCATAGCATATGCGAACAGTCTGATGCCCAGAAATATCAGACAATAACAGTAGAATAAGTGTATTCAAAACTATCCACCATCATGGGGTGCATGCAGCCTATGGCCTGCGTAGTGGTTGACGCGTCATTTTATGACAGCCGGACTTGATATCGGTTATCCCAACATAGCATCGCACGCCATGATGTGATATAGCCAGAGGTTTCAAAGAAGCTACACGTATCTTTTTCAGACGTATAATATGTCTCTTAACAGACTCGAACAGGTAAGTGCAGAGCTCGATGGGCTATCATCAAAAAACGTCATGGTCATAATTACAACCGTATATCTTCTAGTAAGACTGTCTCCAATTATACAAGCCTGTTAATCCGGAATGACTAAATTAATGAGACAATTAGAACTTCGTCGCTACAAAGCAGTGGATGAATATCCGTACCTTCTCTCAAACCATGAGTATATAGATCGGAGAGCAAGGACATCAACGCCACAAACCCTATCTGGAAACTTAATTGAATTTGTTTGTATTGCAGTCCTCGACAAATTTATATCTGTACCTCGCCTTAACCCTCTTTCATATTCGCGGTTTGTATCTGTACCTAAATGGCTTGTAACAATGGCCAATATCGATATTCTTCCATGTCGCACTCGGTGGATACAGCGATTCGCCCAACTCGAGCAACTCCTGAACGAAGGAACTGAATTTCGACCGCTTCTTCTTCACTACATTCTCCTTCTTCTGTGTCCCACAATTGGTGCTCTTCTGGTCTCCCACAGGTCTAACCCCTTCGCCCTACATCTCCGATGCCTGGCCTTTCTTTGGACGGCGGGGTTTGGCACATGGATCATGCAAACATGCCGAACCCCCAGTGCTGGAAATGGATATTGTATAGGACTTTTTGTCTTTCTCTTTATCATGCGATCCGGCACGATCCTCCTGCTCCGGGATCCAGAGCGAGAGTTCAGGCGAATTGAGAAAGTATCTGGTCCTCAGTGGAGCATGGAGCAGGTATCTTCATCGACCAAAAAGCCGGATACAAGGCCATCAGCTGCCCGCCTGTCTACCTGTGAGAACCAGCAGGTATACATTTGGCAAGGATATCCACCAGAGATCTGGCATCGTCTTTCCTGGGTTCTGAGTCTTATATCCAGCTACCGGGGCAGTGTTTGGAATTGGCGGGTCAAGTCATCGGGGCCGCTGCCAAACCCACTCTTGGAGGAGATGTACAAAGACAAGCCTCAACCGGTGGACATGAAGAGTTTCACTCCAAGGTCTGAGATGCATGGATTTGACCAACTTTGGAAGGCAACCCGTGGACTTGCGAAAGATGTAGCGTGGGCGATGCTCCTGGCGGAGATAGCACGACGAGACCCCTACTTCTGGGGCGAAACCCACGCGGATTGGAGCCTTTCACCAGCTTGGGCTTTTCGATCATTCTCACTAGTAGCCCAAATGTTTAGATTTGTGATTTTCATACCCTTATTCAAGGCTTCAGTTACTGTGGCGTACTCTTTCCTGGTTACGAGTTCGTTGGTTTTTGCGCTTGCACTCCCACGAATATCCCAGCGCAATTCTGTGATTCCAAATGAAGACTGGATGACTGCTGATATATTTGGGCCGTGCTCCGCTCTGTTCGAAAGAGGTCTCGCTGGATTCTGGGGTTCTTACTGGCACCAGGTCTTGAGATTTGACTTGTTAACCTGGTCCAGCTGGACTCTCTCCTTATTACCAACGCGAGTCCAAAAACACCAAGCAGTAAAGGCTTTCATTTATCGGTTTGTGCCATTTACCCTGAGTGGGATTATGCATGCTTGTGGAAACTGCACCCAGTTCAATGATGCCTCTGAGCCCTGGGGCATTTTGTCATTTTTCTTAGTCCAAGCAGTCGGTATCGAGGTGCAGCATGTTCTTTCAGCGTTTGTCCTTTCCAGGTTCTCACCGAGTACTCAACGGCATACAATGTTCATCACTACCTGGATCTGGCTCCAGGTTACGTTCCTACCCATGTGGGAAACTGATATTCGTGGGGGTCTGTTTGCGAGTATGTTCGCCGCCCCATTGACTGGCTTGGGGGATGGGTCGTCAGGAATTTGGAGAGGAAAGAGCTTGTGGCAGAGTGGGATTCGAATTTTGTGATAAGAATTCACATTTTGGTGCTTTAGATGCGAAGGTAGAAATATAACTCTAGAGAATCTAGAGTCGATCGTGGGGCTTCTCCGAAGTACTGCTAAACAGATGGCGCGGACAATCTATGGACCCGTTTAGAGAAGGCTACATGTCTAATAGATAACTCGAAATTATCTTGACAATGAAGGAGAATACTAAAGCTAGGTAGTGTCATAATAACAAGGAGTGAACAGAGAAGCTAGGCAGAGTATAGCAAGATTGGTGGTAAAAACACTACCCGGTAACGAGAGAAAATAATGAATGTAATGGACGTACGGAGTAGAGTGAACTGATATCTGCCTATCTCTTCTCAACTGATATACATGGTATTGTAGAGTGGGTGGTTTACATAGATATATAATATGATACACGGTTTGGACATATCCCCGGGATAAAAATAAATAGAAGATCAATAGAAATATCCTCCAAACCAAAAGAGAAAAAAAAGAAACTCCGTATCTCATGCGAGGTATGCCAACAACTCCTTTGAAACTGACAGATCACGATCAGTCAGATCAGGCCCATTCGCCCGTCCGTTCAAACCCCTTCACCACCCGCGTAGCTTCCATAATCACAAGCTTCCGAGCGAGGTCCACGCCTGTGATCCGCGCTTCCACCACGCTGAGAAGATCAGCCTCGTCCAGGTTCGGCGTCGTCACCTGGCACTTGAGGCCCAGTGAGGTGATCACGCCCGAGAACCCCTGCTCGGCCGTGGTCCCTGCCGCGTACGGCTGGCGGAGGAGACACTCCCACGTTTCAGGGAGGTCGCACTCGTGGAAATAGAAGGCCCGGAACAGCAGCATGCAGCCCCAGAATTGCTTCGACGAGGATTCACAAATCCGGTGCTTGAACTGGATGGACCGCGTGCGCTCGATGTAGTCGGTCACGTCCTGCGCGGAGAAGGGTAGAGTGGAAGAGTCGGTCTCGTAGTCGAAGGTGCGCTGGTGTTCGCGCTCGAATCGCAGCGCGCTTTCGATCTGGTAGTGGCAGAGGAGGTCGCCATAGCGGCGGAGTGGACTGGTGGACTTGGTGTAGGGGGTGAGGCCGAGAGGGTGGTGGGAGAGCGGGTACGACGCGGCGACTCCCTTGGGCGCTGCTAGCTGCATGGCTTTGTGCCCGCTATATTCGCCGATGTTCTCGCTCGTCACTCTCGCGTATTCCGGGTGGTAGAAGGTGCCGCTGAACATGGCGGGGATGTTGCGATCCGCGCACCACTTCCCAGCGACCCAGCCGGCCAGGTTCATCAGCGTCGAGATGAGATCTTGCTTGGTCTTGTCCGGCACCTCATGCGGATCGATCTGCTGCATCCGCATCTGGATGACGGGGTCGCCGTTGAAAGGGCGGGCGTGGGTGACGTCGTCCACGCGGTATGGCGCAAACGGTTCATCCCCGCCGAAGATCGAGACGTTCGTCCAGGAGGACACGGCAAATTCGATCGCCCCGTTCTCGACTCGTCGATCGCGGAATCCGAGCATTAGCTTCCGCAGTGTGTGGAAGGTCTCCTCGTCCTCCGATGACAGCGTTTCGCTGATGTCTCTGCCGGGAGTTTGCTTCTCCGGTAACTCGCCGCCAACGGTCAAAACGGACAAAGGAGCATCGTCGACGGGTTCAAAAAGGCTGCGCACCTTCGAGTGCGTCACATATTTCACATTGTTGATGATGCCATTACGAATGTCGGTCTCCAGCACGTCACCCCGGAAGTTCATCTTGGCGCTGATCGTAAGCGTGGGACATCCAGGCGCCAAGCTAAAGTACTTTTGCGACAAAGACTTGGGAAATATGGGATAGGTACGCTCCGGGCCGTAGAAGGTCTGTAGCCGGGAGGCAGCGTACTGCATGATCTGATCTTCATGGTCGAAGAAGGCAGAGGGGTTGGCAACATGGATCCGAATCCAGAAAGTGTCGTCGGAGCCCGGGATCCGTTCCAGCGAGACGCCGTCGTCGATCTCCTCCGCCCCGACGTCATCCACGCAGTACACCTGCATGTCTCCCCAGTCGGTCCGCGCATCCTGCATCTTGTCGGTGACTCCCTCGGCGCAATAGCGTTTGCCGGCCTCTTCGACGTCGTCACGCACTAGATCAGAGAGCGTGGAGATGCCGTGACCTGGCAGGGACAGCACCTGGTCCAGAAGATTCAGATTCTCCCAGGGAGCGAACACGCCGAGTTCTTGTAAGAGGAGCACCACGGAACTGGAGGTCAGTTCTAGACCTTCGTACATCCCCGTGGAACGCATGATATGAGAACCGGCCGACTGTAATGGCCCGGAGAGCATTCGCTTAGGAGGAATGGTCCACAATTGCAGGAATTTGATGATCACCCGATCCGTGTAGGTAAATCCTTCTCCCATGATCTCCCGGTAGACCATTGGGTTATCTTTCTCAGGCTGGAACCTCTCCGCCGTCGGGCCGACGCCAGCCATGACGGTTGGCGACCGCAGCTGTCGGCTGTGCCGGATAATACGTCGAGCCTTTTCGAGGAACTCCTGCAGGGGGTGGCCTTTCATAGACCTTGGATCATCCTTGGCAGCCACAGTGCGAATGAGATGCTCCTGGTGGTCACGAACCCACGTAACCACCCGGTCGAGAATCTGGGCGGTGCTCAATGGCTGTACAACGTAGCAGTTGGCAAACGCAGAGCTGCGATCCCTTTCAATCAGGAAGGGGTTCACGCTAGTGGCCCGATGCACAGTGTACAATATCACGTCATCCAGCGTACCCTCATCAACCTCCATCACCTTGCATGCCAGCTCCTCGAGCGTAAGCAGCGACCTTTCGTCCTCCTCGGCGACTATTTCGTGAATCCGGTCGAGTCGAGCCGCATTCGCTTGATACAACACCTGGGCCTGCGCATCGAACTCATTCATCATCCGCAGAAGCGATGCGCCGACGGGTCGCGGAACGCCTCCCTCGATGACAGTCTGCATATCCGTCCTCATCTGGGCCTCCGCACTTGGCATGTAAGGAATGAGCCGAGCCACCAGCTCTGGCGGTGCGAAGTCTTTTATAACATAGTCGATCGTACTCGTGGACGCGATTCGCCACTTTCCTCGCTCGGTGTAAAACTGCTGCTGTTGGCAGACGGATCGGACGTAGACGGCGAAGCTCAGAATGTTGTCGGTCCTATCTGTGAATTAGCAACCACATTTACACCTCAACAAGCAAAATCAACAGGGAAGGGTGACAACATACGATGACAGCGCCACGAGATCGCCGGGTTCCAGAAAGTCGTGCGTTCCCTCAGATTCATCGGAGAACCCAGAGAGGTCCTCCTCCTCCGCATCATCCTCCGGTTCAGGTCCTTTCTGGGGGTCGCTGATCATGTTCCCGACCCACGGGGACGATGTCCCCAGCGCAATTGAGCCGGGCCCCCCGATGGGGTCCATGGAGTTCGAATGCATGTCCTGCCATTTCCTCAGGTATTCTCGAACGTCTCCGTTTTCTTCGAACTCGTTTCGTATACGGATCTGCTCGGCCGACTTCAACCGTTGTATTTCTTGTTCTAGCAGCCAGTCCTAGACCATCCGATGAGTTAGACAGACGCCTGACAGCGATCGAACCAGTTACTACTGACCTTGTTCTCCGTGTCGGCGTATCGCCGCAATGACAGCGCAAGTCCCCGTCGGGATATGGGAGAGACCCGACAAGCTCTATAAACCGAGGCAACCGGTCTGGGGACCCGATTCGCCCCTACCGCGCCGTGCCATATTCGATTCCTCGCTAGCGCCAAAGACATGCTATTCTGACGCCGAATGTTGCAGCGTTGAGACAAACAAGCGATGGAGTCGGGGAAAAAACAGAATATTGTGCCGGCAGATTCGCCACCGCCTCGGCGGTGCGGCGATTGCCTGATATGATACAGTCGGTGATGGTCACGTGAAAAGGCCTATCTGATGGACAACAGAGGTTGAATTGGTCTCTACTTCTTCATAAATCATATATTTGGGATTGCTTTGGCAAGACCGTTCTAGCACAATTGCTGATTATGGCCCTAACAAGAGATGCTTAAATCTTAGCTTGATTTGGGATTTTACCATTATATGGACGAATAATCTCGTCTTCCAGGCATCAAGACGCCTCACCCACCGGTTTCACACCCACTTGGGCGTCCTTCTTTCCTGTTGAGCCATAGTCCGTGGACGAGGCGCCGTTTCTTTGCTGATGAAGGATGGGGGTTTCAGGACGAGGCAACGGAGGCTCTTGGTCCTCTTCTGGATACCCTTCCTCGTCTCCCGCCAGGGGGCCGCGTCCATGACGGTTGAGAATCCACCTCTTCCACGGTTTATAGACCATGACACTCAGACCACCAAAAATGATAAAGCAGCCGCAGATTCCGCCACCAATGGCATCGTAGTAGTCGCCGGCCGTCTGCACCCCATCCCAGAATCTCCCCGTTGGCTCCGCGACGTTGAGGACTAGCGTTAGCAGCTGGATGATGCCAATCACGATGGCCACGACGACCGTCAGACACGTTAACACGATGGAGTAGTACAGGAAGGCAATTGGGTCGCGATGGTTTTGAACCGGCACCTCGTTTTCTTCGTCGGTGAGGGTCTCTGCGGTCGATTCGATGCTGTCGCGCTTTGCCGGGAGGAAGTTCGCGGCGGGCTGGACGTACAGCGAGAGCATCAGGGCTCCGTCCGTCGTGTCGAGGAGACACATGCCGGCTATCTTTTTGTCAGTCATTCCTGGGACATTGCCTTTACAGTATCGCCAGCGGATGTATGGCTGGCGGACGTACCGGTGAACAGGATCGGAAAGATCAGAATGACCCAAATGTCAGTGCCCTTTGCAGCTTCGATGGATGAGATACCGAGCAACGCAATCTCCGAGGATGTGTCAAACCCTAGGCCAAAAAGGACGCCAAGCGGGTACATTTTCCACGGCCTCAACCACGGTTAGCCATGACCTGCATTTCGCATTCAATGCGCAAGCGTCTTACCGGTCAATCAACTTGAACATGCGCTTCAACACGGAGAACAGCACGCCTCCGCCTTCGACCTTCCACGCTTCATCCTCCTGGCCTTCGGGAAGATCCAAGACCTTCTGCAGCTGCATATAGAGCTTGTACAGAATGTAGGCGTTCATGAGACCCAGCAGGATGAGGAAGGCGGCGCTGACGGATGTCCCAATGATGCCGCCGACGGTGCCGAAGCTGTCAAAGCGAGACGACACGGCCGCAGCGGTGGCGGCCACCACGATCGACGTGATGATGACAATCCTTAACCCACGTTAGTCTATATGAGTGATGAATGGTCAGGTAGACATACGTCGAATGGCCCAAGGAGAAGAATGTCCCGACCGTGACGGGCTGTTGGCCGGTTGCCAACAGTCTCCGGGTCATCAGATCGATGGCCTACATCAATGAGCTAACTTAACAGTTTGTGGTCTGTGGGAGGCAATACCGAGATATGATCCGCGTCGAACGCATGTCTCAACCCCAAGGTATAGGAGAGAACCGCATTCGAGACCAGGGATCTAAACGATCAGTATTCATCTATAAATCACGGGCATGTCTCTAAACACTCACGGATAGTAACGCTAGACCCAGGTCTCCGCATCAGCCAATCAGTCAACGCAGTGAAAAGAAGTTATAACATACTAGCACCACAGCCGCCGCAATCCAAACTAGGATATTCACGAGCGCCACAAAGCTGATGATCGCGAGAGCGGGGAACGGCACCTTTCGGATGCCGGGCAGTCGACTGTGCGAGCGCTCGACACGGCGAACGAGGTCCTTCGGGGCCCATTTGTTCTTCGCGTCGTCGTCTTGACCCTGGGAGTCTGGGACACCGGCGGGGTCAGTGTCCAGTAGGGCCCGCGGGGAAAGGTCGCGCATGGCGTGTTAGCGACTGTTTCAGCGGTGGTAGATAAACCAAATGATGTAGAAAAGATGGAATAATTTCGATGGTATAATCTATATAGTATACTAGGTCCAGCACAGAGAAGATAGAGAGAGTAAAATAAAAGCCCCTCCAACGTCGTGCGGGGACTCGAAGTACGTTTGCGGCCTGATAGAAATGGAGACAACGAGATAAGATAAGAGATAAGATGGCCGACGAGTCAACGCGGCGGACGGAGAGGATCCGTGGGACGAACATCTCCACTTTCACATATGCTGACAGAATACTATGACCAATTGGGTGCTGCACGATCATATGAAGCTAGAAAATACAAGTCGATCGATCGTCGGGAGGAATGGAGGAGGAATTTACGTGGTTGATCGGCCTGCTCGGCCTTCTTCCGTTGGGATCCACCGAGGATGGATCCTTCTACGAGGGGTTTTATACGGAGATAGAGTCATTTTTTTGAATATTTGATTATATTTGTTCAATGTGTTTGTAGCTCACTTCGAGCAGAGTATTTCAACTCAGTACTAAGTACTCAGAGGAGCGTGTCTGGTCCACCAATACCACAATACATGGACGGTGATCCCGAGACACATGAGAACAGTCGAATCGAGTCGACTAGATTCTCACCGGTCAGTCTCATACATGAGACGGTTGTTAGGGCAGCAGGGATGCCCGACAGGTTGGCCGGTGGCCGGACCCACACGGGCACGGCCGACGCGGCGCCGTCAACGCCCGACAGTTACCATCCGATAGATGGGGGTGTACTTCGGGGGCGACCGATGGACTTTGCCGAAAGACCGTAGTCTATCGGCATCGCGCGAGTGGGTGCATGGCATCTCCACCGCGCATGTCGGCCGGGTGTTGGTGATAAAGAGATCGTCAATAGTCTTGTCTACCCAAAGGGTAAACGAGAAGCCTCTATTCTTCACGCCGCGGTCAAGACAATCGGCGATGGCGTCCACTTGGTGACTGTCGGCTTCGGGTGGCCAAAGTCGGCCCCGACAAGCATTTTCCACTCGTTCCGCGTGATGGGGGTGACATCCGACGCGGACAGCGGTGTCTTTGGGGCGCGTTTGGTGACCACAGGCCGGAACTTAGATGGAAGAGGGTCTCTGCGGGGACGCATAGCAGTGGGGTACTTGGCTACTTTGCGGGTGGCGGCGGTGGTGGTTGTGCTGTGCAGCTCGGCCTTGGGACGCGGCGGCAGCACGATGCCCTCCTCGCCGTATTGCTTCTGGTAGGCGGATGCGACGCGGGCGAGAATGTCATCGTGCACGTCAAGCTGTTCGTAGACGCGGTGGAAGAAGGCCTTGCTGAAGGGGCGGCCGTGGCAGTCTTCGATGGTGCGGTGGAGGAGCTGCACGCACGAGGTGATGTACGAGTCGTGGATGGGTTCGCCGCGCGTGGACAGGATGCAGAGCCGTCGCTTGAAGGTGTAGATCCGGTCGACGTTCAGCAGGGTGAGACCCTCGCGGCTGAAGACGACTTCGTTCTGCATGATCGATTGCTGGACTAAGTAGTCGTTGGCCTTGCGCTCGTACTGGCTGCGGGTGAAGGCGTCCGGCCAGCTCTGGCCGAGAGAGAATTTGCTGGCGCCTTTGGCGATCGTCCGGTAGACGGTGCGCCACTCCTGGGCGTCCAGCGGAGTGATGGGGATGACGATGAGGTCGGAAGGCTCGCCTGTCGGATAGGGCTTGCCACGACCCACCAGCAGGGTGACGTGCATCATCTTCTGCTGCAGCTTGGAGGAAATGTACTCCAAGGCGGGCAGGACGGAGGGAGTCAGGGTCTCCGAGTCAAAGTTGAAGGACGGGGAGAGAGGCGAGGAGATCATGTTGCTCGTGAGGCTGGAGGTGGGAGAACTGGGCACGTATACGCCCATGGGGCGAGGAAGTCGCATAACGCCCATGTTGATGTAGTAGGAAGATGAAGGTGAAGTTAGTATGACAACGTAGAACAGAACTGGAGAGGACAAGTATATCCACTCCAGGTCTTCAAGACTCAATAACGATAATCAAATCTCTTGAGAAAATCAGAGAGTGAAGACCATCGAGGGCCGAAGTCGAGATAATAAACCCCCAGTGCAACCCACCACCAACACCAACACCACCAACAACAACAACAACAACAACACCACCACGGTCAGCAAAAGAGGGGAAATTGACCTAACCAGCAGCCACAGTGGTTAGTTCACCACGATGAGAAAGTCCCATCCGAACGACAGCCCCTCCACCAATCCCATCCTGCAGCGCCGACCCGACACGGCGGAACCCCAATGGTGAGTCCCGATATAAATAAGTCCAATAGCCCTAAGCGCCGAGTCCAACTTCCGTCACACGGCCTTATGCACGTCCACGCACGCTACCGCCCGCTAATAGGCCGCCAAATGGGACAATAATAGCAACAATACAACCCCATCGGGGTATTATTAGAACTTTTCGGGGGATTATTAGGTCCTTATCTTCGATTTTGCCCTTCTCGACTGGAGTATTCGCAGAGCTGGTGGCTTGCCCGCTACTGCACGACCTTTTCAATAGTCATTTGGACTAGTCTTCCCGCTGTCAACTTGATCGTCTGCTTTCCAATCGCTGCCCACCTTGCTGGGTGATGTCGGCTTGGAACTATTGAAAACGTGCATTGCAGCGGGCGCGAGATCTGGGGTTGTGAGAGGAGAGGGGTCGCCCGTTGCGAGGATTGTGATGCTAGTGTTTTCCATTTTGGGATTGTGAGGGGTACAGTTTGCTTCTTGGGAGCGGGGTTGACGTTGTTAAAATGTATTGATTGGTATTCGTTTGTGCGTGGGCTTTTTGGGGGCCAAAGGAATATCCCGAGATGATTCTATACTTTGGGATGATGTTGACCCTATCCGACGGTCCGAATACGGGCACCGTCCTATGTGAGGTGGACGTGAGGTGGACAGTGCTGGGGCTAAACGGGCCCAACTGTTGGGTCCAACTCGACGCCTACGGAGTTTATCCTGGGTGGATCAATTCACCATGTCATTGCGTAATATCGTACAGGACCGCCAATAAAGGACAGTCTAGGTCGAGGGTATGCTATAATATACAAGAAGTGGGCAAAAGACTAGGGCCAGTCTCCCTTTAGTGAAATTTCGTCGGACTTTCCCGATATTCGCCAGACTTGAACGATGTCAGCGTGCCACCGAGCAGTCGATTCAACTGTACAGGCGAAAGCTTGCGGTCGCTTTTCTGATACTCTACAAAGAGATCCCAGAGCGTCTCGGTCGACAAAGTCCGCACCCGCACGTCGCTCAGGTCGTAGTCCAGATTCTCTTGGAAACACAGAGCAGGGTCCAGTTCCTTGCCAGCCGCGATGTCACTCGGGCTGCCGTGCACCGTCTTCGGTAGCCTGTCAAAGTCCGGTTTCAGCGTCCTGTTGGCGAACATTGCCAGCGACGGAACGGCTCGGACGATGTCGTTGACCGGTCGCCCCGGTAAGATCACGTCCAACAGCTCCGGCACGGTCATGTGGTTACGGCTGCCCAGAGTCAGAGTGAGGGCCTCGGAGCACTCAAGAGGGGCATCTCGGTCCCCCGGAGGGAGCTCGTGGAGCTTTCGTGCTGCGCAGGCGTTCGGATCTGCCTCGAAATAGACCATGGTCCGGTCGCTTTCCCGCGGAAAGAGCTCATCGGGCTGAATGAGCAGCGGCTCAAATGGCCGACGCTCCCATAGCAGGACCGCATTGTCTGGGTTGCCACCAGGGCTAGACGCCCTCCAGTCATCACACAGACCCGAGAATTGCTTCAGGGCCTTGTAGTGGGTCTCGGAGCTTTGTTTGACGTAGGTTGCTTGGAGGGCGGCAATCTCCTCTTGAGTGGAACGCAAGGTGCTAGGATCCGCGCTCGGATCCGCAGCAGCCCGTGACAAGGCTTGGTTGAGCTCTGCGATCTTTTGCAGTAGCTCAAGGAGCTGCCTGCGCATGAAGGTGTGTCGGTTATCTTCATTTAGCATGATCCATGCCCGCGTGGCCTCTTGGTTGGTTCGGAGAATCCTTCCATTCCGGGCACGTTTATGGGGCCCAGAAGGGTCGGCAAAGCTCGGCTCTAACATGATCAGCTCCATAATCCGATCGTGTCCGGCAGTATTAGCACGGGGCATATACGGGGCGGGTTTGGTGCCCGGGTCAGGACTCTCCGGAGCCAGGGTCAAAGGCGGATATTCCCTTCCCTCGGGGGTCACGATCTTCGCTTCGGCGGTCTTCCGAGCCACGCGGGCGGCGTTGTCCACCAGCTGATCCCACCACTTATAGGTCGTCCAGTAATTCGTCGTGTCCTTTGACGAAGCGACTGCAAAGGCATGCTGTGCGACATCTTCCGCCATTATGGCGGGCCTCTTGCGGTCGGTTATGTTGTGGGGGAGAATTGCTTGCACGTCTAACAGCGGAAGGGTCATGAGCAACCGGACGCTGCCATAGGTATGTATTCCCGTCTGTCGCAGACATGATTCCATAAAGGCTGTCCACCATCGCGCCGGGGTGTAGTGGTTATTCTTGGTCGCACTGGGGGGCGGATTGGCCAGCACCAAGAGAGTATCGTTCCTAGCCAACGCACCGGACTCGTCACGGTTCGACGCGCTCTGCTCAGGCAGGTGTTTAGACATGAGCGACGGCCAATCGTGGATCGCGCTGATATCCATGAACTGTAAATCGTAGCCTGGGCGGCTCTGGGCCAACGGCTCTAGCAAGGGCCGGTAGCCCTGGTGGGGTTCGATCAGGACATGACGTCGGGGACGGAGAAGATCGTTAACTTTGGACGACCACAGTCCAGCGCCAGGCCAGAGGTCGAGAATATCGAGGGGTCGATTTCGAAGTAGGTAGGGGGAAATGCGCGTAAGGATGTCGTCTGCAAATGGATGATCAGTATCGCATCCCCTGGCTCGGTCTCAACCCACAATCCCTGGCATAGCTTACCACATAGTTGCTCGCTCACAATCTCAGGTTTGCGAATTCCCCGTTTAGTAGCTGCCAGGGGGAAAGCTTTTCGAATCGTTTTGGTCAAGGGAAAACGGGGGACGGCTGCCCATCGGCTGGGCGGTTTTGTCATTCTCCAGTCGGAAGATATAATCTGGCTACTGATGGCGCAAGCCCGGAGGATAGGAGAAATTCAAAGCCTCTGGCATCATTGGCAATGATGCAGGCGACCAGGGCTTCTTGTAGAGTGGATCGATCCGAATGTTTTCAAAGTGGGTTGATTGCGGAGAAAATGGGGAAATTATAGAGAATAAAATCGAAGGGAAAAAGAAACGGAGGACAAACTAGGGCGGTGAGGGATATCTCTCCACCGCCTTTCCTCCCGCTTTCACGAACTATATTTCTCTCCTACGATAATGGATGCTATATACATGGAGTTGTGGTTTGACATCCCCTTACAACTTGCCACGGTTCAAGAACCGCAATGGTAAATCCACCCACTTCGCTCGGAGATACTCCGCGACGTTCTTGCCCAGGAAATCTACCGTGGTGGTCACGCCAACGCCCCGGTCCAGCAGGTTTCGGAACAAAAAGTGCACACCCCGCAGTTGGGGCAGCTCGAATCGGTCAATCGCCAAGTCTGGATTGGTGTTGTACTGCTCGCCAAGGAGTTCCCTGGCTCTCGAGGCCGACAGCAAAGACCGTAGCCAGAGGTATTCATCGTTATGGCGGACCCAGAAACCGCAGTTGGCATCCGGACCCTTATCACCAGAGCGGGCATGTACAATCCAGCCTAGGGGGCCGCGAACAGTGGGGCCAAAATCGACGGCGGGGTTGGCCGGGGTGGCGGTGAGGTCCTGAGATGGCTGACGCAGCGGATATTCTTGTGTTTGCGGTGGGGCGGCAATGTCCAAAGTTTGCGACTTCCAGGGGAGATGGACGCGGTGTTTGATGTCTTCCTGGGGCAATAGGCTGACGTAGTATTCGTAGACGGGTTTGGGCAAACCCTGACGTACGTCCAAGTGGAACGTGGCACCCGGATAGCCTTGCATGATGTTGTCGGTGAGGTGCCGCAGGAAATTGGCCGGGGCGAGGTCCTCCGCCTGGCGTGCTTGCGCAACAACCCGGAAGGTGACGGTGGCGCTGTTCTGATCTCGGGGGTCTTCTACCATCCCTCCCAAGGTGGAGAAGTTGAGGGCAGTGAACTTGGAAGAGTATGGAGCCAGGAGGCGGCGGATCTGGGCCTCCAACATGCGCGCTTTCGCATCGATGTCGAGACCGACCAGAAACCAGACACACTCTGCTTGATACCCACCGCGAGCAGTGATGCCAACTTTTGTTGTCGGTGGAGGCGGCGCGGAGCGAACGCCGTGCAAAGCGACGCGGTTGACACCGACCTGTTCGAAGTGGACGTCGTCCAGCACGGCCGTAACGTCCGAATTGTAGTACCACGGCCCTTGAATTTCGTACAACAGTTGTGATGAGCATGTGTCCACGGTCACAGCACCACCAGTGGCATACGATTGCATCGTAATGACTACCTGGCCGTTTTGCGAGATCTCCGCAATGGGGTATCCAATGTTAGACCAGCCATCCGGACCGACATGCTCGAGCTGTTTGAAACCGGTAAAATTGCCGCCGGATACGTAATTGCTGCACTCGATAAGGTGCCCGGCCACAAATGCGTTGGCGAGCTGCTCCAGATCATTCCGACTCCATCCGTGGTACCAGTATGCGGCTCCGATAATGGGCGACGCGTCCGAGACTCGACCGCAAAGGACGATATCTGCCCCCTCGGCCAAAGCCGCTGCAACTCCTAATCCGCCCAGATAGCACTGTGCATAGATGGGCTCAAATGACCAATCCGACAGTAATTCTCCCGTGTATACGTTCTTGAACTGCGATTTGCCCGAGCGAAGGGCGGTTTGGACGGTTTGAAGCACCTCGTCCCCAGAAACCCAGGCCACCTGCGAGAGGTGAGTAGACGGCTAGGCGGAATGAACCCGATATTTTTACCTTTAGCCCCAGTCCCTTTGCCTGCACCATTTGTGTCACCACCTTATAGAGGCCCTCGGTATCGGCGTTGCCTGCATTGACGGCTAGCTTGATGCCATGCTTGGCTATGTTCTCGAGGGCCGGCTGCAAGGCCAGAAGAAACGATAGCTCGTAGCCTGGCGGGGCCGGCTCCTGATTTCCTTGCGCCTTCTCCTGGTCCACGCGACGGGCAGCCCCAGTGACCATGTTGGCCTCACTCATGAAGTCTGCGATGATGACATCCACGGGATCCTGGGGATAGTTCTGGGCGAACTCGGCGATGGCATGGCGTCGGTCAGAGGTAGATCCTGAAGCGCCTGGGAGATACAGTCAATCTCAATTTCAACACACGCTCCCAATTGAATTGGGAGAGCTTCTATCGTTGGTTGATAGGATGCTGCTTACCCGCAATACGGACAGGTCGCGAACTCATGTTGTAGTTATTGACAGTCCGGTGCTTTGAGTGCGTCTGTTGACAGTTTGACAAGAGAGCGATGAGGAACTTGGGAAGACATGACGCAGGGGATCCATTGGTTCTATTTTTGTAAGGATCGTCTGTTCCATCTGAAGACCGACAGCCCAGGGCGAGGTAAATAGACACCGAGGAGGCTCGGTTGTCGGTCGGGGAGAATGCGGGGAACGTTTCCTCGGGGTAATTTTGGTATTGGTGACAGTCACATGATAGTATTATTAAAGGGGAAGGCGGTGTGTCTCCATAAGTGTCACCTGACCCGTTCAAGGCGGTCAAGAGCCCTGGCTGTCTGATTGGCTGGCCCCTCCGCATAACCACCGTCACTGGAATCATCCAGACGCTTTTCCTGTCTGTCCTTTTCAACGCCTCCACACTTCCCCTCCATCTTGCATTTGGTTCCCCCAACTCTGTTTGAACGACGGTGAACGTATTCGCGGTTATTCAAATCTATTTTCATTGATCTACATTCTGTGTATCTGGAAAATCTCATCCATCCAACGCCATGGTCCTTCAGGATCTCGGGCGGCGCATCAATGCCGCCGTCAATGACATGACCAGGTCCAACAACCTGGACGAAAAGGTGACCTCCAACGATGAACAGGAGATCTCTTTACGCAGGCTAACGCATATTGTCTAGGCCTTTGATGACATGATCAAGGAGATCTGTGCCGCCCTCCTATCCGCTGACGTCAACGTTCGCCTCGTCCAGACCCTCCGCAAATCGATCAAATCCAGCGTCAATTTCGCAACCCTGCCGCCCGCCGTGAACAAGAAGCGTATGATCCAGAAGGCCGTCTTTGATGAGTTGGTTAAGCTGGTTGATCCCCATGCGGACCCTTTCCGCCCCAAGAAAGGCCGCTCCAATGTCATCATGTTCGTTGGTCTGCAGGGTGCGGGTAAGACAACCACCTGTACCAAGTTGGCCCGTCATTACCAGACCCGCGGCTTCAAGACCGCCCTTGTTTGCGCGGATACCTTCCGTGCGGGTGCTTTCGATCAGCTGAAGCAGAACGCGACCAAGGCGAAGATCCCCTACTACGGTAGTCTGACCCAGACGGACCCCGCGATCGTCGCCGCCGAGGGTGTGGCCAAGTTCAAGAAGGAGCGCTTCGAGATCATCATTGTCGATACTAGCGGTCGTCACCAGCAGGAGGAGGAGCTGTTTAACGAAATGATCCAGATTCAAACGGCCGTCACCCCCGACCAGACCGTCCTGGTTCTCGACAGCACGATCGGTCAATCTGCCGAAGCCCAGTCGTCTGCTTTCAAGGCCACTGCCGACTTCGGTGCCATCATTATCACGAAGACAGACGGTCACGCCGCCGGCGGTGGTGCCATCTCCGCCGTCGCCGCTACGCACACCCCGATCATCTTCCTCGGAACGGGCGAACACATGATGGACCTGGAACGGTTCGACCCCAAGTCGTTCGTCCAGAAACTGCTCGGCATGGGCGACATGGCCGGACTGGTCGAGCACGTCCAAGCCGTGACCAAGGACTCGGCCTCCGCCAAGGAAACCTACAAACACATCTCGGAGGGTATCTACACGCTGCGCGACTTCCGCGAGAACATCACATCGATCATGAAGATGGGTCCGCTCTCCAAACTCTCCGGCATGATCCCGGGTCTGTCCAACCTGACCCAGGGGCTCGACGACGAAGACGGCTCGCTCAAGCTCCGCCGCATGATCTACATCTTCGACAGCATGACCGTCGCCGAGCTCGACAGCGACGGCAAGCTCTTCGTCGAGCAGCCCAGCCGCATGGTCCGCATCGCCTGCGGCAGCGGCACGACCGTCCGCGAAGTCGAAGACGTCCTCTCCCAGCACCGCATGATGGCCGGCATGGCGAAGCGCGTCGGCGGGCAGAAGAAGCAGATGCAGCGCGCTCAGAACATGCTCAAGGGCGGCAACAAGGACCAGCAGCTGGCTGCGATGCAGAAACGCATGGCGGCGATGGGCGGTGGCGGCGGAGCCGGTGGCATGCCCGACATGGCCAAGATGATGCAGATGATGCAGGGTCAAGGCGGCGGCGGCGGCGGCATGCCCGGCCTTGGCGGAATGGACCTGCAAGGCATGATGAGCCAAATGAGTGGGATGTTTGGTGGTGGTGGTGGCGGCGGTGGAGGACGTGGCCGAGGCCGATGATACATTACTCCAATCCCGTCATACCAGCATGCCTGCTTCTTTCTATTAATGTCTTCTTCTATTCATGTCTTTTTTTCTTCTTTCTTTCTTTTGTTATGTTATATCTCCCCTGGTCTCTACACGGGCTGCGTGCGGTTCCTGCGACGATGATGCCACATTAAACGCACCCTGGGTCGTTCAGTTCTAGCATACGGATGGTGTTTGGCGTGGCGAATTCTACTTGTACTCTTTTTCTCTTTTCCAGGGATAATCTGCAAATACATGAACGACGACGGAAGTTCTATTTGTCTTGCACTTAGCACTTACAAACTTACTACCTAGTATCTACCCATCAGTTCACTACCTACAGAGTTGATATCGTTCTATCGAGTTTGCAACTAGCATACACTGTCATTGAGCACGTTCACACGTTCATACATACGTAACTACATAGTAGTACATCTATTTCTACCCGTATCTGAATCGGAAACCAATAGAAGACGGGGTTAGGAAAATACCGTCGAATATCCAATACAAGCTAGAGCTCACGTACTGGTCATACGCGGCCTTCACTCGTGGCACGATCTTCAAAGCCGGCTCTTCAGCCCGCCAATCAGCTCTTTGATCCGCTCAACCCAAGCCACGGGTGGACGCTCGTCGAGTAGCACCTCGCCAGGGGGTAAGATGGGGTGTTTGAAGGATTTGGCGGGGAGGTCGTGCAGCGGGACGCTGAGTCGGTATTTCCAGACTACCTCTCCGTCGACGTAGAGCGAGTAGGTGAGGGCAGAGCTGCTGATGACGACGCCGTCGAGCGCCTCCTCGACAGTGTCGATGTCGATGAGCCCGTACTTGACGTTGCCGTCGGGGATGTACTTGATAGCCACATCCTCCTGATCAGTCTGGTAGTAGGTTGGCACGGGGAGATAGAACATGCTAAGCGGGCCGACGCTGAACTCGTGGAGTCCTTCGCCGGGTGTGTCTGGGCGGAGCTCGTCGTCTGTGAGGGACAGGGTCGGGTCCGGGAACCGCGTAGCGCCGAACTCGTGTCTGTCGCCGCTGAGGAGCACGATGCGGATGCCTTGCTCGCGCTCGGCGCGCCACATTGCTTCGAAGACGGTGCGCCGCTCGTTGAGGAACCCGCCCCAGGTGTCTGTTGTGCCGACGTGCCAGTTTTTGGTGAAGGGGACGCTGGACGCGACGATCTTCCAGTGGACTTCGGATGGTTCGGGGCGCGCAATGAATGCGAGGAGGGATTGGAGCTGGGCGGAGCCGAGGATCGTTGAGTCTGGGTGGGCGGGCTCCGTGCGGTAGGCGCGCGTGTCGAGCATGAAGAAGGAGGCGGGGCCGTCGGTGAAGGTGAAATAGGTTGTGTTTTCGGGCGTGGCGAACGCGCTGGCGGGGATGGGAGGGTTTACGCTGACGTGGTAGTGGATGTAGGGTTCTACGGCGGAGGTGTACGGTGCTGTGGTGTTTCCCTTGGACCAGTCGTTCTCGATCTCGTGGTCGTCCATCGTGTGGATCCAGGGGAGGTCGATGGCAGGGAGCTCTTCTGGGCCGGACCAGGATGGCGACGAGTAGATGCGACGGTATTCGCTGCGGTAGTGCGCCACAGATGACCCGAGTCGCTGGGGGACATCGATGTAGATGAAGTCGCCGAGGAACATCATGAACGTCGGTCTGGCGGCCGAGGCCAGTGCGCGGACTGTCTCAGCCATGGTCTCGAGCCCATAGATCCGCAGTGGGTGCGCCAGCGGGTTGTACGGGAAGTTCGGCTTCATGCAGCTGGATGTCAGGAAGGTCAAGGTATTCGCCTGCTCGGAACCTTGCAGCGGAGCTGTGGTGAAAGATCCCGTACGGTTGTTCGACAGCGCGTATCGGTACTTGGTCGAGGGCTTCAGGCCTTTGAGAGTAACACTCGCAGTGAAATCCGTCGAGTTGGTGAGCGCGTAGATCGTACCCTCCTGTGTCCATTGCGATGGGTCTTCCGTCCAAGGCGTAGGGTTCTTGTGGTTCCACTCCTGGTAATAAACGCCCAGCGGGAGTTGAGTCGAGTCGGGTTCTCGAACGAACAGGCTGGCGGTTTGAGGAGACACATATCCGATCCGGGTGAACGCGAGATCCGCTGCGGCATAGAGGAGTGCTCCGCGGAGTAGGAAGTCCAGTGTGAATAGACCCAGCACGACGTTGATCAGGACCGTCAGGCCCGTCAGCAACGGCGATCGAGGGGAGGGTAAGCCAGTCAGGAGTGTTTTGAGTCCACTGTCTTGCGCAGGAAGTTGCTTAGATCCTACACCAATAAAACAGAATATAATCAGTCACTTCCTCGGACATGCAATCCCACGAACGAGCGACTCACCAGCCTTCCGTGAGCCCTTGCGACGATCAGTCGTGCGCGGGCCAGTCTCCCGATAGAGCGAAGGTACGGTCGAAAGATAAATCACCAACGCCGTGAGAATAACCGGGGGAAAGACATGACCGGGCATCTATAGTATCCTAAGTCAGCGCAAATCCATCGTGTACCAACTAATCCAGCAGACGCACCCATCGTAGAAAGAGGAAAGCTGTGATACGGACGGTCGCCGAGGTGGTGGCAGCGACAGCCCTCGAAAACGACGCCATGACTATGGAGAAATCCAATGGATTTCAACAGATACAGTTCATGCCAGTAAGTAGTTCAATGATGAAGGCTTTTTCGATGGTGGTCAAGCGAGGGAGTCGCGTGAATGAGGTGAAGACCGGTAAGGCTGGCGGCGACGGAGGGGATGACGACATTCAGAACACCAACCTCGGCCAATCATGCCGCTGCCGTATACAATCATCTCCACTTGTCTGGTCAACTACGATTCTGGACGGTATGGCACGTTTGTTTATGCTTGGGAAATAAATGGATAAATAAATAGACGGTGAATTGGTCTAGTATATATAATGCTATCGTTCCTTCGTTAAAACTCTTGTTGGTGCATCATGTCGCGTAGCGCATTGACGAGACTATTTCCCGCCAGCAGCTGCTGGGCCGCGACCAGCACATCCCTCAGGTTCATACTCAGCGACATCTCGGCCGCCCACTGCCAGGGCTTCTGTCGTTCTCCTGGCTTGGAATTGAAATACTCCCATCCCATCACACCGCCGAAGTTCGGAAACTGCTGGACGAGCTGCCCCAGAACCGGCCCCAGCTTGTCGGACGGCACGTAGCCTTGCGATCCGTTCCCGGGATTCGTCAACACTCCGTATACTACGCGGCGGGGCGACCATCCTTGTGCGACGATGGCGGCATACATGCGCGGATCTTCGGCAGGGCCCCATCCATTGTAGAACTGCGTGTTATACCAGCTGATCTTGGACGCGCGCTGCTGCTCCAGCTCATGGTAACTGAACCCGGACAGATTCCCAATACCCAGAAGGGCCGCCGCAACAGGCGCGAGGGTCACGATGAACTCATCCCCCAAGTCGGACTTGAGGCGATCAATCAGCCGGATGATGCCCGAGAGGGACATTTCTTCCTCCACGTCCAAGTCGATGCCATCCAGCCCATGGCGTTGGATTGTCGCAAGCAACGGTCTGTAATAGAGTTCGAATTTCTCCAAATCCCCATCCAACGACCGGAACGAGCCCTGAGCCGCCCCTCCCAGCATTCCCATCACGCGTACCCCGGACTGCTTGAGCAATGGGACCTCCTCCCAGAGCGCATCGTACATGGCGTGGTGTGGGGGGTCATTGTTGAGGGTGATGTGGTTGGGATCGTCGTTCAGGTGAAAGGCTGCCAAGATCACATGCGTGATGCCAGTGTTGTGTTCCACTAGGGGCTTCAAGGAGACATATGGCCCGCTATCCGGACAGAGGGTTTGATGGTAGCAGATCAGCCGGGGCCGCTCGGGGGGTGTAACAATTGGAGGCATGGTTCACGTCTGGGAGAAGCGAAGAAGTGGAGTCAACCGAGGGAGGTATGCGGCATGCCGCTCGGGACGGAGGATAGACGATCAAGGACGGAGACGAATGACGGCAGACGTCGGGGGCGCGAGTCGACAAACCCTACAGATTAATTAACCACCAGAAATGCGCATGGCCTTGCAGAAGATGCGAGAATAAGAGATCAGAAGTCAGAGATGCATCCTCCTGCATCTCTTGCATCCTGGTTGTTCGTCCTTTCTGCTTCTGTTCAGTTTCCCCGCAAATCCCAGGGCGGAGGGAGTGGGCAGAATCCTGCACGGTATGTGTCACGTGCGCGATCATGACTAACGCGTCATTTGGATAGAAATCCGTCGGTCATGGATGGATGAATCTCGCGCCAGAATCAGGAATGCTTGCAGGCTGCCGGACCAGCTGTTGGCAAAATGAGCATGACCCAAGGGAAGCCAAATGATCAGCCCCCGCAGAATATCCTGTTGTCCTCCCTAAAGGTTGGAGCCTTGAGTGGTCCGTGTTTTCCCTTTTCTGAGTGGTGTGTACCGTATCAACGCAACTGACACATCTGGACAGGCTCGACTGGTCTTGCTTATGGAGGCGTATCAGGGGTTCTTCGATCGCGTCACCCCGTCATCCATTCGATCTCCTGTGGGATCCATTGGTTTGCTTGTGGAACGTCCTTTTGGTGTGAGTCCAAACCCTTCTTTGCATACACGGCGGTGGCTAATGCGCCGCACACAGGGTTGAGGAGCAATCTCATTCAATTACACTATGAAGGAAATGCTTCGCCCAAACAGCAGGCATATATGAGCGCCCTCTCAGGGGGTATTGCCGGAGGCGGTGTTACCAGATTGATGGGTAATCCCCACCTCGTCTATCCTCGTCTGTCTCCCATAAAGTGCTAACTGTCGGACGTCTAGGAGGTCGACTCATTCCCGGAGCCGTCATTTTCTCCTTACTCGGCTATCTCGGGCAGTTGTCCTACAATGCCGTCGACTCGTGGCAGATGCAACATACCGGGACTCCATCCAAACCCTTCCTTCAGCGGATGGCTGATTCCAAGTGGATCCCGCTACGGAGTCTTTCCGATGAGGACTACCGGGGGATGCTCAGTGAGAAGCTGTTGAGCATCGAAGCTGAAATCGCTATCATCGACGAGAAGATCGATCATCTGAAGCAGGCCAAGGCGAGCGAGCTGGAGACGCCGGCAGAAAAGCCGTGACCTGTCTATTTTACTCGCATTGCAAACAATCTTGCACAACACAGAGACCACCTCCATGTCTCTACTAATTCCCAGAGCGAGAAATGACCTCGCTCCGGACCAGCCATCTACGATTCGGTACTGGCTATAGGGGGTTTGGAATGCACCAGAACAGCCCTCGAAGGCAAAAAGATGGATCCAGTGTATCATATGTATACTATTGACTTTGTGCTCTCAACCTATCCAATGACCCATTCGTAAAGAACCTGATAGATAAAGACTAAAGAAGAAGGCGGTGAGACAGACAGGGGCATCTCGGTCTCCGAACTTCATCCTCCGTTTCTCCATTTCTCCATCTCCAGACCTGCATACCTCGACATTCTTCCTATCCCCATTCATTTCCCCACCCCTTTGTCCGGTTGCTTGATATTGGTCAGTGCGGTCTATAAGGTCCCCAGTGGTGGTATTTGACACTTTGATGATTTGAAGCCAAAGCCAGTTGCTCCGGCCGAACCAAACAATCACCACCGCGACAGAGTGGATCCCTCCCCCCCCCCCCCCCCCGTCGTTCTGAGAGTCTGTCTCCGTTTGATAATTCCCGACTATTATTAGCATTCTTATTACGATTATTATTATTATTATCCTTCGACGGTCAATCGATTCATGACGCTGACCAACCCTCCCTCTTCATCCGGCCTTTTACCCGCCCCGTCCAGGCATACCGAGGCCACCGTCAGCCAGAGTCTGTCTCTTAAAAGGAGTCTACAGGTCGCGGTCGATGGTAATACCGAATGATTCATATTTAATTCTTGATCACCATTTCTGGATCCCTTGATCATCTCTTTATTTTATTCTTATTTTTTTATCCATATTCTCATCCCATTTGGAGAAAAGCCTCCTTCCCTTTTGCCACTGCTGCCCACTCGGGACTCTACCCGTCAACATGTCCTCGGGTTGAGACCCGCCTCTTTCTGTCTACAATCCTTCTTCCCCGAGCATGAGTTGTAAGACTTCTCTACCGTCATGTTCGGAAGGAATTTTCCGTTTTTTAACTCTGCCGGCGGGTTTTATCCACGTGGTAATGGCTTTTCCCTATTTGATTGGGTGGATTACGTCGCTCGAGAGAGCTTCTGCTGTCGCTCTGCATTTCCCCCCGTGTCGGGCTTGTCTCTTTCATACTTTGACCTTTCCGCGTTGCCGATCCCGAGAAGCTCCGTCCAACTGTCCAACACAAGCTAACCGGTTTATTGGTCGACAGAAGGCCTAGATCCGAGAAAACCGTCCGGGGTCGGATACACCAGCAAGGTCCGAGTCCGCGATAAATACCATATCGTAGGCTTCATCAGCAGTGGCACATATGGCCGCGTCTACAAGGCCATCGGGAAGAATGGCCAAAAGGGGGAGTTCGCCATCAAAAAGTATGCCAATCGCCCCATCGAGCGCGACGATCCTCTGACCGTTACAGATTCAAGCCGGACAAGGAGGGAGAGGTTATCCAGTATACGGGTCTGTCGCAGTCGGCCATTCGGGAAATGGCCTTGTGCTCGGAACTGAACCATCCGAACGTTGTGCAGCTGGAGGAAATCATTTTGGAAGACAAGTGCATCTTTATGGTCTTCGAATATACCGAACATGATCTGCTCCAGATCATCCATCACCACACCCAACCGCAGAGACATGCGATCCCAGCAGCCATGGTCCGGTCGATCCTGTTCCAGCTCCTCAACGGTCTGCTGTATCTGCATACCAACTGGGTCCTGCACCGGGATCTGAAACCCGCCAACATCTTGGTCACGTCCAGCGGTGCCATTCGCGTTGGTGACCTTGGTCTGGCCCGCCTCTTTTACAAACCGCTGAATTCCCTCTTCTCCGGCGACAAGGTCGTCGTGACCATCTGGTATCGGGCGCCGGAGTTGCTGATGGGCAGTCGCCATTATACCCCCGCCGTCGATCTGTGGGCCGTCGGCTGTATCTTCGCCGAGCTCCTTTCTCTGCGGCCCATCTTCAAAGGCGAGGAGGCCAAGATGGACAGCAAAAAGACCGTGCCGTTCCAACGCAACCAGATGATGAAGATTATGGACATCATGGGCTTGCCAACCAAGGAGAGCTGGCCGGACATTGGATCGATGCCGGAGTACACCCAACTACAAACCTTGGCTACGTCCCGGGCGAGCCACTTTCCCCGGTCGTCCAACCTGGAGGCCTGGTACACGAACTGTCTGAAGAACGGTGGATACTCGACAACTTCGGGGATTGGCACCCCGGGGGCCGATGGGTATGATCTCTTGGAACGACTCCTCGAATACGACCCTACCAAGCGAATCACCGCCCGGGAGGCCCTCGAGCATCCGTACTTTTCCAGCGGCGGGCCGATCCCTGCGAACTGCTTCGAAGGCTTCGAAGGGAAATACCCTCGCCGTCGCGTCACCCAGGACGACAACGATATCCGTTCGGGCAGTTTGCCCGGTACCAAGCGAAGCGGGCTGCCCGACGATAGTCTTCTACGCGCCTCCAAGCGTCTCAAGGAGTGATCGACCTTTTGTTACTTGTTGCATATTCACGGCGAAGGGTGAGGGCATACTGGCGTTTTTGCTTCTATATGAGCGGCTGGATGCGACATTCCGCAAGACGGCATGGTATTACGAACAATGGGAGTTTGTCTCAGCTGGCAATGGTATATACGTATTATTACAGTTACTATAATACATGATCGATTCTATTTATTTACAGTTTCGAAGAAGGCTGCTTCTTCGCGCCCCGTTCTGCCTTCAAGGCTTGGGACATGCTCACGCTGGCTTCCTTGCCACCCGCCAGCTGATGCTGCAGTTCCACCTCCAAGTCATCCAGGACGAACTTCCCCAACTCACCAGCGCGCCATTTCTGGATGAAATGCAACGCGGCCAGGTCCACGTTGGGCACGCCGCCCTTGGCAAGGAGGCCCGACTGGCGCGCAAAGGTGTCCAGGAACGGCATGATTTCGTTGGTCGGTGGCGACCATCGCCCGTACACCTCGGCATTATGAAGGTTGACGTGGTATAGCAAGAAATCAGCCAAAGTGACCGGCGAGATCACCGAGTCCTTGACGCAGCCGCAAAGAGCCAGTTTCAGCATGTTCTCCGCGTCCGGCACATACGGCATGAACACGCCCGGCGTATCCAGCACGTAGACGTGCGCCCCGTCCTCCCGCTCGATGATCTTCACGGGCGTGCCGATCTTGCGCGTAATGCCCGGCTGTCCCCCCGTCTGCACGGCTTTCGCCTTCCCCACGCCCTGGTTGCGCAGGTTGTTGATCAGCGTCGACTTGCCCACGTTGGGCATTCCCACTACCATCACGCGGCATCCGACGAGGCGGTCAGGGCCCTCGGCATCGTTCCGGAGGTGTTTAAGGATAGGACTGACGTCGGGGCGGGACGAGGAGCTAACAAAGAAGGCGGCGGCGTTGTCGTCGAGTTTGCGGATTGTTTTCTCGACCTGTGCTGTCAGCCATTTCTTCACCTATATATATAGTATCCTAGCTCAACTCACCTCTTGCCGTCCTCGCCCCGGCTTCGACCCCAAATCCCGCTTAGTATACACGACCAGCCGTCGCGTCTTCCCCAGCGCCTCCTCAAACAGAGGATTCACAGACGTAGCAGGAACGCGGTAATCCCGACACTCCACCACATAGTCAATCGAAGACAACATATTCTGCATCTTCTTCAACCCCGCCACATGATGGCCCAGGAAGTAGGACCTCGGAATGGACGCATGGTTGGGAAACACCTGGCGCGGAATGAACTTCGCGGCCATGTCGTAGATGAGTCACGTGCGGTGTATTACCGAGAGATGGGAATGGTTTGTAGGATGTTTGTATGTGGTATACCGGGGAGGATTCTGAGGGTCATTATGCGTGCTTTTGTGACTCCCCGGTTTGGTGTATCGTATTGCCTGAAGGTGTATGTCTTGGTTGATGGACGCCGTTTTTTCGGAGCGGGATGGGCGGTGATGCGGGCGGTGGGGTTCTGCCTGTCTGTCGATCGGATTAACCTGATTTGGTTAGGGTGTTTGGGGTGTTTGTCTTGTTTGTGTGTTGATTGCGTTTGTTGTTCTTGACGGTTTTGTTGCTCTGTGTTGGTGCAACTATGTAGTGTACATGTTGAGGTACATTTCCCTATATAATGCCTCTATACTAGCGAGATATTTGCTATTCTCTTTACTTGGAACTCTAAGCATCAGCCGTGACGGTTACAACAGCACGCACTCTATATATAATACCCGCGACACCTCTTGAACGACCACATTCTATTGATCAAGATCAAATGGCCAGATTGATCTCAATGTCTTTTCATCCTTGACGGGCTCGTCTTCATCCACATTCGGATTCGACAGAACCGCCTGTAGCATCCCGTTGAAGAGTTCCTTGTGGGATAATTGAGTCTCCTCCCATCTGTCTGCAGGTATCCACCCATCTGACGCTGTATCGAGCAAGTTGGATAAATCAAGACGCAACTGCTGGGCTGCCTCAAACAGTTTGTACTCCTTCTCGTGGTCCGCCAGTTCCACTCGCGTGGGTAGAGGGTAAGGACATTGGCCTTCAAACCCTAGCTCTGTCCAGAGCCGAGCGGTTTCAATCATCTCGTGGCGTAAGGCGACAGCGCCGTCCTTCCACGTTCTGTGGCTGTATCGAAATGGTCGGAAGAGGTTGTCGTCTATTAATCTTGGGTTTGACAGTCTGGGCGTCAAGAACTGCGAAGAGAGTTCAAATGTCTTGGTGCATAGTTCACTCCCCGTAGCAAAGTCCGGTATATGGTCTGCGTACCCGAACGCGGGCTCAATGCTAGTTGCCTGCCAATCGATGATACTTGTAATGGTGGAAGGGTTGTCTTCTGATACAAATATATTTCGCTTGTGCAAATCTGGGTGGAACAGTAATGGCGCGGCGGAATCACGGATTCGAGGATCCAAGGGCATGCGCTTTAGCACGGGGCGGGCATGTTCAAGAAGATCTAGATGTGTTTGGGGCGAGCCATGATATATTGGTCTTTTCTCGGCTTCGAGGTCCACCGCAGGGATACGTGACAGACCGGAGTCAATGAGACCGTCGCAGTATTCGCCAATACTTTGCCCTAAGATTGAGCTATAAGTACCATTGCAAAAGGCAAGGGGTCTAGCGGACTCACACGGCCCAGGATTTTTCTTCGCATAGTGGTAGTATCGTCCTACAGCGGGATCACAATCCCGGTATCGAGTACCGCAGTGAGGTCCAATACAGATACCGTCACCCAGCGACTGTTTGACAGCATAATCGAGAGCATCATCAAAGTATATGCTCCCAAAAGCCGGAAACTCTAGATCGACCATTTCCTTCATCGTCTGGTATATCGCGTTGATGCATCTGACTTGCTGGTCACCGGCCATTGTCGGCCATTTATCATGCAGTGGAACACCATTGGCATGCTCCATAATTATGTATTCGCTGCCGACAGTGTTGTTTATATCGTTAGAGTCATGACTCCAATCGAGTATCTCTGGTATAGGGATTCTTGTCTTTTCTTGTACTAAGCACGCTGATCAGCTTGAATCCATTGTCAAAACACATCTCAAAGCATACAGTAGCGAATTGTAGCAACCTCCGAAAGGGTAGTCAACCTCGCAGGACCAGCCAGTCGGAACGGGAGCCTAGCCACGATCTTTTTGCCATTGTCCAAGGTGAAGATGAAGACCCGGTTGAACCCTCCTTCGAGTTTTCGACATGCGCTAATAGCACCTGCTCCAGGACAAAGCCCAACCACTTTCTGACAAAGTGCATCGAAGTCGAATGGGATGTAGCGCGACGCAATCTCCTGTCTATCGCGTCGCAGCCACCGACCGCTCGTGTATGCATGGGGATCGATCTCTGGTTGTGTTAATGTGAGTAGAATAGTAGTGGAGGAAAAGCCTACTCGTCCCTGTCCCTGTGTATGTTGGATTTGTGGTTGATATCGCTCTGATTACGAGAGGCTGCAGAGAAGAGAGGGGAGCTGATGTGGAAACAAAGGGTTGAGATGACGCGCGGTTTGGTTGGCCTCGCAAGGTACAAAGGAGAGGGTGTCGCACAATGCGCGACATTGATTAGAACGCCGTCTAATTCTAGCTGAGGAAGAGGAATGATATGTTGATCGGTAATAGGGTGGCAAGAGAAGGGTCAGTAAATTTCCGAGTGTAGTCTAGGTAAAAAGAATCAGAGTGTCCAAAATATGGGTAGATATATAAATCTAGTATAGCCGTGTTTACGCTCAAGTGACTGATAGCTTTTTATTTATATTATCACTAAATCTTAATATTACGATACTTTGAATAGTACTACTGGTAGAAGATATAGACTTCGCAGTGATTTATAGTGTCTCCCTTGATCAAGATATGCAGAGTGATGGTATCTATATACTATTTTCCACAATCATCACTATATAACACACATAATAACAATTTTTACTAGTGAAGCTCTCAAGAGAATCAGATATCTGTACTATCCAATATAACATCCTACTATAAATCTATCCTCTCCTCCCAGCACTCTACTTCCTCCCCTTCCTAACACCCTCATGAACTCCACAGACTCCCCATCCTCTACACCCTCAACCCAACTCAACACCAAGGTCCTTCACCTGGATATCAGAGCAAGATGAAGATCTTCCTCCTGCTGCTCTTCCTCGCAGCCCTCGTCTCATCCTCAACCCTGCCGGGTTTTGTTCGCGAAGACGAGAACGACGTTGAAAACGCGCCTGTCTTGCACGAAGGTACGCCTTCTATACCACAAACATCCCCTAAATGAACCTCCAACAATACATCCCTAACCTCCAACAAACTATAGACTCCCCCTCCACCACCACCAGCAGCAGCTCCCGCAGCATATCCGCCCTCGACGCAGAAGGCTTTTTCGACGAGAAACCCGACACCCACAGCGAATCTGACCCCGCCAAAGCCAAAGTCACCATCCCAATCGAGATCTATAAGATGTGCAAGGCCAAGAAGGATTGTCCCGGCGCCTGGTTCTGCTTTAATGGCCGCTGTGTGCATCCTGAGATTGAGGCGATGCGCAAGAATGGTGGTTTTAGGGATCATCCGTTGTTTGATCGGGCGAGACGGCTCTTTTATTAGGGTATGACGTGAAGGGGGTCTCTTGGTGATGGCTTCTTTGGCTGTCGTTGAGGTTGTGTGGTGGGGTGGAAGGTTGACTGGCTTGCTCTTCTTTCTTCATGAGTCCCTTTGAATGTGCCGTTTGGTGACTATGAACATGGTTGCAGGGTGATGGTTGACAGACAACTATGTTGTGTATGGAGACAAGTTGCATAAAGTGATACCGTGGTCTGATTATAGCACACTTATGCATAACATATCATAACTCGTAGATCTACCCCATATCAGGCCGCACCAACAGGTAAAAATTTACCAATGCCTCATAGTAACCAGAACCTGTTCCCTTGGATCAACCTCCACAGTCGACTGCGGCCCCGTCAACAAGCCCAACCGCGTCAGGATCTGCCACACCATTTTTCGCTTCAGCCCCTCCCGGATCGGGATCTTCTCCAGCGCATCAAACCCGTTGAAGTACTTGGAGAAAGTCGGCCAGTGTTTCTTGAGCGGCTGCCGCAGTCCCGCGTACTCGCCGTCTCCGGTGTCGGCTGCTGCCCCGTTCGACCGCCCCGGGCGCTCCGGGAACTGGGATACGATCTCGTCGAGCCAGCGCGATTCGAGAGGCGAGGCGCGGTGTGGGTATAGAATTAGAGATGAGGTCTGGAGCGAGGCGTTGCGGTCGACGAGGGACCGCGATGCGTCTAGCTCGTGGTCGGCTCGCCGTCGGCCCGGCATGGGTGTCTCGTCGCCGCTGCCGTGGCTGTCTAGTGAGGATGATGACGAGGAGACGTTGTCGTCGAAATCCTCGTTGGCGACGTCGTCGTCATCGGGCTTGGCGCTGTTTCGTTCGCGGTCGACCTTTCGTAGGTACTTGTCTACCTCCTCTCGTCGAAGCGCCGTTTCGACGGCCAACTTGATCTCGGGAGAGACTTTGACACGCGCGAATGAGCGCAGCTGGGTAACCCATCCGCCGCGCAGGAGCCAGGCGAGGATGGAAAAGTACGTGTCCTTGTGGTCTTTGCTCGGGATGAAGCTCCCGTATGCCCGCGGGGTGCCACTCAACGCGGACAGCATTTTGGGCAGGCTGGGAAGGGTTGGGAATGCCAGGGAATAGGCGGCTGTCGCGACCTCCAGTTTGCTCAGATCACAGTTGGGCGACACAATGTAGGTATCGCGCTGGTGGAGCGGCGGGATGGCACGCGCGCGTCGCCAGTAAACTAGGTGGCTGGCTAAGGACTGGATTGTGGAGAGCGGTATTCCGGATGTGGCGGAGATCTGGGCAAACGACTTGGTGGGCTTCGAGCATCGGATATAGTGGGCCAGTGCCGGAGCAAGGGCGCCTCCTGATGCCTCGACATCCTTAAGGATCGACGCTTCGTTGTCGAGAAGTAACAAGGCAAAATGCTTCGCCGGGACCTGGTGCGGTGCGCTATTCTCGTCTGCCGTTGGATCGTCCGTCGGAGTAACGCTATCGGCGGTGGTCAGCCAGAGGCCCGGGTACGCCTTGTCCGTCGGACAGGCCAGATAGGGCGTTGAGGTCAGCGGCGGTATCTGAAGGGAAATGGACACATCGGGGCTGAGCGCGACCGAGGCGATCTTCGACGCCGAGATGCTGGAGTAGACGGTGTAGATCGCCCGCGCGAGCGATGACTGGGCTATGAGGTCGGCGTAAAGGGCACCGACAGACGTCCCTACATAAGATTGTAAGCTTTAGACGAAAAACCAAGTGCAGGACCACCTACTATTTTCCTTGGCCTTCTCCTTCAGGTGCGAGATAAGCTGCGCTTCGTTCCAAACGTAATCAGTTCGTGCCTGCTCCCACTTCAGCGCTTTGGCGAACTTCTTGATGATATTGTCATAGATCTCGCGAACTCGGACGGAGTACTCCAGCAGCGGGGGGTCTAGCACGAACACCACGTTGAACATGGTCATGGAGTCCTTAGTATCCTCATCTACAACCTCACTGGGCGCCTTCTGCGACAGAAGGCTCGACACCGACGCGCGCTGGCTCTCCGACGCCGTCATCGGGTGCGGGCTCAGCGTCTCCGTCGAGGCAGCCATGGTCTTGGTACCATCATCTGCGACATCGTCCCCATTCTCGTTGTGTCCGATTTCACCACCCTCCCACTCGGGATGCGGTTTCTTGTCCTTCTTCTTCCGCCTCTCTTTCCGCCAATTGCCATCCTCCCGGACAAAGACCGGCCACCCCACAAACGCCAGGTCGTTGACCCCGACCTCAAACCGCCGTTTATGCCACGTCCGCGACGGACTGAGCAGCTTCTCCCACACCTCTGCGGGAAGCCCCAGCAGCGACTCCCAGGGCATGTGCGACGGTACCTCCCCAGCTGCTCCTCCGCCGCCACCCGCAGATGGTTTCTCGTCCGGTCTGTCCGAGAGAGCGCCTGCGTCCTCAGCATCGGAGTTCTCCCCCCGTTTCCGCAGCGCCCTCCCGGAGCCGATCGAGCTCGGTCGATGCGAGTCCCTCACCGGTGAGGCGGACACGGACGCACGGTCCTCGAGCCCAAAGGCGCTCCCCCGTCGGGTGGAGGTCGCGCTCACCGCTAGGTGTGTCTGCGTGGAGTTCTGACTCTGATTGTTGGGGACATCCTCTTCGTCTTCGTCGGACGTCGACCCGCTCGCGTCGCTTTCGCTGGAGTCATTGCTTCGGGCTGTCTGGGCGCTTTTGGAGCGCGAGATACGGCGTCCCTTGTGGGATGGTCGGAGGCCGTTCTCGACGAGCGGGTTAGGCGGGTAGTGGAAGACGAAGCGAGGGCCGGCGCGCGAGCGGACGATGAGGATGATGGCCACGAGACAAGGGTCTGGAGGGCGTGCAATTGAAGACATTGGGTATAGCGCAGCCTCGACTTGGCTACAGCATTGGCGTACAGCAAGCGGGTAATCCCCACGTAGGGAGGGGGAAGTGGATATACATTCGGTGAGACTGAGAGCGGACAAGAGCTTCCCCACATCGTAGCCTGAGGTTATTCATGGTGGCCTGAGGCTGGAGATATAAATGTTTAGTAATTTATGAGTCATCCATATTAAGCTCGACGCCATCCAGTATGGACCACTCTTTCTGAAGAATAAAACTGGTAAATATTATGATGTAGATAATAAGGTTGCTAAATCCGAGCAGAGCGATTGCTCATACCATACGACAGGTCCAAGATGCGAACTCTAGTGCATGGGTGCGTATTTTCTCTCAAAAATGGTAGTGGTGCGCTGCTATAAGGATCGTGGCGACATATGTAGTCAGCTCAGTAGTTCACTACCTTCTTACATACATTCAACGACGATACAGCAAGAAATTCATGCCATTCCAGGCCAAACTAGCAATATGTTACCATATATACAAACATATAATGTACATAGTACAGTTCCGAACGCCCAGATGCCATCAAAACATAAACATAATATCGACAATACTATCATACATTGCACCTCCGTGTAGTCTATACATGCAAGTAGCACACGCTGACCGGTGCATCACATCTCACGACTTCGTTGACGGCTCTTGGTTCTTGCCCCCCTCTTTCTCGAATACCAACCCTAGGTTCTTGAAATCGTCCGGTGCCATGAGGTTTCTGTGAACAACTAGTATTAGCCTGTTTTACTCCCAAAATTGTGCACAAGAGCAATATCCTATCCCTCCTGTGAAATGTGTGAGACGTACTTATCCATCCGACACCCCAGGTATCCCTTGGCTAGTTTGCGACATTCTTCGTCGTTGACGCCCCGGCTCGATTTGATGCATTTGAGATAGCTCGAGATCAGATGCTTGCATTCGCCTGTTGTTGTCCGTTAGTTGGTTGTCAATTGAGTTGACCATGGGTTTCAGTCCGAAGACTGTGGTGTCGGGGTGTTGATAGGACGGGGAATGGTCGGTTCTTGGGCTGGCTTGGGCTGCGGGAGACTGAATAGAAAGAGTTCGAAGTACCTTCATGGTCGAGGGGAAAGCTGCCTCGTTCAGGCCTATATGTATCATGGATTAGTATCTCTTCTCCTTGGGGTCGTGGCTCAGCAGGTTGAGGCTACTCACGGCGTAGGCTTGATGTTGGTCGCTCCGCCGCCGGGACTTCCGAAACCCATTGGTAAATGATTTATGAAAATATAACCGTACAAAGAAAAATCAAACGAGGTATCTTGGGTGTCTGTTGAGAATGCGAGAATGCGATCAGATGAGTGAAGCATCGAAAGATCGCGGACGGAACGGCGGTTTCCGATGTGGTGTAGACAAACAGTGCAAACACCAACAAGCTTATCGGCTTATCGGCCTTGGGTTTCCTTGGTCAAGTATAGAGCAGTAATGATATTATTCTACATCTTTGGTTATACTGAGTACGTATAAAGACGAATGCTATTTGTAATGCGATCATGTAGCTATTGGTTGAGTTGACAATTCCACCCTATACCGTTCATGTCAAGGCACCTAATGCTTCTTCAAGAAAGTGAGTGCTCCGACGGCCATGGCGTCCACGGCAGTCCGCAACGTCGGCTCAATGACTGGCGCAAAGAAGGGCGAATGGTTATTAGGCAGCTCGTTCACTTTACCGTGCTTCACGGCGTCGTCCCATGTTTGCGCGTCGACTCCGCCATAAGTCCACATCGCATACGGCGCCCCCACCTCCGTCGCCAGCAGAGAGAAATCTTCGCTCGCCGTGGCCGGCTCCGACTCCACCAGGTCGTCCTGGAAGAAAGACCCAAAAGTATGCTTGAGAGCTTTGACTGTTGCATCGTCATTGATTGTCGCGGGCGAATTCCGGACCTTGATCTGTGGCTCCTCCACGGCACCCGCTGCGTCGCATTCTGCCCGGACAATGCGTTTGATGGCGGCGATGACTCGCTCGCGCGTCGCTCCGCCATAGGTCCGCACGCTCAACTTGAGGTCACATGTGTCTGGAATGATGTTCCCCACGGACCCGGACTGGAAGCTTCCGCAGGAAACAACGGCCACCTCCCCGGGGGTCACCTCGCGGCTGACAACACTCTGCAGCCGCGTGATGACCGCCGCCCCGATGACGATCGGGTCGATGCACGTCTGGGGGGCGGATCCGTGGCCACCACGACCGAAGATGCGTATGTTGATGGAGTCGGCAGCCGTCAGTAGCCGGCCAGACCGGATGCTCACCGTGCCTGTTTTCATGCGCATGACATGCTGCGCCAGAACCACGTCGGGTTTCGGGATCTTCTCGTACAGGCCATCGGCCAACATGGCCCGCGCGCCGTTCAGGTGTTCCTCCGCCGGTTGAAAGATGATGATGAGGGTGCCAGACCAGTCGGCCTTGGCCGCGTGCAGCAGAGAAGCGGCAGCCATCATGCCCACGACGTGGGTATCGTGCCCACAGGCGTGCATGACCGGCGTCGTCTCGCCCGCCTTGTTCTTCATGTGTCTTTTGCTCGCGTAGGGAAGTCCGGTCTTTTCTTCCACCGGTAGAGCGTCCATGTCGGCACGAACCAGGGTGACTGTCCCGGGACCATTGCGGAGGACGCCTGCCACGCCATAGCCACCGATATGTGTGTGGACTTCAAAATCCAACTTCTTCAGATGATCAGCTGCTATGGCCGACGTCTCCTCTTCCAGACCAGATAGCTCCGGGCAGCTATGCAGATGCCGATAGACATCTTCGTAGCTCTTGAGATCCGGGCGATACCGGTCGATGATACCGCGCAGGGAGCTGTCGGAGACTAGCACTCGTCAGAAACAATTCTTTACCATAGAGCTTGACACCTGAAGCGCCTCACCTAGTATTTGCATGTTTCAGTGGTGGTTTGGGTGTCAATCCAGGAGGCACAGTAGGAAATCGAAGAAGGGCGGAAAGAGGGGTTGAAGTATGTAAGGGGTACGGAGTAGTCTAGGGGGGATTATGGAGACTTGGAGACATCAAATATCGTTACCTAATGGACAGTCCATCGCTCGACATGCCGGACTCGACGAAGCATCGAGGAGAGTTCAGGTCACAGCCAAAAGCGGGGGACCGATAAGCTCGGTCGATTTTCAGTGGGTCCCGGTCGGGGTAGTGTCCGGTCGGCTGCTGAATCCGGTTATCCACTGCCATTGCCATTGGAACTTGATGTCTGCGGCATCAGCTCCGTTCGTGAACTCTCTTGGTGGGTATTGGTCATTGGAGTCCCACTTTCGAGGCATTTCCAGCATCCGTCAGGTACAAAACCCCGCACAAGTAAAGGAATCCATAGTAGACATGTAGAAACTGCCTGGGGTGCGCTATGCCACAGGACAATGAAGAACCGTGTTGGAAAGGAAGGTAATTCTTCAAGGCCCAAGGAATGGCCGGGCTCGGTTTCGCATCCTTTCCTCGCTATAAACATCCAACTTGACCGCGACCAAAAGAAGCTCCGGCTCACTCTGGGGAGCACCCCGCTGCACATGGAGACGCCACTGTCCCTTTGAGACATGCCAGATAGATGGAGTAGGGGTCGTAGCTCCCTCTTCAGTGCGCCTGCGCTTAGGAGGATTCTCTTGGTCGGGGCCAGTCCAGATATCGGCGAAGGGGATCGCTTGTCCGTTGATAGTCAGATCTATGCCCGGGTCGAGGCGGACGCGGACCCCACGGTCATGAGGGGAGGATGACTCGCTGCCTGCGCCGCCCCTTTGGTCCGTGCCTTGAGTTTGTTCCCGCAGCTGATCAGCCACGACCCGTAGCAACGTGGCGACACGCATCTCGGCCGTATTGAGAAACCAGGCGTTCATTCGAACGAGATCAACGATCGTGCTTTGATCGCCAATCTCCAGAATCAAGTCATGTGCTTTGTCGTCCGTGTACGGCCGCGCATATGTCACCCAGCCACCTCCACTGGATAGTGGTGGGACCTGCAGGCCGGAGCGGCGTACGTGGTCGAGGCCAATGACGATTTCGGACGACCGGAGGAATGGATTGAAGCTGATGTCGTGCGGGATGAGCTTTTGTTCCAAGCCGCGCAAATGATAGTATGTGCAATCCCGCAGGAGTTCCTCGCGGTGCTCTCGATTCTTGATGTGGAGCGGGTACCCGCGAAGGAGGTGTAGGATCTGGGCGAAGACTTCACCCGACCGGCTCGGAACGCTGGTGGGGGTGATGGCGGGGGGTCGGAGGAGGCCATGGCGATCTAAACCCGGGAAGATCTGACCCTTTGATGCAAAGAAGGCCGCGAACCCGAGGGAAAAGAAGTTGGGGGAGTCGCCCTGACCATTGAAGAGGTCGCGCGGAATCTGGAAGTTTCGGTCGCCGATTTGGATGAAGATCTCGGACTCGAATAATTGCGAGATCAGACGTGGTACTATAACCATTAGCGGGACTGTCTCCCTAGTCAAGCAATTCAAATGAGGGGCATGTACAGCTGTAGAATTGAGCGTCGGCGAACAGTTTGACATACTCGGGCCCATCCCTGGGTTGAACGTGGTAGCCTGGGTGAATGCGATTGATCAGCTTCATGCTCAACCGATGGGGGGGGGGGGGAGGGCACATTATACCTTGCAAGTGTCGGGCGATCTGCTGGAATGTAACCGGATCACGATCGATGTATAACGTCCGGATATTGGAGCCATCGCTGCTCTGACATAGTTGCTCTTCGAAGAACCTGGAGAAGTACGAGGGGGCTGTCGGAATTAGCCAGCGTCCATTCAATCGGACCAAACCACTCACCATCGGAGGCGACTGAAGCTCCCGACAACCGGAACAGCTCCGTTCCAATCTGGATGGAGAAGACCTTGTCGAGAGGGAGCACGCTCTTGGTGGGCGACGCGCTGGCCGGCACCTGCGGGGATGCACTGGCCATGTGAATCGCTGTTGTGCACGGTTATAGACTGATTTGACGCAGTTCCACCTGAATTGACATCTGAAGTAATATAGATCGCTCAACAGCTCTACCGGAGAAACCTGGTTGATGGTGACTCGAGTGGATCCATCGCGACGGAACGATCGATCGCGTCCTGTGCGCCGGAGGAATAATCACCCGGACTATCCTGGACGCAGCTTTGCGCTCTGACCATGCATGACTGACGCTTGTCCAATCGGATATGGAGGGGTTGCGCATACCCTGTCCAGACGGGCAATGCCGTCGTCCTGCAGATCAATCACAAAGCTCCGATCCCTTCTCGGTCGAGCAGACAGACTCAGCGAGACACACGAGGGAGGTCGATGCGGGTTTCCTGCCTTAGGCCGAGAAGAGCAGGTCGATGCGACCGCTGAGTCAGCCACCCTCTTATCGCCCGTCTCCACCAATGGAATCTCCTCCTCTCCTCTCCGGCTCCCCTCACCATCATTACTCCATCATCTCCATCTCCACTCCAACTCCATATGGTTTTGCTCTCCTACAGGACCATGGGTCCAGCGCGTCTTTATTGCTCGGGCGGCTGCAAACGTACTTGGTCCAAACTTCGGACGGCTCCCCCTTCTCGTTGCTACTACAAATACTCCACCCCTCTCTCCCCCTCTTCGCTTCCCCGCCTGAGCTCCATCTACCCTCTCTCTCAAACCGTCCCCTCTCCTCGACGTCTCTTGCATTCTTCCACCATGTCCAACATCTCCGTTCAGTTGACGGCTCCGAATGGGCGCTCTTATGCCCAGCCCATTGGCCTCTTCATCAACAACGAATTCGTTCCCTCCAAATCCGGCGAGAAGCTCGCCTCGATCAACCCGGCGTATGTTACCTTTTCCTCTTGAAGAACAATTTAAGTAGAAGAAATATACGAGTGGCGAAACTAACTGTCTCAGTGATGAGAAGGAAATCACCTCCGTCTATGCCGCAGGAGAGGAGGATGTCGATCTCGCTGTCAAGGCGGCCCGCAAGGCCCTCAAGGATCCCTCGTGGAAACAGCTCTCCCCGACGGATCGGGGTGAGATGATGCACAAACTGGCCGATCTGATTGATAAGAACCGTGAGGTCCTGGCTACCATTGAGACATGGGATAACGGTATGTCCACATCACCTTTCTGTTTCTCCCCGAAGTCGGAAAAGAACATCACTGATGCGGCACAGGCAAGCCGTACCAGGTCTCCTTGAGCGACGATCTCGGTGAAGTCATCAACACCCTCCGGTACTACGCCGGCTGGGCCGACAAGTTCTTCGGTCAAACCATCGGCACCACTCCCGCCAAGTTTGCCTACACCCTGCGCCAACCCATCGGCGTCGTCGGCCAGATCATCCCGTGGAACTTCCCTCTGGCCATGGCGGCGTGGAAGCTGGGTCCCGCGCTGGCCTGCGGAAACACCGTCGTGCTGAAGCCCGCCGAACAGACCCCCCTCAGTATCCTCTACCTCGGCAACCTGATCAAGGAGGCTGGCTTCCCCCCGGGTGTCATCAACATCCTGAACGGTCACGGTCGCGTGGCTGGCAGCGCCCTCGTGCACCACCCTGACGTGGATAAGGTCGCGTTCACCGGCTCGACCGCCACGGGCCGTGAGATCATGAAGATGGCCGCCAGCACCCTGAAGAATATCACCCTCGAGACCGGTGGCAAGTCGCCCCTGGTGGTCTTTGGCGACGCGGACCTGGAGCAGGCGGCCAAGTGGGCCCACATTGGCATCATGTACAACCAGGGTCAGGTCTGCACGGCCACCTCGCGTATCCTGGTGCACGACTCCGTCTATGATAAGTTTGTGGCGCTCTTCAAGGAGGCCGTGGCCTCGACCAGCAAGGTGGGCGACCCCTTTGCCGACGACACCTTCCAAGGCCCGCAGGTCACCAAGGCCCAGTACGACCGGGTCCTGTCCTACATCGAGAGCGGCAAGTCCGAGGGCGCCACGCTGGTTACCGGCGGCGAGCCCTTTAAGAACGTCGGCGATGGCAAGGGCTTCTACATCGCCCCCACCGTCTTCACCAACGTCAAGGACAACATGCGGATCTACCGCGAGGAGGTGTTTGGCCCTTTCGTGGTGATCTCGAGCTTCGTCACCGAGGAGGAGGCCATCACCCGCGCCAACGACACCACCTACGGTCTGGGTGCGGCCCTCTTCACCAAGGACATCGAGACCGCCCACCGGGTGGCGTCGGAGATCGATGCCGGCATGGTCTGGATCAACAGCAGCAACGACAGCGACTTCCGCGTGCCTTTCGGCGGTGTGAAGCAGAGCGGTATCGGTCGCGAGCTGGGCGAGGCTGGCCTGGAGGCTTACTCGCAGGTCAAGGCGGTTCATGTCAACCTGGGATCGAGGCTGTAAGATGGTTGACCGACATGTGGCAGATTGATTTGTATGTACATGATTAACGGCAGACGGGCGGGACCTGTATGTAGTTTCTGCGTATCAGATGAAGTAGTTGACGCTATCTTCAAATTGTTATCATTGGCGAATGTATGAGCCTTTTCGGTTTTTACTGTGTTTATACTGTAGGCCATCCAGCCTAACTTTGGTACTAGACTTGCAGTGCTGTACTATCCTATACTACGCCGTACTGGTATCTTACAATGACTTAGGATGTGCTTGTATCATGTTGATCGTGCTTTGATACTACCCGTACTAGACCTTCCATCCAAACGCCGCCATTCTAAAGATGTTGTATATCAGTCATATCAAGCCCGATCAAATACCGAGTCATGTTCTAGTCCAATGTCTATCAAAGACAAAAGTATAAAACCACCCATCTAAGAACGAACCTTCCCAAACTTCCCCCTCGGCGACTCCTCAGGCGTAGTAGGCGGCGTCTCACCCTCATCCTTCTCCGACTCCGTCTCCTCCGCACTACTAGCCGACGCATCCTTGGGCGCCTTATGAACCGGAGCAGGAAAACTCTTATGCTCCTTCCAATAAGCCATCACCCTCATCAGGTGCTGTCCCCCCAGCGCCAGGATCTTATCGCGCCCGGCCTCCTCCACCTCCACGGGCACGTTGAACCCCATGTACATGGACCCGTCCATGTCGTGGTTGAAGATCGGCACGGCCTGGCACTTTCCGTAGTCGTACGCGAGCGTCATGTCGAAGAGGAGCTCGCCGAGGTTCGTGTAGTGGCCTTCCATTGCCAGTCGCAGCCACCATACCCGGTCTTCAGAGGCCGGGTCGCAGTAGGAGTTGTACCAGACGAGGGCGCCGTCGCCGTCGTTGAAGGAGACGAAGGGTTCGCGGGGGTTGGACATGGTGCTGTTTTGGCTGTCGCTGTCGCTGTCGCTGTCTTGGAAGGGGAGGTTAGTGAAGGGATTCATACCTGCTTGTTTTGAGGGGGGATTCCGTGGTTGGGATGGTTGGAGTTGTGTTTGTGTTTGTTTATTGGGTTTGTTGGAGGAAGACTGTGATGGTTGTTTGAGCTGATCTGTGTCTTGGGGTTGTATTTATACTTGTGCGAGATTGTGAGTTGGTATAGGGTTATTCTTTGTTGATGTGTGTATGTGAAAGCGATTGTCCTCAGTAAAGCACAGCAAGGACTGCTTCTTTGTCCCATTCTGTGTTTGTTCTTTCATTGTCTAGGAACCTGAAAGAGAGAGGGAGTGGGTTGAAAAGCCCTTGTTATGCATGCTTCATTGTCTAACGATCAATGGCATAGAAAGATGCCATGCCTTGTTCTATACAATGGCTGGGTTCATTGAAGAAAGAAAGGCAGGATGCTGCCATTCAACTCCCTCCTGAAGGGGAATTGAGCATCATAGTTAGTCAGTGTAAAGCTGACTGGATTGCTCCAATGCCAGAATATGTGGCAGTCTATCGATCTTTGTTGATGCAAGATGCAGTATTCCACTATCATATTGATTCATCCGACCAGGTCAGGCACTGCTATTCCTATTCCGGCGTCTGGTGGTATAACAGCCTCAGGGGTTGAACTACCTCTCAATCCCCCTATAGACGCCTGAGACAGTCCAGTCACTAACAGGGTTTGAAGTAGGGCGAGATACACTCCGAATAGGGCAAGTAGACGACTGACCTAACCCTAACCATTCTACACCAACTGACACTGTTACTTCTTTAGACAGTCTCAGGTAACGAGTCAACATCCTCAGAACCACACCACGGTGGCAATTACATGAACAGATTAGATCATGAGTACCCGACAGCGCTCAGATCACCCATTCAGATCGTCAATGATGGCAAAGTGTCGCGTGTGCACTGCCTCGTTGAGTCCACAGCCAAGCATACCCAGGACGTCTGCTTTGGCCATCTGATCCCACGTGGCGGGTCAATGGCTCAGTAGCAACTGAGCAAGAGGCCCGAGTGGGTAAAAATTGAGTTGGATCAATTTAGAGAGGCAAATGAGACCAAGGCGAAAACCTAAAGTACTCCCCGAGGTACAGCCAACGCGTGGAAAACCAGATGAAGATGTCAAGCGCCCCGTACCAAGTATTCTGAAATCTCTTCCCTAACCAGAAGATCAAGAACGTGTTCAGCAGATGCAGCTGATTGGATGGAAAGCGGATCTTAACTCTGGCACCGCGGGCTGGGCGGGCTGGGCGGGCCTTGGCGCCAAGCGTTCCTCTGGCGGGCATCAAGCCCTAGGATTCGTGCCATCTCTCTTCCTTTGCTCACTTTCAGTCAATGACAGTAGACTGGATTTGTGGTTCTGAGAGTCCACTGCAACTAACCGTGGCCAATGTCTGTCCATCATCTTCTCACGTTCTCCCATTCTCTCGCTCTCATGCTTCGCTCCACCCGTCCACCTCGAGACCGCCGCAGCCGACATGGCAATGATACTACGACGTAGTGTAGAACCGTTCTAAACTCCCATATTTAAATCGTTTCCTCCCATAGAATCTCAATAACCAAATCGCTCTCATCAATTCATCTCAAACCTCTCCTCCTACACCTACAGTGGGCTTCCCACTCCCGCCCGGCACCATGATCCCCGCCATCACCGCGAAGTATGACTGGATCCTCGCCCTCACCTCTATCGCCTTCGTCTTCAGCGCCTTTGGCAACGGCGCCAACGATGTCGCCAACTCCTACGCCACCTCCGTGGCAGCCCGCACGCTCGAAATGTGGCAGGTCGGCATCCTCGCCACCATCACCGAGTTCGTCGGCGCCGTAGCCCTCGGATCCCGCGTCACAGACACCATCAAAGACGGCATCATCTCCCCCGACCGCTTCATGGGCAACCCCGGCACCTTCATGCTCGCCATGGGCTGCGCCGAGCTCGGCAGCGCCTTCTGGCTCATGTTCGCTACCACCTACGGCATGCCGGTCTCCACGACGCAGACCGTCGTCGGCGCCCTCGTCGGCGTCGGCTTCGCCACGCAGGCCAAAATCAGCTGGGGCTGGGCCGACGGCAGCGTCTCCCAGATCGCCGCCAGCTGGGGCATCGCTCCCGCCATCGCAGGCGGCTTCTCGGCCCTCATCTTCGGGGTCCTCAAGTACTCGGTCCTCGAGCGCAAGGACTCCTTCAAGTGGGCCATGCGGCTCATCCCCTTCTACCTCGCCTTCACGGGCGCCATCCTCGCCCTGTTCATCGTCGTCGAAGCCCCCTCCGCCCCCTCCCTCGAGGCCTTCGGCGCCGGCAAGGCGGCCGGAATCATCCTCGGCGTCTTCTTCGGCTGTCTCGCCATCGGATACATCTTCTTCGTCCCTTACTTCCACCGCCGTCTCGTCCGCCAGGACCCCCGCATCCGTCCCTGGCATATCCCCCTCGGCCCCTGGCTGATGAAGGAGAATTGCCCCCTTTACCTCCCCGGTAAGGGCGACAAGTTCGTCACCAACTACTACGAAGACGCCTACGGCGAGGAGCGCGCAGGCCAGAAGGACAATAACAACAACATCATCAACAACGTCAACAGCATCAACAACGTCAACGGTGCCCCCAACGAGAAATCCATCTTCTCCGCCGACGACGCCGTCAAGGCAGCCGAAGCCACGGACGTCGAACGCTCAGCTATCTCCACCGCCTCGTCCCCTGAGATCCAGCCCCAGAAGAAATTAGTCCACATCGGACCCCACGAGCGCTTCCTCGCCCCCGTCGCCGACCTCAGCTGGCTCAACCCGCGTAAGACCTGGGGCTGGACCAAGTTCATCCTCCTGCAGGGCGTCACCCGCGATGTCATCACCCACGACTCGGCTCACCTCCGCTCTATCCACGCCCGTGCTCACCGCTACGACGACCGCGTCGAACATCTCTGGACGTACTGCCAGGTTGTCTCTGCCATCATCATGTCCATCGCGCACGGCTCCAACGATGTGGCCAACTCTGTTGGCCCGTGGGCTGGGTCCTACGCGACTTACCTCGCTGGCGAGGTCGACACGGAGGCCTCCACGCCTGTCTGGTTCCTCGTTATTGCCGGCCTGCTCCTCGGTCTCGGCTTCTGGTTCTACGGGTACCATATCATGCGCGCGCTGGGCAACAAGATCACGCAGATGTCGCCGACGCGTGGCTTTGCGACGGAGCTTGGGGCCGCCATTACGGTGCTCCTCGCCTCGAGACTGGGTCTGCCCGTGTCCACGACGCAGTGTCTGACGGGCGCGGCGACGGGTGTCGCGTTGATGAATTACGATCTGGGCGCTGTCAATTGGAGACAGTTGGCGTTTATCTTTTTGGGCTGGGTGTTGACGTTGCCTTGTGCCGGGTTGGTCGCGGGCTTGATGTGTTTGATGGCGTTGAACACGCCGCATTTTTAGTCTTCTTGTTATTAATATCCTGGGTGTTCTTTTTGTTATTATGATGGTTGAATGTATATATATTTAGATTAGATTTCTTTTGTGATACGAATTTATTGACTAAATTCATTTAAAAGATATGATTTGTTTGGTTTTTTGTACTCTGTAGCTATCTAGCCTGGTCTTGTCTTGCTCAGCCTTCTTGGTCTGTCTTAGCTGTCTTGGTTGATACAAGAACCTATTCATTATAGTTATAATGTATTAGACATGAGAAGTGGATGAATACCATAGTAGGTTTTGTATAGAAAGTCTATTATCGTGTTCTCTTGCCTGGGTTTATCATTAGGTTCTCTCGAGCCGGTTATATATATATAGGTACCCCCGGCATATTCCAACAAACCACGAATAGTACAACATTCATACAGTGTACAGAGTAAACTACCAGAATCACTGGTGACTACGATCTAACCAGAATAAAATACTTAAGTAAGGATCATAATTAAGTCCGCTAATAGGTATACAACATAAAATCACAACAAATCGTTAGGTTACTCCGCATCCAGCGGCGCCACAGGCGCCTGGTCGTCAACCTGGATACCACCCCGCTTCTTCTCATTACTATCCCAGAACGGCAGACGCCATCCCCCCTCGTGCTCCGGGGTGGCCAGCCACAGACGCATGAGGTGGCGGCGCGGGGTGGGCGGGGCGTGGTCGGTGTAGGCGGTGCGGGCGTGCAAGACGTGCGAGTTGGAGAGGAACTGGATGTCGCCGACCTCGAGGATCATGTGCAGGGAGAGGCGGTTGCAGGTGGCCTCCAGCACCTCGAGGGCCTCGACCTGGGCGGCCGACAGCGGCGGGATGACGCCCGCGTCGGAGAAGCGCGTCAGCGACCGCACGTAGTAGGGGTCCCACTTGGTGTAGACGCGCGGCGGCTTGGCGGCGTTGCCGTCGTCGCGCTCCATGTAGATGACGCTGGTGCGGATGTACTCGTCCTGGCCGGTGGAGGTCTCGCCCTTGCGGTCGAAGTACCAGATGGGGTCGGTCAGGGTCTTGAGCACGTCGGGCCGCTCGGCGGCCAGGGTGTTGTAGACGAGGTGGGAGGAGGCGATGTCGCTCTCGCCGCCCTCGAGGGCGCGGGCGATACACAGCAGGCCGACGACGTCGGAGTCGTCGGCGTGGAAGAACTGGCGGGCGTTGGTGCGGTAGATGCGGACCGAGTCGATCTGGGTGGGGTCGTCACCCACGTCCTTGACGTGGCCCAGCACGTGGCCGCGGCTGTTCTGGCTGACGAAGTAGCCCAGGTAGGTGCCGAGACCCATGTAGGCGACGGCGGACTTGTGGTTGCCCCATTTCTCGACAGGGAAGCCCTTGAAGAGGATGAAGCCTTTGCCGTCGACGAGATCGGCGCGGAGTTGATCGAGATGGCCGGCGAGGTTGGGGAGGGGGAAGTTGGACTATACTATCATAAGTGGATGTTCGGGAAGAAAATTGAAAAAAAAAAAAAAAAAAAAAAAAATACCTTGGAGATTCCGGTCAACGGAATCTTATTGTTCAGGAAGTTATCGCTGGCGACGCTCAGCTCCTCGATCTCCTCCGGGGAAAATCGATGGGTCCAACGCTCGGGGGTGTTGCGGTAGTCCTCGGGATCCCAGACGGTGGGACCCTCGATCTTCTTGGGGAACTTCTCAAAAGGCACGAGATGGTCGTAGAGGGGAGCATGTTGGCCGGTGGTCTTGAGCCCATCGGGAAAGACGTCGAGGGGGACCGCGGCGGGCTGCTGTGTGAGGGTGGCCATATTCGCGGACAGGGTTATGAAGCGAAGAGAGAAGACGGTCAAGTGATCGATTGATCCGGTTGATTGAGGGGAGGAGTGACTATGAAGTGGTCAACCCCTCCATTTTATACCCCGATTTCATAACCCCTCGATGACCGTGCCATCCCCTCTTGTCCCCCCGCTTCTGCCGTGCATCCGGTCAACTCGGGCGAAAGAGGAACCCGCCAGGACGGTTGACCAGTCCTCGTCATCGGAGCAAGAGGTCGCAAGTAGTGGGCATGATGGCGTGCCCGGCGATGATCGTTGAGGAGTGGAGGGGGGACGTTTAACTATACTATAGGGCATGGGCGCCGACTGTGGGAGAAGAGCCGTGATTGGCGGTGATGGCGCAATCCGAGGGGGTCGATTGGGTGATGGCCCCGTAGGACAGGTACCCCAATCAGATTGGATGATTCAGGATTCTCTACTCTTCTGGTGCCCCATTGCAGCCCACTCGACCCGGTCGAAGTCAAAAATGAGGTCAAATGAGGTCAAATGAGGTCAAGAGGTCGAGGAATGAGGTTGTCGTACGGCTGTAGGGTGAGACATGAGAGAGGTCCAGGTGGTGGACTCGGGCGAGAGGTCGACCGCGGAGGGTTATTTTCGTTCTTCCGTCTGTCCATCTGTCCCCACGGAGATTTCTTCTGACATCGACCGGATAAGAAGGGAGTCGTTCACAATTTCTTCTCTCTCTCTCTCTCTCTCTCTTCTTTCTCTTGATTGTTGTTGTTGTTGTTGTTGAAGAAAGTCATGTGACTATATCTTGGCGAGGTTGTTGATTTTGCATCTATCCCGTGATTCTCATCCCGTGATTCTCATCCCGTGATTCTCATCCCGTGATTCTCATCCCGTGATTCTCATCCCGTGACTTTTCTCCCGTGACTTTTCTCCCGTGACTTTTCTCCCGTGACTTTTCTCCCGTGACTCCCATCCCGTGACCGCCTCATCACGGGATCTGAGACAATCTCTCCTTCTTTCCTACAAAGGAGTCGGACAGTCATTCCGCAGTCATTCCGGACCTCCCCCCCTTCATATCGGTCCACTTTCCGACGGACAAAGAACTTCCACTGCGGGGAACCATGTCCGTGTCGAGTCCGGGCGACTGATAGGAAGACAGACGGGGTCCGGTCGGGGTGCATGCATGAGGAAGATCATCTTTTGTCTGACACACTGGTCCGATGGATTGAACCAAGGATTAATCAAAGGGGAACACGGATGTAACACTTGCGACGGAGTACGGATGGAACCATCCCTTATTCCGGGTGGATTCCTCAGGCGTCATCAGTACCCTCCGGTATTGAACTTGATCCTCGTATTATTCCTACTAACTACAAACTAGTCACTAGTGAACACTGCAAATCTGGGGCGGTCTGGTTCGTATGATACTATTGATCTGCTGTCAGATACTAAATATATCAAAGTACGGAGGATACGGCTGACGGAGGGGGGGCAGAGAGGGGGGCTGAAGAGAGGTGAAGCCCCCAAGAAGGTGCATGAGTGGCGGAGTATTCGACTGGTTTAAGGGGAGATTATGGGGAGCCTGAGTGGGTTATTTACGGAACCAACCAATACGGTGGAAGTCCCACTAGAATGTTCCATCTGCTCCATCCCGGTCTGGCCATTCTTGTGTATCATACTGTATAGTACTGTGTCTGACAGGTACTATCCTTCAGACACCCCCAGTATCAATAAATCAGACAGAGATGCAGACCGTCACAATACACAGCAGGACGGTATGGAATGATACACTCCGCCCCTTGCATTCCCCATCCTGCCTGGGGGCCAAGGCTGAAACGGGGCAGGAAAGGGAGGGCGGCGGCCTTAATAAAGGGGCGCCTGAATCAGACCACGCTGGCCTTTAAAGAAGCCAACTTCCCTCTTCCTCTTCGCTTCTTCCATCATCCTTCCATCCTCCATCTCTTCTATCCATCAGACCACTTGTCCTCTTCTCTCCCCCACTCTTCTCCTCTGACTCAGACGGTCTGGCCGTCTGTTTTCAGTGATGACACCGTGTCCTCTCACCTGACCTTTCCTGACCTCGTACTTGCCTTCTTCTTGTCTTCCATGCCCTGTGATCCATCATCGTGATCATCCATCTGAAATCATCACATCTGAATCAATACATCTGAATTCAAATACAATACCAAACACAATCTCCATCAGATCACTTGATCATGGACAGTCACATCATGGAAGACAGCTTCTCGCCGGCGGACTCGGTCCCCAGCTCTCCCGAATCGGAGATGCCCCTCACCGTCTCCCCCGCCGACACCTCTTTACTGGAGGTCGACGGTGATGAGAGGACCGACGAGAAGAAACCCGCCAAGAAGAGGAAGTCATGGGGTCAGGAACTCCCGGTTCCCAAGACCAACCTGCCTCCACGGTATGTTCTTATATTCACAAGAGACAAAAATGATGAAGCTGACTCCTGTAGAAAACGGGCAAAGACAGACGACGAAAAGGAGCAACGCCGCATCGAGCGCGTCCTCCGGAATCGCGCCGCCGCCCAGACTTCGCGCGAGCGCAAGCGTCTCGAAATGGAGAAGCTCGAGAATGAGAAGATCCAGATGGAACAACAGAACCAGTTCCTCCTCCAACGCCTCAACCAGATCGAAGCCGAGAACAACCGACTCAACAAGCAAGTCGCCCAGCTCTCGGCGGAGGTCCGCGGCTCCTCTCGCGGCAGCACCCCCACCCGCACCATCGCCTCCCCGCCTTCGCCCTCCCCCACCCTCACGCCCACCCTGTTCAAACAAGAGCGCGATGAGCTCCCTCTCGACCGCATCCCCTTCCCCACCCCGTCCTCCCTCGCCCACGCCACCTTCTCTCCCACCCTCAAGCCTTCCACTCTGGACGAGTCCACCGATCCGGCACAACATCCTGCAGCGGTGTTGTGTGGCCTGCAGTGCCCGTCGGTGGACTCGACGGCGACGGAAGCGCCCTCCCCCTCTTTGACCTCGGCGTCGGCAGTGGACCTCACGCTGCAGATGACGCTGCGGCTCCTCTTTCTGACGATGACTTCCACCGCCTCTTCCACGGTGATTCTCCCGCTGACTCAGATCCTGCGGTCCTTGAAGACGGGTTCGCCTTTGACGTTCTCGACGGCGGAGATCTCTCGGCATTTCCCTTTGATTCTCTGGTTGATTTCGACTCCGAGCCTGTCCTCCCCCTCTCGGCCCTCGACCCGCCCCACGGTCTTCCGGATGAGACTGCTCGCTCGCCTGCTAGCTTGCAACCCTGCCTTGGCGCGTCCACTTCGCGATGCGACGGGCAGGGCCTTGCAGCGAGCGGTTAGCGCACGCGTCTCGCCGGCCGATCTGTCGGGTGTCGAGGTTGGAGCGACGGATGGATGGAGCTGGGAGGCGCTTTTGACCTTGATCTGGGCCATCGATTGTCTCCAGACCCCGGAACGGCGCCGGCGCATTCTCAAAGGTCTTCAACCCGCGGGTACGGGTCGCAAGAATCGGGTGGGCAAGTCCACTACTACTTCACGGACACGGCGTTATGGGAGTTCGTCACGGATCGACGAGTCCGTCACGTCTCTGCTGGGAAAGCAATGTTAGGATGTATTACTATGATAGCGTGTACTTTACAATTTAATACTATCTTCTACTTTATAATTTTGGGGTCTTGTGTAAATGAAAACTGTATTGCTTGTAAGGGAGTTGAATGATTATTGAAAGACCCTTGTTCTTTTCCTTCTTTACCCCCACGTCTTACAAACGCACCCCGCAGTGTCTTCGTCCCTTTCTTACTGTCCTCGACAATGTTCCTATACTTCTGCCCGGTGCACTTTATATCCAACATACAATACAGTACTTGAAACAAAAAGAAGATATGTACCAACGTCTGATCAAAAAAAAATATCATGTAATATATCCAAGATAGCATAACGCCTGCGTCGATTGACTCGTAGATCGAGCGTAGTAGATCCATACACATACTGCATACATACATGTGAAGATAGTAAAATAATATATAAACAATAATCGTGGGGTATCGTAGATGGGCGGTCATTTTGCCCTTCTTTTTCTCTTGTCTGGCGGGTTTGTTCGTTTTTAGTGGGGGAGGTGGTAGGAGGTATTAGGGAATAGGTGGTAGGAGGTCGGTAGTAATGCCATCATGGATGCATGGAAAGATGGGTCCAATCATATAGCAAAAGACAGCGCAAACTGGTCAGGCGTGGGAGACGGAAAGAACACGTCCGGGTCTTCCTTATGGGTACACCGGATATGTCGTTTGAGTTGGTCTGTCGCTGTTAGCTTCCAACGAGAGAGATGGGAGGGAGGAACTACATACCTGGTCGAGTAAAGCTCTTGGTACATCGTGGGAAGATGCATTTGTGCCGACGTTCTCCGTGTGCTACGCACGTTAGATAGTGTACAGGCAGATGGTTGGCAGGATGGAAGAACTTACTGAGTCGGTGACTGGACATGTTGGATGACTGCAACGGTCAGTACTTCAGTATTATTATTAGTTCATGGATCGTGCACGTACATCGCCCGTCTGGAAGTTGCAGCCTGGATAGGTACATCGGAATGGCTTCTCGCCTGTATGTGTCCGCGAGTGGGTTTCTACACCATTAGCTTTGACATCTTCAGGGTAAGAAAAAGACAAGAAGAAACATACTCAGCTCACTACTATCGGTAAACATCTTTCCACACTCCGAACACCGATAGGGTTTCTCCCCTCGATGGCTGCGTTCATGTCGCTCCAGCGTAGCCTGGCGAGCAAAGGATTTCCCGCACACCATGCATGTAAAATTTTTATCTGTCCCAGTCAGACACAATACACCAAATAAAAACAATCCCCAAAACTAGCGATCACTTACAGTTGCTATGGGTTAGAAAGTGTCCCTGAAGTTTGGACTTCTGCGAAAACGGTTCGTTCGGACGGTGACACCCCTCCCAGCAGCAATAGTAGCCCGGACCCTTGGCTCCGTCGACCGGGCCCATGTGACAGGACACGAGATGCTCCTGGAGCGCACAGGGATCGGAGAAGGTTGCACCGCAGATGGATCCGACGCCGTGCGACGTCCTCCACCGGCACACGGGCAGCTCGGGGTCGGCCGGGGAAAAATCCGGACTGGTCAGCACAGACGATCCCCCGCCATCTAGCGGGGGAGGAGTCTCGCCCGCGCTTGACACCAACTGTGAGCTAACACTGGATCGAGAGCGGCGGGCATAAGGAGAATACGGATGGGCGTGGATGTGGGCGTGGCCACGACACCGGTGATAGGAGCGGTGTGGTCCCTTTGCGGCGGGAGCGCTGGTGGGGGGTGTACCGGATTCTTGAAAAGTTCGTTTAGGTTATGGGGAACGTGGAAGCAGGTGAACGCATCCGCGGTATCGGCCGCCGGCTGGTCGGGTTGAACGGGGCAATTGGCTTCTTCATGGACGTGGAAATCCTGGCAGGTCGAGACGTCGGGACACATCCCCAGCATGTGGAACACGTCTGCCGGGTTGACATGGTTTTGGAGAGGATAGGTCCCTGGAAGTGGATGGCCGTGATGGTCTTTGTAGAGGTCGTGGCAGTGAAAGTGATGGGACGGGTGCGGATGACAATGGGCGAGCGAATTGTGGGGAGCGGGAACGAAAGGTGCAGCCGGGGGATACATCGCTGCCGCGGCTGGAGGGTTGGACCCGGATAATTGGTTCTGGGGCTGCTCCAGATGGTTCGATGGAAGCAGGCCTGTGTCCAAACCGTACGGAGCCCCCAGCCCTAACAGGGACTCGAGGCTCTGCTCCGGGGCGGCGGTGTGGGCGTCACCAAAGCAGTGGCCATCGAAGCAGAGCAGGTCGGTATGGCAGTTGGTATCGCAATTGGTATCACAGGCGAGGTCACAATCCGGATCGCAGTCGGCTTCACAATCGGCATTGCAATCAACCTCGCAGCTGGGACCCTTGCAATCACCGGCACAGTGATCGTCATCGCAGTGCGCATCGTCACAACCGGTCTCGTCGCAATGGGTATCGTCGCAGTGGGTATCATCACAGTGGTTATCATCACAGTGGGTACTATCGCAATGGGCGTCATCGCAATGAGGGGCAGAGCACGCTGTGGTTTGATCGCATTCGACGAACCCGTCACAGACCGACGGGCACGTTGTCGAGCAGTCATCGGCATCGCAGCAGGGATCCTCGTCACCACACTGGTCGCGTGAGGGGTGATCTTCCTCGGGGCATCTCAGCGACGTCGCTGCGGGAACGGTGTCACTCTCCTGGGGTTCTTGTCCGTCGAGGTGGAAGGCGTCCCAATTGCACTCGAGGCAGAAGTCATCCTTTTTGGTGTGGGACGCCATGGTGTCGATTCAACGGGTTCGACGGTATCGTCCGATCCGTAGAAACGCGCACGCGAGATCGTCTCCGCCGTCCGATAACTCCAATCAATTAATTGCAATCGGACAATTGACTATTGACTATTGACTCGGGTAAGGAAGAATGTGAAGGCGGGGGTGACCGGATGAGTCGGGTTGTCAGTCCGAGACGCTACTGTTAGGGCACGAGATGGATCAGCGCGGTTTCTTCTTCAGCCCTTTCCTCAGCGGAGATATACCGAATCGAGGAGATTGACAAAATCAGTCGGAAAATAAAGTCACATTCCACATTAGGAGGAAATTGGACGGTGCGTCACGATCGGCTGGGACGAGAAAAGCGGAGAGGATGTGAGGACCTTGAGGGTAGAGATCGTCCAGACTATCAGGAGAACCGGTTTGAGGGATAAGGAACTTGATTTGAGTCTGACTAGGGCAAGCGACGGATGTTATCTGTCATTAACATGCGACGGGGGCATCATTCCACCTGTTCGTTGTCGTCGTTGTCGTTGTCGACGTGAAATTGAGGGTTGATTGAGAGAGAGAGAGAGAAGAGAGAGAGAGTGGAAGGACCTTGGGAGAAAGTGGACTATAGAGTGGTGGAGTCCGCCAATCACGGACTGCCATTCCATGCCACTATCACCTCTTGGCGTGGAGTTGGCACCCTGAAAAATCAGCCAAATCGGGTCAGGTAGAAAGGAAAATAGGACTCAGGATGGGTGATGATATGTGGAGACTGAATGTTAAGTAAATACACCAATTGTAGCAACTGTATAGTCATATCTCGCGTCCATATGATTTGGATCGAATTGGTGCCTGAGTCCGACAGATCCGGAGGGGCTTATCTTATCGGATCGTTATCGTTATCAATATGCTGAGTAATCTATCCATCTCCTGCTGAGTAATCTGGCATACACGAGTGACAGCCTCAGGCACCAGCCAATCATCCGACATCGGCGAATGACTCATCCGGAACGGAACAACCTGCGGGGAGATCGACAGTGGGGGAGGCAGTATGTGTCATACCTCTATCGATCCCATCGTGATTTCTTTACAGTCTGATTATTGTCTACCATTGCATTGTTCAATTCCCCTTCTCTGACAATTCCCTGACTCTATCTCATCATGTCCAACAAGATCTGGTTGCGCGCCGAGACCAAGCCGGCTGAGGCCCGCTCTGCCTGTCAGTACCTAGTGCCCAGTGCCCCGCCATCTGTCGCGTATCGCATCATCCTGACCAGCTCTAGTGACTCCCACCACCACCAAGGCTTTGATTGATGCCGGATATCAGGTCACCGTGGAGCGCTCCACTCAGCGCATCTTTGACGGTAGGTTCTTTCTCCAATTGGGTCATATGCTTGCTAACTAACCCGTGTTTTTAGACCAGGAATTCGCCGACGTATGCTCGCTTCTCTACGTCCTTGCCCATCCCCCGAAGAATTCTAACACAGTCTAGGTGGGAGCCCCTCTGGTCGAGGAAGGCTCGTGGGTCAAGGATGCCCCCAAGGACGCCTACGTTCTGGGTCTCAAGGAGCTGCCCGAGGAAGACTTCCCCCTCGAGCATGTCCACATCTCGTTTGCGCATTGCTACAAGCAGCAGGGTGGCTGGGAGAAGGTCCTCAGCCGGTGGCCCCGTGGCGGTGGTACTCTCCTCGATCTGGAGTTCCTGACGGATGATGCCGGACGCCGCGTTGCTGGTACGGGAGTTCTTCATATTGCGACGGGTTCGACGAATGCTGACTGGAGTCGTAACAGCTTTCGGCTGGTCCGCTGGCTATGCGGGTAGGTTATCTTCCCCCTCCGCACCGACGCTCAATACACTGACTCGAACCAGGCGCCGCTCTCGCCGTGAAGAACTGGGCGTGGCAGCTGACGCACCCTGAGAATGAGTCTCTGCCCGGGGAGACGCCCTATGCCAACCAGGACCTGCTGATTGAGTCGGTCAAGGAGACGGTTGAAGCCGGCAAGAAGGCCGCTGGCCGTCTTCCCAAGGTCTTGGTCATCGGAGCTGTGAGTGGACGTCTACCCCGTTGCTTCGTCCGTGGCTAATGATGTCCAGCTGGGCCGCTGCGGCAACGGTGCCGTCCAATTGGCCAAGGACGTCGGGATCCCCGAGTCCAACATCATGCAGTGGGATATGGCCGAGACCAAGAAGGGTTAGTTGTATCGTTTTTCTTTCCTCTGTCTGTACTGACACTCCCAGGTGGACCCTTCAAGGAGATCATTGAAGAGGCCGACATCTTCATCAACTGCATCTACCTGTCGGCGAAGATTCCTCCCTTCGTCGATGCCACCTCCCTCTCCTCGCCCAACCGTACACTGTCGGTCATCTGTGACGTGAGCGCCGATACGTAAGTGACCATAATCTGTCTGTTGCTCTTATGTCCTACTAACCCATGTAGTACCAACCCCAACAACCCCGTCCCCGTCTACACCATCACCACCACCTTCGACAAGCCCACCGTGCCGGTTATCCTGCCCGCGGGCACCCAGGGCCCCACGCTCAGCGTCATCAGCATCGATCACCTGCCCTCGCTCCTCCCCCGGGAGAGCTCCGAGATGTTCAGCGAGGCCTTGATGCCCAGCCTTCTGCAGCTGAAGGACCGCCAGAACGCCCGCGTGTGGAAGCAGGCCGAGGATCTGTTCAACGAAAAGGTGGCCACGCTGCCCGAGGGTATGCGCTCGTAGATTATTTGTGTTTTAGTGGACATACATCCGGGAATAGAGAGATAAAAGTCTGGCATTAATGGCCTCTATACTACCTGTTGCTTTGGTGCCTTGTTGCCGTGTTGCCTTGAGGCATCGAGAAAACGATGAGTCACCTGAAACCAACCAATCGGAGCGCGTAGAAATGACGCCATGCGATGACGGCGCCTCAGGCCCACCTGCGCTCTCCGCCTGCCCGATTGGGCCGAGGGCCGATAGACGCTCTTCTCTTCTATGCTCGTGAATAATAATCAGTTGTTGACTTTGACTTCACTCTCGCTTGTTTCTCCCTCCCACTCCTATCGATCTCGCCATGAACCCGCTCCAGAGCGTATCTCGCTCCGCTCCCCGGGGCTTCACTGCCTGGGGCCGTCCCCGAATCGCAGCGAGGACGACTCCCTTTTCCCCCCGCCCGTCCACACAGTTTCCCGCGCCGAGATCGCTCCATCGCGCCCCAACCCGCAAATCTCAGGTATCCTCCGCCGCCGCCTCGCAGGACTCGTCCAACCCCGCCCTCTCTTTCCCCTGTCTCGACGCCCAAGAAGCTAAGTCGGCTCTCCTCTCGACGAGATCGCTTGAATCGGGTCCGGAGCCCTCCTACACGACGGGCAAGCACGAACAGTTCCACTGTGAAGACCCACTGTTGCTCGACTGGGGCGGCGTGCTGCGCGAATTCGACGTCGCTTACGAGACATGGGGCCAGTTGAACGCCGACCGGAGTAATGCCATCTTGCTCCACACCGGTCTGTCGGCTTCCAGTCACGCCCACAGCACCGAGGCGAACCCCAAGCCCGGGTGGTGGGAGAAGTTCATCGGGCCTGGGAAGCCGCTGGATACGGACCGAAACTTCATCATCTGCACGAATGTCCTCGGCGGCTGCTACGGCAGCACGGGGCCCTCGTCGATCGACCCGTTGGACGGCAAGCGGTACGCGACGCGGTTCCCCATCTTGACGATCGAGGACATGGTGCGCGCCCAGTTCCGGCTGCTGGACTCGCTGGGTATCCAGAAACTGTATGCATCAGTGGGGTCTAGCATGGGCGGCATGCAGAGTCTCTCGGCCGGTGTTCTCTTCCCCGAGCGCGTCGGTCGCATCGTCAGCATCAGCGGCTGCGCGCGCAGCCACCCGTACAGCATCGCCATGCGCCACACGCAGCGGCAGGTGCTGATGATGGACCCCAAGTGGGCGCGTGGCTTCTACTACGACACGATCCCGCCGCACTCGGGCATGAAGCTCGCGCGCGAGATCGCCACGGTCACGTACCGCAGCGGCCCTGAGTGGGAGAAGCGGTTTGGCCGCAAGCGCGCCGACCCCAGCAAGCAGCCGGCGCTCTGCGCGGACTTCCTGATCGAGACCTACCTCGACCATGCGGGCGAGAAATTCTGCCTCGAATACGATCCCAACAGTCTACTCTACGTCTCCAAGGCCATGGACCTGTTCGACCTCGGCGACGTGCAGCAGCTCGAGACCAAGCGCCGGCGGGCCGAAAACGCCGCTAAGATCGCCCAGGGCGGCAAGGACCTCGGCTACATCGACGTCGCCTGCAGCCTGACACTCCCGGACCAGCCTTACGAAGAGCAACCGTCCGTGACGGCGTCCACGCCCGCCATGGACGAGGCCTTCTCCGGCGAGGAGTCCGCCGCGGCCCCTCCCGCCGACCTCGTCGCCGGCCTGGCCCCGCTGAAGAACCACCCCGTGCTGGTCCTGGGTGTCTCCAGCGACAGTCTCTTCCCTGCCTGGCAGCAGCGGGAGATCGCCAGCACGCTGCGGGCGGCCGGGAATGACACCGTGCAGCACGTTGAGCTGGGCGAGGACGTCTCCCTGTTCGGACACGACACGTTCCTCCTGGATCTGAAGAACATCGGCGGTGCGGTCGGGAAATTCCTGTCGTGAGGCGTGGGTGTTCTCGAAAGTGAAATGATGATGACGATCTTTTCCTTCTTCTTCTTCTTCTTCTTCTTCGTTTCTTTGCGTGCGTCTTTCTTGATAGATAGATACCGAGCATATGGCTTAATATACGGTTTAGCCTACTTTATTTGTAAATACTGTATAATAGGAGCATGTCCCACAAGATCTATAGTCTGCTGCTAGCGCTCAATGCATCCTTCCGCAATCCAACATCCAACCCAACTCCATTCCATGCTCGTGCTGACTAGGGCGCATATGATCCAAAGGATCATATGTCGTCTCACTCCTTTCTACAAGTAGTCTACATAAAATCTCCAGTAAGAAGGGAGTCTATCAGCAATCATTCGTTAATGACAGGCCCACATGAATTAGGGATACTGCCTACAAAGGAGTCCCATCGCTGTCTGGCACGACGGCTTGACTAAAACACCCATGGAATGCGAATCCAGCGCCATAGAGAATAACCAGAGGTCGATTAGATTCAATTAGTTCGTAACGTCAATGTAAATGTAATATCCAATCGTATATATCCGTATCGTTCGTAAATGCCCCGTTCGTGAAGCCCGTTAAGCCAAGGTAGAGTCTACATCACCGTACACCCCGCGCTCTGACACTGCTCCAAATAAGTCATGTCCTCAGAGGATGGGCTCAAGTCCGTAAGCTTCCGCTTGACACCCTGGATCTTGATGTCCTGATTCCCGTCGGGATGTCTCCACCGGAGATACTGCGCTTTAATGGAGTTGATCTCCACCGCGTCGATGGACCACTCGCCGCTGCTGACCGACACGACTGTGTTCGAGTCTGGGAAGTGGAAGTCTGGCAGGTAGATCTCTGTCACGGCGTCTTGCCCGACGGAGCCTTTCTGGCCCTGGAGGGTCATGGTGAAGGTGCAGCTGCGGAGGTCGAAGAGGTGCTTTGTGACAGTGCCGTTGGTGGTTACCGGGCTGGGCCGGAGGAAGGCTTGCGCAGCGCGGTAACCGACTTTGTCTTGGCCGGATTGTGACACCTCCGATGTGATGGATGGTGGCCGTAGCGCGCCTTTCAGATTGTGGGGCCCGACGTTCTCGTCGCTCAGGCTGTTGCGACTCTCTGAGTAGGTCGGCGAGTGCCGGTTGGTTTGGGACTGAGAGTCGGGATCCAGGGCTAGCAGCTTTCCGCTGGGGAGCTCGAAGTCGTCAACCGAGTAGATGGAGAGATCCTCACCGTTCCAGTTGTCGCCCCATTCATGATTGTTCTGCGCGGTTAGCTGATGGCGCTGGGAGGATGGACGGGCCACTTACCGACGACGTGTACAGCCAGAGGGTAAACCCGTTGGACGTGCTCCCTTCCAGCGCGAAATGATTCGCGTCCATGGCGCTGATCTGGCTGCTGTAATCCCCAGTCCGGTACGCATATCGGTCGTCCATGTCGTAGGGAATACCGATCTCGGAGAAGACCATCGGGTGACGGCCCATGTATTCGAGACTCTCGTCCCGTAGGAACTTGAGCTGGTCGCGCAGACAATTGCGGATCGCCGTCTCGCCGATTTTCACCGCAAAGGCGGGTGCATAGTACTTCCCGCGAAGGACCCCAATCACGTCGACATTGTAGAGCCGGTTCCTGCACGATCAGCATGGGGGACTACAGTGGGGCCGGGGGGACTGGGAAGATGAGGAACTCACCAATGTTTGGTCAGAAGGGTCAAACCGTCGTAGTAATGCACCGCGTGAACCATGTTCGGGTCGTCATCAGGGGTACCCTTGAGCGCCGGAGGCACCTCCATAACCGGGGGCTGGCAGAACATGATCGATTCCGGCCACACCCCGCGAATGGCGTCCCGGTACGCCCGGTAATGGTCCATGAAATAGGTATTGGTGAAGACGTCATAATTCAATGGGTTTCCCGTCTGGGGGTGCTTCGCAAAGTAGTCGCTCCGCAGCAGTTGGTCCGACGACGGTTCCCAGACCCCGTGCTGCGCCCAAAGACATTCGCCGAGCTTCCAGCCGGGGTCCCGCTTCCAGCCGTACTTGTGGTCATCATAGTCCACCGGGAGCCACGCCGATTCCCCCTCCGGATCCACCAACTCCTTGCCCGTCTGGTGCGGACCGAACCCCCCGAAGGCCCAGGTGGTCTCCTCACAGGCGCGCCCCGAGCCCGTCAGCATGGCCTGAAACGCGGTGGGGGACGTGCCAAGCTGGAGCTGCTGCTCCGCGGGAACGACAGAGATATCCTGGACTCCGATCAACCCCCGATGGGGCTCGTTGATGCTCTCCCAGCCGATGACCACATCGGGTTCCAGATCCCCGGCATCGTGGATGTGCTGGGCGAGGTACTTACACGCGGCGATAAAGTGGCCTTGCAGGTAGTCCTGAATGTTCAGGCCATCGATGATGGCCTGAGGCGCAAAGTCTCGACCGCCCCAAAAGAGGGTGAACATGGTCTGGCAGACCAGCCGGGTATAGTTGGTGCTCCAAACCATTTTTGGGAATTCGGCAGGGTTGTCGGCGGTGTTTTGGACCATCGCGGCCTCGGTTTTCTTGAACCCTCGGGGATTGAGACCGGCGGCATAGAGGGTCCACGCGGGCGCTCCCGAGCCTCCGGACAGCCTAGACCACTGGCAAATGGGTTAATGAACCGTCTGGAGCGTGGAGTTTGTGAGTTCGCGGTCACCTACCACATCCTGATGCGGGTCCATGAAGACGTAGAACTGGTAGTCCTTGGCGATGCGGAGCACCTCCACAGTGAAGCGAACCCACTCATCATCATAGATACCCGGGCCTTCATGTTCAATCGCCTCCCAGGTGAACAGATATCGGATGGTATTGTAGCCCCATTTCCGCAGACGGGCGAAGTGGGTGTGGGCGTCGTCCAGGGAAAAGGGTCGACCGACGAAGGAGACGTGATCGGCGTCGAAGAACCGGTCGGCGACGTGGGAGGGGGTATCGGGTTTTCGAGGATACTTGCATTCGCCAGCTACATTGATCCCACGGAGCGTCACCTCTCGGTTCTGCGGGTCTCGAAAGGTCTGGCCATCCACCCTGATGCGGAACGGAGACATTGTGGGTGGATCGAGGGGGAAGCGATGGGATTTGAGGGTTCGACAGTGTGACAGAGTTCGACGAGCTATGCGATATCATCCAGGGCCTCATATACCCTACTATGATGGACAAGTCAGCGAGTGATGAGCTGGTGTCGGTGTGGCATCCACATACCGGACGAACAGGAGGAAGCTCCGTAGAGGAAGAGGATGTAAGAGGGGGGTTATCCAATGACTGTCTCTGTCAATCAAACAAACAGACCCAAACAAAGGGTCTCAAAGGGATGATAAGAGAGAAGAGAAGAAGATGAAGCCAGAGACGAAGACGAGATGAAGCAAGAGAGCTCAGGCTGCCTCAGGTTGCCCAGGCTGAGCTGATTAGATAAGTGAGATAAGCGATAAGGGAGAGACTAACCCGATCGGGAAACATGAGGATAAACAGTACACAAGATGGGATGGATTAGATCAGGGATTTATGCGTCATGTTACTTTGAAGCCCTAACTTATCAATCCGGATGAGAACCAGAATGATGAAGAGAAGACGCCGATGCTACGTGGTCGGGCGAGACAGGAAACAACTTCCATGCTTACAGGAGCTATGACTGACCCCAACCGGGTTGAACCTTGCTGCCCTAGACTGCGGGACCCTTGCTGGCAAAGGAGGGGTTACTCTGTGGCTTGACATCAACTGGAGCAATGCAGAACAGGGTTGCACTGTGAAGATGAGGTTGATATCGAGACAACCGATTGTGATCAGCCGACGAAGCCCCCCTGTCTGGTGGAGTCAACCCACATTGAGAACGGACTTCCAACTGAGGAGAACGAAATCCCAAAAAGGATTCCCATAGGGGCAGATGATGAGGATCGATCAATCGGGGCAAAGTGCTTCCTGCAAATCTGATCGACCTCATGAAACCCAACAGAGAGCGTGGGTTTGTCGTGTTACATTTGGTGGTAAGATTGACCTATCAACCTGTTGTTTACGGCTTACTCCATTGGAGGGGGCAAGTATTCTCCAGGCGTCCTGCAGGAATGATCGAGGCTGATGTCTTAACTCCTTTCCTTTCCAGCTTTTTTTAAACTCTCTCGGATCTCTCTCCTCTCCTCCCTTTCTGCACTCTCGATGTTTCTGTTGACCTCCCCTTCACTGACTCGAGTTTTTGGTTTGTTATCATGCGTTTCTCAGCGTGGTCCCTTCTCCTGACGGTCGCGTCCTCCGTGACGGCGGTCAAGGTGAACCCCCTGCCGGCGCCCCGGTCCATCGAGTGGGGATCGTCGGGCCCCAAGCATGTCTCGGGCCATCTGGTGCTGCGCACCTCCAAGGATACTCGCGATCATCTTCTGACGGAGGGCTGGAATCGCGCCTGGGAGACCATCGTCAAATTGAGATGGGTCCCTGCGGCCACCGAAGCCCCCATCTCGTCCTTCCAGCCCTTCCCCTCCGCCACCCCATCGGCCACCCCGTCGGGTCACGTGCATGAGAAACGCGCGCCCACCCCGTCGCTGCACTTCGTCGACGTGGTGGTCAAGGACCTGCAGGCGGACCTGCAGCACGGCGTGGACGAGTCGTACACGCTAGTTGTTGATACGGCCTCCAGCAGCGTGGTCATCAAGGCCCCCACCGTCTGGGGCGCCCTACACGCCTTCACCACCTTCCAGCAGCTGGTGATCGACGACGGGCATGGTGGCCTGATCCTCGAGCAACCGGTCCGCATCAAGGACGCGCCGTTGTACCCCTACCGCGGTATCATGCTCGATACGGGCCGCAACTTCATCACCCTGGGCAAGATCCGGGAGCAGCTGGACGGGATGGCACTGTCGAAACTCAACGTCCTGCACTGGCACCTCGAGGACTCGCAGTCCTGGCCCATCCAGATCGACGCGTACCCGGAGATGACGCGCGACGCCTACTCGCCGCGCGAGGTGTACTCCCACGCCGACATGCGCCATGTGGTCCGTTACGCCCGCGCCCGCGGCGTGCGCGTCATTCCCGAGATTGACATGCCCAGCCACTCGTCCTCGGGCTGGAAGCAGGTCAATCCGGAGATCGTCGCCTGCGCCGACGCCTGGTGGTCCAACGACGTCTGGGAGCTGCACACGGGCGTCGAGCCCAACCCGGGCCAGCTGGACATCATCTACCCGGGCACCTACGAGGTCGTGCGCAACGTCTACGAGGAGCTGTCTACCATCTTCCCCGATAACTGGTTCCACGTCGGGGGCGACGAGATCCAACCCAACTGCTTCAACTTCAGCCGCCACGTCACCGACTGGTTCGCCGAGGACCCGTCGCGCACCTACAACGACCTGGTCCAGCACTGGGTTGACAAAGCCGTGCCCATCTTCCGCAGCGCCCGCGAGGACCGGCGCCTCATCATGTGGGAGGACGTTGCCGTCGGCACGGAGAGTGCGCCCGACGTGCCCAAGGACATCGTCATGCAGAGCTGGAACAAGGGCCTTGAGAACATCGACAAGCTGACGGCCGACGGCTACAACGTTATCGTCTCCTCCTCTGAGTTCCTCTATCTTGACTGCGGCCACGGCGGCTTCGTCACCAACGACCCGCGCTACAACGTCATGACGAACCCGGACGAGAAGATCCCCAGCCTCAACTACGGCGGCGACGGCGGCTCGTGGTGCGCGCCGTACAAGACCTGGCAGCGCATCTACGACTACGACTTCACCGCGAACCTGACGGACGCGCAGAAGAAGCGCGTCGTGGGCGCGACCGCCCCGCTGTGGGCCGAGCAGGTCGACGACGTGACCGTCTCCTCCAAGTTCTGGCCGCGCGCGGCGGCGCTGGGCGAGCTCGTCTGGTCCGGCAACCGCGACGACAAGGGTCGCAAGCGCACGACGCAGTTAACTCAGCGTATCCTGAACTTCCGCGAGTATCTGCTGGCCAACGGGGTGCAGGCCGCGCCACTGGTGCCCAAGTACTGTCTGCAGCACCCGCACGCGTGCGATCTCTACTATAATCAGACGGCCATTGAGTAATGTTTAGTACATAGGAGCTAGCATACTAGCCTGGGGCCGTTAGACTAGGCTAGGGTATTGGAAGAATATAATCATCATTCAAATCCAAACTGGATGCCATGCACTCCGTAGACCAACCCCTGTATAGATGACATCATACCAGGTGATCTATTTCCATTGTTTGTTTCGACTCCTGATCAGGACAGCTTCGGCTTCATCCTCCATGTCAACACCTTCACAAACCTGACACCCAACCATGCCCTCGCACCCGGGATAATACACTATAATATCATCCCTATCCTCCGTCTCGTCCGCCGCCGCTTCCTCCACCCTCACCCACATCCGCATCTTTATCCTTAACTACTGGGGCCTCAAGTTCCTTACTAAATATCATAATAAGTGCCTCTCCAAGATAGGGCGCCAGATTACTCTGATATCCCTACTCCCAGATATTATCAGCCTGCAAGAATGCTAGAACATCAGGACTATAATGCTATCCAGTACACAACCTATAATATCTTCTCTTATAGTAAATTCTACTACAATGGCATGATAGGCGTCAGCCTAGCTATCCTCTTGTACTTTCCTATCAAAGACTCTAGCATGTTTAGCTACGCTCTTAACAGCTGCCTGATAAAGTGAGTTGCCTTCTTGTATGTATTTATCCTTATATTGCATTTTACTCCATGTGTCTACTGTATAGATTGGACATGATGGTTCATAAATAATAGATCAATTCTCGATCGGAAGAGATAGCATTCTGTGATCGCGCGAAACAACCCGTCCCTAGTATAAGCGAAAGGCAGAGACATCATCTGCAAACGCATCTCCAGTTCAGCCCACGGCTTTTTCAAGCCCACGAGGGTCACAAGTCACCAGCAAGCTAGTTCTCAGCACACTCCCTCTTGCGCACGTCAAACACCTTCAGCGTCTCCTCCGCAGCCTTAACACCGCTCAGCACCATGGCCCCAAAAGTCGGACCCATACGGTTGAAACCATCAATCTCCGACAGTTCCATTCCGCCAATGATCAAACCTTTGGTCACCTCACGCGTGTTCTTGACAATCGCGTCCTCCGCAGTGTTCATATCCAGGCCGCGCATGCCGCCCAGCTTGTCGATGCCGCCCATCGATACGAGCCGCTTCGCGGAGAACGCACCAAATGGGCCGTCGTGGCCAGTCGTGGACACCACGATCGGCGCGTTGATCGTGTTGGGGTCCATGCACGACTGGTCGTCGTGGTGCATAGTCACCAGCGTCCAGTTGACGACGACGCCGGCGATGCGTGCGCTTTCGGGGCCTGAGCTGCCCGGTCGCGTGATGAGATCCTCCACGCTTGTCGCGTTGAAGAGCTTCACGTTCGGGAAGGACAGCACCTTGCTGAGCAGCGTGGATGTGAACAGCGCTGCGTGCTTCACTACCACGTAGTTGGCGTTGTCGGCGTCTTGCTCGAATGGCACGCCGAGCTCGCTGAGGAAGACATCTGCTGGGCGACGCATGATCATTGCGGAGAAGAGTTGGCCGCCGAGCCAGGCTCCGCCGCCTTTTTACGCGTCAGTACTCTAATGTGTGTTTTGATATTATAGGGAGCTGGTGTCGTGGTTGTATGTGTCATACCTGGAGAGACGTTCGCCTCGATGATGGCGATTTTCAAATCCGGTCGCGCCTTAGCCAGCACATACGCCGCGCTCAGTCCGCACGATCCGGCTCCGACAATGACGATGTCGCTCTCGGCGTAGCGGTCCAGGTCCTGGAAGTAGCGGCGCGTCATGGCGCGGGACACCTGGCTCTCGCGGATGGGCGCAAAGCGGAAATCGTCCCACTTGCTACCGAACCGGTCGAGCAGCTGGGTCTGGGGGACAGCGTCGGCAGGGAGGCCCTGGGGCACGACGATGTCCTTCTTGGTGGCGGCCGGGGCCGCGACGGTCTCGATCATGGCTGCTGGGGGAGACATGTTTGTTGGCTGGAGTGGGGAACTGAATACTGTTAGCCATTCCATTTTAAGGGGGCGAGAGAAGGCATGATCCTTTCGCTGGTATTGTCCAGATCAAGTTGTGACCGTATAATCTCAGAACGAACCCGTCGTGGATATATCATATCTGTAGATCTATGATATACCCACGACAGGACGAACACCGGCCCATGCCCAGACGTTACCTGAGATACCTTGATCGTGCGAAGACGAGTCCAGCCAAAAGTGCATGGCTTCCATCGGTAGATTTGTAGAATGACCCGTAGGCCGGGCGGAGGGGATTACATTGTCCCTGGACGCTGTTAGTGGTTCTTCTTCCATTGGAAGGAGAGGAGGACTTGTTGGTAGAGTATACTGGTATCAGTGGTGTAGAACTATACTGATGGATGGACTTTGAAATCGAGAGATCAGATGGATCGGACGGGGAGGGGCATTTAAAGCGATCAATCTATGGTTTCCCCGCTTTCGAGACACTTGATGAAGTGATATCACCGTGAGTCATCGTGAAGCCTATTTGCCGTCTTTTAAACTCTGTTATCCGCACCTGTCCCGACTCCGCCCGGAATGCACTGTATTTGGGCTCCGGTGAAGCCGGCGGGGTAGTATCCTGCATGCTTGGCTGCTGTGCGATGGCATCCTTCCTATAATAGAGGGGCAGGATGCATGGCCAGATATCTAGTCGCAGGTTGGGTATTGCTGCTAGTGGTGGGTCACAGTCAGACGGGGGGATAGCAGAGAATATATTGGACGACCACGTCGGGCATATTACCAGGGGATGGAACCCCATGCATTCTAGGCATATGAAAGAGGGGAAGTCCATTTCAGAGCGTGGGTTCCATGGAATGAGGTCTGTCTCGATCGATTCATCCTTCACTCTCATATTGTCCATGGGTGTCCATTATAACCCACGTGACTCCACTAACCCTGGTCTTGGATGGCTCAATGGCGGAGAGGGATAGACCAACAGAAAGGTTTGGCTTGTTCTAGAAGTGAGACTTGAGAGAAGCCAGGATCTCCCTGTGTTGGATGCTTGTCCGTGTGCTACAGCGTCCCACCAGGTCAGCAATCCATGCAGTGTACTGACTGACCTGAACATAGCTATAACTGTGTATTCACACATCATGAGGGGCAGGTACAATTAGATACCATAGGACCAGGAACTGTACTCGACTAATTGGTGGATCGAATTTGAGAATTGTGGGTCGAATTTGAGAATTTGAAGATTATAGCCCAGACGTGGGATCCAGAGGGCTGACAAACTCCTTATCGTAATGATGTTAGAGTGACATCACTATAGACAACCATTTCCTTCCCTGGTGTTTCACTCCACGAGATCCGGCCGAAAGGACGAATGGTTTTCCAGCACATGAATCAGGGTAATGACGTATCGAACATGGTGCTACCAGGATTCGCTGCCATTATGATAATTCCCAGTAATTGGTCCACGCAGGAATCGCGTTGCTTCGTGCATAAGCTCGAGAGAATTCAACAGCCCCATCAGACCCTGGTAAAGCCTGGACCGAGTCTTCAACAGTATATTCCGGAACCATAGTCAGAATTCAAAATTAAGTGTCGTGAGCAGACACAACATACTCCAGTTGTTGGATCATCCCAATGGAAGACATTGGGAAAGACACAACACTCGACCTACAAGATCATGGAACTGCCGCGAAAAAAGACCCCGACGAGCCCAATTATTCGGACAAACTCATCAATGACCTTTTCGAGCTAATTCGGTCGGCCGGCGAGAGGCACACAGAGACCCTACTACAGATGATCCGTCGACATGCCACTATCCAGGAGGTTCGCGCATTTCTGGATAGCGTGGTCCTCAGGAATGCGACAGCGGAGACAAATGGCACTTGGCTGCCCACAGCTCGAGGGACGAAACGCGGGGCGGATGGTGAGGCCGGGCGACTGGAACATCGGTCTAAAGTCATGGACATCAATTACATGTGTAACATGGCTTATTTTAAGGTTCCTGCTAAGCCATGGACAACTGTGACCGATGATGATAACTTGGTCTCTCACCTGGTGTCATTGTACTTCACCTGGGACTACCCGTTTTATGCATTTGTCGACAGAGACATTCTTCTGAGAAATATGATCAAAGGGAACGTGTACTCCGATCTGTGCAGCCCGTTTCTGGTCAACGCCATTCTTGCCAACGCATGCGTAGGGACCCCCGATGCCACTGACACATATCGAGTCAAGGCTGACGTGACTCGCGCGAGTAGATCTACGTCGACGGTTCAGAGGTCAACATGACACCCGAGGATGTCAATACGATGGGCACCAAGTTCCTAGCAGAGGCAGAGCGGCACTTGGGAGCCTACCAATTCGACAGAGGCCCCGTTGTGCGCTTGGCTTCGTTACAGGCTGCTTTGCTTTTGTACGAGAGGTAAGCCATTTCCGGGACCTTATGTCGGCCTAAGATGACGCACTGATAACCTGGTGCGCAGATATTCCATGTCCGGAGAAGATGGTAACGGTTATGCCTTGCTCAATCTAGCTGTTGAGATGGGGGAGGCACTGGGTATTATCAACGGCCCCAAACTGAATCTCAGCAAGACACACATGACCGAGGATATGATATCGTCGATCAAGCGAACTGCATGGGGGTTGTTTCAAGTGGACACGTGAGTGGAATTGGTATCCCTTCGATGTGCCGACGAGATGGTAATAACGGGTCCAGGGTCGTTCACGCAAACTTCCTCCGACCATGTCGCGTCAACGAAGTCAGCATCGACCGTATCGCGCGTAATGACTCCGACAAAGATGAACAGTGGATACCCTATCCCATCGACGGACAGGCACGGCCGTTCTGGATGAGCGAGTATTTCGATGAGTCCTGCAGATTGTCGTATATTGCCAGAGACATCTGCCACATATTTCACGAAAACGTAGAGCCCGGCATTGATGTTGTCGAGCGCAAAGAGCACTTCTACAAGAGCCTAAGACAATGGGAAAGCGAATTACCCACGAAGTTTTCTGACACAAAGACCTTGGCACCACACTTTGTCCTGCTGAAGTTCGTGATGCCAATACAACGACTCTCAGTTTGCGATCCCAGCTGACAATTTCATGATAGAATGCGCTATCACGCTCTCACCATTATCCTGTCGTTCGAACATTTCCAAGGGGCTGTCCCCTGCGATGCTCCGGGATGGCAACAATCGCATGGAAAATACAGAGGAGTCGTCGATCCCCGCGCGCTGGAGACGGCCTTGTCCTCCGCTCGCGAGATCTCGGCTCTCGTTCGACTGCATCGGCGTGAATTCGGGATCCGTCGCTCCCACCAGTACGTTATGTACGTCATCATGCTAGCGCTCTTCACCATGCTTGAGCACCAGTCATTCGACGTACTAGACCGTGATTTCCTTTCTCTGACCAGCGCATTCTCGGTGATCTATCACCACACGCCGGTGGGGAGAAAGCTGTTTCCGGTCTTCCGCCAATCCGTCACCGTGCGCACCGGTGGGAGACCAACATTTGATTCCGTCGAACTCGCCCACCAGGCACAGGGGCTCTCTGTGCTTAGCGCTTTCTCCGATACGTCTGCTCAGCAGGGGGGGTACCGCAAGGCCCAACGGGAGCTGTATGCTCGCGACCCCGATCTCCGTGGTCTGGAAGATCAATCGCCGGATCAGTTACCACCCATGGAGGAGATGCTCAGAATGTACGAGCATCTCAGTGTAGGGAAGGAAGTAAATTTGCACACCCCGCCATCAGAAACCTTCCGCTTTTCACCGTCAGACAACTCTGGCTCTTCGTCCACATGACACCACACCCACGGAAAGTTCGCGAGGGGAATTGGAGAACCCCAGATCCGTAAAGGCCTCACTACAAATGACAGCCTAGAAGATGGAACAAACAACGTTAGATATGGTTCATGGAGAGCTAGTCAGCAAGAGGGTACCAGGTGTGGGATTCGAACTCTCTGTTGGTCATAGCCAACCATCGCATGGAACCCAGGAGTAAGGTGGACGGGGAAGATGGAAAGATCATCCATGATCTGTTCCTTTATTACCTTTGAGACCCAGGATGTTGTGTGGGATCCTTTGTGGGGTTAGTTGTCACACCAACTTCGATGGATGAAGATGGAAAAGTTGTTCAGCCTGTCAAGGTTGTTTCTTTGTACCGGAGAAGTCACGGGACATCCACTGCCCTCTTCTTCAGCATGGCCTCTGCCTTAGAATGAGCTTGAATCTAATGATTCAAGTACACGACCTCAATATATACTATGACTGTTGGTGGACTGTCCGTTTACATCAGGTCTTCCGACCCATCAACATCAGATTGAAATCTAAACAAGAACATGCCTGCAGGAAATGTATGAATCTGAGCTAGGTGTTCGAGGGTGATACAGACATGTATCAAGTAGCCAACTGATGCCAATGTTGCTTTATATTCATATACAGCTACCATGATCTAGATCCCCTCTGCCTTTTCAGTTCAATGGGCCTCTCAAACGCAAGGTGCTAGTCGAACTGCGCTGACTGGGGCCAAGTAATGAACAATGGGTAAAGGGCCAGCCATGATGGCTGAAAACAGCATGCCGATGCGCTATGCGTCATCAAGTCTTTAAGATCGTTGAAGTCATGTTACACATATGTCAACAGGATTGGTAGAATCCATGTGGCATTGGTTTCGCATAGGGACTCCTACAGCTTCACTGCCTCTGTCTTTGTTGGTATACCGGCCATCTCGAATTATAAGGGCGCGAGTTGTCCACGATCTAGCAATCCAGCTTCCCTTCCAACCCTCTCGTGCTGGTCTTCTCGGAAATTCAGAAGAGGTCAATCATTCAGCTGAAGACTGTGTGAAGTGCACTGCGGTCTCGTCGTTAAAGCCCATTCAGAATGCGTTTCATTTACGTGTTTGTCGTCTTTGCGGCGACCTCTCTGTCCTCCGCGTCGCCGTCGCTTCAGATGGAGCGTTCCCAGCCCAACAGCATGGCTGGTCACTTCCCAGATCTTGGTCTGTCCCCGTCTACCCGTCTAGTGCTGATACCGTTGCTAACGCTCTTTGTAACAGATGCCATGGGTGTATGCCCACCCCCAAGGAAGTGCTACTACGCTGGCACGGCGCCGACATGCGACGATGGCTGCAAGAGGGGAGAGACCCGCTGTATGCTTTCAAAGACCGGCTGTGGTAGCAAATGCAAGCAGGGCTGGAAAGTGCTGTGCTGTGAGGGAGAGTGCCCTGGTTGATCAACTGGGAGGAATTTTCCGTGGGCTGTGATGACAGTTGAGGTTGTGTTTGTTGGCTTTCTTACCTTACTTGATGCGGTCGATGCGATGGAGAGCTTAACACATGTTTGTCATTCCTTATGTTTTGACGTCTTTCTGTATGTTCCTTTGGCTACCGAGTTATCTTCTGCAAAGAAATTGAGAACCAAATATTGTGTTCATCAGAGGATTGTGTTTCCAGTCGAGACTAAAGAGACATACAGTCTCTACCGTTCTCAACCTCTCGCCGTGGTTTGAAGCAGAAAGCAGCCACAAGAATATAACCATGGCCAAAAATAGATATCCCACCTGCTCTAATACTCTGTAGTCATTCATAGAATACCAAGTCTCTGAGCATTGACTTCGTGTGATCAACACCGGTGATAGACTGCAGACATTAGGGCTGGTCAGTATTAGTAGATCGCACCAATCAGCGTTGTTCCTTCTGGCTTTGTCGATATCTGTCCACGTGATATATAGGCTAGCCTGCTACGGTTAGTATATGATCAGGTGGTCAGTATCCTTACATAATCCAGGTGAGTTCCGATTACCAATAGGAATCAACTCACCTGATTAGCGGCGCTCTATCTTCTCGCCCCCGCATTCATATAACGACACCTCTCTCTCCCTTGATAAGACGTTTCTCTTCCTTTATATATATCACATCGTGGGAATATGCCTGACGTCTTCTGTCTATCCATGTTTTGCGAGTAGGAAACATGAGTATGGCTGGGTTTTTGATATCGAGACGACATGCGGTCTCTCTGTTCGCGTCGCCCCGCCTTCCCCGCATCTCCTACCATCGATCCAACAGACAGCATGCTTTTGTACCATGTCGCTCGTATGGGACAGAATCACCAGTGGCGCGGCCTTCCGCTGCGACTGGAGACAGTCGATCTGAGAGTCATCGCCCTGACCCAACCCCCCCGGGATTGACAACCCCCGCGACTCCCTCCGAGAAAGACCCCGCACAACGATGGTCAGCCCTCAAGTCTGCAAAACCCTTCTCGGATTTCCTGACCGATACCTTCCATCGTCAGCATGATTACCTTCGAATTAGTGTCACCGAGCGCTGCAACCTGCGATGTCTGTACTGCATGCCCGAAGAGGGAATCCAGCTGTCACCGTCCGCCCACCTCCTGACCTCCCCCGAGATCGTCTACCTCTCGTCGCTCTTCGTGTCCCAGGGTGTGACGAAGATCCGACTGACGGGCGGAGAGCCCACCGTGCGCAAAGATATCGTGCCGCTGATGCAGTCGATCGGGGAACTGCGCCGGCATGGGCTCCGGGAGCTATGCCTGACCACCAACGGAATCTCCCTGCACCGCAAGCTGGACCCCATGGTGGAGGCGGGCTTGACGGGAGTGAATCTGAGTTTAGATACGCTCGATCCCTTTCAGTTCCAGATCATGACGAGGCGGAAGGGGTTTGACGCCGTGATGAAGAGCATTGATCGGATCCTGGAGATGAACAAGGCGGGCGCGGGAATCAAACTGAAGATCAACTGTGTCGTGATGCGCGGGCTCAATGATCGTGAGATCGTCCCGTTCGTGGAGATGGGACGCGACCGTCCCATCGAGGTACGATTCATCGAGTACATGCCCTTTGACGGCAACAAGTGGAGCCAGGGCAAGATGTTCTCGTACCAGGAGATGCTGGCAGTCATCCGGGAGAAATACCCCACCCTGGACAAAGTGCCCGACCACAAGAACGACACGAGTAAGACCTACCATGTCCCTGGGTTCCAGGGTCGGGTGGGGTTCATCACGAGCATGACCCACAATTTCTGCGGGACCTGCAACCGCCTGCGCATCACCGGCGATGGCAACCTGAAGGTGTGCCTGTTTGGCAACTCGGAGGTTTCCCTGCGGGATGTGATCCGCAAGCAGAACAATGGCGAGCCAATAGATGATGTCGCACTACACGAGTTGGGCCTTCTTGAAGCGGCCGAAAAAGCGGCCGAAGTGCATGATCAAGGAGGATTGGTCAATCCCAGGGAGCGAGAAATGCTAGACATCATCGGCGCCGCGGTCAAACGCAAAAAGGCCAAACATGCCGGCATGGGCCAGCTCGAGAACATGAAGAACCGCCCTATGATTCTGATCGGTGGGTAGGCTGACTTCCCTTGCTTCAATGATTTCTATGAGTTATGAACTTTCCGCACAGCATCTGGTGTCTGTATATAGCTTCCTATGGCTTTCGGTGGCCGCTTCACTGTATATACAAGATTGCTATCGTTTGAATCCACGCTGATGAAGGGAGTTTAGATAATGGACGTATGGCCAGGTCTCCAATGGCGAATACACAGACAACCATCCCACTGCATTTGCTTCCCTCTGCCTTTTCTGCGGGCCAGATCCGGTTATATCACCAGAAACGTAGCAGTTCTTCGTCCCGTCGGGGAACAGACACATTGCCCAAGAACCCGCCGTCGGCCTCGCTTCCAACGACGTCGGATCCCGACCTTCCTCATCTTACGCCCCAGCACCACGTACACATGACAAAGATCGGCCAGAAGCCGGTCACAGAGCGACAGGCCACGGCGTGTTGCGAAGTGCACTTCTCCAACCCCCGTCCGTGGGAGTTGCTGCGCGACGGAGGCATCACGCGCAAGGGAGATGTGTTCAGCGTCGCCCGCATCGCGGGAATCATGGCTGCGAAGAAGACGCCCGACATGATCCCGTTATGTCATCCCGGGATCGGCATCACCGGTGTCGAGGTGGATGTGCAGCTGGCGGAGCCCGGCTCCCCCTCCGGTGGTGACACCATGGGCCACGGTGCCATGCAGGTGCGGGCGACTGTCAGCTGTCTCGGTCGCACGGGCGTCGAGATGGAAGCCATGACGGCGACTATGGGCGCCGCATTGACTGTGTACGACATGCTGAAGGCTGTGGACAAAGGGATGGTCATTGGTGGCGTTCAATTGCTGGAGAAAAGGGGGGGGAAGAGCGGGCATTGGATCCGAGAGGATGAGGTGAAGGGCGCTTCAGATGGACAGTGAAAGAGCGTCTCCTACTACAAAGAAGACCATCCATGCCATCCAGTACCACCAGGCCATGTACAGATACGTGCCACGTCTCCTCGCACAGGATTCTCGACCGATTTGTACTCCTTTCAATCATCACACCATACCATCCGCCCCACTCCCAGTTTATGTCCGCTCTGTACAAATCCGGCCACGGAGGGCGTCGTACAGAATGCACCAGTCTTGGCAGCCCTTTGTTCAAGGTTCCAGGCCATCTCTCTGGCTATATATTTGCACGCGAACACAAACCACCATGTGCAACCTACAATTAATTTCATCCAAACCACGCTACTCAAAGCCGCCGTGCACGAACGGTTGGTCCAGGCCATCTTTCGCGAGCCAATACAGGCACTCTCGGCACGGGCGGAAAGATTGGAATATCTGCCCCAGTCCAAGGATATGAGGGGCCAAGCTTAAAATAAATGTTGTGTTGTCGCTATGGATTGTTTGTATCTATAAATATCTTCGTACCGTTGGTGAAGGCGTAGTGTAGATGGTAAATTCTTGCCAGTTGTCTCACCGATAGGGCATATACTCCGGAGAATCGGTTGATCCGTACAATCCACGTGACAAAACGCCGCTGACATAAGCGGGGAAGGGGTCGGCGCACGTGCCGGCCAGGTCACGCGACCGCCGCCGATCTTCCCCTTTCGGAGCGCCAAGATCTCCACTTCGTCTTTCTCTCTCTCTCCCTTTCGTCCATCACCACCACCGGAGTCCGCCCAGGCCTGTATCGGGCTATGCTGGGTTCTTGGCCTGCATTCGAAGGAGGTAAGTCGTCCGATGGGCCTTTGAATGATGGTGAGCCTGATGTATCTGCATTCCAGGTCCAATGCCTTGCCTCCCAGCTTCCACACGAGTCAGGACGATACCACACTGTAGGCAAATCCACCGGATCAGTTGGCTGGTGGCGTCATGCCTTTTCCTGGACTGATTGGCGGACCCTTTCTTTGACGCTCAACTCAGTCAGTGCGGCCCGCCAGCGTGGCTAGGACCCTGGTCGTTTTTTGGGGGTTTTTTTTTTTTTTTTTTTTTAACCTGTTCAGTGTTTTGGGAAGTACCAGACAAGGCTGAATGGAGACATCACGCCATGATTGGGTCACCCCCCCGGGATGAGCCCCAGTTTTCCGCACCCCTACTAGTCAATCATGGTTGTCGTCGCCATCCTGATGGTGGGTCTCTTTTCTCTCTTATCGACCTGGAAGTTTTGCCTCTGTGTGTGTCCGCTGTGGGGTTTGTTTGAGGAAAAGAGACGGAGGATTCTCTGATCGGCTTCGTCCTTTGTTCCTTTGTCTTTTTATCTATTGTTGAGTTGGTCTTCTGCCTGACGTTGCTTTCCCCATCCTGCATGATCCCCAGTTGACGTACTTCTTCGTCTTTTCCGTCCGGTAAGGCTGCCTATCACGTCCCCTCTTTGGCCAACGGTTTTCAACTCGACTCGACTCCACCCGACCCGCGACAGGACTTGACACCTTGCATGTGTTGTTATCCTGGTCTCTCCAAATCCCTCCCTCCCCCTTTCCGTCCTGCGCTTCGAGGCCCCATCGAGGGATTCGCAGGATTATAGCACTGTCCAAAGTCTAATTTTCGTTCCTTTTCCTTTTTTGTTTTCCAGAAGCAAAGTACCAACACAAAAACTCAGCAAAGAAGGGGGCCAAAAGGGAAAAACAAATACTTAAAGGGGAAAAAATGCTGGGCAGCGTTTTCGGCTGGTTCTTCTACCTTTTCGATCCTCTAGCCAACCTAGCGATCCCCCCGATTCAACCACAGGCGCGCCTGCGACCGGAGAACAATGTCCCCGTCGCCGCGGAGGGACCATGGGAGGACATCATCACCGGCCACTACGGGGTGCCACCGTTAATCAGGATTCACGACCGCGACGGGATCGTCAAGTGGAAGTTCGAGCGTGACGACGTGCAGCAGGACCTGCCCAAAGAGATCCGCAATTGCCTGTACAGCAGCGCCAACGACGCGACGGAGCTCAAGTGGATGCGCAACGGCACGGCCGTCGCCGCCATCTACTCGTCCCTCGCCCTCATCATCAACCACACGCCCGACAACCCGGAAACCGATAAGCTCATCACCTGGGCGATCTGCCGCGACAACGAGGTTCTCTGGAATGCGCACACCCTCGAGCCCTTGCCCGGCGACCGCATGGCCGTCGGCACCACCGGCCAGCGCCCCTGGGACGGTGTGCTCGTGTACAACACGAGTGAGGCCCTTCCCCTCGACCCCAGCCCGCCCATCCTCCAGAACGTCACCGGATTGCGCGCCATCCACGGCCTGATCTGGGACGAGGCCGGCAGCATGCTCTGGGCCGCCGGCACGGACTTGGCGGCCGATGGATCCGACCCCGAACCCGCGCGCGGCACCATCCACGCCTACCCCTTCGACGAGGCCACGGGGCTCCTCCACGCCGACGATGCCTACGTCTACCGCCTCGACGAGCCCGTCCGGCAGGACGTCGAGTGGGGTGTGGGCTTTACCTGGTGGGTCGGCCTCCATGACCTGGTCCCCGTCCCCAACCAGCGCAAGTTCCTCGTTTCCGAGGATTCAAGTCTGCACGCCTTCGACATCACGACTGGCCGTTTCACCGAACATCACGGCGCGGTTGTCGACAAGTACATGCCAGGCTTCCGCGTCACCACCAACGATCGCCACGGCGTGGACGGTGACGGGGTCCTCCAGGAGCAGCCCCTGGGCGACCTGAAGAGCTTCAGTCTCGCCCCCGACGGCAGCTTCATCTACGTGCAGTCCCTCTGGCAAAAATACCGCGGCAACCACACCAGCCTCGTCGAGAACGGCGTCTACCGCGCGATCAACGAGGGCCTCGAAATTTACCGGTCGCGGTGGTTTGGCGACATTGACGGCTGGCCCAAACCGCGCTAGTCCTGCTATATTGATCTATCCCTCTCTCTATGCATATATCCGCCCTTACGTTTTCTTGTTCTCGTGATACTCCCATGTGCACGCGCGTCCATTGGCCGTTTGTCCTTTTTTCCTTCAATTCTTTTGTCCATGCAGGCCTCATGCCGGTCATGAGTCGCTTCAGCGGTCGTCCACACGTCATTAGATCTTGCTGATAAAGCGGGGAGCGTCGACATCCGCTGGATCGATGGATGAGGGATGGAAGAGTGGAAGTTCGCTTCATCTTCATCATCCCTATTATATCCATTTCTTTTAACTCTCCGTTGTATTCGCGTGGATAGTTTCCACCGTCGGTGTGTATCATAGCGTTAGACAGGGTTTTTTCTATTTTCCCTCATATCATTCAACATTACGATGTGCTTTTGTTCTACGTATTAGCCAGTAACGATTTCTTCACGATGTAGATACATGATATGAAACAGAAGCGGGGGATATGGCCGGGGGGGGGGAGTATATGGAGCCGATGTCATGTTTTGAGGTCCGATCCGCGGTTGCACACTGCAGCCACCCAGCCACGTGTTCCACCGTCTACGTCTTCATTGGTTTTCCGTTTTAAGGCTGTTCCGATAGATTTGGGATTATGATTCAGCGATTGTTATTAAATACTATGTACATGGTGGTATTATCGTAGCGTATGCACTCCGGTCCAGTCTCCGGTTCTCCTGCGGTATTGATGTGGGTTTAGAGGGGAGGGTGGGAAGAGGGAATGTTTGTGTCTGGTGTTGTGCGTTGTGCGTATGAAGGAAGGGGAGGAGGTATTTCAGAACTTGTCGCGAACGTGGAAACAGGCTCATTCCTTGTCCTTCTCGGGAGTGGGCACGGGGTCGGCCATGGGGTTGGCCTGAAATCCGAGCATGGGCTTGATCCCAGACCCACCCTTGAATTCGGCGTTGAGATCAGGCACAAACTCGGACTCAGACTCGGACTGGTTCTTGGAATCGGTGTTGGACTCGGCCTCAGACTCGGCCTTGGACCCAGTCGCGTTCTTAGACCCCGCTCCAGATTTAGCCTTGTACTTGGCCTCCGCCTCCGGATTGTACTGGTACCGGCGCCAGTTCTCCGCCACCCACCACTTGGCGGTGTTTGCCGCGTCGCGCACCCAGTTCAGTGCGTCCTCGTCGTAGTCCTCTTCGATCGTCTCGACCAGGTCCACCAGGCTGAGGCGCTGGACCGGATCCCGCTCGTCGGGGTCCCGATCCAGGTCCGAGAACCGCCACTCGACGTCGTCGACGAGCGGGATAACCAGCCGGAACTGAGGGCGCGCGGCAGAGCGCACCGCCAGCCACGACCCGCCCGTGTTCATCACTGAGAACTGCCAGTGCTGCCGCGTGTCCTGCTCCGGGACCAGCGACCGGATCAGCGACTGCCCTTCGTACTGCCCACGCAGGTCGCGCGCCGCCCGCTTGGCCGCCGGCGGACCCACCGAGCCCGACTCGATCAGGAGGTCGAGGATGCTGGGGACGATCTGGTCGCTGATCACCGGGGTCGAGATCTCCACGGGCGGCAGATGCGGGTGCGCCAGCACGATCGGCACCTGGAAGCTACCGACGTGGGGGTTGTCGTAGGGGGTGACGCCGCCGTCGTTGGGCAGCGACAGCCCGTGGTCGCCCGCCAGGACCACCAGGGTCTCGTTGGCCACACCCTTCTCCTCGAGGATGTCCAGGATCTCGGCCAGCCAGTCGTCCGCGAACCCAATGGTGTTCAAATACCGGTTCAGGTCGTTGTTTACAGGCCCGTTCGTGCCCGTGAGCTCCTCGTACGTGTTGTTGGGCATCCGCCACGGATGGTGCGTGGTCCCCGTCAGGTGCGTGAGGAAGAGCCGTCGGTGGTTGTGCTCGGCAGCGTCAATGGCCTCACGGATGTAGTCGCGCAGCGCCGTGTCGGGGAACCCATAGTAGTTGACCTCTTCGGGCCGGTGCGGGGACTTGGCCGCGGCGATCGTCTCCCTGGTCTGCTTCTCGCTGTACCCGAGCACCGGCGTCAGGAGGTCCTGTTTATCGTAGGTCTCAGTGACGGACTGCATCCAGGCCGAGTGCCAGGGCCAGCGGGTGAAATCCTCCGTGTCCGGTGTGATATCGGGCTGCTGGCTGAGGGCGTTGAAGACCTGGGCGAGGCAGGGCTGGTAGATGTGATGCCGGTACTCGACGTTGAAGTCGGCCACGAGCGGTGTCACCCCGCACAGGGTTCCCACCAGACTCTTCAGCGTGTACGTGCCGGTCGTGACGGCATTGCGCGCGCTGATGCCGCCGTAGGTGGTGCGGCCGCCAAACCGCCCGTGGTCCCCGGGTCCGAAGCCGGTGGGGAAGCCGGTGAGAAACTCGGCCGTCCGCGTGAGGTTCGCGATGCGCGCCTCGACGTCCGGCGGGATGGTCTTGTCCTCGTACGTCTCCGCGATGCGATGGTACATGAATGAATCGTTCTGCAGCGGGAAGACATCGGCGCGGGTACTCTCGAGCTTGATCAACACGATGTGTTTGATCTGAAGACGCCCGTCGTTCAGCACCTCCGAGATGGGCTCCAGGATAGGGTTCTGGAGATTCGGGATATGGAGCGGGTCCGCGTCCGGTCGATAATGGAGCGCGTTCCTGTCGGAGGCGTTCCAGTCCGAGAAGCCTGGCAACGGGGCGTCCGGCAGCCAGTGCCAGGCGGGCGGGGGCTTCAACGCCGACACGCCATTCAGATACTCATAATCCCCCTCGAGGCCGGTCGTGACCACGGGCGAGTCGTGGTGGCCGCCATCGTCAAAGGGGGACAGCGGGAGGGTTCCCGATAGGTATCGGTACACCGGATCCGACGGCCGGAGGGCCCGGAGCAGCAAGAACAGACCAAAGGCGCCCATGACGAGGACCCAGCGGCGCATCGAGTCGGCGGCAGGCTTTGGGGGCGCCGAGGACACGCCGGTTGGGGTTCCCAGCAGCTGATCGCTCTCCTCGTCGTCAGTTTTCTCACCGGCATCATCGTTGCAGTTGATCCGCTCGTAGACTTCGGGATCGGGGAGGGGGCTGGCGGAGGAGGCGGGGTGGGAGCGGGGTCGCCGAAACGGATCCATCGACGCCGGCAGGCGGGCCAAGAGCCAGCGGAATGGACTGACCCAGATGTGCAGGAGACCTCCGGTTATGCGATGGATCGGACGGGCGACAAGGGCGGTGGCAATCAACAGAGCCCCTTCGGCGATGAGGAAGCCGGTCAATCCCGTGAGGAGGGTCTTCATGGCGGCGGGATCGCCGTTGAAGGTACTGGCCTGTCGCCAGTGGATCTCGGCGCCGGTGGTGACGTAGAAGGAGGTATTGGCGGAGGCCATGCCGGACATGATCAAGCTGAACGACGACACTGGTTAGGAGATGGACAGGGGAGAGTGAAGTGAATCTGGGGACGGCCCGTACCTGGCTGACGTGACGAGTAGGGCACAGAGAGCGGACAGCGGACGCCAACGGATCCTCTGAACGAAGATGCGGAAGAATAGGAGGATTATGACATCCTGGAAGAAAAAGGTGATGCTCCAGATGATGACTTTGTGGACGGGTAGGGAGTGGATGTGGGCGTGAAGGTGGACGCATTTGGCGAGAAAGAGGGAGAGAAAGGCGAGGGTAAAGAAGTAGCGACGGCCAACATCCCAGCACATATCAAAGGCCTCTGCCGGTGCAGTCGCCAAGCGGTCGACGAGTCTCCGGAGCCAGGGCACAACCTTGGAAACGTCCATCATGGCGAGACGGAGGCACCGGTCATGACATATGGGAGGGTTCAGTCAGAGGTGGACGATCAGTCGACGAAGAGAGGGGAAACGAAGCCGATCCACGAGGAGAAAGAACTGAATTGATGGAATTGACGGGAATATCAGAGAGATCGCAAGTTCAATTGAATGGGAATCTGTTGAAGAGCCCACGAGAGTAAGGAAATGAGAGAAGATTAAAGAAGGACAAGACGATGGAGTAGTCGACAGTGGAGGGGAAATCGAAATTGAAGAATAGGAAGAGAAAAGAAGAGAAGATGGTGAAGAGAAGATGATGAAGAGAAGACAAGATGAGATGAAGAAAAGAAAGATGAAGAGAAGATGATGAAGTGAAGACAAGATAAGATGAAGATGAGAAGATGAAGTTAGAGAAAAGAAGAAGAAAAAAGTGGACGGAGTATAACTCCTGAGTCAGCCAGTTGTGTACACAGCATCAACTCTTCTCTTTCTCTTCTGTTTCTGCTCTGTCGCTTCTTCTCTTCAGATTCAATCATGATCATTCCATCTTTATACTACGGTATCATCAATGACATGATCCACTGCTAGGACAGGACCCACTTCCTGCAACTTAGTCAATGACTTCTCCCCGGGTTCCTTTTCTCCACTCAGTCCTCCATGATTGGTGTCGCAGGTGCGATCGTGCTCCACTTCCAACACCCATCAGGACAACCAACCAGTGGAGTATCCCCCTTCCAACCACCCCTGCCGACGGTGGAAGGTCCCCTGGGACATCTGGTGGCTGATGGATGGATAGAGGGACAAATGGGTACAGATTGGGGGACAGACAGACAATGAAACAGGGGTAATGAGGGTCCTGCGATCCGGATCATGTCGGCTGCACCTCCCGCCTGTCGGTTCCCGTCTCGATGAATCTCAAGACTAGTCTGGGCTGAACCCTTGAGGCGGTGTTCCGCGGACGCAACTCAACCATCGTGACTCCGCGTGGGAGATCTGGCGGAACGACCGGCGTCCCAGCCGGTCCCATCCGATCACCCTTTAAACCGCCCACGCGATAGAACCGACCAATCTCTGTCGAGCTCTCCCTAGGCATCGGTCAATCAGGATTGTTTGTCAACCGATTCAGAGAGCAACACCCATGAGGGTTCCAAAGCTATACGGTTGGTGTCCATCGAGTGGGTCGGCCAAGCCCCCAGTGTTGGGAGGCGATGCGGACCGGTTCGGGATGACTACGTTGGTGTTACGCATCTGCGACAGATGACAGACGTGGAGATTACGGTGGGCATCGAGGAGGCGTGGATTAGGGTCGGAAATCCAGCAGACCCGAGGAGAGACATTATTGGTGCCTGAGGCGAGGGGAGACATCGAGGGATCCGTCGATTCTCTTTGAGTGTACCGTCCAAAGCCCGTCCATCATCCAACGAGATCTCCTACCAACTCTCGTCGCTGTCGTAGGGGACCGATACCCGCATCCCTCGCTCGCTGGACGAGTCGTCGAATCCAATGTCCTCCTCCTCAGAATCCCCGTGTCGGTACTTGTGGTACGCCGCCGTCGGGTCGTCTGCCTCGTCGTCCCATGACAGGTCCTCGTCGGGGTAGTCATTGGCCGGGTTGTTTTCGGCTAGTGCGTGCGACAAGAGATTAGCCTATCATCCGGGGTTGGAGGGCAGGTGGTATCGTTGGGCCTTACCGTTGGAATCTCCATCCTCACTGTCCCACGCCTCGTCCTCGTCGTCCGTGGCGAAGGTCTCCCAGTACTCCTCGTCTTCCGGCGTGATCACGATCACCCCGATGTCCGGCCGCGTCGGGTCAATGTCTTTCCCACGACCCCGCTCGAGGTCGGACACCGGGTCCGTTAGTCGCCCCTCGGCCAGCGGACGCCGGATGTACATGTCGTAGACGTAATCCTCGTCGCTCTCCTCGGCGTCCGGCCCAGGAGCACCGCGTTCGGGAGGGGCCGGACGATGCTGGTTCGGCGTGCGGGGAAGATACTTCAACGGCGGTTTGGGTAGTGCCACGGGGCTAGGCCCTGGGGAAGCCACCGGAGGCGGGGGCTGTGTCGTCGTCGGAGCCGGAGTCGGAGCCGCCGTGTCCATCCCTCCGTCGAGCTCAAGCGCGATGCGCTCCAGTGCCACCGCCAACCGATCCGACTCGTTGTCCCAATCTCCCCGCTGCTGATTCCGTGCCCCCTGGTCGAGCGACTGCGAGATGTTCTGCTTCGCCGTGGCGATGGCCGTCTGCTGCTGCTCCCGCCACTGTCGCTCCGCCCGGTTCACGACCGGTCGCTTGCGGGCACGCGACGCGCTCGGTCCCTGGGACGCCATCCCCACAGATGGGGCCTTGACCTCCGGCTGGTCCGCCTGGGCCGCCGCATCTGCCACCCGCGATGCCTGCCGCGAGTGCGGTTCCCGCCGCAGCTTCTCCACTAGCACGGCCACGCCGCCATCCCGACGTTTCTGCACACCGCCTCCCGTGCCCCGCATGGGAGTGAATGCGCTGCTCGATCGGGAGATCTGGAAGCGGCGCACGGCTCGCGAGGGCGTGACGGAGGGCGCGGGGCTGCCACGCTCGCTGGATGTCGTGCTCTTGGTGTCGGGAGTATCGTGGGTGACCGGCGAGGAGCGGAGGGCCCGCTGGAACTTTTCCTCCTGCTCCCGGCGCGCAGCCGCCAACCGTTTGGCGTCGCGGATCTCCGCGCCGGGGGATGTAGCTCTCACTAACGGGACGCCGCCGCCACCACCACCACCACCACCACTACCGAGGGTCGGGAAGTTCGAGGTACTGGCCGCCCGCGGGGTGCGAATGGGTCTCTGGGATGGTGCTGCGGGGACGGAGGGACTGGCGGAGTGACCTGCTCGAAGATCACTCGCTTTGACCTGGACTCGCTGGAAGACGAAATCCGTAAAGCGGCGTTTGGTTTGATGCATCTCCGACTGAATGTCTGGTGGAATGGGTTAGCCCGAGGCATGCTGGGCAGTGGCGGTCCGATGCTTACACAAGGTGTCGGGAGGCTCTTCCTCGCGCCGCCGTTTGATACTGATTTGCTCTGGGGGGAGCGACATGGTGTGCGTAGAGGTAGCTGTCCGAGGGGTTCACGTTGGATGTGCTGTGAATACCAGCGCAACACAGACAATTTGAAAGCTGATCAGTTGCAGCGAAAACGGTCAGTGCGACAATTTTCAAGTCGAGTCCTCGGATTGAACGAGACAAGACCGAAAGATGGATGCGCCGGCGAAGTGACGACGATGAAGCGTCGCCGTGATGCAAACCATGAAAACGATGCAAATGTGCAAATAGAACAAATCAGACAAACCGAACAAACAGCTCATTCAGGCTAAACTATCACGTGATTCTATAGATCACGTGTCACTCTTCAACATCTGCTGGCAACCCAGGTTGATCGCACCAATGCAGTCCAGATCTATCCTGATCGAGGTGCTGAGCAGTTGTATATCTCAGTGGAGAGATGTTGGTGCGACAGGAGATCGTTCAGGGAGATTGGCGCCGGGATGGCCGGACGCGCCAGGATCCGCTCATGCATATCAACAGGATCCTATGTCCCATCACTGTACGATCCCAGACTGACGTTGGTAAATTGCCGGAATCCATCTTCCAGACTAAAATGTGAGCTGGGATTGGTGTAGGATGCATGCTTGCTTTGAAATCAAGCTCCTCAGCTGCCTCCGCAGTCCCACCCTCCTCCGGAAAATAAATTCCGAAGGCCTATCTATATATACCTATCTGGGCATGCCCACAGACATCCATAGCTCATCCATACTGTCAAATCAGCCATTTTTATCAGTTCTGGTCAGGCATGGATTCACTCCAATTGAGTCCTTTCCATCAGCTCGAGTCCGATTCATCACCGTCGTCCATGTCGCCGAACCATACCAGTAAATCCGCCTCCACCCCGGCCACAGGGACTCAGACCCCGGACCCACTCCTGGGCCAACACTTTGTCAAACATGAGCGGCTGAACTCGAGAGATCTTCTGCATGCCATCACCGACGCTGTTGATAGTCCGGAGGAAGCGTATGAACTGGCACGACGACATGCTGGGTCTACACGTGCCGAGGCCGTAGCCCCCGACACGGCCGACGAAGCGGCCTCACCACCGCCGCGCGTAGCCCAGGGCGTTCCTCCCGAGCTACCCAACTTCTTCGCGGAGCTGGTTCTCATCGGAGTCTGCTCCGCGGGGCTGATGCTCTTTTCCTTCCTGCTCGGGGACGTCCTGGCGCCGCAGGAGGAATTCCGCCGTGCACTGGGCATTCAGAACTCAGAGCTGCCCTGGCTGGTCGGTTCGTTCAATGTGGCCAACGGCATCTCCGTCGTTGTATCTGGGTCCCTCTCCGATCTCATGCCTCCCAAGGCCCTCATGATTGGTGCGTTCGCGTGGCTTACTGTGTGGAATGTCGTGGGGGCCTTCTCGTTGCACCCCTCGCGCGTCGTTCTATTCTTCATCGTGCGTGCCATGCAAGGTCTCGCTATCGGCGTCCTGGTGTCTGGCAGCATGAGCATCTTGGGCCGGGTGTACAAGCCAGGGATCCGCAAGAACCGTGTATTTTCCGCCATGGCCGCCACGGCACCGTTCGGCTTCTCCCTCGGCGCCATCGAGGGCGGCCTGCTGCACAACCACCTGCCCTGGATTTTCGGCACCAACGCCATCATCACGGCCGTCTGCTGCGCCGCCGCCTACATCTCCATCCCTGCGCTACGCCCCGTCGCCGATGTCGCTGGCACGGAGGCCCCCTCGCTGCGCCAGTTCGACTACGCCGGCGCCGCGCTCGCCGTCGCCGGCTGCGTCTGCCTGCTCTTCGGCCTGACCCAAGGCTCCGTGACCTCGTGGACCGCCTACACCTGCGTCCTCACCGCACTCGGCGTGGTCTTCCTGGCGGGTCTGTTTGTCGTCGAGCGGTATGTCGCACGCCCGTTGATCCCCACGCGGCTCTGGCGCACGCCGGGCTTCACCCCGCTAATGGTGGCCTATTTCCTTGGGTTTGGGTCCTTCTTCGGTGCCTGGCAGTTCTACGCCATCCAGTTCTGGCTACGCATCCAGGGCGCGTCCTCAGTGACCGTAGCGCTGTACCACATCCCCAACGCCTTGTTCGGAGTGCTGGCCGCATGGATCGTCAGCCGCCTGCTCCACGTCGTGCCGGGACACTACATCTTCATCGCCTCGATGTTTGCGTTCACCCTGGGCCCGGCGTTCTTCCTGCCGCAGACGGCAAACACTATCTACTGGGCCCTGTCGTTCCCCGGCGTCGCGCTGGTGACCTTTGGGCCGGATCTCGCGTTCGCGGCGGCGTCCATCTTCATTACAAGCAACGTGGCGCGGTCGTACCAGGGCAGCGCGGGCAGCCTGCTCGTCACGAACCAGAACCTGTCGTCGGCTATACTGACCAGCGTGGCGGATGCGATCGGGACCCGCGTGGACAAGGGGTCGAATGGCGAGGTGGGCCTGCGGGGTCTGCACGCCATCTGGTGGTTCGCGCTGGGATGTCAGTTGGCTGCCGCTGCGGTGACGTGTATCTGGGTGCGGATTCCCAAAGAGGAGGAGAAGGAGCATGTTACCTGAGGGTGACCTTTGAGACCCAAACATTATCGTCCCCGTAGGAGTGGCCTCCCATCATCCATCGAACTAGGGTACGTCGGTCATCAATACCCCGAGACAGCGGGGGCGGATGCGGGGAACGTGATACAAAAGCCACTTGATCGAACCCCCATCCCCTCATCCATCAACTACTTCACGTTCCACCAAGATGGCCCTGGAACATCCACCCCCTCAGGTCCGTGAGACCATCGACCGTCTGATCGACAACCTCGTCCACATTGAAGATAAGTCCGGGCAGTTCCTCCTGCACCTCCCAGACGGCCGCGTCATCGACACCAAATCGTGGCACGGCTGGGAATGGACGCACGGGATCGGCCTGTATGGCCTGTGGAAATACTACGAGCTCACCGGCGACAAGGCCCTCCTGCGCGTCATCGAAGACTGGTTCGCCGCGCGGTTCGCCGCGGGTGGCACGACCAAGAACATCAACACGATGGCGGTCTTCCTCACCCTCGCCTACGTCTACGAACACACCCGTAACCCCGTCTACCTCCCCTGGCTAGACGCCTGGGCCGAATGGGCCATGCACGACCTCCCGCGCACGCGCCACGGCGGCATGCAGCACATGACGTACCTGTCGGAAAATTCACAGCAGCTGTGGGACGACACCCTCATGATGACGGTGCTGCCGCTGGCCAAGATCGGCCTCGTGCTGGCTCGTCCGGCGTACATCGCTGAAGCGAAGCGCCAGTTCTTGCTGCACGTGCAGTATCTGTTTGACGTGCGCTCGGGGCTCTTCTTTCACGGGTGGACCTTCGCGGACGGGGGCCACCACTTTGCGCGCGCGCGCTGGGCCCGCGGGAACAGCTGGCTGACGATGGCGATCCCAGAGTTCGTGGAGCTGCTGGACCTGGCAGAGGGGGATCCGATTCGGGTGCATCTGCTGGAGACGCTGGAAGCGCAGTGCGCGGCGTTGGAGCAGCTGCAGGATGGGGCGACGGGGGCGTGGCACACGCTGCTGAACTTGGCGGACTCGTATGTAGAGATGTCAGCGACGGCGGGGTTCGCGTATGGGGTGCTGAAAGCCGTGCGCAAGCGGTACATTGGGGCGCAGTATGCGGCGGTGGCGAAACGGGCGATCGGGGCCGTGATGGACAAGGTGGATGCACAGGGGGAGTTGCAGATGACGAGTTTCGGGACGGCAATGGGCGATAGTCTGGAATTTTATACGCGTATTCCGCTGACTGCGATGCCTTATGGGCAGGCGATGGCGATTATGGCGTTGGGGGAGTACTTACGGGGGAGTATATAATTTTATCTCGTCCAATCAACCAATTACCGATTATACTTTGTGTTTATAGTGGTGGAATGAATCCATCCTTATGCCGACTGGTATATATATATATATGGTCAATGCAGAAGTCACCTCAACAACTACCTTCCACCGAGCCAACAGCAGAAAAAAAGAACAGGGAGATAATCTTCTGATATACATAGAGAAAAAACAACCTCAAAATGCAATATAATAAAAAGATGGAAGGAAGAGGGAAAGAACGAAAGGAAAAGATCCACATGGGAACACCACCAGGTACAAGAATAAAATCTATAAATGGAACCTAAAATACGACCATCATCAGGACAGCCCTCATGAGAAGAAGCAGATCAGATGCATTCGGACTGTCAGAGTTCACATTCTTCATGTGGTGTGATGCGTCGCTTGGAATGCGAGGCTGATGGTACCTTACGCCTCGACGTAGGGCTTCGAGTGTAACATGACTGGCGTACTCGTCGTCCCTTGGAATGAACAATAATCTATAGGTTAATAAAACCATGGTCTACGTAGTCAGATCTACATCTCCCATTCCCTTTTGTAAGCCCCATCATGGTCCCCGATCATCCACCCCGATCATCACCGCGATATGGGTCGACATTCCATTCCGGTCATCGACCGCATCGCCGCCTGCAGCGTTATCTTCACGGCTGCTGTGACGGCCCCCACCAACCGATGACAGTACGCGTGGACATCCACCTTCAGCTGTTTTGACTAAGCGTGAAGAAAGGAAGAAGAAGAAGAAGAAGAAGAAGAAGAAGAAGAGGCCCCACGATCGGGGACGCTGAGTGGGGAGGTCACCCGATCCAGACGGTTGGATATATCCGCATGCATCGATGAAGGAGACTGTATAAGATATAGACTCTCCTCGACCATTCCGATCGATTTCGTCAACCTAATCTCTATCCCCCAAATCGATAGAGCCCATCCGTATCAGACAGACGAAAATGAAATTCCTCCTCCTCACCACCGCCTACCTGCTCAGCAGCACCACGCTGGCGGCCCCCGGATCCAGGCTTGCAGAGCGCATCTACCAACGGTCCCTCTTGCGGCAAACACACGCACTAGATCCTAGTCGAAACGATACGCAAGAAGACGACAACGGCGACGGGGGACAGTTCCGCAAGGCGGGTGCCAATGTCGCCTACAGCAATAACTGGGCGGGCGCCGTGCGCGAGAAACCCCCACCCGAAGGCCCCTACACGGCTGTCACAGCGACGTTTGCCATCCCCGCGCCGACGGCCGTCAGTGGGCAAGAGACCGAGGCTGGCTCCGCGTGGGTGGGCATCGACGGCGATACGTACAGCGCGGCGATCTTGCAGACGGGGGTGGACTTTTACGACGAGGGCGGCAAGACGCGCAATAATCCCTGGTTCGAGTGGTATCCGGATAGCGCGGTGGACTTTGACGAGTTGACGGTTAACACGGGCGACGTGGTCGTTGCCATCGTGGAGTCGTTCTCGCCGAGTCGTGGCAGGGCTATTATTGAGAATCGGTCGACGGGACAAAAGGCCAGTCGGGTGGTGAGTGCGCCCAACGCGCAGGCGACGCTGAAGGGCGAGAACGCCGACTGGGTTGTTGAGGACTTTCAGGCGGGCGAGTCGATGGTTGCGTTGGCCGACTTCAGCGAGGTTGTCTTCTGGGGCGTCGAGGCCAGGGCGGGGGGAAAGCGGTTCAATGCAGATGGGGCGACGGTGATTGAGTTGCAGCAGGGGGATAAGATCTTGACGGAGGTGACGGCGCAGGGGGACCGGGTGTCGGTGAAGTATAAGTCGTTCTGATCAGGAGTATCATGATCTTCTGAGTGATTTGATGTCTTTGGTGTATACGATGGATGGCTCGGGCTGCATTACCCCGAACCCCGCTTGATATGCGGGGTATTCTATATTTTAGATCTTCCTATATTCAGTTCTAGATTCATATATTCATCTTCTATTCTCACATTCAATTCCTTGACCTCGTATTCCAGAAGAATGTCCCTCCTCATCGGCAAAGTCGCCGCCATCACAGGCGGCCTGACCGGAATCGGCAGGGTACTCTCCATCTATATCACGTCTATACCAGACTAATCCCTCCAGGCCATCGCCCTCGACTACCTCCGCCACGGAGCCCACGTCGCTATCAACTACCTCGGCTCTCCCAGCGATGAGCCCCTGCTGGAGACCTTGCGCACCGATATCGCCGCCCTAGGCGCCACAGACCGTTTCCTCGCTGTACCCGGCGACATCTCGCAACCAGACACCGGGACGGCCTTTGTCGCGCGCACAGTCACCTCCTTCGGTCGACTGGATGTCTTCGTTAGCAATGCGGGGGTGTGTCAGTTCGAGGACTTTCTCGAGTGTGTCTCACTATGTGCATAACAGGGAGAGAAAGAGCTAGAGGCTAATGATAACAAGGGTCGACCCCACCCTTCTCAACCACACCGTCTCAACCAACCTCTCCGGCGCATTCTACGCAACCCAAGCAGCAGCCCGCCAAATGGCGCGCGCGCAGTCTCCCCCCGGCGGATCCATCATCGGGATCAGCTCTATCTCAGCGCTCGTAGGCGGCGCCGGTCAGACGCACTACACGCCGACCAAGGCGGGCGTGCTGAGTCTGATGCAGTCCTGTGCGTGTGCGCTGGGCAAATACGGCATTCGCTGTAATGCGCTTTTGCCGGGGACGATCCGCACTCAGTTGAACGATGCTGATATGGCGGATCCGGAGAAAAGGAAGTATATGGAGGGCCGGATTCCGCTTGGGAGGTTGGGGAAGACGGGGGATTTGGCGGGGCCGGCGGTGTTTTTGGCGTGTGAGGAGTTGAGTGGTTATGTAGTAGGTTTTCTTTTTCCTCTTTTCTCCCTATTTGATGATTTGTTTTTCTCTTTGAAAGTGTATTGATGCTGACTATAACAGACAGGGGCGCAGTTGCTGGTCGATGGAGGACTGTTTGTGAATCTCCAATAGATTATCGTATATAATTAGGTAGTAGAATAGGCATAATGCACAAGTCAGACCTCAATCCCATATGCCTCCACGGCAGTCCCTCCCCAAACTCTTCTCTTCTGTTCCTGGTCCAGTCCTAATCTCTCGAGGATACCCTCAACGACAACCTGCCATCGTCCCCTAGACACGGCATTACCGCCGCCCCCAATATTGCACACAGGCCAGTCCGACCCGAACATCACCCGTTCGGGCCCAAAGCACCGGAAGATTACCTCCACCCAGGGCTGTAGCTGTTCCACGAGATGGGGGATGTCGGGATCTTTCTCCTCCGACAGTGGTGGCAACTCCGAGAAAGCCCCAGAGAGCTTCATGTACGTCTTGGGCCAGCACGCCATGCGCTCGACCAGGGCTTTCCACGCGCGGAAATCTGTATGCTCCGTGGTGTCGGAGCCAGAGAGCCGCAGGTTGGGTTTACAGAGGTGGTCTGCATCACTTAGTTGAGTAGGTCAAAACAGAAGAAGAGGGAGTGACCCACTGATGATTATCGGCGTCTGTTCCTCCAAGGCAACACCTCCGCAGACCGATTCCATCATCTCAACGGCCTCCTCCAACTGCCACAAGCCACCACTCCGCGCATCAACCCCCAAATCGAACGTCAACCCCTGTCGACCCAACCATTGGACCCCCTGTACAAACCCCTTTTGACCCATCACCCCCCGCGGCTTATCCTGCACGAGGTACCGCACCCCGCGGACTTTCTTCCACGCGATTGTGTCGGTCCCCGTGCGCGCGCGCACCTGCGCCATGTATGCTTCAAGGGCGGATGGGCCTCCTGGGACGGGGGCCCAAGGGATCATGGCGAGACAGAGACGCTGGTCGGTTACGGTGTGGCCTTCTCCCGGATGGGGCGTGCCGTTTATGATGCGCGTGAGAAAGGAGACTTCGTCGAGGGGGTGCGTCCATCCATGACTTTTGGAAGTGTCGTCGACGGAGGAGAGACGGTCGGTTTCGAGGAAGATGAAGCCTCGTGGTTGGAGGTGGGAATGGGACTTGTGTGTGGAGGCGGCGCGGTATTCGTCGACGCTGTGTTGACTGGCGAGGGGGCCGTCTGGGGTGTACCAGGTGAAGGTGGGGAGGTGGGATTTTGGGAAGAGGTGGATGTGGGAGTCGACGATGGGGATGGACATGTTGATTGACTGTTGTGGTGGATTGAGAGGGAGGGGGTGGATGAGAGTACTGGTATATGAAGAATGATGAGGGGGAGTTGTATAGCAATGTGGGGTCGGGCGTTGATCCCCCGAATCCACTTCGTATTTAGCCTGTTTGTGGATTTATCCAGGCAATCCAACTGTCTTGCAACATCTTTCGAGTCGTTCTTTATCTAGATATGTATATGAATTGTATAACAATGCCGGTCATGGGAGCCGTATATCGTGCAGCTCATGCGGGGCCTCGTCACGAGAATCTCGCTATCGTTACATCATGAATGGATCTATAATTTATCTAGAACCCTTCGGTCCTGTCTCAGTACTGCAAGCACTGGAACACTCCGGATCATGCCTCATCGCGACGGGAGTCCACGCGGAACGGCCGCAGATCGGTGACCCTGGCGGCCCTTGGTCCGTCAACAGGTTGACCGTAGACTGGCCGTGGAACACCGTTTAAATTGCTGTACGGGTGTCTCACCCCAAGATTGTCGCTCATCCCGTGGTTTCGGCCGTCACCCGCTTGGTAAAGTGACCCTGGATCCAGCACCGGTACATCTTCAGCTTGCGCTGGCGGTTGACGATCATGCGATGATCGACGCCGAGCTTCTGGATGTCAAACACCCCGGTCGGCGAGGTTGACGCGTCGGTCGCCTCCGCGGGGGAGGCGTCACCCTCGGGCGTCGGGGGCAACCCCCCTTCCGGCGTCCACCGACTCCACATGTGGTGCAGCTCTTCCTTGTCAAAGAAGTAGACCCGCGTGCCATCACCCCGGACGTAGAAGTTCTCCCCCATGTACCGTTGCTTCTTGAAGCGCACCTGGGCCAGATCGCCCCGTCCGTAGTCGCGGAACAGCACCTGGCCACCCGGCTTGAGCACGCGGTAGATGTTGCGCAGGGCCTGCTCCCACTGGGCGGGAGAGAGGGCGGAGAGGATGAAGATGAGGACGACGACGTCGACAGAGCCCTCGGGCAGGCCCGGGGGCAGGCCGTCGCCGTTCTCGTCCGGCTTGGCAGCCACATCCCACACGTCGGCGACGATATGCTTAGGGTCGTAATGCTGGCTCTCGCGCATGACCTTGACGGCGGTCTTGGAGAAATCGCAGGCGTGGACCATGAGCTCGTCGTTCTGGTTGTGGGCGACGAGGGGGAAGGCGGTGTTGCCGGCGCCGGCGCCGACCTCGAGCACGACCTGGGGCCCGGCGCCGGGGCTGGTGACGTCGGCGAGGACGGGGAACTCCTGGCGCAACCACTTGCGATCCTTGAAGAAGTTGGCGGTGTTGTTCTTGTAGAAGAGGTTCCACCACTTGGCGGGGTCGGCGTTGAAGCGGGTGCGGTCGAAGTCGGAGACGGGGGCCTCGCGCTGCTTGGCGTACTGGGTCTCGGCGAAAGCCTTGAACTCGTCATCGGGCTCGACGTGATCCCAGGCATTGAACTCGAAGACATCGTCGCCTTCTTCCAGGTAGCGCGAGCCGAACAGGAAGGGGTCGGTGCGTTTCTGATTGTTGGAGGGGTCGTGGGAGCGATGGGCGGGGACCGTCGGGGGAGTGACGGACTGGACCATGGCGACGACCTCGTCTTCGGGGGAGAGGGGCATTTTGATTGATTTTTATGGCATAAATTAAATAAGAAAAAAGAAGAAAAAGGAAAGAAGAAAGAAGAGGAGGAAAACCAAGGAGTGGAGGGAGAAATGAGAAGATTGGAGATGATTTGATGATTTACAGTGGGGAAAAAATATAAAAAAAAAAATTAAAGATCAAAGATAATGAATCACATGATGGTTGTCGCCTGAGGCAGAATTGCGGGTGCCTGGCCTGGGTTGCCTGATGGTGCCTGAATCGGTGCCTGAATGTGCCTGACGTGGTGCCTGAAAATGTCTGGAGTGGTGCCTGACAGCATGCCTCAAATGTCAGGATAACGGAGGCCTCAGGCCATCAGATAGAGGCAGGATCCTCAGGCATCCACAGATCCTCCCGATCCATCCTGATTCGGATTAATCCTGTCTATAAATATGTATATAACTCTATAGTATGATATCGATCTGGAACAGACTAATCGTTAGTCCTAGAGATATAGATCAGATCAATCCAGTCAGGATCAAGGGAGATGTTTTCCGTCGGATCCCTGGACGTCATCCTCACGAACACCATCCACCCCCTGGTCTGATAGATGAACTGGGATCAATATCAAATATACTATTAAACAATACTATTGAATAATAGGAACCCGTTCGGACCAATCCATTCAATCAAAAAGCAAACCAGAACCACACTGCTCCACTCGGTGGATCGCGACGTCATCCCACCCGACAATCCGGACGTTTTAATCATCATTTCCATTTGTAGATCGGCGCTGTGTTCCTTTCGCATGATTCTTTTTCCTTCTCACGCACATAATCTGTTGTGTTTATCCCTGCCTTGCTATTCCCCATCGCCCTCTTTCGTCCCCTCATCCCCTCAATTTCGCCACGTCGATCTATACAATCTCCAACATGCGTCGTCCGCAAGTCAAGGTACCGTCCTAGCTCGATGTATATACCTCCCCACCTCACTAAATCACTGTAGAAACAAAAGACTTTCCATGAGAATGGCGATATCCCTCTTCACACCGCAAAACCCACGGTTCTCTTTACACCCAAGGGAGGACGCACGCACACACTGAGTATCGCTCTCCCCGGGAGTATTGTCGCCAAGTATGTTGTCTCCTCTCTCACTATACCCTCTCTCTATGTATAGAAAAAAATATAGAAAGAAAGTAAGAGAAAGTGAAAGGATGAACTGACTGTATAGTGCCCACTCCCCCGAACAAAAAACCCTTCTGGCCGGCACCATCGCCCGCGCCTTGGCCGTCTTCTGCGTCGATGAAGTCGTCATCTTCGACGACGATGAGGGCGCCCTCCGTCGGAATCGCAACCACCCCGACCACGAAGACTACGACCCCATCGCCAAAACCAGCGATGAACTGAACGCTCCAGGCAAAGGCTACACGGCCTACTCCGATCCCTCTCACTTCCTGGCCCACCTCCTCTCCTACCTCGAGACCCCGCCGTATCTGCGCAAACACCTCTTCCCCATGCATCCCAACCTGCGCACAGCCGGCCTGCTGCCCAGCCTCGACATGCCCCATCATCTGCGCGCCAACGAGTGGTGCGACTACCGCGAGGGCATCGTCGTCGGGGAGCTCCACCAGCAGGATGACTACCACCCATACGGCCAGAACCAGTATCCCCGACAGCGCCGCTGCTCCAGCCAGTCCATCCAGTCCGACGACTCCAACACCACCGTCATCGACACCGGTCTGTCGGAGAAGGTCGTCGTCCCCAACATCCAGCTACCCGAGCACGCCCGCGTCACCGTCCGCTTCAGCCAGCCGGGCGCTCCCCTCGCCGAGCCCGTCGACCCGTCGACCCCCGCGCCGAGGCCGGCTACTACTGGGGGTACTACGTGCGGCGCTGTCGCTCTCTTTCCTCCGTGTTCACCGAGTGTCCCTTTGACGGCGGCTACGACCTCTCCTTCGGGACGTCGGAGCGCGGCGCCCCCGTTGCTGCAGTGCTCGAGGACGAGGAGGGCGACCCGCGCGAGCGTCCTCCGGACTTTGGCCACATGCTCGTGGTCTTCGGCGGCGTGGCCGGCATCGAGAACGCTGTCCGCAACGACCCCCAGCTGCGCAACATGGCCGTGCGTCCATCCGAGGCCGGCAAGCTCTTCGACTACTACGTGAACCTACTGCCGGGCCAAGGCAGTCGCACCATCCGCACCGAGGAGGCTGTCTGGTTGGGCCTGACGAGTCTGCGGGGGGTGGCTGATGGGACGCAGCGGCCGAAGGAGTCGTATCGGTATAATGGGGCGTGATTTCTTACTCAAAAAAGTGTTGCCTGTTCCAGGCGTCCATGGTGCATGCATACTGGCGTGGCGTTCGATCGGTTATAGATCAATTAACGTATATTATTATTAGCATTGAAATTATCTCAATATTTTGTTACTAGCATTGGAATCAATTAAATATAATCAATCAATCCTCACACATAGACACTATATCCCCCGGCACGAATCCCCCCAATATCTCCAGCAACTCCCCCAACGGCATCCACTCCATCGTCCCGTGGATCGTCTCCACCGTCCGTCCACTATACAACACCCGCGCATAAAAACCTTCACCATCAGTCCGCCACACCTCCACAGCCACATTGGCCCCCATCCCGGGCCACCGCAATGCCCGAATCCCCAACGCGCCCAACACAGGCCCCAAGTCCCCATCGTGCATAAAAGTGTGACTGTACACCCAGTCTGGACGTCCCTCAACCACCCCCTCTAGCCGTCGCACTATCTCCCCGATGAACAGCCCTCCAACCAGTTGGATGTACTCTTTGGCAAGATCACTGCCCCGAAACCAGTAGTTCCACTCCCAGTCGCCTGCGCGGAATACCTCTTCTGCTTGTTCCTGCGTCACGCAGTTTTCGCCCTCCTTCTCGCCCTCTTTCTTCGCCCGACATGGCAATCCATAGCCATTACACACGCGCGCCTGAAAGGCATCCGCAAAGTGATCGAACGAGTTCATCCATGCCCCGTCTTCTTCCTCCTCACTTATATCAAACATCTCCCCCAGCTCCTCGCGCAAAACCATAGTAACACCCAAGTGCTCCCTCCACACCCTCGCCGCCTTCATCTGCTCCAACATCCTCTCCCTAGCCGCACAGGTAAACCCACTATCCACCGTGTCGATCCCCTCCGTCTGCCGTCGCAGCGCAATTCCCCCGTTATAATCGGGCCACAAACCCCGCAGAACAGCCCCAGCTGACCCCTGCGTCAGTGCGGACGAGCTCGCCCGCAGCCAGACCTGACTTGATGGGCCTGTCTCCGAGAGGAGGCTATTACCCCCGTAAACGGCGCGCAGGTCCCGCCCGTGTCGGTACCCGTCTAGGATGCCCCCTTTCGTTAACTGGGGGTATTGGCATGTGCCCGGGATGGTGTCTGTGAGGAAGGGGTTTGTGGGGTCTGTGTAGGTCTGTCCGTAGACGGGGATGGGAGCGGGGTTGTTGTTATCGGGTGCGGGGGCAGCGTAGATGTGGGGGTGGACGTCGTCGCAGGTGTATTCTTGGTCCTGTAGCTGTTAATATCTTATAATCTTTTTATGTATGGTAGTGGTGGAAGAATAGTTATATATAAAGAGAGAGAGAGACCTCCGATAAAAGATTGTAAGGCGTCCTCCGCTGATGCCTCTGCATATACTCCACATACACGAGCGTCGCCGCTACCGATCCATTCGCGACAGGCTCCGGCGCGACATACGTCTCCGGTCGCGGATGCGGCATTGTACAGTAGTTGTAGCGGTCATTCTCGTCCGGATCGCTGGCGCGGTGGACGGGCGCGCTGTAGATTCCGCCATGTGTGCCTTGGGTTCTGTTGGTGATGTAGGTCGTGTGGTTGAGCGCGACGGGGTAGAAGCTGATGCTGTGGGGAGATTCTTGCGCTGCATGCGAGGAGGGAGTGAAGAGGGGTGTGAGGAGGAGGGAGAGAAAGGTGACCATTTGGTTATAGAGGGAGGTCATCTCTATGTAGAATGTACAGAGTATCTGTGTAGGATAGTTGAAGTTGGAGATGTTGGTTATGCCAAGTGTTGGTGTGCCCACATGCCTGATCTACGTCTAGTTTGCCAATTATGGAGACAGGAATGATCGGAATGTGACTACCAATGGTCATGATATCGAGTCCCTATTCTACAGCCTCCACCTCTGAAGATACAGCATCTCTGCCACGTATTGATAGGATTCATACCTCAACCATTCATCAACCCACTTTCTACACCGTACCAACCCGGCTCTACAAGTCAACCAATCCTCATCCATCAGCCAGTCCGGAACAGCGTCCGCATCCTTCGCACCCCCGAGAGCAACGAGCCCTGTTCATCGCTGGGAGGACTCGGATCGGCCGCGGAGACACCAGTCGCGCAGGATCAGGAAAGATCTCGTCGCGGGATGTGGGTTCTGTGGCAATTGGCTCAACGGCGCTAGGCTCAGCGGCGATCGACGGCGAGGAGCCCCAGACGACCGTCGAGGCGATATGCGATTGTGGATCCGCTCGAGATGGATCCCCGGGTGGGGCGAGCGATCCGTCGGCATCCTTCTCCGAAGGCACCACAACCAATGTGTAAGGGGGTGTGCACGAGCGGCTGTCAGGCCCGAACCCACCTCGGTGGCGACACCAGGAGGATCCTCCCCTCAGGAATAGAACCCCCCCCACCCTCTAGGATTACTGGTATAGACCACTCAGGAAGGAACTATATTCAGGACGCGGACATCCAGGTTCCTATATCTGTTGCGCGGAACACTCCCATTGATGACAAGGGGTAGTGCATACACCTGTCGGAGATATTAGCCATCTAGAGAAGCGAGTGCGCGACGCGCCAGGCAAGCGGGTAATAGTAGTCCAGCGCATACATGTCATCCTTGTCGGATGTCATCGGTGATCGTATTGGGAATCAAGGTTGTTGACGACTAAATGGAAGGCAAAAGATCGAGACTCGATACGAAATCATGGAAAGGCGGTATCTGGTGGCAGTACTGGCTGTTTGCAGTGTTTGTCACAGGTTACATCATTATTTATGCCAATGTTAATCATCTGGCCATTCTTCCCATTCTATAGCAGATAGATGTTTTTTCTTTCTTTACCAGGAATATCAGTGGCTATAAAGTATACTCTAGGATGGTGTAGAAGTTGACCATATAATAACTTTGATCGGGGGCGCAATAAAGAAGGAGTCTGGTGGTGCGGTTGCCATAGACAACACGAGACAACGATGTCATCTCTCCCCACTCCAGATCCAGATCTGCCATCTCGGCTTCGTCTTCATCACTACCTGGCCCTCTCCCATGCCCTAAAGAACCGCTAGTAATAGTAACTTGTCACATCAACTCTCACTTGATTCAAAACGACCGAATTACTCCGCTATCGCATGTCAAAATGCCCACCACACGCCGCCGTGGAGGCAACACCCAGGCGAGACTCTCATTTGGCTCCCAGTCCAGGGTCAGCAAACCATCTGCGGCCCAATCGACGACATCCCAGAAAGCCAAAAATCTCGAACCCATTGCCTCTACGATCTCCCGCACCCCGTCGCTTGAAAATGTGTCCGGATCGGAGCCCGCGCCAGACACCCCCACCGAGCCCTCCCGGCCGCCGGTCGCGGAGTTGGCCTTGAGGCAACAAGCCCAGGCGGAATTGCAGCAACCTCTGTCGGAGAAGGACAAGCTGGCGCTGAAGATCACGCCGCAGCAGATTGAACAATACTGGAAAGCAGAGGAAAAGAAGCGACGGGGACCCCGAGGTCAGTACTACGGCGGAGCACACCGACCGCCCTGTCTGGTGGAACGAGCTGACCGTTGGATGTTTGATGTTTCTAGTCCACCACGAGGACCTCTCCCTGCAGGAACACATTCTCCGTCACTTTGACCTCTCTAGTCAATTCGGGGTACGTCCCCGCTTTCCCCTCCCCGAGGCGTTCTCATGCCGTAGATAGCTGACGTTCGTGTAGCCGTGTATCGGAATTACACGATTAAAACGATGGAGGCGGGCGGATTCGTTGAACCTGAACCCGCCGATCGAGGTTCTCGCTGTGTTACTCGACGAGGAGAAAGGTGTTAGCCAGAGGGCGTATGTGGACGAACTCATGTCCTGAGGGTCTTATTAATATGGTGGCGCTGTTTCTTCAGTGGTTTGCAATAATTTATTTTTGGATTAGCAGGGCGTTATTTGTTTGCGACGATTCTACACTCAACCATGATGTACTATACCCAGACTGGAATGTGTTCCCAACCCATGGTCATCCCGAAATCTTGACTCTCTCCCAAGTTAATTCTACTCGTCACAGTGTACGGTGTCTAGGAATAGCGGGGACTAATGTTCTCGGCTCCCCCGAACCTAGTGCGTCAACATTCATTTGAGTTGGCCATGAAATGCGCCGGTGGTGCAGGAGCCACAACGCAGGGGGTCACATTGGGCGATCGATTTGATGTGATTACCACCGAGGACTATTTGCCTTGGATCGCTTGATCCCTTTGTTGGACCTGTACAACTGCATTGCTACCTCGAGAACCTATCAGCAATGATCCGCAGTGGTAGATGCTACCACCGCGGCAAATAAACCCTATTGAGGCGGGGTCTAGACAGACCCCAGCGTTTCCAAGATTCCGTAATGGCTGAATAGCATCATCACCACCGCAAATTAGGTCAACCCCTCTTCTACTCAGAGGACGGAGATGGTCTGGACTGGCCTCCCTTGCAGCTCTCTTGTCGTAAGCAGGGACAGACGCCCCCTCCACAGAGTTTATGGGTGCTTTCCATCTGCTATTGGTGGAGGGATTGTATGGCATGGCCTCGTCCCACGGATATCAACCTCCCTCTTGTGCCGATTGGAGGGTCACGTCTTACATTGCTAATGTATATGACCGGCCCAACTTTAATCAGTATGTGAAGAGGTCAGTTGCTGGTGATGAACCAGTTCCAGACGACCGGCTGCTCAGGGACTTGGAGTCAATTCTCTGGGAACTACTTCCGATTCGCGTCGATGGAGATTCTCCCAGCTTACATGCAGCCACGTTGAGCCCTAACCACCTAGTAGGATTGATGAGCCCTGGCATACCTCGAGTGTAGTATATACCATCTTATATTACGCTGGATACTCTGGCCATCCCCGCATCGGATACTCCACACAAGTGCCTGTGATGATGCCTGCAATGCGCGTCGATGTACCACATACGGTCAGATTGAAACTCTCGAGGTATGAAGCATACGTATGCGGGCTACACAGAATCCTATCTGACAGTCCCTTGCGTAGACGAGAAGTCATCATCTCTTCTCCATTCTATCCTGTCTACCTTGATCTGGTAGGTTCTCACTCGAAATAACCTTGGCCATATGTACTGGTCAACATGTGAGGAATCAGGGCAGGAACTCATCATGTGCTCCGGGGGAAACTATAAAGCGAATCCGACCACTTTCTCTTCTCCTTCTCCTTCTCTCTCTCTCTCTCTTTCTCTCTCTCTCTCTCTCTCTTCTCCATACCTCCTTCTTCACTTCGTTCGTTAATCCATCATTCCAAATCAACTCAACGGTCGTTTCAGCCATAATCTGTATTCTACTAGTCCCCCATTATCTCTAACTTCTTAATCTCTTGTCTCAATCTCGGTTGTTTCAATATCACTTCTCACCATGAAGTCTCTTCTCGCGTTCGCCTCTGTCCTAGCGGCGGCTCTTGTGTCTGCCCAGACGTTGCCGGACATCCCGGGTTGTTCGGTGAGGACATCCTACCTTAACGTATGTCTTTAACTAACCCACGCATAGATGCAGTGTTTTCTTGATGCTCTGATGAATGACGGCTGTCCGGGACTGATGGACTTTGGCTGTCATTGTCAGAAACCCGAACTCGTCAGCAAGGTCACGCCCTGTGTGAAGTCGTCCTGTGGGATCCCGGAACAGGCGAGTGAGTCTTCTCCGCTCTATTCGGCTGTCAGCAAATGCTTGGTTCACTCACACTTTATTAGCGGTGTCCGACGTGGTCATGAAGCAGTGCGCCTCGGCGGGCCATGCCATTTCGATCCCACCGGTTGGTGAGGCGACGCCCACGGCTACCGCAACCAGTTCGACCGACACTGCGTCCAGCTCGGTCTCACCCCCATCCAATACCATGTCGTCGTCTGGAACGGGAGCGGTCACGGAAACCCCGTCGGGCGCCGGGTCGATGACACTACCCACGGAATCATCCACAGGGGGTCCCCAGCCCGGCTCGTCCAACACGGCCTCGCCAACGCACAAAACGTCGACCTCGTCCACTTCGTCGACCATGCCAGGGCAGACCCATTCTGGCGGCGCCGCTCCCCCGGTCTTTACTGGCGATGCGACACATGTCAAGCACAACATCGCGGGAGTTGCGGCTGCGGCTGCCGCCATTGTGCTGTTTTAATGGTCCACTGTTTGAAACGGTCGTTGATTGTGACCAGGCGTCGTATTGTGATCAGGGAATTGTGATTCTTAGTGTGAAAGCACAAGATGAATAGCTGTAATATGGAGATGGCTTCGGAGGATACTGCAAGGGATTGAGCTGGCCTGGTTGATACCATCCACTAATCATGGGTAATATTATTCTGTATTCCATCAGATCGTGCACGTAATTTCCACGGCGTATGGGCAATTCCTTGTCATTGGAGTATACATCCTAGACATGAAGTACACCGGACAGTCGAGTGCACAACATCGTACCCCTCGCGATCCCTCGTCGTGCATGCAGGTCCCTCAAAACGACATGCATGCGTCCACGGGGCGGTCAGCCCCTGTCAGCTGAGAAACCACGTCCACGATTGATACACAGGGATCAAGTGTAGCATAGAAAGGTCACATCAGCGAGGTTAAACTTTCCACCAAAGTGGCACAAAGACCGACAAACCGGGTTTCTATTCCTCAGCGAACCTCCCATCCAGCCCCGTTCCCAGATCAGCCAACTGACACCCCACGACCCCCCACAACCCCCCAGAATGGATCCCAAAGAAACCACGGCCGAAGAACTCTTCAACGCCCTCGGTCAACAATACGAAGACGCCTTCGCCGATGACGTCGAGCTCCGCACCCTCATCCACTCCGTCGTCGCCCAGCTCCCGCCCGCCTCCCCTGTCCTCGACGTCGGTTGTGGAACTGGCCGTCCCGTGTCTGACATCCTCGCCCGCCACGGCCACTCCGTGCATGGCATCGATGTTGCAGAGGAGATGGTGCGGTTGGCCCGCGCCCAGGTGCCAGGATCCTTCCACAAGGTCGACATGAGACGCTATCGTCCCCCGCATTCGTTTGGTGCCGTGTTTGCCATCTTTTCCCTGTTTAGCTTCCCGCCGGCGGATGTCGTGTCTATGGTGTATCGCTTTGCGGAGTGGTTGCAGCCCGGGGCGGTCTTGGTATTGGCTGTCGTGACGAGTGATTCGCTGGGTGATGGGGTGGGATACTACGATGGTGTTTGGGATTGTATGCGGGTTAGGAGACCCTGGATGGGTGCCGTGACGGTGGAGACGCTGTTATCGAGCTCACGGTGGAAGAACCTACTGGTCCAAGTGGGCTTGACTTTGGAAATGGAGCAAACGTACGATTACCTTCCTCGTGGTCAGAAAACAGACCAGAGTGGTCGGCATCATTTGCTCGTTGCTCGGAAGACAGGCCTTGACCCGGTGTTTGGGCCACATCCTGTCCCGAAGGAGTCGGGCGTGGGGTCGTGGAGACGCGACGAGACAGCGTGGCAGATCCTGCGGGACCGGCTGTTTATCGACGTAGAGGGCAATGACATGCGCGATATCGTTCAAAGAGGTCGGCGTGTTCTGGATGTCGGTGGGGTAGTACGAGGTGGGTCATCACGTATATCCTTCGATATATTTTACGGTGATAGCTATGCTAATCAGGCTCCCAGCCATCCTAGCAAATGGCCCTTCCTCTACGGGGATAGTTGAAAGCATCCAAACGCTGTCCCAAACACTCCCTTCCCCAGACCAGGATTATGATATTGCCGTCTTATACTTCGCTCTGGACTGTGTGTCGGACCGAGCCCGATGCCTGGGCGAACTCGCACGCGTGATGAACCACGCCGACCCGAATACAACAATAATCATCATCCAAGGCGCGCCGGAGAATACATGTGTACAATTGCTAAACTCGCGGTGTGTTCGTCTAAGCGCGGACTCTCCTCGTCCCATCCACCAAGGCTGTCTTTTGCAGACGGCACGGGATACGCTCGCGCATATGGGGTATATCAGTGAGAGGGTGCGACGTATCAACAGCTCTTATGTATTTGAGGAAGAGGATGTGACTCGTAGGTGTGAGATTGCTGCCGATGCGTTGACTCGATCGTGGTATCACGACGATCCGAACCAGTCTCAGATGGAAGAGGGACTCGTGGAGGATTTGGGGTCCATGTCCAAATGGGAGTCGGGACTGAGAAACCAATTAGCTGTTCTCACAGTACGGCCTGCTTAAATCATTTCAATCTAAAATGTATGGAGGAGATCAATGTCAGGTCCAGCAGGAACAAACTCGTCGTTGAAGTATATACTTGCAGCCTCAGGCAGAAGCCTCGAGCGATCAAACCAGACAAACTGCCAACAAACACCACAACAGCACATGACCCACCCGTGACCGCACCTGACCACACCTGACCGAGCCTCGGCGTCACTCTGACATCCTCATCGACCGGGTTGAATCCGTCAACATCGGATGACATCCTGCCTCCTCCCTTTTTATTTAATTCCCTCGTATTGTTACTCAATATATGTCCATTGGTTGATGAACTGGTTTCATCTGTATTGCCATTACCTTGACTTTCGGTCTAGATCAGCGGTGTCGGGGTAGATGACGTTATCCCTTGCTGAACCATTCCATCAGCCGAGCCTTGCTTTCTCCTACTCCATCTATCCCTCCCAGACTGGGTCCCTTTCCTTGAATCCTCTTCAATAATATTGTTATGAAGTGAAGACATAAAGACCTTCGATTCCTTCGATTTCGTTTTGGAACGGTTTCCCCAACCATGCGGGGACTCCACATTGCTCGCGTCCTGGCCGGTCTCGGCACGCTCTTAGTCCCATCGTTAGCTCAGGGCGAGACCCCCGTTCACGAAGCCGGTCGCTGTGCGATCCGGGGCCACTGTGGGAAACAGTCGTTTTTTGGTGGAGAGCTACCCTGTGCCGATAATGGCCCGGCGAAGGAACCTGACGCCGGGACGAGGGAGAAGTTGGTGGGCCTCTGCGGCACCAAGTGGGAGGAAACAGCGGTGTGCTGTGTAGAGGAACAGGTGAGCCCCACGCGAGCGATGGGATGGGCGGGATTGTGGGCCATACTAATATGGAGTCTCTAGGTGGATGCGTTGGCCAAGAACCTGAAGCTGGCCGAGGGCATCATCTCGTCGTGTCCCGCCTGTCGGGAGAACTTCTTTAACATCTTTTGCACCTTCACCTGCTCTCCCGACCAGTCCCTGTTCGTCAACATCACCGAGACCGACGATGCAGGCAAGGGAAAACGCCGCGTCACCGAGCTGGATAATCTCTGGTCGGAGGAGTACCAGAGTGGCTTCTACGACAGCTGCAAAAACGTGAAGAATGGCGCGTCGGGCGGAAAGGCGATGGATTTCATCGGCGGAGGCGCGAAGAACTACCAGGGCTTTTTGAAGTTTCTGGGAGACAAGAAGTTTTTGGGCAGCCCCTTCCAGATCAACTATGAGACCGACCCCGGGCCCGATGCCGACGGTATGAAAGCCTTGCCCGACCACCCCAAAGCCTGCAATGATCCCGACAAGGCGTTTCGTTGCTCTTGCGTCGATTGTCCGGACGTCTGTCCGGAACTGCCCGCCGTGGAAACCGATGAGCACTGTTACGTCGGCCTGCTACCGTGCCTCTCATTTTCGGTCATCCTTATGTATTCGGTGTTCTTACTCTCCGTGGTCGCGGCGACCAGCTACTTCACGTACCGGGATTGGCGCCATCGCAAGTCCGACCGCGTCCGGCTCCTGCAGGACCCGGATTCCAGCGACGAGGAGGACGAGGGCGACATCGTCTACGCGGGAGGCTATCTTGAGCAGTCGCGAGGTGAATATAAGTTGAACTCGACGTTGGAGAGTTTATTTAGCCGCATTGGCGGCGCGTGTGCCCGGTTCCCCGCCCTGACCACCGTGTCTAGTGTAGTGGTCGTGGGGCTCTTGAGCCTTGGGTGGCTACGGTTCGCAGTGGAAACCGACCCCGTGCGGTTGTGGGTGAGCCCGACGTCCGCGGCTGCCCAGGAGAAGGCATATTTCGATGCCAACTTCGGCCCCTTTTACCGGGCCGAGCAAGCGTTTCTCGTGAACGATTACGGGCGGGTCCTGAATTACGAGACCCTGAGCTGGTGGTTCGACGTGGAATCTCGCGTCCGCCGCATGATCTCCCTGGAGCGTGAGCAGTCTCTGGACGAGATCTGCTTCAAACCCACTGGTGACGCTTGTGTCGTTCAGTCGCTGACCGGATATTTCGGCGGGTCCGTCAACAACCTCGACCCTGAAACCTGGCGCGACAGGTTGCAGCACTGCGCGGATTCGCCCGGTGACGTCAGCTGTCTCCCGGAATTCGGCCAGCCGCTCAAGCCGGAGTTGATTCTCGGCGGCTATGAAGACACCGGCGATGTCTTGGACGCACGGGCCCTGGTGGCGACCTGGGTGGTCAACAACCATGAGCAAGGCACCACCGCCGAAGCGAACGCCATTGACTGGGAGAACAGCTTCAAACGGATCTTTGAGGTGGTCCAGGAGGAAGCCCATGAGAAGGGCCTGCGCGTCTCGTTCAACACCGAAGTGAGCATTGAGCAGGAACTGAATAAGTCTAGCAACACGGACGCCAAGATCGTCGTTATCAGTTACGTGATCATGTTCCTCTACGCCTCCCTGGCCCTGGGCTCCGTCACCGTCACCTGGCGCTCTCTCCTCTCCAACCCGTCCAACGCATTGGTCCAGTCCAAGTTCTCCCTGGGCATTGTGGGAATCGTCATTGTCTTGATGTCCGTATCCGCTTCGGTTGGGTTGTTTGCGGCTGCGGGTGTCAAGGCCACCTTGATCATCGCGGAGGTGATTCCGTTCCTCGTGCTTGCGATCGGCGTAGACAATATTTTCCTAATCGTCCACGAGTTCGAGCGCGTCAACGTCAGCGACCCCGACGAAGAGATCGACGTGCGGATCGCGCATGCGGTGGGCCGGATCGGCCCCAGCATCTTCCTGTCGGCCGTCACGGAGACAGTGGCCTTTGCGCTCGGCACCTTTGTGGGAATGCCGGCAGTGCGGAACTTCGCCATCTACGCGGCCGGTGCCGTCTTCATCAACGCGGTCCTGCAGATCACCATGTTCGTCTCGGTCCTCGCCTTGAACCAGAAGCGCGTGGAAAGCCTTCGCGCTGACTGCCTCCCCTGCCTGACCGTGCGCAAGGCGCAGTCTGGCGCGCCGGGAGACCCCCTCTACGACGATTTCGAAGACGAGGGCATCCTCCAAAACTTCATCCGCAAGATCTACGCACCCTTTCTCCTCGAACGCCGGGTCAAGGCGGTCATTGTGATGGTCTTTCTAGGAGTCCTGACCGCTGGGTTGGCTTTGATTCCGGAAGTAGAGCTGGGACTGGACCAACGCATTGCCCTTCCGAGCGACTCGTACCTTATCCAGTACTTCGATGATATGAACGCGTATTTCCAAAGCGGGCCCCCGGTGTATTTTGTGACTCGGGACGTGAACGTGACGGAGCGGAGTCACCAGCAGCAGTTGTGCGGGCGGTTCACCTCCTGCGAGGAGTACTCCTTGCCATTTGTGCTGGAGCAGGAGTCCAAGCGACCCAACGTGTCCTACATCTCCGGCTCGACCGCTAGCTGGATCGACGACTTCTTCTACTGGCTCAATCCGCAGCAGGATTGCTGCGTGGACGATGGCAAGCCCTGCTTCGAAGGCCGCAACCCGGCATGGAACATCTCCCTGCACGGCATGCCCCAGGGCGAGGAATTTGTGGACTATGCGCAGAGGTGGTTGCATGCGCCGACGGACTCGTCGTGTCCGCTGGGCGGCCAGGCTGCGTACAGCAACGCGCTCGTGGTGGACCCCGAGCGGCGGACCACGGTGGCCAGTCACTTCCGCACGATGCACACGCCGCTCCGGACGCAGGAGGACTTCATCAATTCGTACAAGTCTGCGCGACGCATCGCGCGAGGCATCTCAGAGGAGTTCGACATTGATGTGTTCCCGTATGCCAAGACATACATCTTCTTCGACCAGTATGTGTCGATCGTGCCGTTGACGGCCGCCCTGCTCGGAGCTGCCGTGACGATTATCTTCGCCGTCACCACGGTCATCTTAGGGTCTGTGGCGACCGGAGCGGTGGTCACCGCCACTGTGGTGATGATTGTCGTGGACATCATCGGCACGATGGCCGTGGCGGGAGTGTCCCTGAACGCAGTGTCGCTCGTAAACCTGATCATCTGCGTGGGCATCGGGGTGGAGTTTTGCGCGCACATCGCGCGGGCGTTCATGTTCCCAGCGGAAGGCGTCATGGAGATGGTGCCGACCAAGTTCCGCGGCAAAGACGCTCGGGCCTGGGCAGCCCTAGTGAACGTCGGCGGCAGCGTCTTCAGCGGAATCACGGTCACGAAACTGCTGGGTGTGTGCGTGCTCGCCTTTACGCACAGCAAGATCTTCGAAATCTACTACTTCCGGGTGTGGCTGGCGCTGATCGCGTTTGCGGCGACGCATGCGCTGATCTTCTTGCCGGTGGCGTTGAGCTATTTTGGCGGCGAGGGGTACGCTTATTAGAGTACCATACAGGATACAATGGAGTTTAGGTTGGATTGGGTATCTAAATTTGATTTTACCAATACTACTATGGGGTAGAATACTACTAGAGTAAAATGTCGCATCTATGTATCTAGGATGTACATCAACAACGAGAAAAGAGTATAATTATTTAGCAGCACCCGCCTCATCCGGAGGCGCCAGCTCCTTCAGCGGCGCCGGAGTCAAAATCCGCCTAGCATCGATCAACGGCGCGGCCGGATTCAACTCCAGCCCAAACCCAGGCTTATCCAGCACTGACACGTCCAAATAGCCACGTACAGGAATCGGCTCGTTCAGGAACAGATTCCCAAACACGGGCTCGACAGTGCGTCCGTCGGGCGAATTTGCCAGATACTCCTGGAACGGCGTATTCGGCTGCGACACCACAAAGTGGTACGAGTAGGGCCCCGACGCGTGCGGCACAACGGCGATATCATACGCCGCCGCCAGCGCAGACACCTTCAGCAGCTCTGTCAGTCCTCCCACCCACATCACGTCCGGCTGGACGATATCCAGCGACCGTCCCTCGACCAGCCTGCGGAACCCATACCGCGAGAACTCGTGCTCCCCCGTCGTGAACCGCGCCGTCGGGTGCGCTCGCTTCAGCAGCGCGTGGCCCTCCACGTCATCCGGCGACAGACACTCCTCCCACCAGTCGATGTCGATCCCCGCCGCTTCGCACCGCTTTACCAGCTCAATCGTGTACCCCACCGTCAGCGACATGTAGCAGTCTACGCGAAGCGGGAAGTCCGGCCCGACGCTGTCGCGCTGCTGGCGGAGGTAGGCCACGTTCTTGCGGAGTCCCTCGATGCCCTCATCTGGTCCGTGTGGCAGCGCCACCTTGGCCCCGGAGAATCCCATCGCTTGTGCGGCGCCTGGCTGCGGCCCCGTGCAGTAAAAGTCGAGTCGGGACCGCGTCGCACCCCCGATCATCTTGTACACGGGCTCCTGGCGCACTTTGCCGACGAGATCCCACAGCGCGAGGTCGATCACCGAGATGACTGCCACGGGGAGGCCCTTGCGGCCGTAGAACATGGACGCGCGGTACATCTTTTCGAAGAGGTCGTTGACGTCGCGGGGGTCTATCAACACCAGTTATTAGTTCCTTTCTTTCCTCTTGCTCGTGAATCCAAGGAATGGATGGGATGGTGTTGAGAGACATACCAGCCCCCAGCAAGAACCGCTCAAAATGCTGATGCACCAGCCAGCAAGCAGGTGGACCCCCGAACCCCGTAGCGAATCCCTTCGTGCCATCGGTGGCTTCGATCTCGACGCAGAAGGACCCCAGCACGTTGATCCCCCAGGATGTGCGCGAGCCTCGGTATTGCGGCCAGCGGGTCATTGGGGTGGAGATGTCGCTGTCGACGAGCCAGTGGCCGCCTTTGACCTACTTCATGTAAGTATATGATGTCTTGCGTGGGTCGAACGGACTGATAGGGGAGGGCACGTACATTGTGGTAGTCGCCGCCGGAGCCGACTCCCTCGATGATGAAGGACCGGATCTCCTTGATGCGGGGGAATGGGGATGGTGAGCCCATGGTGAGTCCTGATTTATTCGCAGAATTACAATCAATAGACAAGATAGTATAAGAGGAAAGAAAACAAGATGGAGGGAATCGTCGCATATTTGAACGACTCCATCGTGGGATCGATTTACCCCGACATGGAGGGGTTCGGGTCAGTTGCCCCCGAGATTCCCCACAGTCTGGCGAGATCATCGCGATGGCGATGAGATGGGGTGGGGAGATATCTGGTGTCCCTCGGCCCATGTGAATGTACGCGGGGCTAGAGAGCTTCAAATTGAATATTGGTTCGTCATTGGACTGGGATTTGGTATGCTCAATTCAACCAGCGCAATGGATATCATAATCGTCTATATACACTAGGTACATCTAGACAGGAACAGAAGTATCGCCAAATTAATACCAATCAAACAACGGAAAACAAGTCCCAAATAATACCACAACAGGCTACAACTTGGCTCTCTCCTTCCACTCCTTCTGGAGCTCCATCTCTCCCCGCACACGAGAGTGCGCACCCTGTTGCAGCAGCTCATCCACCTCCGCATCCGTCAGCGTCACAGCCTCGTCCCACGGGATTGACCGTTCCGAGCGCAGCTTGTATGCAATGTAGGTCAGAGTGTCCATCGGCCGGACCGTGCCTGCCACGGCGCGGCGGCAGAAATCCGCCATGCCGTCGTAGAAGCGTTTCCCGGCGGCGGTCTTGATCATGAGCAGCGCGAAGCAGTGCGGCATGCCCTCGAACTGTTCGACCGTCACGGGCACCCCGGCCGAGTGCATGCGTCGGGCTAGAACTAGTGCCTCGTCCGTTAGACCCTCCTCGCCGACGCCCATAAACACGGGTGGCGCTCCTGCCCAGCGCTCGGGAGGCGCGGTCAGCGGCGACACGAGTGGATGTAGGACGGCGTTGGCGTTGACGAAGAAATCGACACGCGGTGGTTTGCAGGGCCACACGTCGTCGGTGGGAATCGGCAGCGGTCGGAAGATGGACTCGGGGGACTGGGCGGGCACGGGTAGGTAGTCGAAATGCGCGTTGCGTGTACTCGAGGGCAGACACCGCATGATGTCGCACCAGGGCGAGATGGTGGCTACGCCGCCGGGAGTCTCAATAGGGATAGCCTGCCCGTGGAAGTGCACGGTGGGACACACTCGACGCAGGGTCAGCAGCGTCTGCAGCAGCACGAGGGACAGGTTGCCCCCCGCGGAGTCGCCCGCGAGGATGATCTTCTTCGCGGGGACGGGGGCGTGAAAGGAGCCCGGGGGCGGGGCGATGAGCGACAGATATGCGACGAGCGCATCGACGAGCGCGGCGGGGAACGGGTGCTGCGGCGCCAGACGGTATCGCACCGACAGCACGGGAGCCCCCGTGCGCTTGGACAGCTGTGCCACCGGTACCCGATGAGTGCAGGGATCCATCAGGAAGTATGCACCGCCGTGGAAGTACAGGATCACGCTGTCCGACGGGGCCTCTGCCCGTAGCGCGTCGAACTTGGCGTCCTCCGGGATGTCAGGCAACGGCTCATTCTTGTCCACACCATTGCGATAGCCCGTCCACTCCGCTTCCACCGGTCCCACCCCGGGGGGATCGAAAGTCTCCCCACCCGATTGTAGATCCTCAAAGGCTTTGCGCACGGCGTTGCAAACGTCCTCCCCGGGCGACGGGAGGGTCACCTTGGACACCCAGATGGGACCCTTGATGCCCGGGTCGCGCATCGCCCCTTTCTGCTGTTTACTGACGGGGATCATAAAATTCATGAAGGATCGAATGACGGCGACGGTCAACTCTGTTCGTAGATCTTGCTTGCCCGCGACGGGCGACAAGCGTATGCCATGCCATAGCGTGATCTTCAGGAGCATGGGGATCCTCACCAGGATGGCCTGGAGCAGACCCAGCGGCGTGCTAAGACTCATTATGGGCTATTTCTGCCACCCACCAGAACAGGTTGGTCGTTCTGTCGACTGAAAGACGTCCGACGACCTGGTCAACGAGGAAAACTACCCCGGAGTCGCACCGCGCCACCGCAGTTTCGTCCATACTAATAAGTGGATCCGGCACTGCGACGGGTTGCCTCGGTTCCGAGGATGTCTCCGCTTCGTCCTTGAGCCCCGCTGCTAGGATAACTGCAGCAATTCGTTCTCCGTCGAATTGGCGCGTGATTATTGACCACGATCCGACCTGAGCGCGTGTTGATCGTGATCGTGACGCGTTGTCGAGAATGAAGATGAAGATTGATATTTGAAGTTTTTCAGGTCGAAAAAGGCACCCCTTGTCAAACCAGCCAAACACCCGGCCTCAGGCCCTCACCCCACCACGTGACCTTATCGGGCCATTCTTCGTCTCCACTTTTTGTCTTCTTCTCTTTCTCCACTTCTCTTGTCTTGCTTCTGCATCATCCCATCTCCTATGACTCTCAAAACTGTGGGAGAGGTTCACTCGATCCCCTCTCCTCGGGAAACCATGAGGCCATGCTTAAGAAATCAAATCCTTTTCTTTGCGGGCGATTCTCACTGCTGAACCCCGCCAGCTCCGTCTCGCCACTATCATCATCGCACTGCGTCCATGGGTCCCGATGGTATGCCACCGCGCAGGGCGATCTCTCCTGGCCGGCCACCACGTCGTTTACTCCCTATGATCTCTTTAAACAGGACCGGCTGGCCCCCTACAAGAAGTCCCATTTCTACGAACTCGTCAAGGTGTACCACCCCGATCGACCGTGCAACGACCACCCGCTATGCCGGAACATTCCTCCCGAAGTGAGACTCCAGCGATACCACATCATCGTTGCGGCCCATGAGATCCTATCTGATCCCTCCAAACGGGCGGCATATGACCTGTCCGGCTCGGGGTGGAATCTGCACCCGCCCGACAGCGCTCCAACTCCGCCCTGGGCGCGGCCGGCGTGGCGCGGCGATGGTCCGATCTACGGCAATGCGACATGGGAGGACTGGGAGACGTATCATAATCGACACCAGCCCAAGCAGGAGAACATGGTCGACCATCGGACCTTTGCGACGTTTGTCATCCTCCTCGTCCTGTTTTCTGGCTCCGTGCAGGCCTCGTGGATCAGCAATCGCAGCGCCGGGTACGACGACCGACTGCGGCAGGTCAGTGAGGAGTCCGGTCGGCTGTTGAACGGGCGCCGGGAGAGTACGGCGAAGCAGCCGGGCTCCAGCGAGGCCAAGTTGCAGGATTTCCTCATCCGGAGAGACCCGACAGGGTCGGGATTGAAGGGGGACGAGCAGGAGGTATACCAGGATGTTCTCCATCCTCCAAAGGGCCGGGAAGCTTCTGGCCCAGCTGATGCGGCGCGTAATCTGGCCGAAGGGCCGGAGGCTACCTAGAATCGACGTGTCATTGTCGTCGATGTTTGGAAGCATGACTTGTCCTCGACATTGTTTGGAATTGTAAATAGTGCATCTCCTTCAGGCAAAGCGTATCGTGTCATTGCTCCTTGACTTCGTGAATGCTATTCCCCTGTCAGTATACACAAGGGTCCTCCTTTCAGACTCGAGTCTCGTGTCATAGCATCGACCCTGTCTGAATTTTGCTGGGCTGAATGAACTGCCACACATCGTACATTGGTCGGCATCCAAACGTTGATTCATACATCCCATTCTTGGTGACAACCTAAGTATAAACAGCCCCATGCAGCGTCATCGTTTCAGCAACCGCGCAACAGCTTCTGCGCCGTGCAATGCCACGCCTTTGAGTATGCGGTAATGAAAATTGGCACTTCGCACATCAAATCTGTAGAGGGGTATCAGTCAGATATAAATCATGTGTGTGTTTACGTGGACTCTCAAACAATGACCCTCTGACAATTGTGCGTTGCAACAATCTCAACCGCACCAGCACCAGGTAGCGGCGATATTTCACTGGGATTATATCATTAGAGGATGAATACGCCATGGAACAATCCGGCCATATACGCATGATCCATAAGCCATACCCTACTAAATAGCAAGAAAGATCTTGTTTACACAAAGTGAGGCGTCCCGTTCTAAAAATGGCCACAGCCGCGACAGTGCAGCACATCCGACCCACATGCCCACCGTTCATCTGCGCCAACACCGCAGACACGTCGACGCGAACCACTGATCCGCACCACTAGCTGGCAGCCTTGGCACTTTCAGATGGCCCCGTTGATGGATACTTGCGGGTTAGTGTTGGGTGAGGTCGCACATGCAGTGGCCTTGCAATGAGGTGGCCGGCACGTCTGACCGCCACTTTGGGCGGAAATTCAAAAGGTCGTAGTGCTCAAAGGTCGCTGTATCTTTGTAGTGCGACGAGGAGAAGAGGAGAGGAGAGAGAGAGAGAGAGACAAAGAAAGTGACATGGAATGCTCATGATGCCGTTGATTCCGTTTTTGCTCATCCTGACGGGGATTACGCTGTTCCTCTCGCGACGGCGGTATACGGCTGTGGGGGCTCGCGTCGCGCCGCCCCGGGTCGTGGTCAAAGGGAATACCTTCTCAGAGATCGCAGAGAAATCTCGGCCGAAAGCTGTGGAGAGTCGGAAAACCGACAATGTGCGAAGCGCCTGTGTGATCGGGGCTGGTGCTTCCGGTGAGTGGCACTATCAAGGTGTCGGGACCTGATCGAGAGCGATGCTAATGATGATAGGAGTCCTCACGGCGCTGGTCCTGGCCGGCCAGAACCCCCATGTTCAATTTCACGTCGTCGACGGCGATGAACGTCGGATTGCGGCGTGGAATTCCGACCGTGCGCCCATCAACGAGCCTGGCGTCGAAGAACTTCTCTTCAAGCAGGACGCCGTGCTGGTGGACTCGATCAAGTCGCACCGGAAACTGCAGCAAACCGACCAGGCGGCATTGCCAGGACATTTTCCTCCGCCGCCTCGACCACGGAAGCTGCTGAATATCAACTTCTCCACCAATATTCTCGGTGGCATCGCGGCAGCGGACATGGTCTTCCTCTCCGTGGATATTCCCGCAATTACCTCCACAGTAAGTCGCGCGGGAACAGTCGCGAGGACCTACTGACACGAAACAGGAGGGCCAGCAGCAAAACCTCGATTTATCGAACCTGGACATGGCGATCCGGGCGATTGCCCAGGTCTCACGGGGGTATAAGATTATCGTGCAACGAGGAGCAGCGCCATGCGGCACGGTGCCCTATATCAGGAAAATGGTAAGCGGGATCCCAGTACACCATCCTCACGCCCAAGCATTGACCCAGCTTAGTTGAAGGAAACGGCGTCGCCGTCCGCGTCTTTCGACGTACTCTCAAACCCCGAGTTCATCTTCCCCGGGACGATGATCCACAACCTCCTCTACCCGCCCTGCGTCATAATCGGTCACATCTTCTCGGAGGATTCGTCCCCCGAAGCGCTCACTGCGCTGAAACGACTGTACACCTCGTGGATCCCCGAAGACCGCATCGTTACGATGGACGCCTGGTCTGCGGAACTCGGGAAGATCGCGACGCATGCGCTCCTAGCCCAGCAGATCAGTGCCATGAATTCCCTAGGCCTCATCTGCAAATCGACCAAGGCTGATTTCAACCATGTCACCCGCATCCTGGGCATGACGCAACCTGTGGGATTAGGGTTGGCGGCCTCGACGCCGATGGAGGTGTTGTGTCTAGAGAACATGGCGAAGGAGATGGGAATGCAGGATGTGTCCGAGTATTGGGGCCGAGTTTTAGGGATGAATGGGCCCCAACAGGTGGTCCAGAAGAGTTGACTATTTTGACTGTAGCATTAACGATTGCATGAGCGACGGGATATATATAGTTCGATAGCGATTTTAGCGAATACTGAGTTTTGTATGGAATCTACCCACCAGGGTCAGCCGCTGTAAATTGCATATTGCCTGATTTGTCTGCTCAATATCGACTGTTCCACAGCATCTCTTGATCTCTTGATACTTGTTCTGGCAAGTTCAGTGACTGCGATGAGGATTCTCTGATCTCCAACAAACCAGGTCAAAACAAACACAACAAACCAGCCAAACATCCAAATCAACACGATCTTCTCCAACGACCAGAATTGTTCATCCATCTCTCTTTCTCGACCTCACATCTCATTGCCGGGTAAACAAGAATATACTTATTGCATGCTGGTCATGCTATGAATCCCTCAGTTCTCGTCTACTGACGACTTGCCATCGAGCCGTCCCCACCGCCTGGACCGTCCATAAGCCAGAATGCGCAGCTCTATATCAACGCGACCCCAGGTACAAAGACAATGCGGATGGTTCCAACTGGACAGCTTCCGCTGATTTTGCGACTCAATCCGAACACGCGATCTGTTTTGATCCCTCGTCACTATGTATATCGAGCAATATCCCACCATGCGCACCGTCCAGATCTCCGCTCCCACCGCCCAACCCAACCCTCCTGGGCGACCCGAAGAACAGCGAAAACGAAGTCAACGGTCAAGTTGAAGGACTTGCCACAGGGTGGGCTGAAACTGGAGCCGAGTAATAATGTCGTGGAGGATGCGCCGCGATACCCCACGGTGGTGCAGGGACACCGGAACCATATGCAGAAATTCCGAAACTGCGTGGTGTTGACGCGTGTAGGAGGATTCTACGAACTATACTTTGAGCAGGCGGAGGAGCTGGCCCCGCTGTTGAACCTGAAACTGGCCTCCAAGAAGACCAGTGCCGGCCCCGTTCCCATGGCTGGTTTCCCGTTCTTCCAGCTGGATCGTTTCTTGAAGACCCTCGTGCAGGATTTGAACAAGTATGTGGCGATCAGCGAGGAGTTCGCAATCAAGGAAGAGGACAAGGTCCACTCAGGGGGTCTCCTGTTCGACCGCAAGGTGGCACGGATCATCACTCCGGGGACGCTGATTGACGAGAAGTTCATGGACCCTTCCCAGAATAACTTTCTGCTGGCCGTGCATATCGACATCCAGGCCCTGAAGGCGCAGGTAGGGAAGCAGCCTGACAACCTAGCCCATCATATCGTATCTTCGACCGCCCAACCCGTCGGACTCGCATGGTTAGACCTCTCTACGGGCGATTTCTTCACGCAGTCGACCTCACCCCAAATGCTCTCCTCCGCGATAGCCAGGATTGGCGCCCGGGAGATCCTCGTGGACCAGGAGCTCCAGGATCTGATCGGACCGGACGTACAATCGCTGGTCGGGTACGACCATCGGCTGATGACCTTTTTCAAATTTCCCGAGAGAGCGATGCCGATCTCTGAATGGCAGCCGTTACTGGAGGGGTCGGACGTGCCGACCGAGACATTTACACCGGAGGAGATAGCGGCCGGATATGGCCTTCTGGAGTACATCAAAGTTCAGCTGCAGGGGTTAAACATGAAGCTCCAGCCACCCCGCCGCCGACACCTGCACGAATCGATGGCGGTTGACCGGAATAGCCTGAAAGGACTGGAGATTCTCGAGACGTCGCGCGATGGCTTTGGCAAGGGAAGCCTGCTTCACGCCGTGCGCCGCACCTCGACCAAAAGTGGAGCGCGCCTGCTGAGAGACCGTCTGACGTCGCCTTCAACCTCGCTGGAGGTCATCAATGAACGCCTTGACCTTGTGTCTACGTTCCTGGCGGACAGGGAGCTACGGGAACATTTAATCCGTCTACTTAAACAGAGCTATGATGCCCAGCGTTTGGTTCAGAAATTCACCCTGGGACGCGGTGACGCGGACGATCTCATCTGTCTGTCTCGAGCGATCGAAGCGGCGAAAGACATAAAACAGGTGCTATTGAGTGCCGTTCCCGACGATCGCGACGGCGGGACAGGCTCCCCACATACCGACGCCAGCCACAGTGCCCACGCCATGATTAACCGACTCCATCTCGAAGGACCGGCCTCCCTGGCGGCCCAGATCTTCGCAGCGATCGACGAGGAAGGGCTCCAACAGATACACCGAGCGGAGGATCAGACCGCCTCGGAAGCCGCCCTCTTGGCCCAAGAAGTTGCGACCAACGAAGGCGACTCGGGAGACATGAATGCCCTGCCGAAGACTGTTAGACGGACCCGGGAACGAGCGGGGATAGCGGCCGCCAACCCAATGGCGATCGACACGTGGATCATGAGGCGTGACGCCAGTGACGCTCTGCGGGAATTGCACCAAGCATTGGACAACCTGCAGGATGAAAGCGTGGCGTTGACCCAGGAACTTCAGGACTCGGTCGGATCCTCTGCGCTGACGTTGAAATGGACCCCTGGACTGGGACACATCTGCCATGTCAAGGGTGCCAAGATCTCCCAGGAGGCCCTGGAGGCGTTAGGGGTCACGCGAAATGTTTCATCCACCAAGTCCACTCGGTCTTTCTACTTACCCACGTGGACGGAACTGGGCGTCCGGATAGACCAAGTCAAGGCGCAGATCCGACAGGAGGAACAGCAGATCTTCGAGCGCTTGCGCCGCGAGGTCATTCTCAACCTCGTGAAAATCCGACGGAACGCCGCCGTGATTGATGAGCTTGACGTGGCTTGCTCCTTTGCGACCTTGGCGCAAGAGCAGCGACTGGTTCGTCCGATCCTCAATGACGGGACGTCGCACCGCATCGTGGGGGGCCGACACCCGACCGTCACCCTTGGGCTGGAAGAGCAGGGCCGGCGGTTCGTCAGCAATGACTGTTTCCTGGGGGACACGGAGCGCGTCTGGCTAATCACCGGGCCCAACATGGCCGGGAAAAGCACGTTCCTGCGGCAAAACGCGTTGATCACGGTTCTGGCGCAGGTCGGGTCGTTCGTCCCCGCGTCCTACGCCGAGATTGGCATCGTCGATCAGATCTTCAGCCGCATCGGAGCAGCGGACGACCTCTTCCGCGACCAGTCCACCTTTATGGTGGAGATGTTGGAGACGGCCGCGATCCTCCGCAACGCGACGCCCCGGTCCTTCGTCATCATGGACGAGGTCGGTCGCGGGACGACACCCGAAGACGGGACAGCCGTGAGCTTTGCGTGCCTGCACCACTTGCACTATCACAACCGAAGTCGAACGCTGTTTGCGACCCACTTCCACGCCTTGTCAGATATGACGCGGGACTTTGAGGCTTTGGGCCGGTACTGTACAGACGTGAAGGAAACGGCTTCGGGGTCCTTCTCCTTTGTGCATCGACTTCGGCGGGGAGTCAACCACCAGTCGCATGCTTTGAAGGTGGCCCAGCTTGCCGGGCTTCCCCAGGCGACCATCGCGTTGGCGCAGAGTGTGCGCGACCGGGTGGGCCACCGTAATCATCATCTGTCCACGGCGGAGAGCCTCGAGAAAGCGACCGCCGAGGATGCGCCTCCAATTGCAGCGGCAGGGAACAATGGATAGCTAGCAGTAGGTGGGTAACTTTACCCCCGGAACAGTTAGACCCGTAGCTACACGTACCGAATAAAAGTCATGGAATGTTCTTAGAATGTGTCTGTCTTTGTTCCTTGCAGGGGCATGTCTGGTTCTAGAACAAACAGTCGAATTCCAATACGACCGCCAGCTAGCGACTCCAATGCAATGGAACTATACGCCCCGTTCCAAACAATCTGCATCCAATGCAGCTCATTCTGGATCCGCCACCAATCCGGAACAAAACGAACCAGGAAGCTGTCCGTCCTACATCAGGCTGCTGACCAGGCCCCACAGTGCCATCCTGTCGTCGAGTGACCTTCGCCGTCGTGGTTTGCTTGGGTCCAGCCGATCTGCAGAGTTTATGCAGCACCGGAACCAGGTCTAGGATAGTTTTGGTCCACCAATCGACTCCTCGAGTGGCTGCTGGGTCTGGCTTCGGTGCTTTTCTCTAGTCTGACTGAAAGAACCGGACTCTAGTGACACCATCTTGAAGACCCGTCGAGATGGTGTCCGGGGGGTTTATCTTTCTTTGTCTTGTGGCTGGGGTCCACCTCGGTTTACGTGCCACGACTGACGCTTTTAGTTCTGCAGGAGTCGAAGGAGAGTAACCGGGTCATACAGAGGTCCCACTATGGCATTTAAGGAGCTTGTTTATCCCGGGGGAGGACACAGCGGTTTCACTGTTTTGCGGTGACAGGGGACGTCGACGTGTCAGGGTTTAAGAAGTCACCTGCTTCTGGACATTCACTGTTTGTCTTTTCCACCAGTGAATAATTCGACTGCAATCTTGTCTACTTCTGGTCGACACCCTCTTTATCTCTGGTCAACTCCTGATTTCGCCAGAGACAACAATCTCGCCCTCATGAAGGATCCTGAGAAATCCATCGTCCCTCAGGACGGCAACGTGGACGCTATCACCATGGCGGTCCCTGACGGCTCCTCTCTCCTGACCCAGATCAAGCAGTCCAGACTGACCGTCGCGTATTGTCTGGCGTTGGCGTCAGGCATCGTGCTGTACGGCTATGACCTGGTTATTGTCGGAAATGTCTCCTCGATGCCGGCATTCCAGTGAGTCCTCCTTCCACCCCAAAACGCCGTCCACGATGGGCTTCCACAGCACTGGCGAAGAGGGAGCAATATGTAGCTAACTCTTCCAGACGCGACTATGGTAGCACCCTGCACGGAAAACTCATTATCCCCTCCATGTGGCTCAGCCTCTGGAACGTGGCCAACCCCATCGGCGGCATCATCGGATCCATCACGGCGGGCTTCGTGCAGGACAGACGAGGCCGTCGCTTCGCCCTGGCCCTCGCAACCATCATATCCGCCATAGGCGTCGCCGTGGCCTACGTGTCTAACCTCTCGGACGAGATCGACACCCGTCGTGGCGTCTTCTTCCTCGCCAAGTTCGTCCAAGGCTTCGCCGTCAACATGGTGATGTGTACCGTCCAAACTTACATGTCCGAGGTCCTCCCGCGCACCCTCCGCGGGCCCATCCTCTCCTTCTTCCCGCTCTTCACCCTCCTCGGGCAGCTCATCGGCAGCGTCGTCGTCAAGAGCCAAGCCAAGCACCTCTCCTCCATCGGCTACCGTCGCTGCTTCATCTCCGAGTGGCCCTTCTCCGCGCTCCCTCTCGTCGTTGCTATTCTCATCCCCGAGAGCCCCACCTATCTCATCCGCAGGAACCGCATCGACGACGCCCGTCGCGCGCAGCAGCGTCTCAGCGGTGCAGGAGCCCACGTAGAAGCCAAGATCGACGAACTCCGCCTGTCCATCCGCCTCGAAGAGGAGCAAGCCAACAGCCACCCCACCACCTACTGCGAGTGTTTCCGCGGCACTAATCTCCGTCGTACCTTGATCGTCGTGTACGCCAGCGCCGTGCCCGTCCTGTTCGGGCTGGTGCTTCTCGCGCGCGCTAGCTACTTCCTGCAGATAGTCGGCATGAACGCCGATAACAGCCTCATGTGTCTGGAGGTGGGCATTGGCATCGGCCTCGCTGCTAATATTCTCAGTCTCTGGACGCTGTCGCGCTTCGGTCGCGTTCCGCTCCTTCTGACTGGGCTGGGCATAACCACCGTCCTTTGGACGACGATGGGCATCGCGGGTTGCTTCTCCGGCATTGTCACCGTGTGGTAGGTCCCCCTCTACCTATCTGTATCTAGGGTTTGAGTAACTAACTGGCTATGTGATACGTGTAGGTGGACAGCAGCCATAACATGGGCTGTGATAGGAGTCTGCGGCGCCGGTGCCTGGCCAGCATCCTACGCTGTCAGCGCAGAAGCATCGTCCCTCCGCCTGCGAGCCAAGACCCAAGGCCTAGGATGGTTCACAAACTGCTTCGCGAATGGCGTCTTCGGCGTCGTGCTGCCGTACATCTTCAATCCGGATAAGGGAAATCTGCGCGCCCGGACTGGCTTCGTCTACACCGGGCTCTGTATCGTCACCTGGTTGGGAGTGTGGTTCTTCATTCCCGAGATGAAGAATCGCAGCCCCATCGAGATCGATCAGATGTTTGAAAGACGGCTTCCGGCTAGACAGTTCAAGCGCTGGGCTGTGGTCGATGAGAGTGATGCTGAGGGAGGGGAGGCGCGTCGTCCGTCGGAGTGAGGTCCTTGTAGTTTGTTTTGTTTTCTTTCCTGCTGCTGGATTGGGGGTGAGCTTGGTCGATGATGGGTTTGCTGTGTGCATGGTATTAATCATGGTGTCCTTTCAATGCCGTGGTTTTACTGAGTGCACAGCATGGATCATGACGACCTTTCGATGAACTTCTAGACACAACGGGATTGAACCATCATGGTTTTTGACGGCCTCACCGCGAGGTTTATTCTAACCCGTGAATTACATTACAATCGTTATTCGTTCCTCGCGTAGTTTTGTGGAATCACTCATCTCTAGTAGAGATGCCGGAACAGACAAAATTTCACCAAGTCTGAACCACAGTCACCAGACTCAGAAATGCAATGCATGTCTATTTTAGTATCGTCTATATCATAGTCTATAGCTCGTGTCTCTTTCAGCCCAGCTACTACAGGTCTATCTTAGGCTCTGCTCCCGAAAACCTTCTCATACCCTACCAGAGTCACCCGGTACCGGGCCTTGCCGTTGTACACCTTCTCGACGGCCTCCTTGCAACCCTGTTCGCTGATGTCGATGGTCTCCACCCAACTGTATCTGGTCAGCATACCTTCTACACCTGTAGAAGGGGAAGATCGACGACTGCTCACCTCTTCACGTTCTGCTCACTGGCCAGCTTGAACATGTCCTGCACCTCCGTGCGGCTGCCGATGTGGCTGGCGGAGATCGCACACCCGGTCGACATCATGTCCTGCGTCTTCAAAGGAGGGAATGGGCGATCGGAGATGCCCACCGTGTGGAAGGTCCCGTTGATTGTCAGAGTGCCGAAGTACGCGCCCAGATCAAAACGGTCCGTCGCGTCCGTCGTGTTGAGGATGTAGTCAAACGTGTGCTTCCACGGCTCGTGCCACTTCTCGTCCGCGGTGCAGATGAAGCCTTTCGCCCCGAGGGCCTTGGCATCCTCCGCCTTGTGGGGGGAATGCGAAATGGCGTAGACGTCGGCTCCCATGGCAGCCGCGAATAAGATGCCGAAATGACCGAGTCCACCACTTCGAGTCATGTTAGTTGGGGATAGTTATAGAGGTTGCGAGACGGCACTTACATTCCAACCACACCAACCGTCTTACCTGGTCCGATCTTGGCGCGCGAAAGAGGACTGTAGCAGGTGATGCCCGCACACAGCATGGGTGCGGCGATGCTGGACTCGATGCTGTCGGGGATGGCAAACACGAAGTACTCGTGGGCCCGGATGTGGCTGGCATAGCCGCCGTATGCCATGGACTTGTCCGGGTAGTAGCAGTTATAGGTATCTGCTCCTTGGTTAGCATGCTGGGTCATTGAACCAGGAATACTTGGATATGCCTACCGATTTGTTGGGGGCAGTAGTTTTCATTGCCCGACTTGCAGATCTTGCACTCCAGGCACGCCCCGACCTGGGCACCGACGCCCACGCGGTCTCCGACCTTGACCGTCGAGGCCTGCGGGCCGACTCCGATCACCCGACCGATCACCTCGTGTCCGACACAGACGGGCAGGTGGGCCTGGCCCCAGCCGCCGGTGATGGTGTGGACATCGCTGCCGCACACGCCGCACGCCTCAATGGCAATGTCCACGTCGTGCTCCCCGAGGGGCTTTGGCTTGAACTACACAACACGAGGCTTAGTGGGAGGACTTCAAAATTGGCTCAGGCCGAATTACCTCCTGCTTCTGGAATTTGGTCCACTCCTCGTGGGAATTGACCATGAAGCCTTCGAAAGTGTCGGGGTAGACCATCTTGATGCGGGGAAGGCGGATACGGTAGGGGACAAGCGACAAGTTTGCGATTTGGGTATCGATAGAACCCGTCGGATTCTTGGTTTGCTTTATACATGTTCGAGTCCGCTGCGATCCCCGCGGGGTATTTTCCCAATGGAGAAGAGGCCTCCGTTTGAGTGGATGATGGCCCGCTACGACTACTAACGCCACCAGGACCCCATCGAGAACGGGTCGGGTAGGTATGAACGGAGTCAAGAATGGGCCTTGGTGAAGGCTGTAGGGGCAGAGTCGGCTCGGACTAGACCCCAATTGGTGTGGAGCGCACCGCGATTCGACCATGGTGCCATGCCACGGCGGGGGAAAGTCCCCTAATCTCGGCACGCACCACACCGGCTCCATTACCCCGCGCTAGGCCTGTGGAAGCCGATACAGCAGTCGGCCGAAGTGGATATATTTTCAGTAGCAACGATCTGTTGGCCCCGGGCGTAGCTTTTCAGGTTGGTGGATATGTTGGAATGAGAAGAGACTTGAGACTACATCATGAGCGGGTGTTTTGCTATAAGACTCGCGAGGGAAGCGATGTATATGGCCTGTCGTACTGCTTCGAGATAACCGTCTCAAAATTAGGAGCAGATGGTTCTGGAATCTCCTGGACGCCATCGCGACCCGCTATCATCAATCGCTCTTCATGAATATTCTGTCTCGCCGACTGTAAGATCCGGTGGGGCCAAGTACGCGGGATTGAGCCTGACCGGTTTATTGGTCGTCAAACTCCTCACCCTCATCATCAGCTAGGACGCTATCCCACCACGTCATGGTTGGAGCAAAATCTGGGAGTCTGTGGGTTCCTCTTGGCTGGATTCGATCACAGTCGAATTCGTAGTCGCTCTTTTGATGACCCTTGGGCATGTCGAGTTCCTCTTTCCATAGTTAGAAGGGTAAGGATGGTCATCCGATGCTTATGATGGATGAGACATTGATCAAAACGAATGGGTCTTTGGGGATGGATGACGAGGTGAGATAGTGAGGGAAAGAAGGGGAGAGAAAGAAGTTGAGGTGAGAGAGAGAGAGAGAGAGAGAGAATAGGATGACCAGGTGACTTGTTTGCCTGTTTTGTTTGGTACATCTGGATGTCGGCCTGGTGGCCTTACGTCTTCAATCCTCCATCCAGAATCATCATTCAGTGGAAAAAATATTAATTTTATTATATATCACCATCCCTTCAGTTGGATGGGCCATCATTATAGTAGATCCATGACACGGATGCCATGGATCAAGATTACATACACCAGGAGATTCATCATCATGAGTCTAATACGTGAACGCATCAGTCATTGATCAGGCCTGCCTGCCAGAACCAAGTCACTGCAGGGACGACAACTGTCGTCCGTATTTACACGACCGTCCGCGATAGTTTCGAACGAGCCGACGAGGGGTTTCGGGAGATGTCATCCCTTAGACCGTCTCCGTCGCCTGCGTCGTCTCAGGGGCACCCTCCCGCGCGGCGGCAGTCTGTACGATTTGCTCCTTCGCAACGGTCTTGTCGTGCAACTGTCGGGCATCGATAATGGATTGGACCGAGGTGGCGAGGAAGAGGACACTGTGGGTAGGATCAAGGTTAGATGAATGCAACCGGGTGAGAATCCACGCGAAGGAAAGTAGCATACCATTCGACGGCGGTGATAACCACAACCGCCTGCGTCGCCTCGCAAGCAGCGAATTTGCACTCGCTGGCGGGCGGCAGATCCACTCCCTTCAAGATAAGGCCCACCAGCAACATGATGAACGTGCTGATCTCCACCACGGGGATGACGAGGTAGTGGGCGAGTCGGGGGAAGTGCACCGGGGCCAGACCGAGATAGGACGGCGCGATGAAACCGGTCCAGATTCCGAGGAACAGCATGAATTTCGTCACACTGTCGAATTTATAGACCGCCAACGCTGTACTCGGTCAGTATCTGGCTCGTGCGAACCCGGGAAGACTGGAGGAGACCTACTGTAGATGATCAGGGCGAAGATGGCAATGCCCAGGAGGACCTGGCAGAGCCGGATGGGCGTCACCCACCCAGTGCGAGCCATGATTGCGAGACGGCTGAGATCGTGAAGTTGATGGCGTGAAGAAACCGGGGAGTTGGTCCTAGCCGCAAGGTATCCGACGGTCGACAGGAAAAGCAAATGGGTGACCCAACCGACTCAAAGAGACGCTGCCTGGTGGGCATGCCCATGCTTTAAGATGGACGGGGGGCGGGTGGGTCTTCAGACAAAAGTCGTCCGATGATAACATAGTGATGGTCGATCACATGGAGAGCGGCCCCAGGGGAGTCCCGTCTATGGAGTCTGGAGTCTGGAGTGAATTGAAGTCCATCAATTGCTTCATTTGGGCGGGAGACCCAGTCACTATCACGTCGTTCAACCAGGACATCGACAGTAGATTTCGACGCAGGGATTCCAGGATACTAATTCCCTCCGAACCAGGTTGGTCACCTTCTGACGTGGAATGGAACTAGCATTGACGCTATTACCTAGGAATGATTCCCAGGGCGAAAAGCTTGGTGTCAAAGGAGAAAGATCAGCAGTGCATGTGGGCGGGCGTGCCTCGGTCCCTTCCTGGCTCGGTTTAGTGTTGGTGGATTCATTGGTTCCCCGTGGGTAAATTTTTACAATATTCATCCTACGCGTTGTCGATCCCTTCCAGTCGAATCTCCCGACGAGAAAACCAGTTTTGAGCGTTCTCGTTGTTCCCCGTGGGACCGTGATCAACCCTCCATTTCAGAATCCGCAATCCGCAGGTTCACACGATTCGGATTTCATCTCGAGTAGCCTCTCCCATCCCGCAATATTTAAAGCAGCGCGAAACACCATTGAGACAGTCTACCCCAGACGGAAGCAGTTGGAGTCCAGCGGATGTCTCCAGAAGTGACAAGTCTGCTATTGCTATCCTCGCGGCCGGACAAGAGCAGCAGCAGAGACAAGCATGGTCGTCGAGGTGCTAGTTAGTTGAACGGAGCATCATCCATGTCCGTCGCAGCATCCATTATCACCAGAGCAGTTAAAATGCGGTCGCTCATGGACATCCATGGGAGTCAATTGGGCCATCCCCAACAGGGCGTCCCCACTCAGTGTCGAGCTCTTCGCGCGGCCACACACGCCATAACCCGTGTTTCCCCCTCCCCCATCCATATTTGCGCTTCTGAGTTTGGTAGAGCGCGTGAGAGACATGTGGGCTGAACTCTCTCCGGCTTGTTAACCCCAGACCAGGCCAGCCATGGATTGCCGATCGTCAGCCGTTTATGCGCTCGGAAGTTCGCCCGGACACTCCGTGACTCCCCGAATGAGACCCCTCAACTAAAGAATTCACGCTGTAGGTATGCGTTGCCCGATCCATCCCACCTATAGCTACCATCTATCAAGATCAAGTTCAGCCTGCGGGGAAGAATGATCGATGAGTCTCTCGTATACAACAGCTCTTGTCTGAACGTGTGGGGAATGGATTGTCGACTAAACCTCCTAACCGAGAGTCAATCCTTCGCATGCACCATTCTGCTCTTTTGGCCCAGCGTTCTTGCCACCGGCTAGGTTCTGACACGATTTTCCTCTCTTGACACTATGAAAATTGTAGCGTTGGGGAAGCGTTTGGGTGACTTGCGTCATCCTTTCTTGGAGGTGGACTTGAGTGGTGTGAACCTGCAGTGATATAGCTTGTCATTCAACTGTCGTCATTGTTCTGGACATGCCCAGCAGTATGATATAATAGATTGTCAGATCTTGAACTCTGATGATGCAGACCAAGAATAGAGCTTCTGATTACAATGATTGTTTTCTCAAAGCAGATTGGGATACATTCCTGGATGATTTGCCCAGATGGAAACTTGTACAAAAACCTCTTGATTATACTACTTGTTCTACTGCTGCGCTCTAGCTCTCATGTGCCAGATAACACTGGGTCAAAAGACATATATATTTCTCCTAGTCTCCATGTTTTTGCAACTATCCACGCCTTCTTTCGAGTCCTAAGATTTATCAATATCATCAAAAATTTCGACCGGTTTCATCATTTGTCCCACAACATCTAGCCATTAGTTGTAGCCAGACACCCGACATCTTAACTATATAATAATGTGCTGGTTGGATGAAGGGCACGCATCGGAAGCCCATATGTCTACACCTTCCATAACTATTAGTCATACCACACGTGACCTCGAGACATGACCGTCCAATCTTTCACTGCATGTTAATCTATGCCCTTCAACCCTTGGTCGTCGACGAACATATCGGACAACGGTATTTGCAACCTATTTTGGTCCTTTATGCGATCGAAACCCTACAGGCGGTCGTTGTAACTAGCAAGGATATTCCCATGTCGGCAATCCACAAAACAAGTGAATCGACATATATTTTCCTAGATATCAAAGACAACACTCTAGATGACATTGACAAGGCTTCACATGCGGATATTCGACTCGATTCTGATTTAGATAGCCCGCGCTACGGGCTTGGGGCTCTCGAGAAACTTCCTCTAGAAATTGTCCACCTGGCGCTCGTCCGCCTTGACGTGCGGTCGCTGACTGTTTTCGGACGCGTCAACAAGAGAGCAAGGCTGGTAACGAACTCGATTCCTCAGTTTAGACGCATCCTCGTTCACGCACCCGCGTTGATTCGCGGGAGCCTCAACATAGAATCTGCGCGGTTCTTTTCATGCCAGGACCTATATAGGAAACTATCTACGGCTGAGTGCGACAGTTGTGGCGACTTCGGCGGATACCTATACCTGGTCACGTGTCGTCGCGTTTGTTTCCTATGCTTTACTGCGAGGGCCGACTACCTTCCCCTATCACGGAAGGATGTAACACGCAAACTTGGACTTGACTCCAAACATATAGTGCTTCTGCCTCACATGAAGAGCTTCCCTGGCCGTTATTCGCCTAGAGCGATCAAATGCCGACGACGGGAAACCCTATTCGACTATTCTGCTGCACGACAAGCTGGAATAGCCATCCACGGCACGGTTGAATCCATGGAAAAATACGCTTTAGAAATGATATCCAAAAAACTGGAGAATTACAATTTGAAATTATCTGGTAGCAGGACAGGTGGAGCGCATCTGCGGCCTCCCAGATACGAAGACCTTTTCGATGGACACTGTTCTAACCCCAGGCGCTTCATGGGCATCATACGTGCTCCGTACTTTGACAGCCAACTGCCATCCCCCGAATGGGGCCTTCATTGCATTGCTTGCAAATCGCATCATTATCGTCGACCAATACATTGGCGACGGAAGTATACCATAAGTGGGTTCCAGGACCATGTGAGAGAATGTGGAGAAATAAAAGACGGGCAACATGTCCCCTCAATAAATGTAGAAGCGGTGTGATCTGAAGAATTTATGATCAAATCGTATGCATTTCAGGAGACAATGTATAATAACTGCCAGCAGATCAGAATCTATATATCGGTACGTCTCCCAGTTATTCATGTTGCTCGCTCAGTATTCTCTTTCTTGCGTCAAGAGTTATTGGAACAATACTTTGATGTCTTGGTCGGCTCCATTATATATAATAGTGGATGATTCTATCAGTGATCCGTGTTAGCATGTCTTATCTTGACCAGCCAACCAACAACACCAATTCGCGAGTGGTAAGGTCTTGTTGTCCATCATATTTGGCCTGAGTATGATTATGACCAATAGGAAGGAATAATACTGCTTAGTAGTCACCACGAATAGACAAGTATCCTCCTACGTGGACAATCACAGTGTATGTCGGAAGGACTGAGGCGGGTCCTGATATCATGACACCACTCGAGACAATATACCATGCTGTGATATGCCAATAAACGATAGAATCTGATAGATCATATTGACTGACAGATCTATGTACGGAGTAGATCAAGAGCTTATCTATAGAGAGTAGTAATAATTATAATTCAATATGCTTAGTGAAAGTCAAAGACCTGCTGAGTCCACCGTTTCCTCTGCATGATACTCATCAGGGGAATAGTAACTGGGACTGATGACAGTTTTGTCCAGTAGTGATGGTGATCATGACTATCATAATCAATATTTGGTCTATGACTGCATCTATCAAGACCTCTCAGTGTGGTTCTCAACCCAACGGACATGATACGACCAGAATGGATCCCTGATTGCAATTCCAACAGTCCTGATCAGGCGGGGTTTCAGCCTCTTGGTTTTATATCTTCATCTTATCCTTGAACAATCTCTCCACAGAATTACCCCCTGACCAGGTTTCATTTCAGTTAATCTAATTAGGTTTTTTCAAGGCCCCCCTGCAGATCAGTCAGCCCAAGTGGATCTGCAATAAGATCATGCACAAAGCCGGCCTCATGGTCCTGAGGAAGCTCCAGTATTTAATCACTGCCGTCTGCAGCTCGCCGCATCCCAATGTGTCAGTATTACGTTGGAGAAAACCTCGAATATGGTAGTATAACCGTTCCAGTTGGTCAAATGAGACATCATGATACTTAGTAGTGTAACTTGTCCCATGATTGCCCAACAATATCACGCCGTTCCTGCAGGATCCTTGCCCTGATCGTCCCTTGAGACCACAGTCATAACCAACAAGGTGAACGTGGATGATCCACGAGTCTCAGTCCGGTTCTCATTCTATCTGCTTGGCAAGTATCGATTGGGAAAGGGGCCCCATCCTGGTCCCACTAGGATCTTGGGTCTCCACCGGTAGGGTTCCCTGGTTGTCCAGCGACATTCTCCCCGATGATCACCGAGAACATACTCCGTCTTTCAAGCAGAGACAAAGAAAACAGAGACCGTCGAGCGGATGGCGTGTGATCCTGGCTCATATGAATCCTTTCATCCAGCCTCGTTTCCTTCCCCCTGTCAGCTTCCCCTGTCTGAAGCGCGGGGTATCCTCCGATCGGAGCATTCATTTAGGTTTGTTAGCTCATTTTCTTTTGTTCGCTAAGGAGTCATGCTGGCGGAGGGACCGACAAGGATGTTAGGCCTCTCTCCCTGTGATACAATCCTTGTCTACGGTGGTGCACGACTCGAGCGTCTACACCCTCTGATTGACAGTGTCAACACCATCAGTCCAAATCCATGAGGAATATCAAGCTACCTAGATGGGTGGTGGCTCAGTCGCCCCCACGTGGATGGACGCCAGGATAGTCATTCACAGAAGCATTGTTCTCATCTCGTCCGGAGTCTGGACAAACAAACACATGGAGGTGTTGCGCGTGGTGGTGGATCCCCCGCGACGAATCAACTTGCACAAGGAGTCAATAGTGCGATCGATCAGAGATTTTGGGGGTCGAGTCATTCCAAATAGTGGGGCCAACAGGGCCGTACCGGGCCAATCGACGATATTCGGTCTGTGCCCTGATGGTTGGCTTTGATATCCTTCCATTCCATCGTCTGTCCGCCTGGTCCGCCTTGAGTCAGGGCTCCATCCTTAAGACGAGCTGGTCTCGTCCTCGTGGGAGAGGAGAGCTCTGCAGACCCAACTTCTCACACGCTCGTTAATTCTTCTTCTTTCCTTCTTTTGATATCTGTCTAGGGCTCACCATGGGTTCCGAGTTGGGCATTAGCGCCGCGTCCAAACCTCACCCATCATACGACCCAGTCAGTATCTGGTGGGCATGCTGGGCCGGCGTCTGGACGGCCGCAGTCGTGGCCGGCGTGGCCTATCTCATCGTCCATCGTCACTCGCCCATCCTGCGCATCCGCGGTCTCGGTTTCTCGCTCGGCGCCATTGTGTTCTTGCATATCTACTGGGCCAGTCTCCAGTTCGGAACGATGATCGGGCCCATCATGCCCGGTGACGCGCAGTACTGGCTCATGGGCACCTACCTGCCCTGTGGGTTGGCCTTATTCCACGCCTCGAACACCCGGTTCCTGCATGTCGCCCAGATGCAGAAGCGATACGCCCACCCGGACGACCCCTTTGTCGCCCCGATGACGGATTCCTCGCGCCGTGACGGCTGGATGGGCCGCTTTCGCCGTCGCGGCTACACCACGCGGTCTCTGATCATCGTGGGCGTCGCCATCGCCCTGCAGCTGTTTCTCACCCTGCTCATGTGGCTCATTTCCCGCAAGTTTCATCGCACCTGGGGCATCCCAGGCACCGAGGTACACGGGACTCCGATGGAGCAGTTGACAGCCATGGGTCAAGGCTGGGAATGGTAAGCACAACACCCGGCCCAAGGTGGAGATTCCGCTAATTGATAAGGTGGTCCACCATCGTCGGACAGTTCTTCTGGGCCTGGGTCGTGGGCCCTATCGTCCTCTGGAGGGCGCGTCACATCCGTGATACGCAGGGCTGGCGCACGCAGACCATCGGTTGCGTGCTTGTCAGTCTCCCTGCCACGCCCATGTGGCTGATCGCGCTTTACGTTCCCGCCATGGAGGTGGTGAACAAGTACTTTATTCCGCCGCAGTGGTTAGTCTTATCATAGTGGATGAACAAAGGATCGAACTGACTGTCTAGGATCTGTCTCTCCATCATCGGACTCGAGATATTCACCGTCTTCCTCCCTTGCTGGGAAGTGATGCGCCACCAGACTCTCTGCCAAGAAACGCTCGACGCCATCGCCCAGTGGGAGGCCAAACACCGCGTCGGAAAAGAGGGATCGGCTATGAGCGAGGTCACCACGGCAGTCGACTCAATCCTGTCCGGCAGCCACCAGTCCTCCACCGGCTCCGCCGAGACCAAAAGCAGCGCCCGCGACAGCATCCTGACCATGGGCGCGCTGGAGCTCGTCCTCGACCGCAACCCCGCCCCGCTGCAGCACTTCGCCGCCCTTCATGATTTCTCCGGCGAGAACGTCGCCTTCCTGACCCACGTCGCCGCATGGAAAGTCCCCTGGCTGCCGCCGACAGGTCCGACGTCCGACGACCCCGACGACCCGCTCCTCCGTGACGCGTTCCGCCGCGCCCTGCACGTCTATGTGACGTTTGTTAGCGTCGCGCACGCCGAGTTCCCCATCAACCTCTCGTCGCAGGATGTCCGGAAACTGGACCGCGTGTTCGAGGCGCCCGCGCGCCTTGTCTATGGCGACCACGCGGCGACGGACCCCGCCACGCCATTCGACGGGTGCACCTTCGACGTGCCCCCCTCGCCGACCGGGTCCGGTGAAGGGGACGAGACGCTCCTCTCGAGCGCGCCGATGTACTCGGGCGCGGTGCCGGCGGGGTTTAGCGCGAGCGTGTTCGACGATGCCGAGGAGAGTATCAAATACCTGGTTTTGACCAACACGTGGCCCAAGTTCATCAAGTACCGACGGAGCTCGACAGATAGGAGCAGTCTGGGGACTGATATTGTCTAGCGAGCCTTTTCATTCTCTCCTTTCTGTTTCTTTTATTAATTCGAAACGATTATCACTCTTCAGGTATCACGAAGCGGGACTGTACATAATGCGGGGGCAGCTGGATGGTTGGATTGGGTGGATATAATGGAGATACCCAAGCGTGATGTGACATAATTGATCCTAATAATGTATGATCTATCGAGGCGTATAGCAGGACAGCTGTCTGTCTGTGGCTGCTGCGTAGCTTGATATTGTCGTCTCACTTGTACCACTGTCTTAGACACACTGACCGGTCGGATTGGTTCTGTAGCCAGACTAACGCTCTGATCCTCGCTCAGAGATGGGGGGATATGAGAAGACCAGGTAATTGGCATTGGCGCAGTGAACAGGACTGGATCAGACCGATCGGTTAGCCATGATTGGCGGATGGGATCAGATGCTGACGATTGATATCCAGACCAGAGCAAACAGGGGTGCATGAATCCATGGATTCAGTGCTGGAGAAGAAGTGATTGAGTACAGAGAATTAAGGAGTCGACTAGGGCTTCAGTCCAGAAGACCTAACCTGCATCTCCTTCTGTCTCCCAACCGACCTCTTTGGAGCTGTCATATTCTTGGGATTGAAACAAAAGCTTATCTGGGTCTGTCGTATTCTACTAGTGCTGATTTGACGGCGCGGCGTGAACAGACGAGGATTTCCCTGCTAAGCCAGCCTTATTCTCCTCTCACACTATCGTTCTCATTCCGTGTTGGCTGGCGGCGAGGAGAGAGCGTGGGATCCACAATCTGACGCCACGACGGCGCCCACCATCGGTTAGCCCGATTGATTGGATGGAGGAAGTTGTTTCCCCGTCCACCGCTGGGGGATCTGAGATTGGAGAGCTCTGTGGGTGACACGATGACTCTCCTCGACGCGCTGACCCACCTTGCTCCTCATGCTGGATTCGGCCGTTCGTATGAGACAGCTCGATCCTGCGTTCAGACCGTCTGATGTATCAACCGGATACTGACTGACTGGATTAGTCCGTGAAACAATCCGAGGACAGTTGATTTAGCTAATTGGAGAATTCAGGAGATTTTGCAATAGCATGATATGAAGTTGCACTCCAGATCCTCCTCTATTTGATCTGTATAACCAGTGCAGATGTACGACACGTGCTATTCCTCAAATGGTGGAAGACTCGATCCCAAAAGGGAAAAAGACGAACAGACGCCCGAAAACAGTTCAGGCGACAGATCTAGCCCAAGGGATCCGTTGAAGGATCAGTGAAAGTCCCAGTATGAGTGATAAGATCAGCCCTAATAGAGACAAGATCACCACGGGTCTCCGGGAACTCCGTTGAGCTGGATCCATTCTCCTCTCAGTCTATACTCTATTCCTGCATTGCGAGGACGGTCTCTTTTATCTAGAGTAGCATAGACCAAGAGGCGGAGTAACCGACAGAATGGAGAGGAGAAGCAAGGACGAGAAGATGGGAATAGTGGCATCTGACTGGTGGGCAGCCCCTCTTTCAGGCGTCCCAGCACGCCTTTTCCTCTGATTCTGCATCCTGCCGGCCACATCCTCCCAGCTGAACGTTGTGAGTCCTTGGCATCTCTTTTCCTCTTTTGATTTTCTGTTTTCCTTTTTTTTCCTGGTGTTTTTGTCCAAAAGATCCGAGCCCAAACCAGCCCCGATCCGCAGCCAAGTCTCCAGCCCATTCTCCAGCCCCAGTTCTTACAAACAACCTCTATCCTTACCCTATCCACATCAATATCCAACATTCAATATTCAAGCCTCCTTCAATCTCCTCATGGACGCCAAGTAACCCCATCCACTGAATATCCCAGATGAGGTGGACGAGAGTGGCCGCGATCGTTCCGCTCTGGATCGCCCTGTCGGTCCAGCAGCCCAGAGATCCCCTCGACTCATTCTGTCGGATCTTTGGCCATCAAGCGGCCGTTGTTGATCGAAGGTGCCTCCATCAACCCCTCTACTCATCTACATCCAGTCACTAAACTCCTCAGACTCTACGTCGATGGCGGCTTCGTCAATCATGGCTCCCTCCCGCAAGATCCCAAGAACTACACCAGTCTCTCACCCCCTCCCCCCCCCCTGCAGATGATCCAATCTGACCCTTACAGACACCGCATTGCTCGATGCCGACCTCGACGTCACCAATCTGGGCATGCCCGTCCTCCATAGTAACCTGAGCAAACCCAGCAAAGTCCCCGACATCAACGGCGCCATCCTGTGGTCCGACCCCGTCAACAAAATCCTCTACCTCTATGGCGGCGAGTACTCCGAGGGCGAACCGGACCCCTTCGCCCTCTGGGCCTACAACATCGTCTCCAGCAAGTGGAATTCCATGCCCGCTGACCCTGAGTACCGCGACATCCAGCGAGCCAGTTACGGCGCCGGCGCCGTGGTAGAGGGCGGCGAGTTCGCCTACTACTATGGGGGGTGGCTGTCCAACGCCTCGGTGCCCTCGTGGGGATCGACTGAGCCCTTGGCCCTGTCATCCCTCCTGATGTACAACATGGACCAACACACGTGGACCAATTCGTCCGGCCCCGACTCCATCGGTCGCGCCGAGGGCGCGATGGTCTACCTCCCCGCAAGCGACCGCGGCATGCTGGTCTATTTCGGCGGCCTGCAGGTGCCCGAGGGAACAGGAAAGGCCACCCCGCAGCCCATGGATGTAAGATGTTCTGCGGTCGGGTCTCGAGGAGGGCAACGGCGCTGATAAGAAATAGGAAATCCTCCTTTACGACATCGCCAACAGTAAATGGTACACGCAAAAGGCAACCGGCCAAGTCCCCGAGGATAGAAGACGATTCTGTGCCGGGGCGACGTGGGCGTCCGACTATTCCTCGTACAATATCTATCTCTACGGGGGATCGGAGATCTCTGAAGGCGTGGGCTTCGACGACGTCTATATCCTGTCCCTCCCGTCCTTCAAGTGGATCAAATGGTGTGTCTTTCTTCCTCTCTATTGCCAAGAGACCGATTAACAGACCAGGTATCCCACCGAGCCCGGCCCGGGCTATCCCCATCACTCGCTGTCGTGCAATGTCGTAGACGGCGCCCAGATGATGTACGCCCCTGGAACATATCGAGCGTATGGGCCAATCTCTAATCTGTGACAGTATCATCGGCGGCGTCTTCACCAACACCACCATGTGCGACGTGCCCAACGTTTACGCCATGCACAACATGGATCTGGGCAAACAGAACCCGGACTCTTCCCCGTGGTACCAGTTTCGACCCAATCTCACGACCTACAAAGTCCCACCCGAAATTGTCTCCGCCATCGGAGGATCGTACGTCTCTCCCTCCTAAAGCCCACACCAGTCCTGACCTATCTAGTGAATCCGGAAAAGCCAACGTGACCTCCCCCAAGGGCGGCTTTGGCTACCGCGATCTCAACACCTACTTCCAGCGTGTGTATACACCCCCACCCCGAACCCCTAGTCACACCCCAGAAGACGACGATTCTACCCCCGTCGGAGCCATCGCTGGCGGCACCGTTGGCGGCGTAGCCGGGGTCTGCATCATCGTAGGCGGACTGTATCTCTGGCTCCGCCGGCGTCGGAAGCAAAAAGAGACACCTGTCGAAGAGGCTGTCTCGACGCCATCCGCCCCAGAGACGAAACCACCGACGATGTACGAGCTGCCTGGTCAGCGGGAGCAGCCCATCGGGGAGTTGGCCAACACCGCACCGGTGGAGCTGGAATCCCCCGGTGTGACCAAACACTTTTCCCTACCGGGCGATCATCATCAATACCAACATTCACCACTTCACAGCCGCGACCCGTCGAGTCCGTCGGCAGAGCTGCCTGTCTGAATTGCATTAAGAATCTGCGGTGATTGAGGTGACTTGAGTGTTTATAATTTACCGTTACATTGACCTGGGGGATCAGCGGGCGTCGAGGGGGATATGTATTATTTGTCATAAGTAACTATGACGCTGTAATCTTTTAATGAAGAAGACGTACTAAAACTTACACTATCTGTTGCTGGCTTGGGCCTTGAGACGAAGCTGCGTTGTTTATATGATCCTGGATTGATGCCTTCGACATGGGTTTGAGGGTTAACTTCCCTCGGTATTGAATCTGGAAGCCTGTTGTACTACACTACGCATCGGCTATCCACTGGTCCTTCGTACGAGTATATTTAGAAGTCCCACAGACCGAGCACGAGGTGGTCTGTAGTACCATTGATCTATTCCAAGGTTCGCCAATCTTCTTTTGGGGAGTTTAATGTTATTGACATCGCAACTCTGATCCATGGCTTGGGAGAATTCCAAGTCCGGACAGAAGCCTCACAAAAAGCATGGAGAGATCAATGGCGGTTGCCTCCTTGTCATCTGGTACCGAATCCCATCGTTGTCACTTAGTGGCTTCTTTTTCAAAAAGGGGAAGACAGTGTCCAAGAGTTCCAGATATTTGGTGAGAGAGTTAAGCTGCGACTATCAGCTATCCACCTTCGCTACTTACCCCGTTGGATAGACATACATAGTACAGCGTGACCAAAGGCTGTGTCTAGCCACCATTATGGTCACAAATCGCATAGAAAAGGCCATTGCGAAACAAAATGGGCGACAATTGCCCGATGAAAAGTAGGAGCAGAATTGCACTGATCACCGTTAGATAGAAATATGAACCAGAAACAATGTCTTCAGCTTGAATGGCTCCCGATCACGCATGAATCTCCGTCCACACAGAATAATCACATAGTAAGCCAGGATAAATGCCAATGTCTCTTTTAGAGTAGACATTGGCGTCTGTCCTTTCAGAAAGCGAAATTCATCAACGGGATAACCGGCGAAAGTGGCAAAGGCCTTGTTGAAATAGGGCCATAAGGAGACGCCAAATGGCCGGTCAATAGTGGGTATTGAAAGTGAGGATGAAGTTGTATCCATGCTGCAGTTTTCTCTAATCATATTCCAGTGGGAGTCTAGTTATCCCAAAGTATTTTCCAAGAGGGAAGATTCTGAAGGCAGAGCGTGGATACCAAAGTGATAGTCTACACAAAAGAAATGAAATGAAGAAATATGCTAAAAAACAGAACAAAGGGAAACTCGAATTCTAACTCGCCCAGTTCATGATTCCAATATGGTATCCCGACTTGGCTGTAAGCCACCACTCTCATTACTAGCATAAAGCGGTCCACGACCTCATGCAATCTTCTGGTAGTCTCGCCAGTTGTTAATCTGAAGGATGCGCTGGGCCTGGAGGACTGGCGTATCGAAACAGGATACTCGAGTGATCAACAAACTACAGATCACCTCAAATTGGTCCTCATCGTCCAATCCCCAGGTCCCGATCCAAAGGTTTCCAGAGAGGGTTTTGAAGACGTTGGTTGTAATCCAGTCATCTTGACACCCACCCGTGGCTGCGACATGAGAACCGAGCTTTCCATACCTGAGTTATAATCGGGTGTGGCACATCTTCACGACTGGTGCAATGAGCTCGGAGTGTCGATGACTCTTATGTAGCCTTGTGCAGATTGATATAGCCTCCTTTCACAACTATAAAATTGTCGGTGGCTGATGTTCATTATCGCAATTTGTTCAAACTGCTTCGAATGTTAGAGATGTCTTTATAAGACAATCACACGTGGTCTTACTTGGTTTAATATTTAGTGTTCATGAAATCCAGGCGAGATGGTACTTGTGTTAGTGGCTTGATTTCTGGGTCTTGTCAAACATGATTACCAGCAGTGTCTCTCAGCGCTCTGGTCATAGCAGAAGGATCATGGCTGAGGTTGGCTCAAAGGGCGTCATCAGCAATGTTCATTTACAAGGGGGAGGAAAGACAGACATCGATCAAATCTCATGAATGTTACTACTGCCAACAAGCTGGCTAAGACACTGAGTTCGTGGATAGCCGCCGTGGCACCGCGGTAATATCCAGGCACCGACCCCTGGCGAATAACGCCAACGGCTAGTGCGCATGGCTGGGCAGGCATGGATCGTCCGTACCAGTCAGGCTCACAGTACCAAAAAGCCCTGTCTATTGCGAGCAACATTACCGCCTAGGGTGGGTGAGTAGGGGTGCCCTGACGGCACTACTAATATGCGACTCCTCCAGCCACGAGGGAGCCCACGATGTCTTTGTCTTCTGTAGATATTTGACCCTTCCCGTCCCCCTCTCGCTGCCACCCACCGTTCGCCATGCGCCTCGTTCCTGGCCCTCCTGAAGGGATCGCACGGGTGCAGATGGCACATCTCGTCGTCTGGCTCTCCCTGTGCGCGTCTCTGGTCCTGGCCAACTCCAATTGCACGCGGCTGTTCAACTCGGGTGCGTATGCGTCCGTCATTGTCTTTTGTCGAACTAGGAAACTGACCCCCCCAGCCGTCATCAATAACCAAACACTGTATATCGATGGTGGGGACATGCACACGCTGTTGCCCAATGGGTCCATCCCCAAATCCGCAAGTTTGTGTCCCTCCTCCCTCTCTCCCTCTCCCTCTCCATCCGGGTACGGGACCTGGAGTCTCACGATCCAGGCAGACTAATCAGACCTAGTTCGAGACCTCCAGACCGTGGATCTATCCAGGTCGTGGCAGAACTCAGACGACGACCTCTTTACCTACATCCGGAAACCGCATGACAACTCCGACACCGACGACAATCCCCCCTGGTTGAATGAGGGTGCCGCCTGGTCCAATGGACAGGACCTCTTCTTCTACGGCGGCTACCTGAGCGAAAAGGCCGGGATCTCGGTGCCCCCACTGGCCACATGGCGATACGATATCGCGGCCAAAAATTGGACCCGCCGCGGTTTCTGGGGCACCCCGCTGGTGCGACTGTGTCAAGGCGGCGCCGTACAGTCCTCCGTCGACCAGATGGCATACTACCTCGGGGGCTCGCTGAATCCGGCGGGGAACCCGACCTTCATCAATACCCCCGGCGCAGACGTGTACATGGACCCGGGCCTGATCGCCCTGGACATGAATACCCTCGAGTGGACCAACGCGTCTACCGCCGACATGAACACCTGGGGCACCATCGGCGACGGATACGTCGGTCTCATCGACTCGGTAGGGAAGCGAGGTCTACTGGTAGCGTTTGGCGGGTACACGTACCCCGTCGGCCAGAAGCTTTCCTTCCTGGCAGCGCGGCAGACCAAAGAGACGAATCAGGTGAATCGATCTGCGCTAGGTTGTATCCGAAGTCGACGGGCTGACAAGAACAGAACTCAATGGAGACCGTCCGCGTGTACGACATCGACAAGCAGCGGTGGTATGACCAGCAGACGTCGGGCGACATCCCCCACTGGCGCATGGCCGGCTGTGCCGTCGTCGCCCCGGCCCCAGATCTGTCATCTTACTCGATGTAAGTCCTCTCCATCGCCGCGCTCGATCGCCCGATCACCTGCTCATCCCGGCAGTTACGTCTTTGGCGGCATGGCAGCTAAGACCAAAGACTCCGACGGCAACGTCTACGTGCTCTCGGTGCCCTCGTTTCGGTGGATCAAAGTCTACGACGACCACGTCCTGCGATACAAGCACAAATGCGTGCTCGCGCAGAAGCACACCATGCTAGCTGTCGGGGGCATCATCCCCGTCGACGACATGGAGTACTACCCGCAGTCGCGAAACTGCGACAGCTCCACCTTCGCCAATGGGATCGGCATCTTCGACCTGCGTAAGCTGTCCTGGATGAGCAACTACAATGCCGACGACCATGGCGAGTACACTATCCCCTCCAAGATTGTGGATGTGATTGGTGGGAGGTACGTCTGCGCTCTGACCCCATTCCTCATTGTCTCCACTATTAACATGAGCAGTGAAACCGGGGGCGCGACCCTGTCCAAGCCCCAGCATGGGTTCAACAGCAGCGATCTAGAGAATCTATTCAAGCAGCGCTCTGTCCGGCCCACCGCGAGCGTGGTCGCCAATCCGACCGGCTCGCCATCGTCGAGCCCCAAGCCTACCGCGGGGACGGGCCACACCCTGTCCGGTGGGACCATCGCGGGCGCTGTGGTGGGGGCCGTTGCCGGGGTGGCCCTGTTAGCAGGGCTGGTCATGGCGTGGGTGATCGTGCAAAGACGCCGCAAGGAACAAAAAGCCGCTCTCCAGGATGGTCCCCCCTGGGCGAAAGGCGCGTCCGATACGTGGATGTTCGCGCCGCGGCGGCCGCCAGAGGAGCTCGATGCGGCGCCAGTGTACGAGCTAAGCCATGAAAGGCAAGAGACGTGGTGCGGCGCAGCTTTTCGGGCGGAGATGCCCACAGAGGCGAACCAAACGCCAGAGATGCCAGCCTCGCGAGATCGATAGGGGTTGTTGGAGGTGATTGATCTATTTGGGCCGAACAAAGACTCGCTTATCTGTATATAGGGGCCCTACCACATGGCGGGTCCAGTAAACCAATAGTAATTGACCGTGTTCGTACCCTCCTTTTCCCAGCGCTGACCACATGGGCTTTTTTGGCCTAGTTGATGGACCATGTACCACATACACCGTAAATATCAAATGTTCATCCCTTGAAGTCCAGGGTCATATATTCGAGCACCTGGGAATTGGTGCGACCTCAGCGGGTGACAGATCTCCACGCCCTTTTCCTCCTGAAACGATGGGCGCAAACTCTGCGGGTGATCGACTTCCTTCCGTCTGTCTCACGTGAAAGAGCCTTCCCTTCCCTTTCGAAAGGATAGGGGCAGGGAGAGGCAATGATACGGCGTATACGAAGGAGGCGTCTAGTGCGTCATCGGATTGGCTGTGTCCAGTGGGCCCTCCCTCTCCTATCGTCCAGACTTTGCCACCCATTGTGTTGAGATACCGAACACTAAATACAGAACATGGAACGGTGTGTGAATGTGCTGTAGAGTTATTGAAAGATGTTGGTGACGTGATCGGTATTCCCTCCGGAATAGTGGTTTCGCCCTTGGGCCGTCGTCTTGGCGGCGGGTAGGCCACCAGTCGTGCGACAGCCTAATGCTTCTTCTGTTGGTGGCTTGTAGGGAGGACGGCTAGATCGGCATGGCCCTGTGGGTGTGCTCTGACCGAATAGCCAAATGGATGGCTGGGTGATTCAGCGAATTATCACAGCGGGAGAAGTACTGCTTGGAGACATGGGGCATTGCATTATTGAAGGGGAAAAAACGTGATAGTTATACATGATATTAGGACGAGACAAACCAACGCGCTTGCTTGATGCTTACAGAAACAAATATATATAGACAAAATTAAAAAGAAGAGGGAAGAAAAGAAGAAAGCGAGACAGTCTAGTGGTTGATATCCCCCACGAACGCCAGGCGGTCCCGCTGGTCGTCACACAGACGCGCATACTCCAGGAGCAGGCGATACATGTAGATCTGCATGTCCTCGCGGCGCAGCACCTTCTCGGCCCAGGCCTTGCCATTCATGGCGATCTTCGCGGCCTGCCCGTCATGTCCGTTGCGTCCGCGGTGTCCCATGAAGTACTGCAGGATCCCGTAGAGGTCCATGTACAGCGAGTCCATGGGCACGAAGTGCACCCACGGCATCAGCCGCGAATCGTGCCACTCCTTGTACACCGTCGCCTTGATCGGCAGCGAGGTCGACAGCAGGAAGGCGCGGTACCGGCCGCTGAAGGAGTTGCCGTCCACGTCTGGGAGGTACTTGCTGACGTACTGGTCCTTCATGTCAATCCCCTCCACCAGACGGTAGTAGGGGTCGGTGTACGGGCAAAAGGGCCCGTTGTCGTGCGGGTCGCAGCACAGGTCCAGGAAGCCCACGTCGCAGTGGGCGTCCAGGAAGGCGGGCAGAGTCCCCTCCAGCCCCGCCCACACATTGTAGTACTGGTAGTCGGGCTGACGGAAGTTGAGGCCCGGCGAGGATGACCCGTTGGTCATGGCGACCTGCGTCCCGTTGAGCATCGACACCAGCCGGTGGCGCTGGAAGCCCGTCCACGAGTCGGCGCGGTTGCGCCCGCCGCTCGCGATCCCGCGCCACACGACCGTGTCGTTCTTCCCCACCCAGTCGCCGCCTTGGTTCTCCCACCCGCCCGAATATCGCGGGTCGTCGACCCAATACATAGCCGGCGGGATCAGGATCTCGTTGTTGACAGTCAGCTTGGAGCCGCCGAACATCGGGAAGAGCTCGTGCGCGGTCGACGTGGACGTGGGCGCGATGAAGCTCCCGTGGAGGGCTTGCAATTCCGCCCTCCAACACGGGTCCTTGGACCGCTCGAAGTCCTCCACGTACCCGGAGTGGGAGAAGTTGCGGTAGTTGAAGAACTCCGGCGGGGGGTTGGCGAAGTCGAGATGCGGGATATTGCTGGTCCGTCCGGGGCTCTCGGGAGGGCAGGCCACGCGCATAATCTCCCAGAAGGGCATGTCCGGACCTTGAAAGAAGGGAGGGGGGACAGGGTTGGGATCGACGGCGGGGAGGTGCATGTATTCGTCGACCGTGTCGCGGGGTTCCAGCCGCGTCTGGTGGGCGCGATCCTTGGCGTGGTAGCTGGACAGCGTCTCCCAGGGGACAATCAGCCGCGGTTCATCCATGCCATTGAGTGGGATGTCCATGTCGGGCAGGAAGTCCTGAATGGTGGCGATCATATCCATCCAGACCTCCCGCCAGTTGACGCCCGTTTGGCCCAGAGAAGTCAGCGTGTGGTTGCGCAGGATGATACGCGGCTCCCATCCGGCCGCCTGGCGGCGCATCTCCCGCGGCTCCAGAGCCCAATAAGGGCTCAGGTCGTCGTAGATCTGGTCGAAGAGGTCCTCGACAAGGACGGCGTTTTTCTCTTTGGCGAAGGCGAACCACCGGTCAAACCCCGGCGGCGGATGGCGCCCGCGCCGCTGCCGGTACTGCTCGGCGGCGTCCGCCAGCACGGAGGACTCTTTGGCCAGCAAACGCGTCCATTGTTGCTCGGCGTCTCGGATTAACCCGTCAATTGGGTGGGGGACGGCTTCGGGGTCGTCGTGACCGGCGGGTGGCCTTGGGCGTTGCGCGTCGGGGCGTTGAATATCGATACTTGGAGCCGTGTAGGTATTGTGATACAGACGGCTTACCACGGCCAGGAGGAGGAGAGCCGAGACCGCCAACAGGCCGTAGCGAGCTCTCGGAGTCTGCAGTAAAACCATGACCATGGCCGGCCGTGCAATGGGGGGGGGATGTTAGGTCGCAGGTCGAATTTAAAAAGGGAAGGCAGATCAAGGGGGATGTGGGGACTGAGACAGCTGATAAGCAATCTCTCTTTAGGCTTCCATTAGCCGCTGGGCTTTCTCGTATCCCCTGTCAGTGGCCAAACGACAGAATGACATGGTCCTTTCGTCGAATCCCGGTCGTCTGAAGTCAAGGCCCTGGGTGGTTGGCGATGTGCCACTGCACCCACTTGGCGGGTGTCAGCCGCGCCAATCCCGCGCCAGGAGACTAGAAGAAAGCCGGTTAGATCAGTGAAATCTTTTGTCGGTTGTGCAGTAGCTTGGCTTGGCGCCCGACGAACTGAACCTGAGAAGGGCAAAGTGGTCCTGGAATGTTGGATCAAACTAATCCGGGAAAGTCGATGGATGATCACCCGCAGGCCGCAGGTACCGATTGTCTTGGGGGAGCAACACACGTTTATCTTCCGTACGGGGTCCCAAAAGACGAGCCCGATCGTTGCTCCAAGTCAGTGGACTGACTCTGGATATATGACGCCACGAAAACTGGGGACCTTATATCAGGTGATCGGTCACATGACACGGCTGCCTCAAGGTTCGCGTGGCGCACGTGATATCTGGAACATCGAGTCATGTGACTGGATCTCCTCCCCGGTCCTGTTCTTCTCATGGGTCAGTACTCCGTAGCTCTCCTGCTATCCAAGCAACATTGATCTTACGAGGCGTCCCCTTTGGTAACAAACCAAGGAGTAATGGTCTGCTTGTTGGGGAAAGGACTAAGTGAGCCTCTAGTATGGTCACCAGCAGGTTCAATCACCATTCTCTGGCGAGATATATATCTTCACGTACCAAGCAACTTTCCTCCAGACAGGCATCCCTGTAATTCCTGTGATGAACAAGGAGACGGAGGAGACGGAAATTATTACATACAAACTCAGAAGACATCTAAAGCGAAAGAGCGGAACGTACAGACAGCGTGTGTGATCATGGTCCAACATGGTCAGGTGACCTGTCTCCCACACTACATGTCCCGTGATGGGAGTGTTGCTGATTTGGAGAACCAGGAACTAGGACAGAGAGGCTTGTCCATTGACAATCAATACAAGATGCTCTGTTTCAGGGCCCAGGAGGAAGAAGGATGGCTGATCATTGTCTAAATCGACTCCTGGGCAGGGGCTTTGAAATCGGGCATTGATCACAACCCCTCTTGATATGTGGTGAGCCTAGGCCTCAAAACGATCCGTTCTGATCCGGATCCAAATCTTGGATCCGCGGGGCAGTTCTATAAATCACTGCGCCGGTGAAGATGGTATCATCCGTGACCAATGCCATTCTTCCGGAGAACGCAAGCCTCGACGAGACATACTGGAGCGCCAACCTAGTGAGCCCAGTGAAGTTCAACCAGGCCCTACACACAATCGGCAACAGCGGAGAGTTGAAACATGTCGACCTTCTCATCGAAATCGGTCCTCATTCGGCGCTCGCCGGGCCTATCCGCCAGATCAAATCCGCGGGCAATTTCACGCAATGGGAATACCTCCCTAGTCTGACCCGGAACACAGACTGTGCCGTTTCCATGCTTTGCTTGGCAGGCAATCTCTTCTTGCGTGGCTATCCGCTCGCCATTGACCGCGTGACCGCCATTGAGGAGATCTCTAAGGTCGGCAAAGCGTCATATCAGACGGGGAACCTGATTGTTGATTTGCCCCCTTACCAATGGGACCTGAACAAGCGCCTGTGGGCCGAGTCGCGACAGAGCCGTGAGCACCTTGCTGTCCGATACGCACGACATGATATCCTAGGGTCCATGATGACAGGAGGCTCACCGACAGTACCCACCTGGCGGAATGTGCTTCGGATTCGTGACCTTCCTTGGCTCCGCGATCACAGTCTGGGCGGGGAGGCGGTTTTCCCTGCAGCAGAGTACTTCCACATGGCCATAGAGGCCATCACCCAGATCAATGAGCAGTCGTCCTCCCCTGTCGTCATCGGGGGGTATACCCTCCGTGATGTGTCCATTGAGACCGCACTACTCACGCCCGACGATGACACCGGTGTGGAGGTACTTATCACCCTCCATCCCGCAGCGCAGGGCAAGAGCAACCACAACGGGACAAAGCAATGGTGGGACTCCAGCGTGACTTCTGTTTCTGCCGATGGCCCAAGGAGGCACATGGCGGGGACGATCGGGCTCATTACAGGCCAGGCAGACAGCCAGAGGCCGCTGCTCCGCCCTGTCCCAGCCTTCCCGCAGAGGGAATCCGGCACAGCTTGGAACCAGGCGCTGCGGCGCGTCGGATTCGACTATGGCGCGACGTTTCAAGATATGGAGGGCATCCGGTTCAACGGGAAGACGTACGCGGCTGCCTCAGCGACCAATATCAGGAACGCCGTAGGAACGATGCCAGAAAAGTCCCGTTATGTGCTGCATCCAGCCTCGGTGGACTCCTGCCCCCAGCTCATGAATGTTGCTGTGTACGCCGGCCGCGCAAAGGCTATGCCCTGCGGTGTGGTTCCATTGCAGGTGGACGAGGTGATCACCTGGACGCCGAGCCATGAACAGCTGTCCAGACCAGAAGCGGAGGCTTATTCCTAGATCACCGACCGCGAGGCCGGTCGTTTGTTGGCAGCAACCAGCTGGTTGGTAGCGACGGCCGGCTGGTCGCAGATTAAGGACATGCGCTGTGTGTCGTATGAGGCGGCGCTGCCCCAGCGGTCGTCAGATCTTGCGCCTCCCCAGCCGTATGAGGAGATGGTCTGGAAGCAGGATATTGACTCGCTAATTCGCTCGGAATAAATGGACATTGCAACCCTTGTCCAACTGATGGCATTTAAGCATCCGGATTGTCGCGTCCTGGACGTCGGCGGACAGAATAGTCAGGTTTTGCTGGGCTTGATGCCAAATCTTCAGCTCACGGCCACAGGGACAACGGCCGAGGATGTTAAGGAACTGCAGAAGGCCCTCATGGAGCACCCACAGGTACAGAAAAGGCAGCTGCTACTATGTGAGGACCTGGAGCCACAGGCTTTGAAGCCAGCATGCTACGATTTTGTCATTAGCCATGAGGTGCAGAATAGAGATGAGCTGAGACGACTGCGCACGTTACTTGTGACCGGCGGTCGTCTTGCGCTCCCTGCTTCATCTAGTTTCGACGATGACGCGTACAATGCTGCCAATCTAACAGTTACTTCTCTGGATGCTGGCAAGTACATTGTGGGGACTGCCTTCGAAACCGACAACCAGGGTCTTAGTGATGGAAGCGAGAGCCGCAATATTCGAATCGTCCACGGCCAGCGCCAACCATCGATCCTTCAACCGGTTGTCGCCTCTCTGAAAAAGCGCGCGTTTGTAACGGCAGTCTCGAGCCTACAGGATTCGATTGATCCTGGTGAGCACATTATCATGATAGCCGAGTACGAGGAGCCTCTCCTCTCTGCTATCAGCGAGACGGATTATATCCGGCTACAGGACCTCCTCGCCAAAACGGGCTCTCTTCTATGGGTGACTGCAGGTTCGCTCGCTGCCGGGAAAAAGCCCGAGTTCGCAATGGCAGCCGGACTCCTCCGAGCGATGAAGTCGGAGCAGGCCTCGCTGAACGTCACAGCCATCGACTTCGACCCGGACACGACTCCCCTTGAGACGATCACCGCGGTTATCGCACTCAGGGCTGAACAGCAGGTCCAGCGAAAAATCATCCCTGGAACCGGAGTATTGGGTCTCTGGGCCGAATACACTGATCAGCCGACTGCAGCCGCACCGTGAGTTGAACCTTGCATACGCCGTGGAAGAGAGCAAGACCATCCCAAGGCCGTTTAGGGGGCAGGAGCCTATTGTTGGGCATTTGCGGTCTGGAAAGGTGGCCTTATGCAAGATTCTAGGGTTGAGCAATCTTTGCGTCCCACGGAAGTCGAGGTCAGGGTGGAACTCACGGGCTTGAACAGGGAAGATGTGATGGTCATTACTGGGGTGGACTACCCTTCTGCATTCAGCCGTGAGATCGGCGGTGCCATTTCCCGCATTGGAAATGCCGTGCAGAATGTATCAATTGGAGATGTCGTTATAGGCTTCAGCTTCGACAGATTCGCGACCTTCCAGCGAGTCGATGGGTGCATGGTCCAGCGCGTGAAGCCAGGCGAGAGTCTGACTGAACTGGCCAGCTTGCCAATGGCATACAGCGCGGCGATATATGGGATGGAGGAGCTCGCCAGGATCAAGGCTGGAGAAAAAGTGCTTATTCTGAGTGGCTCAGGACTGGCCGGTGCGGCTGGTCTGCGGATTGCGCAGATCAGGGGAGCGATTCCCTACGTGACCGTTTCAGATGCAAGCCGTCTTGATCTTGTGCAAAAGCGAACGAAATTGCCAAGGGAGCAGGTCATCCTGGAGAACGACCCCTCATCGCTTGAATCACTATCTTTTGACGTTGTTTTTAGTTCGGGCTGGGTCGATTCCTCCGTTGCAAGGGAGGCATGGCGGTTCATCGGACCCTTTGGTCGCTTCATTGATTGTGGCCGCAAGGACATGCTGTCTCGTGATGTGCTGGACAAGCTGCCAATTAGCAGAGGTGCCCAGTATCTTGCCTTCGATATGCAGGGACTGTACGAGTTTAAGCCAGCGGTCTTGTCGGCTCTTCTCACTCAAACCGTCGATCTCTATCGTCAAGGAGATATTATTGCTCTCCAACCCGTGAAAGTCTCCAACATCGCAGAACTTCCTGACCTTTTTAGTTTCTTCTCCGATAGTCTGGAATCTGGTAAAGCGCTGGTTGCTCACTAGGAGTCGAGCCATGAGTTGGAATTTCTACCCACCAGCCCTGCGCTTCGGCTTAGATCGGACGCAACATATCTCCTTGTTAGATGTCTCGGCGGGCTAGGACGTAGCCTGACGTTATGGATGTTGCAGAAAGGAGCGCGGAGCTTCCTGTTCCTCTCTCGATCTGGCACAGACAGTGAACAGGCAGCGACACTGACAAACCATCTCGAAGCCGCTGGTGCTCGCGTCATTGTCGTCAGAGGAGATGCCAGTGTCCGCGAGGACGTAGAGAGAGCCGTGAAAGCCGCCCCAACGGAACAGCCCATTCGGGGTTTAATCCAAGCTGCCATGGTCCTCAGGGTAAGTGGCCCCACTCCTTCACGTTCACAATTCAAAGTTCAGGTACTAACGTCAGCAGGATGGCATCTTCAGCAACATGACCTACACTGACTGGACAACTAGCACGAGGCCCAAGGTCTCCGGGACGATGAACCTCCATCACGTTCTGGCAGGTATCCCCCTCGACTTTTTCGTCACCACCAGCTCTGTCTCCGGTATTCTCGGCACTCCGGGACAGAGCAACTACGCCGCAGGAAACAGCTATCTGGACGCCCTGGCTCGCCACCGCCGGCTCCGCGGCCAGCCGGCCGTCTCTCTCATCCTCCCAATGGTCCTGGGTGTGGGTGTGATCGCGCAGAACGCCGATCTGGAGATATCACTCAGGCGGAAGGGCATGTACGGAATTGACGAGACGGCTTTGCTGCAGGGCTTCGAAGTGGCCATCCTCGAGCAGCAGGGAGACCAAGACCCCACTGGCACCGTTGACCATATCGTTGTGGGCCTCGACCCAGCGGAATTGCGCAAAGCGGTTGACGAAGCGGGCGTCACGGTCGATAGCTTCTGGATGGACGATCGGAGGTTCAATGCGGTTGTGCAGGCAATGAACGCTGGCGGTGCGTCGGGGTCAGCCGCGGCGCAGACTGTTTTGGCTGCACTGCGGGATAGCCAAGGGATTGACGCTGTTCAAGCAATGGATACTGTGGCTGAAGCGATGGTTGGCAAATTGGCCCGGATGCTACTGATTGAAGTGGAGCAGATTGAGCGCGATGGGCGTTCGATTGCAAGCTACGGGGTGGATAGTATGATTGGGGCAGAGCTGAGGAATTGGATCTTCAAGGAGATGGAAATGGATATTCCCTATCAACAGTTATTGGGGGCGTCTTTGGCCATCAACAAGTTCGCAGAGCAGGTATGTGTTACTCAAGGGATTACAGTTAGTTCTTAAATTAGACAGAGTGGAGGTGTTGTTTTGCTATATCATCCATGACCAAGCTGGTTACTCAGAATATGATCTAGTTGCTACGAACACTACTGGTATGTACTCGCAAATACAGGTATGCAACGGTCTATCAAGGGCCACATACAATCTCCATATATTCTCTGCATCGATGACCCGGTCAAGCCGAGCTCCGAAGCTGGAGTATGTCTTTGTCCCCGAGGGTAGGGGCAGTCTAGAATGGAAGGATAGAAAATCGGCGGTCAAGCGCAGCGAAACGCAGCTGGCCCAGAAAGCACGGCCGGTTCACTATTTTCCGCTGCTGTTCGGTGTCGTGGTGATGTTTTCTTCTGTGGCATTCGCCTTTAGGGCTTGAGTCCTACGACAGCGGACAACCTAGATAGAACAATAGTCTCATATGTCTGGAATAAGATCTACAGAACATAAACCAATCCTTGTTCGGGTCTTACTGCGCCATTGGAAAGACTTTCCCATCCCCCGTAGATCCCATTATCTCCAGCAATGCCCTGCCCATAGACTAAGCGCATGTCAGGGATGGCGGAAGCACGGTGTGCTAACCATTCCTTCCACCTGCGCGAGACCTCTCCAAAATATGTTGCAGCTCCCTCCCGGTCGATGACTGTATCCTGGATGCCGGATGTATTATACTGGATCTTTCCAAGTGATGCCATAGCTGCACGAGCAGCCTGGACTTCGTCCGCCGTGTACACCTAAATAAAAATCAACGCCACGCCCTAGACGCGAAGCCAAGGAGACAAACCTTTTGTTGACTGCCCACCTGCATAATGACAGTTTTGCACGATAGGAGTGCGGACTCTTGAAGTCTCTGGCATATCTGACTGAGGACATTGTCCCGCGCTCCACAGTCGACAATCACCAGCTTCGCTGGCTGTAGACCCTCGATCCACTCAGTAGCTTGGTCAATTTCTGTATATGCCACTGTCTTAGACAGTCCCTCCCAGCCTTTTTTATCCACCACCTCCTGCAATACACCAGGCGATGAAGTGACCTGTACCAAACCCAGGGGGCCACTTTCCCTGGGCCGGTCAAAAAGACACCATGAAAACGACCGTGCAACCTTGGTCGACGCGCCCAGAACCATTACAACAGCATTCAAGAGATCGGCATCATCCGCAGACCAGGGGAGTTTACTCACCGCGCCAAGCGGATGAACTGGTTCTCGTGCGCGCGGGTCAGGAGAAAATACATACTCACTAAGCAGGTATCCGGCGACCCAGACCCCTCGGAAAACCGTGCTCCATGCCCTCCCATCAAGGTCTTTTTCCTCATCAGGGAATACCCGTTCATAGCGATTGTATATAGGCATAAGCTGTTGTCTGTGGTTGCTAACCTCCACCCAGTGGCCTTCCGGGTTGCTGCGTTCCAAGCACAGGAGAGTGGGCGACGTGGAGGTGGGCCAGTATCCCCAGATAAGGGAGCCTGAGATAATACCAGGAACGTTGCTCTCAGTGACAATAGCATATCCCCATGCCGGGACAATACCCCAGGATGATTGATCATTATATGGGGCCGGCGCGGTGGGTGGGACTGGATATGTCTTCCACCTGTGGCTGTCAGTGACTAGGAAATATATAAATCCAGGCCACATACCAATGTAGTAGATCTCCACCACGGGCATAGCTAAGATTATTGGAAGTCAATCCTAGAAGGACTGGTCGCGCACGGAGCGATGAGGAAGGTAGGCTATGATCTAGACATGGAAGTTTCACCACAGCGTGTTGGCGGTTGTCGGCCTTGCTGACAACGTGGACCATCTCTGGGTTTGTAGCAGGGGATATCATCCTGATGACGGTGATAAAACGAAAGAGACAGCAAAAGTGGTGGGACTAGGGGGGAGGCCTTTTCTCTTCTACTTTTCTTTGCCTCCCATGTCTGCTCCCTGCTTTCGTCGCGGGAGACGGCCGACAATTTCCGTGGGTGCATAGTGGAGGGTGGGGAGCGGCACTGGTAGGCGCGGGAAAACACCTAAACCAAGTGCGCGACTACATAAACGTCGCTGGGGGAAGTGGAAAGCTAGTAATCTTTTTTTTTACTAGGGGTAAGGTCCAGAACCTAAGCTAAATACAACGGGTGTTTCATGTATGCAGACATTCAGCTGCCCAAGTGTATGCCATTGTAGTATCAAATATCTATTGTTGGAATACCAATAGTTCCAAGACCCTAACATTCGCCGATTGGTGGTTTTGGTCTAGTGATCGAGAACAGCCGTCCTGATATCTACTGACATCAAGTTCCCCGTCTAGTGTCTAATCTTGATGTCTTTGTATCCTGTTGCCGCAAGAGACTCCCAAACCCATCATGTTCCTCCTCCCACCTCTGCAAGGTCACACCCACCCCAGCTACATGATGATGCCAGTATCCGTTTTCCCCCTCAATCGCATCTAATACATCAGACAAAAATCTCAGCGACCCCGCGACACCATCCGCCGTCAGGTCCGTCGCCGTGCGCAGCTCCCGCCACAACGCCCTCATGCTCATCACCAATGGCCACCCAATAAACGTCCGTTGTAGAGTAAGGATATCCCCATCCCTGCGGGAAACCGGATAACTTATCCTAATAGTGCTAGCAATCTTGAGCGCATCCACCGAACATCTCCGTCGCGACTCGGCGACTACAGACGGGGTCAAGTCCTGCCGGTCAGCCTGGGCGATGGCTGCTTCGTGGAGATACAGATCTAAGGCGCAGAGATTGACAAGTAAGCTAAAGGCGGCCGGGTGCGCGCGCGAGGCCTTTGCACTGAGGTGTGCATGCAGAACAGTCATTCGGTCGTTGATTGCCTGGCTGAGAGCGTAGTGGCGGTCCCAGAAGCCTGGCCTCAAAGGTGGCGAGTCCGGTTCTGCGATCGTGCTTTGCATGACGTGCCGCATGCACTGTCTACTGAGTGTTGCCATCAGAACGAGTCCGCTGTAGGATGTGATGTGTGTGGCGGGCGTAAGATTGACGTTCTCGGTTAGGAGGGGCATATGTGCATCTTCGAAGTCTGGGCCTAGTTCACCGGGCGAGGCGAGATTAACTTCGACCTAGATAGCCAGTTTGGTTATTTGTCTCCTAGGACGGGAATACAGAAAGCATAAGATAGAAAGACGGCAAAGACGTACTTGGGCCAGATCGATGTGGCACGGTGTGCCGGCTCGCATACTGGTATAGGTTTCCAAAATATACAACGCCTAGAATGACCGTCGTTGTTCCTCAACAACAGCCTGCTCTTGTGTTGTTGGCAACGGCGAATAAAGATCCCAGGTACTCCGGCAAATTGAAGCCAGGTGATCAAGGTGATTCAGATCTAGTACCTGCGCCAGTCGGATTGCACGACCAAGAGTCATCCAGGCACGCGTAAGCTGCGGGTCATTGAGTTCGTATCGAAGGATAAACACTAAGCACTGAAAGAGATTCAAGTCGGCATGATGCTCGTTCCGCTCACACAGCTCGGCATACTGGCGCGCGAGATGATAATATTGATCCTGTACGGCACGATCTTGCACGCCAGGCACCATCGAGTCCATCAGTGCCACCCCATATCTTAAACATTTTGTCGGAGGATGGTTGGGATCACGAGCATTCTCAGAAAAAAATCGTTCCTGGTTGAGGATCGGCAAGGTTGGATAGAAGACCTCGAAGTAATTGCGATACCTGATAGGCCCATCAGTCATCCATGTCCGTGACGATTTCTCTGTCGAGGAGAGATATACAAGGCAATCAGATTGGGAGTGTGTTCAGCAATGTCCAATTCTCCCGTCTGAGAACTAGGTTTGCTGGGGAGTGCAATCTCCTCTGTGGCAGCCGGGGTCTGCAGGTCAGGGAGCCCGAGGAAGTCCAACAATGTGCTAGAACTGTAGATATTAGAACTCAGAACCATACCATCTAGCAAGCGACGGATTTTCCCACAGATACTAACCACCATGGCTCTTGGGACCCACACTCGTTTGGAGCATCCTGAAGGACCAAGTCGGGCATCGCAGGCAACCCTGGCTCCGAGAATGGTCTGGAGGGAGCGTGGGATAGCCAAGGGTATCCAGCGACTAGAACTGCACCAGGCAGAGCCAGGAGCGCTTCTGTTTTGCCTTATGATGGTTAGTCCTGCGCCCTGAGACTATCTCAACTCCTGGGATACTAACTTAGTCGTTCTTGTAGTTCAGATAGCCGCCGGGGCAAATCTGAATCTATCGGGGGACGGTAGCTCTTGCGGCCGTAGTAGCTGCAGCGATGGCCCAGACGGGCGCACCGTTCACAGCGAGGGCCGCCCGGTCGCAGCGGACTTTGCGCTCTCGGCACACATCACAAGCCAGTCGACCCTTGGGTCCGTCTCTAGACGATTCAAGTTCGTGATTGTTAGATTGTGGGGAAGCAGCAGATGGCAACTCCGACATAGTACTAGAGGATCTGAATGGACTGAGGGAAGACATCTGCTCCGTGTCTAACAAATGTCAGCAAATACAGACAGCATGGGTGAAGATGTTGGAAATCTCTGCTATATGTACTTTCGTTCTTTCTCAGCTGCCCAGATCCGCCCACACTACTGGCAGTATCCTTGTCAGACAGATTGTAGGACCTGAACTTTTTAGGGTCACATTGAAATATTGCTCTGGTCTACCCACGAGGGTTATCACTATTCCAGAATGGATGCTGGCATTCTGCTAGATTGCTACAACGGGATGTATCCCAATGGCTTTTTGGCATATCGCGCGCCTGAATGGAATTTATGTGGCGAGGGAGGTTGATAGAAGAAGGGTGCCGATATGAACTTAAAAGATGCATAGAATACAGGGCAATAGAATACGCATAGTTAAACGATTATGATGCTCATGATTGATGGGCCGAGTTCTGCGTATCCTCCAGTCCAAAATACGCCCGCAACTGCAAAAGATCCGAATAGCCAGCATTCAACACAACAGTGACATCGGCATGAAAACCATATGTTAGGCATTCTCAATATGCTGTCCGACCGGCCTATCCTTTCGATCCAGCTCCATGTCCTCACCAACGGCTTGTTTCGTTCCTCGAGATCGAGCCTGCTCAATCTCCAGACAGACATACGTTTTGAAGCCCCGCGTGGGGACGCGATTCCGGAACATCTCGTCGATCTCCTCCAGACTGCGTCCATTGACATCGGGAAGCATCAGGTAGATAAAGACCGTGGCGATCAGGGCGCTCACAAACCAAATCCAAGCATACTTGGGTCCCCAGTTGAGTTCCGTCGGGTTGATGAAGTAGGGGGTGGTGAAGGTGCACAACCAGGCGAGGATAAAGCTGACGCCCACCGACAGTCCCTGGGTGTAGGCACGGAGCTTTTGGGCCGGAAGCTCGCCGGAGGTCAGGAATGTGTACGACTCCATCCCCAGGTTGAAGCCGAACAGGTAGAGACTGCAGGCCACAACCATGCCAATGCCAGCCTGATGGGCGGGGAGGTTGGGTACGGTGTACACAATGGCAATGATGACCATGGAGACGCTGCAGATGCTGCAGCCCGCCAGGATGAGGCGTCGGTGTCCGACCCGTTGCACCAGAAACCATGACAGGATGAGGCCCGCCAGACCCAGGCAGTTCGTGATTATGGTCCACATGAAGGGTTCGCCGACCTTGGCCTGTGTCGGATGTTAGATCGATCGATCGGGACATACCAGAAGCGACGGATATAGACTCACAATAGAGAAGAAGTAAGTGCCGAAGCTGAGAATGAACATCGCGCCCACGCCGGCGTTGGCCGACGTGACCCCGATGCATATGATGGTCCTGCGCAGGTTGGTCCCCTGGAATAATTCAAGGATCAACCGCCAGTCTTTCGTGCTTTCGGCCTCTCGGGCGGCAACACTTTTCATCTCCTCAAACTCTTGTAGTACGGCCACCTCGTCATAGGCCCCGTGGCGGAAGAACCGTAAGCTCTGAAGTGCCTCCTCGGGACGGTGGTGATGAAGCAGCCACCGGGGGGATTCCGGAAGGAAGGGCAGACTCAGGAGCAGCAGCGCTGGGACGGGGAAACAGACATAGAGCGGGATCTGATATGCCTGTCGATTCATGATCTCGGCCGTTTCATTGTTGACCACCTAGGAAGAGACAACGGTCAGTCCAACATGCCACCCGAGGATCAAGGGTGAGACGAACCATGCCGATCGTGGTGCCAAACGTGATCCAGAAGGCAGCCATGCCAAAACAGAGCCCCCGCAGATGTGGGGGAGCACACTCCTGGAGGTAGACAAAGGCGAAATTCATCAGCACCCCGTTCGCCAGACCGCAGAGAAGCCGAGCAAAGTAGAGCGCCCCGAAGGAGGTGGTCTCGACCATGATCACCACGGCCACAATCAAGAAGACCGAGGCGAGCATGAGGCAGTACCGACGGCACAGATGGGCCCCAATCGAGCCGGTCGCGAGGGCGCCGATAAAGCTGCCCAAGGTCATAAAGGAGGTGATGATTTGCTGCGGGCCGGCCTGGAAGACATATTAGCACAGGCGTCACGATCCTTTTTGGAAATACGTTGCGAATATTCAAATAAGGATGGGAAGTCCACAAAGGACAGACTCCAAGGACGGATGCCTACCTCGATCGCCCAGTTCCCGTCCGGATCCTGATATCCAAACACCATAAGAAAGCCAGGCATGGCCTGGAAACCAGCAATGGCCCCTTTGTCGTAGCCATATTCAAACAGGGACATGCCGATATAGAAAGTGACAGCGAGGATTCGCCAATTGGCGAGGAGGCTCGTCTTACGCACGCCCTCTCCATGAACTATTTCACGGGCCTCAAGCCCTTGGGAGTCGACTGTCCCCATCCTGTACAATGTAATGGGAGAGGAAAATCTACCGAGTCGGCAGAATTGAAAGGGGTATCAAATGGTGGATGTGCTACGCGAGGGAGTCTTCGTGTGGGTGGGCCTGACTTTATATTACTCCTCCACTAGCCCCAAGATTGGGCCAGTCAAACATCTGGGGAAAATCCGGGGTATAGCTACTATTCTCCACCTTGGGATACCTATCCTGGTCGCCGTCTGAGGGGTCTCGGATCCAGGGAATGGATGCGACGAAGTAGATCTCCCCTCCTACGCACTCGAGGGAGATATTGTGTTTTACCCCAACATTGACGTCTAGTCCAATTGACTGCGACGCGGGGTCATCCACTCGGTGTTATATCTTGTGAGGGTGGAGTCCTCGGCTGGAAAGGATTCACCATCGGATCCAAGCTGCCGACGCGGACCCATCCCATTCCCGCCACTACAAGTTGACATGAGGTATAAGGACGGCTCGAGGCATTCGCCTATTTGTGTAAGAAACACTATTCGTGGCTCCGGTGCACAGACAACACGCGAGATCAGCATTGGAAGACCATCATTGACGTATACCCAACACGCAGTTTGCGTCATTCCACCAAAGCCATGACCGTCCCAGAACCGTTCACCTTGGCGCTCCATGCAGCCGAAAATCGTCTGGCCGGAGAGACTGTCGAGACATGGATCAGGACTGCCGAGCGAATTCCTACCACAGCCATCCTGCCGCCCGGCCTAGACGCAGCAACCTGGACTGACGTAGTTGCTGCGTTTTGCGATATTCTTGGCAATGACGGTGTTCTGACAGGCCACGAGCACCGCGTTCGCTATGCTGACCCATATGCGGAGCTACAAGACGAAGGAGAACAGGAGAAGAGGGGTACGGCGGCCACTCTTTATCCTGTCACTGTAGAGCACATCCAGAGCATCCTCAAGGTATGCAACAAGCACAGTATCCCTACCTGGACCGTATCCCGAGGCAAGAATCTCGGGTACGGTGGACCAGCAGCGAGAGTCAAGGTACGTCGGACACCCCATACCCCTCACGCCCACGTCCTGACAGTACGGTTAGGGCTCGATCATCCTCGACCTGCAGCGGATGACCAAGATCATCGACGTGAATGACCGGTACTCGTACTACACCGTCGAGCCCGGGGTGACCTTTTTCGACATCTACAGAGCAATCCAGGAGAAAAAGGCCAATATGTGGTGCTCCTGCCCGGCCCTGGGCTGGGGTTCCATCGTCGGAAACGCACTGGACCGTGGCTGGGGATACACACCCGCCGGTAAGTACCAGATCACGACCCGAAGCCAACTACCCCACTGACCCGATTCCGTCGTCCAGGCGATCATTCCAATCAGATATGTGGCATGGAAGTGGTTCTCGCAGACGGAACCCTCGTGCGCACGGGTATGGGCGCCCTGGAAGATTCAGTCTGCTGGCCGCTGTTCCGTGGCGGCTACGGCCCCACCTATGAGTCCATGTTCAGCCAGAGTAACTTCGGGATTGTCACGAAGCTGAGCATCTGGGCCTCGCCAAGCCCGGAAGGCTACATGATCTGTCGCCTAGATGTCGAGGACGAAGCCGACCTCAACCCCATGATTGAGATTTTCCGAAAGCTGCTGATGCATGATACCATTCAAAATCACCCAATTATTGGTAATATCCCACGCGAGATGGCTAAGAAGGGCCCAAGAAGCAAATTCTATGATGGCGACGGAGCGATACCAGATGCGAGGCTGAAGGAGATACAGAGGGAGCTCGGTGTTGGGTTTTGGTCTGCACGGTTTGGCCTTTATGGTCCAAGAGAGATGATTGAATTTAACTATAAGAGGTGCCAACGGGCATTCGAACAGCTTCCCGGCGCGAAGGTCTCAGGCACGGCCTTTTACCCTCCAGATGGCAAAGAGTACCTGAGCCCCGAGGATCTTCCAGTTGAATTCCGGACCGTGGAGACGGGCACGCCGAGCCTTCTGGCTTTGAAGTCGGTACAATACCGTGGCGAAGACGGGTGGGTCATAATCCCTAGATTGTCCTCGATACTTTGCGGTGCACGAAGATATGCTAATAATTTCTCAGCGGACACGTCTCTTTCTCCCCCATCCTCCCCCCGGATGGCAAGGCGTCCTTGGATTTCTATCACGCCGCAAAGGCTTGTTGCGCAGAATACGGGTTCGAGTACTTCGGCGGTCTGCATCTCTATGATCGACACCTGGCCATGATCAACATGATCTACTTTGACCGGCAGGACGAAACAGACCGACAGAACGCCAACAAAGCGTTTGTGGATCTGGTCCACCTCGCACGTAAGTACGGCTACAGCGAGTATCGGGCGCACGTGGACTACATGGACCTCGTTGCAGAGCAGTACGACTTCAATGGACGGAGCTTGATGACACTCAACCAGCGGATTAAAGATGCCGTGGATCCGCAGGGTATTCTGAGCCCGGGGAAGCAGGGAATTTGGCCGAGGCAATATCGACAAGAGGCGCCGAAGCAGGAGCCTACAGGGGTACACAATGCATTGAATGGGCTGGCAATCCAGGATACAAATTATGCACAGAAGCTGTAAGGAGTGGCTGTATCTATATTCTCTATGAAAACCAATCAATAATATGAAATTTCACGAATCTATGGGGTAGGTTCTTATTTACGATTTTTAAGCAACCTTTTCTTTTTTTTTGTCTTTGCTAATATTCTGATTAGTTATAAGATTGTGATAATTTAGTGTTATTGGGATATGTTCTGTTCCCCCCCAAAAAAGTCTGTCCGGCAAATATATATAGTTCATGGACTTCGAATTCAGAACTTGTAAGTCAATTATATTCACATGAGGCTGTGTCTATATATATTCTCACACAAGTAAAATAATCCCCCTCCATAATTGAACGTTTAGGCAAATGAAAGGAATTAATCTGTATGCTCCATTTTCAGGATTACTGCAGTCAAATTAAATGATCAAAGAGATGGAAAATATCAGATAATAATGGCATTCTTAAGCCCCCTTCTCGTTTCGCCACTTGTGTCACTGACTTTTTTATTCACTTTACCTTACCTTGTTTAACTTTTGTAATGCCTGGATCGACAGAAAAAAAGGACATTAGGAGTGCCAAGCTTCGGGACTCATGTTGCAACTGTCTGAATCACAGTATAATGATCTAGACAACTAGGTGGTCCTGACAATACAGACATGCCCTCGGTGGCTCTACACGCTTTCGCATGATAGTCGAGCACGCAAGACAAGACCCCAGGATAGCTGGAAGCCATGTCTTCTGTTAGGCCGAGGCTTGCATTGACCCGCAACTAACCAGTCCCCCGATACAGGGCCATTCGGCTTATTGGAGCCGAACATACGGTTACTACGGTGGGTCCGAGCCCTGGAGACCACGCAAGGTCTAGAAATCGAGAGATCCAGCGATGCATAAGACTGGTCTCCTTCTGTCCCTACTCTTGGCCACCGCGTGATTACTCGGGGTCGGTCTGAGCGATTCAAGGCAAAGGTAAACATGGAACACTTCGACGACTACGATACTCTGGCGGCAGGCTGCGCTGTCTTTGCCTGCGGGGGTGTCGCCAGCCATTTGCTTTACTTTATCCGTGGCGATCACAATGCCTATGCCCATCGGTGGATTCTCCGCAGCCTTACGGGGGTCGCTCTGCTGAGTGGTGCCGTCTTCTATTGGATTGGCTTCAAGGTCATCCCCACGGCTGTTATATCGACACTGTTGGCAGTGTGCTACTTCACGGGACTCTTTGGCAGTATATCGCTGTATCGCCTGTTTTTCCACCCACTGGGCCGCTTTCCCGGGCCTTTTTGGGCTCGGTTGTCCAATCTGACCCATGTATACATGATACGGAGGTCGGATAACTATTTCCTCATGCAGCAGATGCATAAGAAATATGGGCCGATTGTAAGGACAGGTATGTTCACGCAGGAGGGTCACTATGCGAAAGACATTATTAACAAGACAGGTCCGGGCAATCTCTCGATTAACGATCCCAACGCCATTCGGCCCGTTTTGAGTAACGCGTCGAAGTGTACGAAAAGCCCTTGGTATTCGCGATCTTTGCCACTGGTTAGTTTGCACACGGTGCGCGACAAGAAAGCGCATGATGCGCGACGGAAGGTCTTTTCCATGGCGTTCTCCTCCACTGCGCTCAACGACTACGAAAAACGTGTCGTTGTGCACTGTGAAGAGTTTGTCAGGCAGATGGAGCACGAGGCCGGAAAGCCGTTTAATGCGTCGGACTGGTTCAAGTACTTTGGTAAATGCGACCGTCACTGCTACAGCGTTGTCCAATTTTGCTAACGGCCTCCAGCGTTTGATGTCATGGGTGATGTGGGACTGGGCAAAGAGTTCCACATGATGACCTCGGAGCAGAACCGGTGGATCCCACCTTTGCTCGAGGCCGGCATGGCGGACGTCGGCACGACAACGCCAGTTCCGTGGCTGGGCTCTATTCTCATGAGACTCCCAAAGGCTGGCCAGCATGCCAAGGCGTGGCTGGAATTTGTCGGATCGCAGGTCAAGGAGCGCGTGGAGAAACAGGTGGAAAGAGCAGATGTATGGAGCTGCACCCTCACCCGCCCAACAACAAACGAGACTGACGCTGACCAAACACAATCTAGGTCCTCACGCATCTCGTGGATGCTTACTCTAAGAGCGCAAAGAGAGACATCGACTATCAATGGCTGCGGGGAGATACCAGACTCACCATTGTCGGGGGATCGGACACCACGGCCGCCACACTGACGTTTCTCTTTTGCCATCTGGCCATGGACCCAACCCAAGTAGAAAAGCTGAGAGCAGAGCTGGAGCCTTTGCTGAAGGGAAGGAACAGCCTCGAATCAAAGGATGTCTCTAAGGCACGACATCTAGATGGCGTAATCCAGGAAGCTCTTCGCCTGCACCCCGCCATTCCCTCTGGCTTTCCTCGGGTAACACCCCCAGAAGGAATCATGATCGGTGATGTATTTATCCCCGGAGGCACCACCGTGGTCCTGCCGGTGTACGCCATACAGCGCGACGATACAAACTACGAGCGTCCCGAGGAATTCATACCGGAGCGATGGTATTCGAAACCCGAGCTGATCAAACACAGCGACGCATTCCTCACGTGGAACATTGGTAAGCCAAGCATATAACCTCTCAGCAATAACTTCTGACGCGAACATTATAGGTACCAATGGGTGTATCGGACGAGCATTGGCCATGAACGAAATGAGGAACATGATCACGCACTGGATCCAGAACTTTGAGACCGTCCGGTTTGCCCCCGGGGAAGACGGCAGCAGGATCCTGCAGGAGACCGTGGACCACTTTACCGTTGGTGTGAAGCCCCTACAGCTCATTTTCGACAAGAAATGAATTCGAGGTGGTGAATTGTCGGGGGTTCAGGAGAAACAAACCTGAAAGCTCCACTTCATCCGTCGTCGTGTTTTTCTCATTGGCGGGGGAAAGAGATGGGGGCCGAGTTAGGGCCAGATGGGTCACGCGCGGGATGTAGAAGAACGCTATCCAGCTAGCTCAATGCACCGTCATTTTTAATCGCCCGTGTCAATCTAGGATGGCCGTAGATGAAAGACTTAGCGTCGGGGTTGAATCGCCGATAATTCTTCCCCGCATTTCCCCAGAATTTCGAGAACTACCCCAGCGAGCGGAGTGATGCCTGCCATGGTAATATCCGACCCATCCCCGCCCCACTACCTGAGGTGTGTAATCGGCAGCATCCACCCTACGCCTAGCACGCAGGCACCGGTAGCAAGAAGATGCACGATATCGCGAACCAGCCCGCCGAGAGGGAGGAAGTCGACCCAGGTCAGAGCCCAGTGTGCGACGGCGACCGCCAGGGCGAGGGCCAGGAGCCTCCCCGGAAGAGGGCGCGCTTGAGCTGTAATACCTGCAAGGCCCGCAAGACCAAAGTAAGTAGCCCAAACCGATAGTTGGATGACCACCGACTAATAATGTTTCATAGTGTATTGGCATTGGTGAGCGCCGAATAACCCAGATATAACAAAAGCACTCGTGGTTTTCTAATGGTTTGCAGAAACTGGTGCATGCCACTATTGCAGGTCATTGAACCTTCCGTGCGAGGCGAGTGTCAAGAACCGCAAGCGGCCATTTTATCGCGTTTCAGGCGAGGTCTATGACTATTCTATCAAGCTTCTCCGCCGCTTCGTGTCCGAAGAGGAGCTCCCCGAGCTTACCGTGGAGAAGATACAAGACTTTCTCCGGAAGTTAGACGCTGCAGAAAGCAGGATACCCAACCCCCAAGCCCCTTGCACTGAGGGAGTACAGAGAGATAATCATGGTTCACTTGAGAAAATGGACCAGGACGTCACGAACGAGACGATGGAGGGCGATGAACACCCAGTGCTTCAAGAGCGCCTCGGTTGTATGCTCCTAGACTCCATGGGCAAATATCGTCAGTGCCCCCTTCGACTGGATTTGAAGGCATCGCTGATGAAGTCGCAGGCTACGTCGGTGCCAACTCGTCGATCCGCTGGTTCAACGCAATTCACACAGCACGAGAGCCACGAGAGACTTCGTCTCGGTCAGACCCGAAAATCATTTCCCCACTGAAGTTCGGTCCGCTCCCCCCGAGCCCAGACAGTGGTGTGGGCAGTCGCCGGACGGGGCTGTACTTCCCGCCTCGCCAGCACTGGATGGACTATGTCGGCCGGTTTTTTGAACAGGTCTACTGCACCTACTGGTTTTATTCTGCCGAGGATTTCTACCCTCGCCTGGAACAAACCATGGAGGATGGTGGTGCCTCCGCCAGCGCATCCTGGCTGTGTTCTATCTACTCCATCTTCGCCATTGGAAGTATGCGACCCAGTGACCAAGGGGCTGAGGCCTCGGGGTCCATGCCTATGGATACTAAGACACCCACGGACTACCTGGCTCTGGCACGGGAAGTATCAGCGGGGGCCTGTGACGAGGCCGATCTGGATAGCGTCAAGGCGTTCGGACTCCTGGTGGGTGTCCCTGCTGGTGGAATGTGCAGATGTTTGACCGTTGTGGCTGACATCGGTTAGGGTTTGGCGACGCACGCGACCTGCTACAGTATAGCGGCCTATCTCCATCTCGGAACGGCTGTGAAGATTGCCTTTTCTCTAGGGCTACACCGAGATGTCTTCCTCCGCGGGAAAGGAACCGTCGAACGGGAGGGTAGCCGACGACTGTGGTGGACCATATACATTCTTGACTACGAGATGGCCAGTCGATTTGGGTATCCTTATTCCATCATCGACGACGCCGTCTTCATGAGCACCCCCACGGCAACGGAGCAGGTAGGGCATCGAGGACTGCTTCTAGAAGATGGGTTCTCCAAACTGACAGTGTTCAGATTCTGAGCCCAGGGCCAAACACTCCATTAGGGTACCAGGCACTCCTGGTGAGCTTAGTTCGTATGGCGAAGACGATCGGCCACGAATGCTTTCTGGAGCCGGCGCACATGGGAGGCAGGCTACCCATCAGCCGCGTCACTAAAGCACTGGCATCTCTTAGGCGATGGCACAGCAAGATCCCCGCTCACCTTCAATGGGACTCGTCGGTCAATCCCCAGCACCGTCGGGCCGTGCCTCTGTTGCACCTACGATATTGGGCCACCGTCATCTCTTTGGTTCGCCCCTTTCTGCTCTTTACCGTGGCACGGTCAACCGACACTATGGTCCCCGCCAAGAGAATACTATACGAACAGATGAGTCACACGTGCATCGAGGCTGCCGAGTCCGCGGTCAAAATTTTGAGGCGCATGCGCGAAGAGCAAGCACTGTCCAGTCTGGTGCTCTTCGACAGCCATTTTATTGGGGAGGTGATGGCGATTTTGATTATGGCGCTGCAGAAACGAAGCAATGTGGAACACCAAGGAATGCTTCAGTTTTGTCTGGAGACTTTCAGAGGTATGGAAAAAGTCGGTTGGTGTGAGAAGCTCTCTCCTGAGCTGGAATCTACCGTCCATGCCAGTGGTGTGCTGCCGCCAGGGCCACTGCCGCCACTCCATTCCAACACAACAGGGGTCGACCCTGGAGTTCCTGGAGGTAGCGACATTGTGTCCATGTCGGATTATCAAGACATGTGAGACTCCTCACTATATTTGGACCCATTTCCCGATCCTGCTCGCTAATGCGTATATCTAGAAACTTTGATGGGTGCCAGTTCGATGTCTTTGAAACCCTGGATCTTGATCCGAGCGCTGGCCTAATAGAAATGTTCACTGACGCATCGTTTTCGGGTTCCCAGTTCTTGTTCAATAATCCCGATCGAGTGTATCATATATAATCCGACTTGTGAAAAGCAGGTCAAAAATTATGAGACACGGCCGATCCTATCTCTAGCTTAGTATCGTGAGCAACTGACGCGGAAATGATGTTGAACATCGCCTAATGACAAGCACTGTACCAAGATATCCAATGAGCATTCGGATCGAACTGTATATGACTGATACTTGAACGGATGACATACTTCCCCTGCACTCGTAACCGCCTGCTTGCCATCGGGTGTATTGGTAGGGGCATGTGTGATGTCTCCTACCGCTTTCTTCGTAGTACTCTAGTACGTCATGACCTAACGGATATTATTTTTGATAGTTCATCCCGTATGAACTTTTCAGACCGTACAACTCGTCCGCGCGTTGTGCAGATCCCCCGCATCGGACACTGTCAAGAGACCAGGCTAGCCAAATCAGGCCATATAGAAGCTCCGTAGTGGCGGCTGTATATGTCCGAGACCTCCACAGAGCAGGGACTCGGGGTAAACCCTATAGTCATTCCAGTTATTCAAAGATGGTATAGTCTACGCTAATGGTAGTGTCAATGGAGTGGTGTGAACCCCTCCTCCTTGGGGCTGAAAGAGGAATGAAGTAGATCGGTTCTATACATCCGTTGCCACTGCTGGTGATTGCAGTTTCATTCTATAAAGCAGACGCAGTGAATATCATGTACCGTACCCCAACTGCAAGTAGACTAATTCAAACACTGATTAATCAAATCTCGTCAACATGGGCTCGCTTCCTGCGGCAGCTACTCTGACCGTCCAAGACCAATATATCGGCGCGCCGCAGCCAATCAAGGTCATTGTGATTGGGGCGGGAATCTCCGGTATTGCCTTTTCCTACAAAGCGCAGTTCCTCGAGGGTGTTGAGTATGTCATTTATGAAAAGAACGCCGACGTCGGCGGCACATGGCTCGAGTCCCGCTACCCCGGTTGCTCGTGTGATATCCCGGCGCATTCGTACAGCTACCCATGGGTAGGGAACCCGGAGTGGTCGAAGGTGTAAGTAGATATATCAACGATCCACAGCATATCTGGTGGCTAAACCACTGGAAAACAGGTATGCCGGAGCCGAAGAGATTTGGGATTTTTATCGCCAGCGAGCCAAGGAGTACGGGCTGTACGAACATGCAAAGTTCAACCAGCGAGTGATTGGAGCAGAGTGGGACGATGATAGCGGACGGTGGACAATCAAGGTGCAAGACGCTGCCTCGGGAAGGATCACCGTCGATTCCGCCGAAGTGGTCCTCAACTGTGCTGGGGTGCTCAAGTATGTTTTCTGTGTCTACACGGATTGCGTGTCAAGCTAATGGTGATGAACCACGACAGCCAGTGGAAGTGGCCGGACATCCAGGGTCTCCACTCGTTTGGTGGAACACTGGTCCATACGGGGAATTATCCTCAAGGTCTGGATCTCGCTGGAAAGCGCGTAGCCGTCATCGGTGCTGGCTCGTCCGCCATCCAGGTTGTGCCAACAATCCAACCAAGTACGTGTCCTGTCGCTCCACGCGCGAGGCAATGCTGATAGTGGGTATAGTTGTCAAGTCACTTGTGACTTTCGCCCGGTCGCCCACCTGGGTAGCACCCCAGTTCGTGGGAAGACTCGCAACCGACGGGCGGTCCACGAAATACACGGAAGCCCAGAAGGAACAATTCCGTACTGACCCCGAGCGTTTGGTAGCATACCGCCGGGAAATTGACCAGGAGCTCAATTCAAGATTCCCCAACTTTTACAAGAATTCCCCAGCACAGAAGATGTCGCGGGAGATCGTTGAGAAGAGCATGCGTGAACAACTCGCCAAGATGGACCCAGCGCTACGCGAGCAGCTCATTCCCGACTTTGATGTGGGATGCAGACGGTGAGCATCTAGCTTTTGTATTAATGGGCTGGCAAATTACTGATGGTAAGCAAACCAGGGTCACTCCGGGCGAGGGCTACCTCGAGGCCCTTCAGCAAGACAATGTCGAGGTCGTCCGGACTCCTATCCAGGAAGTGACGCCAGATGGAGTTGTCACGCGCGAGGGTAAAGTATACTCCGTGGACGTGATTATTGCGGCAACAGGATACGATACTTCCTACGTCCCTGGATTTCAATTGACAGGGCGTAATGGGGTCGATCTCGCGAAGCGATGGAAGCAAACAGGGGCCGAAGCTTATTTCACCTGTGCAGTCCCAGACATGCCGAACTACTTCAGTAAGTCTGCACCACAGCTGACTGGTATCTCCTCCAGTAATATCTGACAAGGTTTACCTCTAGTGGTGGTTGGACCAAATACACCCATCTCCAACGGCTCGCTAATGCCGTCTATTGAGGCGCAAGTCGACTTCGCGCTCTCCTTCGTGGATCAAATTCAGCGCCAAGGAGTCAAGTCGGCCGTCGTCAGTCAGTCTGCCACGACGGAGTTCAATGACCATAAAGATGCCGTCATGGAGCTGCTCACGTTTTCCGGAAACTGTAATAGCTGGTACGACCTTCTCTTGTCCTATAGCGTTCACTGGTCTAATCATTGAGTTACAGGTACAAGGGCGGCACTTCCACCGGTAGGATTGTTGGGCCGTGGCCAGGGTCAGTGAACCACTTTCTCGAGTCGATTAGGAATCCACGCCTGCAGGACTTCGAGTATACATACCGCACACAGAATCGATTCATGTATCTGGGCAAAGGTCTCTCAGCGCGGGACCTCGCCAAGGATAATCTTGGGTGGTATATTAGGGGATAACGTCGATTGTATCTACAATATATATGTCAAATATAAGGATTCTATGAAGTTATTTCGTTTATAATATAAATTCTATGCGGTCCCGTCAGTCGTGATTCTGTCATATGTTGGACTGTCTCGCATAGTAGTTGTCACTCAGGTATGATCTCCCCTGTCATAAGAACACCCGCCTTCCACTTTCACCCAGATCAGTAATGGGTTGACTCAACATGTCCACGTATTGTATTTTCCCAGTTGTGTGTAGAATAACCTTGTGTTTCGATTGTATATACTTGAATGTCTAGGAAGTATGCCAGGGCCAAGGCCAGCAAAGCAGAGCTTCAACCAAAACCCGGTTCAATATCACCAGTACCAAGCTCACTGTCACTATGGTACTCAATATGTCTGTGCTTGTGGATCTCATCATGAAATATTAAATTTCTTGAAAGACCCTCTAACTGTCAGCTCGTAATCGGCTTTTTGCACCCGATGGCTGCGACACCCCGCATTTCCCCACATAGTTACCCCGGATCACGGATTGCACCCAATCAGGAGATGGTCTAGAACGTCCAGCTGCGCAAACTCCCGACGCATCGGCCTCGTACGTCCGAGACGTAGTCCAGTGGAGGGGTCCTCTACGCAACGGCATCATTGGAGAGAACCGGCATGTTTATAAGATGTAATTGAAAGCAAAGGACCATGGGCGTTCAAGGCTTCCGGATAACTGGATCGGCCTCATTTCCCAAGTCGATACATAGTGCAGGCGAAACATGGCGCATCTCTATGAGCTGGCAGAGAGCTTAACGGCCAAGCCCAACTACGTCGACGGTATCAAGCGCAATGACGACTCCAATTTCCCGCCCACGGAGGTTTTCCAAGGGTTCAACCGCCCGTCGCGAATTGAAGGCGATGTCTGCAACCTCGCAGTAACAGGAAAGATCCCCGAGGATATTGACGGCACCTTCTTCCGCATCCAACCGGATCACCGTTTCCCCCCCGTATATGAGTCAGATATCCACTTCAACGGCGATGGCAACGTGACGGCCATCCGCCTCTGCGGCGGTCGCGCACACTTCAAGCAGCGGTATGTCCACACCGATCGCTATCACCACGAGACAAAACACAACAAGGCGCTTTTTGGCAAATATCGCAATCCCTACACCGACAACGAGGCTGTCAAGGGGGTGATTCGGACCGCCGCCAACACGAACATCACGTTCTGGAGAGGCATGTTGCTAGCCACAAAGGAGGATGGGCCGGCCTATGCGATGGAACCTGACACGCTGGAGACGATCGGCCGCTACGACTTTGAAGGGCAGGTGCAGAGCCCCACGATGACGGCACACCCCAAATTTGACCCGAAGACGGGGGAAATGATCTGCTACGGGTACGAGGTAGGGCTGCAGGAAACCCTATACGCGATATCCGTCACCTCGACCCACCGCTAACTGCAACCTAGGCTGGGGGGGACGGCAACGATGGGTCTCGAGATATTGTGGTGTATACGATAAGTGCTGATGGCATCAAGACGGAGGAATGCTGGTACCAAGCGCCCTTTTGCGGCATCATCCACGATTGCGGGGTCAGCGACAACTGGGTGGTCCTGCCGATGACGCCGTTGAAATGCGATCCGGAACGCCTAAAACGAGGGGAGAACCATTGGGCATGGGATCCCAACGAGGATCAATGGTACGGGCTTGTGCCGCGTCGGGGAGGAAAGTCGGAAGATATTCGATGGTTCCGGTCCAAGAATGGTGAGCACCCAGGGCACTGTATGCAGACTGTCGCCTAACGCTTCTGACTCTCTATCTAGCCTTCCAGGGTCACACTGTCAGCTGCTACGAAACGCCCGATGGAAAGGTCGTGTTCGATCTGACCATCGCCGATGGCAACGTATTCTTCTGGTGGCCTTCTGTCGACACGCCCGCGGGCACCGTGGCCAAGCGCAACAAGCTGCAAAACAAAACCACGCGCTGGATTCTCGATCCCGAAGCCGCCACCAACACGTGGGTCGAGCCGGTTGAGGAGCGCGCCGATTCAGGAGAATTCTCGCGGATTGACGACCGCTTCGTCACGATGAAGTACAACCACTACTGGCAGGCCGTAATTGACGCGACAAAACCGTACGACTTCGCTAAATGTGGATCGCCAGCTGGTGGATTATTCAACACGTTAGGCCACTTTACGTGGGATAACTCGACCACCGAGACCATATGGGCCGGACCTTGCGCCACTTTCCAAGAGCCGGCCTTTATCCCTCGGGCGGGCAGTACCGATGAAGGTGACGGCTACCTTATCGCCTTGCTAAACCACCTGGATGAGTTACGGAATGATGTGTGTATCTTCGATGCGCGACACATCGCTCAAGGGCCCCTGGCGGTCATCCACCTCCCGTTCAAACTGCGCCTGGGGCTACATGGGAATTTCGTGGAACAACGCGAGATTGTCGCGTGGAAAGAAAAACGGGAAAGAGGATTGGGGCCTGTCAAACCAGCGACGGGGCCGATGCTGTGGCAAGCAGGTGTAGAAAGTCAGAAATAAGACAGTACAAGTTGATGTAATAATTTGACAAGTTCAAGACTAAGGAGACGGGTGGGATTCTTTGAAAATTATCCAAGAACAAGACAAGTGAATGGAATCTCACATACAATAATGACATTATTATATGTAAGTCAATATTATGGACCAAGTGAAGAGCTCAGCAGCTAGGAGTTACTGGTTACTTATTTGTAATCATTGCTTTATGCTAGGGATGATTAACAGCCCAATATATAGTAAACAATTCACACATACTGTTTCTAGTTGGCCTGTGTCGCGGACTGGCGGCGAGCACCTTTTGGTAGATCAGTCGCCCAGAATGATAGTATAGGGCTGGTCGGAGGCAGCCAGAGCCGTGATAATTCTGAAGTTGATGCCTGTGTTGGTTCCGGGAGTAAATATGAGGATAGCGAAGGCCGGTGCGTTGATTGCCATTCCTCAAGAGGTGCAGCATGACTGGCTTCGTTTCAGTGCCACCCGCTATGGCTGAACAATAATTAGATATATCAGATTGGCTTACATGCCCCGCTTGCGTGATGTTGCCCGTGTTGGAGATCTGGTCCCCATGCAGGTTCTCATTGGATGCTGATCCTGGCAGCCTCGTATCATCACAGCCCCCATTCTGTGTGCTGTTCAGGCTCCGTGCACTGGTGGAAGGCCTAATGGCTCAGCGTCACATACTTATAGCTATATGTAAGGCATATCATGTACTCTACGTTTGAGACACTGTAGGTAACTAGCACAGACCCGGGATGGCTGTTTTACAGATTGCTTTGTCCGGCCCCATCCTGTTCGTCACGGTGGTGGCCGTCGTCGCTCACCGTCTGTACGGTTTTATCCACGATCCCTTGCGCCGCGTACCTGGTCCGTGGCTGGCTCGCTTCACCCGTCTATGGGAACTGGTCCAGATTTGTGGGGGTCACTTTGAGCAGATCAACCTTGATCTCCACCGACGATATGGTCCGCGATATATGGCTCAAGTCTTCCGTGGCGAATGACTAGGTCTAACGATTTTGATAGGTCCCGTGGTGCGAGTCACCCCTGATCGGTACAGCATCGCGAGTCCAGGAGCCGTTCGAAAGATATATAGCCATGGCAGCGGGTTCACCAAGGCTCGCTGGTACCGCGCGTTCGGTGACCCTGAAGATTCCCAAGCCGATATGTTTTCGGTCACAGACGAGCAACGTCACGCGGCACACCGCCGGAAGGTGGCCACCATGTTTAGCATGACATCCGCGGTGTCATACGAGCCCTTCATTGACGCCTGCACCGCGATCCTTGTCGAGGAACTCGGTCAGCAATCCCGTCTCGGCGAGACGGTGTCGATCCCGCAGTGGATGCAGTACTACGCCTTTGACGTGATCAGCGAGATGACGGTGCCTGCCCCTGCCCCTCTCGCATGGGCCCACCCACGAAGGATTCTGACCACTTTATGTAACTGAGTAGATCGGCGCCTCCTTCGGCATGATGCGCACCGGCGGTGACAATGACGGGATCCTCCAGACGATCCACAGCTTTCTCACCTACAGCTCGCGGATGAGTGTCTTCGTTGAACTGCATGCCTGGATTGTCTGGGTCTCGCACCTGTTCGGCTCCCCTAACCCTATTGAAAACATTCACGCCTACGGGGCGCGGCAACTGGCAGCCCGGCGCCAGCAGCCCTCTGACCGCGCCGACTTCATCCAAAAATTGGCCGACTTGCAAGATGCCGGTAAGATCAGCGAGCTGGAGCTGTTCAACACTGTCGAGGCCAACTTCGCTGCCGGCTCCGACACCATCGGGTTGACCGTCAGTGCCGTCATCTACTACCTGGCGCAGCATCCACGCTGTGCACAACGCCTGCGGCGGGAGGTTGACACGAGGGCGTCAGCAGGCCGCGTCTCATTTTCTGAGGCGCAGCAAATGCCGTATTTGCAGGCCGTCCTCAAGGAGATATTGCGCGTGCATCCCGCCGTAGGCATGCCCCTACCGCGGGTGGTGCCCGCCGGGGGGTTGAGTTGGAGGGATATTTCTTTCCAGCAGGCGTAAGCAAGCTCGTCTCCTTACCCTCTATTCAGCGACAGCAGAATTAACGCAGGTAGACGGTTGTCGGTGTTAATGCCTGGGTCTTGCACCGTGACCCGACCATTTTTGGTGATGACGCCCATCTTTTCCGGCCCGAGCGGTGGCTGGGCCACAAGGACGAAGTCGCGTCCATGGAACGGCATCTCTTCTCGGTATGTGCAATTCATGCCCCGTTGGTTACTGGTTTATACCCCTTGTGCGCGATGCTGACCGGTGCCAGTTTGGCGCGGGCTCGCGAACCTGTATCGGCAAGAATATCAGCCTCATAGAGCTGAACAAGCTTGTCCCCGAACTTTACCGCCACTTTGAATTCGAGCTGGAGGGAGACGAATGGCAGACGGAAAATGTGTTCTTTGTCAAGCCCAGCTTCCGCTGCCGGGTGGTGTCACGGGAGGGCCTATTGTGACGGAGGGCCTGTCCCATTCTTGTATAGCACCGACCGATTGATCAGAAGGCCAAACCGGTCCGGAGTGCCGTGTCCATCTGCTATGAGGATCAGCCCCTCAGTTGATTGTGGTTAGGTATGTGGACTGTGGTGGCTGGGGAATTATTACAGTCAATGGGGGATGTTGGTGTTGTAGGGGTGGGAATAGACGCAGATTGTAGGAATTGAAATTAGGAAGAAATTCATGGAATGAAAGGAATTTTACCGTTAACCACAAACATGGTTCATAAACCCCGGCTATCACTAGTCCAATCCACAATGGGTCACAGTCGACACATGCAACCAGATACTTCAGCGTCTTTCTGGCCACCCGAATCATCGCCCTGTAGTATGGGTCAGGCCCGCGGGGTCTCCCGTGAATCAAGTGCGATTCCCCCGCCCGCTGTCTTGTGCTGCTGGTCACTCAAGGGGATCAATCAGTCGAAGTTCTCCAGTCTTTCTCCGCAGGAAGTAGGCTCACGACACCACGCTTGGCCGATTGTACTGTCCCGTTTGGGAACATGCTGGACTTCTTTCCCCTCCCCGCATTCTTGATTCCACTCGACGGTTTGTTACGTCCCGCGGCAGACGCCCCCGGGGTGACTTCTCTTTCCAACGACGACCTCCCGCATAGGATGTCTACTTGCTATGTGGAGCGGACCGCGCGAATGCCGTCCAACTACTTTCACCACGAGCTGTTAGTCATTTTCTATCAGACCCTGGCCATTGCAGATCACCTGCGGAATGCAACGTCCTCGAGAATGGCCCCCGACCCGTCATCGACCTCCATCACCAACACGCACCCCTCCCACAAATCCGGTCCTTCGCTGTCCACCCGAGCCCCGCTCGTCGACTCTGTCATCGCGGCCGCATTCCCAGGCGCTGCGGCCAAAAGCGCGCACTAGCCGACGTCTTTGCCAGCTCGGCGGTGCTGTGGGGGAATTAGCTCTCCATGCCCTTTGCAGGGGACCTCCGGCGCTACCAGGACCAGCAGACGGGCAGCCCGTCACCGGCGCCACCTGTCAAGTCCGCGAGATTATTCTGACTGCTCCGACGAGACGCAGTGTGACCTGTTATTCTCGGACTGCGGCGCACAGCGCAAGCAGCCGCATACCCACGACGCCGTCGAGATGAAAGCGGACAAGAATCTTTCGTGTCCACCATCGACCCTTGTCCGGGGGACAGCGGAAATGCCTTTTTACCTGATCTTTTGATAACGTGTCGACGATTCCCCTATGGTCTATAGATAGACAGATCTCGGCATCTCCCGTGTCTGGAACTATTAATTACTAGAGCTACTATTTATCGTATCATCTGGCCCTTCATCCGTGCCTGGCTTGCTAATGCGAAACGGTTGTACTCAGGGGCCCACAGGAGTCTATTGATACCTCGTTATCCGTCTTGCTATTCAGTGCCGCTGCGTACGTCCTCCATGTGATGCGATAGCCCGCGGACGACCTTTCCCCAGTGATCCTGTCAAGGAAGGGTCATCTGACGGCATTTGAATACTAGTTGACGTGCGCGATATAGCAGAAATTGGCAGGATGCACCCCTGAGCAGGCCAAAATCAATGTCCATCATATAAGACTCGCAATGGCAGCAAACTATATAAAAAGAAGGGTGGTCGCCAGCAGTCGGACTGTTTTTTCAGTCCGGGCTCCGGTGATTGTCATGTGAGCCAAGAACGATCTCATATGGAAACCTACTCAATCAATTGTAATATCCCATAATAGACATGCGACCCTCCAGTATAGATGCCATGTCACCATTATTGTGGATCCAGTATATCCGAGAGGAGAGCTGGGGTCGCCCTGTAGGCAAACCTTGTCCTCTCCCGCAGCCCCACCCCATAGCCTCCAATACCGCATCTGAATCCTTCACAATGTCCGCTTTCGTCCGTTAAACCAATGATCACGAAGTCCGTGTTTGAAGATCCCCCTCGAATGCAACCCCTCATGCTGCTCCTCATCTTACATGTAGTAGCCGCCCTTGATAGTGGCTGCAGGGCCCAGTGCTCTTTGAGCCGCTAGTGATAGTAAAGGAGAGATGACTTATTATTCACTCGGAATTCGACAGAATTCATCCGACGTGGGAGTGTGTGGTCATAACACCGTATCAGTCGGAAGCCTTTTCTACTCCGACGTGGCTATGGCTGGCAACTGACCATCGAAGGAGATCTAGGTCTCCTTCCCAATGCCGCTGCGATATTAGGCCACCAGCGATGGCCCTCACTCGAACCAAGGGCCTCAGCTTATGACCCCATGGGATTGACTGTGCTAAAATATGGCACGGGATTTTGCTACATTGGGCTATCCGCCTGAAGCGACCTCGACGGAGATGTTGGTCATGGATTGATCGACACGCCACCCCGCTGAACAGTGGAGGCGCCCTGTCAGCGTAGCCACCGCGTTGTATTTGATCCTTGCCCCGCTGCGCTGCACTGTCGACTGTCAAACAATGTTCCTCGAATTGAAGGCGGGTCATCTAACCGTGCTGGGCCCTTTGATCACCCATCTAGTGCCTCCACGACCATGACCCCGAAACCATCCGGGTTGAAAACCACAATATTTACCATCCGGGCGGTGTCCAGTTGCTATTCCTACTGCCTGTTTACAAGGACTTGTCGAGATAATCACAAGCAGGGTGAAACCCGAGGCATGAAAACCCTCCCGAGGACAAGGAAACCAGACCGAACCATACTCGTAGCTCAAGTAGTCGGAGCGGATTGCGGGGTGTTTCAGGCAGCCTCCCATAGGGCTCGGAGAGTCGGCGAGGATTAGCGTCCGACCCAAGCGGGTTGTCGAAGGATCAAACATCGGCCGGTGGGGGCCAAACGCTGGGTTCAGCTGTCAGCTCCTGACCGTGTCTCGGAGGAACATCATTCAAGTAGGAGATCGTCGCCAGAGCAGCTTCTAAAGGTAAACCCTAGACTCGGCCGTGACTGCCTTTTTTGGGCTGTTCCATCTGGTAACTAAAGTGAGTCGGTTGAAGCAACCCCAAACGGCCGTCGGAGGTTACGGGTTCCCGAATCGGCGGGGATTAGGCGCCATGTATTCCAGAACTGGAATTCTGTACATCCTGCCACCTGTATAGACAGGGGTTTTCTTGAGCCATCGGTTGGGCTCAATCGACTCGGGGTCTCGGAAATAAATCACCGACGGGGATGTTCTGTGAGATTTAGCCTTCCTTTGGGACCATCTGCCGGCCAATGCAGCGCCAATGTCTATACAGCCACGAGAGGTCTTCTAGTCACCCCACTTCAGTCGGCTCTACTTTTTTTGATGAATCTGGAACTGTTGACAAGGCTGAGAGGCTATCACTAATGCGGCAAGGCCCTCGCCGCCAAAGCTACTATTGCCATTGACGTTAGGACCGCAGGTGGGGATAACAAGAAAGTTTGTGCTCTATCACAGGCTTGTCAGACAACCAAGCGGACAGGCCTCCAGCCCATGATGTAGAGTATTACGCAACTTATGCTGGCTTGTGTTGACCATGTGATGATAGTAGGCACAAAAGGGGGCAAGGAAAAAGGGAGGGGAGAGGCTCACGGAGACAAGATATAAATACGACCCACCATCCTCGACAACCTTGGTTCCTCATCTGTGCCATTCGCTTTTCACCCTCTGATATCTCCAATTTGCCCATCCAAAATTCCCTTTTCTTCGATTCGGGCGCTGTTGTCCTAGGCGACAAAACATGCGGTTCACCACGGTCCATCTGGCCCTCGGCTTGTATACAGCCGGGGCCCTCGGACTGGCTATTCGACAAGACAACAATAATCAAAACAAGGATCAGCCAGGCAATGCGAGTGATACATCTTGGCAAAGGCTGACATGCAACGAGCATAACATCGGAAACTCCGGTGTGCAATTGTCCGAACGATGGGGTATTGCCCGTGCAGACAATGCCTGGGCTCTGGCACTCCAGAACTGGAAGGCCCACAAGGAAAACCCCGATCATAGGAAAAACTTTGCCGGCGATTTTGCCGTGACATTTGGCGCCAAGGACGGCTTCAACTGTGAGAATATTGGCAATGACAATTGCAACGACATCATCGAGTGTGACGACACCAAAGCAGGACCAGCCGGGTAGGCCCTCCGATCTATACCACTGGCGGTGCACTAATCATCCAGCCAGGTCCATCATTTTGAACTCCTTTGCAGCCCTCCACATCGTATGTCTTCTAACACAGGCCCATCCTATCGCACACAGAGCCTAACCAGTGACAACAGCTCTACTCGCAGCTGCATACGTCTGTCTACAACGCGGCAACTGGGCTCAGTCCCGCGGCCTTCGTCCAGGCTTTCGCTCCAAACAGTGGTAATGAGAAGGAGATGGTTGCAACAATCATTGACGCTGTGAGCATGATCTTCACGTTTGGCATTGCCAGTGGTTTTCATGGTCTAGGTGGGTACCGCGTCTCCTTTCTGTCACCGAACGAACCCTGGCGCTCACGATCCTCTAGAACAAGGACTGATGAAAGTCCCCGACCTCGTCAAGTCGGCGGGTGGAAGAGGAAGTAGTAGACCTGGGTCATCACACAGCCAACAATCATCCGACGAACGGCAATCGAACAATGGAGGGTCGTCATCCGAGGACCAGCCAGAACCTGTAGCAGGGTCATCGACTGCGCAAGAGGAGCATAGCCAGAAGCGGTCAAATCGCAGGTGGGCTGGGCCTCAAAATAGCGAGGGTGATGAAAACATCGAGATGACCAGTATCAACGACTCCGCGGGTTCATCCAGGCCAGGATCGCCGGGTTCGAACGACAACAACAATGACCATACGCAACAGCAACAGGAGCAGTCTGGTAGTGGTCGGAAATTCGAAGGCAAGGGATTTGCGTTGGACTTGGCTTATGGAATCACCGGTAACCTTGGGGCGTGGATGAAAGACCGAGTAATGCCGTAAGTGACAAGGCTCTACGATCAGACCCAATTGGTTGCTAATCCTGGCACAACAGAAATGATGAAGGGCTGCAAAATCTGGAGACCGTCGACAAGGCACTTGCGCAATCCGTTACCAGTCTTGGCGATGCCTTTACCGACTACGTGAAGGACTTGTTCTCTGGCGAGGGCGACCAACCCGAGCAGCTTCTAACATTGACTGGCAGGGGCGCAATCATGGATGTTGGTGTTGACCTCGGCCAGATCACCGAATCCACCAGGAAGCTTCTGGGTGCCAAGATGATCCAGGCCGCCTGGAGCGTGGCCCCCGAAGGCGCCGGCGCTCATCCATTTATCCTGTGAGAAGCGAATCCGCCCTTTGCCTCTTCCTTCCCTGATTCTTTGCTCACTGATGCACCCTAACTATGTAGAAAAACAGACGAGCCCTGTGGACTGGACGGCAATATGATCATTCCCGGGGGGTACGACAAGTTTATCCCTCATGATGACATGCGAAAGGCCCGAGCATGCTACAATCAGAAAACCGTCCTTCTTCTCCATGGCTGGCGAAAGGGCGCAGGTGCCCCACAAGCATCGACTGGGGGGTGGGGCGCAAATGCTTTGGTCGGCGTCGATCAGCTGGACGAGAAGAACAAGGACTTGGCGGGAATCACGAGGGACGATATTGCTTTCAGCGCCATGATGAACTACGAGAAGCACGAGAACAGTAATAAGGCGATGGGTAAGGCCCTGGACATTGATACTGTCATTGGGGACCTGCAAAGCAAGCAGTTTGATATGTCGGATTACGAAGCTGCCGTGCGCACACCAGGCCTCTGGAACATCCCAGTCTGTGAGAACGATCCTACGAGCTTGGAACGAAATCTCAGAACCATGGATCCACAAAACAGCAACTACTGGCCATGCAACACCGCGCCTGGCGAGAAATACAATGGGAAGGGCACCAATGTGGTAGGTGCTTACGCAGCAAGTTCCCTGTCAGAGACAAAACTGACTCGTTTAGCACGCGAACAATGGCTGCATTGTTGTTGAGAGCTCAGGTATCTGCGCAAAGTCGTTGAGAAGTGGTGGGCCTGGAATGAAGCATAGCTCCACCTGTAAGCATATTTTCCCATCTCCACGCTGCGCAAACTAATTGCTGACTATTTGTCAACAGTGGTTAAAGACACGGATGATGGTAGTGGCCGTACCAAGGCACGAATCTATGCCAAAATTGTTGATCGGAAGGACTCGGATAAGACTTACGCTAAGTGCGATGGAGAATTCTCCTGGCCGTCCAATTTTGAGGATGTTTACTTTGGGGAGGATAACAAGCTCTATGACAGCAACAGCCAAGAGATCAAGACTGAGGACGGGAAGGAGCAAGTGTGCAATGACCACCCAGATGATAATTCTCCCGTGGTGGACAACCCCTACTTCTATGAAAACTGAGTGCAAATTGACTGATAAGGCTTTGATTCTTGTTATTCTTTGCAGGGGGTACTTTGTTTTTCTTCTCTGATTCAATGTTAGACCTAGGCACAACTAGAGTTATTATTATTATTATTATTATTATATTCATACTCGCGTCTGTCAGCCTAGAGCCGAGTGGCGGAGGTCGTCCGTTCGGCGGCCAGGCTACCGCTGATATGGCTACTAATATACATGAACCTTTATAGATACCACGATTCCCATCCAGGCCAACGCAGCTCGCTACTTCGTAGACCTCATTAGTAGGGGGATACCTACCAGCTACTAGACCTCAAAAGGATCCGTTCTGATCCGGATAGTAGTCCTCATTTTCCTGTCCTAGCTTGCCTATCCTATGGGGGTTGCTCTGGTGTGAGCATACTGGGATTAGGGTCAAGACCAGCAGGGCCTGTAATTAGCTGTCAAGACCCTAGGATCCTGTTACGGAAACCCAACGAGGTTAATACCCCACGAAGGCGGCACAGCCAGGCAGAAGCCCGACGCCAATTGATTGACATGAGGATCAGAACCCTTGCATAAAGATGACTACAAGTCATGTGATACAATCACCTACTCCTAGCATGAGATGAGGGAGTAGCTACATAATGTGATTACTTACTTCATGTCTACCCCCAGGAAGTAGCCAGAGAAGTAGGCACTAAGGAAAACATATAATTAGAGCAACTCTAGAAGTGACTACAAAGGAGTCACTATAAGAGTAGCTAGGGAAGGATATATAAGAATACTTATTCACCTGTATCTACAGTTTAGTTAGTTGTATTTAATAATATAGTTATTTAAGACTACACAGTTCAAGTCTGAGTATATATTTAGTCTAGTTTCTACTCATCCACACTCTACCAAGTATTAAGTATATATACTTGATACATCTTACTTCTCTTCTTGCTTATTAGTTACCTTGAATTATCAGATTACTTATTAATTAATATAGTTAGCATAGCCACTGTGTGAGGCCTCAGGTTAGTACAATCTATTGTTGATAGCTGATAGGAAGATCGCAGGGCGCTCTTCACCTTGAACAAACCCAAGCCACCAACACTAGTACCACAGAAGCTCAAAGGGATCCTAGGGTCTTGACAGATCCCTTCAAGCCTCTGCTGTACTAGTGTTGGTGGCTTAGGTTGTTTGAGGTGAAGAGTGCCCTGCGATCTTCCTATCAGCTATCGACGATGGGTTGTATTAACCTGAGGCCTAATAAGTGGGTGGAACAGAACTGTACTTGAAAATGGGTAGGGTTCCGTTCCAGAGCACTGAGCGTGGCTTGTGATTGGCTAGAAAACTTGAGGTTTTAGATACAGTTTTATTAACTTTAGGGTAGGATACTTTCATAATCCAGGACTAGTATAAAAAAAAGAAAAATAAAAGATTATAATTCAGATCTTAAGCTATTATACAAGCTAATTTTTATTTAAAAATAATATATATAAAGATTATAAAATTAGAATCAAAATCAAGTAAAATCTTAAAATTTTTTTTAATAGGATATACCAAGACTTCTATTTAATAATAGTAATTCTAATATAGTGTATTAGAATTAATTTTAGTATATTTTAATAAGAGTTATAAGTATATTAAAATTAATTATTTATTTTTAATTTTATTCTATATAAATATTATCCTGATTCTCTTTAAACTTTAATATATTATATTTTTACTACTAGAATATAAGATAATTTAATCTAAGAGTTATATTATTAATACTTGATTTTTAAGAAATTTTTAAAAAGTGAAGATTTAGAAAAGAAATTTTTGTTAAAATAAGATTCTACTAGATAAAAAGATTTTTATTATTATATATATAACTTTCTCTTTTCTTTCTCTTACTTCTAATTATCTCTAAGTATCTTTATTATAAATTAAATCTTTTTTTATTTATTCTCTTACTAGCTCCTGATCTGTTATATATATAAATATAAAGTATAGTCTTATAAGCTAGCTATTTATCTTACTTAAGCTTATTATCTATTTAAGAATACTATATTAGGCTATATCTAGGAGACTTAAGAGTTAGCTTTAATCTAGAATCCTATCTAGCTAGCTTTATCTTAAATTATAATCTAGTTTATTCTTATTCTTAAGATATATCTTAATAAAATCTAGTATTATTATAAGTCTGATTATTTATATATAACTTAATTCTTAAAGTCTATAAGAAAATACTAGTAAGTATTATATAATTATATTTTATACTTATATATAGGTTAGCTAAAATAGGTTAATTCTTAACAAGCTATAAACTTTAATAAAAGATTCTTTAAAAAAATAGCCTGTTAACAGGTCTTTCTAACTTATTATAATTTATATTATATTTAAGTATTACCTAGCCCTGAGCTTAAGTCTAGTCTAGAATCTATAAAACTAGAAGCCTGTAGTCAGAGACTAGTAACTAAGATAAATAGCTACTAGGACTAGTAGCCTGAGTCTTGTATAATTAAACCTGCTAAGCAGGATATAACTAACTTATAACTATAATTAACCAGGTGACTAGGGTGTCAAGACCCTAGGATCCCTTCGAGCTTCTGCTGTACTAGTGTTAGTGGCTTGGGTTATTTGAGATGAAGAGCGCCCTGTGATCTTCCTATCAGCTATTAATAATAGATTAGACTAACTTAAGGCCTCACATAGTGGCCATGCTAATTATATTAATTAATAAGGTAATCTAATAGTCCAAAGATAACTAACAAGCAGGAAGAGAAGTAAGATATATTAAGTATATATACTTAATACTTGGTAGAGTGTAGACAAGTAGAAACTAGACTAAATATATACTTAGACTTGAACTGTATAGTCTTAAATAATAATATTATTAAATATAACTAACTAAGCTATAGATACAGGTAAATAAGTGTTCTTATATATTCTTTATATATATACTTCTTTATATACCTTCTGAGGTAGATAGTAAGATATATCTAATTAGTATGCTTGTCCCTGTATACTTTATTATATACTTTCTAAAGTAGATTCTTAAGTATATTATATCACATGACTTATATCTTTATTTATACAGGGTTCTTGATTCTTTTATTAACTAATTAGTATTTAACTTCTGCCTGACTATATCACCTTTATAGGGTATTAATCTTATTAGATTTTTATAATATTACTCCTTCCTCTTCTAGTATTTTATTCTTAAAACTTATAAAGATATATTTCTCTTTTATTTTTATTTTATTTTCCTCTAGTCATATCTTTTTACTATATTAACCTGTGTTTCTAACTACCTGGTATAGTATTAAAAGATTCTCTATAATAATTATATTATCCCTGATCCTTGTGCTTTTTATAGTAATTATAATCTTAATTATATAATAAATCTAAAAAACTAAAATTATACTGCCTGTACTTACTGTAGTTATTAGTATAAGAAGTATTTCTATAATAAACAAGAGTAGTAATTTATTTATAACTAGTATAATAAAGTTAATCACAAAATTTAAGAAGCTAAAGAGACTTTTATCTAATTATTTATTAAGTTACTTTACTTATAAAAATAATAAAAATTTCTTAAAGAATATTACTCTAAAATATTAGAGCATGATTCTACTATTATAGCTTATCTAGATATAAAGAATTTATTAAGTATTAAGAATCTTTAAGAGCTAGATTATCTAGCTAATACCTAAGATAGTGCTTAACTTATTATAATATCAGATATCCCTAGTTTTTCTTAGGTAATAAATAATTCTTCTTTCTAAATAAGTATTAATTTATTTACTAGTAATATTACTAAACTAGCTAGTAGTAGTCTATTAAATTCTTAATAAACTCTTATATATTTTCTAAGATATTATAATCTTTTTATTTAACTAAGTAAAGTGATTTCTTACTAACTTATTTATCTTTTAGAATTCTCTTGACTTTATATTCTTATTTAATACTTTTATTAATATTTATATTTATTATAATTTAGCTTTCTTCTAGTACTAGTTCTAATAATAAGATATAAAAGACTAGATATATATAGTATATTAATTCTAGTAGCTTTAGCTAATAATTAACTATTCCTAACTTCTTTTTAATAATAAATAATCCTAGTTTTTAGTAGTCAAGTTTCTGACTTAATTATTTAGTTTTAATATTTTTATAAAGTAAGAATATCTTTTCTCTCTCTTTTAAATCAGGCCCTTTCTTATAATACTTATTATAATAAATCACTACCTTTATATTTATAAAGTTAATATCTCTTATTAACTACTAGTATAGTGTTTTAAGTATCTTTATTACTTCTTTTACTTATTTTAATATAATTTTCTTATTCCTGGATTTACTGTATATCTTTAGATAGTAACTATAATTTATATAAAATAATATCTTATATATAGTTATATGTACTATATTATTATATATAAATTATATTATTAGTAGATATTATTCCTAATTATTTTAATTATAATTAATATAATATTAAAGATATTACTTAATAATTTAATTAATTCTTTTTATTTACCTGTTTACTTGTGAGTGATATATTATTATTAAGTAGTAATTAATCCTTATAATATCTATTAATAATTTCTAAAATTTTGATATAAAAAGCTTATCTTTATTTAATATAATTTTCTATAATATTTTATAATTAATAATAATATAATATAGTAGTATATAAGTCATGTCTTATGCTATTATTATACTCTTTATTAATATAAACTAGATATATTTTATTAGTCTGTTTATAATAATAATAATTATATCCTATTCTCAGGATTCTAGTAGTAATCTAATAAAGTTTATTATAATTTATTCTTATAATTATTTTAGTATGTCTAGTAATTATATCTTCTTATAAGATTAGTATCTTACAGGCTTGTCCTGTATATAGGTATTATAATTTTAAATATAATCTTATATAGTTTTTTATATATTAGGCTAATAATAATTTTAAGTAATTTATTTATATATTTTCTTAGTCCTAAAGTATCCTAATAAGTGGGTGGAACAGAACCGTACTCGAAAATGGGTAGGGTTCCATTCCAGAGCGCTGAGCGTGGCTTGTGATTGGCTGGAAAATCAGGGGAATCCTGTAGAATTCTGTTATCTTTAGAGTAG